TTATTACCTTCTTTATATAGGCTTAGATATAAATATTATTATTTTATTTTATAATTACTTTTTCTCTAATAAGTTTTATATATTTCTAGTATTTATTATTTTAAAAATAGTTTTTAATTTTATTATATTAAGGTATAATTTTAGTATTTTAAACTATTTATTTTTCTTTTTATTTAATTTTCTTAGTATTAAGTTCTCTTTATACTTTAGTTACTTTAGTATAGCCTAGGTCTTTATAGTATTTATTAAGTTGCCTTAAGGTAGTTTTAATAGGAATATTATTTATTATTAGGTAGGGGTTATATATAATTATTTTATTTTAGATCTTAAGAGGTATTTTTAATTTCTTAAAGGTTTTTATTAATACTTAATTAATGCCTTAGTTAAATTCTTTAGTATTTAGTTTATTATCTAAGTTAGGGTTAACTTCTTTTCCTTTTCTAATTATTATTATAACCTTATTATATTTATTATTTTATTTTTTTTATATAGGTACTAGTTCTTATTATTTAATCCTTAGTTTTAAGTTTTCTTTTTATTAAATACTTTACTTATTTTAGTAACCCTTTTATTATTTATTTTATTTTCTTTAGTATTTAGGATCTTTTATATTTTTAGTATATTTAAGTTTTTTCTACTTAAGGGTTTCTTCCTTAATTTCCCTTTTTCTTATTATAATTAGTATTTTATATCTTAAGATAGGTTATTCTTTTAGTATTAAGTTAGGATAATACTTTTTAAGGGTTTCTTCCTTATTAAGGAATAGGTTATATACTTCTAATAGTCCTAGAATTATAATAAAATTAATACTAAATATATTATATTTATCTTTTCTAGTTATATTAACTATTTTAATTACTATTTAGGGTTTATTATTCTTTCTTATAATATTAATATATTTCTTTTCTTTAAGTATTAGCTTATATTTTTAATTAGTTTTAATAGGGTTTTATATTTTAGGTCTTTATATCCTTTTTTATTATAGTTCTAGTAAGTAAGTTTAGACTTATTTTATTTAACTATTTTAATTTCTATTAATCCTGCTTTAATACTATAAGATATATTATTATTATATTTTTATCCTTAGTTAGTATTATAATAAGGTTTATTATCTTATTATTTATTATAATAAGAGTTTTAGGTTTTTTAAGTAAATAGTTAGTTATTAATTCTAATAGCTATATTAATATATTTAACTAAAGTTTATAGTTAGTCTTTCTGCTATAACTTTACTTAGACTAATTCCTTAAAGGCATTAAAAAAGAAGGATATTAGCATATCTTAATCCTAGAGTAGTTTACTAGCAAGTTATAAGAATTCTACTCCTAGGGATAAGGCTAATTGTTACGATTCGTGCCCGTAACAGCGTTATAAGGCTCTATAAGGCAGCTGTGGCACACCTATAATTGCTTGCATAGCGATTATGGCCCGATCTTTTGCCCTGTGGCTTAATGGCTTGTGCAACCGTTACACTAATCCTGTTTATTTAAGAGTCTTAATTTTTCTTTTTACTTAGCCTTTTTTATTAATAGTTCTAAATGCCATTTTAAATACTTCTTCTATTTTATAATAGCCATTCTCTCTAAAAAGTAAGGCTATTTAAGGTTATAGTTTATAAGGTAGGTTTATTATATAATTATCTATAATAAGTTAGAACTATTAGGCTGCAGTCTTAATAAGTCTTCTGGCTATATATATTACTTTAGTAGAATTATTATAAAACTGGTTTAAATAGTAAGTAATAAAAGCTTAGCTTTAAGTAAGGAATATAGGTAGCTTACTTAAAGTCTTATTAAAATACTTAAGTAGGCTAGGCTTAAGGATTTCTCTTAGGTCTTTTCTATTATTAGCTGCTAAGGCTAGGTTATATATCTCTTATTAGGTATTATTATTACTTTAATTCTATTACTACTATAAAGTAATAAATTCTTTTAATATCTAGTATATTTTATTTATTTTATTAGTAATATTCTTAAGTTATTTATAAAGTTATTTAACTTTTAAATTATTAAAACTTTAGGAAAAGTTATTTACTTTATCTATTTCCTAGTTAGTAGGCATAGGATTAGCAGGTATTATAGGTTACTATCCTTAAGAATAGGCAGTTATATTCTGCTATTAAATAGGGTTAATGTTAGTAGATATTGTATTTATATTGCTTAGCGTTATATAGTATAATCTAAATAAGAGCTATTAATATATAATAATTAGGTCTAATTATATTAAATTAAGCTATATTAGGTTTATTATTAGCAGGTTATATAAGGTATAAACTAAGCATTATTAAAGTATTATATCTCTTAATAATAGATTTAATATATATTAGGCTTAATTAATATAAAGAAGTTATATTAATAGCTAGTAAGCTAGAATCTATAAAAGTGCTAATAAATATATTCTATATACTTATAATAACTTGCTATAGTAAGTTAGTATTTATATATAAGTTATAAGTCTAATTATAAGTCTTATTAAGCGGCTTATAATGGAAATAAGGAGAAAGCGTAAGTTGTTAATTAATTGGGGGAAATTTGTGGGTTCTACGTGACGTAGCCGCGAGGATCGTAACACCAATAATGGGCCCCTAGGCTCACCTAGTCCCTTGCTTAGCCCACCTCCCGAATCCTCAGCCCTTACTCAGCAGCAGCTCAGCTTAAAGCGGCAGGAACTCAGCTCTAGGGACGGAAATAGATTTAAGTGTGCTTGAGTTTTGTCTCCGAGTATTCCGGTATACAATCTGGCATTTTTCGATGTCGCTTTACAATGGGTGGATATATCTCGTTCGCTGAGAAAGGGTTGCATTTGTTGTAATACCGACTTCAAATTCAATCTGTGAGAGCTTGATGCTTGCCATCAGTTCTTTAATTGCATTCATATAAGCTCGCTCATCAATGCCATCTTTATCATCACTCAAAACGGACTACCCCACCCAACTGGTATTCATCCCAATATCCCCGGGTAGAACAATTTAGAGTAGCATTTTCTGGGGTGCTGCATTTTCCCCAGACATCATGAGATATTGTGGCCCCATTGATAGCTCTTATTGGTGCGGTAATGTCTTTCCATAAGCGATCCATGGACGATCAGCTAAACACGATATGTAGTGGAGACCGGTAGGTGTTTGACTGGGCAAGGATATCAGGCCAAACTCCATACGGTATTTCGGAGGCACCAACTCCATCAATTGGAGTAAGCTGTCATTGGCCCGCACCGGCAAAATGTAGTTTCAGATGCTGATCCCCAAATGTCCCGGTTTAGCCTAATAACACTTTCTGCCGTAACCTCATGCCATGACTGTATAAGACCGTTGTGATATCGTTTAAGATTTCAGTTTTTATAAATAGTTGTTTTTATCATTGGTGACTACTAAGGTCTTACTACCGATATGTTTAACAGTATCAAGACAAAGGCTCTTCTAGTAGCCTGCCTGGTTTTCTCAGGTTCGGCATTACCCAATGGCAATGATAAACGCCATTGGGTAGGTACATGGGCGTCAATGCCGCAGGAAGTTGAGCCTGCAAACTTAGCTCCAGCTCCATTTGTACGTTTTCTTCCAATGTCGTTTAAACTCTCTACGAAACCCTCTCATACTAATGGATGGCTTCGCGACAGGGAGGAGCAGATGCCGCAGCTCAATTCGAAAACACCACTCTGCGCCAGACATTTCACATGTCGATTGGAGCTGAGAAGATACGCATTCGATTTTCCAACATATTTGGCAAAACAGACTTGCCCATCACTGCGGCATCAATTGCTCTGCCAGTCGGTGGAAAGGCAGGTGTTGGTCAAATCGATACCAAGACCACGAAGCAGCTCAAGTTCAACGGCAAGAAGTCCGTGTCTGTCCCAGCAGGAGAGATTGTTTACTCTGATCCCATTGACTTCAAGCTGAAACCTCTGTCTAACCTCGCATTGTCTGTTTACACTGAGAAGGGTCAGCTTGGGAACAAGATCACCGGACATCCTGGCAGTCGCACGACTTCTTGGATGCAAAAGGGCAACTATGTCAATGCTGCATCTGTATCCGAGGGTAGTACCAAACATTGGTATTTTGCAAACGGAGTTGACTCGTGGGCCCCTAAGGACCACTTCGCTGTTGTACTCCTCGGAGACAGCATCACCGATGGCCGAGGAAGCACGGATGACACCAATGATCGGTAAGTGGAATATCCGACCTTTTGGTACTTTTGCTTACAATCTTTAGATGGTCTGATGCTCTTGCGGCCCATTTACAAGACTCTGGTATGTCTAATGTCGCTGTGAACAACATGGCAGCAGGTGGCAACGCGATCCTCTCAGGCGGTCTCGGACCTCCTCTTCTTCAACGATATAAGCGAGATGCCCTGGAACAGCCTGGTGCCAAATTCGTCGTCGTCTTCGAAGGTGTTAACGACATCGGACCATCCGCTACCGACGAGGTTACCCAAAAGAAGATCAAAGACGGCCTTATCGCTGCGTATATCCAAATCGTGAAGGACAGCAAAAAGGCGGGCATGACCACCATTGGGGCGACAATCACACAGATGCTTGGAAACCAGTACTACGCTCCCGAAAGAGAAGCCACTCGAATCGCGATCAACGACTGGATCCTGGGAAATGGGACTTTTGACCATACCGTCGACTTCGCGTCATTGATCGGAAGTGGAGATAAGCTGCTCCCTCAGTATGACTCTGGCGATGGTCTACATCCCAACCCTGCTGCGTACAAGTTGATGGGCACAGAGTTTCCAATTAAGTTTTTTAAGAAATAATTACAGATATAGGCATAAGGAGGGTTAAGAATGAATAAAATAGTAAGAAAGGGATTTCGCCTTTTACAGTATTAACTAACGCAATACCCATGAAATTGGGGCCAGTATGGAAGGCCGGAATGCTAACGTAATAAACATCTTCAAATCTACATACACTAGCTTTGTGGCTCTCCGTATTATCAACCTTGCCCAATCATAGCCAAACATTTTTTTATAAACCCCGCACCGCCCTTAAATTTCACTACTAACAACTCTGACCCTGGCAGAATTTCGGCCTTTGTGTCCATTAGTCTAATACCCAATATGCCACCGGCTAATGCTTTTACGGCCTGCGAGGCATGTAGGTATGTCTCGGCCAGACTTGATATTACTTAGCCACAACTGACTGGCTCATAGGCGCCTCAAGCGCAAATGCTCACGAGATACCCCTTCGTGTCGTCTGGTAAGTACTCACTTTAGATTATCCGTTTGGGTATAAAAGTCTCAGATCTCTCTTTAGTGTACTCGGCTAGGTAAAACATGCAACTATGGAACAGAAGATGCCAATGCAAGCCTGAAAACCTCTACCAGTGGCTTGACGAGTCAAGAACGCACAGATCCCGCTACAGAACTAGGTGTACATCGAACAGATAAGTTCCCGTACTCATACTTTCTAGACTCCGATTCATTCCAGCCGATATCCAGAGACAACTTGACAATGCATGACGGCCCGTTGTTCAGTGAGCAGCAAAGACGCTTTGCGGCTACTGGTACATTCGACTCTTTGATAGATCACTACGAGACTACCATCCACCAGTGGCTGCCCATGCTAAGTATTAAGCGCCTAAGGCAAGACGCAAAAGCTCTAGGAGATTTAAATCAGGGCGTTGTCGACGTTCTGGTCTTCTTGGCCCTTGAGGCGCTTGTTAGTCAGAGTTGCATCACGGCTGATAAGCATACCATATTGCCACAAAATAACCCTTCATATTTGAAGGCAAAGCATTACAGCTTTATCGCTGAGAGTGGGGGAACTATCAACATTCGACTGATACAGACTATTGCTTTGGTAGCCTTGTACGAACTTGGCCATCGTATCTACCCTGCCGCTTATTTAACAATAGGACAAGCTGTGCGACTAACCACCATGGTTGGACTGCACAGCCAAAAAGATGCAAAACAACTCTTTATAGAACCTGAAACATGGACATTATGCGAGGAGCAGAGACGGACTTGGTGGGCGATCGTAATGCTTGACAGGTATGTGCAGACCTATGTCTCATGAGAATTTAATCATTGATTATTACTAGAATTGTCGTTGCAGGCTCCCCGCAACTCCTCATGGCTGCTCCAGATCCGAGCACAAACGATCTTCTGCCTTGTAACGATGATGACTGGAGGAATGGACGAATAGGTTTCAATGAAGCCCTATTCACCCGCAACTTCCATTCCCCCTCGTCTATGGGGCAATTTGCAAGAGTATGCCAAGCGGTTCACGTGTTTGGCAAAGTTCTTCGTCACATACAATCAAGAAAAAAAGACACTGACCCAGTCGAACTTACTGCTGAGGCGTTGCAGCTGCACATAGTCTTGACAACGTTAGAGCAGGGCATCATGAGCAATGACTGTGACATCATGACGACGCATGGGAGCTTGCATTCGGCGCTATCACTGTGCAGCTTAGCCCGACTGCTACTATACAATGAATATGCATGTAACGAGCCCAGCTTCAGCACGGCACGTGAGAGACTGGCTGCTGAGGTTGAGATGCAACAGATATCTTTGGCGAGCATCCAAGACATCGTATCCAAGACAATACCGCAGATGGCGAGGCAAATAGTGTCGGCGAGTCAACAACAATCAATGGGACCAAGACATTCGCCCATCTTGGCTGGCTGCCTGTATCATGCTGCAACTGAGTGCGCGTGGTTTGTCAAGGAGAACAATGATGCGGAGATGGTGGCCGGGTTAGAAGCTATCACGCAAGCACTTGAAGTTCTGAAGTCCGAGTGGGCCGTTTGCGGTAGGCCTTTATCACCTTGCTAAGTCCGAAGTTGACATAACAGCTGATAAATTCTACGCAGATGAATATCTCTCCTACTTGGAGGGCAATAGGCCTCAAAACTGACATCATTACGAGAATAACAGGGCCGATAGAAGTTTAGACAGCTCACTAGCGTCAGTCTGTCTGTCCGCAGCAACTCCACATTCCCGCTCTGCCCGCTCTGCCCGCTTTGCTTAGCTGAGGTATACAGCAAGTTAAAGCCCCACCTCCGCTCTGCCCGCTCAAACGCTGACATTCCCGCATGCGCCAATATGCGCTGCTCCACTCTCTGGCTGTTGTCCAGTAAATTCCCCGAATCGTCATTAATGTCAAATTCTCTACTCAAAGGTCCTCAGATTATTATAAAAAGTGCAATACCTCTCATTCTGTTTTCTTTTATTCCATCTTCAGGATATCTACACTTGTCTCTTCCATCCACAGTCCTTATATCTTATTATATTTGGTTGTTCATCGTTACTCTTGTTCTGCTGATCAATATGTCTCAACTCGTTTGGCTTGTAACTGGCTGCTCCTCTGGCTTTGGATCGGAGTTTGTGCGTCAGATCCTGTCACGAGGTGATAAAGTCATCGCAACAGCCCGAAACAGTGCGAGGATCGAGTCACTTGCAAGTCAAGGAGCAGCTGTCCTTGAGCTAGATGTCACGCACTCACAAGGCGACATTGACCGAATCATTGCCCATGCAATTACCATATATGGGCACATTGACGTATTGGTTAACAATGCTGGTTTTGTAGCTGCTGGCTCTTGGGAGGATCTCAGGTATTGTTTTATTAATAAATGGTATTGTCGACCTTGCTAATATGTCTAGCTATGATGAATTTGTTGCCTCCTTCGAGACCAACGTCTTTGGGCCAATCAAGGTTACGCGTGCAGTACTTCCGCATATGAGAGCCAAGAAATCGGGAACTATGGTTTTCATCAGTTCTTTATCTGGCTGGGTTGGACACCAGTTTACTGGGGCTTATGCGGGATCAAAGTTTGCTCTTGAAGGCCAGTTCCCTAGATTCTGTCCGTAAGAGTCTACCCGTCTGTGTTCTAACATAAGATTAGGCGTTGTTGAAAGTCTACATAAGGAAACCGAGCCTCTGGGTCTTCGCACTCTTCTTATGGAACCCGGTCGATTTCGAACGCCTCTACTGTCAGCAGGCCACCTCCGGTCAAAGCAGAGTCAAATTCCCGATTATGAATTAGCTTCTGAGACTCATCATAACCACCTTCATGGCGGAGACTTGAAGCAGCCTGGAAACCCAGAAAAGTTTGTCAAGATTGTACTGGACCTGGTCAGACAAGAAGGTTGCGCAGAGGCGAAGAACATCCCGTTTCGTCTGCCTGTTGGGAGAGATGCGGTAGAAGAGATTGGGGCCAAAGCCAGGGAGGTAATGGAGACATTGCAGGATTGGGATTCTATTATAACAGAAACTGAGTATTAGTGGGTACACTGAGAGCGAGTACTTGAAGTAATTAAACCATATCCGCTTCTAAGCTTTTGCAGCCAGGTTCCTGCTTCCATGTGATAGAACCGAGTGGGATATCAAGTGGGATATCACGTGCCAGAGAAACTCAAATCCCAGTCAATTGGCGTTGATAGTACAAACTGCATCCCACTCTATCCCACTCAGTGGGTCTCCAGTTACGGCTTGTTCCTATCTTGTTGGGTCCAAGCTCTCGCATTGCTCAGTTGCATTTCTATCCCACCGGATATCTTTGTCATAATAAAGTTCAATCCAATGGCGGCATAGCCGCAAGCATGACGAAACATACGTAAGAGCAATTGAGTTTGATTTCTCAATACATTTAAAAATTAAATAAACCCTGCACACTTGCATCTATAAGTAGGATGTTGCATTCCGCCTCAAAAGCAGCTCACCATCAATATCCTCGATCATATTTCATCGTGCATTTAGAGTTGACGAAACACAAGCAGAAGAGTCATGATTCATTCCAAGATATGTGCTCTCGGCTTGGCCGTTCAGGCTAGCCTTGCAATCTCGATTCCTCGGCCATACACTTGTCCACCGATTTCTGGGAACAAAACGATTGATGCTTATCAATTGTATCCCGAGAACGTTGATTTCGATACACGACGTTGTCTTGTGTATTCGAGGTTAGTAATCATGGATATTCTTAAACAACATCGACCAAGTCCTGACATTCATTATAGTGTACTGTACAATGCAACTGCTGTCGCCTGGGATCCCTATCGAGAAGAGATAGTGCATACTTTCGAAGCTCCAGGGCTCAGCGGCAATCCTCTGCTCCATTCAAGTGGCGTACGTGTTGACCCTCTGGACCGACTCTCTGTTGTCATCGACGCCGGCGCTGCTTTCGATACTGGTGGTCAGAATATTGAGGGGGATAACTTCCTTGTCAAGTTCGACCTTGTAGACAAATCTTTGCTGTGGCGAGCAAACCTGACCAATGCGACCGCTGGTGTATACGGCGGTTATCAGGATAGCGAAAGCGACGATGCCGGCAATACATTCGTTCTCGGAACCTTTCCCAGCAGTCTGATCAAAGTCAGCGCAGATGGAAAGTCGATTGTCCCGTGGTATCTCGTCGAACCAGCCAACCATACCATTCACGGCTTCTCAGGAATTGCTCGAAAAGACGACACGCTCCTTGTGACTGATAACTCGGATGGCCAGCTTTACCGATTCGATATCAAAGCATCAAAGGGCAAACCGGTTCATGTTCCGACATCGAAGGATGGCAGTAGCAGTGCTCGGCCCTTAGGCCAGGGGCTCGACGGCTTGCATTTGCCTTCACTCTACGCTGGTACTGTTCTTTTAGCCAGCGACAATAACAACGGCACTGTTGTGTTGAGATCTAGCAATGGAAAGTGGAAATCTGCTGAGAATCTCGGCACCATACCTAATCCTTACCTCAACCAGGGCGGATTCACTGTTGCGTCTGTGCAGATCTCTGATAGTATCTATGCTGTTACTGAGTTCTTTGGAGATGCTATCAATGGCACTCTCCCCGGCAACAGGACAGCTTTTCCCTTGAGAGATATTACAGGAGAGGTTGAGACTCTACTGAGAGCCTAGTTATCGTGAAGGGTTGAGGGTTGGGTGGTATTAGTTTATAAAGTGGAAAATACTATTAGTTATTATTATAACAAATAATATTAGGAATAAAATAGAGTTTTTATAGCATATCAGATTTCCTTTACTAACATTAATAAAGGAGTTAAGCTTCCATAACATTAGCATCGATATTGCAGTTATCAAATGCACAAAGACCTAATAGCATTTTCTCTCATTTATATTCTAGTAACAAAAACACAAAGATACACCTTTCCCTTTTTGCACAGTCTCCTCTTATGGGCTACCCAGAAGCTGCAGCCCATCAGTGGAACAGCTCCTGTCCCACCTCGTATCCATCATCCCGTTATTGATTGACTGCTGAAAATCCATCATCAGTATCGTCGTTGTCGTCAAGATGACGTTTCTTGGCTGTCTGTGTCAGCCTGTGAGGCTCGCCGTTTGACTCTGTGCTAGACATCTCAAGCACTGAGATCTGAGTAGTGAGCTCTTAATCAGTGTTTTCCGGTAAATCCATATCCATACCGGTCAAACTGGTCGCTCCATCACTTCCAGTAGGTAATTGCCCACGGCTGAACTCTGTCTCTCTCCAGTGTTTCGAGTCTCTCAACTGGCTTCGCTCTGTCCACTCGCTCAACTCTCTTGAATCTTCACACATCCTCTCAAAATGGTCCGATTTATATCCATCGAGGCATATTTTTGCCTCTCGATCTGCCTCCTCGCGTGTCATATTTTTACCTCCAGAATACTTGCACAGCCGAATGTAGTGGAGCGAATATCGTTCTGTATAGTCGAAGGGTTAGGGAGCCGAGAAACTGCGCTCGATTGTAGCTGGGCAGAATATAAGCAATTCCAAGTCCTTTGGGCAAGATTGCATTTGAACACCAGTCAATTCTTCCAGCTTGCTCTCAATTATATATTTGAGCTTAGTTCGGCAGTTATCATCGAATTATAACAAACTTTTAATTACTAACTTACTATATAAATAACCCCTAAACAAAAGAAATAAAATACATTAACTAGGTCCGCCTCTCCTACTATAAAAATGCCAATTTAGCCCGAGTAATAATCAACCTCCTAACAGTATAGTCTTCCCTTCTGATCCCGCACCGTAAAACCAGACACTCCAAATTTATCAGGCTTTTTTCCCGCTGCATCCAAAAAGGTCAACGGCGCATCGGCTCCTTTCTGGGGATTATTATCAGCCTGCAATGGCTTAAAGCCCTTGCTCTTTGCCTTATTATATGCAAGCGTAACATCCTTCGGCAGATTAGGACTGCTGTATAAAGTGCATGACCGTTTGCCGCTATCCCCTTTTGTGAAAGTATGCTTCCACACCCAGTTTGTACACCGGGTTGGTAATTCTAAGCATTTCGCGGCGCAGTCGCAGGCAGACTTAAAACCATCCTTAAAATAGAAGTGTAGCTCCGTGACGACACCTGTCATATCGATACCCTGATAATACCGGACGCAGCCGCCGTTATCATTAGGAGCCTGTAGAGTTTGGAAGCGGCCCTTAGTGATCTTCCCCTTGCAGATTGCCCAGTCGGAGTAGGTGTTGAAGTTTGGGAAGATATCGGCACCTGAGTCCTGATGGGTATGGGAGTCCAGGGGCGTCGCCAGGGCGGCGGAGGCGATGAGGAAGGAGAGAGCAGCGATAGTGAAATGCATTCTGGCGAGTGGGCTTTGATGAGTAAAGGAGGAGATAGTGTAAGCGAATTGAGTGAACTCCGGTTTTGTAGATGATCAATCCTGGAGAGAACGGGGCCATTTTGTTTCGCATCCTGATGACCGTTATATATACTTCTCAATTGGCGAGCAAGTCTGGCTGGGCCATTTTGGTCTGAGGGATATTTAGTGTATACCTCCAACATCATGACGACGATCCGCAGTCAGGAGGCTTCGTCGGCCGACTGTGATATATGCTCTGACCTATGAAGGAGGGAGGAGGACATTCAGAAGACTTTCCGCCATAGCAGATAAATCGGTCTCCGTCTAAGAACTGTAATTAACAAGGAAATCTATTTATAAGGCCAGGCTATTCTTAGAATGGCCTGTTTAGAGGCTTAGTTCTCCTGTTAACAGATGGTCTGGTAGTGCACCTGTGTACAATGTCTGGTGAGATTGCCGTAGCTAAGTAGATAGATACTGAAAAACCTAAAAGTTGGGCATAATTACGTCACTATGAATTACCTCGAGCTGCAACACTTGCATTTAAAGGCTATCGGTACTTCCCATCCAATCACTATAGATACTTTAAGATAATACGAGAGGCGGTCTCACTTATGATTAGCTATTATTACACTATGAGTTCACTACCATCCACTACACCTGCACTCAGAGGTATTTATTCCAGAAGTAATAAAAAGGCTCTTAATATGTCAACATTTTTTTCAGCATCCAAAGGTTGATTTATATATAGAATGTTACTAGGAAGTATATGTATAATAATTAGAGAACTCTACCTACTGGGATTTTAGCAGGGATAGCTATTCTAAAATTGCCCTCTAGACAGAGGGCCAAGACTAGCTGCCCAAAGACCGAGAGCTAAAAATAAAGATCTACTTTACTGTTTTAATTGTAATAATTAGTCTTTGTTGAAACTCGCAATGCTAGGAAGGTTATGCCGCTTTGCTTTGTGTCCATTGCTTTTTTCTTTTGCTTGCAAACAACCTAGATCCTGGGGAAGCCTATGCAATCCTTAAACAAGCATAAGGCGTCGACCACACTGCATGCCATCTATAACCGCAAGCCGTCTTAGCGACAAAGGATGAGCTGCTCAGTCATGATTAAATAATCATCCAAGCGTTGATTTATAAGGAAGGATTATAGCAGAGAGGAATTAAGTAAAAATATAACAAGAGCTAATACCTAAGGCCTATAGTTAAAAATATTTAGTGCTCTATGTTACTAGCTTTATAGTTTTTTATTTATTCTTTTATTAGGTTTTTTTTTTCCTTATTAAAGGCATATGCTCTGTGTCTAGAGAAGATAAGGCCTAATAGATGCACAGGTCCGTATAGTCACAGGTCGGCATACATAGTCAGCAAGGTCTACTGTTATTTCCCTCTCTAAGTAATCTTCTTGGTGTTTGGGAAGCCAATATTTGTTAAATCCTTCCTTAGCCAATACTGAAAATTGGCAGCTATAACGGAATCGATTACATAAATAGGTAACTATAAGCCAACTAAATACACTAGTCAACCTTTGTATAATAAATGTATAGCATCTAGTTATTGCCCATAGATTGAGAGCTATAACTAAAGCTTCTCGCAATAGGTACCACTATGTCAGAGGAAGTTCAGCTGGATTGGAATCCGTTGCGTTATGATAGTTGAAATAAGAATACTAGAAAGGCCTGCACCTAAATAAAACGACGAGGCAAGGCAAGACAAAGCAAGCTCCGCGGCGAATTTGCTGCTGTTCACGAACCTCCACCGTTAATCAACCACCCACTCAGGATAACTGGATGTGGGGATCTCCGCGTCGGGCGGATGAAACTATCCGACGGGGGAATGTGAGGAACGGGTCTTAACTTAGCCGGCCGGGGGAGGGTGGGGTCGGCCGCCTCTAACTTGGAATAGACCATCATTGCTTTAGTCATAGCCCTCCAGTATGTATTTCGCCCCACTTGACCTCACGTATAAGACAATTACACAAGCTTGCCTTAGGATAAAGTAAAAGAAACTTATCAACCAACTGTAGCAGCTTGACTTTTATAACAAGTAAATATTCTTGAGAATCAGTGCATATAGGGGTTATTAATACGATCTATTTATGTACTGCATGATTAATATACCATGATTGGCAAGACGGGTAGACTCAGACAACAGCCGCGAATAACAAGCGACTGTACGCCTTCTCAGGCCAGAGCGAGTCAGCGATCCCCGGCAGCATTCCTTCCGAATAGCCAAGACAGGTCAATCCCGAACCTGCTTAAGCGCATCCTTGATAGCGGACCTTCAGGACGGTTTTTGGCTCAGTCCAGGATGTAGCAGTGATAAACCTTATCGCACTCCTTTGGAAAGCTTCCCCTGTGGACTCCTATTTCTGGGCTTCAAGGGGCGGATCGCACCATGGGGGTGAAGCCTTTTCTTTTCTTGGCTATAATGTCTGTATTTCTGCAGTTTGTCTTTCCTGGCCCCTGTTTGGCGCGTTCTTTGACTTAGGGGATCAGCGTTTCTTCGGTGACGGCAACTCCATCTGCCGAGCCTCTAAAGTGAATAGGAATCGTAAGACAGTAGAGGGTGTCTCTTGTCCCCACCGGGGTTTGGGTCTTGCAGATATCGCCCAGTCGAGATCGTTTGAGATCGTGCGTGGTTGTGTCTTACAGGAGGTGGCCTATATGAACTGTGCCTTATCCCTCGTGGCATACTCAACTTCTTCGCGTCTTCGAGCAAACCACCTCTCCTCCGCATATTGGCTCATCCATCCATCATGACATCAGCATATGGCATGTTGCTTGCCTCCATAGCAGCGTTGTGTAAGTCGTCCGCCAAATAAACCACGGACTTTCAGAAGAACCCCTCCCTAACATGGTCGTTTCCTTGACCCATAGACACCTGCAGCACTTCAGCTCTTACCTCATCCTTCTGTCCCAACAACGGGGACGTCTGTTTCCGTTGGGGTGTCCCAAAGGCATCCGCAGTGTCAGGCTCCGGCAACATCTACTTCCAAATCGAAGCTCCCACCAGCCTAACATGGGCGGGGCTCGGCATAGGCACAGGTATGCGAGGCGCCGCTATGTTCCTGATTTATCAGAATGGGGACGGCAATATCACTCTGAGTACGAGAACCGGACGCGGCCATGTTATGCCCGAATACACAGAACGAAATGAGGTCGAGCTGCTCGCTGGCTCTGGCGTTAAAAATAATAAGATGGTTGCCAATATTCGATGCGGCGACTGCAGTAGCCTGAACCTTGAAGGCTCCAACCCTTGGATCGCCGCCTGGAAGAATGGCAACCCGCTTGACTCCACGAGTCTTTCCGCGAGAATCTTGGAGCATGATGGGGACAGCAGCTTCAATATCGACTTTGCCCAGGCGTCCATGAGCTCGGACAGCAACCCCTTCACGTCTAGCGGTAGTGGAGACTCAAGCTCCAACTCGGAGTCTGATTCTGATTCTGACTCCGGCTCCGGTAATGGTGCTATGTCAGAGGCAGAGGGCAGTAGCACGAGCGATATAGTGCTCCGTGCCCATGGAGTTATCATGTCTATTGTCTTCCTCGCCGGATATCCCCTGGGAGCCGTACTCATGCCTATGATCGGAAAGTGGTTCATCCACGCTGGCTGGCAGGTCATTGTTTTCGTGGGTATGTGGGCCGGCTTTGCCCTTGGTTATGTCTATGCCCGTAATGATAGTGATGTAAGTGAACCCGGCCAGATACAGATGCACTAGCCCCATAGTAAAGCCACGCGTGCTAACTATATTTCTCTAGTGGTTGAAACAAGCTCACACGATAATGGGTACCACAGTCGTCGCACTGATTGGCCTGCAGCTTATTTTGGGTTGGGCTCACCATCGGTACTTTGTGAATCACGGTAAGCGAGGACTTATCAGCCACGCCCATATCTGGTTTGGACGAGTCCTCATGATCCTTGGTATCATCAACGGAGGGCTGGGTCTTCAACTCGCAGGCTCGCCTCAATGCTATGTCATTCCGTATTCTGCCGTTGCTGGCATCGCCGCGGTGCTCTACATCACTGGCATCTTTGTAGGTGGGATGAGGAAGACTGCACGCGCGAAGCAAATTTCGCCTCAGATAATCCAGGAGGAGCAGCGTTAATTCAGAAAAAACGAGGCCATGAAGGAAAGGGAGCTAAAGGGACTTTTGGAAAAGTTTAGTATGATAATACACTCCACAATGAACTTAAGATACCATCTATGGAAAGAAAGCTATTTAGTTAGGCGTAAACTCGATTATGGATGGTCTGAAGCCCAGGATAATACCTTCACAACCTGGTGGAGTTGAGCGTTCCCACTTAGTAATATAGGCACTTGTCAACCTATAGCCTGGTGGTGCAGCATAGCCATAGTATGATCCATGCTTTGCACTGCCGCATTCTAAAGCCTTATCCTTATTGTTCCAGAACCTGACCTTTCCGAGTTTTTGCCCGTAATAAACACTAACCCAATAGAAGTATTCGTCCTCCGCGAGGTCAAGTTGTTTGGGCGCACCCCCAGTAGTCGATCCATAGGCATGACCCCAGGAGTCTCCGTACCTCATCTGCAATCCATCAACGTCATCCCATCCCCTCACGTATGCGGAAGTGATGCGAGGACTACGGTCGGTGATGGGAGCTTCACTCGAGTCGCTCCATGCAGCATGGGCCGTGTGACGGCCAAACGGGCCAAAGAAGATCTCTCGGTCCAATCTTTTCAAGACGGACTCGGGCATCTTGTCTCCCGCCAGGTATGGCCAATATTCGGCGTAGTTGAGTACATTCATGACCATACCGGAGTCGTAGTCTGCGTAGGCCCTGAGTTTGGCTGCAGCTGCGCTTCCTCTGTTGTCATAGTCGTTAAGCTCCGCACGGTAAGGCTTGACTTGTCCGCGCCCTTTATGATAGACCTTATTGACGTAGGTTGCATAGTCGAGATCATCATAACTGTCCTCATCCCCAGTGGATCCTGACGCAGGAGCAACAAGGTCAGAATATGCGTCCTTCCAAGTATCGACTATCTTAGTTGGCATTTCCAGGTCGACGGCTGTGGCAATAGCTCCTTTGAGTAGATGGCTCTGTTCCGACACAATGTTGCCTGCCGGCCCAACGACATTTTTGGGCGACGTTTTCCTCTTAAACTCGGCACGCATGGTGTTGACGTTCTTTTCCGAGTAGCCCCAGGCTATGCCATGCCTGATTCCATCAGATAATAGCATGAGGTGGATGTTGGCTGCAAGAGCAAACAAGGGAAGAGAAGGCACTGCAAAGCGTTCGACCCGAAACTCGGGAATGGCAGCCCTTACCACGCTTAAAAAAGCGATGTGAGTCGTCTTGAGCGTGTCTCTTGCTCTAATTCTTTCCTCACCCGACGAATCCTTGAAGTCTTCCCAGATCTGTGTGTAATTTTCCATATTATCTTGGAGACCTCGAATCTTCTTCCTCAGAATGTCCATCTGAGTTTCAGTGATCTTGGAATCAACGAGTGCCTCAATGCGCTCGCGCAGCTTCTCCCAGATCTTCTCAATTGAATTCGGGTGAAAGAGTAAACCGCCCAACAGGGTAGTGAGCGCGCTGAGGCTGCTTCCAATGACAGGAATAAGTTCACAACCCAAAGCCAAGACGGAGCAGGCATATTGTCCAACCTCGTCGGAGTCAGTGATCCCCAGCTTTTGACCACCGTCGGCGGCTTTGAGCAGCTTGGTGGTCAGATCGTTGAGAAACTTTTCACTAATTTTAATACCCATTTTTGAAATATCGGCTGGTAGATAAGGAGACGAATTGCAGGTAGATTATGGGAATAAGTAAGTCTCGTGAGGTGATGGCGGAATGGCTTGGGAGGTTTCTTCCAGTAATTGAAGTAATTCTCTCGGACTTATATACTAATAGATTCTTTATGCTGTACCAAGGATACTTGTTGCATATTTTCATGGCGTATCTCTTCTATCTACTCACAACACTAGATCAGCGCAAGTTGCGTAATGGCTGAAGCTAACAATACAGCTTCAGGTGAGATATTGCCTAAACTAACCATCTTGGAAATCTGGTGCAGCTGGCCTTGAACTGTGTCGATTCTTATTGGGCAGTAAACTTAGCGTGCGGAGAATGTGACGTGCAACGACACGGCACAACACGGCTCGGCATTTAGTGGAACAGATCCTTCTTTCAGCTGCTATACTAAATGCATATCCCTACCTCTTAAAGATGGAAATTTTATCATAGGGCAATGGCTGACGTTGACTTATCTAAAGATCGAGATCTTCCCAAGCAATATGTAGCAGTTCTTATTCAGATTCGAACTGTAGGATTATGTTGGCGTTGAAAATTAATATGCCGCTTACCTGGCTGGAGTGAAACCCTGCTAGCTTTATAAAACGCTAACTTACAATAATATAGCATTAGTATATGGATTGTGATATTTAATTAGTTATTAAAGGTAGATGTCTTTAGACTGAAGATGTAGTCTTTATTACATATACGTGACGTAACCGTGTGTCGAAGCAAAACGCGGTTATAGTCTTTAATTGTAATATTGGTTTTCAATCTCTTCCGTATAGTTCAGTACCCATCACTGTCGCAAACTGAATCGACGCTCACACTGCCTTTAGGTTTTTCGCAAGTAATAAATACAACGTAATCAGAGGCCTCCTGAGGCAGCCCAAGGTTGCCCTGAAATTCTAAAATATATTAGCCGTATTATTACCACTCCTCCTATTAGTTCAACAAGAACCGGAATTCCGCAGAAGGATATTGTGAGGTACGGACTGATACCTGAAACGATTAATATCCAACCTTTTGGGTTAGCCCATTCGCGGCATTGGACTGCTGGCCTTCAAGTCCTATCATTGACCAGGGTTTATCGCAAGATTGTGGCTTAGAATAAGCATAAATTAAGTCAGCTGCCCTCCAAGGTTTAGCCTAAGATATAACAACCAATGCATACACCCTGTCAGATAAGACTTAGCACACTGCGCCCGCTTGCCAAGTCCAAAATACAAGAAATCACAAACATTCAATTACTTCCCTTGGTCTGGAGGCCTTTTTTGAACATGTGTGAAGATAAAGAGGTCGCTGTAGGGACCATTGAGGGAGAAAAAATAGCTCCATCCTTCCTACTCACAAGAATTTTAATCGCGACACTAGCAAAATCCAACCAAACATGCTCACCTCCATCGTCATCCTTCTCATCACTCTCAGCACTTATGCCGCTGCTCAAACCCAAACCCCAACCCCAACAACAGCACCAACCATGACGATTTCACGTCCATCTCTTACGACACCATCATGCTGGGCGCTCATAGACTCCCTGTCAATTACCGGCGCCCCAGGACCTCCCATGGATATGTCTGAGCTGGGCGTATCCTTTGCCCTCGGAAGTCTCTACAACACCCAAGACCCTTGCAAACTTCCTGTCATCACTGGATCGTCAGCTGAGGGGTTCTCGAAGTGGGCTTCTGAATGGACCAGCTGGCAGGCGGAACATGTTTCTGAATATCGGGTAGTATGGGAGGCTTGCAGTGATGATCCTGCTATCACTGATCTTGTGCCAGTTGGACCTGATGCATGCAGCACTCTGAAAGCTAAAATCACTGGGACTTCTGCTGCAATTGAGGATAAATATAAGGACGAAGAGAAGGGAGAGGGCAATAAAGATGATAAGCCGGAGGCTGTGGATGGTTCCTCGGGTTCTCGTGTGACGGCGTCTTTAGTTGTTGCATTGATGGCTGGTGGCGTACTGGTTGCAGGATTATGGTGAGCAGTTTTGGACTGTATTTCAAGTATCTTTTCTATCTGGCTTAGACAATAGACTACTAATAAACTTTCCAACGCGAGACTCTCCTCGATGCACCTGATATTAGTTTGAAGGCTTGAATGCTAAGTAAACGTCATGCGTCCATTACTAGGGACTGGAGGATAAGGCCGCAATTCCAGAGGGATATAATTAGCGAGGATTACACCTAACATGCAATGTCTCACTTACATTCATTAATGCAATGTTTGGCGTATTTGAGACCGCGAAGCTGCTTATATGTCGGCAGATCCTTGTCTAACTGTTCCACTTCCGCCCGTATCTTGGCCCAAATATCTGGTCTACGTGGAAGGACAAAAAAACAGGTTGCCTAGTAAATTGGAGGCGGTGTCTCTTGCGGCGATCAAAACACTCAATAGTTCTGCGCGTATTTTCCGTAGATAGTCGGATATAACATTGACCCCTACAACGGATGGGAAGGATTGGATTCATTGCATTTTAGATACTTAAGCTAGGGCTGAGTTTATCTAGTACCGCCGAACCAAATATTAATTTATCAGAAGCTTCAGCGAGTCAACTATGCAGGTTTTCAAATCCCGTTACTTGCGGCCTAGAACGTCTCTCGATAGTGTTGTGTCAACCTCCCAAAGATCGGCTGGTGTATCATCCACCAGAACCTGGGAGATCTTATCCTTGAGCTGTGGATATTCATCTGCTGCCACCTGTGCAATCTGAATATTGCTCATTTTGCCTTGCATCAAGAAGAACCTCCTCCCTCCAGCACCCAGCTTCTCCAATGCTCTGACGTGAGCAAGAGCAACATCTCAGATGTCAACCCAGTACCACGAGGCTGTTAGAGGTAATTCGTTTTCCCATTTTCCCTGGCCAAGGCCTCTCAAACGCTTATTTGATGTATTGATTGAGTCTATAGATTTAAGCCATGGGACTGGTGGACCAATAATGAGAGATGGATTCATTGTGGTAAGAGAGAATCCAGGCTTCTTAACTTGCATCAAGTCCCAAGCAGCGCGCTCAGAAAATGACTTAACAGCTCTATAAGCCTGTACACCATCTTCATATGCCTCTTGCTTAGTTATTGGGTTGAAATAATGCTTTTGATACATCCTCTCGGGCTGTTCAATATTAACCACCACAGAGAACGATGATGTGATGACGACGCGCTTAATCGTTGGGGTGTAATCCCTCTAGGAAGGGGACATCCTTTAATGTACTTTATATTAGATCTTTTTCCTGCTATTTCTATAACTGAAGTTGTAGGGAGATTCGCTCGATCTCGATTGGGACTCAGATAATTTAGTTCCGTTCTTAAACAGGTTAAGATTTAGACAATTGAGTCCCGTTCCTAAAGAGGTATAGCACGATTCTTCCCATATCTCTATCTACTGCGGGCCAGGGAGGTTTACTAACTGTGGTGATACTTTACTTTTAATTTGTGGTAAATTTGGTAGCGGTTTTATTGCTCGACTTTCCCTTGGTGGATTAATCTACTTTAACTCTATTAAGTAATCGGTCCGACATGGCTGTCCCTTGCAAATTATTTTAAGATCTGATGATCCTCCTCTAAGCCCTATTAGTTGCTGCTGTCTTGGGTAAATACCCTCCTGAGGTACATATCCTATAGAATAACTTAGTATATATTGCTAAGAGATTCTAGGCACATAGGTAGTTAAAAATAAGATAGAAAATAAAATAGAAAGGGTAAAAATACAAACTTAGTTAACGAAAAGATTTAAATAGTCATATAATAGAAACTCTTAATTAGGTGTCTATTTAAGATGGCATGACTAAATATATTACGAGTTTCAGGTGGTATTTCCATGTCATCATACGCGTAAGTAGTCCTGCTCCACTCATTTGTAAGCGTGTTTCCAATTTGAGTCCGGGGCGGGTATTTCCATTACTGGAAATCTTGATGCTCCGTTATATAATGACCAGAATTGATATATAAGACATCAATCCAGCTGTCTTACTATCGATTAGTCTATAACAAATACTGCAATTCATCAACCGTACAATACGCTTTATCTCAATTATCTCCTGAATACCACAGTCTTTGCCAAGATGCAGCTCAGCAGCCTCCTCACTGTTATTTCCCTTGTCTCTGCTTCTATCGCAGCTCCCGGTGACCGTGGCAGTTACACTGTTTCTGGCCTTGGTGCCCGCAAGCAGGCTATCCTGAACGCTGGTGGCAACACCCTTGATCTGGCTATTGCCATGCTCGAGGATGAACACATGTCAACCGGCTACAAGTATGGCGAGTAAACCCATCTGCAAAGTTTGTATCTATTAACTGGCGTACTAACATTCAATCTTCCACAGGCGACGGCAAGACTCTCGATGCGGCCAACTTTGGCGTCTTTAAGGTCAACTGGGGAATGCTCCGTGTCTGCGCCAAGCGAGCTGGATTTGTAGGACAGCCCGAAAGTCAGTGGAACAACGGTGCTAAGCTCAAGTAAGTTATTGGAATAGGCATGCGTCATGTGTACTAGCTAATTGGCGGTTCAACTCACTCGTAGCTCTGATATCTACGCTGATGTTGCCTCCCGTTGGGACTGCCAGGAATACTATGGTTACGACAAGTGGTTTGCTGGTCACCGTAACGGTGCTACTGGCTTATCTAACCCCAACACTGAGGATATTCGATTCTACCGTGAGTCTGTTGAGTGGATCCAGAAGCAAATTGATTCGAAGTCCACTTATAAGACTGATGACACTCGCTTCTGGGTTGATGTCACTCCTATCTAAGCAGATCTATCAGTAAGTGTTTTTCTTAGTTCTTTTTTAAGTTTTTACCTTTAAGTTCAATCCACTGTTTCGAATGTCCCAGACTGACGCCTCTTTATAGACCTGGACCTTACTCCTGTTTGATCGCTGCCAGTGTAACTTTTATCTCTGTATCCTTCACTACTGTTATCTTTCGACGTATGAATCAGCTTGACTGTGAGCCTTGATGATTTTCTTACTGCTGCTAAGAATGACATTGAATCATGGGGAACTTCTAAGTCCTGGAACAATCGACCCATTGGCGCAAGGTATTTTGAACCCCAGTATAGACCTTGCAAAATTGGATTTTAGCCAGATGCTAGATAGCTTCCTCTGAAAGAATTTTAAGCATAATTTAAACCCCCATAAGGCAAGCAGTAATTTCAATGGTGTCTAGTTGACGCTCGTTTGTATTAAAGTGAGAGAGCAATACCGCCAATCGTGTTATGTCTCATGAGAAACGCTCTGCAACGGTCGGTGGTTATCTCTAAGTTCTGTATGGTGATTATAAGCTCTCAGCTACAGGTCTTAACTGCAAATAACACATCTAGCTTACTATTTAGATATTATACTATAATGCCTAACTAATTACTATAATATAAATATTAATAAGAATAAAACCTAGATTATAATTCTTTTATATATTTATTAGTTAATAGAAGATTATATTATAAGGAATAATCTAATAAAGGTTATATAAATAATATATATTTAGCTTTAAGATAAGGCATATAGCTATTAGATTTATTAAGAAATACTAATATATAAGAAAAGGTTAATTAAAGGTTTTAAGATAATATATATATTAGTATTATATAAGAAGGAGAGTTAGAAAGAAGGTTTGGGGCAATCAGAAGGCCATAGCGGTATTAAGTTTATGAGTCAATTATGATGTTAGCAAATACACTTCTGGTTTAACACAATGGGGCGGTTATCTCCATCGTGACGTATCACTAACATGACAGCGACACAGCAACTCAAGTATCTACCAATACCCAACTACAAAGAGCCAGAGTTGTCAGCACATGACCAGGCTGCTGAACCTCCAGATACTTTGTATGAGGCTATAATGTCAACCACAGAAGCATATGTCCCAGCAATAGTTAGAAAAGTCCCCAAAAGGATAATTGTAATGCTCCAGAGTACTCCGATGGACCAAGTGATCAATCGATCTTGCTTCCCACGCTTCCAATTATCGTAGAGCCACATACACCCCATAGGCTGGAATGACAGTGATGTAGCAAGCAATGCTCCGATCAAAGAAACGAGCCCACCAAAGATGGGTATACCACTAGCTATCACATACGCAACGACTGTGATACCGAAGGTACATCCTATCCAAGAAGCCCAATGGGTGAACGTATTGGCCGCAAGGTGCTTGGAGCCTCGCAAGACACGCACAAAGACATGCTTACTTGCCAGCTATAATATCCACAGTATTAGCAACATCTCACATGCGCATTTTAAGTAAGCACTTACATGGCAAGTCAACATAGTAGTGACTATCAGTCCAGGAAGTGCGATCCCATAACTGACTCTCTTGATCAAGACACCTGCGGATCCGAGAGCTGGCGAAGCAACATACGAGCCACAGAAATAGTATACCACACAGCCGATTGCGATATAGCAGGCACTGATGACTGTCTGGCACAGGATCAGAGATCTCGTATAGTGTCTAGGATCCCGCATTTCTGCTGCAATACTGAAAAAAGCCGGGGTGCCTGCATAAGCAAAGATCAACGCACAGATGGCAGACATAGCGTTGGTGAAGCTTGGCTTTTTGAAGAGCTCGTAGTCTGATACCCAAATTGCGTCTTTGGGTGCAGCTGCAGGTCTATCTTGTATACCCACGGCAATTGTAAGGATGATGACTGTGTTCGAGACTTCAGCACGGTATTCTCAAGGCAAGGGCGCGGTTAGTTACTAACCAGAAGAGATGACACAGATTAATCCCAGCCAAGCGAGCCAACTTAGTTTTCCCAGTGTTCGGATACTGGCAAAGATGAAGCCAGTGATAGCTGCAATTGCGACAAAGACGGCAGTACAAGTTCCGTGGTTAGAAACCGCATTGAAGCCAATTGACACGCTGAGCATTGCTGATCCGCAAACAAATGTCCAGTCTACATCACCAGGCATCAGTTAAAGCTCAACCGCCCCAATTCCAAAATGGAGTGGCTTTGGACTTACAGAGACCAAAGGCAAAGCCAAAGATTTCCTGACCAGCACGACCGAACATCAGGCCACCCGCATCATCAATACCGTAGACTTCACGATGCCGAAGCTTGAAAGTGCCGACTATGTAATCTGACCAGGTCGTGATTGCAGCTATAACACAAAGGCAGATGAGGCCAGGGATCATTCCCAGCGTGTCGAACACAGACGGGATAGACAAGATTCCAAGACCAAGCTGTGTCTTCATCATCAGACCAGCTGTGCCCACCCAACCGACCTACACATATATAATTAATAATCTGGAGGATCATTAGGCAGAGCAGACTCACATTGCGGTAGTTTGGGCCATCATCAGTGAGTCTTCCGAAAACAGCATCATGAGCATGACCAGGGTCATCATGAACTTCACCAGCAAACACTTGACCCTCTTGGTCATCGACCTTCTCGGTACCTAGCATAGTAATAATTTATCAGATAATTGAGCTCGTGTTCACCTTCCAAATGTTGGAGAACAAAGGAAAGTAACTCCGAGATCTGCATTTTGTCACGATGTGAAATTTTCTCCATTTTATCAGTATGACCTCCGATTCCAACCGCCAAGACCATGAAAGCGGAGCATATTTGTGGTATAAGTCAGGTAATTGAGCTTTATTGGAATGTAGTAGAGTAATTTCTTCTTGTAGCTCCAGAATGAGTTCCACTTAGTAAGAAGATTTTGCCGATACCGGATGTTGGAGAATGGTGGGCGAGAGTTTGATTGGTTGGGGTAGTAATTCAAGTGGGCTATTGATTTAATTTAAACTTAATAAGAGATCTTATTTACTTAGTATAAGTAATAGAATTTATTAACTTTATTATATATTTTAATTATTTAGTAATATAGATATTAAGAAAAGTTTAATTAAATATAACGTGGTTGATAAGTATATAACGCAGATAAGCATGTAACGCACTTTTCCCTCTTATATTATAGATTTTATCTAATTAGATATTTATTAACTATTAATAATATTATAATCTTTAAATAAAGCCAGAACCCTCCTTACCCTTTAGGCCCTTTAAAATAACCTAAAATTAAGTACCTAATATGCTATAAAGATATATAAGATCTCTAAGCCTAGGCTATATTGCTATAGAAATAGTATTTAATTATAATATAATTTTATCCTAAAATTGCAAAAACTATCTAATTTAGAAAAGCAGATAATAGTCTAATTTATTTTTAATTTAGATTTATAAAGGTTTCCCTTATAACTGTATTTTATAAAAGAAATAGCTAATTCTCTTCTTACTAACTGCAATATATTACCTATTAGTAAGTGCTAGGCTTATAACTTTATTAAGTAATAACTAGAGCTAAAGATATATTTATTTTAGAAATATAACTATTAAAGAGCTAAATATAAAGATCTATTTATTATTTATAACTAGTTTAGGCTTATATAAAATATAATTATAAAATATAATATCTAATTAGATAGTATTTAAAACTTTAATAAGACTGGCTTTATAATAGGTGCTATTATGGCTAAAATAGTTATTATAGGTTTAAAAAGGTAAGGAAGGCTAAAATTAATATAGCCTAAAAACCAGGAATAGATTATAGTAATCTAGGCAATTAATGCAGAAAGTTAATTAATTATACTATTTATTATTAATATAGGCTAATATTACCTTATAAATTAGTATTAAGAATATAACCTCTTAGGTAATTAAGTTATTATAATAAGTTAAAATAGATAGATAAATAACTAACTAGGTTTTTATTAGCTAAAGTACTTTAATTAGTCTATAACTAATAAATTAACTAGTCTTTATTATCTTCTAATCCTTAATAGTTATAAAAGCTATTACTTTGCCGATTTTAAGAGATATTATAAGGAAAATAAAATTATTATACTTTATATACTTACTTATATATCTTACTTACTCTAGCCTTTTAATATTAAGTATTTTAGGCTATTAAAAAAGGCATATAGTTAAGAAATAGAGTATTTAATTAGATACTTTATAACTTATATTTTAAAAATTAAGTTCTTTCCTACCTTTTATATTACTTTTAAAGCTACTTTTATAAAAAGTAATATTTAAGGAGGTTTTAAAGGAGCCAGGCTTACTCCTTTTAACTTAGAAAATATTATCTTAAAGCTTAATATGCAGTTATAGACTTTAATGCCTCTTAAGAAGGCTAATAAACCTTTAACCTTATAGGTTTTAAAGACCCTAAAGATAGTAATTAAGGCCTAATTTTAATTTAAATACCTTAAAAAATAAATTAAAAGACATAAAAGCAGCTCTTTAAAGTTAATTATTAAAGCTTTAAAGTCTAATACTAAAGCAATAAAGGCAGTTATATATAAGGTTATCTTATTAAGGGCTAAGGTCTAAAACCTTTAAGATATAAATAAGATATTAAGCTAATACTAGAGGGCAAAAAGGATTAAAATATAAAAAGGAAGGGCTATAATTATAAAGGATATATTATAAGTAATTAATTGAATAGATATTAATATATAGGTAGTAGCTAAATTATTTAGAAATAGTAATTAGGCCTAATTAAAGCAACTAGCTAGTTAGTATTATAGTATATATAGTAAGGCCAGGCATAATATAAGGACCTATTAGGTAGTAATTAAGATATTTAGGGAAGAGTATAGTAAGTAGTTTTAATTAATTAGATAGTTTATAGTAAATTTAAAGTAAGTTCTAGCTTAAAGGGTAAGAAAAGTGCGTTGCATGCTTATCTGCATTATATGCTTATTAACCACGTTATTTAATAAATTAATAAATTAATATTTATAATAATAATTTATTTTAATATATAAGTATTTATTTATTAAATACTTAAGTTTATTTTAATTTTCTTTTAATTTATAAAAATAAATTAATTAAGTTATTATATTTAATATTTATTAAAAAATACTATTATAAAAATAAGTAAAATTAATAATAAAGAGTAAATAGTTTTATATATAATTATAATTAAGCTAATAAAAATTTTAATAAATTTATATAATCTATTAAAAATAATTTAAATTACTTATATATATATTTTTATATATATTTAATATTAAAGAGAACTTAATGTATTAATAATTACTAAAACTTTCTTATAATAATAAGCCTAATATATAGTATTTAAATTTTAAAAAATATAATACTAAATAATTATTTAGCTATTATTTTATAAATATATTAAAATAAACTTAATATAATTTAATTTAATTCTTAAGAAATTATAATTATTATATTATTTTCTTTAATATATTTAATAAAATAAAATAAAATACTATATATATATTTATTTATTTATTTTAGGATTAATTATATAAAATAGAAAACTCAATATATATTTAAGAAATACTATTAATGTACTACTTAAGCTAGTAAAGCTAAGCCTTATCTGCTATATAATTACCTCTGGAAAACTCAATATGTGCTTTAAGGCGGTAGGAAAACAGTTGGAGATCTGCCCACGCCGCATGCTGCTGATTCAGGGGACTTCGGAGCCATGCGAGCATTATATCCGTTTTGCGGTCTGCCTCTTCAAAGTCGTGGTTGAGGACCAGCTTCTCAGCAAACCTACCGAGATAGGACATACTAGCTGCATCCATAGTATCCACGTCTATCTCTGGGACCAACTCTTTGGTCATTCTTCCCGTGATACCCATATGTTCTAATAACAGGATATAGTGACAGTTGAGTCTTTCGACCATACGGTCACTAATACTGAGGTTTTTCAAGTTATCCAAAGCTGCCCTAAGGATGATAGCAATAACCTCATATCGATCTTTTTCTGATAGACGAACAAGGCGATGTAGGAGTAAGGATAAGGGATGACCTTCTCCAAAGACGACAAATAGTGTATCGTGTGTATGCCGGAGTAATTCGAATGTCAAGGCCTTGTGTCGCTGGTCAAAAGCGACAATAATATCGCACAGATAGAAAAGAAGAGTAGCTTCTTGATCCTCCACGATAGACCTAAGGTAATTAAGGGACTCATTGAGAGCCTGAAAGCCAGGCTTCATGTTGTTGGCCATGATTAAGGTGCGGGCTTGAGCTAGGCTTGTGTAGCATTGAATGGTGGTAGAATAGTCGCCAGCTTGACCAGGGTGGGATCTCCTTGCGATTTCATGGTGGTCTGAGTGATAGTAGCCGTAGAGAAGTCGAAGTAGCTCGTCTGTGGATTGCTGAACACTGGAAGCATGAAGAATGGGATCTGGCGACGGCGAGCGACAGACTATGTTTGAGTTTGAGCTACTAATTGTGAGCATTCCGACTTTGATCTTCATCTCGAGGTCCGGCCTGCGGTGTAGATATCTTTCGATATCTCCCCATTCGACTTGTCTACCTTGTAGAAAGAAGACAGATTGTTTTCCGGCAATATCTCGTTGTTGTTTGAGTAGAGACATCTGAACGACTTCCTTCTCTTTATATTTCTTATGTAACCTCCACTTTTGAAGGCGATACTTATACATCCTCGGTCTATTCATTGTTTAGTATTTGTATACTTTATGTATTGGGATTATATCCAAGTGACCACTTACGTTGCATGGAAATTATATCTCAGCCGCATTATCTCCACTATTTCTTTAAGTGGCCTCGCCTCATCTGAGTAGAGCCTCGTGATTTGGTGCCGCAGACGAGCCCACTCGTCGTCGTTGCACGTATTGGCAATCATGATCTCCGGGCCGCGGTGTTGAACATGGGTGGGAGACGAGTGGATGATGCTCAACAAAGATGTGCAAAGCCGTGCTCAGTCTAAGCCGGTAAATCAGGTGTGTCTGATCCACAGGAGAGCAGGTCCAATAGTTGTGAGGAAGAAGGAAGTGGTTCAAGACCTGGGCACAGAAAGTGTTCCTTTTAGATCACGGGATTGGTGGAGAACAAAAGAACAAACATATGCGGATCCTGTTACATGCTAGGAAGCTTGGCAGCTTAGGATGCTTATTGTGATTGGCTGAGAACAAAAGGACAAGGTGGTGGATCCATTTCAGGGGGCTGCACCGCAGTTTGCTAGGATTAAAATGAGCCGACACCACTTCTGGTAAAGAAGCGATGACATATGTCAATTGTTGGGCAAAACACTACTGTCCAACATGCGCTGCAACGACATCCTGATGGGATCCAAAAATGGCCTCGATCCGCTCCACGGTATGTACTGCTGAGAGAAGGTCTGATATCCTTTTACTACGTAGTACGCTCAAAGCCTGAACCCAATTCAAGCCACCACTCGCTACTATGAATACTCTAACATTATTCTTTCCTTCCCTTTATATAGTAATCTTCCTTTAACATAGAACCTACTTATGTCCCTAACCTTGGGTAAAAGCTGCCTGATCTGCTTGCTGCCTTACTAACTCTAGATTATATATTAAGCTTAAGCTTCGAGCTCCAGGGTACGAAACTCCCAACTTGTCTTCTCTTACTTCTACTCTAACTTTTCAATCTCATATCCCATCGTCCGTCAGTACCAGTGCCCCATCTCGCTACTGGGGTACGCCATAAGTCCTGCCCTGCTCTTGCCTTGAACCTGACACTCCAACGTCACGCCACCGCCAACTATCTACTTTCATCTCGACTCAACTTCCTTGGTATTTACCTTGAGGACCAGGACAAGTCTCAATGTATTAGGTCCGTCCCGCAGTATGGACTGAGTCTTAAGGCATAGTCCCCCATGATTGGTGGGTTAACTTGAAGTTTGAAACATTCCAAGACAGCCCACGCTGTCGACCCATAGGAAAGCGGCTGACGAGCTACCTGGTATGCCCATGCATGTTTACACAGATACATCGGATGAAATTTAAAAGATTCTGAGTCGAGTCAACGGCCTTCTTATATTCACTGATCAACGCTTGTGATTGATTTTCTGTGCCCTTCCTTCACTATTTTCCTTTTCTCATTCCAACTTGACTTTCAGTCTATTCCTCTCGTTAACTTCTTTCCTGCAACCCTGATCAGTTGACCTCATCATGGTTCATCCTACAGTTTTCACTGGAGCAGTGCTCCTTTTCTTCACCTCTCTTGCTACCGCCAAGCCCGTTATCATCGCAAGTCCGATTGCATCTGGAACTCTCATTCCTGGCTTCCCTCATCGTGAGTCTGCACCCTCACCTGCCATAAGGTAGCTTACCTTATTAATATTTTCTTACAGAGTTGAAAGATGGTGGTAAGTTCTGGAATCGCGCGATGCCAGTAACAGCTCTTTCCACAGCCGCGGCTGTCGAAGATGCCGAATCTACCGAAGATGAGGCATGTGAGGAGTCTGAAGAGTTCGTCACTGAGACTACCGAGGATGGTTGTGATCTTGTCGAGGAAACTGAAACCGCGCTGTCCCCGGCGGTCTCCACGACCACACCTGTCGAACAAAACTTCGAGTCGACGTCCGCCACGCCTTTGCTTGCATCTGCTACGCCCACTAACGCTGAGTCAACCCCTGTGTCGTCCACAGGAAGCGGAAGCTCTGACGGTTGCGGCAAGCAGTCCTCTCTTACTAGTGGCACCTATAGCGTCACTATCAGTGGCCGCACTCGCTCGTATATCCTTGATGTTCCTGAGAGCTACAATAGTGGCAAGGGATACAAGCTCATCTTTGGTCTTCACTGGCGTGGAGGCACCATGGAGGATGTGGCGACGGGCCAGACTGTTGAGGCCGGTGTCTGGAATTACTACGGTCTGAAGCGCCTGGCTGAAGACAGCGCCATCTTTGTTGCACCACAGGGCATTGATAACGGTTGGGGCAACAGCAACGGAGACGACCTCAAGTTCATCGATGCCATAATGGAGCACGTTGAAGCAGATCTCTGCGTTGACCAGTCCCAACGCTTCGCTACGGGTTTCAGTTACGGGGGTGCCATGACATACTCGCTCGCATGCTCCCGGGCCGATAAGTTTCGCGCAGTTGCCGTCCTCTCGGGCGCCCAGCTCAGTGGCTGCGATGGTGGCAACGACCCTGTCCCGTACCTTGGAATTCATGGTGTTGATGATAGTATTTTGAGTATCTCTATGGGCCATTCCCTGCGGGACAAGTTCGTGTTGAACAATGGTTGCCAGGCCCAAACCGCGTCGGAACCAAGCTCTGGCAGCTTGACTCACACCAAGACCTCTTACACCTGCAATTCGGGATATCCGGTGACATGGATTGCGTTTGATGGCGGGCACATTGCTTCCCCCCAGGATGGGGCGACAACTGATAGTGGATCGAGCACATGGGCTCCGGGGGAGACATGGGAATTCTTCTCTCAGTTTTCGTAAACTAGGTAGCACATGTTTGGGTCGGGAAAGAGTTGGTCAATGACAATAGCCGTTCGTAGCTGCACTACTAGGCTCACCCCTTTCAACCCCGCCCAATAGATAGTTACATACTGTAGGTAGGAAACATGTGTGGAGAAACAAACGACTGTGCCGCCATTGTGTTTCGAATAATTTACAAGTTACTTGTATTTTAATTTACCCACAAACTTGCTAATATTAGCAATAAGTCAACAGGCCAACCTAATTCTTTAGGACTAGTAAATAGCTGTATTAAATTAATTCCTAAATTGTAAACGGTGGCCGGTTAAGTAGGGGTGGTTTGCCAGAATTACCTGTCAGATCTTGTGGACATGGATTCTTTCAGCGCGGCCCATCCGACCAGAATGAGGCCTGATAAGTTTAGCTCATCTCCGTTTGCAGTTGAAACAATCGGATAACTTTAGTTCTTGGCAGTTTCAAGTGCTTCGGTAAAACTCTTCCAAGGGTTTTTTATGGTCAGTTTTATCCCCTTCGTGGTAAGGCGTGGAAGTGTTTAGCACCCTCTCCTGCTCAACCAGGTTTGGCATGTGTTATCGTAAGATGACCAACGCTCACTTGGACAGGTTTGCAAGCGCTTGAGTACACTCCTGCAATTATACTAAGTCGTAGTGAAGTTCGGCTAGAGCTCATCCTGTAACATGTCTCCGATTTCTTTTCGATTAATTCTTCCAGCAATTACATGATAGAGATATTGTCCTGGAGAGGGATAGTCTAATTGACTTTGGAAGTGTTGTCTTATTGTAATATTTTCACTCCACTACACATCAGCAGTGTTTATCACTTAAGAGTAATATAAAAGGGCCATATAATCCGGCTCTTGATGTTTTCCAGTCACATTCCTTACAACTCAGCAGGCAATTGGCTTCGGTGTCGTGTCTTATTCTCTCTTTAGTCATTCTCTTTTCTTTTTCTTCCCTTCGTTCAAGCTAGACTTAACATTTTGACTCTCGTTACCTCCAACAAAATGAAGATCTCACTCGCTTCTCTCGCGGCCATGGTGCCCTTCGTCTCCGCTCACTACTTCTTCGATGTTCTCGTCATAGACGGCAAGGAAACTAACAGCATGCAATACGTCCGCTCCAACACCCGTGATGCAAAGTACAATCCTACGAAATGGGATAACATCCGTGACGATATGACTCCCGACAAGCTCGACTTCCGCTGCAACAAAGGTGCATTCACCTTCGCCGGCCAGACCGAAACCGCTGAGATCAAAGCTGGGTCCAAGCTCGCCATGAAGCTCGCCGTTGGTGCCACCATGCAGCATCCCGGGCCTGCCCTCGTCTACATGTCCAAGGCTCCGACCACTGCGGATGCGTACGAGGGTGATGGAGAGTGGTTCAAGATCTTCGAGGAAAGTGTGTGCAACAAGGACGGAGATTTCACGCGCGATGCTTGGTGCACCTGGGACAAGGATCGCATCGAGTTTACCATTCCTGCTGACCTTCCTGATGGAGAGTATCTCATTCGTCCCGAGCATATTGGTATGATCTATCTCGTCCCATCTGCGGCCCGTCCAGGATATGCATATTGACTTCTCTCTTAGGTGTCCACGGTGCCCACGTCGGCCAGGCCGAGTTCTACAACACGTAAGTCTAATCCTCTCCGTTTCTTTCCATCCCCACCAGTTCCTCGATGAACACACATAGCCTAACGCTTTCTAGCTGCGCTCAAGTCAAAGTCACTGGTGGTGGCAGCGGTGTACCCGGTCCAACGGTCAAGTTCCCTGGTGCTTACAAGAAGGACGACCCGTCCTTCAACTTCAGCATCTATGGCGGCTTCAAGGAGTACCCAATGCCCGGCCCGGCCGTGTGGACTAGCGGTAACAGTGGAAGTGGCAGCGACGACACCACTGATGTTACGAACAACACCACCGTCCCGGACGAGGCCGCATCCACAGGGGCTGGCTGCACTAGCCGTAAGCTTGCGCGCCGTGGCCTAAAGAGTCGTCGCCACATGCATTGAGCACATTTTCCAATGCACCGCCGGCCATGGTTCTCCGCGGCTTGAAAGTTCAGTGATCAATATCCGGGCGATACTATGGATCTGAGGAACTGCGAGCTCTTGGTTTACTGCTGCTTCTTCCCCTTCTCTTTATTTCTCTATGCTTGCGACTCACCAGGAGTGATCTCGCCTTTGTAGTATATAAGAAATATTTTTATATTGTATATTGTCTAAGATAGTTAAATTATTATGTTATTTCTTATATTAATTCTTCTTTATATCTTAATTTTCTCACGTGTTGCCTGCCCCTAAACCAACAATGGAGAGGCTCTGAAACTTTCGGACGTTTTGTTCCACAGGCCTATTAAAAATCATCTTTTGGACCCACCCGAAGCTGAAACTCATGGACCTCGGTTATGAACCCTAATGTTTTACGAGAATTCAACAGATGTCTGCCAGATGCTGGATTCAAGCGAAGATAAATAGAAGCTGCTGCATAATAGCCTCGATAATATGTTAACCTTGAGATTTGTTCTTGGAAATTAGATATTGTCTATAGTATTTGTCTTGGCGGTATGCTTATCTATGTTTGCATGGACAAGTTTCCAGCTAAATCTTTGCTGTTAATTTATACTCTGAGTTTGCCAATAGCATAAAAGCACATACTGTCAAAAATACAAGAAGAACCCATTTTAATATATGACAACTCTGGGGATGTTTATTCTTTTATATTGATTCTCATTGAGATATAAGAACAAAGACAACAGCAGACATGTGAGTTCAGGGTAGGCATCTCTGCTCTCGTCAACGCAGTCGGCCCGATATCCCAACCAATTACAGCACGTTGCTCAAGGAAGATCGTGGGCGCTGATTGTGCCTACGATATCCTGTCTCGTGACGCGGGATGGATTTGGACTTGCCAACTTGATCTAAGTTGATTGCCACGTGTTGGTGATAGTTTGCAGCTACAGTGATGCTCGGCCGATGAACCGAAGAGCAGCGTAACCAATCAAGATGAATAAACAGCAGCTAAGCTTCACTGGACAATTCATGACAGGCGTCTAGACGTAGCAACAATGTTTCAACAGAGCTATCATTCGTCATTTTCCGCTCCGGCAGACTAAATCGCGGGGAAATCTGAACCATCCCTCTGGATCTAGACCATTCAACGGACTTCTCTGCCACGGACTTCTCGCCGTCATTATCCCTCATCACGAGTCACGAAATTGCCAAGCCTAACTGAATTGAACGCTGGACCACGAAACGGAACGGGCGCTTGGTGTTGAGCTATGCGGGAATTGGCCGAGAAAATCCCTGTTTTTGGAGATGGGGACATTGAGATTGGCTGGTCTGTTCGAGAGCATTCTGATCCACATTATTAGCATGAGAGATTGCCATAACCTTGTTTCTCGTTGGTCAATCATGTGTGAGAGTACCCCACCCCCAGAATGGACTCGTTGTTGCGGAGAAATTGGGCCTTGAGAAATTACGTACTGGAAGTGGGAGACATTTCTCCAAGATTCTGTGGTGCCATTTAGCGGTGAATCGTGCCATGTACTGACAGAAAACTGGGAATGACCTTGAAGAGATAGTCACAGAGAATATTCTACTCAGTCAGGAAAGTAAACATAAAGAGTCTGCCATCTCTAGGTGCCTAAACCTGAGCACCCAAGCCGACGATTGCCATCCTCCCCCCATCTTTCATGTGCAAGCTAATACCATTCAGGCAACTGTCCCGCACTCTCAAGGCTAGGCAAATTTCTTAGCCCGTCTCTTCCTCCGGAAACTTGGCCGATCCTCTCCATGTTTTCCCCCTCTTGCTCCCCCAGCATTTAATAGAAATATTGGGGCGGTTGCAATCTCCATCTTTCCCCAGATCACACTTCCCCGCATCTCTCTCTCACATCTTTCATTTTTCTTATTCTTTGAAAGATTTTTCGGTCCCGGCTTCGTGAACATGTCGGACGAAAAGGTCTCGTCTGCCCCAGAGGCTCATCTCGATACCTCTGATCCTAGCAAGACTCATCCTGATGTTATCGACCATGCTCGTTCTGCGGCCAACAAGGAACAGAAGATGACCCTCATGCAGGGCATCAAGCTGTATCCCAAGGCTGTCGCGTGGAGTATTCTCATCTCGACTTGCATTGTCATGGAAGGATTCGATATCGTTCTTGTTAACAACTTCTGTGAGTTGCGTCGCACAATATTACTCGACTTGGACTGACAATTGCTGTTCAGATGCTTTCCCTCAGTGGAACAAGAAGTACGGTCAACTTCAGCCTGATGGAACGTATCAGGTTTCAGCAGCATGGCAAGCAGGCTTGAGTAATGTATGAGCCATCAAAGGTCGCCCAATTGACAAAGCTAACCATCACAGGGTGCCAACGTCGGTTCCATCATCGGTCTCTTCCTCAACGGTTGGCTCTCAGAGCGATTCGGTTATCGATACACCATCATCGGCTGCCTCATCTGGCTCTCGGGCTGCATCACCCTCTTCTTCACCGCCCAGAACGTCCAAATGCTCCTCGCCGCCGAAATCCTCTGCGGTCTCCCATGGGGTATCTTCCAGACCATCTGCGTCACATACGCCTCCGAAGTCTGCCCCATCGCCCTTCGAGGTTATCTCACCACATACGTCAACTTCTGCTGGGGTCTCGGACAGGAAATCGGCATTGGAATCTTGAGATCTATGATCGGTCGAACCGATCAGTGGGCTTACAGAATCCCCTATGGTCTGCAATGGATCTGGCCTCTACCTTTGATGGTGGGATTGTGGCTTGCTCCCGAGTCTCCTTGGTGGCTTGTTCGCAAGGGCCGTGTTGCTGATGCCAAGAAGAGTCTTCTACGACTTACGAGCCTTAACCGTGAGACCGATTTCGATGCTGATGAGACTGTTGCTATGATGGTTCATACAACTGCTCTCGAGGAGAAGCTGACAGAGGGAAGCTCTTATATCGATTGTTTCAAGGGTGTTAACCGTCGCCGAACCGAAATTGTCTGTATGGTTTGGGCCATGCAGAACCTCAGCGGTAACTCCTTTTCCAACTACTCAACCTACTTCCTTGAGCAAGCCGGTATGTCTGCTGAGCACGCCTACTCCTTTGCTCTTGGACAATATGCCATCAACATGATTGGTGTCTTTGGTGCATGGGGTCTGATGTCCATTGGAATTGGTCGCCGAACTCTGTACCTTTACGGATTGTGCGGCCTCTGCACTGTCTTGTGCATTCTTGGCTTCCTAGGTCTTGTCCCCGAGGCTGATCGCCAGAAGGGCGCTCTTGCTACTGGAAGTCTCATGATTGGCTGGGCTGTTGTTTACCAGCTCACTGTCGGCTCCGTGGCTTACTCCCTTGTGTCTGAGCTTCCCTCTCGTCGTCTTCAGATCAAGACCGTCGCTCTTGGTCGTATCTTCTAGTAAGTCTGACCTACAAATGCCAAAAGCACACGCAGCTAACCAATTACAGTGGCATCGTCGGCATTGTCAACGCTGTTCTGGCTCCTTACATGCTTAACCCCACTGCCTGGAACTGGAGCAACTACACCGGTTTCTTCTGGGTAAGTCTTGAAGCGTTTCCTCACTCAATTGCCAAGCTAATGTGATCAACAGGGTGGTATCTGCTTCCTCTGCGTCATCTATACCTACTTCCGCCTGCCCGAGCCCAATGGCCGAACCTTTGCCGAGCTGGGTGTTCTGTTCGAGAAGGGTGTCAGCGCTCGAAAGTTCGCTACCACCAAGGTCGATGTATTCCACGAGTCTGTCGATGATCACGTCCTCGATCAATTGAGCAAGGCCGATCAGGCTACAGTTGAGACTGTTGAGCAAGCCCCAGCACGCAAGTAGATCTTGATCGAAGGTTACGAAGCGTCTGGAACAAACTCTACTGGACAGTCTTTGCTTGCACATCAACGAGCCAAGACAGCTTATGTAAATAATATTAACGCATAAATAATGAGATATTGATTGATTATCATGATCGCGTGCTATCCTCGGCAAACCCTACGTACCTTCTCCTTATGTAGATCCGTGCATACAACCTTAAACGGAGCTGTGTCTCAATACGTGACCATTTCTGTCGATCCCTGATACTTTCTCGGCGAATCCGCGAAAACCCCCACTTCTGCTTGAGCTTGGCGATTGTCACGATTATCCAACGCCTTTCATTGCTCTTGTACAGGTCTAGACAAGCAAATGCACCTAAGCCCAATGTTGACTGATCACCAATCATAATGGCTCCCAACCCTTTCGAGTATACATGATAAGTCCAACCGGAATAATCGCATCTTCCCGATAGACAACAAACTCTGGGTATTGAAGAGAACCCCCGTTATCGATAGTAACCCCCTCAACCTTAGATATCGTTAGTGATCAATCGCTTGCAGTTATCATGGACTTACACAGTTGAAGCCACGCGAGGGCCTGGTGATGTCATGGTCTGCTAGAAGTTTGCGCTGAGGCTTACTCGCTACGACGTAGCAAATAAGCATAGCATGAAGGTTTGAGCTGACATAGTGGTTCTTCACGTAGACGTCTGCTTCTATATCTTTCATGAGCACTGTGGTAAAATGAATGAAGAAATTGTGACTTACTTGAAGAATTTGGCGTAGAGTAAATGCCAGGACCAAACATCCCCTCATCATCTTGGAATGTTAATTCACTTTTGCAATTTCTCCTCAACGATGAACTCACCGGCATATCTAAGTTTGAACGATTGTCTTAGAATACTGCATACACCACACTCATCGTCGTAGCAAAGCTTCAGATCATTGCCCGAGTCTCCGATGTGACATGCACGTGAGGTACCATGATACAGCCTCTTATAGCTCCCGCCGTTCCTGGAGTTGAAATCAGTGGCTACCCAGTTTTAGTAAACTTGAGTTCTGTCATACAGGTATGCGAAGAAGCGCTGTCCCCGATAAGACTTGTCTATGTCGTCTCGACTAGCTAGGTAGATCGACTTGACCTTGGCGCTTTTATCATCGTGGCACCATGAATGGTTGAACTTGAACTCATCTAAACATTTGGATTAGCCTTATAAGATAACTGTAGAATGAGTTATATCTTACGATCTTTATAGCTTGGATCACTTCGACTCAAGCGTTTCATCCGCTAGTAGAAGACTAGTCAGTATCCATCCCCAATAGTTGATCCAAGTACATACAATGGGCATGGTGGTGATGGGACACGAGGCTTGAGGTTGGCTATGTGTAGAAAAGAAACAAGCAAGCTATTTCAATAAAGTGCTGTCGGTTTGAACAAAGTTTAAGTTTCAAAACACACTTCGATTTGTCTCATGCGAGTCCGGCTCTGACTGCCATGATGACCTGATCTGGGGAGCCATATAAGTACACTGACTTTAAAGATGCATTGCTTATTCTGAAGGCAAGCAGTTAACGGATCAGAATGCCCGGAACCTCTAGATGCTATTGATGAGAAGGATTAGGCAGCTCACTGCCAATCGAGGTGTTGCCTCACGCTTGCTGAGCTGCTTGGACATTGATGCATATCAAAAGTCCTAGATATCATTGACGTGGCCCAATGCCTTTCCATTTTTCGACCTTTTTGCACTTTCAATCTGCAATCATCAATCACGAAACCTCTTTGGCGCTATCACAATGACTCTGAGAGCTCTACGGCTCATCAGATGGAAGTTGGGTAGCCAATAACAACCCAAAGAAATTTGGGTGGTTGGAGGATGGGTGACTTGACTCAGGTGAGAACTCAGGCGAGCGCATGCAGCTCTGCAGGGAAGATACGCTTACTTACAAGCTGTTATGAACAAATGAGCTTCTGACGGACGGCCACGTAAGTAAACCACTGTTCTGAACCCATGTACCGACTCCCCAAAAGAGAAGTGCACCATCCTGTATCGTTGCATTCGTTTATTTTTAGGTTCTGTCTGATGTCCAGTGATTGTGATACTGTGTTTCAAACCCCCTGTGATAGTGCGTAATCCACCACTCTTTCGACAGAAACAATTAATTAGCTACACTGTTCCACCGTTGTGTGAACAATTGAGGCATGCTTTCTCATGCATAAGCGTGGCGTTGCTGACTGATCAGTTCACTGGATGGCCTTTTCAACCCCCCCCGGAAATCTTACTGCATCGAATGACGTGGCGAGGCTGCGAAGGTTGTAATCTTCAAAACGGGTCTCGACATCAGCTCTGTATGTGTCTCATCTAATTGAGCTACTCAACCTAGCACCAAGGTATTAGAGTCTTGAGAATCCCCGAGCGATTCCCTCACGAGAGTGACTTGTATCGCGATTTTACTCAAAACATGAAAAGATCATCATTTCCAGACCAAAGGCGACATGGCCAATCTTCTCGTTACTCAACCCCATACCGTCCTTATGACAGCAGCCAGAGAGAAGAACTCAGAGCTACTGCACAAGAGACTTTAGATATCTCACGTACTCTGCTCAAAGAACTGGGAACAAACGACTTGGCGAGACATTCCGTCAAGTACTCTTTTGACTCTCTTACTCGACTTCACCCTGGTCACTGTCCGTCATACAGACAGCCTGCTACCATAAAGGTCATCAATGATGATACGCTCAATGCTGCCATCGAACTCTGCCACAGAGCACAAGGCCGTGATACCGGACCAAACAGTCAGCCTCCTATTGTTGTCAACTTTGCAAATCGTCACTCTCCCGGTGGAGGATGGCTCAACGGCGCCATGGCCCAAGAGGAGGCACTCTGTTATCGCAGTTCCCTAGCCTTGAGTCTCAACAAAAAGCACTACCCACTCGAGAGAGACGAGGCTCTCTACAGCCCCTACGCACTCCTCATGCGCGATGATCTATCATCGGGCCATGAGATATCTACACTCCCTGCAAGAGAGCTCCCCGTGGTGAGCGCCCTGACTGTGGCTGCCCTTCGAAGTCCACCTGTGCGTCTCTTCACAAATGAGCCACGCAAGGATAGACCGCGCAGATCCAGCTCTGAAGTATTTGAAAAGCGTGTCTTTGCCAATGATCGAGACCGCGATATAACAAAGGCTAAAATGAGACTGTGTTTGCGTATGGCGGCTAGACACAAACATGACATGCTCGTGCTTGGTGCTCTGGGTTGTGGAGTCTACGGCAACCCACCAGAGGACATTGCTCATTGCTGGCTGGAAGTACTGAGAGAAGACGAGTTTTCAGGAAATTGGTGGCGGGAGGTATGGTTTGCAGTCTTTGACCCAAAGAACGAAGGCAATTTCGAGATATTCCATCAAGTGCTTGACGGGAGGCAAGTTTAGACTCGACGGCTTGAATGAGAGAGTCAGCGGGTCTTTCATTGTAAGACCTACCTTGCTGTCTGCACTGGTTCTTGTAGTGTTGGTGTCGAGCTTGGTCTGCTCTGCATATTCAGTTTAGTTATGTCTTTGATATCTAAGATGGCTATATATTTGGCGAAATATACTACCTTATGATACTGGCATTCTTTCTTCATACCTAGTTCTGCTGGTTATTGTATGTATGCTTTAACTTTCAAGTAATTTAAACTAAACTCTCTTATAATCTGGCTAATACAAAAGTCAAGCACTAGCTTTACCTTAACATAGAACTCATAACGAAGACAGCCAGCGTCTCTATATCCTCCTGCACCGCCGTTATTGCCTTGATATACCGAGTCAGTTAATTGCCCCCAGCAAATATTGGGAAGGCTTATACTCACAAGACTTGTAGTTAGCACGCATAAGACTATAGCAGGTCTCGCCATCAACAGGCTTCTCCAGCGACTGCTCCTCGAGTCCCTTGCAGCCCTCTTTCCACAAGATCTTATAGTTCATGTGCGAATGTCCAGTCAGACCGGGCGGCCCCCAGTAGACTTCCTTGTAACCAACCTTGATCTTCTTACCTTTGGCCATCCACCCGCATCCGCCGGATGCCCATGAGTCTTGGGCGTTGTCTCGTATGTCTCTATGCTTATGCCTGTCGTGACATTCCTGGCCGCCGAGCGTGGGGAGTTCTGGTTCGAGTTTGGTCTCCGAAGGTGCCTGAACCTTCCACTTGAACTCGCCGCATCCTACGTCGATTTTCGCATCAATTGTCATTCTGTTATTTGCTGAACCGTGGTTCTTCCCACCTTCCAAGAGTTAGTTGGTCTCTGTAACGGGGAAGAGGACATGGACTCACAAGGTTGACTCTGTACCAACTTCTTGAACGCTCTAGTCCATATGTTGTCACTCTTCGCGAGACATTCCCCTTCCTTTGGAATCTATGAAACTAAGAACGTGTAATCATCATAGTAATCTGGCTTCTCTGGAGGAGCTTTTCGAAAGAGCTTCCAAGATCGACGACTTGGCCCATCATCCTTGACGCCGTGAATGTTGTAAGGAACATCCTTATTCTCGTTGTCAAAGTTGTCCTTGATGTCGCCGCAGAAGCTATCTGCTAATTCACCAAAGAATTCGCTTGGAACTTGAGAGAATTTGTTGGGGCATACGATCTGGGGCTCCTCTGATTCGTCCGGCCCGTCTAGTTTTTTCAAGACAGCCCGGATCTGGCTCTCGATCTCCTGGTCGAACGTATGAGTGTGCTCTTTGCTCTTTGGGTTACATCTGCAGTCCTTGGTCTTGCCCTATAAATAGAAAACATCGGTTTAGAATCGGCTCTTGCTATCGCAGGGTCTCCTTACCTCTGAACAGGCCCATTGAACAATATTGGTTGGTTTAGCGTTTGCAATTTTGGTGGCCATGCAATCGTCCTCGCAATAGGCTGCAAGACTTGATTAGTTTAATATCACTGCCGTGTTTTCTAGAAGAGAGTTACTCACCAGCCCAGTCGGACAAGAGTTGGTTGGTGTCGTGGTAGTCAATGTTGTCGCTTGCGTGGGTGACTCTGTTTTGGCCTTTGACACAGTTTGGATGTCCTCAGGGGGGATATGATAGACAGGCTCAATTTTGCCTGTAGTATCAGCGACCTTCAACAGGATACCCAGAAACGTCGCATCAGTAAGAGTGATGCCACCGACTACGATGGCACCATCAACCTCTCCGACTACAGCTGCAATAGGAGCTGCTTCGGCTTCCGAACCCAAAACAACCGTCTCAACTGTTTCACCTGCTTCGGATCCTGGAGGTCCTTCTGCACCTTCAACGAAACCGTCTTCATCGGTTCCATATTCAGAGTATGCGTCCGTGTCTAGCCCAGCCTCTTCCGAGAGCTCCTTGTGAACTTGCTCAGAAAATACATCAGCTACGCCTTCGTCTTCGAGCACTCGACGTGCAGCAGGTTCAATGCCACAACTTGGACCTTGACGTCTGCGGAGCTTCTCCTTTGTGCAAGGCGGCACCTCTTTGAGAATCGCTTCAACCTTCTCTCTGAAAGCTGGACTCAGGATCATATCCAGACCACCGTTGGCGTGCTTGACAACGTCAACAGCCTTATTGACAGTTCCCGTCACGTCAGCCCCTTCAGCATTCTTGGTTGTGGTTGTTTCAACTGAGATGTATGATGGATCAGGGCCAATCCACTGCATTGTGTCTTGCGTTAGTTCTGGAATTGTAGTACACGGAAGGGGGCACGAACACTGGTGGAGCCTTCAGCCTCTGTCAAATACTCTGTCCAGATCCCGATTGAACCTTTGCTGTAGATGGAGAGTTAGCAGAGGAGACAAAACTATCTGTAATCGAGATATTGAGACAAATAAAAGGCTGTAACTTACACTCTGTCTGGCGGAGGTGGGTTGAGGGGAATCTGAGCACGACCAGGAGGCTGTAGACCGTATACATATTCTTCACTGCGGCCTTGTTTAGTACCTAGTAATAGATATGAATTTGAAATGCCTACGCTCTTGGATTAATTGCTGGGGCTTGTGTCTGACGGGGCATAATGCCGTTTGCAGAAACCTCGGTCAAGAAGGCGGCGTCAACGACCAAATGAAATAGAAACTTCATGGTAGAAGAATGGAATGTTTAATTATAGAATAGATAGCTTTAATCTATAACAATAAAAATATATTTCTTCCTTTAGTTAATGGGTTAAAACCTCTTTTAATTCTTAACCTCTAAATATAATTATTATTAATATAATAGGTAAGAAAAACTATAATAAAATTAGTTAAAAATTATAACTGTAATTATAAAAATATATTATTATATAATTATTAGTATTAATAACTAATTAAGCTATAATTAGTTAATTAATATAATTTATATATATATTATAAAATTAAGTAATATTATACACCTTAAGGTTAATTTTATTAAAAAATTATATATTATTTTTTATTATTATAATATTATAAATAACTTTTTTTTTTATATTAATAACTTCTTATAATTATAATAAGTTAATTTTATTATATTTAATTACTAATAATTAATTAATGGGAAAAATTAACATAAGTATATAATTAAATTTCCTTAGTTTAAACTATTACTTTTTTCCTAATTTTACTTTATTTATTCTTATATATAAGGTTAATTAGTTATATGTCTTACTATATATATTTAATTAATTAAATTATAACTTTAAGTTAATTTTACTTTTATTAAATAATTTATATAAATAAACTTAACATAATTCCTTTAAACCCCGCATTTACCTTAAATTTATTTAATTTTATATATAAGCTCCTTATTCGTATTAATTTAAAAGCAGCTATCTAATAATATTAAATACCCTTGTAAATACCTTAAAGAGCTACTTTTTATATATAGCTAAGATACTTATAAAGGTAATAAGGAAAACTACTTTATTTAATTAAGGAGAATAACCTTCTTATTACAGCCCTAGTTATCCCATTACATACACCCTATAGTTTCCTCTAATTACTACAATCCCTATAAAACCCAATTAGCGCCAAGCCTTTATAATTAAAGCTAATTTATTATAATTAATACTAATCTACTATTATTAATACTAATTTTATAATAACCTTACTAATTACTATTTATAGCTATTAATATATAGACTATATTTATTAATACTTTTATAAATTCTAGCTTACTAGCTATTAATAAGACTTCTTTATATTAATAAGCCTAATATATATAACTTAATTATTAAGAGATATAAGAACTTACTACTACTTAATATAATGCCTTACATTATCTACTAATATAAACCTAATATAGACTAGTTTATCCCATAACAATCCTAATTATTATATTTATCTTTTAGCCCTAACCTACCTTCTAGCTATTATTCCTTTAATATAAGAGGCAAAAAGGTATATTATTTTAGGCTATTATATATATATAAGTATAAAAACTTATAAACTCTTTAAATAATAATTAAGATTATATAATTATATAATACTTATAGACTTATTTAAGTTACTTAAGCTATTTAAATTATAACTATTATTTAATTCTTAGGAAATTATATAGTTATAAAGGGAGAGCTTACTTAAGAAAGAGAAGTTATTAGATATATATAAATTTAAAAAGATAAGGTATATAAAAATATATATTAATAAGCCTCTTCTATTACTTTATATTTATATAATATGCCTAAACATAGAATATTAATACCTTTTTTAATAATAAGTAATATTTAGTAGTTAATAACATATACTTAATTAGTATAAATAGCTTTAAATAAGGCATATAGGGATAGTTGCTTTTTAGCTAATAAAGGAGGCTATAGCTTATAGTGTAAACTGCCTCTTTATAGCAGTCTATAGTAATATTTACTACTTTTAAAATCCTATTAATTTTAATCTTATCTTTATATAAGCTAGCTAGATTTATAAAGAGGCTAAGAGTATGTATAATAATTATAATTCTAAATAAATATACTAATCTATATTAGGTTTATATTTATAAATAATAAAAGGTATTAATATTAAGTAGCTATTAAGTATTATATTTCTTAATAATTAAGTAATATATATTAAACTTATTAATATAAAGAAGTCTTATTAATAACTATTAAGTTAAGTTTTATTTAATATAAAGTAAATATATATATTTATATAATATATTATTTTATAATATTATTTTATTATATTATTATAAGATATAATAATTATTATAATGGGCTTTATACGTCTTATAATTACTTAATCTTAGCCTTAAGTAAGGCTTTATATAATAAGTAAAAATAACATAGAGTATATATAATATAAGTGCTTGGCTTGGTTAAGTTATAATAATATAGGCTATATTAACTAGGAGGTATAGTAATATATCTAGCCTTATATATAATTATAAATAAGGTATTTAGATAAATCTTAGCTATAATATTATATAATAAGTATAAAGTTAGTAATATACTATTTATAATATAGATAAGAAAATCTATTATAAGACTAAAGCCTTTTATTTTTAAGTAAACTATTTATAAGAGGTATAGCCTGTTTTAGATTTTTTTAAGTTTAAGGTAGCTAATACCTTACTAAGACCTTTTTATTAAGATAGAGGAATCTTATATTTATTTCTTAATTAATTAATTAATAAAAACTATTAAGGGAGATTATATATTTATAGTTCTTATTAAAGTAAATTAGTAATAATAAATTATAATAAATATATAAAGAAAGTAACTTAAGAAATTAAGAAGGTAATTATAATTATTATATCTTTATAATTAAGGCAATAAGTAATAATTTTATAATATTTATCTATTACTATATAATTAATTAGTAATTACTATTATTTCTATATATTATTATATTTTTTTATTATTTAATATCTTAAAGCTAGAATAAAAAGTAAAATGGTAAAAGAAGGTAGAAGAGATATAATAAAAGTAGGAAAGTAGAAGTATAAATATATATAGATAAAAAGTATATAAATAATAGGTTATTTTTATTAAATGTAATTACTATATTAATATATATATACGAACAGTACAGAATCTAGGGGTAATTATCTAGGAAAACGTCAGAGTGGCTTAGGATTAGTATGGACAAAAAGTAGATTACCCAGCAGGATTCTAACAGTCCTTTATACAGTAGTAGTAGTAGTAGTAGTAGTAGTAGTAGTAGTAGTAGTAGTAGTAGTAGTAGTAGTAGTAGTAGTAGTAGTAGTAATAGGGCAGCAGACCTGGTATGGCTGCCAAGTGTGTGATGTAGCGATTTGTAACAATCAGAACTACAGGGACTTCTATTACTACCTAAATTAGGTGTGCGAGGAAGTACCTCTCGTTTGAGTTATTTTGATTGGCCCTAGCTCTTGTTGTGACCCTGCTGGAGGCTTGTGACACTCAAAGAGATAGTTTCCTTTAGCTACTACGTGTTTATTAGCCAGAATTCTCACTATGATAGGGGTGCGTAGGTGCGTCGTCATTTTGACGGCGCCCACGAAATTTTAATTCGCTCCCACCAATTGGCTACCAGCTCACGCACAAGAGGTTATAACCACTGGGTCAAATTCCAAAGGTAGGCCCGTACAGGTACATTAACACAGAACCCTTTTTTTTGCCTTTGGCAGCTCTATGGACGCTACTACTGCTATATCGATTATTGCGATTGGCAGGAACGCATAAAGAGTTCTTACAATCCTCAGTTTCGGAATTCCGAAGCTATTACGCTGCAAAAGCGCTTCATTTCAAGCTTCGAGTTATCGGTCAATTCTTTTCTCCTACCTAGGCTGTAGGGGCAGAGAGCAATATATCTTCAGGAATAGATATTTAAGCAGCAATTAGGAGCTAAGATTGTATTTCCACTCAAGGAAGTAGCATTCTCGATGCACAATACACCCTCACCAGTAAGGTAGTATGCTTTGCTTGGCTCAAAATGAAAGGAAGAAGTCCCAAGGGACCATTATTTTCCATACACTCACCCCGCATCGACCCTCCCAATCGTTACTGTGTAGTTAATGAGGAGGCCGAAGCGGCAAGCTTCGTTAGCGCAGCTGGTATGCCTTAGGGGCAGGGGCGCTCAAGGCGTTGGCTTGCCTTCTCGGGAGTTCACTCTCTGCGCCGTACTCAGCCTGCAGCCTCTTATCTATACTATGTATAGGGCCGCTATTGCGCTCTCGTGGTTTGCCCCAAACGTAACATGTAGAGCAGCAGGACGCAAAATAATGGATCTGGGAACCATCCTACTATGCGTTCAAGCCTGCGCAAGGTATGGAATAACAGCCTCAGCACACTACTCTGCCGTCGATTCGGGTCCAGTTGTGCCTTGGGCTGTGAGGCAGTGGAAGGTGTGGGTGGGAAAACGAGACTTTCCGTCCACGGCTTGATCGCCATATCCGCAGGACCTGCTGGCATAACATTCCAAGGTCAGTTCAGCTCAAGGTAGAGGCGAGCCACCCGCCCCCTGCGTTCTACGATCTACATCTCCCGAGAGACCAATTTTCTGGCACCTTATTTTATTTTATTTCTTTATTTCATTTTGCTTGGTTACCTGCTGGTTGCCTGGCTGGTTCGTTTTCTCTTCATACGCAGCTTTATAAGCACCACACGCAGAAGTGTTCTCAACATGCTCTGGAACTGTATCAGCCCTTTACTACTCTCCCTCTTACGGAGAGAGGTTCTTGCCGATCGACCTCCGAACCAATCAGTTTGTGACTACTACGCCGCTCAGCGCTATGGTAAGAGCAACAGCACGACGCAGCTGCTTCTGATGCAGAGCATCGTTGCTTACGCCTATGCTGGCGGTAGTTCGCTCCCACACGCCGAGTCTAACAGTACCGGAATATTCAATCACGGGCAATTTGAAGGTCAAGATGTGTACCTCCGGCCGTGGTTTGACGGATCAAGTATGGCAGTCCAAACACGTTGCTCTAGGCTATTGCAAACTGATTATATTGGATAGACGCAACCACCAACCTCAATGAACAAGCCGTAGTCGTTGACTGGCTAGACGGAGGCGGTACTGCCCCTCTGATAGCTTTCTTGAATGGCTCCACTGCCACCGCAGAAATAAAAAATGGAACAAATCAATAGTGAGTTTCATGCACTTCTGTTGCTCTTATCTTGTCTACTGCACAGCCGCTCATAATCTTCCTCTAAACCAGTAAATTGTTTTCTCATTGGTATTTCGTTTTTGGAAAGATCTACGGCTGCAGCCATGTGAAGGAGTTCCTGGAAACTAGTTTCACTCCTCTCACGCCAGCCTATGTGCATAAATTCATGAACTTGAATCAAACCCACATCGGATACTTCATCGACCAGTTTATTACCGCCAGCAAATACTATGGCTTCTCAGACACCGATGCTGCGACGCTTTCTACTTTTATGAACGCGAGATACAATATCCGATGCTCGCCACCAGTCGACGGACAATTGTATGCAATCTGCCTGGCAAAGGACTGCCCTCTTGCTGCACCTGACGCCGAATGCGATATGTATTCCAGCATACCGCCATATGGAGTCAATAACACGGCGGTTCCAAGCGGCACTGGAACCATGGTGCTGCCAACAACTCTGGGGTCTTCAGCATCATCCTCTTCTAGTCTCGCCGGAACTTCCGGGGCGACCTCTACCGCTGCGGCCAGCGGTTCATCTTCTAGTCTGTCCGGAGGTGCCATAGCAGGCATCGCCATCGGTGCAGCGGCTGTTTCTCTGCTTGCGGTGGGCGTCTGGCTGTTCTTCCGACGTCAACAGCAGGCCCAGGCGATGAGTATGCCTGCTCCAAGCCAGACGGGTAACGGAGCAGCTCCTGCATACAGCATCGAAGCGAATGAAACTTGTTATAGGCCGGAGATGTCGCAGATAGCGGAGATGGAGAGTCCCCAATCGCCACGCAGGTGGTAACGATATCGAGACGGTATGACTAAGATGGTCCGATCTGCTGGTGGATAATATGTAAGAAGCTGTGCTCCTCTCAAACACATGTAACTTAGAACTAACAACAACACAATGAACCTATTCGTTTTATCAGGTTATGAGCCCGGAGGGCACTGTTTTCTCTAATTCCAAAGCTGAGTGTTTTCTGTCTCCTTTTGACCTCTCATTGCTGGCATAAGAAGTCGAAAGACTTCCTAAGTAAACAGGAAATCAATGCATTTACAAAAATCCTAAGAAGTAATTGCCTGGTCTCTAGTCCCGGCGTCGTTCTGGCAGAACGACACTTGGGGTTAGCGAGATTGTATGGAGATCCGGGGTAGTGTACGGGCCATTCCTCCAGAACAACGTTCCGCCAGGACAACGGCGATCATTGGGGCGATGGGCTTTTCACAGTCAACAGGGAATTAACCCTACCCACAATGGGTGAAATCGGGTTTAGTAGTCCCGATTTACAGAGCAGGGGGTAGTCCCGATTTGGTGTATTAGGGTTAAAATTAATAAAACCCGTATAGATTGAAAGGTAAATATAAGGAAAGTATTTTCCCAAGATATTAAGTAATTCCAATATAAAATGCAGTAACGCGACCAGTTTAAAATGTATAGAATTTTTTCAATGTAGTCAACAGCGACCAGGATTTAATGATGGTGATTGGCGCGATGTAGGCATTAGTATTGGCCCGTGCATTTTCATCCATTGCAGAAGGAGCAGGAGTTAGGTTATTAGATGGGAATAGCAGTTGTGTTTAAGGTTCAAGAGCACCGAGGCAACAAAAAAAAGCAAATTAAGATAAATAATTCCATAGCATACAATATCATAACAAAGACAAGCCATTAGACCCCAAGATTCACATTACAACCAAGACCATTCAAGGCATAGAACCAAGAGATAATACCAGCCCCAAGATGGAGCCATTTGTTTATTTGCAAGAGTTGCCAGTTTGCATGTGTAGCCAAGGAGGCAAATAGCCATTTAAGGGTACAGCATAGCATACCAGCAGCAGAAAGGCAGGCGATTATCCAGGCAATCCAAGCCATTCCCGGCATTATCCAAGACCAGGCCGGATGATAGGCATTTCCATTTCCGCCACCAACGACCAAGCCGATCCCATTTATCGCGTCACCAGTAAATAACAGGATAGCATGCGATAAATGCCCATATATCGTAAAGGCGATAAAGGATATTCAGAAGCATTATGAAGACAAGCATAGATGGGTATGGTGTGTTTTGTTACCATGTACCACAAGGGATTCAGGCAGATAGGCAACACCAAGATTATCCACCGATATATACCACGAGAGGTAGGTGAGTTGTTGATATGGTATATTTGGTTGGTATTACCGTTTTGGCAGAACGTTCAGGGCAGAACGTTTAGGGCAGGTTAAAGCGGAAGAGGCGACAGAGTGCATTTTTATGGGCCGATGAAGTTGTAAGCGAGGAGGGCGGCAAGGAAAGCAAGATACGGGAGGTTAAGGTGCCACGGCAATATAGTAGTGTGGAGGGAGTGGAAGGCAAGGGCAAAGAAGATGAGGATAAAGATAAAGATAAGGAAGAAGAGGCGGCATTTATGGAATGGTTTAGGGAGAAAAGGTAGACAAGCGATAGGGTAAGGAGGGTAATATAACGGTATAGCACAGAGTTATCTAGCCACGAGATTAATATTAATATATAGAGGCAGATAGCAATTAGAATTAGTAACCGGTATTTTAATAAGGTTTTTAGCAGAGATTTCAACAAGGAGGACGGTAAGGAAGGAAGTAGCAATTTAGTAAATAGTATTAAAGATTTATAGGCCAGATATAGGTTATATATAGCTAGGTTAATTTATGCCTAATTGTTTAGGCAGGGTGATTTAGGTATAATATATAAGCATAAGGAATTTCGTAAAGTTAGTATATAATAGCATTATTTTTGTAATTTTAGAGCTAAGGACTAAACTAACTGGTTTAGATCTATATTAGGTAGATTAAAGCGGAAGAAGGAGGAGTTTGATAATAAGAGGGAGATGATATAGCGGAAGCGGTTTAATTAATTATATTAGATTGATATTAAGGGGCAGTTAAGGCAGATAATAGGGCCATTAGCGATGTTTTAGGGATTGTAGGAGAAGGTTATTAGGGCTATAGTATGGGGCAAGTGGCTGATTATGTAGGTAATACTGACTAAGGGGAGGTAAGAGTTTAATATATATATTACTAGTATATTATATATTAAATAAGGTAATAGTAATAATAATACTCTTAGTATTATTATAGGATAATATAATTATTTAATATAAGAGATTAGGGATTAATATATATATATATATAAAAGCAGAGAGATATAATAAGTAATATTATTAGTTTTTATAATACCTAAGTTAGCTATAAGTAAGAAGTTTTATATATTTATTAAGTAGATATATAGGTAATAGAAGTTAGATTAGATTATAGTAGATAGGTATTATATAGTTTTAAGATATATTAAGACATTCTAGCTGCAGATAGGGCAGTTAGGGGAGATATTATAGGATTTTGGCGTATTAGTGGTATATTTAATAGTAATATTAAAGCCGGTATACGAGATGGCGTTTTTTAAGTAGATACAGTTTGTGCCGGAATGGGTTTGCATATTCCGGGAAGTAATAACGCATTGTAATATATAATATAGCATTATTGTGGTTGAGGATAAGAATAGTATTTAGGCAATAGCGAATTTAAAACGCAGAAGGAGGAAGAAGAACAGAGGGGCCGAGGGAAGAGGTATAAATAAGGAGGGTGAAGAAGAAGGGTACGATGAGGATGAGGATGAGCTGGTGATGGAAAGGGTGTGTAAGATTGTGCGAATATGGACGGCATGACACGATTAGGGTAAGGTAATTATATATAGCGGCATGATTAAGCAGGTATAGCAGATTGCCGAGATATTAAATTGCTTGGTATATTAGCGAGGTGTTGGCAATGCGGCCGAGAAGGCACAGAAGGTAATAGAGTAGATAAGTAATACAGGAGGTGAGGCAGGTTAGATTACGGCAATAAATGCATTAGGGTTAGGTGTTGATGATCTGAACGTGCGGTTGGTCGTGTATGGAGGCATACCGCGGCAGTTGGATAATTTCGTGCAGGAGAGCGGGCGAGGTGGGCGAGATGGGCGGAAGAGTGAGTCAGTAGTCGTGATACGGCGATCATGGTTAAGATAGCAGACCGATCAGGGGCAGCAGGGTCAAGGTCAGGGTTTAGACGAGCAGGAGAAGCAGGATGAGTGGGCATGGGATAGGGATATGATTGAGTTCGTGGAGGGTAAGCGTTGTCGTCGAGAGGTATTAGATCGTGAGATGGATGGGAACGTCGATCGAGTCGGGTGTGCAGAAGGAGAAGAGGTATGTGATGTATGCTGGGAGCAGCAGCAGCAGATGACGAGGAATACGGGCGAGGCAGAGGCAGCAGAGGTGGAGATGGAGTTTGGGGCATTAAGTGATATAGAGGAGGTTATAAAGGAGACTATGGTAGAGTGGGATTATAAGAAGAGTTAGCAGTTGGTGCGATAGGTTGAGGCGGAGCGGAGGTTATAGGTAATGCAAGAGGTAAAAGAAGTAAGTAAGTTTAAGAGTTTATTAGCAGAGTAGGTTGGTTGTTATATAGTATGCAAGATAGCAGGAGAGGAAGAGGATTGGGAGCATATAATAGAGATATGTAGGTATAGGGGAATAGATAGGTAGGTATATTATAAGGCGGGATATAAGCAAGTATAAAAGGAGATAATGGGATTGAAGTGGTTTGTATTATATTTAGTATATTTTAATTGCGGATTGCTATAATAGATATATAATAGACAGATAGCAGTAAGTAAAGATAGGAGGTTATTTAGTAGGGTAGCCCGGGGGGGGGGGGGGGGGGGGGGGGGGGGGTATATTAATATGGAGATAAATTGATATTTTAGATTATAAATAAACTTTAAAGTTTATAGCTATATAGGATTTTCTTTTTAAAAATTTAAGAAAAATAATATAACTTATTTTAAGACTTATATATAAGGTATTAAAGTTATAGCTATTTTAGGCTTGGTTTGAATTTTTATAGAATTCTTTAAAAACCGGGTTTTAGGTAGAAATAGGACTAGGTCACTTGCTTATTAAATACGTTATATTAAGAAAAATTTAAGGAAATTCTAATTATAGTAAATAAAAAATAATTAAGTCAAAAAAAGTAAGCCCTTTATTTAAAATAGGTTATTAAGCCTTTATAAACATATCTAATATAGAAAAAGATATAATGTAAAATAAAATATAGTATATATTAATATGCTATTAATACTAAGACCTTAGTCTGTAGGCTATAAGTTCCTCTTAAAATATATACTTATTTAAGATAATTAGGGCATATTTAGAATTAAAGCCTAATATCCCTAGCAAAAGGCATATAGGTATATTAATATCTTATAAACTTTATAAATTAAATTATATATTTAATCTTATATAAAATTTATAAAGGTATTTAAATAAAGGCACTTTATATTATTTTTTTAAGAATTATTATATTATTTTAGGCCTCTAAAGTATTAAAAATAAATAAGTTAATTAATAAGAATTTTATAAATACTTTTTAAAACCCTATAAGAGATAAGTTAAAAGTAAAGGCATTAAGTTATAATATCTTAAGCTTAAACTAAGTAATATAAATAGCTAAGTATTAAGTAGCTAGATAGGCTAAAATTATAATATTACTATAATATATAAGGCAGCTAATATAAAAGTGGCTTATAAAATAAAAAAAGGTTTTATAAAAGAAATTAAGATAAACTAAGTTATTTAATAAGGATAAAGAAAGGTTTAAAGTACTAAAAAAGAGGCCTTCTAAAAGATATCATAATTAATATATTTATAGTAATAGTACTTATAACTAATTAATATATTTAGTTTTTTTAATATAGACCTTAAATAACTTTATTAATATATCCTAGTATTATATAATTTAAAAAAAAAAAAAGAAGGAAAATAAAAACTATTTTTTAAAAAAAGCTTTAATATTAATCTATTATATTTATAGTAATCCCTTAAGAAAAAAGCCACTCTCTTATAACCCTATAGTTAATTTTTATATACTTATAAGTTTTTATATATATTATATTGCTTATTACGGGTAAACTAGAGTTTATTAGTTATCCAGATTTAGTTTGTTGGTTGCCTTATGTTATGCTAGCGCCCTTTTATTTCTACTAAAATGAGTTCGTCGGTTGCCAAACAACGCGGGGCATAACAGTTAGGTCGGATAGCTGCTTTCCAAAGCCGATAAAGCAGCATCTAATACTCCTCGTTCAAGTGGATACATTCCTCAATTATTACCAGTAGATGTTTACTTTGAGTTTATTCATACGTCAATTAATAAGGAACTCTGTGCTGTAAGACCCTTACCCCAAGCCGGCGCTAGCTAACCTTAAGCACCAATCAGCGACTCGGCTTCGACCAAAGCGATAAGGACCAAATTCGTTAACCCCGGAACCCCATTCTGGTAGACGATTTGACTCAAATCGCCTGCAAATAGTATCTAGGGTTATGGCGAAGACCCTAAAGGGCAAAAATGATATTTAACTCTTTATTTGCTTATGATATATTCAGTGGTTTAAAATTAATTACTTAAGTAAAAACAGGATAGTTCGAGGTACTTATTATTAACCCATTTATATTATCAACTCACGTATCCTGTACGTCATATTATTTACCGACATCGAAATAAACTTCCACCATCAGCTATCCCCCTGCTATGCCCCAGCTGCTCTGGTAACTCCTTTTTCTGACTAATCATCTAACCCCCTTCACCGGAATCCTCTTGCACTCAACTCCGTCTGCCCCCCCGGTCCATGCCATATCATTTCCCACGCAAATTACCCTGTCCCAGGTACAACAGTCATCCGACGTGGGTCTCCTCTTTCAGTGAAAATGGGAGGAACCATAGAGATGTAGAAGTTTGTTGTGTTTTTGGTTTCTTGTCTTCGATATATATGACCGTATCTTGCTCCTTGTATCCACCCCTCACGGCTTCGCTACTTGCTCCTTCCGGAAGAACTTAAAAAAGCCAATCGGCAGGATGAGCTGTAGGCCGAGAGCTACCCAGAACCATGGCTGCGCTATGCCTGGCATTATGCCCTCGCTGAGGTCCGGGAAGACCGGCCCGGGTCCTATCTTGTCCGGGGCGGTCGCCCTGGCCAGGATGATAAAGCCGGAGCCGAGGATCTGGGCTCCAATCAGTGTAGCCGCCACATGCTGCCTCGTCAAGGTCAGGAGGAGGACCATGCCCAGGCCGACGCCCTGAATGGTGTCCAGGACTCCGAGCCAGAGCCAGAGACAGCGCGAGACGATGGCGGAGGCAACGGCGCCGCCGACCCACGGGAGGTACAGGCCGATACCCGAGATACCCCACAACATTTGGGCCCAGCGTGGGACGCCGAGGCCAATGGCGAACAGAGGCACAATCCATGGGTGCGTCTTCGAGAACATGCTGAAGATCCAGAGGCCGATAAGCCACAGGATAACGAAGAAGCCCAATATCAGCAGCACCACGGCCCAGCCCGTGACGGCCTTGGCAGCGAACAGGAACTGCCAGTTGCGGCCATACGGGGCCGAGAGCCAGTAGCTCTGCACGACCACCGAGAATAGGAACCAGGGGACGATATGCCTCCGGAGCAGTGACATGTAGAACGAGGGGATTTTGTCGGGGGACTGGCGGTAGTAGTCGGGCAGACCAACAAAGGAGACAACCCCCAGGAGCCAGAGGATCACTGCGATGGGTATGGTGATCACGAGAGTCTTGGGACCCGTGTTGCTGGTGACCATGCCATTGACCAGGCTAGTCTTGCTCGAGATCAGGCTACCCCAGTACCACAGTCCGACAACGTACAGCTGCTGGATACCCTGGATGATGGCCGCACGGAAGATCCATACCGAGATTGGAGCGCCAGCTGAAGCAACCTGTCAGCGATCTCAGGTATTTAAAGAAATGAGAAGGGCGGGTGGCCTTATTACCTTCATCACCGAAGTTCATCGCAAAGAACATCGAACCACTCGATGCGCCGGCCGCATACATTGCGGTCGCTGTGTCATGGAGAGGGCCGCGATCATTCTCGGGCATAAATGGCGTCACGCCGAGCAACACAAACGCGAAGCCGTAGAAGAGCCATGGCAAGCTGAGGGTATATACTGTCGAGAGGCGACGGAACGTCAACCACCACAGTATGCTAGTGACTCCATAGGTGCCGGCGACGATGTAGAGCTGGGCGGCCGTCTGACTGGCTTCTCCAGCCAGCAGCACGATCTGGTAGCTGTTGCTGGCCATGATCTGACCGATGGCGAGGATGAAACTGTATATGGGCCAGTCGCCGATGCGGATGCTGAGCCATTTCTTGAACCCTTTTGGCGGCTTGTAGCCGGGACCCAGCAAGAATTCGTCATCGCTGTCCGATCTGTTCTGCCACTCACCGTGTTGCATGTCGTCGTCCAATGGAGCCAAAGTCTCGCCGCTCATGCTCGGTGCGGGGGATCTCGTGCGCGATGGGGACCGGGAGCGGCCGAGCTTGGCATTGTGAAAGTGCTTGAACCACTCTTTCTCGCTTTCCTTAAGGTAGTCTTCGATGCAAAGATCCGTATCCGAGTTCTTGCTCGTCATACCCACCAGCTTCTGCTCGAAAGCCTTGTAGTACTCGCCAGTCACGTCGGTGAAGAAGGGTTCAACAATTTGAAGCTTTAAGTCGTGCCTCTCGCCAATGATGTTCTCGACAGACAGACGAGACGATCTCCACTGGTCGTCGTGTTGGAAGTTCAACGAGGCATCAGGGGGGCTTTGCGGGCTGTGACGGCCAAAGGCCTGCGGGCGCGTCTCGGATTCATCTGGCGACATCATGTGCATGGCGAAGGTATCAACACTGAGACGGGATCCGGGCTCGTTGCTGATGGTGGCCAGCGACGAGACGGAGGAGCTAGCGGACTGGTTCAGAAACATGGGGTTCCGCGGGAGGGCCGACTCGTCGGCGATATCAGTAGTCGCATTAATCGTCGGTGCGCTGGGAGTGCCAAGCGTGGGAGCGGCGGCCAGGTGAGCTGAGTTGACTAACGGGTTTGAGATAGCTCGGCGGCTTGCCTCAACATCGTAGTCCGTCTCGATGATATTAGGTACCGAGAGGCTAGAGGCACGCGATTGGCGGGCCGAGTGGAGGGGATCTTCGATGCCAGAATCATCTAAGGACGGCCTGTTACCACCAGGAGCGTGAAGAACCACGTTGAACGGCACGGAAAGCAGGGAGCCGCTGGTGATGCGCCTTCGCTTCTTGGCTTCACGGTTGTGGATGCGGATGGCCATAGACTGAAGCTTGTCGACATCTTCGACCCACTGGGCAACCGGGAATCGCTGCTTGGCGGACCACGCACGCATCTTTTGCCTCATCTTGGCCTTGCTCTCCAAGGCGCGAGTGATGGCCTCGCAGAATTGCTGCAACAGATGCTGTGGTGCCATAGACTCGATCGTGTACCAGAAACCGGGCATTTGACCAAGACCACCCACACGGGCACCGACACCGAGCGCACCCTGACGGCCGAACTCGACGGCGACGAGACCGAACGGCTCATCACGAGACGGTATCAAGGCAAACTCGGCGCCGCTGAAGATGTACGGCGGGAGGGCGGTGAATTCGGGCTTCGAGTAGACGCGCTTGGGGTACTTCTCCATGAGCTTCGCTAGCTTCAGGGCAGCGAACTTGCCGTACAGGTCGATGACGGGGCCGATACAAATAAGCTGGACATCTTTGTGCTTCTCCAGAATGGACGGGAAGAGATCAGCGATAAGATCCACACCCTTTTGGATCGACCAACGACCGACGAATACGAAGAGTTCCGCATTTGGGTTGATTTCGAGACCAGCCCATGCCTGAGCTTGCTTGCGACGATCGCCACGCTTAGACTCAGTCTCCATGTTGACATCAGCGTCCTTCTCCTGGGCCTCCTCGTCGCGGGTCCACTCTGCCATATCGCTGGGGTCGGGGTTCGGGAGCTGGCCAACCTTGGAGAGACCCCAGAAGATGGGGTAACGGGCGTACGAGCGATCGCCATATTTCTTGGACACACCCACAGCACCGAAACCCTTCTGGTGCACACGCAGGTAGCTGGCACCGGCATGCAGGAGGTTGAAGACCGAGCCGAACTGAACGTACTCCTTCACGATCTTGGGGTCCAGGTCGAACACCTCGCAGACCTCCTTGAAACCCTCGGCGGTGCGCATGGGCCACAGACCCTGGAATTCAGCGTTGTGCAGGGACAGAATGCACGGAATGGTGCGTTCAGGAAGGAGATGGAGCGGTGCGGCAGCGCCGTGGTAGTCGTTGATATGGTACAGGTCGGGGTCGAAGCGGCGTATGACCTCGGCGATACAATAGTTCCAGGCAGAGTAGTAGATGGCCGAGTTGATGTCGTCCATGCGGGGAGGGTAGGGATCGGACTTGGTCTGCTGGCGGAAAATCGGGGCGTCGAGCAGTACGTACGTGATGTTCTGGACCTGGTGATATTGCACGTCGATCTCGTACATCTTGCCTATACTGAGGATGTACATCGGCTCGGCGCGCTGGTCGACGGGGTATTCGACGCCACCAACGCACGGGACGACCCAAATCAGATCCTGGTGTTTCAGGGCCTTGCCCATCAGCTGAGCCATGACACCCAGACCACCGATCTTGACCTTGATGTTCCAGTCATCGATATTGTACTCGATAGTGGCGAGGAGGACCTTTCTGCGCGTGAGTGGAACATCTCCGAGTTCCCCTTGGCGGAAGTTCTCGAAAGATACGGAGCTCAGGCGGTTGGCAAGCTTGCCAAAAGGATTTAGCCCCTGCTTCTTGAAACCAACCTTGTTGACCTTGACCTTATAGAACGAACCCAAGAAGATCCACACAGCCGTCAGGCCACCAACGACGGGGAGCACGGCGAGCAGAATGAACATGATAATCTGGATCCACATACTGCCCTGCGGCTGCTTGGTAAACGTGAGGGTTGCATCGTTGAACAAGAGCTGGTAGCTGAGGTAGGGCAGAGGCGGCGGGTTGGTGGCATTTATCACGTTTAAGGCCAGCGAAGTAGGCGGCATTCTGTCAAGAATGCCATCGAAATCGACGTCACCATACACCCACGAGGCGTCCGGCTTGCCGTCGGGATTCATGCCCCATACGTTCAGCTGGAACTGGGCCGGCCACTCGTCCATCAGATGCATCTGCCAGACCCCATCGGAGATCTGAGACATTTGGTTGGCAACGCCGACGTCAAAGCCGAACTTGTTGAATGTGCCCTCTACGAAAAGATGTGGGAAGCGACGCTCAAACTGACTGGAGCTGTCACCGGCCTGCATGAAGGAGCTGCTGCTATGCAGCTGCGACCAGTACTGAACCATGACGTGATCACCACTCCACGACTGCAAGCTGGTACCGGACCACGGGAGTCTGGTAATTTCCCGTATGCCGCCGGTGTAGGCGGTCCAATTGCTCCAGGTTGAGCCCCAGTTGGTCGAGAAGCGCCATTTATTGGCACCTGAGGCGGAGTGGTTAACAAACAGCTTATTATTGTCGTTAATCACCAACGTCTTTGAGTAATTGGCTGAAGTGGGGAACACAATCGGGTTGTCGGCGGCGCCGACACGGAGCAGGAAGTGATCGACCGAGTTCATGGCTTCATGGTCGGCCTTGGTGCTCGCGTTCTTGATGGTGATTCGGTGAACGCCATCATCGACGTTTGTGAGAGTCGCGGAATAGCGGAACTTGGAGGGAATGGACCCAGCATACGAGGCCACCGGTTTATCCGAAGCCAGGGTCTTACACTTGGCTCCAGTGACCGTGACGTTGTTGCCATTCTCCGTCACCGAGGTGATGGATATGGCCTCGTTGAGACCGTCACAGTCCATCACTTTAGAGAACTCAAAGGTGATGTTCACTTCTCCGTTGACGGAGTTGGAGAGCAGAGGCACGTCGTGTCCGGGAGTGAACTTGGTGATCATAGGAGGCGGGCCTTTCCAGTCACTCTTGGGCACATAGGCGCGGAATTCGAAAGGGGCCATGGTGATCTCGGAGATGCAGCCGCTGTTCTTAGAGGAGCCAGAAAAGTGCCAGCTCTTCGTGGATGTGCCGAGAGTGATTGTATCCCAGGGGTAGAAGAGGTTCTTAACGGTCGATTTCTGGTCGAACGGCGCGTAGAAGGCCTTGTCCTCATCCTCGCAGTCGAACCTGTAGGTGGTCGAGACGTTCTGGTTGTGGTAAACCAGCCAAACGGGTGAGGAGGCGAACTTGCCCTGGACGGTCGGCTGGAAGGCACGAGCGACCGACCAGATACCGAACTCGGTCCCAGTCGTGTTGCTGCCGCTCAGGATGGTGTGAAAGGTCTGGTTTCCGATGGGCTGCAGCAACCAGGCCTCACTGAAAGTGTCGAAGTTCTCGCGCATGGCATACATGGACTTTAGGATGTTGCGGACCGGATGCGATGGGTCTCTGTGGTCATAGGCAGCCATCTCGTCTGTGCACCCGTGACGGGCGGCTTCGATCGGCCAGTTGACGTACTGAGTGCTGGCTCCAGTGTAGCAGCCATGCATCCTCCATCCCTGCGATGCCGTGAAGGCCTGACGGCCGAAGATGTAGTTATCGGCTGTGCTGTCTAGAATGTAAAAAGCCTGCTCCTCGCCGTAGAGCAGAAGCGGCAGGCCTGGCATATGCAGCGTGGTGATGAAAAAGCCCATGAGCAATCGCTCTATACCCTGCGCGATAGACGGCCATCGGAACACATCCTGGTTGCTGGTTCCGTACATGTGCCGCGGGTCGAAATTGCCGGTGTTCGCGTTGACCAGGTCGTTGGTGAGAACTATCTGGCTCCACATATCAACCCAGTTCAGCGGCAGATCGAAACCGGCCTCCAGGTTACCGCTCATGCCCAAGAATCGGGTCAGGAAGCGGTAGACCGAGTAGTGGAAAGCAGCGGCATCGAGGGCATTCTGTCCCAAGTCGCGAGTGGTCGAGTTTGCGAGCTCATCCTTCTTCTTCGTTGTCAGGTTCATGGCCGTGGCAATGTCATCAAGGTACTTGTCGGCGGTCCGTCCTCTGCCAAGGTAAATAGATCCGTAGTTGTTACCACCCGTAATTTCGCCCGGCAGGAAGAAGTTCTTCTTTCCCAACCGGGACGCGCACTCGCGGACCGCCGCAGAATGGTTGCCCAGTGCGTCGACGGTGATCTGTGTGGCCTTATCGAAACGGAAACCATCAATATCGAGCTGCTGGATTGTGATGCACGAGAACCTCTCTAGTCTCTCCCGCACAGAAGGGACCCATTCCCTTAGGCGATCCTGTACACTGGCGAACTTCGCCAGTGATCGCTGCCAGTCGGGGTGAACACCGAAAGCTTCAATATCGCCATACTGGTCAAAGTCGCTATTGAAGCAGCCAACCAGCTGGCTGGTCACATTGGTTTCGACGGGGTAACCGGTATCGAGGTAGAATCGAGGATAGTCGCAGGTCTGATTGTAATCGTTTGATGGGGCAAAATCCAGGTACTGGCGCCCCGTCTTGTAAAGAACATCGTGCTCTTTCGTGGAGAACGTCGCAGTATTGTTCTCGAAACCTTTAAAGGCGAGTAGGTCACCCATGCTAGTATTCGTTCAGATGCATGTCCCCAATCCTCTTTTTAGGGAGAAAGTCATTTCTCGGTGTGGGAGCTGCTTACGTCGAGAAAGTGTGATCCAAAATGACGTACATCCCCCGACTATGGGCTTCATCGACCATGTTCTGCCAATCCATAATAGTGCCAAAGTGGTGGTCAAGCACGGTAAAATCCAGAGGCTGTCTCGCTATTAGCATCAGACCAAATCGCCTACGTCTACAGTGATCTTTCCCCCCATGTTAGCTTGGGAAAAGAAAACTTACAGAGTAGGAGTCGACACCCCAAGGAAAGTTGATGAATGGGCAACCAGCAATGTAGATCACCTATGTTTCTCCAAGTCAGCTTATGCCCCTCGCCACATGCGTTAAAGAATATGTATAGAAGGCGGAACAAACCTTTACTCCCATTCCCTGGATGTAGTCGAGACTGTCCACTAGGCCTTGGAGATCACCTCCGTGCCGGAGCTGGTTACTCGTTATATCCTGCTCGTACACCGTGCCATTGATGTCGTCGTTTGACGGGTCACCATTTGCATATCTATCCAGGAAGAGTGTGTAGAACGGCATTCGCCAGTTGTCAGGTGACGGCCAGTAATCATGGTTTTTCCGGGCACCAGAGTACTCCAACGGGTTTGTTGCTTTCTTGTTTGTGTTCAGATTGTAATCTATTTCCGACGGGTCATAATGTAGACCTTGGGCCAAGGTCGCAAGAAGGAAGCTGAAAAGAAGCTTCATCGGGGCCATGGTGAAGCTGCCGCGCGCCCCCGCCGGGAGGATTAACTAAAACACAACACAGGTAAGGAAATAAGGATAGGAAAGAGGCTCACGATCAAGAGACAAGGAAAAGGAGAATGAAAGGGGGAGAAAAGTATTGTTGTGGCTTGACTCAGACAGGGGAGCAAAACGGACACAGGTCAAGTCAAGCGCGCATGAGCAGTCAGCAAGTGACCGTCATGAAGAGGTCGGAGGTCAGGGAAGCAAGATCGACCGAGGAGATGGAGAGTAGGAGCCACAGGCTTGGAGAGGAATTGAAGTCATGGAAGCTCTTGATTTCGAACTAGTTGAACCGGAAAAGAAAGTCTTTTAAATACATCAAGTGATAGCTAAGAAATTGAAGGAAAGGAGAGAAATTTGGACGGAGGTGGTAGTCGGAACCTCGTAACTGGAGCGCATTCTCTCGATATTAAAGTTTCAATTCAGACTGTGACTCCTACCATAGCAGCTCGAGATCACGAGAATAGCGCCACTCAGTCCTACTGTCATAGTCTTGTTCTAAGTTATGGGAGCTGATTTGCTGATGAGGACTTCATTCATGTCAGCGTCTCATCACCGAACGGATGACATGTGGTGGTGTTGGCCTCTTCAGTCTGGCACAGCCACTGGCCTCCGAGTCTGACATAGCCACAAAGACTTCGTGCTTCCAGATTTACAGTTTCAGAGAGTGGCGCAGTTTGGCGTATTTTACTTCTGAAGGGAGGTTGCCAGAACTTCGCCACATCCCCCGGCCCCTCCCGCAAGCTAGCCGCATCCCGAGACAAATGTGCGGCCGCAACACTTGTCAATTTCTCCACGAATATAGCTGCAAATACAAAGTTAAATCTACCATTCACACATTAAGCCTTTCATATGAGACTATGCGATTTTCAGTGAATTCTGCAAAGGATTGTGCCCGCTGCGCTTCTCATACCGTTCCGCCACTTTCTTGGCCTTGTCACGAGTCTTGATGATTTCTAGCATGCGTGCGAAGGCTTTATCAGGGCAATAATCTACGGCCTTCTGGCCAGCGGGTTCTTTAGAAGCTAGCCTTTCCCCCAGAAAGGTGTTCTCGCGAGCTAATTGTGCTAGGAGACAATTCTTGTCGATTTCCTTGCCTGCCTGGTGGATAGGGTCCTGAGGTCTCTCAATGTAATTAAAGCACTTACGAATGTGTTCCAATTGTCTCCTTATATCAGCGGTGCTGTGAAGCGTGCTCCTCTGCCGTTTCTCATCTATCTTTCCCTTCTTTGGCGTTGACGGGCGTTGAATTCAGAAGCTGAGAACGCTATGGCGGCTTTCATGTGGACAGGGCCCTATCAGCATCGGTTCGGTAGATGCCAGAAGTATAAAAACCGGACTGTATATTCGTATTAGTGATCGCTATCTACGACGCTGTGTTATATGCTGTGATGAAGTGTTGTTTTTGTACAAGCTCTGAGGCTTTGAAGGGCGTGGGTTCCTGCGTTTCTTAGTGGAAGAATGTCTTTAGCAGAAGACACCTGGACGCCATTCATGAACACAAAGGCCGCAAGTACAGGGCTTCAAGTTCATAGGTTCTTCTTTGATGCACATGTCATATCTTGACCATATATGGTAAGGTTTGCTATACATCCCTTGTACCTGCGTTGATCCTTCGTCAGTGGGTGTTGTTGAGATAAGAGTTGAGGCTCTTAGGCAAAACGGACAAATTAGGCGGCTCGGAGCGTATCTGCTAGACAAGGACAGCCAAAGTGATTAAGTCGCTAAAAATAGCTTTGCTTACCTCAAGCATCTAAAGAGAGAAAGGAAAAAAAAATTAAAAATTAAAAACTAGCTTATGCCTATTATGCAAGATTTACATATGCTGTTTATCACCATCTTCTACAGCCCGTTTTTGGCTGCCACTCTTGACAGGAGTACTCATCTGATAGCTACTAAACCATTGTCATCTGCGAAGTATCAACGGTCGCTATCAGCTGCCTCTCAGGTCGCGCATTAGTGATGCGGTTCTCGGCAAATGGGCCAGATTCGACGCCACCTTGCTTCTGTACGATTAACTAAGGATATACTTCGTGGGACTGAGTGGGAATTTACTTGATCCCGCACTACAAGGTACGGCGGGGGGAGAACTTCCACAGTTAACCTTCGTATTTCAACGGAGTCAACCCATCTTTAGTAGCGCCATCGGCAAATGAGTTACACATCTCTTCCATGCTGACTTCTGTATGGTAGCCAGTACAGTCAAGCTTAAGTAGTCTTGCAATGTGGCTGAGCTGCGGCTGAGGCCCCAGCTGTAATAACTATCTTAGACAAAGCCGGCTTCATGCATTTCGCGACGATTGACTCAACACAGTACATCCCTAAGCTGGCATGTGCAACGGCTCAAAGTGGAAGTGAGTACAAGGTTTGTTCGGTGTCTACGAGCACAGCAGTACGAAGGGAGAATATCTCGTTCTATCTGATGAAGCAATACTGCGAGAGTAGAAGGTGTTGTTGAAAGGTCTCAGTTCCATGTGTCGGAGAGAAGCACAACTCCTTACATAGTATCCACATCCCAGACACCAGCAGATCTGACCATCTTAGTCGTACAGTCTCAACAAAACAATGGGATCTCGGCCCGCGTATACGGTTCAACCACTTCAATTCAACGCCATCAATTCAATTTGGAGATACGGTGGTTCAACTCCACGGGCCAATGCTGAGTAAGGTGTCAACGCAACGCCACCCGAAGGCGAATTTGATGGAATTGAATTGATGACCAGCTTGCTTTTGCCGAACAATGCGGCATGAGTGGAACTTCCCACTCCCCAAGCCATCACATGTCGCCAGCACTTACCTGGGTCTTGTGAAGTAAACGATAAAACTTGATGAGGGGGCTGATAAATTCTCGGAATCGGCGAGGGATTCCCAGGCAAGAGGGCAGGTGTGACTGTTTTAAGATTTGCGGCAACTTCCAGGTGCCATCCCGTTGCTTTAAGGTTTGTTCCGCCAAACCACTCACTGGCGGGGTCGGTTGCCGCTAACACATGACAATCTCTTGGCACCAACTACAGCGTCGAGAGCAACAAGTATCGCAAATACAATTGTTAAACAGGTGCTGGGGTCTCACGTGCAAGCAGGGATACTTCAAGATTAGGCACCGAAAAGGTAGAACCTTCAAGGGCCAGATTTTTGACATAACATAACATGAATACACGAATCTGCATCAATGGACCGAATACACGTAATGTCTGGCAACAATGCGCCCCTACTCCCATAATTGTCGAAAGGCTCCCGCCAGGTCACTCTAGGAATATCTGTCTAATTAAAGTGCAAGCTCAGAAGGATATTATTCCATACCTAAATTATCCTACGATACATACCCTAATTATGTTTTAAGTTAACGTGCATGATAAGCTTATGTCCCAGACAAGCATGTGTCCTAAAAAATCCCTCAATCTCTCACTTTTCCATTTAATTAACAAAATCTCACCTAACATATATAAATTCAATAGCGAGGGTAATATTTATTAGACTAAGATATCTTATGTAATTAAGAATTAAATAATTAAATAGTTAGATATAAGGTTAAGGGATTTTTAATATATACTTATTTAGTATAATATATATAATAAGTATATAATATAAATAAGTATATAATATAAAAATCTTAAGCTTTTTAAAATAAATTATTTTAAAAATATAATAAATTATCTAATTAATTAAAATTAACTATTATACTTATTTCTAAAAGCTTTAATACCTTCTTAATAAGTTCTTATATTATATCTAGTTTTATTATAAATCTTATAATCTTAAACACTTAATTATATTAAACTTCTTTAATTATTATTTCTTAATAATTTAGTAGATACTTATATACTTATATCTATTTAAATAATTAAATTATAACCTTATTATATAATTATATTTATTTTATTTTATAAGTATATCTTTTTTATTTTTTATTACTAGCTAAGTATATTATTTACTTATTAAAGCTCTTAGTTTTTAGCCTTTAATAAGGCAGTCATATATATATTTCTCTTTATTATTTTAATTAAAAATTAAATAGCTTTAAGAATTAACTTTAAGAAGCTATTATAATAACTTTTAATTTATTTTTAAAAGTATTTAAATTATAACTTAGCCTTAAGGACTATTTATAAGGTTTTTAAAATCTAAGATTAAGCTTATTAAGCTACCTTTTTAATAAATATTAGAATTTATAATTATATATTATGCTTTAATATTATAACTTTTAAATTAAAAGAAATAAGGCTAGTTCTTTTAAAACCTCTTTTAATATTTAACTTAATTATAATTAATTAAAAGGTAATATAAAAGATTAAGAAGAAATTAATCTTAAAAATATAAATTATAAACCTTTTAATTAATTACTTTATTTCTTAATTATATACCTTTTTTAATAGCCTAAAATACTTAATATTAAGAAATTAAAATAAATAAGAAAAATAAAGTAATATATATATTATAATACTATTATTTTCCTTATAATATTTTAAAGGTAAAGAGCAATAACAAAGAAAAGACTACACAAGACAATATCTTCCAACACTTCTTAACTATAAGCTAAGTATAGACTGCTAGTTAGGTTTAATTAAGACAGGGTCTTTATTATAAGATAGAGAATTAAACAATTAGTTCAATAGTATCAGATATAAAGGAAAAGAGTAAAAATTGTATACAAAAAGAAGCATAAAAAGCTAAAGTCCTCAGGGGAATCCGTCCCTTTATGTCTGTCACCACAGGCATCCATCTGACCCCACTAACGAAGCTTAGACCTCTTACCCTGGAATGCTTGCCATAACTGTTATAATATATTTAAAAGTTAGTTAAATAATAAATTTTATAGCTACTAAGGATTAGAAAATAATATATATTAATTAATTAATTAATTATATATTAATTAAAATACTTTAATTATATATAGCCTATTTTATTATTTACCTAGGTATTTTAAAATATAATAATAGCTTAAGTAATTAAAAGATTACTTTTTAAATATTAATTAATAAGGTAATATTAGCGTATAATTATAATAAATAAATTAATTACTTAGCCTTTTATATTAATTACTTAAATTATTATAACTTATTTTTAATTTTTAAATTAAATTAATTTTAAGTTTTTATGCCTTTTTAAGCTAGTAATTACTATATTACTAAATATTATATTTATTATAAGGCTAGTTTTACTAAAGTTTTAAATATTATTTAATTAAATATTATATTTTATAATTATATTTTATATAAGCCTAAACTAATTATAAATAATAATTAAATCTTTATATTTAGGCTTTTAATAGTTATATTTTCTTTAAAAATATATCTTAAGCTATAGTTATTACTTAATAAAATTAAGAATAAAATACTTATTAATTAATATTATATTATAATTAGTAAGTAATTAATTTATTATTTCCTTAATATTATAATATTAAATAGAAAATCCTTATATATCTAAGTTAAAGATATATTAAGTTATAACTTATTCTTTTAAAGTACTTAATTTCTAAGAGCTTAATATATAATTATTATAAGCCTATTTGCCTTAAGATTAATAATAGAGAATATAGAAGTAGATATTATAGATCTTTATAGCTTATTATAGACTTAATTTTAGGTCTATCTAATAGGCCTAAAATATAAAAATAATATAAGCCTTAATAGTTAGTTATAATATATTTTTTAATTAAGAATTAATTAATTAAATAGTTAAGATATAAGGTAAGGTATTTTTATATTATATACTTATTTATACTATATACTTATTATATATATTATATATATTAATGTTTTTATAAAGCTTAGCTTATTAGCTATTAACTTAAAAATTTTTTATACTAATAAGTTTTATATATAGTATTAAATTATTAAGAAATATAATATCTAATAACTAATTAATATAATGCCTTATATCTTAATAAATATAAACCTAGTATAAACTAATTTACTTATTTAGAAACGTAACTATTATAATAAGTGCTTATAATTATAATTCTATATAATATTATAAACTAAGATTTAAAAAGTATATTACTTAAAGGGGATTTTAATCTTAGGCTTATAATATTAAGTAGTAATACTAAAGGACTTATAAATAGAAATATTAAATATAAATTTAATTAATAATAAGAATTTAAAGATTAATAGTATTAATAATAACTATAATAATAATATTAATATAATTAAGTTAGTATTTTCCTTTAATTAAATATTTTTATTTTAAATATTTTTAATTTATATTATTATAATACAAAGATTATCTTTATATTTATAGTCTTTAAATGCTATTATAAAATAAAGGATTAGGTTTAGTATTTTAATATAAAAGGCCTTATTAGGTAGCTATAAACTTCTTTACATAGGTATTATAATGGTGTGCATATTCCCAAGGCAAAACCCGCTCCCCCAAAGGTCCCAGACCATTTGGAAGTTCGCCTTCAGAGCTACCCTGCCTTGGGCGAAGTTGCTGTCTTGAGAGGTGGCGATGTCCCCTTCTTGGCAGTGCTGGAAATCCCCAAGTTTCGAGCGGACGAGTCTTGGGAAGTCAACCTCTGTTAAACATTCCATGATCGAGACTGGGAATATCTGCCTCTCTCGCCGGTCCAGAGTGGCAAAGAACCCCAGACGATTCACGCAAAACCCCCGCACTTGACCCGATTCTATTTCGACGCCTCTTTTTCAATTTCTACATCCTTCCGTTTCTCATTTCTATTTCGAAGTGGTCGAAATGAGGCGTGGCGATCCATCAGAGATAAGCAAGGGCTCGAAGATGGACAAATCATCATTGGTTCAACGAACCCATCAAACATTGACCATTTGCTAGGTGGTATCATTCCAGATCTCAACCCAGCGTGCGATCGACCTATAGATACAAACATCGACCAGACATTAAACGTGCGATCGTGGATGCTCAGAGCTACTATATCGGGTGCCGATGGAGAGAGCGCAGCGTTCGATAGCTTTGATATTGGGACCGCATGGGGCTCATTCTTAAAGTAAGCAGGAAACCAACTACTCTCCGAAGGTTTGCTCTCACGACATTGTTATGAGAACCAGTCCTTTTCTTGGGCTGACTGGGGTAACAGATGGTTTGCCCTCGTGCGCCTCTCCCCTTACTGGATTGCTCCGAGGCAGGGCAAATCGCAGTTCACACTTGACAAGGATGCAATCTTATGCTCATTTCTGGGTCCTCAAGGAAACCACCTGGTATTTTTAGCTGTGAATGGCTGGAATGAAGTTCTGTCTGGATTTCGATCTGCGCCTGACGGAGCCATCACCGTCCATGTATTAATGCCACCATCACCCCACAAAGACAGTTTACTGATGGCTTCACTAGGCACGAAACGACGGAAGCTCGCAGTCAACCTTAGCCGTTGTCATTGCGGCTGGAGACGATTTTGAAGCCGTAGTTGCAACCGCCGTGCGTTATGCGAGATCTTTTGTGGCCCAAGTCAATAATGACTGGGATAGCGTGGCAGCACCTTTGGCAGACACGTCTCGTCACCAGGACATGGAAGACTGGTATGATGGGTTAGGATATTGTACGGCTTGCCTCCCTTCCGTGTGCCCCTACAAGAGCGATCCCGATTAACAAGTTCTAGGCACCTGGAACGCCATTGGTCAGGACGTGACGGGCGAGAAGATACTTTCAGCCTTGTCTAAATTGGAAAAGAGTAACATCAACATCACGAATCTCATCATTGATGACGGTTGGCAGTCCACCGACAACGGAGAAAAAGGCCAGTTTCAGCGGGGAATGGTTGCATTCCAGGCCAATCGAGATGGTTTCCCCAGTGGGTTGAAGCCAACCGTATCTCTCATTCGGGAGAAGCATCCGAACATCCGACATATCGCAGTATGGCATGCCCTACTTGGATACTGGGGGGGCATTTCTCCGAACGGAGAATTCGCGAGCAAGTACAAAACTGTCGAAGTTGTTCGTGAAGATGCTGACCCTCGCAATCTTCCCGAGGGAGGAAGGATGACAGTGGTAGCAAAGGAAGACATTTTGCGATTCTATGATAATTTCTATCAGTTTCTTTCAGATGCAGGCATTGACGCCGTCAAGACGGATGCCCAAGGCATTGTCGATACCTGGATAAGTCCGTCAGTAAGAGCCGAACTCACCCCGTCATACCTTGATGCATGGACTATATGTAGTCACCGTCATTTTGGCATCAGGGCAGTTTCTTGCATATCGCAGACACCTCAAGCCCTATTCCGGTGCTACCTTCGCAAAGACCAGAGCAGGACCGTCGTGCAGAACTCTGATAACTTCTTCCCCGAAGTTCCAGCCTCTCATCCTCTCCATGTATAGATAAACGCACACAACAGCATCCTGACGCAGCACTTAAATATACTCCCGGACTGGGACATGTTCCAGACTGTCAACCAGTACGCAGGATTTCACGCTGCAGCGAGATGCATAAGCGGTGGCACTATCTATATCACAGATATACCAGGCAAACACGACACAGATCTCGTCCGGGAAATGACTGGCTCAACGCCTGACGGCAAGACAGTTGTTCTCAGGTTGAGCTCGATTGGGAAGTCAGTTCAACCCTATTCTAGGTATAAGGACGACTTGCTTTTAAAGTTGGGAGCCTACTACGGTGAGACCTCTTCACCATCGATTGAGGGACTAAATAACGCTGAAACACTTACAGGACCGTTGAGATCGCCTGTTCTTGCCATCTTCAATATCTCAACCCGCCCGCTAACAGAGCTTCTGCCATTCTCATCCTTCCCTAATATCGAGTCCACAAAGAGCTATGTAGTCCGGGCTCATTCGACTGGCACGGTGTCGGTGCCAACGGAAACAGAAGGTAGCTCGTCATCGGCAATATTTACCTCGTCGCTCAATGTTCGAGGATATGACATATTTACAGCATATCCACTCCAGATGTTTACAGTAGGAACCTGCGGGCAGATTGGAATTTCCAACATGGGTCTTCTGGGCAAAATGACGGGCTGTGCAGGAGTCATTTCAAGTTCTATCGAACGATATCCTAACCAACGCATTTTACTCACCACTGAACTGAAAGCACTCGGTACTCTCGGTAAGTTCTGTTCTAGTAGCGGAAGAGCCCTAGAAGTCATGCTAATATTATAAAGGGGTTTATATTACGCTACTGCCTGGCTTGGTTATAGGGGATAGTCTTTCAGTCTCTCTCTTTGGGCACTGTGTTGATACATTTACGCGAGTATCTACTACTAATACCTGCATGCTAGAGGTCAACCTAGAACTCGCGTGGCGGAGGGTGAGCACTATTTGTCAAAAGAACGCTTCGGTGCAGGTCTTGGTTTCCATACAGTGCCAACCGGTTAAGCTTTCATTAGCTTCAACTCAAGATGTTTTGAGCACTACTTATAACCTGGAATAGGAGCGACTTATTACTGTATTAAGAGACATTGGACCTATTTATCATACCTTTTAACCCTAAAACCCTCTGTATTCTCTGCTGTTATAGCCCTACTACTTATTGTAATAGTGAATTAGTTGATTTACCTATTCTTTATATAAGAAATTAGCATTATGCTATTGTATTATAAGTTAATTTACCTTTTTTATTTATATTAATTTACTATTTTTTAAAAACTAATCTTCTTATAATTAAAAAAGTATAAAAAGTTAATATATATTAAATAGATATATAATTAATTAATTACTAATATTATTAAATAAATATCTTATAGTTATAATAATATATTTACTAAACTTTAATAATAATTAGGATTTTAATACAATAGATCTTAATATAAATATATTACTTTTAGCCTAATTACTATTTTTATTTTAACTAATTAAAAAAAGATAAGCTATTAACCTAGGATTTAATATTAATTAATTAAATACTTTAAATATAAAGCTAAATATAAACATATAATAATTACTTAATCTAATAGATTATAATAGACTTTTTATCCTTAGCAATTTAATTAAATAAAGAATCTTCTTAAAGGTTATTAATTACTACTCTTATAATATAATATTAATAATCCCTAGAGATATATTTTATATTATTTAGGCTTTAGGTTTTAAATCTTTATATTTATTATATAATTAAAATTCTTAAGAATATTAGTATTATAAGTAGGGTGTAACTGTTACGATTTGTGCCCGTAACAGCGCTATAAGGCTCTATAAGCAGCTGAATGCACCACTGTAATTACTACAATAGCAGTTATAGGTATGCTACAGGTGCCTTATAGAAGCCTTACAGCGCTGTTACAGGCACTAATCGTAACATTATACTTTTATTCTACTTTAAATTATATTCTTTATTAAAATTTATAATATATATAATTCTATTAGCTTATATATAAGTTTTAAAATAAGCTATATTAATTTTTTTAAACTTTTAAAAGATTCTATATTATTAATATATAAAGAAATTAATAAAAAAAACTTTAAAAAAATATATTAACTAAATTATTATATATTATTATTAAAAAGCTATTTATAAATTTTCTTATTAGTTTCTTAAATATAAGGAAGTAATATAAAATAAGCTGTTGTTAATTATATACTATAATATAGTATTTATTAATTAATTATATTATATAAATTAAAATAATAAAATTGAATTAAATCCAATATGTAATTTAATATAATAGGCTTATTATATATAAACTATCTTTATTATAATACCACTCTAGTAGCCTAGGGATCCCCTAAGCTCAGTCCCAGTTTGTTTTCCACACCTTCTAAATCAAACTCTCGCCCCCTGCGGTATATCTTCTTTACATCATACCAGTGGGTATAGGCATATATGAACGTCATTAATACGATAGTGATAGGCACTGAAACGGCCCATAATTGCCAGAACTGTGGCTTGATTGCAAGGGAAGATGGGGTGAAGGGGGTGTCTGACTTTGTGACATCCACTATGAAAGGCGTGCCATACACAGAACAAACGACTGAGAAAGGGAGGAATAATTGGGCCATGTAAGACAGCACCTTCATTGCATGGCTATCCTGCTTCATCGTATTGCTGTCGTAGACCGTTTGGACACTAAAAAGCTGCACACGTCTTACTAAGCTTGTAGGAAACCGGGCTTGCGGTACTAACCAAGTTTATTGCGGTCTGCATTCTCTGGTTTGTGCTTAATATGCGCAATTTCGTGGAATGAAATAGCTGTTTCTTATACTCAAGGGACTGTTCTGTATTCTCCCATTTATCTGTATTGAATCCAGATGAGTTGTTCTCGCGGAGAGCATGATGTCGATTGCTGACGCTTTCTAGGCAAAGAATCGCAGCGTCGAGTACCTCAAGCATGTAGATGGTATCCTTGGCAATGATGTGGGGTCTCCGGAAGTCAATCTGGCCTATATGTCTTGGTACCGTTCGGCCACAGCGTACGAAGTTGAAAACCTCCTGAGTAAATCGCAGATATCAGTCGCCCTGGTCAGGTTCACAAGGAATTCAGACATACCTGCTCAGTCCTGCGTGCCGCTCTTGTAACACCCCAGGAAACATCATCAACCCGGCAAAACCATGACTCGAAAATGATTTGTATCAGTTGAAAGGGGTCATCCAAGACATATTCCCAAGTGGGAGATTGGTGAAGCATGTTGACCCGGTCCACGAGTTCAATTGTAGACTGGAAACACAGCATTGAGATCCGACGAAGTCGACACCTTCCTGGTTCGGTGTCGTGACCATTGCCCAGCGACCACCTTAGGAACACCCAAGGTTTGAGCCAAACTCTATGATCTTCGTCATCTCGCTCACCTCCTTTGTCGCGCAGTTGTTTGAGTCCCTTAGATGGTAGCGGTATGAGCAAATGCAGCCAAGTTACTAGTAGGTTAGTTAATGTTAGTGACTTATTGCGCACAAATGGCCTCTCACCTTCAGATCTATCTTCAAGTCGCTTCCATCCAAATGTATGTGTAGGTGAAGACTGCTTCTCTGCCTGAAATACATTCCATATCTCCTCATTTCCAATTACACTATTGAAAACTGCATAGAACCTCTCATCGTCGGAATCGGTGCTACCGGCGCCATATCCGGCGTTATCATCAGAGACATGGAAATATCGAGACTTGTAGGGGGATGCGCAATATGGATGTCTTTCTTGCAACGCAAGCTTCAATTGCTGGGTTAAAATAACATGCCTGAGCTGTGTGCAAGGTGATATGTTTAAATTTGCATAACATCGCAAAAGGTCTAAGGGAAGCAAGTCATCTCTTCCGGACTTACCTCACAACGACTCTCAGATCCCATTGCGTTTCAGCACCAACATTGGCAACAGACTCGATGCCGGAAGTCGGTTCGCTGGCTTACAACCGGGTCAACTTCAGTGGGACAAAAAACATAACCACCAGTAGAAAGATCACTTTACCTCTCGACCATCGGAATACAAAAACTTCAGGCTCAGACATCCTTCGTGTCCGCTTCGGGAACTGTAGGGTCTAATTGGATTAGGATGCAGTGGGGAGACTGTCTAAACTTAAATATAAGCTTGAATATATTACGCTTCTTCTGCATGTGAAACGGATTCCTCCGTAATTGCAACCAGCTCTGTTCTAAAAATAGGAGGGTTTAACTGCCTCGCTTCTTTGGCATGTGAAACGGATTCCTCCGTAATTGCAGCCAGCTCTATGCTAAAAATAAGAGAGTTTAACTGCCTCGCTTCTTTGGCATGTGAATAAATTCCTCTGTCATTTTAATGGTCTATTACTATAGGCTCCGACTGGCTGACGCAGAAATCTCTCCACACAGTCGGACGCAGCAAGACGGCTGTAATGCAGGTCACTTTTTATCGAAAGTTCACCATGCCAGAGTGCCATCTAAAGAAGTTGCCGTCATGTTGAATTGTTTGCCAAATCAACGTACTAGTCATTATGTCCTACTAGAACGCCATAAATAGCAGGGAACAGTAACTAGAAGATCCTATATCTCCAGCATCGAACTTGAAGGTGCAGAATGGGTATAGATTCGACGAAACCGATCTCTCCAAAAAGGACACCTCCCTGCTCAGTGAGATTAAAAACAACTGAGATCAACTAGCGAAGCCTTCCATCGAGCACCGAGGAGCTATAGTCCAAGTCTGCCACGCATATACTCCATGATAGGTAGCCAAGAATTCTCACTTTGATATTTGTTAGACTTTGAGATGGTGACCATGCGCCCGTTGCTAAATTTACGATGGTCAACTCCCGAGTAGTCAGAATTTCTACTAGGCTCTTTCTGGGTTCTATTTCCTCAGGTGCACTGAAATGGTGTGCATTACTGTCATTCGATCTCCAAACCACTGGGCCGTTGTTTGGTCAACTGAAAAATGAAACTTTTCGTGTTTCGACTTGGTGTGACCACCTAATGCTCGAAAGGTTTCATATTCGGTAGACTTCCGTACCTCTGGCATGCTGCTAAATCTTAGTCCCGGTTTTGGGTGGTTCAAGCAACAAAAGCGGGGGATGCCCTGGACTAACCGAAAGAGGTTTTCTCAAAAGCCATAAATAGGAGATTGCAATCGGGAGGAACGTTCATGGTGAATATCTTTCCGAATGCACGACCACAATTTCTGTTTATATCCAAGACCTTAACGCTAGATCTGTACGATCGCATGGTTTGTCATACACTTAGAACTATATTTAAGTCTTTCTTAACATCTCTCTAGGAGAAGACTGATGAACCGCACGGTGGACGCCATGATCCAGACCAATCACTGGTTACCATGTACTTGGTTCGCTTGCCCCCCACCTTTACTCATTTCTAGGTCACTTATTTCCGTAGGATCGTCTGAAGAAAAACAATGTATCAGACTCGGTTTCGCAGAAATTAAGCCAACAGCCTAGCGGAGGCGAGCAGGGAACCGGTAGGTAATGCTGTGCAAGATTTGCAATCCTTGGGCTGATATATTAGTGTCATCAACGGAGCTGGCAAATGAGCGTCTCCAAACTGCAGATTCACACACGCAAGCCCAGAATCCGCCTCTCAAGAAGGAGTGAGATAGTTTTGCTACACAATATACCTGACCCCTCGTTTCAGCATGTCGATTGATAGTAGAGATGTTGGCGGCTGGTGGTCAGCCTTCGTCAAAGGTGGTTTCAATTGGCGTTGGCTCGATAGTCCAAGGCTGTTTTATCGACCGAAACTCCGATACAGCACACAAGGGAAGTATATCACTTTTGACGGCATGGGGAGAGAGAGATTGCAGGATGAATTATTTGACGCGACAATCGACCCCGAGACAGCGGAATACGTAGAGTTGTATGTTCAAGCTCCAGCGGATCTCTGTCTCCTCCCAAACGCAACGTGGAAGAGAACCGTCATCCGAAACGTGGCCCCACTTTTCGTTCGATGCGCAAACATTCCTTTTAGTTATGTTCCTGAGGATAGGAGGTATAGCTTCTCAAGCTATAAACCTGAAGATTGGGCGGCTGTGGCATTCATGTGGATCCCATCCATGCTTCTTCTACAACTTACCGTGAGCACCTCCTCCTAACTCCAGTTGTGGCAAATCTGTACTGCAGCTGACAAAGACGTCCTTAGATGTTGATTTTGGACTACGATCAGCCAGCTGGGAAGAATTCCTTGATGTATGTGCCTTTACTTTACGGTGGATATCGGTACCCGCGTCTTGCAAGACACTACAGCGAAAACAGACGAGAACTTGCGGTGCGGCGCGAGTACGATCCGTCTTGGGCATCTTCCACCATTGGTACCTACAGGACTTTACGTCCAAGGCGTCTATGTCATCTTAATTTTGAGCTGCAAGTCGACGAAGAAGGCAATTGCCAGGAAGCTGTTGTAGGGTATAATCTTCGGTTTTTGGGACCAGTAAGATGGTAGGCGTTTCCCTTACATTGTGCACGCAACTAACTCAAAAAGGACGACAATACACCGTACGTATTTGTAGCCTACACAACTGCACAATTCAACATTCGCGAGGGAACCAACGACTACGAAATGCTCATGGCCCTTGCCCTCACTGCAACCGGAGAATATATCAAGTCTATCCAAGGCGCGCACCACAAGCCAAGGGCCATCTGGATGGCTCATTCATGTACTCCAATCGACAAATATCTTGCTGATGATGGGACGGAATGTTGGATTGACGCGAACACTCCGCGAGGCAGGGTCCTCCAGGAAAAGCTCATGAATGATGATGTAAGCCCACGACTGCACGTCTCACCTAGAGAACTGAACTGATATCCTCTACTCCAGACTTACAGTATCAGCGACGTACTTCGGGGAGCGGAGCGTGTAATCATTATCGCTGGCAATCCACTGAGGCCAAGTTCGAAAGACCCACTCAAAGAATGGGGCGAGAGAGTGTGGACACTTCCCGAAATTCTCCTCGCCAAGGGAGACAGTGTCAGCGTTTACTACTCCCTGCATGATGGCGGCAAAATTGAATCAATTTCGAAATCGATGCTTCCAAGCCTCGCCTGGGAGGATTCTGCCCAATCGCGGCAACTTATCGACCATTTTACCAATCTTCACCTTAGCCGCCTGGAACTGATGAAAATCACGGTCGAGTGTCTGATGAGCCGGAACCTAAAATCTCTGTATGCCGGTGACCGGACTTACGCTCTTATGGGCCTGCTTCGTATCAGGCCTCCTATAGATACTACCGACACTTCCTTCCAGGCCTTTGCTAGGTAAGTCGACTTCCTATCATCAGATTTGTATGTTAACAGTCCCAGGCTGTCTCTGCCTCAAGACAATGATAGGCTGATGGAACGGCTAATATGCTTGCTGCCAAATGACCTGTCGGAAAGCTGGGAACTGATGACAGATCAATACCGATGCAGTCTTTGGGATATCGAACCTGACACACAAGTCTGTGGGGTTGGCGAAAACGACAGTGTCATCATAAGCGGTGCAAAAGGGGCATTAATACAATGGGAAATGTTCAGCCCCGTTGAGACGATTCAAAGGCAAACAATGAAACGGATGGTCTTTTTACTAATCGTCATATACTCACCATTTCTGTTTTACACTTCAATTGGTTTGATCAGCGCAAGCAACAAAACTGCTGGAGGGATTCTTCTAGCTATAACCTTGATATTCCTCATGTTGCCATCACCATACTACATTTGGAAGATCAACGGCGGCAAGATTCACGCCTCAGAGCCATGTTTCTTTGGCGTTGAGGGTTATCTACCCATTAGCATCATTGAAGAAAGAATCTTCGGCATGTGTTTGAACCGTCTGCAATGGAGTCCGTATGGATCTCCACTGTCACGGCACATAGAAGGGACACCCACCAACGAGCGCCACATACAGTACTCAGATTCGGCATCGGGCTCACAGATTCTTCCAAAGCAGGCGGGTACGATTAAGACTTACCCAGTCATTCCCATCGATCCGACAAGCCGATGTGTACATTGCGCAGGCCAGCCAAACTGCAACTATCACGAGACGGTGGCCTCGATCCGGGAGAAGAGCCGTAGCCATATGGGCCGCCAAAAGGTTTTTACTCTGGTGGATACGTTCAACATGACAGTCATGCTATTCTCTGCAGAACGGCCACCAATCGGCTTGATTGTCGGAGGTTCTGAAGGCGGCATGAAGCGAGCCATCGCATGTTCGTTGGACTTGGCTACAGGAGCGCTCTACCGGGAGACGGTCATTCGCATTCCAACCAGATGTGCCGAGAGGATGGATGCTTTGGGTCGTGTTCGGCTTGGCCTCAGGAGACCGTTCCTCGAAAGTGACGTTACTTTGGGTTATAAGAAGCCCAACCATCATCCTCCATCACGTGGGAGCTTTGAGCTTAACATGCACGGACAGAATGTGCAATCTGAACATTCAATATATGGTAGCAACCAGCAGCTACACCCACGGCCCCCATCACCGCCACGGTAATAACAAGGACAGTAACATAAACCCTAGGGCCAAAGGCTAGAGATGGTAAAGCGAATTTTAAGGCGTTATTGTTACTAAATAAGGACTAGCATTTAAGGGTGCTTTAATTAAAATATATTAATCTTAACGTTAAGTCCTTTAACTTTTACTAACTAAACTTATATAAAACTTAATATAGTTCCTCCTTAAAACCCTGTATAATTACCTTATATTTATTTAACCCTTATAGGTTTATTGCATTAAGCTTGTAGATAATATATACAGCTTATTACTTTATCTCTTAAAGCTACCTCTTATACTTATTTAAGCACTTATAAGTTTAGTTAAGTTTAAAGGCTTTTAAAAATGCCTTTTAGTATTTACTTAATTATGGGGTTATCGCGGGGGCGAACGAACAATTGGAGGCGGTGGGATCATTCTGGTTGAATAAGGAAGTTCCCCGCGCCTGAACTTAGAAATGTTTCAAGTCTCCATACTTCAATACCAAATAGAGGAACATCTCAGCTGGATTTGAAATATCATGTCAAACTGCAATGTCAGGTACCCGCATGACTTGGCAATGGCTATACAGTCTAGGCGGGAAGCCATTGGCGTTCTGTATCGGCTTTGAAGAGTTCCGAAATGAAGCGATGGGTTCTATTCGATAAAACGGCTAAAAAAGACGTGTATTGTGATCCTGAAACCCGGCCACTTCTCTTCTTGGCGATCGGGGGCGGAAAAGGCATCGGAAAGGAATGAAGCATCTATTCTCATCCTCCTGTTCTACTCTCTAAAGCATTTTTCGAGTATAAAGATATAGCCATAGACTTGTGTTTAAATATTCGAGTCCTATAAACAATATAGAAGCAAACACCAGACACTAGCAATTTATTCCAGCCATCTTTCATTATGAAGCTCTGTGTTGCCATTTTTGTCCTTATCAAACTTGTCACCACCGTCCAAGCTGTCCGGTGGAATCTACACAGCAGCTGCTGTAAGTGATCCTTATCATTTGTCACCCAGAGGCACCTTCATAACATCAGCAGACAACAATGTCGTATAAAGAGATGCTCTTATTACGGCAATGGAAGCTGCCAAATCAAGATCTGCTCTCTGTGCATCCAAGATTGTTTCTAGCAATCCGTTGGATTCCTTCAGGAGGCTTGCCCATTTATTCGTTAGCACTGAGGATTCCAAGATACTGAAGGGTATGATATCAGTGACTGATTCTTGCCTTGTATTTGCAAGGAAAGCTAATATTACCCAGAAAGATACGAAAAGTTTGCCGGTCTTGAGGGCCCCATAGGAGCAGACCGCAATTTCGCGGATTCTCCTGAGTGGACGGGTCGAAACAATCCTTCCCATACAGACTCGTAGGTGACCCGATAAACTTGCTCTAGCCTGTTTATTAATACAACTCAGGTTATATACTGTGCTCCGGACCTAGGCGAGTATGATGATGGCTTGAACGGACCAAAGAAATGGGATAATGCAAGACAACGTGTTTTGGCAGACAAAAGCGCTCTTGTGTTGATTCAAAAAGACATTGCAGCACAGGGATGGGACGACAAAAATCTGAAGGTTGAGGCAACCACAATAACCGCTCCTCCGACACTTCTTACAAGAGAAGAGGCTGCAAGAATATCTGACACCATCACCTTTAACCCCATCTGGCTAGAGCACAGGATCCAAGAAGGAGGCTTATTCTTCAGTGACGAGACCTTTGAGAAGATGAAGAAAAAGGGTGCCTTGGCTGAGCTCAAGAAGGAATGGAAGGACGGCAAGAGAGCTACTCCGATTGACTCTCTGATTGAGGATCTGTCAGTCACGCTTCATCACGAGGTAAGCAAACCACAAACAAAAAGGAAAGCATGTAGTATTATTAGGCTGACGCACAGTAGATGTTCCACCTTAGCGCATTCGGCAGTCACAATGACTTACCCGCCCCCGATCCGCGTGCGTACTTTTGGATGAACAACATCGAGTATAGATTCAGAGACAACCCGGAACTCATGGCGATCTTAGCACTTATCTTTGACTTGAAGCAAAACAGAAAGGTTACGGTGAACAAGGATGGAGAGTTGAAGTAGTAATGTTTGTTGCAAGACTATTGCACCCATGTTATAATGCGGGATTATCCTATCAACAACGCCAGCTTTCTATAGGTAGAGTTTACTTTAGTTATTATATTGGATTCTTGTTTTCTATGCCGCTGACTTCCTTGGTACCATCTCCCTTCATGAATGATATTGTATTATGCCTGGCTGTTGAATCTGTATGTTTCTGTCAGTGTTCATACCAAGTATGCCTAGGGGTTGAGACTTGTGTTAAATACAATTGCCTAACTTAGGAGACCTTGACCATGACTCGTAGCCCATCTGCTTGCTCGTCAGCCAAGAATATTACACCTTGATCGTTCTTTCGCGACATACCCATAAACTGACAAAGAGATATTTCCCATAATGCCGATCCTCCATATCTTTGCTATCCGATATGGCCATGAGTTTGGTAAAACAAGCCACTTTTCCATGCCGGGATTCCTTGACCGATTGCTACGTCTTGCGATCTCTTTTCATCCATTTCCCTTTAGAGTGTATAAATCCCACCAGTCGCGTTACGCCCCGACGTTGTGATGATGTCGTCTCACCTGGAGCGAAACTGGCCTCTTGTGAATAATGAACGTGGGTTTCAGCTTGTGGATTATACGCCAGTCTGACCTCCTAACGAATATGCCAATGCTAATGTACCGTTGGCAACCTACTGACATACCTGTCTGTGTTCGAATAGACATTGCTGTCTAAGCGTTCAACCTGAATGACTGGCAATAAAGCTGGATGAAATCTATCTCCTGCACCTCTTCGCCATATCCGTAGGTGCGTATCATCATCTACATAACCGTCTTCAGGTTCAGAAACATGAGCCAGAGGCATGCTCAGCGTAATATTTCTCACTTGTTTCACGGGTAACAAGACCTGCTTGAGAAATTCAAGGTCTAACCGAGTGATATTGTAAGGGCTCTGATCGATATTACCTGCATTTTCGTCCAGCAATAAAGCTGTGGAGCGGGCGGCGACCCAGATGTTATGGGCCGTGAGATTCTCCAAAAGATCAAGGCGAAGCCCATGGAAATCGAGAGACGCGTGACGCTCTTCTGGTAGTGGTGTTAAAATAGGTGATGAGCACGGTAACAGCATAGGGAAGACTGGTTCTAAGGATAGCTCGAGGTGCCTGCCATAGGTGCGAAAGACTGGCGGCGGAATGGCTACATTGATCTCTTCTTTCCAGAGTTCCGGTACCTTGCAGAAACCAACAAACATGTTGAGGGCAACGGTGTCTGTGAAGATGAAAGCAGTCGATTCATAAATCGACTCGAGGCATTCTGAGGAGCTGGCAACAATAGTTAGTAAATAGGCTATATGCGTAGAGCTGCGGACCGGGCTCTAACATGATCTTGCATGATAGTAGCATACTGAAATATGGGCTGCACGTCGACAAATTCTCTGAGCTCGATTTATGGCTACTCCAGCAAGGCCCTCGAGAAGAACAGGTTCGAATACCAGGATCAGCATCCCTGCCATAGACCTTCACGATACGTTGGCCACAGGCGAAGTGGTTCTTCCAGGCAGAAAACAGCTGCAGGGCATAGGTTTTGCTGCATAAGCTGTCACCTAAAGAAGCACCAACCTCGATCCTCGTGGCTTCAATCGTTTCTTGGAGCTCGTCTTGTACAGAAAATGGCGTGGTACATTTCCAGCGACAGAAGTGAGATTTGGTTTTGTCATCTTTATTACGGTGCCAGATAATGTGTTGGCAAAGACCGCAGGAACGCCATAGCTCAAGATAGATTCTATCGCGAACTTCCCGAGGCAGATGAGTAACAAATGCGGACTGATGCTGGGGATCTGGAAGTTTGTTAGTCATTTTAGGGATTATTGTGCGTTATGATGATGTTAAAGCAAAGGATGCAGCTCCCCTCTACCCCGCCCGAAGAGTACTCACACTGTTTCAGCCCCCATCTTACAGAGGACAATGTGCTATATTTAGGCACTGTCCCCTGTCCTGACCTCAAACCCCGCGCCAGGAACGTATAATCCGTTAGCTATGGTCCCTCGTAGATGTCGATCCTCAAAGCCATAGTAGCCCATATGCTCTCATCGCAGACTCCAAGGCGTCAGGGATTCTGGCAGTGTGTCGACCAAATCTCTTCATTGTGGCTGTGTGTACACTAACATTTCATCACGGGCACAAACTACCCACTTCAATTTCAGGCCTGCAAGTAACTATCTGACTAGATAGTTTGAGCCACAGGCAATTGTACACTTTCGGATAGAGTCACCTTGAGGTCACAGCAGTCTACAATGGGGAGTACACCTTATGTTACCCATTAACCATCACAGGAACGCTAATTGCATCAGTAAATGTATTTTGGTTACTCCAAAGGCAGTAAAACTGTGATATTTTCCATCGAGTTGGAGGTAACAACTGACGTTGCAAAAGACGACATTCTCGAATAACATCTAGCACTAAAGGCCTATTAGTAATATCATTTATTGCTTTAGAGAGTTGATTACTAACGCAGATAACCTATTAGTACTTGTTACCTCTTATTTTGACAAGTAACTTACACTTCCAACGGCACCCTGCCAGTGGCATCCTCTTCCCTGGGTGTCGGCCAGAGCGCAAGTATCGCGTCTCCAAGGGAATGCATTTGGTTCTGGGTTCTCACCCCTTGTGCCGGACAAAGTGCCCTTACTAACGGTTAACTACGTTCATAAAGCTCGATGATGGTACATACGCAGAAATAATGGACATTGGGATTACCCGCGCATTCCTTGCTATTGAAATCGGCTGGCTTGGCCCAACCACTGTTTGTCCACCAGGGATAGTTTGCCGACACGGCAGGGAGGCAAACAACAAGGAGGCCAAGGAGTTTCATTGTGGTGGTAGAGGAAATCAATGTATAGTTGTGTAGTCGAGAGTCAAGTAACAAATAACAAGAGTGATGCAAACCAGGTGGATTGGTTCGTTGAGGCACTGGTTATTTATACCAGGAGAGATAGCATCAAGGTTTTTTACTGCTTTGTTCACCGCTGTTGTAACAAATAAATTTGTTATTCCAGAATGGATCTTGAAGCTCACTAGACAAGTGAAAGTACCATATATAACGATTCAGGGACATTGCAGTTAATATCTCACCCCCACTTAACTGGGGGTTGTTAGAAAGTATGAAAGATTGGGAGAAGTTTAAATTCAAGAATGGAATAAAGGGCATTTAATAGACCACTGTAGTAGACCATAACCAATAGGTCTGCGGGCTATTGCAGGCTACTGTGAGGTTATAAGCAGTAACTCCCTCTCTGTAGCACTTATCTAGTAGTTTTATAGTCAAGTGAGCAGCTAGGTTATTGTATATATCCAAAAATGCAACAGAACTGCCCTTGAGTCAGTCCACCTGAGACTTATTAACCGTGCGTACCTAAGTTTTATGAGTTGTCCACTTATACGAGCTTTGCTGAGGAACTCATTACGTGTAGATGTCAGCTTCAGCGAAATGTTCCTATCTGCACCTAATACCTCGGCGAGCCAACTTGGAAGAAAATACCCAGTTGAGCATTCGACAAATTCCAATGCCTCAATCCTTAGCCGTGGCTTGTATTACCTATGGAATACGCTGCTTGGTGGCTTATAGCTAGTAAGTACCTTTAGAGCTTCTATGTATCATGCCACCTTTCCGCTTTCTGCCAACTTCAGACGAGAGTCGCGCCACTGCAAGCAGTCAGTTTAACAGCTTTTTGGTATTAATAGTGAATGGGATTTACCTTGCCACATGAGATCGGTTCATAGAGAGGAGGGTTCTCCTCGTCGATACACGTCGACACAACCTCGCAGACCGCATCTGGGTTGAACCCCAGGAAGAAGGGCATGGCATAGCGAGATGCCTTTTGCCGGTTGTACACCCGATGAACAGTTGACTTGAACCTGTTGTTGGAGAGCCTCTGTAAAAAGTCACCAATGTTGATGACCAGGGTTCCCTCAATAGGCCGTGCGTCGAGCCACTCATCATCTGCCGAGAGAACCTGCAGACCACCAGACATGTCCTGCCAAAGCAGTGTCACGCATTGGATGTCCGTATGTGAGCCAATCCCGACGTCGACATCCTCGGTGTTGCCGGTGTCGCTAACGTCAGTGCCGGGGTAGTGGATGTGCACTGCGTCGGCGCCGGGAGTAGTGATGATGGAGTCAAAGTAGTCCTCAGGTAGTTCGAGAGCAAGCGCGAACAAGCGGATGAGCTTACGTGCTAGCATCAGCCGCTTTTGATAGAACTTGGTGAGAATAGGGCGGAAGTTTGTAAGATGGCTTGTCCCGTCCCAGACATAATCTGTGGAATCGAAGTTGGAATTGATATCATCGATACAATCATGGGTTTGGTCGATGCGAGTATCATATCGCATGGAGAAAGTTTCCTTCTTGTCTACAAGATGTGTGAGTGAATGGAGATGTGGATCAACGGATTGCCTACCTCTGGTTTCCTGATTGTTGATCTGCGTGCTTCCGACTCCGTGATAACCACAGAACTTGCCCGCCTTGTCAAACGCGACCCGATCCTTGTCTTTTTGTTCCTGGTTGAAAAAGGCCTTGACCTGTTGGAGAGCTTGCTCAATTAATTCCTGGGGAATACCGTGGTTGCAGACGTAGAAGAAGCCCGTGTTCTCTGCTGCCGCTTTGATCTTGGTGGCGAGGGCTTTGCGCGCCGTCGCATCTCCGTCGAGGGGACTGAGGTCGATGATAGGCATTTCATCAAGGGTTGGAGTGCGTGGCGAGCCGCAACGCACTCGGCGGGAGACCGGTCCATCCGGTGTCATCAGCTGCACCGTTGTAAACGCCGCAACTGGGGCTGTGGTCTCGACTGTGGTTGTAGCCATGATGGTTAATTCAATCACCTAAACGCTGTCGCTTGTACGGATAGGTGTTGAGGTGATAAAAATGCTGCTGATGAAAGGGATCTGAAGTGGGGAAAGACTAATGATACAAAATGACTGAGACTTGATTGTGGTGATGCCCAGTTTTCCTGGTTGATGATACTTAGAACGACAAACACCTGCCCCGGAATTGGCGATCTCATATAAGATAACGGATGAGCATTTGATGTAGAGTCGTTGAAGTTGCGCAATATTTGCGCGGCTCTAGGTTAGGCGCAAGACGGAAACCGTCGGAGATGGGATCCACGATTGCCGACGGGGCTATCCGCACTGGCTCTTATGCGGAGTTCCCCGTTCCCCTATCGCTGGGAGTTCAAAGTTGAGACCCACAGAACTGACCGTTGTATTGGCTACACTGGGATACTGCCCTGCAAGCACACGGCTTTAGTGCGACCTGCAATTTGTTAGAGGTTGGCTATCATCTGTGGGGATAGATAACAGCGTCACTAGTGTAGCAACCCTGACCGGCGACCGTCGGACATGGCGTCAACACCAATGAGGATGAAGTCCTACAGATCTGACCTTATCAATTCTACATTCCATCTTTGTGGTTGGTCCAAACTCGGCATGCTGCATCTTATAAACATCAATCCTGGTCCTGCACTTACAGACAACCCTTCAGAGTTGTTTCTCCTTGTCATAACGCAACGTAGGAGAAATCATGGCCGCTCTCCTCTCCAAAGCCCACGACCGTCTCCTCGTCAAGAAACATTTTGCAGATGGAACGACCGAACCAGCCAACTTTCTCGACAATGACTCCATCCGACCAACCCCAGTCAAGGACCGGACGTGGACTTCCATCACATACTCAGCTTTCTGGTTCGCGGCCACGGCCAACGTGAGCAATCTGTACGCAGCCTCTACCGGTCAGTCCGCTGGGTTGAGTATGTGGGAGGCTCTGGCCTGCTCGCTTGGCGGCCAGTTGCTCGCTGGTTGTCTCATGGCGCTGAATGGCCGCGCAGGTGCATTGTATCGTATTCCCTTTCCTGTCGCCTGTCGAGCGAGCTTTGGGACTTGGGGTGCGTTGTGGCCGACGTTTAATCGTGCCGTCATGTCGATCGTCTGGAACGGTGTTAATGCTGTGCAGGGAGCCCAGTGTCTATAGTAAGCTGAGTTCTATCAACAGTTGGACCAGGACCAAGCTTTGGCCGGCCAACGTATCTTTGGATTCCAGCTAATTATCTTGCTCCATTACAGTGTCTTTCTTCATGCCATCTTTCCTTCCATCGCCAACATTCCCGACATCATGGGCTCCAAATCGGCCCTCAACTCGGCGCAAATGCTTTGCTTCTTCCTCTACTGGTATGGTACTTCTACCCACGCGAGAGTATTTGCTAACATCACCGTGCTGTGTCAGGCTTATTAATTGCGCCTTTCTGTTCGTCCCTGTGCCGCGCATGAGGAAGCTCGTTCACATCAAGGTTGCCGTCTACTTCGCCGCCACCATCGCCTTCGTGGCCTGGACATTATCGCTATCCGGCAGCGTTCGCAAGACCCTGACCGAGCCCTCTACTGTGCAAGGTTCCGAAAAGTCCTGGTTGATCCTCAAGTTCTTCTTCCTGGGACTTGCCAGCTGCGGCACCTTTATCTCCAATGCATCTGATCTGCAACGATATGCCTCCAAGCCCAACGATGTCATTGCCGGCCAGGTCTTCAGCTTCCCAATGTCCAACTTCTTGGTAGGCGTGTTTGGCAACTTGATCGCGGCTGCTAGCAAAGGTATTTTCGGCGAGGTCATCTGGAACCCGCTCACAACCCTCGACATGCTGATGGAGGGTGATCGTCATACATCTGCAAATCGCGCGGGCTGTGCTTTGATCGCGTTTGCTTATGTTTACTCTACTGTCTTCTCTGCTATTTTCGAGAACTCCATTCCGTGAGTTTAGCTTGACCCTTTTCCTTCCATGAACTTTGCAACTCGTTGCTGACCTATTCATAGCGCCGGAAACGATATCGCAGCCCTCATGCCCAAATATATAACAGTGAAGCGTGGCTTCTTTATCTGTGCAGGTATAGATCCCTTGTTTTCTCCTAATGCCTGCAAAGTAACCCAGGACTCGTCACTAACTAATAATTCTTTCTGTAGTTATTTCATACGCAATCTGCCCCTGGTACTTGCTCTCATCTGCGGCCGTGTTCATTAATTTCCTGAGCTCGTATCAGATCTTCCTCAGCGCCATCACGGGTATCCTGATCTGCGACTACTACCTCCTCAGACGCGGCCTTTTCGACATCCCTATGCTTTATTCGGGGCATAAGGACTCTACGTACCACTTCTTCCACGGCTTTAATCCTAGAGCGTTTGCAGTCTATTTGATTGCCGTGGCACCCAACTTCTATGGATTCCTCTACCAGATGGGTGTTCACGCACCATTGGGAATCCAGCGGTTCTACTACGTTGCCTATCCCGTAGGACTCTTGTTGGCGTTTGGAAGCTTTTGGCTGATAAACACACTGTTCCCGAGTAGGAATATTCCAAAGGTCTCGGGGTGGCAAGAGCCTAAGGATTTTGTGGAAAATCATGATGGTACATTTGTCAACGTTGTGATTGACTCGTCTGATGCAGCCTCTGGTGATCAGGAGATGGGCAATGTTCAAAAGTCTGCCACGGAGAAGTACTGAAGCAATGTTAGCTGTCCTTGTCTTAGCCTTAATGAGAACGAAATGTCTCTTGTTTACTCAAGTCATGAATGATCTATCTAGTCATTTGAACCGGTACAATGGTGTCCAGACTAGAATATTCTATTGCCAAATAATCTTACTGTTGATCCAGCTCGCTTACTTCAGTTGATGTATACTCCATTCTGGTACTCAGAGCTTCAAAGGGCGGCCACCACACTTCTCGACCAGGCCATGCTTCTGTCTGTGCATTCATCTCTGGTCGCACCGTATCGAAAACCCGTTTCCTCATCATGTTCATAGCCCAGCTAGATACTGGTTCAAAAACATAAGTACCCTGTCGAAGATTCTGCACATCCTTCATTAGACGAAACGTTTTATCAATGTCCTCGAGATGGTCCGAAAACTCAACCAGCGTGACATGTGCGTAAGCTCCCATAAGAAAGTCGAAGGTGTGAATGACCCTCTTCTGCTTAGTCATTTCCCTTGAGAATCGTATAATTTGGTGACTTTGTTTCAATATGGGCTCAATATACTGATCATACATCGCATTCTCACGGGCGTTTTCGATTTCTTCTTGCCGTAGCTGGGACAGTTCCCATCTGTTGGCGAGTAAGCTGAATGTCGAGAGGGCGAACTTCAACTCCAGACTCTCATCGAGGTGAAGCACTGTGATTTGTTAGCTACACCCACAGGCCTAATTAGCCGTAGCGTTAACGCACATTTGACGCTGGTGGTGTGCCATTGTGAGAGATCGCTTTGGAGTTGCTTTGCTGAGACATGCTCCTCGACAATGCCTCGATATAGCAATATGAAAAGCTCGAGTTCGGCGACAACTTCTTTGTCTGACTCGTTGAAACCGTCTGCGTGCTTGACTATGTCGATGTAATGTGCTGCTAGGTCCATTCGCACAGCCGAGAGCTTCCCTACACCGATAGTAAACCTTGCAAACCAATATAAGTTACTTTTTGTACATGTGAAGATTTTACATGGGCTCATGAGCTAAGATGACGTACTTGAGATGTTGAAGACATGCAGAATTCCAGGTCAATATCCGTCTTTTATCGTCCTCGGTGTAACGTAACGACGAGGGCGCTTGCTGCTGTGGGACAGTGAAGTCCAACGAGAGCATGAGGTGAAGGATGAGCGAGCCGCTCAAGAGCCATGTATCGATAAAACTATCAGAGTAGCCAAGAGTCAAATTGAAAACACATGTCAGAAGCATCGCGTAGAGGGACGGCAGGCCCAGAGGAGACTCGAGCGCGATCCTTGCCAGCCCAGATTTATGTACTCCGTAGAGCGACGTGTGAAGCTCTGTGCTGGTGATAGAAGGGTTGGTTTGCATCCCTGCAAGCAAGCAGGTCACAGAGAGAAGGTTATACTCTCCACCTAAGGCTTTGTCGATGGTCCCTTGTAAGAAGTGCAGTCGAGGGATATTCTTCCTGGATCTAATCACATGTATACACGCATTAGCAGAGCTCAAGGTTTCACTGATAGAATGAGATTGGGTGCATTCGAAGATCAGTTCATGGTAGGTGCAAGTAGTATCTCACGTTTCAATCAAACGCAAGCCCAGTCCATTTGAGCCTAATTTCGCCCTGATCGGCTCAGGTAGCTCAACGCTGTCCCTGGGACTTTCGGGGTTGCCGTTGATCCAGGTATACATCTTTCGAATGACACGAACTGGGGCGACTGGTGGATCAAGCCTGGCTGTAGCTGTATGATCCTCAACTCTATCATGAGAGACAGTAGTTATTTCTGGGACTGAGGTTGTGGTATCTTGATTACTTGATGCAGTTCGTGGTGCGCAAGAGGTCGTGGCTTGGCTTAGCTTGCGCACAGCGCAGCGCAACTCCGCCAGTTCAGACTCGAGGGCAGTAAGCCTGAGTAACAAGTCTTAATTCAGATGAAATGACGTAAGATTTCGGGCTATATACCTTTCTTCGCAATTGCATGCTTCAACAAGCCTAGGCGGAGTCCTGGAGTCGGGACCGTCGGGGCTTATGAAGGTCTGGGTGACGCGATGTGCGCTATGGGGAAGCTCGCAAGGTATTCTGCACTTCATATCAGCATATTTTCCTTGGAATTGCATCACTCCCGGAGTCGCTATAAGCTGCTGACCTCAAGGCTTTGCAACGACTACAGACAGCTGAGCCAATGGGTACTTCGCATCGTGTCTTGAGACGGCGACACGTCGGGCAAGATACAACTCTTCGGCGGTGTTGAGGCATTTCCAAAAAAGAAAACGTAGTCTGGAGAGAAGATAGTTGTGCATATACTATCTTCTGGTAGTACTAATGTAGAGCTGCAAGTGATATCTAAATAAAAGATAAGAGATTGAGGAGGTGTAGATAACATGAAAAGAGGTATATTATATGCCGAACTTCAGCCGACGGTAGAGCTATAAGTTCTGCCTCGCACCGAGAATGATCTGATACAAAGTGTGATCTATACTCCGGCCAGCGGCCGATGGTCTTATATCTTCCTCTTCAGCTTGAAGTCCAAAACAATTGCCAGCCCTACAGCTTTAAGGGACAAGTTGCGAAAAACCAATTAATTATGCAGACCAGTTACGATAGTTACAGCCACTTGTGCTCTGTTTAGTAAAGTTTACGCCCGAGTAGCATGCCCCTGGATGTATTTAGTCTAGAACATTCAATACCAACAAAATACAGTGTTCTGATAAGTGTAGTGGTTGTTCACTATTAACGCCACCTGGCTCTAGCCAACGCCACTATTCGTACTATTGAGCACTAGCGATTAAGGTGCAAATCAAGATTGACATTTTGTCATGACAAAAACCGTGCAAGGCCCAAATGAAGATTAGAAACTTGACCCTTTCATCTACAGTCTTTACCTTACGAATTCAATCACAATGAAGGCAACGCGGCTTTCTCTGACGTTTGTTCTGCTTGCGCTCTGCGGGAATGGACACGCAGGCCCATGCAAGCCAAAGTCCTCATCGACAGCTCTCGACGCAACCTCTTCCACTGAGGTCTCGACAGCCACAGATGCAAGTTCTGTTGCGGAGTCTTCGACGACTTACCTCTCTTCTATCATTTCCGAATCCATTGCTTCAACAGCCACGGCGACATCTGATTCCCAACTTTCCTCCTCGACTGAGCTTCCCACTTCGTCTATCACTACCGAGACAGCTACTGCGACCACTTCAGTTGCTGAACTCTCCTCCTCGGTCGAGACCCTCACTACGTCCAATACTGCTGAGGCAACCACTTCTGATGCTCCGACAACCACCACTACGACTGAGGAATCTGCACCCTCTGGACTCTTTCTGAACCCATCGTTTGATGAACCAAATGGCGACGGAGATTTTGACGGATCTCCGTGGACTTTGGAAGACGCTGTCTCTCCCATCTCCGTCAGAATCAACTCTGACCTTGCCCACACAGGCTCCCACTCAGCGTACGTTGTAACTTTTATAGAAGAATATTCCCTCAAATACTAATACTACCCACAAAGATATTGGTCTATCACAAGCGCCGCACAAGCTGGCACTGTCAAGCAGACAGTCTCCCTGGAACAAAGCAAGTTGTACACGCTGTCATACTGGTGGTACGTCGACGAAGACCAGCAGCCACAAAACCTCGGTGACTGCTACATAACTATTGAGCAAAGAAGCACCGACGGGTTGACAGCTACCTTCCCTGAGTTCCTGGCCCTTGCGACACCTTTACCCCTCAAGACCTGGACTAAGCGCGATTTCCTTTTTAATTCCGTAAACATCAGTCCAGCAATCATGGTGTTCTCTGTCTCTTGTGTTACTAGTGCGGGCAGTGGACTCAAGGTTGCTATTGACGATATTCAATTGTCAGCGCAGGCTTAGGAACTAGACTATGCCATAGTTGAGACCTATGGCTGAGAGCTTTAATCACTACACAGAACTTGGAGACTATGCCAGAAAGCTACTTTCTGCCAAAAGACAGTCTAGTCAGTTATTTTCTTCTTCTGTAATAAGATCTTTATATTGTACTATACTATACTTAACTGGGGTGATGATTTAACGGGGACACCTCGCAGAGATGAGAATAGTAAATCTACATGCTTAACCAGGATTACTATGAACCATTGAGGACAGAATGTGAGTACGGTGTTTCTACAATGAGACAAATGTGTCTATTAAGTAATTATATACTAGATATCTTCTCTAACCGTCATGGTGACACTCAGTACAGTAGTCAATGTGAATCTTACACGAGTTGGACAAGTCAATGTTGCCGCAGCGTGTCAAGCCCTCTTGTTGTCGGCGCCTGTTACAAAGTTAGTATTAATCTCACACACATGAGAGTCGAGTCAACTTACAGATCCTTGATGTCCTTGCCCTTCATTCCAATACCATAGTCATCACAAGAGAACTGAACAGTGCAGCCAGCCTTTCCGAAAGTGAGGACCTTGAGAATACTTCCCATGCGCTCATAACGAGAAACATAGTTAGTGTACAAAGTGTCATCCTCAAACTTGTTCAACGCAGCCTCGCAAGCACCAGCAACAGCGTTGCGGACGTTCTTGTCACCGCTGCTGCAGATACTTGATCCATCGCCGTTCCAGTTCGTGGCTGTAGGGAGGGGAGTTGACACAGTAGATGCTTCGCCGAGACCAACGGTGGCGGTGACCTTGATGGTGTTGACGGCGAAGTAGCTAAGTGAGTATGACTCATAAACAAGAACAGTACCTCCGTCGGTACGGGTAAATGGCTCCTTGAAGACAGTAGGCTCCGGGGCAGGAGGGGCAGTGGTGTACATGCTCATAGGGAACTCGGTGTAGTCTGCGCATTGACCTGAGATCATGGATGCTGTGACGACGTATTGCTTACCATCGCTGGTGGTCTCGCAGTTACAGTAAGGAGTCTCGACACGAGGACCGCCATGAGGAATGCAGGGGTAGTAAGTGCGCATGGTGGTAGTAGCAGTGGTAGAGGTGATCATGTCGGAAGAGGTGAGCTCGGTTGTAGTACCGTCCGAGGTGGTACCAGAAGACTCGTTGGAGGACTCAGTGTTGCGGGTAGTGGTAATGAGAGTGCTGGGAATGGTAGTAGTACGCTCAGTGGTAGCCTCTGAAGAAGTAGTCTCCTCAGTCTTGGCCTCACTGGTAGTCTCAGCTTCAGTAGAAGTAGCCTCGCCAGTGGTCTCAGTACCAGTTGACGAAGCAGTAGGGTCCTCGGTAGTGGTCGCACCAACACCAAGTCCCTCATCCAAAGCATCCTCAAGAGCCTCGACAGTCTCCTCATCAGGCTCAGAGTCAAAGTCATCAGGGATATCGCTGTCAAGCTCTTCGATGTCGAGCTCCTCCCCTTCCTCGGCTTCAGCAGATACTGTCTCGGTGGAAGTGGCTTGGGTACCAGTTGCGCAGCTGGCGACGGTAGGGCAGTCACCAAACTCGGTGTGAGTGAGGGTTCCATCGGTGGTGTAGTACGAGATGGTCCTGGTGCAGTCCTCGATCTCAACAGCCGAGCAAGCCTCGGTAGTAGTGGTAGCCTCAGTGGTCTTGGCAGTTGTCTCAGCAGTAGAGGGCTCAGCGGTTGACTTCTCCTCCTCCTTGGTGGATTGCTCCTCATCCTCCTTCTTTGTCTCGTTCTTGTCATCCTCGCCTTCTCCCTCACCTTCACCACCACCACCAGGAGCACCACCGACAGCTCCAGCGGGGTTAGTACCAGGAGGAGGTGGCAGGATACCAGCAGGGAGGTTGCCAGAGGGCTTCCAGAACCAACCGCCAGGGAAGATGACGATAGCAGCGCCACCATCATCAGTAGTAGTGGTGGTACCAGTGAAGTCGGAGAAGTCCTTGTCCTGCTCAGGGACGTAAGTCACAACAGCGCCGTTGGAACCAGTGACGATGCCGTCCTCGGTGGTGGTAGGCTTGGGAGGGGCAGTAGTCTTCTCGGGCTCATTGGGAGCACCGGTCTGACCAGGCTCGTTCTTGGTAGTTGGCTCGTTTGGACCATCCTCAGTAGTGGGCTTGGGACCAGGAGCCTCAGTGGTAGGCTTCTCAACCTCCTTGGAATCAGTGGTAGGTTCGGGCTTCTCCTCAGTCGTGGGCTCAGCCTTCTCGGTGGTGGACTCTGCAGGGACCTGAACCTCCCCAGAAGTGGAAGCTTCAGGCGCCTTCACCTCGGTAGTAGACTCAATAGCGGGAGCGGGAGCAGAATCACTCGAGACCTCAGGTGCGTTGTCGGTGGTAGGCCGAGCAGCCGCAGAGGTCTCAGTGGTGGCCTCTGGGACTGGGAGCTGAGTGGTAGGCTCAACAGCCTCAGTCGACTCGGTAGAGACGATAGGAGGCTGGATATCGGTGACAGCATCAGTAGCGTCGGTAGTAGCCTCAGAAGGCGTACCGGGAAGCTCTGTTGTGGTCTGGTCCATGGGAGCAGCGTCAGTGGACTGGGTACCAGGCTTAGTCTTTTGAGTACTGGGGTCAGGAAACACGGGGTGACCAGTGGCGGTGTTAACGGGGATGTCGTTGTTGGTGGTGGCAGTATCAGGCAACTGCTCAGGCTGAGAAGATGTCTCAACACCAAGGCCAGCAGACCCTGTTGTTCCAGCTGGTGGAGCAAGGTTTGTTGTAGGCTCTGCAGCCTGGCTGCTCTCTTCAGTTGAAGCAGGAGCAACATTGATCTGAGTCTCCTCATCCTTAGAAGTGGTAGGGATCTCTACTTGAGCCTCGGAGGTAGCAGACGAAGGAGCCTGGTCAATGAAAGGCTCCGAAGAGGTTGTCTCGGGAAGAGCAACCTCAGTTGAAGGCGCTACGAAACCCAAATCCGTCGAGGTCTCGGTGCCTGTCGTTGTAGAAAGGTCCTGGGCAGAAACGCCTGACAATGAAGTCGCAAGACATAGCGCAAGAACGCGCAACTTCCAAGGCTGCTGCATTATGTAACGAATGTGAAAATAAAAGAGTGAACGACTATACCAGCATAAACGAACGAATGAGTGTAGTCACCAGTATAGTCCAATACAAACGAGTGAAAGAGTGTCCGTAAAACGAAAGGCCAATGTTGGAGGAGAGGCGTTGGGTTGCCTTTTCATGAAATGAATGTACCATGCGAATATACCCGTCATGGCTGTACAAGATGGCAGTGGAGCTTAATCTATTGATCCTTGAAACATGTCAGCTTAATTAACTTACTTGAAACGTGGTGGAGCTGCTGATGCTCAGCCTTGTTGAGAGATTTGGGCCGTGCATTGCTTGTAGATTTGAGAATGTAACAGTAAGGACTTGGTGAAATTGAGTTGGATCTGGAACCTGGCAAGGCAGAGTTGATCGTCGATATTTTGTGTTGCATTGAGAATTTTATCTCGGAGTTACGTTGTGCTTATTGGGTCTGTGTACGGCATTGCTCCTATGGAGATGGTTTTATGGAGCGCTCATGTCAATCCGTCGGAGAAGGGAATCCTTTGCTTATCACTTACTACCCGGTCCATTTATCTTTTTCAAGTACTTCATCTGTCAAGAATCGTAACGTTTACTAATATATGTTTGAGGGCCAAACCTGCAGATTCTTTCAATGATCACGACTGAGATCTGTCATTTTTTCGCTACACATGATGTCAGATAACCGTAAATCCTTCGCTCGCCAGTGGCGTAGCCTAAGAACCCGATTTATTTATCCCATGTCTTGACATGCGAAAATATCTGCCGATAATTGCCTTGTGAGGCACAGCGACACCAAGCCCAAGGATCGGCAACAAGCGAAATGCACAACGGCACGGAATGTGGGGAGTCTTATTCTCCGTCTACTGATCGTTGGTTCATCAACACACTAATCTTGATAAACTGTGGAGTGTCGCATAAAATTCAAGGGGATAATCGAGGCTGAGCCTGCGACGACTTATCATCCGGTCTGACCGATGCTCAAATCTCATAATGGTCCATTCTTTTTTGTTATGACGACTCTGAGACTCGTCAATCAGCGTAGGATCAAAGGATGAAACCCCCAGTGCTGATTTGTGGGGTGTCATCTTGGATAGTGGATGCTCAGCTTATGCCAATTTACTGCAGGGGCAACATGGATCGAGATAAACATTCAAGGATGAGACACTGCCTCTACCATTTCAGTAAATGTAATAGGTATACATACATTATCAGGTTCCATTCGTTTCTGCTTGTCTGTCCTTCAGTCATTCGCTCCTTTTCGCGTTCTACCCGAACCAAGTCACTCGTTTGAACACCAGTCACTCTTTACTGTATTCTACTTCTTTTTGCCTATCATGCGTTTGTCCAGCTTTTTGCTGGCAGCTGGTCTTTCCAGCTCTGCGCTTGCTGTTGATGCATCGCTGGATCCTTGGGAGATTGACCCCAGCTGCAACGGTTTTGAGAATGACATCAAGGATGCTTTGACGCAGTCGATTGATCTTGCTGAGGCTGCTAGAACCAGTCTTGAGTTTCTTCTTGCAAAGATGCCGGACCGAAACTCTGATCCTGACGGTGCTGTCAAGTGGGCAAGAATTTCGTCAGCGGCTAATAGCATCTTTGGACTTATGCCCAACTACAAGGGCCATAACGCTGAGACTCAGAAGTACATCGAGGACTTGAGAGGTATGTTGTATATTTTCCAACGTGGGCGGCTTTGCTAATTCTAGAAGACATCTACGCCAAGACGGCCAACACTCTACCCTCATCACAGAACAACCCAGCTAAAGGTTTCAGCCCAATTCTCTCCCAGAGACCCAACGCAAAACCCATGATTGTCTGCGGCGATGCTGTATTTAAATGGTACGACGTCGATCAAGAGCCTGAGCCCGGTGTTGGTAAGGTCAAGGACCAGCCAGCCGTGCGAGGCTACATCCAAAACGGCGGTACCATCGCAGGTGCTTTCTATCACGCCAACCGCTGGGACTTCAGAAAGACTAAGGAAGCTTCTGTTGGACACTGCATTGGCAACCGCGAGGCTCTCATCTCGTCAAGGGACGACCTCTTGATCATTTGTCCTAAGATGACGTCCGATGCTGGAAAGGCGCGCATCACGCCTCGACAGTACAAGTCTTCTGCTGCGCAGGGTGATCACATCATGACCAACTGGGTATCTAACCCTACTCAGCTTTACCACGAGCTCATGCATTGGTTCGGTGGAGTTCAAGGCAACAACCTGAAACACAGTACGTTATCCTTCTTACCATCAGCTTCCCTGCCACTTCTAACACTCCCTAGTCATCCAGGATCAAATTGCTGTCAGCGAGAAGGGTTACTTGAGATACAAGGACAAGAACAACCAGGTTGAATACTACACCCGCCCTCCTTCGGATCAAGAACTCGCTCAGAAGGGCCAAAGAAAGCAGGGAGCTTGTAAGTTCAAGAACGATCACTCGCAGAAACATACTAACTATTGCCAGATGGACTTCGCTGGATCATGAACTTGGCGCGCACTTACAAGGACAAGAATGGCAACACAAGCCCTTGGTCCGGTCCTAAGCTGGCCACCAAGAACGCTGACTCATTGGCACTCTTTTCTTTCATGATGTAAGTCTTCCTTCCGATACGATGAGGGATTCCGTTCCTAATCAAGATTTAATAGGTACCTGGATCAGTTTGACTGGTCTAAGAACGGTGTCGCTGAGGACTTTAGCCGTCTCAAGGGCAAGTTGGGGCTGAAGCCTTAATCGCTGCGAGGTTCTGGGGAGCAGTTGAATAGAATAGCATCTATCGTGTGAACATTAATACAGTATTACCGGGCATCTCAGAGCCAAATTCTGGCACTTTCTAAATCCATTTGACTCGAAGAAATGTGTAAAATTTGTCATGTGTAAGGGTCGTGATAAAAAGAATCAGCTTGATCTTGTTGTTGGCTGGAGCCGAGTCTAGTGACGGGTTGAGTAATACGCCAACATGACACTAAATACCCTGCAGAAAACATAAAAAAAGACCCAACACCGCAAAAACACCTTGAACAAATTGACAAACCCCAGTCCTTACCCAACAATTGAGTGGATTCTTGCCGTAGCTGAGTCTGAAGGATCGAGCCTTTCCTTCACGTGACTAGCAAGCTAATTATGCCATTCATCTCCATCACCGTCTCACTCATTCTTAACATCTCACCCAAACATGGCGCCTTCGAGTCCTATACCGTCACCGGTCGATTTCCCATCGCCTGATTTTTCTCTGAGCGGAGGCTACTCACCTGGTTCATATTGTATTAACCCTACCGCTTTAGTATCTACGGCATGAACTAATATTCGAACAGCTCCAGGTCCAGCTCTTTCACCAGATTTCGGACCTGAACGCGACTGGCGAGATTATAGAGAACAGATTCCGAAGCTACCCTCTACCCGACCTCGGGCTCTTACACCAACAGGGTTCAGAGATGGCGATGAGAGTCAGCAGCGACCAGCTGCAGTCTTTCAACAATCTCGCTGGTTCAAGATCCCTGCCAATCTAAGACGCGATATCCTTCGATTGGCATTCGGAGGCAAGCGCCTTCACATGCATCTCAATTTTGACGCTCAAGCTCTCGATTCAGATGATGCAGAGAGAAAACTTTGGTCGTGGAATGGATGTATCTGCGTTCGAAAGTATGATCCAGAGCTGGGTCCCATGACGCGCGGTGGCCTTAACCCAGGTCCTTGGATTGATCGCTGTTGTGATCCGATTAATGTCCCGAAGCCACCGCCTGAGAATATTGGGATTATGGGTTGGCTGCAGTCTTGTCGTCAAAAGTATGCCAACATTCTCTATCTGTCAATGAGCACTGATTGACATTATGGACAGCTACGCAGAGACGATTGATCTTCTATACTCAACAAACACCATCATTCTTTCCGGCGAAGCAACAATCATTGAGCTGCCATCGCTCATAACGCATAACCACATTAGCACGATTACCGCCCTCGAGATCAAATACCCCATTAACAAAGACAATGTTCTCGAGGATGCCCTTAACCTTGTCCGTCCTGGCTCCCATTCTCCCGGATTCCCAAATCTCAGGCGTCTCTACGTCTCTATGGAATGGAGCGGCGTAGATACTCGCGATCCTGATCCAGATGAATTGATCGAGTCATTCGACAGCTTGGCGCGAGCAATGCATCAGATCGAAGAGTGCGCTTTTGCCATTCCCATGGAATGGTTCTCACGCATCTCCTGGCATCAGATGCGAAGCGAAACGACGGGCAAGCAGATTACCTACAGCCAGTTTTGGCGTGAGCTCGCCAATGCCGAGGATGGTGGCAATGATGCACATGATCTTCCACGGGCCAGGGTTGAGGTCATACAGCTGCCCTATGTTGATAGCTATCCGAAACCTCCACACCACTTGCAGAATCCTGGTGTTGGGTATTGGATCCTAGAGGCTAGTGAAATGTCGTTGAATGCGGATTATGATTATCTGACTGGGCATTACACAGATGACTACAGCATATAGATGCAACCACCTAATGCATGAAGATGACTGCAGTAGCGATCTACAGTCATCCGACCTCAAATTCACAGACACTATTAATGAAGCCGTCCTATAAAACTGATGTATCAAGATTGTCTATATCCGACACCGTTCAACGTACTGTACCTATATCCGACGTCTCCACTTGCAACCATAAAGTTCCGTCTGACTGATCGAATAGTCAGCATGGATTACGTAGATCGTGGATCCCAAATTCCCACTATTTTCTTGACTTTGCACACCATCCACTAGCCGCGGGCCAACTGCCGCCGATGGGGAAGCCAAGGAGCGGGGTGAATGCACCTTGTCAAGTGATTTATATAAAGACATGCTGAACCTTTTCCCGCCATTCCCGGATCTTGTTCACTTCACTACACTATGGCGCCATCAGAGGATTATCAGAACATCTTTCACTGGGCTGAGACCCAAAAGGATGGAAGTGTCCCTTCCTTTGCAGTTCGAAAGAATGATCCTTATACGTACCTTTCTGGCTTCAACAATCATCATGAATCAGAAGCTATTCCTGGAACTATTCCCAAGGGACAGAATAGTCCCAGATGTGTTAGGTTTGGGCTGTATGCTGAACAGATGACGACTTCGTTTGGCGCTTCTCGTCAGGCTAATAAGAATTCGTGGTTGTACCGAGCGAGACCCGCTGTTGCTCATCAGGGATTTGTAAGTGTTGATGGTACTGCCTGCAATTGTTATTGCTAACTTCTGGTAGACCGATATGCCCAAGGTTGAAGGGACGGAGAGTTGCTTTCTGCCTCTGAACCCTGCAGTGAGAATCTCACCAACACAGCTGGCTTGGGTATGTAAATAATGTCCCAACTCTTGATTACCATCAACTGATCTCCAAAGCTCCCCTTCGACATTTCCGAAGGCACCGACTTCATTTCTGGCCTCCGCACAATCGCCGGCTCAGGTAATCCCCCTCTCACCCCTCGCCCAACACCTCTAACAAGCTCCAGGCGACCCAACCCTCCGAGAAGGCCTCGCAACACACATCTTCTCCGCCACAAAGAGCATGGAGAAGCGCGCCTTTGTCAACTCAGACGGAGACTTCCTCATCATCGCCCAGCAAGGCAATCTCGACATCCAAACCGAATTCGGCAATCTATACGTCCAGCCCGGTGAGATCTGCGTCATCCAGCGCGGTCAACGCTTCAGAGTCTCTGTCGAGGGCCCAACTAGAGGATATATCCTCGAAGTCTGGGGTTCGCACTTTGAGCTTCCTGAGCTCGGCCCTCTTGGATCAAATGGTCTTGCTAACGCGAGAGACTTTTTGTATCCCAAGGCGAGTTATACTGTTACTCGTGATGATCCGTGGGAGATTGTTTATAAGCTTGGTGGGCGCTTCTTTAAGAGCACGCAGAACCATTGCCCCTTTGATGTTGTCGCTTGGCATGGTAACTATGCGCCTTACAAGTACGACCTTACCAAGTTTGTCAATGTTGGATCCATCTCTGTTGATCACATTGATCCTTCCATCTTTTGTGTTTTGACGGCTGCTTCTCGGGATGCGAATGCTCCTTTGGCGGACTTTCTAATATTTTCTCCCCGTTGGGATGTCGCGTCGCATACATACCGACCACCTTATTACCATCGCAACGCAGCTTCTGAACTGATGGGTCTTATTTACGGAGAGTATGCAGGACGATCTGATGAGTTCCAGCCAGGCGGTGTTTCATTCGAGTGCGGCTGGGTCCCTCACGGTGTAGCATACGAAGTAAGTCCCCGTCTCATCACCATTACCATATACTAACAATTCGTAGGAGTTCAAAGCAGCATCAGCTCAACCCCCGCCTCAGATGCAAATCTCCAAGGGCGCAGTAGCATTCATGTTTGAGAGCTGCAGACAATTGACCATCACCGATTGGGCATGGAACAGCGATAAGAAGCACGAGCACGAACCCAAGATGTGGGATAACTTGGTTGATAACTTTTCTGAGCACCTTGATGAGATTAATGAGATCTTGGGGAAGAAGACCCTATAAATCGTGGGGGTTCTCAGTGAGGAAATGCTACGGTAGAAAGTCAATTGCAAATGGAATGTTTTGATTGGATTCGGCAATTTTTTAAGGCATGATATTGATCCACTATTTTCTGGGGTATTTTTAGCGGTTAAAATGCTCAAGGCTTCCTCGGCCTCCGGGGTTGACAATATAAAAGGACTCTCTCTGCAATTTCATCGTGGGATGTGTCCGTGTTATTTTGATTTATTCTTCGGGTCCGTATTCGTATGGGGAGAGTGACTGTGCTCCACCATGTAACCTCTGTATCCAATCACTGATGATTTGTTTCGGATATCTTTAATCGCTGTGGGCCGGGTTGAACTGTTCCGTTGGCTTGAGAATGGGTCGATACATCAATTGATGAGATTTCTAGATCAATAAAAGCAACAACATGGTCACTTTTCCTTATTGATCACAAGCTCCAAGTTCCTACACTCACTCAACTCACCCACTCACTGAGCCCGACAATCAGCCAGCTTTCATCCCTCAAAATGAAGGCCCCAAAAACACCTGAATACGAATTCGGTGGCCCGTGAGTGCCCTCAATCACCCTCTCTCCCTTCACCACTGACCCTCAACAGTATCGGCGCCACAGGCATCGTCTTTGGTCTCCCAATTCTCATGCAACTTCTCTATCTCGGCTGCAACGATGTTTCAGGATGTCCTGCCCCCGCTCTCCTTGAGCCAAGGACATTGACATGGCAAAAGTTCAAGGAACAAACGCCCTGGCCTAAAGAAGGCATCTGGGGATTCATGAGCTGGGAGGTCACGGGTTGGCTTTTTGCTTATTACTTTTTGAGTCTTGTGCTTTATCGCGCTTTGCCTGCTCGGGAGGTTTATGGGACGAAATTGAGGGAGTCGGGTAAGGCTCTGAAGTATCGCTTTAATTGTAGGTCTTTCTTTCACGCCTGGTCAATTGGGCATTGAAACTGACAGCCACGCAGCCTTTTCTTCCAGTGTTGTGCAATTGGTCGCTTGCGCTGTTGGAACTTACATCTACGGAGCCGAATTTCCAGTCTGGACCTTCATGACCGACAACTACCTCCAACTTCTCACTACAAGCACCGTCCTTACATTCATCGTCTCACTCTACGTTTACATCAGCAGTTTCTCCGTCAAGAAGGGTAATGATGAGCTGCGCGAGCTGGCTAGAGGTGGACATACCGGACGCATTATCTACGACTTCTTCATCGGCCGCGAGCTCAACCCTCGCGTCACCTTTCCCATTTTCGGCGAGATCGACATCAAGTCTTGGTTGGAGATGCGGACTGCTCTTACAGGCTGGACCTTGTTCAACTGCGCCTTTATTGCCCAGCAGTATCGAAACTACGGTTATGTTTCTGACAGTATCTTGGTCATCGCTTCGGTGCAAGCTTACTACGTTCTTGAGGGCCAGTACTCAGAACTTGGACTCTTGGGCATGATGGACATCACCCAAGATGGCCTCGGATTCATGCTTACCTGGGGTAACATGGTCTGGGTACCTTTCCTTTACTCAACTCAGTGCCGTTACCTCTCTGTATATCCCGTTCATCTGGGACCTATTGGTGTTTCCGCTATCGCCACTGTCTTTGCCATCGGACTGTACATCTTCCGATCCTCCAACAACCAAAAGGCTCTCTTCCGCAAAGACCCAAATCACCCTGCCTTTGCAAACATGACCTTCATCCAGACCAAGAGAGGAACCAAGCTTCTAACCGGCGGATGGTGGGGAATGGCTCGTCACATCAACTACTTTGGCGACTGGCTTCAGTCTCTTCCCTTTTCGCTGCCTACCAAGTTCGCTGGTTATGTGATACTGCCAGCTGGAAGTGCTGTAGCTGGAAACGAGGTCGTCAAGATGCTCGATGGTCGCTTGGTGACTCCGGATGGCGCTGCGCCTTGGGGTATGCTGTTTACGTACTTTTACTCGGCTTGGTTTGGATTCTTGCTTATTCATCGGGAAAGGAGAGATGATGCAGCTTGCACTGAGAAGTATGGCAAGGATTGGGATGAGTATAAAAACAAGGTTAGGTACAGGATCTTACCTGGTGTGTATTAAAGTCTATAACCATACCGGCAACAAGGCGGGACAAGTTCAAATAGCTACATCAATATGAAATCTCTGAAGTGTCTGGTGAATACACATTTATTAGCTGCCTACCGTTACTATAGCCTAACTAGAGCTTCTCTATACTATTATTATATATAGAGGGAATAAAAGGTTATAATTAAATATATCTAAAGGCTAATATAAGCAGCGGCACTCTTGTCTATAGTACAATTAGTACAAGGCGAGGCACTGTTTTGTACTAGAAGTTAATTTGTGCATGTATGCAGATCTTAACTAGATATGTGACATGGCAAAAATGAAAAGCGGCTGTGAGATCTCCGTTTAAATGCGGGATTGCATCGCAATCAAGACTAGTGTGGATTGCGAGGCGGGCTTTATGCAATTCGTGGCTGTCATGATAGGTTATGTAACAAAATGGGTGTTTTTATATGGACACCAGTCAGCCTTAGGCTGACTTTCGCTGCTGCGCCAATATGACCAACCTTCACTTCTCCTCATCACGTCGTCAAAGGCTCTTAGAATCATTATAACTTCAGCAAAGCACACTTGGTCACTGCGAATAATAATCACCATGGAAGCCCTGGCGATAATTGGCCTCACAGGCACTATAGCACAACTTCTCGACTTCAGTGCCAAGCTGGTTTCAAAAACCACCGAACTGTACAGCTCGGTAGCAGGAGCTTTAGATGAAAATGTCGACGCAGAGCTGGTGACGAATCATTTCGCGACTTTGATTAAACAACTCGACAGTGAAATGCCCCCCAGTCAGGAGCTAGCCTCAATATGTGATGCCTGTAGGGCAATATCTACTCGACTCCTAGGGGTCCTTCAGGGACTCAAGAAGAATACAAAAGGCCATACCTGGAAAAGCATTAGGCATGCAGTACGGAATATGCTGAAAAATGGCGAAATCCAGGCTCTACAAGCACGGTTGGCGGTGCTGAAGAATGAACTGATCGTCAGTCTTATGACAGGTCTATCGTGAGTATAACCTCTTCAAAGGAACGTGCCTTTTAGCGCTGATGAACTATAAAGACGAGACCTGTCTCAGACTCGCATTGAGTCCAGAAATAGTTTAGACAGGTTGGAAACCGCTGCTAATAACCTTTCTGCAATGATGTCAACTTTGTCTCTAAAAGTCGATCGGTCACACGAGACTCAAGAAGCGGTAATGGAGACTCTACTCCATAAAAATGCCGACAATATGACTGCAGTCATGGAAAAGACTCGCGAAATGATACAGTTGTCTTTGCAAAATGAGGCGGCAGGTATTACTTCAAGTCTTCTTCAGCAGATATCACAACGATATGGAGACGATCGATCCAGCTTCAGGTCCAATGAAGCGTCACATTCCCTGGGACGAGGTGGCTCTGAACCGGAGCCATCACATAGAAGAGAAGAGTGCATCAAGAACAATGATCCCCGTATTATGCAACGGTCCGTCCAGCGTAGGAGGCGGCTCATTCATCGCAGTGAACAGCTGTCCTGGTTTGGTAGGACGCTAGTCTCTGTCAGCGAAATTTACATGGGGGAAGATCTCACGCACATTCTTACAGGGTGCATCGTTATCCCATCCCCCTGGCTCCTTCGACTCAGGTGCGGGGTGAAGGTTCAGCACCTAAGATCAATGATCATTAGAGAAGCCCCGAAGGTTACCCTCTGGCCGCTTCAAATTCTTCCTAGTGACTCTGCAATCATCAACGCCATCAAGTCAGGGGATGCACACGCCGCAGAGTTAATCATCCGCGCTAAAGACGTATCTCCCTCCGCTGTATCCATGGACGGCGAAAATTTACTCAGTCTAATTGCTACTGAGATACTTAATGTTGTATTTAACTTGCATTTTAGATTTGCAGATGCAGATCCACAAGAGAGGTGGGGACCAAAATACTCAGACGAAGAGCGAAGGCTAGCAGAGAGTACTTTCTATGGCCTGCGGCAGCTCTTCGAATTCGTCCTGGCACAGGGGATTGACCCGGCTCAGAAATCATCTAATGGAAGGTAAGTATATTGGATCATCTTGCACTCTCCTCTGTCTCTGGATGCTAATTTGTCCATTCTAAGCTCTGCTATTACGTATTTGCTATATATTTTACAATTTGGCTTCGATAGTCTCTTCCCAGACGATTTCTACACCCTTTTCAGTTCTTCATTATCTGCCTCGCAAGACAATCCCTTCGATCAGCCCCAGGCCAATGTAGTTGGGGATCTTTTCAGATCCTATTCCTGCCAACCATCATGGCGTTACCGCTCTTTTATTGACAGGCTATTGGAAGGGCTAGAGTGGACTCTTTGTTCTAGCGATGGGCCTGGCGAGGCAAGCGCTCTTGCATTGAGATATTCGATCAAGCATAGATTCGATGTTGACCAAGACGATTTCGAAGAATGGGTTCCTTTGGAAGACGCGCTCAACGACAGTTTCCAAAACTTCTTTTCCCGGCGGCTTAAGGTTGTTAAATATCTTTCGTCAAGTATTGAAGATTCTCTCGATCGTATCTTCGAAACGGAAGATATGAAGCAAGTCAACGGCATCGTTGAATATACCAAGAAAGCGATCCAACTGTCATTACTATACGCCAGTCCAATGAAGGGGCTCCACCGAGCAAAAGATAGTATGCCGTTTGTTCGCAAATGTGTTGTAAAGGAGGTTTGCGCTATGTTACAAGCAGCGGATTGTTTTATTCATGTCATTGAGGATAACATGCTGGATTGGTGCAATGAGTGGGAGGTGCTTGATATCTGGGTGGAATCTCTCTTGGCAGGAAGCGTCCATCCAATACCCCAAAAGACTCGTAAGATTTGGAGCGCTAGTAAAGCGACATATAACAGTTTGAATGTATATCGTTCTTCATAGTCAGAAACTTGACGAGACTCTTTTGCAGGGCCATTGAGCCTCGGAAGTTCATATATCCAGCTGAGCGACCTATGCGGCATCCATTTTATTATCCGTGAACCATTTGAGTTTGTGATACCTTCTCCTCCTGCTCTCGTGATGATGGCCTCACCAGTCAAGATCTTGAAGGTAAATGGTGACTGACTTCAAGAGGTATTAACAGCAAACTAGTATCTTGTACTCATCCATGAACCAAAACCTGACTTCACTTAATTCTGAATAGACTGATTAAAGACATAGGGATGGAAGTGCTATCGGTTCTTGTAAAGTGATCTGGACTTTTTCCTCACGTAACAAGAAAAGACCGACATTAACAGAGCCCAAGTCATAGTGCATTGGAAACGCTGGACCCAGATTGCAAAGATGAAATCACTCGTGTAGCAGCTCAAAATCGTTAATAGAGGTGGGGAGATAAATAAAGCCAGGGGTAAGGATTTTACTTACGTTGGACTGGGAAGCGATTGTGACGACTCTTACTTTGGATCCTGTGCGGTAACAAGGCAGATCCCAAAGGTAGATAACAAGCAGAAAAGGGTCTCCAAGTCGTGGAATAAATCACTCGCTCCGCCTGGGCAGAAATCGATCTCCCGCAACAACCATCTCGCCAAGCTGTCCCGCGTCAGTAATGACGAAAGTGCCGAAAGACTTGTTAGTCAGCCACATCGTCTTATCTTATCGCGTCTTATATGTCACCAGTCCAGGAGCTGAAAACCAACAACCTGAGATTCACAGTCTCAAGTCCTAAATCACGGATTATCAGCAAAAGTCCTCAGTTTCCATGGCTCCAATTGAGCCGCAGTACCAGGTGAGACCAGACACAAGTTAGATGCCATTTATGAAACTAACAGACTCGATGAGAGCACTGCGATTTGCGTTTTGTCTCTTGTATGCAAGACAAGCACATGGACTGTATATCGGATACAAAAGGCGAAATCCACAGCTTGAAGCTCTCGACAAAGAACTTCCAACCTAACTTGCTGAGACACATATACCATTGGCCAACGACGAGTTCAACTCTGTCAGTGACAGCAAGGAGATGGAAGAAATCGTCGATCATCTCCACGTCAAGTGAGACACTCTTAATCGAGTCATCGAAGCACGCAGAAAGCACCATGCGCACTTCTACTCTATCAGCTACGACTATGGCCATCAGGCATATATCGATAAGCTCGTCAGTCACCGCCACATCGCCCTTGTAGCCCTCGGAAGGGCCGGAAACGACTCATGGCCGTTCTCTATAAGAAAGAGCAAAAGTACTCTTGGGTCCGTAATGTTCAAGACGAAGAAGAGGCGAACCGTGAAAAGAAGCAGAAGAAGATTAAACAAGAAGCTGCTCTGTTTAAGCGTCACATGAAGCAGATGGAGGCTAGAATGGACTCGATACGCAAGAAGGAGGAGCAGAAACTTGAAGATACTTTCCTTGAAGAAGCATACTGAGAACGCATGGCTCTGAATCAAGATGCAGATGATGAGACCCGGGATCCTATAGAGGATATGGAAGATGAGCAGAGACACCGATACATCGACTTGATCAAGCACTTCTTATGGATGAAAGTTAATGAACCCGCTACTGAACAGCCCGATGCAGCTAATGCATCATCAAGCAAACCTGCAGAATAACCCGCACCTACCAAGAAGCTGAAAAACAAGAAGGGAAGCAAGGGGAAGAGTAATGCTGCTAGCAACAGCTCACCATTAGAAGAGCTTCAGAACCTGATCGGACAAAAGAAGCTTCTTGCCATGCAAGCCAGTGGCAAACACAGAACTGAGCGTGAGCTGAAAGAACCGGATAAGAAAATCATCGAAACAGAGGAGGAGATGAGAAAGAGACTGGGTCAGGGCGTCAAGAAGAAATTCAAGAAACCTCGGCGCCAAAAAAAAAAGACAAAGGTTACTATGTGCGGAAAGAGCATTTGGAACCACACCAGCGAGAATGCAATGTCTCGAGATGGCTGGCTCCAATTCTCCGTCATGGCAAAGGATTGTGATCTGAAGCATGCCATCCAACTTTGCAGAAACTGGTCTGAGTTTTCTGGTCTTCACTTGCTTACACTATGGCAGTTTTTCCCAGCGTCGAACTGGACTTCTTGTGCCACGATCGGTTCATGCAGTAACTTCAACATCTTGGAAGTTGGACCAGACTTTATGAAGTTGACAGATGTTCTTCGAGAGTGGAGGTTTGGCTTTGACGATTGCTATGACGTGTTTATCTGGGACTTTGTACCCGGCGAACCGCACATGGACTTGTACAACATTGTCGTCGCGGCAAGTTCACCGTCAAATCTAGAAGATAAAACTGACCATTTGAAAGGAACTTCGTAACGCCTGGCGTATGAGAACACCTCGCGAGATGTACGTCCACATGGAACCTCTCCTTCGTAGCCTCCACCGAAACAAAAAGACCATGCGAACCCGCCAGATTAAACCCGGCGAGAACGTCAAGAGTCTCTGGGACACCGTCGCCGATGAAAGATCAGAATTCCGGCTCTTCGATATCGGCATCAAGAAAGTCACGATGCGCAAAGACACCGAGATAGTCGAGTTACCGTATATGTTCTACAACGAAGCCAATGAAGTCGATGATGCGATTCTCTTTCCGGATGAACTCACCTCTAGTAAAAAGAGTGTTGTGTTCCGAGAGATACGGAATGGTATTGCGAATATCGAAGATGGTATTCTGCCTAGTACGACTAGTCAAGGGTCTTGAGGCTATCAACAAGGGGAATGATCCGATGAAGGCGATGCGTATGGCGAAACATGATGACCAGGATAATATTTGGGGTATGCCAAAAGTCTGGGAGACGGCTCTTTTGCAGGCCCGGAGTGATAAATTGAACAAGTCGCAGCGGGCACTTCTTCAACGAACGGGATTGCTCAATGCATACAAGGCTTTGTCCTATGATAAACGGCTTGAAGAGTCTGATTCTATGGAGATGATGGAGCGAGACCGGGCATTCAGTAAGTATATCATCTCTTCAACCTTCCCAGGACTAACAGAACTAGGTTTCAAGGAGTCCTTCCACGCTGGAGATCTCGAACCCGGCTACAACACCAAATACAACCAAATCCAAGAAACACTCCGCAACATGCTCAAGACGCCTCATGTCGGCTCAACAGATTGGATCTGGTTCATAGCCGAGATCCTCGAATGGCTTGAACTTCGCGGCGACTACGACGACTACGTCCAATATCCCCAGTATCCCTAGCCACATATGTTGATAGCAAATGAACATGTTGAACTGAGAACTATCATGACCTGGGTTACAATTTGGAACCGCCCGCGTCCACCTTCATCATCACACTCTTGACCTCCAAGAAGTTATCCATACTGTAAAGGTACCCCTCTCGACCTTGGCCCGAGGACTTGTACCCACCAAATGGAAGATCTCGAGCAGTCGTGGGACTGGTGCAGTTAATCCCGACGTACCCTGAGTTGAGCTGTTGAGTAACTCTCATAGCCCGATCAATATTCTTCGTGTAGACCGCAGCATACAGACCATACTCTGTATCATTCGCCTTCTGGATAGCCTCTTCCTCCGTTTTGATGACATTGATGTTAACAACAGGCCCAAAGATCTCCTCCTTCATGATCTTGGCATTTTCAGCCGTGTCCAAGAAGATCGTCGGTTCAATGAAGAAACCTCCAGTCTTGTCATAACTTCCTTTTCCGCCTTGAACAAGCTTTCCTGTCTTTTTACCCTCATCGATATAAGAAAGAACAGTCTCATACTGAGTCTTGTCTGCTTGTGGACCATGATCAACGCCCTTTTGCGTCGGATCACCTGGCTTAGCAGCTGCCAGAGCTTTCTTACTAGCCTCAATGAATTTCTCAGCGATTGTGTCTTGCACGTAAACGCGAGAATTGGCCATGCAGACTTGTCCACTGTTCCACTGGATGCTGTGCATGGTGTCTTTGGCGGCTTGTTCAATGTCCGCATCATCGAAAATAATAACAGGCGATTTTCCACCGAGCTCAAGAATAACCTTCTTCAGGTTGGACTTGGCAGCTGCTTCCTGAATCAACCGTCCAGTGCGTCCCGAGCCCGTGAAGGAGATTGCTCGTACATCCATGTGTGACGAGAGGGCTGCACCAGAGGGGTTGCCATGGCCTGATATGACGTTGAAGACACCAGGAGGAAATCCCGCCTCGTGGATCAGCTCAGCAAACTTGGCTGCACCAAGCGGCGCTTTCTCGCTCGACTTGAGCACGACGGTATTACCAGTGATGAGCGCAGGCGCAGTTTTTCCCGCAAAGAACAAGAGAGACACATTCCAGGGAATAATAGCACCGACAACACCAAATGGCTGACGTAGAGTCATGGTGACATAGCCTGGTGTATTGAGACTCGCCTGGCCTTGGATATGAGGCCAAGCCTCAGCGTAGTACTCATAGCTCCCAGCAGCGGCGTATCCTTCGAAGAACTCTGGCAGTGGACGGCCCATAGACTTTGCTTCGAGTAAAGCCAGTTCGTCATTATGTTGTCTAATAAGACCCGCGAGTTTCTTCATGTAGCCGCCGCGCTTGGCGGGATCCAAGGCAGACCATGCAGGAAAGGCGCGCTTTGCAGCTGCGACTGCGTTGTTGACATCGTCTTTTGTGGCTTCGGGGACTTGACGAAGACAGTTTTAGCTGAGACTCAGAGGGAGGATTGTGTGCGTTTACCATTTGCAACTCGATCGCCTGTCGCTGGGTTAAAGAGGGGAAAAGTGTTTCCATCAGAGGCGCCAACCAACTGATAAAGTTAGAACCTCAATCAATCAGCGGGAAGTTGGCTTCATACTTGACCATCAATTAGCATAAGAGGCTTGATTGCCTCATTTCCATTCAACGAACCCATATCTGCAAAAGTTGAATGATGCTAGGATTTGGTGTTTGAGTGAATTTGAGAACCGAGAAATGTCTCAATTTATCCATGACGAGATTGTTTCACATGACATTTACCACAAACTTGTTAGGCAAAACATCCGAAGGAAATTCAGCGCCACCCCCGCAATATTCGGGAGGGGAAAAGCAGCGCCGTGAAACACTGTATTTCTCGCATAGCCGAGATGCGGCGCTATGAACGGCCCGAGAAGATCACCGTGGTGGAGTGGATCTGAGGCACGGCGACAGAGTTCAAGAACTGATGTTTATCTATAATTCTGTTTATTATGCATAAAAATAAGTCTATCCTATCAACCTGAAGCCGTTGAACTCGTCGTTGTGGCAACAGGTTGTAATAGTCGCCACTCAAGGTTACTCCAGAGGAAGCCATTGGCAGGCCAATTCCTTGATCTGCGCAGGGAAATGGTCTTCCCGAACCTGGACACTGTCTCTTCCTCCAAACCAAGTGTAAAATGCTCGAAGGCTGGCCAACTCAGGATCTGCCAAAAGGTCTAATGAGTAGAGGTCTTTGGCAAAGTGGAGAGTTGAGTACAAGACACAATCGGCAATGGTGACCTGTCCATCTCCACCATTAAAGCGAGTATCCTCCTCGTAGTATTTGTCCAGAAGTTTGAGATTCTTCTGGCAATATTCAAGTGCAAGCTTCGCTGTGAGTGGATGCGTCTCCTCAAGCATGTTGAACAGTGCCGTACCCTTGTGGCACGCAAAGCCAAACTGACCGGTGACTTCATCAGCAAGACACAGGATCTCTCTGACCCGTGCTTTTTGTTCCGCTGTCTGTCCAAGCATACTGCCACTGGCGTTTTTAGCGAGTTCAATTTGCCATGGCTGCTGCGGACGATCGCAGATGTCTTCAAAGTACTCGAGAATGGCGATTGACTGCTTGATGAACTTTCCATCTGGGAGACGCAAGATTGGCGCCGTTCCTTTAGGCTTTCCAGGCGCAGTTAGGCTGTTGCTATTGGGAGATACAGTTACTTCTGTAACTTTGATGAGAGGTGATTTGAGGAGTCCTTTCTCGGCGAGATAGATGAGGACGCGGCGGGGGTACATTCCCCATGAGAGGGAGAAGAGTTCAAGAGGGGCTGACATTTTGAGGGTAATTGATAGATATCTTGGGTGATACAATATATTGTGGCAGTAAGGTTAATCACTGTCACCTAAAAACAGACTTTTATACGTTTCTGTTTAGGAGACTTTGCGGATTCTTTAGTCAAGGTGAAGTCTCCGATTGGTCGGCGAGTTTTTCATCGGGATCTTTAATGTGACCGATGGCCATGGGCAGATTCTTCAAGCGAGGGTACTGCCGGGATACGAACCAGTGAGGCACATCAGATGCTTGAAGGGCCAGGAAAAGGGTGTCAAGGAAAGGCTTCCGCCAATGATGGGAGATCTACCCTGGGGGGCGGCTAAATTGGCAACGAGCAGAACCGAAGGCAGCCCGAGAATATTAACAAGCTTATCATCCCCTACTGCTTTTTGAGTTGATCTTGAGGTAAAAGTCCGGTGAACAACTCTTGACAAGGTCTGAGTCCAGTCTTGGGGCTTCCGTAGCTCTGGAGCCACCTGCTGAGTTGATGGTTCAAGACACTTCACCCAAGGGACGATTTCTTCGGGAATCTCGGTAAGACTTGAGTTTGAGACTTCAGATTTGTGTGGCGATTAGAGTCTACTGAGACCTATCCCCCGAATGGTGATGTGAACGCTTGCGATGTAGTGAGTGTGGAGTTAACGTTTCGTGTCCGTCAGCCTCAGCACTGTAAACAAACCATCCAGCGCTCTGAACAAGCAGTCTAAGTTAGCAGCCCATGAGCCACTTTGAGAATACGCAACAGTACACATGCCTTTATCCAGCATTTTGCTATAAATCCATCGCTTCCTCCAGCGTTTATACACGTTTTTAAAACACATCACATCCTGCTCCCGCACCATAGGGGGTATTGTACCCTTGCACATTCTTCATCTTTCAAAATGGTCTCCTCATGCCTTTCCCGAATCCTGCTCATCTTCATGGTGTTCGGACTCGCCCAAGTCTTGGCTCAGCCTATCAAGGACAACAAAGCAGCGCCTGACAATTTTATCGTAAAAAGATCACCATGCATTAACTGCAAAAACGACATCGAGACCGTGAGAGTCGACAGCAACAATAAGTACAAGTGCAACTCGAAGCGATCACCATGCATTCAGTGCAAAAACAAGGTCAAAGTCAAGAACGTCAACAGCAAGAACAAGTACGAGTGCAAGGCGAAGCGATCGCCATGCGTCAACTGCAAAAACAAGCACGAAACCACACACGTTCATTGCAAGGATGAGAAAAAGGATGGGAAGAAATCAGACACCAAGACTCCCATAATCGTCATCAATCGCATCACAGTACGCCCTAAAGAGGAAGAGTCGTCAAAGTCCGGCAGTCACTCGAAAGGAAAGAAGGACAGCCCAGTTGAAACCGAGCGCGTCGAAGTCCACTATCCAAAGGAAGATTCATCAGAGCATGATAAGCACTGGAAAACCAACAAGGACAAGCACTTTCTACCCAAGTACAAGCACTCTCTACCCAAGTACAAGCACTCTCTACCCAAGGACAAGCACTCTCTACCCAAGGACAAGCATTACAGAGTAAAGCCCGTCAACGAGAAAGATGGTCATTCAGACGCAAGATTCAAAATCAAGGGCCCGCCAGTATGGCGTGATATGAACCTCAGGGGGGCAATCCACAAATAAGCGGTTAAATCCAATGAAGGAGCTGCAAGGTTTACCAGTTCCTCATCTTCATACCTCTCACAAGCTCTCGAACCGACAAGGCTCTTGGTGGTGGAAAAGACAATTGGATTACTCAGGTCTAGGTTGCGCTCAACTCTAGTCTCAGTTGGTACTTGATCTTCAATAGCTGGCGCCACAGCATACCGATACAATTGATTGTCTTTAAAAGTACTTCTTCTCGGAAATAAACTCTAGTAGCTTGTGAAACACTATCATAGCAGCATGGCCGGAAGGGTATTAGTGCTAAGCATGAATTTGTGATAAGTAATAGTTCAGCAAGTCGTGAAGCTGAAAATAGTGAATTTTATTAAGTTCATTAGAGTATAACAGACCATCCCAAAATGAATGTAAGTGTTAGTCCTGCTAAGAGGATGTGCCATACTGGGTAATTAGACAGTGTCCATCCGTAAGACTGCTCTGATATGTCCTTCATCGCTTACTTGGACACTATTCATCAGATGCCTCCCTCGCACGAGTACGGACTCGAGCCAACTCAATCTCAAAAGCCTTATTCTTGGCATCATTGTATGATTCCGATGAGTCGCCGCAAGACTCCAAGTCAAACTCTCGTGATGAGTGTGATAAACGTCTAATAGGTCGACCAGGTGAGATACCTGATTGATCTTGCGTGAGTCTCGCTGCTTCGGGCTTCTGGATGGAGTCGGTGGTGTAGCGACTGCCTTGGCTGGTCCCCTTTCCTCGAATGCTGCTGAATGCGCGTGAGTTCGCAGCGAGGTTGAAGTATGGTCGCAGTGAAGGGAGACAGGCAATGACAAGACCGAGATAAAGGTCCAAGGTATTCCAAAAGTCTACAAGTATGTTGGCCTATTTTCGCCAGAGTTAGAGTGAGAAACTTACGGGCTTCCACAATTGAAACCTTGCGATTGGCTCCAACGATGAATAGTTCATGAAAGCGGACGATACTGATGACCATGTTGATGATGCCAAGAAGAAAGGTCAAGTAAACGCCAACTCGCAGCCACCCTTTAATCATGAGATCAGGTACGATAAGCCAGGGAAGAATAAAGACTGCGATAGTTAGCTTTGGTCATGCCATCGACAGGAAGCGCTTACTGAATACATCGCCAGCAAAGTGAAGCGCCCATGAAGTCTTCAAAAATGTCATTGCAGCATTATGCGGACATTTGTTGTCGGGTTCCAATGACCTATTGACGTTAGTAACTTGCATGTCATTCTACTGCGATGGTGACTGACTGACCAAAATCGAGTGACCGGGATACAGACGCAAAATGGTAGAACCATGGTTACAATATAAGAAAGGGCAACATATAGAGCAGTGGCCCAAAGAACCATTCTTCTCTTGTGCATATGAACAGGAATAACTTGTCGGTAGACAGCAAGCAGAGCAGCTTTGCAGAGGTAGAACGCCGTGAAGAAAGGCAAAGCACAAATCCAAAGTAACTATACCAAGGTTAGTCTGCATCATCAGTCGTGATAACCATGTCTTACTCTCAAAATGAACTCTTTGTCTTCACGAGTTCCATTATAGTCTTTCAATGTACCATCGACGTGCGGCTCCATGACACCCATGTGAACATACGTAACACAGAACGAAGCCACGACAATGCCAGCTAACCATGCTGCAATCATCCATATGTCGCTATCGATGAGCCTTCGTTTTTGGATGGCGAGTCGGAGGTAGATTCGTGCGATGATGACGACTGTTGATAAGGATATGAGTGTCCATTCTGTAATCTACACTCTGTGAGCTAACTGCCAAGTGGGACTACAGTGATGATACTCACCAGAAGGGTCGACGGTCCTATCGCCATGATGCCGGTTGTTTTTGTTGCTGAATCAAAATACCGTTTGTTGTGCTGCTTTGACTGTACGCAAGTACACAGCAACACTATAAGTAAGGCATGGAAGAATGAGCTGCAAACCCGCGTCTCTACGAGTATGATGAGCCTCTCTCTAAATACCATGCTCACTCTTTCGTCCTCAAAAGCGAGACAAATAAAGTTTGCCTTCCGTTTTCATAAGCTATCCGGAATCTCTTAGCGGATGGGATGTGGCGCATTCCATATGCAGGGGCTGGAAGGGGATCTCTGCATCCACAAAACTAAAATTAATGGGTAGTGAGACCATAAAAGTCCAGCCAATTTTTGGTGGTGAGCGTTGCTGGTATGCTATCAAAGTCAGTTGGCTGTAACAATCTTAATATTTTCTTGGATATGCTCGCTTGTTTTGGTGAGGGCTGGGAAAGGCAGGTTGAGCTCAACACGTGGCAAAGCCACAATTGAGAAACGGATTCTTGGAGTGATGATGGGGTGATTTAGCATATGTCTTGGCGAACTGGTTGCCTAGTTGATCCAGGTAGAACGATATCTGAACCTCGCCTAAGATGGCTGCAACTTGAGGGTTAACGGCCTCTCTCACAGACCTGGCTCATTGTAAGCAGCAGATTCCCGTGGGCAAGATTGCACCTGGCAACCGTTCAATTATGGGAATATTTGATTAGTAAATATATTACTGTGTTTATGTAGATCCAATGTCAAAGCCAGCTATTGGGGTGAGTAGAGTCGTTACGCCGGCATCGTACAAAGTCCTAGCTGTTGCACAAGATGTCCAATATCTCGAGCTTCCATCGCATCGCAATCCCTCGATACATCACCGGATGTCCACATAACTCACCCAGCAGTCAGAGAACCTCGCACTGCAGACCTCATGTCAGCTAGCAGTGCCTGGAGTAAAGAACGTTGGTGCAAGGCATGTAGCCCAGGCAAAGGCGTTATATGGCCATCGTATGCGTCATCTTGGAGCTATTCACACCAAGAATTTGAGGGATCTTCGGCAGCAGCGTTATCAACAATGGTGCTTTTGTAGAAGCACAATGTAAGTGGCGGCGACGAAAATGTCGCTGATCTGCATCATGTCAAGCGACTCACTGATCGACCAACTCTATTCAAAAGAGCAGCATTTCGCCATGACGCCAAACGTGAAATGTCGCCAATCCTCGGCTGTTTGAGCATGATGAGATCAGTTCAATTGCATAAACGGTGTCGCATGACAGTGAACTCTTTCGTAGGGGATCATCACTACTGACATCATGAGATCAACCGCCATGGGAAGTGTAAAGTGTAACGTTTGAATGGAGCCCTCGAGAGAGTACCATAGTAATGGAGCATTATAAAGTCGCATTGGCAATTCACGCGGTGAACAGGTATCCCTTAGTACTCAGATCTCCTGTACCCGGTTAAACTTATGGAGTAGCTTGGAAAGTGATACAACGTCGCGTAATGCCCCCAGCAATTCCTTTGCGGAGAATATCGTGCAAGCGAACGTATATCATACGACATGTAGGACTCTATCATATCTAGGGTAGTAGATTAGACCCAAAACATCACCAAAATGTTTCATGTAATGTTTTGGGTCTGTGAAACCAAGAAATGTTTCAGTGGAGCACCTCTAATGATCTGAGCTGGCACGACACTCTATCGGGGGCATGTCTCGTCAAGTTCTGAGTCACGAGACGGTCAAAGCGCTTTTTTGTGAGATTATCTTAGTGTGACTAGCAGTTCTCTTAGCCAATTGGACTATTTACTGCATGTCACTAGATGGCGTATCCTCTTTTACCGAGACGGACTGACATCTCAGTGCCATATTGACGGGCCCAAATCATTAATGAGCTAGGTTCCCCAGTCAAAATGAGGTCACATGCTTACTCTCTGCAGCGGGATCATCATTAGTCACCAGCCAGGTTACAGATCTACTTGAAACTAAGACACCACGGAATTACGGATATCATGACATTCGATGTCCCTCAATCATCAGGCAAGAATTAGTCCAAGCGGTGAGTCCAGAAAGTAAAATGAGATCTGATATGCAGGTCATTTCAACAAGGGTTAGATCACGGTATGGCTTGGCTACAGGCTTGATGGGCAGAGCAATATCACCAGTGGAGCTTTTGACGATTGATTGACGAAACAAAAGACCGCACTGAGACTTTTTATCGTTACAAATCCCTCACAAACCTCCGTTTTTCTACCTCGGGATGCTCGGCAAGCCTGTCAACAACGAACCCCTGTTCCTATCAGAAAACTTAGCTCTCCCCACTCCAACCACATGGCATATTGAGATCGGCAGTTATCTAAACCCAGCAAATACAAGGCGCACTGACACTCACGTCGCCCGCAAGCACAAATTGTTAGGTTGCGGCAGTGAACGACCCGATCTGGTTGGTTCAGGTCCACGCAGTAAAACAACGATCAGCGGTAATCTTCAGGTCCAGGGTGTCATTGCTCCGCAGATCAGGTCGGAGAAATTACAGGTTTGGGAAACAGATGCACGATTAGATCATCGCTCTGCGGGTTACGTTACTGCATGAGACACATTGGTGACTGGGTACCGCAGCGATAATGCAATATAAGCTCAAGCTTGTCGATCTCTTACAGTAGTGAGACGGAATTTGTGAGGGCTGAAGTATGAGCCCCTCTGGATAAAGATACTAGACCTGGCGATTCCCCCGCACGAAAAATGTGTTTCTGTGATAACTTCAAACATATGTTGAAATTTGTTTTGTCGTGAGTGCAGAATGTACCTTCGTTGGGCTGACGAGAGTCATCTAACAATGGATACTCGCTCGATGCCGGCGGATAGTTCATCCCGCTCGGTCGAGATTCGTGCCATTCTCATTACGTTCTCCATTCTTTCCACGATCACCGTCGCATTACGACTCTATATAAGATATAAGGTTCTTCATTCTCTCGGTTGGGATGATAGAGTTATGGCTGTTGCCCAGGTCCTTACCATTGGAGCTGCGGTAGCCATCGGGCTAGGTAGGCTTCAATTAACGTTGCGCTTCAAATTCGAGAGTGCTGACGTGGATATAGAGAATAATTATGGACTTGGGCATCATACTTGGGAGCAGTCGAAGGAGAATTACATCGCTTACATGAAGGTCAGCTTCACTCTTCCCATGCTCCTCTTACCCTTGCTGACACCTTTCAATAGGCATTCTATGCTTCCGTCATTGTATACAATGTCGCGATGTGTCTAGTCAAAATCGGAATCCTTCTTCAATACCGACGAGTCTTTGCCATACCAGTCTTACAGGCCTTGACATTCTACGGACTTGTCATCATGATCGCCTGGACCATCACGATCGCCTTCCTTAATACTCTCATTTGTGTACCTGTCGCAAAGTTTTGGAACTCGGCTTTATCTGGGCATTGTACCGACCCCTTGACGGTTTGGTACGTCATGGCTGGCTTCAATCTAGTCACAGATATTACTGTGTTTTGTATGCCATTGCCAGTTATCGGAAGTCTGAATCTTCCAAGGAAACAAAAGATTATGCTGTTGGCCATCTTCAGCATCGGGTTCTTGTAAGTGACTGGCGGAATCGTTTCTATCGCGCCCTTACTGACAGTACCAGGACATGCGCTATCTCTATTTATCGCATTCGAACACTAAAGACTGCCGCTTCAACCAAGGACCCCAATTGGGACAATGTCGACGCCGCCATATGGTCATTCCTCGAAGTCACCCTGGCCATCATCTCATCATGCCTACCAACCCTCCGACCGTTATTCTCCAAGCTCATGCCCAGGCTCTTTGCCTCTTCATTCGGTCGCAGCAACCGTGCGTCCCAATACGGCTATACTCGAACACGAAGCAGTCAAAACCTACGGAGCATGCCTCGAACGCGAACTGAAGACCTCAGTCATGGCTCAATGGATGACACAACCACCTTGCGAAAAGATGAAGTGCCCCTCCCATCAATCAGCCATAAACACTATCGAACTTACCCTGGTGTTAGCGTTAGTATTAAAGCTGAACAAGGACAGAATCATAGTGATGAAGCAGAGTCGCAGAGTCCTCTGGAGCCAAGCTCACCAAGCCATGGAGGGATCAAAGCCACGACTGTTGTCACGCAGGAGATTGTGGTAGAGAGACATTCAGACGATGAATGGAGCCATGGTAGACCAAGTGACAGTGATGCAACTCTGAGAGAATAAGTTCTGTGTAGCAATTATCCAGAAACATTCTGTCGCTTCTTTATGAGACATGCATATTATTACCTAGCCTTTTAATGTAATCTTAATACACTTTTATTTATATATAGCCCATCACCACCTTTCTTTTTCTCGCCGTGTGTTCTAGACCTCCAAAGCTTACCCCAAGCTCTCAGCTGTAGGTCTCCGGATTGGGAAGTTACCTTGATAGCGTTAGGGCGGAAGCCTCGGCACGTTAGCTCCCTTGACGCTTTTGGGATAGCTACTTGATTTCTGGTCTATTCTCGTCACAAGGTGATTCTCCTCGTACCGATACGAATCGATAATCACCCGTATAGCCATTAGTCGAGCGCCACAATTCTATCGAAGCTCGTATTCAACCTAAATCGGTTTTCACCGCAAAGTCGAATGTTTGCCATGTAGTATAAATAGTGGCTGTTATTCAGCTCATTTTCCCTCGTCAGATCTCAATCATCCTCTGTACTCAACACAAGCCATCCTTTCACTCGTCAAAATGAAGTTCAGCATCCTCACCGCCCTTACCGCCATTGTCGGCAGCGCTGCCGCTGCCAACCAAGCTGTTGTTACGAACGACTGCTCTGGTACTATCTATGTTCAGTCTTGGCCTTACAATGGCGGAGCTCCTGGACCTCTGGTGACCCTCAAGCCCGGACAGAAGTTCTCTGAGAACCTGCGCTCCACTGGCTCGGTTCGTTGATCCGTCACTGATTGCGTCAGGATTGGACATCTTGAACTAACAATATTCCTTACCATAGACTGTCAAGATTGCTACTACCAAGACTCTCACCAACCCTCTCTTCTTCGGTTACTCCTCTACCTCCAAGCCCAACTACGTTTACTGTGAGTCCAACACCCTATGATCGACATGATAATCATTGATCTAACAATATTCTACAGACGAGTTCAGCACGTAAGTTCAAATACTTACTCACTATTTTGACATTATACTAACATATCTAGTCAATGGGGTAACCCCTTCGCCAACAAGCACAACATTCTCACCACTGGTAAAGGATGCAAGCAGTTTGACTGCAAGGCTGGTGACGCTTCTTGCTACAGCACTCCCAGCATGAAGAAGGTCTATGGTTGTCCCAGCCCTGCTACTATCTCAGCCACCATCTGCGCCAAGTAGAGGAGACGTTAGAGAGACGGGGAATAGAGAGAGAAATATATAAATCTTATTGGTAGAGGTAGTAATACATATTCAATAATGTAAACGCTTAGCCTGAAGTGAAAGTCTTTTATCACTGCCACTTGGAACAATATCGTGCTTATCCTTATGTAGTAAGTCCTTAATATTTCTCCCCTTTCTGCCCTATGCTCCTAGTGAAAAAGACCACCCGATTTCAGAACATTTAATTGCTTGGTTCCCATCATTTCGAATTGACTACATGGGCTATTACTATGAACCCCAGGTATCTGTCAAACAAAGACTGTAGACCATTGGCCCAACGGTTCGTATCGCTAGTCAAGTACACATAAGAGGTCACTGAAGGAATATGCGTCAGTTTCTGTAAGTCCTTGATAGGAATGTCGCATTTGCTTACCGATTAAAGTAAAAGTGTTGGCATAGTCTCCATACAAGCAGATGATGTTGGATAAGCATTCGTTATGACAGTGGTACTGATATCAGATAGGTAAGAGTTAGACGTGATTATTGGCACCATAGTACGCAGAACGGCCTTGGTGGCGGCCTTGAGAGTTCGAGGGCCCCGGATAGTCGTCATGATAGGCTTCTTCTTGGCGGAATCCGCACGCTGGGTGTATAGTACTTAAGACCTGTTTGATTGATAGTTAAAGCTTATGTAAATAGTACTTAAGACCTGAAATGGCCTGTTATTCTTAAGCATCTTTGAAAGCTTGAGCTATTCCACCGGCCGTATCACGGATAGTTGAGAGTGGAGGGGATGTCAACAGGAGCTGGTAGAGTTTGAGCGACCTATCTGGAGTTATCTGGCGTAGGCACTGGTTTGGTTGCTGATGATGCGGCTGGAAAGAATAATTACTTAACACATTCTGCACCAACTGTGTCATAATCTCTAACACATAACTATAGTCACCACGGTCCTGACATAAGAATTGGCTGTCGCTGTTGTCATGGTGTAGTTCGAGCGATAGAGGTATTGGTCTCGGGAATCACGATTACTCTGACCATGCCAATGAATTTCTGACTATCGACAAGTTGGATTGCGACTGTTAGCACACTATTAGGAGTCAAGAGCAATTCTAAGCATCGTAGCATGCAAAGAAATGTATTTGCAGCTGCAGCGGCATCCCAAGTTTGGACACTCTGACTCCAAAGAAACAGCAAGGAATTGAGGGCGACCATAGTGGTCTAGCGGCAGCGAGATGGCAACTCCGCGAGCAAGAAACCATAAATGATGGTAGTATTCTGTGCAGTCTGCAGCACGGTAAGCAGAAATATCTATATTCAGTCAGCTGCTACAGAAAAAGAAACCGTTCACAATGTTTGGATAAGGGGCCAATTTGCTCAACGGAAATCTACTAGCTCATATACGGCCAAAGCCCTGCAGCTCAACGGGTATTTGTTATATACCAGCTTTTCTCTATAATTGCATGCAAGCGAGTGACACTGTCGAGAGGTTTAAGTGGCAGGGGCTTAACCGGGTGAAATCACATCTGCTACCCAAGTCAAGATCTACAGTCTAAGTTAAATGACTAATCGACCAGTCAGTGGAACAACGCACTGGTTACTTGCCAGTTCATGACAGGACACTCTCCAATTCGCTATTCACAGATCGCATGACAAGTACAACATGTTGAGTGAGTCATAAGTGCACCAGGGAAGACTTATTTATTATAGTACTAAACAAATCTGTTGACCTCACACCCCAGCTATTATTCTATGAGTCTATAGTCTGGGCCCCGAGAAGGCCCAGTTGAACAAGCTGCCAGGCATCTAGGCGTTGACGCGGTCGAATCCCTGCTGCATAGCCTTGAGGTGGCTCCAGTCATGGCTGTCAAGAGCAAGAGCCCAGGCCATGACACTCTTGATACCGCGGGTCTTGGCAAGAAGGTTGATCTTCTCAGCGATGAGCTCGGGAGTGTCCCAGGACCAGAAGATACGGTTGGGGGCATCCCAGTACCACTGCCCTCCATTGACCTTGTCGGTTCGGCCATTGTCGAGAGCCTTGTGGAATGAGGCGGAGAGATCAATGCCGTCACACTTGCCGTAGGCAGACTGGCAGCCAGTACCGCAGTGAGCAGGGGTGTCACCACTATATCATGTTAGCTTTCATCTAGGTAACGAGAGAAGATACTTACCACCAGCCGGAACCACCACAGCAAGATCCAGTAGCGCACTTGAAGAAGGTACCAGCACCGCAAGTAGCATCAGGAGTAGCAGTCAAGTTGGTAGGAGCAGAAACAAAGTTGGCGGCCTCAAAGGTCATGGAGCCAGACTTTCCAGTGTCGCTACCATCCTTGGGGTTCTCGAGAAGCTCAGTAGGGCAGCCGATGGGCTGGTTGCAAGTGTAACCTTGCTTGGTAGTGAACCACTTGGCGTAGAAGGGGATGCCGAGGACGAGCTTGTGAGCGGGGAAACCGAGGGAGAGATACTTGTCGATGGCACGAGCGGCACCCTTGACGGAGACGTGGTGGGTGGTGTAGTGATCACGGCGGTTCATGAGATCATAGGTCATGACCTGGAGAGGTTAGTGGGTGGTTTCATAAGGCTGAGGAGGGGCATTTACGTTGACAAAGTCGACGGACTTTTCAATGAGAGGAGTCTCGCTGGGGACGTAGGCAATCATGTCGCGCTCAAGAGCAGGGACAGCGATGGAGAGCTCCTTCTTGCCGATGAACTTCTTGATCTCCTTAAGGAGCTTAGGGAAGGCCTTGATCTCGTAGGTCTTCTTGGAGTTGACAACCTGCTTGTAGTCCGCGCCGTTACCACCGGGGTACTCCATGTCGATGTCTGAGTCTGTTAGCCAATCTTCCCAGCAAACTAATGTGTTCAATTCACATACCAACACAGTCGTAACCGAGTCTATCAAGAGTAGAAGCAACGTTACGCGCAAACCTCTCACGGCTTTTGTCGGTCTTGAGACCCTCATCGAATCCAGCATTGTCGCCCCAACCACCAATAGCAAGACAGACCTTGATGTCATGGTCGAAAAGAGCGCGAACCTGCTTAAGAGGCTGGAAAGGCTCATACTTGCCAGCAGGCTCGGTGGTGAAGAGCGAAGAGTTGGCAAAAGACATCATGACGTGGGTGACGCTGTGAGTAACATCCTTGGGAGGAAGATCAGCAGTATGCCACTGGTCATAGTAAATGATGTTGCGCGAACAGCTCGCCTCGGCGACGGCGTAGGCACTGAGGCCCAAGAGGGTAGAAACACGCATTGTTAGAGAAGTTCAAAAATGAGTGACTTTGTTTAAATGAGTGTAGTATGCAAAACAGTAATAATGAAAAAAGAATGAAGACCGTTGGAGGTTGACTAAATACAAAAAAAAGTAGGCGGTGATTCAGCCCTTTAAATCAATGACAGCGCGCCCGGCCCGGACGAATCGAAAGGTTTAACGCAGTGCCGCTGTCCCTTTTTGCCAATTAAGTTTAATTGGAAGCTAACCGTACATTTTTCTAGAAAGGAGAGTCAGCGTTTCACTGGCGTAGCTTGCGTATTATAGAGTTTAATTACCCTTTGACGCCCCAGGTTTCAAATTTCCACCACTGAGAGCGCATGAGTCCGGGTTACATAGCCTCAACTTAAAAACGCACAGATCACGGCAATTCTGTAGCGTCATTTCGACAGTGGTGAGGTTGTTTCGGCATTTGTTCAGTGGCTGACGCTGACTCGGCGAGCATCCGATCGTTCCGGTGTTTCGGGTCTCGGTGGGATGGATGGGCTGGGGAATAAGCCTTATGGCCGTGCCCTGACTGCTGACGTGCAGAGCATAGAGAAGATTGTTTCTAGTTTACTTGGATGAAGAAGCATTGAGGCGCCACCCATAAAGCTCTGTCTTCTGTGTGTGCAAATAACTATTCTCTGAGAGTCTTTGCTATTTTAAACACGTCTTATTCTTTCCCCAGAGTTGAATTAAATGCCTTGGCTCAAGACCTGACAATCTAGGGTAGTAGTGGATGACCCGATCCGATATTCCGATGTAAACCTCTTCCAATCAAAATGGACATCTCATATCATGTATGGTACCTTGAACTGCAGGGTACAGAATTAAGTTAGGGTTCAATACGAGTTCGAGATGAGACGGCCACTTTGTATGTTCAGACTTTTAACACTACCCTTGGTGGCCATACAAAGTTGAGATACCAGATAGAGCCAAGTAAACTAATCAGTCGCTCCTGAAAGTAACACCCAGTACTAATTTGTCAATGTCTCATTACGCTACATGATTCAGCTGTGTGTATCTTTCATTAATCATGAATGGGTACCTTCAACTCGCTCTAGAGCCTACTCGAAATGCCATTCTCCCTCTGAATAAACCAGTCAACCGTCGTAGCCACTCCCTCTTCCAACGACACCCTAGGCTTCCAGCCCAATACCCTCTCAGCAAGACTCGTATCTGGCTTTCGCCTAATAGGATCATCTTCCCTCTTCGGCAACAACTGAACAGCAACAGGATCTTCATATCCTGTTTTCTCGGCCACGACTCGAGATATTATATCTGCAATCTCACTAATCTCCATCTCAAGATCACTCCCGATATTGATCGGCTCGTGATAGTCGCTGTTCATCAGTGCCTCTAATCCCCGAACACAGTCGTTGGCGTGTTGGAAGCATCGTGTTGCGTGTCCATCACCGAATATCGTGATTGGTTCTCGTTTCAGAGCTGCCATGATGAAATTTGGAACAGCTCGACCGTCCTCTGGCTCCATGAATGGGCCATAGGCGTTGAAGATTCGTGCGATGCGGACTTCGAGACCGTGTTCGGCTTGGTAGGCATATCCTAGTGCTTCCATGACTCTCTTGCCTTCGTCGTAACAGGAGCGCGGGCCGAAGCAGTTCACATTGCCTCGATAGTCTTCGCGTTGGCATGCGATTTGCGAGTCGCCATACACTTCTGTGATAGCATTTATTAGCATATATGGCTAGCGGGAGAAATTGAAACCGTACCTGATGTACTAGCAAGAAGTACTCGAGCATTATGTTTCAATGCATAGTCTAAAACGTTCGATGCGCCATTGAAGCACGTTTGCAGGATATCAATTGGTTGAGTCTCGAAATGCACAGGACTCGCAGGGCATGCGAGATGGTAGATTTGCTCGACTCCATCTATCCACGGTAGAGGATCTCGTACATCAGCTCTATAAAATGTCAGCACTGAATCAATCTGTTGGGATCAATTATGCGCACTGAATATATCGCACTCGCTTGTCTGATCGGAAATTATCGAGGGTGCTTTGAGATCCCGTCCATAGCGAATCAATCACGACGACTTCGTGGTTCTTCTCGAGGAGTAGCTGGATTAAATTGCAGCCGAGGAACCCAGCGCCCTGTCGATAAGATTAGTTTCATTTCTGCGTCACTGCCATAGGCTCGCTTACACCAGTGACGATGATAACCATGCTGTAGTATTCACGGTATAAAATGAAGCTGATGATTTGCGGCACAACGCAGTTAGTTTCTGTAATGGAAATGGAGAAAAAGAGGGCATCGAGCTTGTAGAATTAATTATAGACGCAGTCATAAAATATTATCTGTTTTCAAGTCAAACGGGCATCATCGATCTGCCAGGGTGAGACATCAGCTTTCAGCTGACAAGGCGTAAGCGAAAATCTTGCCCTTATAAGTTGCCAAGATCATTTTAGCTCGGTATCTACCGAGCTGATCCGGCACTATCTACGTCATGTTCACCCTTCTGTGTCCCTCATTGGGAAATGTCTTGTCACATCCCGTGTTGCACGGAGGATCTGACGTATACGGCGTTGCCAAAAGCAGTTGGGTTGTGACGAAAGAGATGTTGACAGCTGTTGAGGCATTAGGGTATAGAAAAAGAAAGTATAGACTCAAGCATGCGAATATAAAGGCTTATTAACCACAGAGAGGTTGGGGCATTTCTTAATCACAGATCTACCTGAGACTTCCAGGTGGAAGAGCCTGTTGATATCTAGCTCACCTCTCAATTGCCTGGTGCACGGACATGACTTTGCTTCATGCAACACAAAACATGATGCCATATGACTACCCCAACCGAGATTAAAGATCGACTCAAGTATTTGATTGTGTAACACAAGCCCGCTCGGGGTAGAATGTCTAATAACAAAGGTACTATCTATGTCTGGTCTCTCATGCCCTCTACAAAGCCAGAGCGAGAACAAGGAGTCCAAGAACGCCAGAGACAAATGTCTTGGTACCAGCGCTGGTAGGTGTAGCAACGGGGGCCTTAGTACCGCTAGCGCCCCCAGACGAGGAAGAGTTTCCAGAGCCAGAAGCAGCACATTTCGCAGCACTCTCCTTCAAGACAGTGAGCTCATCACCGATAACACCGCCATCACCGTGAACGAAGTTCCAAGACAGAGCAGTCTCGTTATGGACGGTCAACTTGGCGAAACCAAAGTGAGTCTGGTCAAGGAACATGGTCATGTTGAGACGAGGCTCGCCGTCGAGGGTGCTGTGGCTCTCGAGGTTACCTGCGGCTCCGTTGACGAGGTGGACCATTGACTTTCCGGGGTTGGTCTTGTAGGTGTTGTTGTTGATGATGGAGCCAGAGTCGATGGTACCGTTGTGGCCCATGGGCTGAAGACGCTCATACCAGTGAATGTGACTGTCAAGTGTTAGTATCGGTTCTGAGGAATGATCGTGAAGATATTGACTCACCCAGCAATGTAGACATCAACGTTGTTCTTCAACATCAAATCCTCAAACGCAGCACGAATGTTGACCTGGTACTTGGCCACCTCAGAGCTATACATAGGACGATGTCCCATGACAATAACCCAAGGAGTCTTGCATCTATCAACGCTCTCAAGATCCTTAGCCAACCACTGATACTGCTCATAGTTCTTGGTATCATTATAAGAACCATGAACAGCACCGAAGGGACCAGAATCAGTGACATATGTCTCATTCGCCTTAGGATGCGTCTCATCGCCCTTGAGATCCGCAGCAAACGGCTTCTCAGGGCTGTTGGCGTAATCGGTCTCTGTGTTGATAGACACAAAGTGAGCTAGACCGTAGTCGAAGGAGTACCAGAAGTTACCAACACCACCAGACTTCTCGCCAGACATGTGGAAGCGGTTCTGGAAAGCGGTGAAGTTGCGCTGAGAGGGAGGGCAGGAGTAGTAGTTGAGCGTGGTGTTGGGAAGAGTACCGTTGCTCTTGTCGTTGTTGAGATAAGCAGACAAGGTGTTGTTGCCGCCGTCGAACTCGGCGCAGGTGGCTTCGTGGTTACCGGGAACAACCATGTAAGGAATCTTGAGGGTGATGCTGTTGAGCCACTGCTGCCAAAGATCCCAGTTTGACTCGTACAGAACGCTCATGTCACCACCACGAGGACTGCCCTGGTTAGCGACCTCGCCCTTGGGAAGAGGAGTCTTGTAGTCATCAGGAATAGGGCCACCGCCGGGAAGACTGGTTGAAGTTCCGTTGTAACAAACAGGCCAGTCATCCTCGCAGGGCAGAATGCCAGAGAACCAATCATCAGCATAGCTCAGATCACCGCCGTGCCAAGCAAAAGCAGCACCGTCAGAAACGGCCTTGTTGAGATACTTGTAGGTACCAGCGGCGTTAGTATATCCCATGTCGTTAAGAACAGCGATGGTGAACTCTGACTTGTCGCCTGCTTCACGAGCAGTAGTGAAGCTCAGAACATCAGACTTGGTAGTGCCGTTGGCAGCAGGAATCTGGTAGTAGTAAGTCTTGCCAGGCTTGAGATCGTCGATTTGAACATCATGAAAGAACTGATTGCACTGCGTAACAGCCTTGACGGCAGAACAAGGAGGAGTGCGATCATAGCTAGATGCATGGTTAGCCAATGACGATCAAACGCGCAGACAAATCGGGTAATGCCATGCGCCAAGCCGCGGAAACTTACGTAGTAGTCGAACCCGTAGCCTTATTCTTCAGCTCAGAAGCACTCGTTCCCCAATGAACAGCAGGCGCAGCACCAAGTCCAAAAGGTGTCTGGTAGTGGATATTGATACCACCAGGTGTGTACGACAGCGAAATAACATTGACGTTGTTGCTGGGGTTTGAAGAGCCAGGCTTCACGGCCGGAGGCTCGACAAGACGAGGGAATCCTTTTCCATTGCCGTTGACGGTGGGATCGACCCAATCGCCGACAGGAACTGCAGGGCCTTTGTAGGGATACTTCTCATCGACGACTGGCTTTGAAAGAGCGGGTGCAGTGAGGAGAGCAGCCAGGAGGCTGGGGGCAGCGATGGACTTCATTACGAACCGAGGTTGAGCTTACTACCTAGCGAGTCGGCAATGAGAGACTTTAAGGAATCTGCAACTACCATCCTCTCTTATTACAAATGCAACCTTGAGTATCCGTATATATAATCCATATCGTCGCGGAAGTCCCCATCTGGTCGGAACTCAGCTGCCGGATCATCATCACCACCGTTAACAACAACGGATCTGACGGCTCTCGCCGGTGGCATATCAAGTTTAGTCCCATCCTCACCCCTGTAAAATAACACCTCAACCCAATCAAGGTTGATTACGATGAAACGTGATGACGAGACTAAGATAAGCTTCTAGCAAAAAGACTCGGCCGAAGATAACGTATTCAGCTTAAAGTCTTAATTGTAGATGCATAAAGCCAATGTGTTAGAGTGTCGCTTCCACGTGGTAAGTAGCATTGTTGGGTTTTTTATTTGCTGATGGGTTGGACTCCATAAATCACGGCTTTTCGGCAGCTGTGTTATGGTGCTCTGTTGGTAATTTCTGGTCATCAATTGGCTGGTGCTGTGACTGTCCCCCGCATTTGTGCACAGATCCCTGCTTCGATTGTTCAAAAGTGCCAACCAGGTTCGCTACGGGACGAAAGAATACACTAACTCGCTCACACCGAAAGTCCCCTTTTTCAAGTTTAGCCTTTTCTGTCACCTCTTGTATGGCCAGCTCAAAGACCTACACGTTCTCTACAAGCTGTGAGCAAGGTGTTCAGAGGGAAGCTCAAATGTATATATTATCAATACCGTTTGTACTAGTAGTAGTACTAAATATCGCGCTATCGAAACAAACGTCCTCTACGAAATCGCAGAAAGACACCCGGTACGTAGCAAGGGACGGTTTAACAACAGCTTCCCAGACGGCCAGCTACCCTGCACCAAGGAACTTAGATGGCGTTGATTAACATACCAATAACGTGCCACCATAACTCTGTATCTGACTTGCAGTATCACAGAACTGTCTCGCTTTATTGCCAGAAAAAAGATATGCTTTTTCAAGGCTATTGTCATTATCATCTACTAGAACGACTGATTTAGACTCATCAAACAGCAGATCCCAGGAAGTTACAACCTTGTATATCAGTAGATCCACGCAGCGGGGCCAGATGCAAAGCTGATGCCGTCAAAGTTGTAAAGCTTCTGGTATATGTTATAATCGCTCTTCCTTCTATGAGTCTATGTACTATGTCATGCAGACGGATGAGTTAAGCGATATCAAGACCGGAACGACGGGAGCGCACAGATCTGTCCACGGAAAATATTGTTCCGTGCCAATTACAGTCCCCGGCTGGAGGTTTCAATGCATGATCTGCATGCCGCAATCATGGCATTTCTTGCAATTGCCCAGTCCAAATATGTTATACCCCGCCTCGGAACAACTCCGTCTATCCCTTTCCAGACATTATGCTTAAACAAGATCTTCCGTTGACATCCCTTGGTCATAAGATCGGCTCATGATTTGTTGGGATGAGGAAACAAGGTCAGGTCTAGGATCTGAAACTCAGGACCTGTGTAGATATAAGTAGCCCGTTATTCGCTATGTGAAACTTGCGAGCCTGAACGAATTGTCTTGGCAAACGAGTCAACTTACAGCCCAGCACAAATTTTGCCGTCGACTCTTTTCTGATGCTGTCCAAATACCTTCTGGCTGCCTTGGGTAGCATCTTGGCTCAGAACACTGCAGTTCACGCAGCGTCAAGCATTGACTATCTCTTCACTTTGTCAGTCACTTAGTAATATAGCTGCGGGCCACAAATTGACGTCTTTTAGTGGCGACTCATACTCCCAGACAGGGTTCGACGTCAACGGTCAAAAGCCCTCCGCCGCAAACCCAATCGGCAACCCCCCGTTCCCCGGATGGACAGCAGCTGGCGGTGCCAACTGGGTTGGAGATATGGTTAAAGAGCAGAACAACTCTCTTGTTCTGTCGTACAATTTTGCTTATGGAGGCGCCACTGTCGATGCTAATATCGTCAAGCCCTATACAAGCACTGTCTTGAGTATGGTGGATCAAGTTAACCAATTCTCCAACTCTGTTGGTAAGCACCCAGCTGGGACCTCATGGACAGCGCAGAACACCATTGCAGGAGTCTGGATCGGCGTTAATGACGTCGGAAACTCCTTCTATCTGCAGGACTCAGCTGCTGTGGTTGAGAAGGCTACTACAAGATACTTTGAGCTGCTGCAGGTCTTGTACAAGGCTGGCTTGCGCAAGTTTGTCCTGCTTAGCGTCCCACGTGAGTATTTGGGCACTGCCGAATTGCGAAATATCCACACTAACAATATCCATAGCCACGGAGTTGACACCATTGATGATCCAGCAAGGTACTGACTCCAACGCCCTTCTTGTCAAGGCCATAAAGCTATACAACAGCAAGTTGGCCTCAAAGCTCAGCGCATTCAAGCAAGCCAACTCTGGTGTCAAAACTCTCCTTGTCGACACATCCGTTTCTTTTAAGAAGGCTATCAACGACCCCAAGAACTACGGTGCTCCTGATGCAACTTGCTTCAACAACGATGGAAAGTCATGCGTAAGTAACCTCACTTGAGTGGAGACTCGTAATACTAACATCGTGACAGCTGTGGTTCAATGACTACCACCCGGGGATTGCTATTAACAGGCTTGTGGCTGAGCAGGTGGCTAATGAGCTAGAGTCTAATGGCTTTGGATGGTAAACCTATTAAACCTTGGACTGCTTACCGGTAAGCACACGCTATTGTCAAGCTTGTCCCGGAAATGAAGTTTTTAGTTTAAGTGAGCCTTGGCTTAGGGGATTTGGTCTATCTTATTGGAAGCCATGAGATAAACATCACTTGTTCAAGCTGCAAGCCTAAAGCATTGCATAGGTTAACCTGCGTTTTGTTCAGATGAGGCCTCGCAATCTTCTCAGTTATATAACTGTCAATATTACCCTGGAGTCTACCAGTTATGTTCGGGCAACTTGCCACCATGAGCTTCCCCTTCAGCTATGTAGGAAAAAGGATTTGTCCTAAAGGTGACTCGGAAACTCAGAGTCAGCATTATATCATTTTGCTTCACCAAAAGCGATAAGACGTGTACTAAAGGCATTGCGGGCTCGGGACCTGTTACCAAATCAGTCGCTTACTCAACCAGGCACCTTTGTCGAGTAAGATTCATTGGCGAACCGTATCTTGTGGAGCTATTCCTGTCACGTATCGTCAGCCCTAGTCCATATTGACATTGAAGATGCGACACATCTGACATTATGCTTATTCCAACAACATGGGTACAGGCTCGTGAGCAGCATCTATTGGCTAAAGCTCTAAGATCCGACTTATGCCGGAGTTAAGTCTCCCCTGTCATTGCAGTAAATAACCGTAAGTCAGACAATTATGTCACTGGGGGTCTGAGCGATAAATACTCGATATGGCCGCTCGTTGAGTGATGAACCACTGCCTCCCACCACTAATCTCACATCAATTTCATCTTATGACCATGTGTTTCCCCAGTGAGCAGAAAGTTGACTTTCAGGTATGTATAGATCCCTCTGAGTAAAGCTATGGTTCCCTTACTCCCAGGACAGACTTTCCGGAACGTTATACACAACCAGTTAAGCTCCACTTCAGAGATTAGACATGGCATCTGCCCTAGTACCGAGGAGCCTCTTTGGGAGTCACCCGTATCGACCCAAGATGACGTTGACCGAGCTGTAAGCGCTGCCAAGGCGGCATATCCTGGGTGGCGAAAGCTATCATGGGATGAGCGTGCCAGTTACCTTGTCAAATTCGCAGATGCTATCGAAGCACACAAGAAAGAGTTTGTTGAGCTTCTCGGTCGTGAAGCTGGTAAACCGCCCCAGGCTGGTGCTTTTGAGCTTATGCTTGTTATGGAGCATATTCGAGAGACTCCAAAACTGAGGATCAGGGAGGAGAAGCCCGAGGACAATGAAGATGTAAGTTCCACATTGATTACCAGTCTGACAATCAAGGGAGACTAATGATAGGCAAAGAGAACTGCCGTTGTACGCTATGTCCCTCTTGGCGTCGGCGTCGGCATCGTTCCATGGAACTTCCCCATGTTGCTCGGCATTGGAAAAGCGTATCCTGCTATGCTGGCCGGGAACACCTTCATATGGAAGCCCTCACCATATACTCCTTATTCTGCCCTTAAGCTGGCAGAGATTGGGGCCAAAGTCTTGCCCCCTGGCGTATTCCAGGCTCTGAGCGGTGGTGACGATCTTGGCCCTATGCTGACGGCACATCCTGATGTAGCCAAAGTGAGCTTCACGGGTTCTACTGAGACAGGTAAAAAGATTATGGCGGCCTGTGCTTCAACTTTGAAGCGGGTCACTCTTGAGTTGGGCGGGAACGATGCTGCGATCATCTGTGAAGATGTTGATATCCCTGTAGTTGCAGGAAAGGTACATTTCTCCTCACGTTATCCGATGAAGGGAAAGTTCACTGACGAGTCGACAGGTCGCATTTCTGGCCTATGTCCACTGTGGGCAAATCTGCATGAACATCAAGCGCATATATGTGCATGAGAGCATCTATGACAAGTTCCTTTCTGAAGTAGTCAAGTTCCTGGATAGTCTCAGAATTGGCGACTTCTCCGATCCTCAAGCCTTCTTTGGACCTATACAGAACAAGACGCAGTATGAGAAACTCCAACGTCTCTATGAACAGATTGACAAGCAAGGATGGAAGCGTGCATTTGGTAGCACATCAACTGCAAGATCAGGTAAAGGCTACTTCATGCCACCTGTTCTTATTGACAACCCACCCGAGGACTCGGAAGTCGTGCAAGCTGAACCCTTTGGTCCAATCGTCCCAGTCATGAAGTGGCAGTCAGAAGATGACGTTATTAGGTGTGTCAATGCATCGGTGTTTGGTCTCGGAGCCTCCGTCTGGAGTAGAGACGTGACTCGTGCTCGAAGAATGGCTGAACAGTTGGAGGCTGGAAGTATTTGGGTCAACACACATTTCGAGGTTGCGCCTAATGTTCCCTTTGGTGGGCATAAGCAGAGCGGTATTGGCATGGATTGGGGAGAGGTCGGTCTTAAAGGCTGGTGCAATCCTCAGGCTTACTGGGTGAAGCATTCTGGATGATGGAAACAAACATTATGAGTTGAGATCTATAGCCATAAGGAAACAATTAAATAAAATACGGATGCCTGAAACGACTGAAGACGTCCCACTATTCGTCCTTTATCACCATCACGACGACCTTTCCCCTTGTTCGACCCGACTCGACTTTATCCCAGGCCTCCTCAAAGTCATCCAAACCAACCACGCTATCAATATGCGGCTTAATCTGACCGGCCTCCAGAAGTTTGGTGATGACATCCAGATCCTTACCGACCGGGTCAATGACAAAGAAGATACTGTTGACCTGCTTCTTGACATCCTCCGGACGATTCTGCTCTGGCACAGCACATACACTGACAAGAGTTCCCCCCTCTCGTACTGCATACCACGTCTGAGCCAGAGAAGGCATGCCGATACAGTCGAAGATAAGGTCGAACTGTCGAGAGGCGGGATCTTCGGCAACCCACTCTCCGATGCTTTGCTTCTTGTAGTCAATCGTCTCAGTCGCACCAAGCTGTCGAACGAAATCGATGTTCTGTGTACCAACCACAGCCGTGATGGTCTTGACTCCAGCGATACGAGCGAGCTGTACAGCCCAGCTGCCTACTCCCCCAGCAGCGCCATTAATAAGAACCCGAACCTTGGCGTTCTTCTCCCGTGCAGCTGCATCACCCGCAAGAGCCTCTGAATCCAAACCTCCTCTTGTAAACAGTCCCTGGTATGCAGTAAGTGCACTAATAGGACTCGCCGCAGTTTCAGCCCAGGTCAAGGTCTCAGGTCTGATTGCAAGCTCAGAGACTCGTGCAAGGACGTACTCAGCAGCCGCACCAGGGCGATTTGCCTCGACACGGGCATAGACCTCGTCGCCGGGTTTGAAGCCGCTGTTCTCTGGGGCTGAGGCGACGGTTCCTGCGAGATCTTGGCCTGGGATGGGGATCTTGTCGCCGATGAACTCGGGTGCCCAGAGAGCCCAGTCGAGTTCACCCTTGCAGGGACAAGTGGCGTGGACTTTGACGAGGACGTCTTGAGGATGGCTGGGGGTAGGGACGGGTTGCTGGGAAGAGAGGATAAGCTTATGTGAGTGCTTATCTGGCTGGAGGACAGCCTTCATAGTCGCTGGAAGATTAGATGGAGCCATTTTTAAGATGTATTACAATGTTGTCAAGTATTGGAAATGATGTCTGATGAGGTATTTGAGAATAGCGACAGCGACGCAGTAACATATAAATACTCTGGTCAGCCACAAGAGCTATTATTCAACATTACATTATCCCCGTCTGAAACCGGAAACCACATCTCTACACCCTTGTACTCCGCGAAGGGAGTCAGCGAAAAACGCCACTCAGCGGTTTCCCGTGTGTTGATTACCCGGATACCCGCCCGATGGCCATGTCAGCCTGCATGCCAAGCGACACAGTTGCGGCATCCGGGCCAATTATATGTCTTGAAATGTTCCTCGGAGATGCACTATACCGTGTTTGTCAGCTCGCGCTCTGCTCGGGAACAACCCAAAGCGCGAGGCTTATTCTCTTAAGAAATGACTCTTTGATGCTATCAGTGGCGCAAAGAAGCCTGCTACTGACCTTAATGGTTCAACTGTTGAAGCTTGCATTATATGCGGCATTCCCGTATGACTCAGTTTTCTTATGTTAACGTAAAGCTCGAACTCAAGTTGACCTTGCGATAAGCAAAAATTCGATGGCCGGAGTAAAACTATTCATACGGCTGGATGTTTAAAAAGGCAATAAACTTGGTCTCAATGCTTTCTCTGACTTCCTCATCCTGAGTACCCGCTAGATGAGACGAACAATGGTGAACCCCTCCCGCGATATCACTCCCGTCCTCCTCACGCTCGGTATTCATTATCTTCATGAGAAGAACCTCCTCTGGTCTGATCACTGATGCAGTGCCACTTATGATTCGCATTAGCCTTGGTCAACAGTACGTCCGATCAGAAGAGTCGTCGATAAAAGGAATTGCTGGAAAGCCTTGACTCTTGAGCTGATTTTACGTCCAGCTGAACGAATCTCCTTGATCGGATACCTTGAGAGAGGCATTGGTATCACCGCTCGTACGGATGGCGGGATGACCTGGTTGGCTGGATAGGATATATAATCTGCCCTTCAAACCCGGGAAGTGCTCAGACAACCAAGATAACGTCGCTTGAGGTCATCAAGATCCGTAGTTTGTAGGCATTGAAAACAAGACCATAACCATACAAACGCCGTTGGTTCTATTTGGCCCAAGATATCAACTGTTCGGTGTTCTATGGTTGTTGCGTAACTTTGAACATCGAAACAAAAGTATTGACAAAAGGAAAGTCAGAAGTAATATTTCGGAATGAAAATGCGCTGTTAGAACTTTCAGGTCGAAGTTGCATTTGGAAACGGCTTTAAGACGGTTATGTGACTATTGAGGTCTAGTAATAAGCAACCGCTCGAGGTCACTGCGATGGGTTTCAGTTCGAGTTACGAATATGTACATTAGAAAAAAAGTATCGTGTATAAAAGACTCTCTTTTAAATAAAGCGCAAGTCTACCCACTCCCCATCTGCAGTACCTAGAGTTCCCCATCCATGATTCCATGCACATAAGCCTCCCCCACGATAGAATAACACTCTTGGATGTTTAAATTTCTCTTCCGGACTACAAAAGGTACACGCCCGCCAGAAAGAAGAACGACTTCATCGCCGAGTTGGGCAGATGGAGGTGCAAGGCCTATATATCCCCCATTTGTAACAAACAATCTTCGATACCAAGAAACATGGTGCATAGTACATTCATAGAGCTCACCATCCTGATTCAACCCCCCTTGCCATGATGGGGGTCCTGTATTGAGCGAAAGATTGAGTCGATGCCAGGTGTCAAACCCGGGCTCACGATGTCTGCACTTTGAGTATCAGCCGAATCCGTAAAATACTCCCGGAGTTCTTCCCGAGCTTGCAATGCAAACGCGGCGAACTTATGAGTCCAGTCTTCGCTGACAGGGTAGAAGGTTGTTCTAAGACCGATATTTCCGATCAGCGTGCGCCAAAAGGCGTCAATCATAGAACCAGCCTCGCCATTAATGCTCGGGTAGGGCGCACTAAAGTCGATCATGTTCGCCCAATTCTCAAGTGTTAGCTGAATCGTTTGTTCTGCCATGGGACATATCTTCGATATCTTGTCAACTTTGTATGCTGACAATTTCAGGATATCTGGATCCGCAGGTGAGTACTGTAGACGGACATCTCGTCCTACTGCAGCTGCATATAAGGTCAAGGACCCAGGCCGCGGTGGCATGCAAAGAATAGAAGCGACCTGATGCACGCTGTAGTCTGGAACCCAACTAGAAAGCTGATGTAAATGACGAAATCTGACATCTTCGATACCAGAAAGGGTATCTAGTGAGCCTTGGCTGATAAGGTGAAGAGTAACATCTCGAAAGACCTCAACAACAGACTTTCTATAATCCGGCCTAAGTGACGGCGGTAGCGCTTCTCTTCTCCCGCTCTCTGCCAGATTTATCAAGGCAAATATCTTGTCGACTGGCTTCGTAGCTTTGAAACGTCGCGTCGATGCCAGCAAGAGATCTAAGCTCTGATACTCTCCTTGCTGGTGCCGTGCATGACAGTTCATCATGCCTGTAATGAAGCCCGCTGCACCAGAGACTTTGTACATCTGGTGGAAGAGCTTAATCCATGAACTCTCAGCAAGGAATGTCGCGGCCCTTCCAACAACATCAAATGGTAGCATCAACAATCTGCAGAATAAAGCCGGGTTCTGAGAGACTGCAACTTCTTGGATGATCCAAGCACGCTGAAACGCTGCTCGTGAGATGAACTGCATGAGAGAGGCCCATATTGGGGCGTGATACTCTGGTAGGCCGACACTCCTCATGTATATAGGGTTAAGCAGCGCGTTGATGCCAGGGCGGGGAAGTCCAGATGCCAAGAGAGAGGTTTCCAGACGATCTAAAGATACCAGTAAGTCCATTACTGCCTCTGTATTCTCATCCGGCTCGCCAATCCAAAAGAGATCCATGGAAGCACGTTGGTAGATCTCACACATCTGCCCTATTTGCTGAACGCACTCATCCTTGTCGTCTTGGTTAATACATATCTGATCTATCCAGATGATACGCTCCCTAGTTGTTTTGCGGTAATTCTGAAGGAAGTTCTAGAGATTAAGGTTAATGTTGAGGTACTTGTCGTTAATTAATACAGGCCGGAAGGTCTTGGGCAGACTTTTCTCGTGCCATGTATAGGATAAGGTGATATATTGTGGGGTCTCTTGCGCAGCAAGATCTGCATTAAACATCCTGCAACGCAGAATATCTTGTCCCCCATCTGATAGGATCTGAAGCAAGCGGAAGCTGGTGGAGCTGGCGAGACTCTGATATGTTAATCTTGGTGCATCTTGAGGTATTTGAAGACCTTGAGAGTTTACGTTTGTGAATATCTCTGATGCGCTTATGGGCTCCCGCTTGAACGCAGACTGAGCTGAAATAGTAATTGACCTGCTTGAAGGCTCTTTCGATTAGCTCTTCCACAAGTCTGTATGGTTTATCTATGAAGTTCCAGGCGGATCTAGTGAGAGAACGAAGAGCTCTTTTCTTAACGCTGTGTAAAGCTAGACATGTTTTTGGAAATACGGGACTCCAAGGTCCTAAAGAATAAGGCAGAATACTTCCTCTGACAAGGCATAACTTTATTGCGCGTATATATGAAGCAGTGAGTTGATGCCTTACCCCGCTTTGCGATCTTTAACTGTTGGCTACTCAGTCTTGTAGCCGCAGGCTTACCCTTATAGGCTCCCTGCAGCTATTATACCGTCGCGTTATGGATGAAGTCACCCCGTAGATGAATTTACCTGTGATGCAGACTCGGTAACCTCTATCATATGTATATGTATAGATGGAAAGAAGAGTAATGGATGTGAATTTATTTAGCGACTAGATCTATATTTCTTTACCGCCTGTTTAGTGCGGAGGCACCTAAGGCTTCGTCTTTTTATCATCAGCTGCCCGTCTCCATTTTGCGCCAAACTTCCATTGAATAGCCAAGCTCCCCATTGCAACACCCTGCACCGCGACACAGACAGTAAAAGCCAACCCGACACCGATAGAGTTGATCATTGGCATAACAAAGCTCGTGCCCCCGGCGGCGAATAAGCATCTGGCAAGGTTCAAGCTCGCGCTGGCAGCGGCGCTGCGGTCGTGAAATACATCGACAAGATAGGTCATGACGACAGACTGCATGGAAACAGCAGCCCAACCCGTGATAAATGTCGACACGATTGGCACAGCGATGTGGACCTGATGGGGATACTGTATGGTCCAGCCAAAGAGCAAGATTGACGCGCATTGAAGGAGGGAAAACAGGGGGACGAGGCGGAGACGCGCCGTCTCCAGCGGGAAGTCATTTTCCTGGTCTTTCTGCACATTGGCAGGTTCAGCGTCATCCTCTGTATTACTCCTCGCAACGCGGGCATCATGCCGAGCCTTGAAACGGCGGTAGTCGAGATTGAGTATCTTGCCAGTAATGAGTGTACCTACCATGGAGCCCACTCCGTTGGCGATAAAAGTCAGGCCGATCTCAGTCTCTGTGAGACCATAACTATCCTCGAATAGGCTAGACATGGCCGTGATGCTCATCTGCCAAACGGCATAATAGATTGCCAGGAAGACGATGATCGGAGCGGCGTGCTTGCTGATCAGGATGCGAAAGGGTCCTGTGACATCGACGTGTTTCTTCGCCACTGGCGCTGTGGAAACCCCACCATTATTCCATTGGATTTTGGTCGTCTTCTGATAAACACGTAGAGGGTATTTGGCCAGGGCGTGTGTAGGTATCCAGCCCCCATTAGCAACGATGGACCTCAGCGTCTCGGGCAAGAGCAGGACCAAGAAAACCAGGAAAACGCCGGTATAGATGGTCAACAGCCAGAAGATGGATCTCCAACCAAGAGATCCGGCCAGCGCACCGCCGATAATTGGTCCCACTGCCACAGGCACCAGCAGCCCTGCTTGAAATATACCCATGAGCCCACCGCGATTATCCCGGGTCGTAATATCCCCGATAACGCCTGAACCTATAGCAATTGTACTGGCACTGCCAGTACTCTGAATGCACCTCAACACAACCATGGTCGCGTAGTTCTTGGCTTCTGCTAGACCAATACATGCTCCTAGGAAGACAATCAAGGTAAGTAAGTATGCGAGTCGTCGTCCCTTGACATCCGATATTGGGCCCCAGAGGCTGGGAGCTAACCCTTGGAAGATTAGGTATGAAGTAACCGTGAGATTGATCAACTCAATCGAGACGTCGAGATCATGGGCGATGGTCGGGAGGGCGGGGAAGTAGATGTTTGACGCGAAACCCGAGACTATACTAGTATTAACAAGGGGTAAAGTGAGTATAATATGTGAGCTTACATGTTGCCGCTATGGAGACGATTGTCACGATCAAGGCAGTTTGGCGTTTGTCGAAGATGCTATACGGCTCTGGGGCAGGCAAGGGGGCCGCTACAGGCGCAGGTGTCGCAGGTGATTCTGTGCCAGTCATTGTTTACGATACTGAATACGACAATATGGCGATGGAAATCATCTGCATTTCGGAGCTGGAAGGAATTGAAGTCGAAGATATTGGTTTTATAGCGTTGACTGCTCAAGGTCATGACGCAAGTACAGGGCTTGCCGGAGTTCGGAGTTGAGCATTTACTGCAGTGGAGATGTGGCGTGCTCAGCTCCGAAATGTGACAGCTAATTTGTTAGCCCCATAACTTATACGGCATAGATCTGATGGATTTGAGATTAACCCATAAATCATTTCTGTTGTCTAAGCACTCGCTTTGTCTAAATCTGATTAACGATACTCTTATAACGTTGTTGTTGACTTAACTCTTTCCCGAGATATAAAAGTATTTACATCAAGGTGCTAGATCTGCACTCCAGGACACACCTGACCAGAAATTATAACCCTCACTCTCTTCACTCCCACCAGGAAACGGCATGAACATGTTCATAAATTGCGTTGCATCTGTCGGTACACCTGCCACGGTCCCAAAGTCCGTCCACTGGTCTGGGATCGTTAGGACAGGGGGCATCACCAAGGGCGACTTGACAATCTGCCTCAAGTTTAGAATGATCTCAGGCACCTCAAAGAATTGTCCAGAGTCGGCTAAAGCGCGCTCTCTCTCGGCGAAAGCTTTCAGAACAAAATGTGTTGCAGGGTTTGGTGTAAGGTGATGTAACAGGGAGTTCCTGACGTATAGGGACTCGAAGACAGCCCAGCCGCGATCAGCCAAGGAACCAGTGGGACTGTGGTACAGAAATGTGGAGAGGGAGGTAATAAGGTCAAGGTTGAAGTGTAGATGGATATACCAAGAAAAGCCCCATTTATTCATCAGATCGTAGGAATCTCTCGCGTTCTCGCAACTCTGCAGGATAAGTTTGAAGAGGTTGTCCCGAGGGGAGAAGATGTGAACGCCCCAATCAGGCGATTCCTGCATAGGATTCATCATGTCATACAATCTTTTGATGAGTTGAGGACGAATCCCCAGGGCTGCCGCATGAACGTTGCTTGCCTTTAGATCAACAAATCGTTTCTCAATATCTAGAAGATCAGCCTCAAGTTCCTGAATAAGGACACGGTTGCGTTCCAGGCTGGCGGGAATAGCGTTCCCTTCATTAAGCCCCAAGATGTTCGACTCAACAGCTCGACGCGCGTCTTCATCAAGAAGATATGCTGTCAGACGATTCATCACCAAGATGAAAGCCATCTCTGTAGGACCATCTCTAGACACCAACTCACTTGTGGCATCACGAAATAGATCCGCATCGTTGAGGTTGAGGGGCTGTTTTGTATCGAAGCTTTTTGGAATATAGCTCTGCGTCAAACCAATGTCGATGCCGAGTTTGATATCATATAAGACAATCTGCCACCAGATGCGGCGACGCATCTCAGTCTCGAAGGGTGACAGGGAGAAATGCGTGCCATCGCGATGATAGCCCATGCTCATAGCAATTCTTATTATGGAACCTGACAGAATCCACGAAGCATGCTTGTTGCACTGGGCCATCAAGATGATCTTCGTTGTTAGTCAGTAAATTCTCGGCAAAAAGGGTAAGGAACATACTGAAATGTGAATCAGTGCCTGGAGAATAACCACATTATACCGTTTCAACGAATCAAAACGCACGATCACGACGCTCGCGCTTTGCAAGATCTCTTGCAGTACAACCTCTCGTGATCTCCCATCGCCCATGACACTTGTTACTTCATCAGTTCTCAGTGAAAGTACCGCCAACCCAAAGATACTATACAGCAACGCCTGTTGATCTAGGGGAAGCGAGTTTATATCTGCAGCTGCGGATACGATAAAAGGCTGCATGGTAGGTGCGTGGATAATTTTGATGAGCGGGTTGACGTGGTCGAGGAAGATCTGCCAGAGCTTGAAAATAGTGACGGGATCGAGTGGCGCACTTTTGGAAGAACTGGGTGAAGAGGATTCGGAGGGGTCAGGAGATGCGACCTCTTCTGACAAGAGACCCTCGGGTAGATCCTGTTCAATTAGCTCCCTCATTTTCTGAATCTAGATAGACTTTTAGCACATGCCGACGGTACACGACGGAAAGGGTATACCTGGTCGTTCAGAGTCGTCCAGAGCTCACCATCGACAGGTGCTCTTGTCTGAATACTAACAGTCTCGCCCACGCTCAGGCTATTTTCATTCTGGCTGCCCGCTTTGGCGCCATTAGTCTGCAGCGACTCGCCAGTGGAATACCCCTCAACGGCCACGTATTTTTGGAGTAATGTTTCACATTTAGTGAGGCGCTCTTGAAGGACTGCAGCAGCAGTCTTGACTTTGGATCTCGCGGGTGCTGGTTTCGAGGGAATGCAGATGATATCGTTCTATCTTGGTTAGTCCAATCGAATAGTGAAGATGAATAAATAATTAAAATAGCGTCACCGCTAATCAAGTACATCTGTGAATGTGTGTTGAAGAGAAGAGAAGAGAAGACAAGTACCTTGAGACAGTGAGCACAAGGAATGACCCTGTTACAGCGAATCTTCCTCTTCCGGCAATTGACACAAGAAAGCACCCGGTCATTCGGTCTGCTAAACCCTCCGCCAGCTCCCCTCCCATCGGAATCGGCTGAATGTATCGTGGCCATGATGAACCTAGGAATGATCGTAAAGAAAGGGGAACGAGACGGTACACAGCGGACTACGCTCCGTCCAACAAGTGCGGGCTAGACACGGACTCACGGACTGGTAGGACCTCGCACCTTTTATTCTTCCTTTGCTTGTTGTAAGATTCGCGGTCTGAAGTCGATAAGCAAGCATATTCGTAAGCGTGGTGCAGATGTTCTAACCGCATGAGGAGACATGTCGCGATCGGTGGCAAGCCTTCGACTTTGCCATTTCCAGTAAGCACATATCCATCTTGGCTGGATATCAAAATTAAACTATAAATAAGGGAATTTCTTGCATCAAGGAGAAATAACAGAAGATAACAGAAGCTACAAAGACAGTCGCCAAGAGCCTACGATATCTTCCACTTTAAGCCAGATACAATATATTACATCCATTCAGACACATGTCAGTTGCAGCCAGTGCAGCTAAAACAACCATGTCAAACAAAGTAATCAACATCTCCGTGGGAAGTTTTGAAACCAAAGAGATTATGGTCTCTCTTATTCAACGCGACATCAACTTCTTTTCCTACACCGACCCCGAAGAACGCCTTGCCGCTATCAAGGAGATATTTGCTTCTGATATCGTTTGGTTCGACTTCGACGGCTCTACACACCACGGCCATGATGGCTTGCTTAAAAGATCATCCGTTCTACTGGACCAGTTAAAGGGGTACTCGCATCGAGCTAAAGGAGGAGCCAGTGTATGCCAGAATATGGCCACTGCGCGTTGGGAGGTTGTGTCGGAGGGTAGTGAGAAAGATCATAATAAGATACCGGTCATTCAGGGCGGTGACGTGCTTGTCGTGGAGGACAAAAGAATTAAGATCTTGTGGTCGTATGTCGATAGATATGATGAGGTTCTCCTACCTCATCTGGGGCAGTGAGCTTGTTTGGGTCTAAGATATTGGTCTAATACAATTGACATATAATAATTGTTTAATTACGATAGTAATCCTCTGTGTCTAGAGTCTATGTAGCTGGTGCTTGGCGTTGCCAGCACCAACCCGGATTAAACATCATCAGAGCTTCTGTGAGACTCTTGCGTATATAAGTTGCTCTGCGCGGCGATATTAACCTAACTTTCCGTGATAATATGCCTTACATAAGCGCACCAGCTTAAGAAAGGAAATCTCAATACAATCGTGCAATCGCGCCATATGGTCACTGATAAGGTTTTAATACACCCTCGGTCCATCTCCAGACTACTTCGGGTGCATGTTTGTCCTGCAATTCGCTAAGCACCTTGTCGTTTCATATAGGCTCCGGCTTTTCGTTGATGGAAAAGAGTGAACCGCTGGGCGTCCTGTTCAACGTCAAGACACCTTTCTGACCATCATTCAGCGGGACTCCCTTCCCGCCGTATGCTGCACTCGTGCTCAGGTACAAACATTTTTCGCCAGCTTGGTCCACAATGGTGGATAGAAGCTTCATGATTCTTGCGATGATACTCATTAACATAGTGACGATCCAGTTGTCCAGCCAGCTGCCAGCCCGGGAATCTCGATTCCTCATTATATCTGTCCCAACAGCGCCTGGGAAGTGGTGTATCAGGACGACGTCCTTGTTGCGGGGGTCCTCGGCTAACCTGCGCATCGTGAGAGTCGTCATTGTCGCGGTGTGTATCAGGTAGTTTACGAAGCCAAAGTGTCCTGGTGCTTTGAGTGCCAAATCGTCGAGGAAGATGTCACTCGACTCTTTGCCCGCATCGGAGATGTTGACTATATGGGGGCCGTAGGTGCGAGAAGGGTCTGCGGCAGCGGCGGAGAGGAGAGGCAGAAGCTGGGTTATGGTGAGCATGCGACTGTAGTACCCGACGACAGAAGCCTTTTCAATGCCTTCGCTTGTTTCTTGCAGAATGTTAGTCGTGATATGAATGCGTACCAGTCGATTCCGCGATATAACGCTCCTTGGCGTGGCCCCATGGGTAAGTACGCAGTTGACAGGAGGAGAAGGTCGATCTTCTCTTCATGCGCCTTGATTTCGTTGCAGAGGCGGCTCGTCTCGGCCAGGAGAGATATTTGCCCTTCCAGCCAGATAACTTCTGCTTGGGGATTAGACTGACGAAGCTGGTCAAGTAAAGACTTGTGCGTAGCGCCATTACGACCGAGGACGTAGGCTTTGATGGGCAAACCTAGGGACACGAGTTGGATGAGTGTGGCTTTGCCGATGCCTGATGCTCCTCCTGCCGATACGACGACGCTGGGCGCGACGTTCGCTGTTATTTTTGAATTTGATGCTCTAATGTCCTTGAGAGTAACCATGGCGATTGGTTCAGTCTAAATCGAGCGTTTTGCGGTTGATTTTGATCGGAAATAAAGCAAAAGATCACTCGAGATGAGATAATGTCCAAGAAGTTGATCGCGAAATAGAGTTGCACTCAGAGGGAACCATTGAAACCCAAGTGCATTAGGGCATTTATTATGTCACGATCTAAAAAGATTATTTGCGAAATTAAATTCGAATTATCCAAAGTAGTAGAACTCACCTGCCAGCTGCTGGGTTCGCTCACCGTGATGCTACGCCACTTTGTTTACCCCGAACCGCCGCGACCAAGGGAGCCGATTCTGCTGTCCGCCTCCGCCAACTCCGCTAACTTTCTCGGCATCGGAACCCTGCGAGGGTAATACAGTGGGGATATAGATCATACCCTGGCTTTATATCAATCGACTATTGCTTAATATTTTGACTCTCTCGAAACCAGCCTGAAACTGTTTCACTATATGCTCTAACACAAAGATCGTGCGGAGTCTGGTTAATTGCTCATGTCCGCTCGATGAAGTCTATCGGCTGCCGCGCCGAACGGGTCCCGGGCCTTGGCCCCTAGTTAATGAAGGTTCAATACGAGCACCCAGCACAGTGAATCGTTACGCAAGTCAGGCACCACCATTCTGGCATTCGCGCATAGGTCCTAGCTCAACAGTTGACCAAGCTGCTGGGGCAGCTGTCTTGGAATGGCCACTATGGCGTCTGGATCAAGTCCCGTGAGATCCGAGTTCCTATGGCTAGTCGGATCTGAAACCAGCTTTATAATGCTTAATGCCTGTGATCGAACTTCGGTAAAATTTCTTATCTACTGTGCTCCCCCGTATCTAACAGAAATGCCCATCTTTGCACTCACGCGACTTTCATCGGCCTATTACTCCAGTTGCAAACTTCAACTTCTCGGATTCTTAGACCAACGCTCCTAGGTACTTATATTATATATTTGCTTCAACAGTCGACGACTGTATCTAGCCCTCAAATCGAGAAGCTGCATTAGTCTAAGTTGTCTTGTACTTGCGGGACATTCTCCTAGCAAGGCCATGGCAAACTTCTTGATGCCATTCCTGAATTTCCCAAACCATAGAAGATACCTGGAGGACGACATTTAATGTCGATTTCATCATCATCAGACTCCCAAGCTTGGTTCGAGGCAAACTTGCCGGCAGGACTCTGGGGCCGCCGGTCTGCTTTATCTGTTATGTGTGACAATTAATTGGGACCAGATTGCAGATATCCAACAATTAATGGCTAAGGATGTTAGACTTGTAAATCAATCTTCTTTAGTAAAAGGTGCCTCGACCTGTCTGGCTCGAACTATTCATTTATATCAGCATGTAAGCTATACGAAATAGGGAAGATAGGTTTGACTCACAAATGCACCATGCTTAAGATTAGGATATCTTCCTGGGTAGTCTCCGGTATTACTAAACTCGAACCTCATCACCATTTCAGCGATAATAGCCTTAATCTCATGGACCGCAAAGAATCTGCCTATACAATGTCTCGTTAGCAAGGGTCAAACACAAAGATTAACTGCTACCCTTCATACCTGGACAAGCATGCTTCCCATACCCAAAAATAAGGTTATCAAGCCCTACTGTCACCATTGATTTCTTGGCCACTGAGTCAACTGTTGTATCCCCAATTTTCTCTGGCGAGCTGTAGAATCTCAAGTGATCAAAAGTCTCAGGGTCGTCGAACAAAGCCGGATCTTTACCAATTGCAGACACCGACGTCTCTACAATAATCCCCTCAGGCAACACTATTCCGTCGGACAAACCAATCGGTTTTAAAGTTTTGTTGCGAAATGCCACTGAGAGAATGTCAACGTTAAGGAAACAACATTGATTGATTCAAGGTACTCACCAGCGCCGATGGGATAACATCGAACACTCTCTCTGATGAAACTATCGAGTTTCTTCATCTTCTGGACCGCTGAATATTCAGACTCGCCCTTATTCTCAGATAATACAGTGCGAACCTCCTCCCGAATCTCTGATTGAACCTTTGGCATAGCCGCTAGGGTATAGATACTGCAGATATCAGCAATAAGGCAGTCTAAAGTAGATGTATTTTCTTACGTATTGAGTGCCACGGCGTTTGTGGTATGAATCGCTGCGAAACTGATGTCCAACTGCTTCCTGGCCAACTCGCTAGCAGAAATGTCACCGTATTTGGCAGCTTGCATGTCTATAAGCCACTGCAAGAGGTCCTCAGGTTTGTCCTGCTTGGCCTTTTCTATCCTTTCAAGAACGACGGGCATAAAGAAGTCCGCCGCTAGCTTGCGTCGACGGTTCAGCTGCTGGATTTCCGGTAGACTCGAGGCGAGGAGGGAACGAAGCCATTTCTTGACTTGGCCGACTGCGTGTACACCAAGCATGACATCTCTGGTATAGTTGATAGTGTGGTCAATGTACTCCTCGGATCGGCAAAGGTTCGCGCCAACGAATGCTCTACCTGAGACTCTAGAAACAACCCGGATCAGTTTCTCGGAGAATTGCACATTGGTCCAGTCGTCGCAGTCTGGAAGCTCGTCGGTCAAGGCACTTCTCACTTCGTCGTCCAGATATCCGCTTAATTTTGCTACACTTGTTAGTCAAGATTCAAGAACAGGATATCAAGAGTTTCATACCCAACGACGGTGTCAACCGGGTCTTTACGGTATGTGCAATAACTGGCGCAGTAGCTTCAACCTTGGTGTACTTGACCATCATCAGCTAGTCGACTGGTTAACCACTGCTACTAGTGCACAGTATCATTAGGCTACGTACTTCTTGGAATGCGCTTAGAGAGCTGAAGGAAGACTCGGGCATCTTGCTGAGCTCTTTCAGGTACTTTGGGCCGACGAATACAGTTGGCAACTCTGGATAGTAACGATCAGCGCCTGCGTGGACTAGTACGGACCATGCCGCTCACCCATGTTGCTTGTGACCCTAAATATTCCTGCCTGGAACTGTATACAAGCTGCATTAGAACTTAAGAAGATTGGATAGGTGTTATTGATCGACATTACCTGACGATAGCCCTCATCATAGACTTGCTCACAGCTCGTCAGATACTTGACTAGGCGTGTCTTAGAATCCCATTTCTCTTTTCCAACCAGAGGGAGCCTCCACAGAGCTATTTGTCTCTGAAGAATTGGTATAAAGAAGACAACGGCGATTGATACTATAGTAGCAGCAGCAAACAACCATCGTGCTGCTGGGATTTCAAGTAATGCGTATGACATTTTGGTAGTTGGACCAATAGATTGGAGGATTTGGACTTCGTAGCCAAGGTATTAAAAATTGGATACGGCTTAGATATGGAACTCTGCTATATTTTATATTGTGGAATGTGCAAGCTTCTGCCTTTCAGCGCCTCTTTGTGAGCTCGATCTATTAGGTGAACTCCCGATCCGGGGTTTCCGAAAAGGTTTTCAACTCCGACTTGCAGAGATGCCCAGGCTCAGAGCCGCGAAGGAAATGCGGAGGGCATGCGGAGGAAAGAACTCTATTATCCGTGGTCAATCGTCAAAATGACCCGGCAGTTTGTGCTTGGTATGTGAATTATGGAAGACGAGTAGGTGATTTCGTGCCAAGACATCAACTTCATCGTCGACGACTTTTGGCTCATTAAGCCCTGGATGCAACAGTATTAACTAGAATGTTATGCCGTTTGCCCTACATGGCAATGGACTTTGCCAATCCCATAACAGCCATTTTAGCAGCTCCGTAAGTAGATTACTGAACGCTGCTGAATATTATGGATAAAGAAATTATCACAATACGACCAAACTTTCGACTCTTCATGTGTGGCCAAGCTGCTTAGGTGACGTTCCGATCTCCGCCTAGCATATCCCAGCGAATTCACCTCCGTTTGCACCACCAGCGTTGTTGATGATGATGTCGATGCGCCCAAAAGTATAGACCGCAGCTTAAATGATACAATTTGCAATGCTTCGGTTCGCTACATTGCCCATATGGGCTAGATGTGTTATTTGTAGTTGAGACCTGTGGCTGAGAGCTTATATTCACCACACAGAACTTAGCCCATATGGGCCATAGTTTTGCTGCCAACGCCGGCCATTGTTGTAACGGTGGTTGCCGCAGTGGGGGCAGCAATGCTGTTTATAACGACTGCGGTACAAAGGCAGCCGAGTAGAGGCCATGAGACCACGACCGGAGCCACTGATGATGGCGACGCGGCCAGCGGAATCCAGGGACAATTGATGCCGTGCATCGTTGGTTCAGGTGGAGATGCCCCCTGAATTGCTTCCTACCTGCGCATCGCAAGCTCCCACCTTATCGGCGAACTATACCTATAAAGCCATGAGTATTTCAATTGCGGTGTGCCTTTAGCTTCTGCGTCGTACTGGTAGCTTTGAAGAGTCCGGCTTCCGCCGATATCTCACATGGGAACGAAGGCCATTTCACGGACGCTAGCGGAGATGCGGCGGAGAAAATGCGGAGGAACCATGCCGGATCTGCCACGGGTACGGGCTCATGTCTCATGCATGCCGAGCTTCAATATCTGAAATGGCTAGCAAGCAGCTTGAAGTATCTACTTAACTACTAACATGTATGTCTGGTGCGTATACCTTTATCCTGGATCAAGCTTCACCGGACCACCTACCTCGCCCATCTGGCTATTACTTGCTCTTTTGACCTTAACAACTTACATGTTTCTGTCCAATTCATAATTTAACCTCTCAAGAGAAATAGTCTATGATGGCCTCTACTGCAGACACTACCAACGCTAGCAACGATCTATCCATGACAGCACCACCGCTCGTTCCCACGATCCACAAAACCTCATACCCAAGTCTTGCACCTACTCGTCCTGAGCTGAACCAATCCGGCAAGACAGTCCTGATTACTGGTGGCTCAGCTGGAATAGGCTTCGCAATCGCCAGAGCATATGCTGCGGCTTCAGCTTCCAAAATCATTCTGACCGGTCGTCGGAGCGATGTACTTCAACAAGCAACTTCAAAACTCACGGGAGAGTTTCCCAATTCAACTATCATTCCCCGCCTCTGCGATGTTGCAAACACCGAAGACTCACTCAAGCTTTGGTCAGATCTGAATGATGATGGAATTTTGGTCGATGTCCTTGTGCTGAACGCGGCGAAATTCGGGCACTACCAGCAGCCGCTCCTCGAAGCTGATTTGGATTTCGCTTGGTCTCTGTACGAAACCAACGTCAAGTCACTCCTGAACTTCTGTCAGCAATTACACAAGCAGCAGAAAGTCGATGGGGAAAGAAAGGTACCCTGATAACAAGCAATGAACAGAAAGGAATAGATGCTAACCTAGTACAATAGGCCATTGTCTACGTTTCCACAGTTGCTATACATAGCCCGGCTATTGCAGCTACCCTTCCGGTTTATTCCTTGAGCAAAATGTCTGGCCACTTACTCATTCAGAGTATTGCAGAGAACGTAGACAGGCAGAAGTTGCAAATCGTTACCTTTCATCCAGGACAAATCCTTTCCGATGCAGCTCGAGCCGCAGGTCTCGACGAGAGCAGCGCTCCCTTTGACGATGGTATGTTTTCTGAAACCTCGAGGAGTTCTTGAGTGGCTCATTCTAATCAATTTAAGCAGAGAATCTACCGGGCCATTGGGCTGTTTGGGCGTCAACGCCTCAGGCTGGGTTTCTGCACGGCCGTTTTGCGTGGGCAGCATGGGATGTAGATGAGTTGAGCTCTGGGGATGTCAGAAAGCGCATCGATGAGCATGATGATTTCTTGACCTTGAAACTAATTGGTCTGTAATTATTTTCAACTTATTCCGACAAGCACTTCATCTCTGACAACCAACCTCTCTTCTTTGGTCTCCCTCTGATCAAACATCCGTCCCACGTCTCGGAGGAGATCCTTGATATTTCCCATAACGCCCTTTGGTGGCTCCTCTGCACGGATCGATCGTCCAACATCCTGACCCGGTGCGAATATAACCTTCTCCAAGATCGGCCGAACTTCATCGCTTTGAGATATCTGCGCGATAGTGTGCCACGCATTTTCGACGAAGCTTCACTCAGTATTAGATAGGAAAAAGTAGGCAATGACGAAGAAAATAATGATGTTTCCAGCTATGATGATCATTAGCGTGATGAATCCCCATTTTCGATGCGGTGCCTGAACGAGATCAAATGTTGTAATACTCGCTGGGTTAACCGCTTCTGAATGAGACCGGATATTAAGGAAACGATATACCAGTACCTCGGCATTACAATGTGTACTAAGTTTTGACAAATTCGAATTCAGTAGCTGTACGACTGTTACACAGTTACATGTATACAAGAACACCTGTTGCGAATACATTGGTCAAGAGGCTATGCGGGTTACTCAAAGTCAGCAATATTCTCAATTGGTCGTCGTACAAGGCGTATTTCAGACAGTAAGCATAGATGCAGTCTCACTCAGTTGAAGTCTGCAAATACGCCTCGGGGCATGATAAACCGAAGGTGAGTCACACCATGATTTTCTGATTCATTGATCAAATTTACACCGAGTGATCGGAGGTATTTTGCTGGAAGAGCAGCCTATTCGGGTCTAGTCCGATGATTCCCAGCTGCGAGTGAGATCGTGAGAACCTATTCGGGACTAGCTTACTTGGCCATTACGACCTCAAGTATAAAGTGCTGGTCGAAGGCCCTCGAATACTGATGTCTTGCCCAAGATCTCATCTACGAACTCACTTAAGTCTTGTATCTATACCCTGGTATACTCCAAACTCCTGAAAATTCCCAAAGCCCTTCACGATGGAATTCGCCATGCCCCTCGAAGAGCGTCTGTCGCTTCGCCAAGAACTCATAGACTCAAACGACAAATTCATCCTCGATCTTCCCAAAGTCGAACTCCACGTCCATATCGAGGGCACTTTAACCCCCGAGCTTCGCTGGAATCTCGCCAAGCGCAATAAACAGATCCTCAAGCTCGAACGCACTGGAACTGTATACACTAGTCTTGAACAGCTCAGAGCCTCATACTACATTATGGAGGCCCGTCCAGGTCATCAGATTGATAACGCAGAAGAGAGTTTCACCTTCTTCGAGGCTTACTACGGAGGGTTCGAAGTTCTTGTTACTGAAGAGGACTTTTATGATCTGGCGATGAATTACTTTGAGCATGTTGCGAGTATGAATGTGAGGTATTCTGAGCCGTTTTTCGATCCACAGGGTCATACTAGACGTGGAGTTGCGTTTAAGACTGTGATGGATGGCTTCCGTCGGGCGCAGGAAGAGGCTGAGAAAAGACTGAATGTAAGTGCAAACGGTCTCATATATGGTTCTAGCTAACACATCACAGGTCAAGTCAAAGTGGATCATGTGCTTTCTGCGTGACATGTCACCAGAGTCAGCGATGGAGCACTACGAGGCTGTTCTTCCCTACCGGGATATGGTCGTCGGAATCGGTCTTGACTCAGATGAAAACGATCGCCCTCCTCTGATGTTTGAAGAAGTGTACAAGAAGGCTAGAAAAGATGGCTTCCGCATCACTGCGCACTGCGACGTTGGGAACAAAGACGCGCATAAACATATCCGCCAAGTCGTCACTGAGCTCGGTGAGAGAGGTGCAGACCTTCTCGACCACGGCATCAACGCCGCACAAGACCCAGAAATCATGCGTCGCATCAAAGAGAGAGGTATTGGAATGACGCTCACACCATGGGGATATCTTCGTCACGAGCCTGTCGATGAGGTTTTCCCCAGAATTCGTATCTTGTTTGACGCTGGGATCCCTATTGCCATTGGAAGTGATGATCCAGCCTATATGGAAGATACGTGGATCTTGCATGATTGGCTTCTGGTCAAGAAGATGTGCGAGTTTAGTAATGAGGACATGGCGACTTTGGCGAAAAGTGCGATCGATATGTGCTGGGCTCCTGACGAGGTGAAGGAGGAGATGAGAAGGGAGCTTGAGGGAGTTGTGGCTGAATACTTAAAATGAGCATCTGCTTCGCAATGGAGATTAGTTGTAACTTGATGGGACTTGATCGTGCTGGAAGCAGTATAAATGCAATCCGATTAACCACCTCTATGGTTTTTATATTCCACTCTAGGCGTCATTCCATTGAGGCTTTAGGGCTCTGATAGAACTCTCGAGGTTGAGGACCTGTAAAAAGCATAAATAGCTGAGGCAGTTCAAGGACAAGTCTGAACAGAGTCCACTTCCAAAGCAAAACAGGTTTAGGCTGGGACAAGCTCTTATCTTCTCAGTGATCTTTTTTTCTTTTTTCTTCTATGTGCGTAGTCCTCCATCGGGGTTCCTTGGCCATGCAGCTCACCATCTCGACTTGTTAGACGCGCTGAACTTTCTGAATAGAAGTTGGAAGATCCGTGAAGATTATGTCGTTGTGAGCTTAAGCTCCGCCGCGTCATGAGTCCTTGTCCTGAACCCCAGGTAACAAAGTTGCCCTCTATGGTTATTTGATCGACTGCTGTCGCCTCGATCTTGGGCTATGAGCATATCTATCTAGACGGCGGCCGACAGAAGATATGGAGACGGGATCACGCCTCCGAGTAACGATGTACAGAAGAGGTTTCAGCCACAGATCTAATCCGAAAAAGCCCATATTTCACTTAGGTGTGAGCTTCATTGTCTCCATCATGGGAGTGAGCATGATAAAAGACTCTCATTGGCGGCGGCTATCCATGAGCTGCCAGACTGGCGCCTCTGCCGACAATAATCAATAGCATTGTCTATAGCAGCAACGGGGCGGGGTGTCTTTGGCGTAGAGGAAAAGTTATATCGATGGTTGCAGAATGGGGAGACTAAGTCAAGATTTTGAATCACGCGACGAAGCATCCCCTGTGAACAGATCACTGTAGCCTTATAGAATTCCGGTTCTATGCTTCAAGGGACCGTGAATGTTGCGTGATATTGACGAAAATCTCCAAGAGTCTCGTGCTTCTGCTATCGGAAGTTAAAACGCTGGGGTACGTGGTTAGTGGCATGCTGGTATGGAAAAAAGGTTAATCTCGTGAACGTTAACAATGACCTGCCGAGGTGATGCTAATGGTGCGCTGCCTGAAGTGTGTTTTTGCGAAGTGTTATCTAGACTTGATAGAGTTCGGAGCCGACGCTCGCCTTACCATAAGGTGATGTGACAAAGTCCACCAGTCGCGAGTTAACGTCAGCGAGATTGTATGGGTGTTAGCATCTTCTCACGCAATTTGTTTTACGCAAAGGATTGCTTGAAAGTGAGTATAGATCCAGGTCTCACAGAAGTTAACAATCTTGGTAAAGGAGTGTCTCTATCTAGCTTTTCCCACTGCGCTTTACATTTAGAGAAGTCTCATATCAATCTGGCGACTGTATGGAAGCTTCATGGTTCCACCAGTGTCGGTGTCCTGATATCACAAGTTTAACTAGGTACACAAAAGTCATTCTCATTTATGCATTTTAGTAACTTTATATGCAAAAGCCTTGTCAAGCGCACTAAAGTATATCAACCAGTCATATTTATGCTATTCATTTTAATATTGGTACTCCGGTACCTGCGTATGTCAGCCTTATTTAGAGAGCTTCATTGAATCGATAATTGGATAGCCAGTTTGCAACATCGCCTTGCATGAAGGACAACTGCCGTCGTGACAAGATCTTTCCTGAGATTTCCAAGAGATGAAGTGTGTCAAGTATGAATGAGTAATCTCTGAACCTTACAGAATTCTTACCATAAGTTGGCTTGATATCCCCTTGATCCTCTCCCTCCCAGCTCAATCCCACTTATCACTCATCCTTACCTTCTACCCAAGCTCTTCAAACTCTTCCGTCACCAAACTTTCTACTTCACATCACACTCAGTCAAAATGTGCTGTTTCGGAGACGACGAGCCCTCGAGGCCCGCCACCCCTGTACGTACGCCTACGCCAAACATCAGCTCATACACGCCGGAGGAGAAGGCACATCAGGACAACATCATCCGTAACTACGGATGGGACAAGAGGGGATTCCCCGAAAAGCAGCAAAGGCGAATGGCCCAGACCTTCTGCAACGAAATCAAGAAAGCCAAGGATCGCGGTGAGTGGTAGATAAACGGTATGTACAAGACACTTGTTATTTATTTAGAGATTCTAACGCATTTAGTCAACCGCACAGCCCGATGCTAAACCGCGTGTCGGCTACTATCTTTGGATAAGCGTATGACTTCTTCTGGCTGAGAGCTGACGCGCATCGGGCGCCTGACCTCGGATTCGTTTCCAGCAAATGTTTGAGAACTCGTGCCTTTGCTTCGCTCTCGACCATGACTGATGCAGTCTTCACAATAGTTACCAAACTGGCGATAATTAGTATGGCCAATTTCACATACGCCGTAACATCAGGCCACTTTGTAGCATAACCCTCACAAGCAATACCTCTCTTACAGCTCAATCATGCCACCAACGTCCGGTCGCATTTCCACCCACGTTGGGGCGCACAAGGCAAGCTGTATCGCAGATACTGTATAGGTCGGCGTCGCTGCCTAGACAGTCATAGCTGTATTTCTTGGTTCATGACAAAGATCGATGCATGCCGCGCGCTTTCATCGAGATGATGCTTATTCATGCTCGAGTCTAACCAGAATCGGCAAAAGGTCCCCCTGCTTATGGCTTGACGATTACCTTAGCATCGCTGACCAATGTGATATGCAATGAAACACCAAGAAATGCACTTACTAAAGTCAAGATGCAGTATTGGTAATGAGTGAGGGTATAGATAAATAGCACCTTTTCCTCTCGAAAGACCTTGACCATCATTCAACATTCGAACACCATATCATACAATCTTACAGTAACAACCTATTAATAACATGTCTTCTCCCATCGTTCTCATCTTCGGCGCTGGTGCCAGGGTCGGCAAAAGTGTCGCTCAAGCCTTCAGCGCAAAAGGCTACAGACTTGCTCTAGCTTCCCGATCTCAAGATCCAGCAACTTCAACCGATAAAGAGCTACATATCCCCACAGACCTCAGCGATACCGATTCTGTCATCCAGGCCTTTACAAAGGTTAGAAGCGAGTTCGGTCACCCCCGCGTTGTCATCTACAACGGTTAGTAACCCGCGCTCATTACCTCTACCATGTCGCTGACTTGAGAAGCGTATCATGGCCCCCCAAACAATCCCAACGACGTTTTTGAAGTTCCCTTGGACAGCTTCAAGAAGAGCGGAACAGTCAACATCTTCAGTGCTTACGCTGCAGCTCAAGAAGCTGTAAAAGGCTGGAAAGACTTCCCCGCATCGAGCAACCCGACGTACATTTATACTGGAAACATTGAGAATGAGATGCGCATTCCATCGATTATGTCGCTGGGTGTTGGAAAAGTTGCTGCTGCTTGGTTCATTGAGGTTGCTGCGACTTCATACAAAGACCAAGGGTTCAAGTGAGTTTATGAACGAGACTTCTGTCACGGCGGGATGCTAATTAAGTGATAGATTCTACTATGCTGATGAGAGAAAGGAGGATGGGACGCCCATGTGGAATGGAGCAACTCCAGAGGGTCATGCTCAGTTTTATGTTGAGCTCGCTGAGGACAAAGAACAGCGGGTTTGGCAGCAGACGTTTGTCTCGGGGCAGGGCTACAAGAAGTTCTGATGGGGGCTTTATGTCGCTCCATGTCAAATTTAGCTCTTGATCTTTTGTTTTAACTGAAAGGCCTCCAAGAATATTTTCTATCATGTAAATATTGCCTCGAATAACTTAGGACTGTAATTTTAGAACTGTGACCAATATGCAAGATACTACCAGAGACCAAGCCATGACGCTCGAGCATGCCTTTCTCTCTTCTCCCAGGGTGTCAGAATTTGGTCAAGTTTGATGCTGGTATTAGAAGCAGAGGTCACTGTAACATGCGTTTGGCGAGTTACATGTACTGCACTGTTCCCAGTATCATCATCCGCGCCACCGTCGTTGAGACGCTCTTGTGATTCTGATTCACCAAGGATAGTCATAGGAATACCGTCTTCATCAAGTTTATAGTAGTTCTCTGAAGCCTTCCCAGCTCTATATACGCGGAGAGGTTTGGGGTTTGGCAGCTGATCAGCGTTAGGATTCGACGGATCGCTAGATTTGGCGGATATTCCAAATGCTCGCCTTAAGTTCGAGGCGAGCCTGCTTTCTGCGGCGATTCTTGGTAGGGTTGTTACACTGAGGATGAAGAACCCGCATGTCATTTCTCCGCAGGCCCAAAAGAGGAGCGGTGCGATATACCACACTGTATCAGCTTCCTTGGAGAAGGTGACGGTATGAGCGAGACGGAAGCTCGCGGCAACGCAAGCGCTATCAAGAGTCAGCATTATGTTAAAAGAGATCAGAGCAGGGGGGAACACTCACATGATGCCAACGCCGAAGATGATGGCAATATCAACTTTCCTCTGCCATCTCATTTGTAGTTTCCAAATGATATGCTGAGGGAGCAATATCATGGCAATGTCGCTGATAACCTGGACGCTTGCAGAGGTAAGCATCGCCTTGGGAAGACTGTAACATTGGCTGGGGACGTAGAACTCCCAGATGGCGTTATGAGGACGGCATTGAAGGTTCAAAAGTACAATGCAAGTAATACCCCATATACATCGGAAGGATATGATCACCATTGCACGCCACCAGAAAGGGCTCTTTGTCTTATCTCCAGGGACGAAGACGCGACACCAGTCAAGTAATATAGCAGCCTTGATAAGTGGTTGCACAGCTGAACAACAACAGCCATACACAAGAATGAGCTGTTCAATAAGCTTCAATAAGCGCATGATTGAAAGAAAAGAACGATCAGAACTTACATATAAAGGTCTAATAAGATCTCCGTTCTTCAAATCCCACTTGTGAACGTAGTAGCCCGGGGTCCATATCAGACTGTACGCTGCAAATGCAGTACCCCAATAAGCTCCCTTGCATGATATTAGTAAAATGTCCGATGGAAATCCCGAACAAACATACATATGCACCTATTACAAGCAATTCAGTATAACTAGTCAGGCAGTCATGCGTCGGGCTGCAATATGCTCATTACCTTCTTCAATGAAAATCTTTTCCTCAAGCCATATTCTTCCATAAAGCCGTAGGATAAGACACAGAGTAGCGATGATCGTAACATCTTCGGGTGACGTTGACCTTTCTCAGCGCTGTCATACTTGGTTTATTGGTTCAGCAGGGTAAAAAGGCCAGCAGGCAATCGTAGGTCCGATTCTGTATTGTAATTAGCATGTGGTCCAGGCAGAATCTGAGGCTTACGAAGACTTGGCCAGGTGAGATCTTTTACTGATAAGCACAATATACAAACCGATCGTCCTATTTAGAAAGCAATAATCTTCTGGTGGACTTACTGGTATACTTTATCCAGAAAACCGTATATCTAACCGGCTTAACTTATATACAAAGCCCGCTTGCTACTAAACGTCAACTTAATCGAAAATGGCCAATGTTCTCCTTGCCATCTCCAACAACCAAGTTCTTCATATCGCAAAGATCACCATGTCACGGCGTATCCATTTGGTAGCAAGGAAACAAGAGACAGAACAAGATTGCATGCTCGTCAAGTGGTTCATATTGGCTTGTCTCAGCCTTTTGGTACCTTGTCACGGAGGAGGTTGCTACTCCACGTACCAAGTCTAAGATCAAGTCCCAGAGTTGTGTGGATATTGTCCTAATGAATACCGACAGCTGCGAGCTCATTTTTGCAATTTGAGGCGCAATTCAACACCTCTGACTCATGAATTGTACGTGACTTCTAGCTGATGACTGTCCTGAGGCTAGTGATGATTTCACACGGGATCCTGTTGATAGAAGTGGCAAGTTTCTCGTCCATCCGCGACGATTGACAGGTAGGGTATCGCACTGCCTAAAGCCTAACCTGTTTAATCCCGCATTTGAGGGATGTTAATGACGAGTATTGATCGTATCCATTGGCAACGGCAATGCTTTGGGCGAGACGGTATGAACGTGATCATTTGGATACTCCCGATGTCTCTGTGTGACAACTCGATTATATATGGCCGCATGCAACATAACGACGTCAAGTCAATCTACAATCTATTGCGTTTCAACTCCTGAAAGCTTTCGCTGTTAGACAGGGCAGGGCATGCGACGCCGCATCCTATGCTCGCGCCTGAGAGACTCCCCAATCTTGCTTTACTAGTAGTAGCAGTGTTTTCCAAACAATCAACCTTCCACGTGAGAGGATATGTTCCGTCTCGCCGATTGGTGGCCAAAGTCACACTGAGAAAGCACGTGATGGCTCCAGCGCTCAGTCTAATTTTCACTGTCTAACACGAATAATTCCAACTCACCTCCAAACACTTCTCCAACTCACCTCCAAACACTTCTCCAACCCCGCGCCAAACACCTGATACACCTGATCAACACTCAGCCCATCCAAAGTCTTACGAAGATGCAGGTCTCCTTGCTGCTTTTCTTCATCCTTGAGCTCTTGATCCCGGCGCCTAATGCTCTTTCGCAACTAGTTGGTATAGAAGCGGTTTATATCTCGCCGCTCTGTGCATCGTTCGAGCTGCTCTTTTCGTCTGTTAGATTGATTGAATAAATGCGAAGCCTCCAGCCATAGGGTTAAGTTTCGGGTAACGTGAGGATGCACTGCTGGTAGATCAAGTTCGTTGTGTCTCGGCCCGCAACAGAGTCAAATGAAACGCTGCAGCGAAGTAAGCTTGAAAATAATCTGCAAAGAAATTCTGCTCTACATTCATGCAAGTTAGTAGTATTCGACTTATTCTATCCTTTATTATGAATTGCAGTATATTTTACTAATTCATTCTCCCACCATAGTAATCGTTGAAAGTCGCCGAAGATGTACTGTGATTGTTAGTACCTAGGTTTACACCAGTTGCTGGCAGTGAAGCATGTATTTTCCATCCTGAGCTATCGCGTTCAAGCCAGGCTGACTGGCGTGCTGACGATGATTCCGAGGCTAATTAAGTCAGAAACTTTTTAAATCCATACGCTTTCTGAGATTTTAGAGTTATGTGGTCTCTCGTGAAATAGCTGTGCTCTGTTGTATGATGCTGCTTGAGCCTTAGAAGCAAGCTGGGGCGGGGTATCAAGGCATAAGGGGCTGAGAGTAGGTAACAAACTCTAACTTGGACGCCAAGAGTCAAAAGTGGCGAGCTGAAACATCCTGGTAAGTAACCAGGAGTACCTTCAAATATTAGAATTTCTTGTATCGATTAGCCCGTCCTGATGTAGATGACTGAAGGGGCTATCCTCGTCTTATGGTATGACGAAAACCTGGGGGTAATACTATCGCGCTGGTTGTCGCTTCAAAGCAAAGGCTTTGCTCGCTCTCAGAAAATTGTTTGGTTAGTTTACTTTGTGGCTGTAAATAAGGTCCCTGGCGGCTGTGTTGGCAGATTCGACGAATAAGACCACAGACCTGGGCCTGTAGTTCGCCTCACCTTCCCGTGACTCAGGCAGACATGCATAAACATGTCACACTTTCACAATTTCTCCTCTTTGCTTCCTTGTTTCCATCCCATATCAGTGTTCCAGCATGTACCTTTAAACTGATCGCTAAACTAAACGAACTCTTCTCCTGTCACCCCATCATCCCGCCAAATGGATTCCCTTACGTCCCTCAGGCCCACTAGGTAATTAGATTCAGTTTATATCGTTGTTATTCAATTCTGACATGTCTTCCATATAGTGACGGCTTGTGGTCCGCCGCAAAAAAAGAATTAGGAGACGAACTATTATCTCAGATCCACTTCGAGCAAGGTGATAAGCAAAAGACACTCACTGAACTGTTTGAGGCTACTCAAAAAGCAGAAGAACGCATGAGAGGCAAATCTTGGTCTTTCAAAAGAGAGAATGGCAAGGTTGTCTTTGTACGCGACCTCCTAGCAAAGGCAACTAAGTGGATCAAACACTTTGAGGCAGTTGGTGATATTATGACACAGTGCGACCCTGTCCATGCTGGTCTACCTTGGGCAGGTGTTCGATTTATATTGATTGTCAGTGGCAGGTTTTATCTATCTGGTGAAGCAGTACTCATGTCTGAGTAGGTTGCGACTGGTGATATCAATACGTACGCGAACTTGCTGGATAGAACCATCAGCATTGTGGAGATCATTTGTCGAAACGCTGTCCTTGAAAAAATACTGCCCGATCATCAGTCAGAGACTCAGGAAGAGCTGCGTCGCGATCTTGTCAAGTTATACACAAAGATTCTAACCTATCTTGCCAAAGCAAAGTCATACTATGAGCAGAATAGATTCAGTAAGTTGATACAGTCTTTCCTTGGATGATTACTGATGTGATTAGAGAGTATTGTTAAACAAGGACTCCTTGCATCATCTGACTTTGAGTCAGAGTTTGCAGCTATCAATCAAGCCCAGGCAGATGTCGATCGTTCTGCTACCATCTTCGGCTTACAATGTAATTTACCAGTGATGTGAATGTGTTACCAAGCTCACATCATATAGACCAACTGGAAGCCCGAACGGAGCTCAGTCAGATGCTACAGAACTTTGATGCTCCCATGAATCGCTGGGACAAGGCACTGCATGCCATCACGGATGAACTAGAAGGTAAAATGCTAACATATAGCATTTTCCGTTTGCTGATTAGTGTAGTAAAAGAAAGAAGGGATATCCTCAGTTGGATCTCTGACCAGCCTTTCGAACAATATCACGATCAGGCAAAGAGCGAGGTCTTGAGTGGAACAGGCACGTGGCTTCTGCATGATTCGCAATTCATACGTTGGAAAAACGAATGCGCCTCTTCTATCTTATGGCTCTACGGAATTCCAGGCTCCGGGAAGAGCAAGTTGGTGTAAGTCGCAAGCAACACAACAAACGATGATCTAATAATGTGTTACAGGTCTGTCGTTATAGAAGATGCTATGGAGGCATTCCGAACCAAGAAGGCAGCGTGTCCAGTCTATTTCTACTGCTCCCGCAACCCGGCCGAACCTGGACGTTCTGATCCTGCACGAATAGTGGCTAGTATTGCAAAACAGCTCTCCACGCCCCTGAGACCGGGACCACTTCTTGAACCCACTATCGAGATCTACAAAGAATACCAAGCTAACGACTTCTCATCTGGGCCACTCACACTAGAAAAGAGCAAGGCGTTAATCCTCGAGCTCCTTGAACGATATCAGAGTGCGACCATTGTGATCGACGCCCTAGACGAATGTAACCCGCAAACTCGAGGAGATCTGCTGGATACTCTAGAAGATCTTTTGAAAGGATCCCCCTGCCTGTTGAAGATATTCGTATCAAGCCGTACGGATCGAGATATTACATACAAGCTGAACAACTATCCGAACCTGCACCTCTCCTCCGACCGCAACACAGCGGATATCGACTTGTTCATTCGGTCCGAGACATCTCTGCTTATCAAGAAGGGCAATCTGCTACGGGACAGCGACAGACAGAACGAAATTCGGGATAAGATTGTCAACAAGCTCTCTTCAAAGGCGGGAGGCATGTAAGTTTGCTTTAGCTCGATTCTTAACGCATGCAACTAAAAAGAAGTCAGGTTTCGCTTAGCTAGTTTGCAGTTACAGGATCTCTGCCAACAGGCAACTGACGACGCGGTCTTGGAGAGACTTGGACGACTGCCAAAAACGTTGGAGGAGAGCTATTGTGAGATTCTTACGAAAATCGAAAGCATGAACGCAATTGCAGACAGACAGTATGCACGAAACGCTCTCAGCTGGCTGCTTTGTGCTCAACGGCAACTCCAGTCCGATGTATTCCTAGCTGTTGTCTCCGTGAAAAAAGATCGATCCGCTTCTCTGATATCGAAAGGCCAGCTCTTACACATATGCTCAAACTTTGTCATTTTCGACTCCACAGCCGACACTTTCAGGTTCTCACACTTGACGGTGAGAGAGTTTCTTGAAGGTCGAGAGATATTCAAAGAAACATCTGCCAATGCTCTCGCGGCAGAAGCTTGTCTTTTGAAGCTCATCGAAGCAGCGCCAGGAACTTTTATGCAGACGCCACCTTTGAAGTATGCTTGTTTATTTTGGGCTGAACATGCTCGTGTAGCTTGTCAAGAAACATACATGCAACGAAACGATACCTTGTGCGAGTTCTTAGGTTCAGACAAGGCTGGTTCATGCTTTCATCGTTGGCATGAAAGTGTTGAGGGTCTTTTGGACAGTCAAAGGTTACCGATTGAAGTTTATCGGAGACTCAACGCTGCTTTGTCCCACGTACCTCGCGTTCTGCTTGTGGTTTGTGCGTACGACTTGTGTGGTGTTCTTAGCCCTGAGCAGTGGATAGAGCTGGCGCAACAACGACCCAGGAATAGGGAAGGTGAAACACACCAGGAGATTGCACTCTGTTACGGGAGCGGTGAAATTCTAGAATGGCAGTTTCAGAACGAGCTTCGCTTCGAAGTAACAGAAAGGGTCATCGAGATTGCAGCCAGAAACATGGAAAACGGAGAAAGGGTGGTAGCACTTCTTCTTGACCATAGAGAGGGAACCAATATGCCAATCACAAAAGGGATAATCGAGGCTGCAAGTTGGAATTGGAGAAGCGGGGAAGAGATAATGACGATGCTTCTCGAGAGGCACGGAATCGACATCCCTATCACACAAGACATCGTCAGGGCTATTGTGAGGAACTTTGGTCAACCCATTTTCCAGCAACTTGTTGACAGGGCCGGGGGCGAGATCCATATCCAAGAATGGGTATTTAAGGCAGCGTTTGGAAATCAAAAACATGGCAAAGAGATTACAGCTATGCTCCTGGACATGAGCAGGGGTGAGATTCTGATCACAGAGGAAATAGTCAGTACTGCTGTTACAAGAGCCTATGATGGCAAGGACATACTAGAGCTATTGCTCGGTCATCTGAGAGTTAGCCTCTCAATCACAGAAGATGTATTAAAGACTGCAGCTAAATATTGGGGCCTCGATGGAGAATTATGGACATTTCTTCTGGACAACCGAGGGATAGAAGTTCCGATTACAGAGGATATTGTCAAACTTGCAGCTGAAAACTACGAAAAGGGCGACGAGTTGATTGCCAGACTTCTCGATAAATGGGCCACTATCATCCCAATCACACCAGCAGTCATCAGGGCAGTAGTTGAGAATCTCCAGAAAAGTACATTCCAGAAGTTTCTCAGCATGACTGAGGTTGAGATTCTTATTACAGGGGATCTCGTTCACTCAACAGTCATGAACTGGCGAAGTGGTGAGGGAGTGCTGGCATTACTTCTCGAAGAAGGAACTACTGAGATGAACAGAATGGAAGAGGTAGTTAAGGCAATCGTGACGAGATCCGACCCAGGTATTCTCCAGCAGTTTCTTGATAAGAATGGGGTCGAGGTACAAATCAAGGAAGATATCGTTGAGGCAGCAGCAGGGAATCACTATAACGGCGATCAAATGATAGCCCTGCTTCTTAAAGCAAACGGCGGACAGATCCCTATCACAGAAAAGGTGATCAGTGCAGCTCTGAATAATCCCAACAGCGGAGAAAAAACAGTAGCACTACTTGTCGAAAAGAGTGCTAATGCGATTCCAATGACAGAGGAGACCATCGAGGGAATTGCCGGGCATGTGGGTGAATCCGTATTTCGACAACTTATCGAAAAGCGGGGTAGTGAGATCCCGATTACAGGAAAGGTGATCGAAGCAGCAACAGCTACTCCCGAGAATTGCAAGGAAGTAATGGCCTCCCTTCTCGAACAAGGCACAGTCACCACTGATGCCATAGAAGGGGTCATTCAGACAATCATAAGGGAATCTGAAAAAGCTATTCTTCAGCAATTTCTTGATCAGAACAGACTGGAGATTCAGATCACAGAAGACATCGTTAAGGCAGCAGCAAAGAATAAGAGCGATGGCGATGAGATGATAGCGTTACTGCTTGAGAAGCAGATTGAGGCTGTACCTATCACTGAAGAAGTGATAATAGCCATTGTAAGGGATTTGAATGCGACTGTCTTGAGACAGATTTGGGATAGTGGCAGAGTCAAGATCAAGATCACAGAAAAGGTCATCGAGGCAGCGGCGGGGAACTTTGACCACGGCAAAGAAATGGTGGCGTTTCTTCTTGAGAACCAAGAAGAAAACCTTTCAATCACTAAGAGGGCAGTTGAAACTGCAGCAGGGAATCGGAGATGCGGTAATGGGATACTAGCGCTACTTCTCGAAAAGCGAGGGGGAGAAATTCCAATCACAGAGGAAGCGCTTATTGAGGTCGTTTATCATCAATGGGATAGCACGGAAACAATGACGCTACTTCTCGAAAAGAGCAGAACCGAAATTTTGATCACAGAGGATATCATGAAGGCAGCGGCTGCAAGTCACAATGGCGGTAGGAAATTACTGGCGCTTCTTCTGGAGAGACAAGGAAGAGAGCTAAAGATCACAGAAGGCATAGTAGAAGCTGCAGCTTGGAACTCCTCTTATGGTAGGGACGTGATGGCGTTGCTTCTTGAAAAGGGCGGGCCCGAGATTCCGATTACGGACAAGGTGATCAACGCGGTAGTTGGGAATAAGGGTACGGGCAAGGAGATACTAACGCTGCTTCTTCAATGGGGTGTATTGGGGATTCCAATTACAGAAGAGATCTGGAAGGCAGCACGAAGGAGAAAGGATAGTACAGAAATTACCGCTCTGCTTTTACAGCTTGTTGACGCTGATGAGAACACTACTGCGTTGACGACGGGAAAGATGGGCGATAAAGAAATGGACCGAGAGCAAGTTCAAATAAACACGCAGGTTGGATTAATAGGCTATTGTAGGTACTTGTTACTTTGTGCTATTTTGATTATTTTTTTATTCTATTATTATTAGTTTTATAGTTTAGTTTTATAAAAACGCGCTCAAATTTGCTGGCAAGGTGATCTCTCCCTGTCTTATCCTGCAACCCACCAGGGATATAAGATTGTTAAGCAACTAATCTGTCGATTAGTTGGTATATATTCCCATCTTCTTATGCAGAAGGAAATGAGTTCCCTTTTAGCTAGTATATCCTTGGTGGCATGGTAAAAACTGTTATAGTAGTATTGCTGCTTCGTGGGAGTCACAAAGTTCTCGTGTATCTCAGGAACATGTCTGATCAATGAAAACGACTGAGGGTTCCTAAAATGCCAATAGAAAGGCTCGGCGGCTGACACCAGCTCCCCAAACACCTGCTGAGGATGAGGCCGAAAGACCAATGATAGCCCTTCTATGCGTACCGAAGACTCAACATGGCCAACGTCTTGCTGGCAGACGGTTCAGTAGAGATCCCTGTGACTCCATCTTGTTTAATGGCTCTCCTTGTACAATTCAGAAACTTAATTGGGCATTGCAGACTCATTACGCTGCTTGTGTCATGCCGAAGATCGCAAAGGGGTTGAAACTTGCAGGCTTCTGCGCTGTAGAACGCATGGACTAGAAGTCGAGGGCTTCTATATGGGTAAGAGCATTTGATGAAGTGGCCTGGCATAGACATAGTCTGCTGACTTTTATACTTATCCGACTCTGGAACCGAGACCTGGAATCCAGCGCCAAGTAAACCCTGGCCATATTCTTAAACTCGACTGAAATGGTGTCATGTTAGGAACGAATACTTACGAAGGGATCGAATGCCTGCAGTACACAAAGGAGACCCAGCAACCTTGATGAGTGCTCTGTTATCTATTTGCAAGGTCGATGTGGTTCCTATGACAAGGTATTATGAACGACTCTGGTACCCCCATACTTGGATGAGACAAGAGCCCAGTCGTAGTCGGGCTTGAGATCCTTGTTGATGGTCGTGCCTACTGGACGATTGCATTCTGAGGTTCAATAAGATATAAATATGAATAAGTGGTCTTCAGAAACTTCCTTTCCCTAGTTCCCGTACCTTCAGATTGATATGGTTCTCATCGTCCGGGAAAACATTCAATGGGATTAAGAGTACCAAATATGACAATGGGTTTTACGATATTGAATATCTTACTAAGTAAAAGTGCCGTAAACTTCGCACTCTATGTAGATATATAATGTGTCTGAGCGAAAGTGTTTTAGTAGTGGATATAGATTATATCAACCCCTTCTTCCGTCTCCAGTCCCATGTGGTTGCTTGCCGCAAGTTATCTACACTGAGCATATCTACACCCTCTCTAATTAGAATATGCCAAATGTGATTCCTTAGCCCAATTGGCCATGCCGGTACACCCCAATACCTAGCCTTCAGACCTAACCGATGCGCCCCTCGGACTTGGGCTCGAATGAGTTGCAGCTGCTCTTGCGTCAGACGCGACCCCCATACATGCCCAACCGCTTTTTTGAAGCTTGCCGAGGCATAGTAGCTATTGGAAGGGGCGTAGCTGTACGGTGTCTCACTACCGATGGTGGAGTCCGACTGGAGTCGCTTTGATCCAGGACGGTCATGTTCTGGCGCTTGATCGATGTCACTGCTATATGCCCCGAGAGTTCCAGCCTGAGCTCGATTGGGGTTTGGCCATTTGGCGGACTTGTCGGCCAGCAGCTCCAACGGTGCATCGTAAAAAACGTCACGGTAGGTGTCGTTTTTAGTCAGATCGTCAAATTGAGCGTAGCCTGATCCAACAACAATAACGGGGCCGGGAATAATGGCCGTGCCATTGAAGTAAGTGAGCAGATTCCGCTCCCGCAGTGGCTTCAGTTGCATTTGAATCTCTCGCCATGTCGCCTCTCCCGGGGTTTTGAAGTCGATGAGCAAAACCAGTGGTTGCTCAGGGTCAGAACTGAAGACCCCAACGAGTGGTTGGTTAGTGGGCAAACGCGAGGCACAGTCTCGTCCTCGTTCACACGGGAAGAAGCCATTTTGTTGCTCAAGAATGTCAATCAGCGGATCGATATATAAACTCCGAAGAGTGCGGTTCGAGCGTAGCTGAAATTGACGATGACCCACGTACAAGTCATCATCCCGATACCATACGTCGGCTTCTACGCTTGGACAGCCAGCAGCAATGGCACTAAACAGCGGCTTGGTTCTCCAATAGTCGTTGTGCGAGTGGCAACGTACAGGATGAACATCCTGTGTTGCGTCGGAAAGCCAATACCCAACACCAATTGTTGTGGCGGTGATATCAACCCACCGATGAACGATTGAATCCATGTCATCGGGAAAATGTGTTTGTAAGACATCACTTAAAACGTGAACTAGACCTCTATATAGAGCGTTGGAACCAGGGTAAGTATGCATAGAGATAATTCTAGGTAACAGAATGGAAAAGGAGCTTACACAAGGGATAGATAGCCTACTATGAGGAACCAGATTCGCCTTCGTAGCTTCGTTCGGAAATGATTGTTTTGTACTCGTCGTGATATTAACGCCACCAGATCCGTGAATCTCGCGCGGCGACGCCATCGTACGGGCTCCGGGAACTCGAGAGGCTCTATTGCAGTAGATAGAGCTCCATCGGATGTGCAATTTCGACCATCACCAAAGCTGGTCAGCGATTCTAGGTCGCGGCCGAAAAGTTTGGTACTATTAGCCATTGGGGTTAGAATTTGGGTTCATTGCTGGCTAATGTTGTTACTGAGTTTATCTATAACGTTTAAAGGATATGAATTTCGAAAATAACTTGATATGTTTGTTGATTGATGTAAGAGAAAGGGAAGACTGGAGCAAGAGAATATCGGGTTAGTGAAATGCAGGACAGCTCAGTGTTAGTCTCAGGGCTATATTTGGATTAGTTGCTGTGCCAAGGCCGCGTAAGCGCACCCTTCCTGGGACGCGCGTTATTCAGTCATGGGTATGCGCCACTTACAGTTGATGTTTTTAATAGGCCCTTGGTAGTTGGTTGCTTTCAGAAATTGTTGACCATGCGTTGTACTTTCAATGAGGCCAAGGCAGGTGGCTAAACAGCACGCTCCTTGATGCCCAGCCGATAATGAACCACATTGTAAATGTTAGTTCTTTTTCCAGTAACTGCTGCTGGGCCGTGATCTTGTACTTAAAAGCGCCATGTTAGAGGTTTCGGCTAGTCCTTTTTAAGGCTATCATTTAAGTACCGCATCAATTTTTCTTATCAAGACACTACTGCAAGCTAAAACTTCAGTCTGGTATAGCTCTTACTATGTAGTATGTCATCTCAAAGTCTTACCAATGACAGACACTGGCTTATCACGTCACTTAGCTCTCAGGCGGCGAAGCAAGAAGACCTGTTTTAGACCAAGAGACGTTAGTTTAGGCATTTAGTAGAGGATTGCCTTTATGGAAGATTTCTTGGCTATTTGGTATTGCATCCTAGAGGGAATATACCCTTAAGACGCGGTGCTGTATTGGATTATGCCACTCTTATGTTCTATACCCAGAGAATGGGTCGTGGAAACTTAATGTAGAAGCTAAGGGAAATGAAAGCCTACCGCAGACCACAATAATCAACCAAATTTAGGAGTCCAGGCTTGAAAAATTTGCTTAGCTGATTGGACAAGTAAAGTCTGAGATATCAAGGTCTGTACGGCTACGCATGTGCAGGAGTGACAGGAACCTCTTGGTTGATTGGTGCTCAGTGTAGTCTCTAGACTAGTGCCTTAAAATGGAATGGCAGATCGTGAATACGAAAATACCGGTACATCTACTAGTATAGCGCATGCTCTAGCAGACTAAATGAGTTTGGGCACCATTAGATGGAACATTGAAGGACTGTTATAATCATCTCTTGGTATATCGAGACGTTGACCTTCTGGCTTGAAAGACCAAGCAATGAATTATTCCCTGCGGCCTTCTATCTATTCTATTTCCTTTTTGATGGTTTTTTTCCTTCTTTCTATTGTTTTGTTCCCCTAACCAGTCTGTGAACTACAATTCGCGACTTATCTCGGAAAAAACCGACATCAATCCCTCTGCGACTATATCGGTGCAAACTTGAATGACAAGCGACAAGCCATCGTAGTAGCATACTAGAAAAAACTTCCCGACTTGGCTCGCAGCCCACAAGACAACAAAGTCACTTAATACCCGCAAACCTGACATCAGCGGTATTGATACCTATTGACAAGAAGAACAAGAGTGGCTATGTTCGCGATGTTTTTGGGTTGATACTTTGTATAGACACGTATGAGGGTGATGAGGGGATTGAAAAAGCGACTTTGGAGCTGATGTGAATAGGTGGGCGGTAGAGCGTCAGTTTATGAGGCGCCTACAGGATGCTTTGGGTAAGACGATGACGGATATCTGTAAGGGATATATTTTGTAAGTTAAATATGGTCGACTTGACGCGTTTCATACATGATCGGCGTCAGCTTTTGGCCAGATTCAACTGTAAAGAACCCTTTCTCAAAACATGCTTCAGGGACCATTCCAACGACTCACGCAATTTCCCAAAATGAACCTTTCAGCTTATCATCAGTACGAACAATATACTTTTTAAAAAATCTAGTAAATACCAATACATTGTCGCTGGGTCAATGGTGAAAGTCAGGAACCTGACTACTTTTACAGCTAAATATACAAACCATTTATTCAATTTAGTATATCAGGGGACCCTTACCCTTTTCTATCGACCTTTGATGTGTATCTAATGCTCTATCTACAGCCTGAAGAAACCAGCCATCAGTATCATCTTTTGCCGCTTCAGCAGCTTCCCTCTCGACACTGCTTCATTCCAGTCTCTATAACAGAAGCTGCAATCTGGAATTAGCGTGAACTGCTGGCACTAGTTGCGATTTTCTTCTCTACTTAATGACCTTGAATGCTGGCAAGACGAGAGCGCCTATGGATTTATTAGAGCTCACAGTTATGTGTTAAGCGTGCTCGGCGGATGCGGGGATAACTGGGGCTGAATTGTCGACGACGTGCTTGGCATAGAGTCGCGCAGTTATCCTCTGAACGACTGGAATCAAAAAATACATAGGTCTTCGAGTCAGTGAGCATAGTGCTAGAGAAGGATCGTTGACGGGGTGCTGAGCTTGGTTGCCGGCCTGCTATTTCGTGAATAGCCAGAAGTAGGAACTCCTGGGTCTCGCTCGCTGATACGCATTGACTCAAAGGACAGCTGATCGGGCCGTCTGGTGACTGAAGTCTAATATTGGACTGGCTGTAAGATTGAATGAGCCCGAGAAATACATACCTAAGTATTAACTGATCTCGCATGTCCTTTGGATCCAGCTAAACTATCCTCAGGCTCATCCACTGGAAAACATAAACCACCAGGTATACGTTCTCATGCCGTCAGCCGTATAGAGGGAAGGTCTCGTCCTATGAGAGGGTTCAATTGTAGGTCTATTTGTTTCGACGGATAGGATGCTCAGCAGATCTACCCGAGCACACATCATTTCAGGGCAGTCGAGAACTTGGTAATGGTCGATTTGCAGCCATCGCAGGTGACAACTTGAACACGAACACCAAAGGACGGAAAGCTGCAACAACCGCCGCCAGTTGCCATTCTGCCCGGCTTCGGATCAAAGGATGAAGCTACGACTGCCGCCAGGAAACCGCATGCTCGTGAGCTTATGCTTGGCCACGTTCACGGACATCCTGATCATGATCAGCGTGCTAAAGGAGAGGGAGAAAAGAAGAGGTCCTAGAAGGTCACCTTGCCTAATCCTTTAGAAGAGGCTATAGCCGAACCGTCCGGCAGGACCAGCAGCGAGGGGTCGTTATAAGCTCAGGTTGTAGCCCTATAGAAGGTAGGGGAGAAGGTGGTGACTGAGGAAGCAATAGAGGGTCTATCGCCGTTGTTAAAGGCGTTGCGGAGGTCGATGGAGGTAAGATACTAGAACCCAGCCCTATTAGGGCCGGCTATAGCTTCGTCAAGGAGGAAGATAGCTAACTCTACACCTCCTGGGCTATTAACACCTAGCTGGAAGGGTAATAGTATAGAAGGTCTAAAGGAGGTCTTTAAGATAGCTTTCATGGCCACCTTGTAGATGCCAGAAGGCTTCCCTACTCAATTAAATGAACATGTTCCTTGCGCCCAGTTAGAGATAACTTTCGACAATAAGGGACGACGTAAAGGACAGCAACAATCTTGCGCTCATTCGACCTGCTGCATTAACACCAAGGTTTCATGCCGATCTCTATACCGAACCAACAAACTTCCGTTCTAGAACCAGCCTCTTGATTGTTGATTGGCACTTCGCGGGGCTGTTTGTTGGTTGCATGCAGCCACGGTTGCACCAGCCGTTGTTTGCCAACAACCAAGGAGCTCACCATTCGACGGTTTGTGCTGTTGGTTCCGGGGTTCGGATCCCGGGACAGCAGCTGCTGCATGAGGGATGTGATTGTTTGGCGAGGATGATAGCAAATATGCATAGGAATGGAGACTGTTTGTATAAAAAGCAACGTTTTGTTACATCGTCTCTGGGTATGTTCTGGGGTTTAATTGTCGTTAGTTGCAGAAGATTGCTGTGAACAGAGTCGTCATCCCCGCATTTCGTATTATTATCGTAACTCGCATTCTTGCTGTTACTCGGAAAGTCTAAACTCGTTGATCAAAAGGTCCAAATCACAGTGTCATCTCAAAATGGGGAACGGTGCGTTTTTCTACTCAAGTAGAGTTGTTCAATCTCTAACAACCGGATCACAGGCAATGAGAAGTCTCAGAACTACCCTCCAGCTGGAGACCTCCTGAAGCTATTCGATCAACAGCCCGTTCCTGTACTTTCATCATACATCGTCAAAAGGATATCCTTTGAAGAGGTCGATGCATCAGATCAAGCTGCGGTCGTTGTCAAAGCATTTCATGATGCATTGAGAGCAAACGATACCGACGCTCTCCAGGAGTGCTTCTTCGCTGATCAAGCCTACTGGAAAGATGCATTGGCGTTCACGTATCATTTACGTACCTTCTACACTCCTTCAGTAATAGTCGCCAATCTTCTGGAAACCAACAAGGCGAGAGGGATCTCTATGAGATGGAATATGGAGAGCGCTGTCTTTGTCCCTGCGACGCCTGTACTGGTAGGTTCCGCCGCTTCAATTGGCAACTAGTCGTACAAATGGAAGAAACTGACGCTAGAGTTTCCGACTTTAGCAATTCCTCGACGTTGCCTTGTCGTTCAGAACTGTATCACCGGACGCTTTGTGCAGTGCGAGAATTGTTCTTCTCCCAGCCCAAAATAGCACCGGTGAACTGGAGTGGCGGATTTGGATTCTGAGCACCAAGCTTGAGAACCTTGATGTGCAACCAGAAGATGAATCTCTTCTTCATTCGCCCAGGCGTAGTTTGGATGGCATACACGATATCGATACCGATGTCTTTATTATTGGTGGCGGCAACGCGTGAGTTGTAATGCTGTGACTTTCCTTTCCCTGGCTCTCTAACCATCTTGTAGCGCTGCAGCTCTCGCCGCTCGACTCAAAACCTTTGACGTTGAGAGCATCATGGCTGAACGGAATGCCCATGTTGGTGATAATTGGGCTTTGCGTTATGACTCCATGAAGTTTCATGTTCCAACATCGTTTTGCGACATGCCTTATATGAGTAAGCTAATTAAAGGCGTTCTGAGATACGGAATCAAGCTAACACGAATTTCTTGGAGGCTACCCTGAAGAACTCCGGGGTACTTATCGTCTGAGCAAGGATGAACTGGCTAATCACTTGATCCAATACGTAGCGACATTCAACCTCAATGTCATTACGTCGGCGCAGGTCCAGTCAACTATGTACAATAAATCGAACGAGAAATGGACAGTCAGACTACAAACTCCTGCTGGAGCGATTACTGTCACTGCCAAACATCTGGTACAGGCAACGGGCGTCTCCTCGCAGAAGCCCTACGTTCCCTTTATTCCAGATCGACAGGTTTACAAAGGCATCAGCATCCATTCGTCAGACTACAAAAACTGTCAGAGATTGGCCAATCAAGGCGTCAAGGTAAGTACCTGAGTCTCGGCACTGTCATGAACTCTAACGCGCAAAAGTCGGTTCTCATCATAGGCTCAGCCAATACAGGCTTCGACATTCTTGCAGACTGCCACGCAGCTGGCCTAAAGACAACAATGGTGGTTAGATCCCCAACATACATCTGCCCATTCGAGTATATTTGCAACGACGTCAGTCTAGGCGCGTACAACTTTGACGTCGCGCGTGGAGACAGAATGTTTTTTATGCTTCCAGCCGCAGTGGAAGGACAACTAGCGCGTAATCTGTTCAGAGTCCTTGCATCCAACGAGCCAGATCGCTACAAAGCTCTCAAAGCAGCTGGCTTTCCAGTCCTCGATAGTTCTGAGCCTAACCAAGCTCTCTTCTCTAATCTGATTGAGAAAGCGGGCGGGCATTATGTTGATGTCGGAGCTACCGAGCTTATAGCACAAGGAAAGGTTGGCGTTAAAGCAGGAGTTGTGCCTGTTGCGTTCACGGAAACTGGTCTTCGGTTCTCAGATGGGAGTACAGCTGATGCGGATGCTGTGATCTGGTGTACTGGTTTCGCGGATCGCGATGTTCGCGACGTTGCGGGTGAGATCTTGGGAGGAGGACATACTGTCGATGCTTTCAGTAGCAGTGAGCAAATCCTGGGACCTCATGAGATCGCTGATCGTCTTGATATAACGTGGGGAATTGACTCTGAAGGGGAGATTAGGGGAATGTGGAAGAGACATTTGAGACTGGACAATTATTGGGTTATGGGGGGTTATACCCAGCAGCATCGATGGCATTCGCGGACTTTGGCTTTGCAGATCAAGGCTGCTCTGGAAGGCATTCTACCTCCGGCTTATCGAGAGACTCTTGGTAGAGATTAGTTGTTTGCTTTGGGAATAGCATGACATGGAAGTTAATCCCCCTGAGGATTGATCAAGCTCCGACTTCCGAGGTGGCGATTAATGATCAGCGCCGACTATGTGCCTAAGACTCCTCGTCGCCCGCGTGACTAATGTATAAGTTTTAGTGTGTCTGACATTCAGGCAGTTCTATAGTCCACGAATAAGGATGGAAAGTCCCCTGGATCACTTTGCTGACTTTGGGGTTCTGTCACCCTCCTCTACCGACATCCCGCAAATACGATGAACACATTACATCGCTACATTGGATTCGACTTTGAGTAGGTATATTGGCTAGCTCAAAAATGAAATGATATTAAACATAGAAAGAGACCTAACAACTCTTATCCTGAACTTCAATTGCTTGTTCCATATTCTTAGGACTCTTCACCTCTATGTCGAAATCTACGACTCAAGTGCAATCCGTCCAATATCCGCAACTTCGCAATACGCCCGACCTCCATTCCTCCTCCATCCACGTGTCGATCTGCACCGAGAACAGCGAGGCACACTCAAGTTTTATCCCCGATTCCCCGTAGATCCATGTCTCAGGCAAGGTTCCACGGGGCATGTGCACATAACCCTCGGGTTCCGAGCTTCTAAATCAATCGATTGAAAAACATGTACGGGAGATAAGACGGTAAGTTCCGTAAGGATGCGGATGGCTAGCCAGATTTGAACCAACTCCAGTCAGTGTGGGCAGGGGTCGGCGTATCACGTGTTTCAAACTTGGGATAATTTGCCCATTTTCATTCTTGAATGGGTCCACGTCGCGCCGACAAGCAGTGCAGGCCTCCACTTTCTCTGAGGGCTGCAGATTGATTAGATGAGAGGTCGTATAGGAGAGGCACAGCGTTCAATAGGAGGTATCATGAGATTGCTGCTAGGGCTTAGCCACGGTCTCGTAAAGCTCATCTTATTATATTCCTCCTGGAGAAGAGTCAGTTAGCTTAATCCCTCGTCCAGTCGCCCAATATACCCTCTATTTAACTAGATTCGTTTGTAACGTGATAGTACTAAGTTTTTCCAAGTTGTTTATGTTGCAAAAGGAGTTGAAAAGGAGTTTAACAACCACAATCATTTTCAGCATCATTATACTTTAAATCATATATAAGATAAACAGAAGACAAAAGTCAAGGGACTTCGTAATTCATTAGCTGCCGTGTTTTCTTTAATTAAAGAGTAGATAATCCTGCTTATTCCTTCACCAGTGGTCAGCTTCAGGGTAGGTGAGCTATGCTCAACTGGGATGTGAGAGAAGCTCCTGATTGCATGCTTCGTAAATTAACACAGACAGCACCACTTTTCTTAATCCCGTCGGCAATGAAAAAGCTTGGAATTTGATGCTGTTCTGTGGAGACAAAACAGTGACATGCCACCGTAAACTGAAGGGCCGAAAAACGGGCTTTCACCACAAAACCCACAGTGGAATATGGAGTCATTACCAAACAACTGGCTATACGACCAGGATATCGGAAGTCGGGATGAATGAGTAACCCGAGTGCTTCAGGTTTCCTTTTCTGAGCCTCTGGAGTAGGTTTACCGTGTCTCTTCTTTTGGCAGGCCCCTTAATTTATGACATGCCGCAAAGTGCACAGACTGGTAGCCAAATACGATGTCTCCGTTTCAGCTACAGTGTGCTTAAAAGTTAGTATGCTTCAGCGATAGGCAAACCTGCGGAACCACAATTGTTTGTCACTGCCAATGAAGCTTGTTTTTAAGCATTAAAAAGGGAGAATTTAAACTTGCAGGGGGAGTGTAAAATTGTTGCATTCGTATTTTGACCAGTCTCGGGCTAACCGCGTCCGAAATAATCCACCTCATTTCCGGAGATGAACTGGGGTTAGCTTTGCTCCTTCAGCCCTGTTCATCGGACGATGTCACTCTTTGGGGTTACTGCGATTAGCTTTCGCATCGTGATTCTTAGTGTCTCCTCGATTTAGTACGCCGATGGTGGTTCTCACTGGAGGTCTTTGCGGTATGCAAAACAACTAATGTCCGCGCGCCGAATACGCGTCGATTTTTTTCTTTCTTTTTTTCGATAAGAACCAGGAATCTGATCCCTGCTAGTATTTTTTTCCCTGCGGCTCCATCCGAGAAACAGGTTGGTGGATTACATGGTGACACGTTCTGGATTAGGTCGATGGGTGACATGCTCTGATTCTGTAGATAATATTCCTCCAATCAGAGCACTTCCTCTCTCAACAACATCCTTCAATCGGATCTGAAACATGAAGCTTACAAGGGTCATCATGAGAGGAATGCTCATGACATTTTGCTATAAAGACTTCAGGTCCTCCCTTCCAGTTTATGGTTTTAGTTCTGCAGTTCAATAGTCTCTCTTTACAATCTAACTTTCTACACTCTTTGACCCTGGTGGTTATCCTCTCTTTAAAACTCTCACAAGAAATCTTACCTCTTTTTTCACCAAAACAACAACCAATCCATCAAAATGAAGTTCTCCATCGTCTTCGCCGGCCTCTTCGCCTCCGCCACCATGGCCTCTCCCCAGGGCAACATCACCCCCAACACCATGGGCGCCCTCGAGAGACGCGCCTCTTTCCCCATCCCCGCCTCCAAGGGCTCCGTCACCTACAAGAAGGTCCAGACCATCTCCGGCGTCTTCGACGGTGGCATGAAGACCTACGGCCGCGGCGTCAAGTGCACTGGCCAGGCTGAGGGCGGTGACGCCGACGCTGTCTTCATCCTCAAGAACGGCGCTACCCTCAAGAACGCCATCATTGGCGCTGATCAGATCGAGGGTGTTCACTGTGAGGGCTCTTGCACCATTGAGAACGTCTGGTGGAAGAAGGTCTGCGAGGATGCTCTCTCCCTCAAGGGTGACGGTAACGCTCTCATCAAGGGCGGTGGTGCTACTGGTGCCGCTGACAAGGTTATCCAGCACAACGGTCTTGGAACGGTCACCATTGATGGTTTCACCGTTGTTGACTTCGGTAAGCTCTACCGATCTTGCGGTAACTGCAAGAAGATGGGTACCCGCAACGTTGTCGTCAAGAACGTCAAGGCCTTCAACGGAAAGGTCCTCACTGGTATCAACTCCAACAAGGGTGACGTTTCTACCATCACTGGAACTTGCGCTTCTTCCGTCAAGGAGATCTGCGTTGAGTTCGAGGGCACTGTTCCCGGCAAGGAGCCCAAGAAGCTTGGCTCTGGTCCCAGCAAGGCTTGCAAGTACTCTTCCGTCAAGTCTTGCTAAGCGCTTTACGATTGAGTCCTCGATGTTTACATTGAGACAGTAATACTGCGGAGGATCGATGGATATTGTATAAGGGGTTAATAGGGTGCTTGAAGCACCTCTTGTCGAGGGTAGGAAAGCTACCAGTTCTGTATTTCAACGTACATATCTCTTACTATATATAAACTTCGTTGAACGAGCAAACTTGTGTTATTTCTGACTGTGATGATGTTTCTGTGGATATCAGATGCCTCTCCCAATAGCGCGTATTCCCATGAAGGCCTTCAAGACATACGCACGCCCTCTGAGCTGAGACTCTTTAGAGTGTAGCTGTGGCCTCTGACCTGATTGGACCTGATCAGGGCCGATGAAAGGATTTACCTGACTGCTGTTATTGCTGTAGCCAGCCTGGCACATCCGGATCCGTATCAGGCATCGCATTCGAGCTCTCATTAATAAGCTCTGATATTTTTGTCGTCAACTCTTTATGTCTTTCATCCATTTCTTCGCCTTGGGGGCTCAGCTAGGCTGTTTGCGACGTGTGTCGTAAAGTTACGAACGCGGGTGATTTACGCTTCTCTTTCCTAAAACGACACCATGCTAATCCTCAAGCTTCTCAACTCCATCCTACTTCCACTTAAAACCCGTCTTTCTAGCATAATTAGGAAATTAAATCTTTCTGTCTTCCTATGCCTACACTATGAGGCCTCTCATTTTCCGTCATACATCCAGCTGAGAACTTTCAAAAGTCCGCAAATACATCGTCTTCGCAGCTCCTGCAATGATATTAATAAAGGGGCCAAATAAAGATGAATTCAACTTACACGCCAGCATCCCGGCAAATATATATATCCTCATCCTCGGAATAGGAAGCAAATGGCCTTGTGTATCCTGAGCCAGTTTTAGTACGTACTGTATCTGAATATCGAAATAATTTGTTTCTGACCTCTATAACCATCGGCTGGTCTAATGGGTGGCCTATAAGGCGCGATTACTTGTCTCTCCTCTAGCATATTCCAATCGACATCCTGGTACCACGGATGACTTTTGATGTCCCATGAGCTACACTGTTGACTTTGCGAGTTAGAGACTCGAGTCTTTATTGAAGGCCGTCCAGTCGGCATGGAGACTCGCCGAGTCAACATCGGGCTTCGCTTAATCATTATGGGGTTTCGTTCGGTCCCCAACCTCCGTTCCAGGTCATTCGTAAGCAAGCCTTCCAATAAATTTTGGGCCCCTGATTCCTTGAGATAGCTAGGGTACTCGATTTCCCCCTTGAGAATATTCTCGTACATCAAGAGGGGTGATGCGTTTGCAAAGGGGGTATAGCCACAGAGCATCTCGTATATCAGAATGCCAAGGCACCACCTATAAGATGAACAAGCCATTAGCTAATCGTGGCCAAGATGGTTGATTGGTGAATCTCTCTTTCTGAATCTGCCTCTTTCTTTTGCACAGACACACTTACCAGTCAACAGACTTGCTGTAACCCTGACCAGAGATGACTTCTGGAGCCATGTATTCTGGCGTTCCGCATAGCGTCCAAGTCTTGGCCGGGACACGTTTGGCAGACCCAAAATCAACAATCTTGATGTAGTCAAGCCAATCGACTAGAATGTTTTCTGGTTTCAGATCTCGATGGACTATATCCTTGGAATGTAGGTAGTCCACTGCTAAGACTACTTGGGCAGAATAGAACTTGGCAACTCCAGTACGGAAGCGCTAATAAGTTATCCTACAGTTAGCGCCACTTTCATAGTTAATTGATACCGAAGCCGAGGCCGGAAAAGCTCATGTGAGCATAAATGAAGATATCCAGGGCACGTACCTTGACTTGTCTTAGTAATGTTAACAGTTCACCACCCTCTACAAATTCCATGACCATATATAGATTTCTCATATCTTGGAAAGTTCCATACAGCTCGGCTAAAAAAGTGTGGTTGACGTCAACAAGGATAGCTCGTTGGTCGATGGTACGTCTTATTTGCATCGTTTTGACAATATGAGCTTTCTTCAAAACCTTGATAGCAAAGAAAGCTCGCTTATCGGACTTGAGCTGGGCTAGGTACACGCGAGAGGAGCTTCCAATACCTATAGTCTTGTTGATGTTGAAATGATTTCGTAAATGATTGTTTGTCGACAGTTTAGACTGCGTCGGTGATGGGCCATTCTCTAAGGAATGATTCTTGGAGTATTTGTTCTGAGGAAGCATCTTTGAGACTTCATATCGTCTGTAGCTAGCGGGCAGAGCCGGAAGGCCGTGGTCATCTTCATATTTGATACTGGCATCCACGCCCTCTGCGCCAAGCAGCAGCTTCACTATCTCATCTTGCCCGCATCGAATAGCCCAAGAAAGTGGCGTGATGCCGTTGATATCTTTGAGATTCGGATAGACCCTGTTCGTCGAAAGAAGCATTCTGACTACTGGCTCATGTCCGTACTGAGATGCCCATGAGAGTGGTGTTCTGTCGCTGTTGTCAGTGGAGTTCGGATCAACATCGTTCCTGGCGAGAAGCGGCTCGATAGCTGCTGTTTGACCGTTTTGTGCTGCCCAAGACAAGGCGGTGCGGCCAGTTTGATCTCTCCAGTTAGCTTTGATTCCCTTTCTAGCAAGAGCCTGCTTGACTAGTTCTGAGCTTCCGTGTTGGGCCGCGTATGAAAGTATTGTCCGACCGTCATCGTCGTTGGAACCATAGTCAACCATTCCAGTCCCTAGTAGCACTTTTACCACGGCCGTATGTCCATTGGCAGCAGCCCACATGATTGGTGTCCGGCCTTTGTAGAACCATGATGCCCTCGAGTCTGGCGCTACCCGACAATCCGACAGAAATAGTTCAACCACATTCACATGGCCGTTGCCTGCCGCCCAAGACAGTGGCGTTCTACCACCTGAATCTCTTGGATTTGGTTCTACTACATCCCGAGCCAGTAGAAGCCTACATACCGCATAATGGCCATTGCGTGCGGCTAGCGATAGCGGAGTCCAGAGATATCTAAAGGCTCTGGTGTTCAAATCAACACCTTCCTGCTGCATTAGCCATTTCACCACAGTGTCGTGCCCATTCTCCGCCGCTAATGATAGTGGCGTCTGACCGTCAGAGGATTTGGCAGTCAGGCTATAGCGCTCGCCAAAAGAAATGATCAGGTCACTCAGTCCAAAGAATGCAACAATATGCGACGCTGTCATTTTCGTGTATCCAACGCCACCCCCAGGTAATTTCAATGCCGTCCTCGCTTGGTTGGAGGCCATTGGTTTGCCCTCATTGTACAGGAGTTTCAAGAGCAACTTCCGTGGCTGCGGAGATGAGACCCGAGCATGGTGTCCCCAGTTCCGCGCCGCATAATCATAGAGAGGATAGCGTTTCAGTCGCAGCTCCAGATCACGGTACCCTGTGCACGGCCCAGAGCTAAAGTAACTAAATAAGAGATATTGGACACAAACTGAGGTGACGGTCTCTTCGGCGTGAGAAAACAACTGCTCATGGTTCTATGTGAAGTAGTCCTGCATGGTGTAGTGCACCAAGCGGATGATCTTACTTTCCTCGTCGATGATGACCAAACCAGCGCAGGCGGAGACCATATCATCGACTGCAGAGAAGTTTTTGTCATCGAACTCATTAGCCTCTAGCTCAACAGCAAGAGCATGTTGAAGTTCCGATGTGTTAAGTGGTCTTTTGGCGCATGTGATCCATAGAAGTGTTCTCTCTGCAAGCTGGCGAATACCAGCTTTTTGAGCCCTGATTCTTTCCATTGCTTGAGCGTAAGCTTCCGAAAGAATATGGATTTTCCTTTCTTCGCTAGGTCCTGGATTCTGCTCTTGAAATCGGCGTATAGCTTTCTCAACAGCCTTTTTTGTCATTTTATCATCCAAAGAGTCCATGTACAGATGAGCCAATAGGAACCTATTTATTCATTAGCCAGGCATTTCTAGGCATGTCTTCTCAAATACAAACATTCCATTGACGGCTTTTACTATTCCTTCTTTGATGTCTTCCTGGAATGCTCGATCGTGACGTATAGACTAACTCACCGCCACCCCACACACCCCCCGTCCCCGCACACCCGTGATAGCATCACAACCGAATCCGTAGATGACTTCAATTAATTCTATAATAACGAGTATTTATTCAATTTAACTGAGAGTTTGGAAACTGATTTACGAATATTGTATCTGCAGTCTGTGTTTTTGGCGGATTCTTTTTACGTTGTTTTCTCTTATTTCCCTCGATCTGATGTAGTACGTTCTTTTCAGCCTGATCACGAGCCGAGATAATCTGTTCAATCTCAGGGAAAGCCTTGTTGGGGTCAAATTGAACGGCGACTCGGCCAGTGGGCTCTCTTGCTGCTACTGACGCCTTCAGTACTGCTTTTTCCTCCTCTAGGCGTTGAATTTGACTGTTCTTCTGGTCGATATATTTCATCGCCTTCTTTATGATACAATTGAAGTCGCGAATAAAGGTATTTCCTTAACTTTGCACGGCTTCTAGTTGTTTTTGAATATCGGCACTTCCTTAGGGCATACTCCAGATCGTATCAGCGATTACTTGGGCCTTCCTTGGTGTTATAGGCCCGTTAAAGCGCTTGCGTTTCTTCTCCCTTGGCTTCAACGCCGCTAACGCCTTCTGTAGATTGATCGGGAAAAGCCCAGAGGCCGAGAAACCACTTATTATGTTCCTACGGCTCAGGGCTTTCAATGAAGCCCTCTTATAAGCTTTTAGGAAGAGTCGTTGTTGGTGTGGCGAGGTTGCTTCGTATGAGGCCCAAGAGCGGGTAAACTGGCGATAGTACGTTTTCAACGGCCCAAATACGGCAACATCGAGCGGCTGAGTGATATGTGATGAGTGTGAGGGTAACCAAGAGAGCCAAATCTTATGCAGCCATGCCTTTTTTATCAATTCCGCTGTAATATGTGACTTATGCTGGTCTAGGACCAATAGTCTCCATTGATTAGGATCCTTCGGCTTAGTCTGCGGTATGAATACCCCCATGAACCAACGGACGAAGATGTCGCTGTTAGACTAACCAGTTAGACTGCAAGTGTACTTCCAATCAGGAAAAACGGCTGGAAACCACTGTCCTTGGAGGTTCTCGCCGGTAAAAACGACACAAGGCGTAAGACGCCGACCGTCTGCTGATACGGACTCGATTATCGAGCTCTAAGTCGTATTGTCGGACTTTATCCTCTCTGAGGAAGAAGTCATCGCCGTTCCGGCTACTATGCCACCGTTGGTCTTACCGATTTGAACGCCGGTCTCGTCAACGTTGTACATATAAGGCCTAGTTATCTTCTTCGTGTTGACTACCTAGTTAAGACCATCGTAGTACTCGGAAAGTGACTCCTTCATCACACAACGCTTCCTCGCGGATTCTATGACTCGCGATGGCTTCAATTCTATACTCGAATGGCGGGTAAAGAATCTATTAACCCAGTTCTTGCCGATATAACAGACTTGCCTGTTGACTGATGATAACGCCTGTATGAAGTTATGGATATCCTTCTTCGTGAGAGGCTGAAAAGCGCGCTCTCGTTCAATAATATAGTTGACTAGGTTATCTTCCTGCTCTACAGTAAGCGACTGATCTTTCTGATGTGCCGTGCGGATGTCCTGGCCTCCGGCGCATCGATCATGCAATGTTAAGAGCTTAACCGAGTGTTTTACCGCCGAGGGCCGCAAACCAATAATTTCCACGTCCTTAATGGCCAATAATATCCTCTTTTTATAATCTAATAGCTGCGATTCTATTGCTATTAAAATAAAGAAAAACGGATTTTATTTGATAAATACAGAATAAAATGAAGAATCCTGTGTTGATGACGCGTTGATGGTGTTGAAGTGTGCGGGGACAGGGGGTGTGTGGGGTGGCGGTGAGTTAGTCTAAACCCTGGTAGTTGCGACATGCGGCCATCTAGATATCCGTACATCGTCATCACTCGGACGGATCTCAAGAGTCGCCTGAGAATCCAGAGACCCGGCGATTTCCGGGATAAAGTGTGACGTCATAAATAGGTTTGTCCCACAGCGTGCTTGTAGGCTGAGCATCTCGTCGAGAAATGCATTACGACATCCGCTGGTCGTTTGACATTTGTCAAGAGCATCAATAATAAGAAAGGTGCGGCTAAAGAGAGCAGACACACACTGTAAAGCTGTGGACAGCTTTTCGACAGAGGGCCGTCCGCCCTTTTTTTTGCAGCTGTTGTAAAGTTCTGTCACGCCGCTCTGCACAACGGATTGTTGTTGGGTCAATTGTTTCAGCAAAGCAGCTAATAGGTCCTCCAATGTCTGTTCGTGATGCCGCCGGAAATTGCAAAAGATGAAAGCAATGCCGATATCGCTTTGTTCTTGGAACTTGGTTGAGAGATGGTCGATCACAATTGCTGTGATGATTGTTTTCCCTGATCCGGGAATACCGGGGCAGAAGAGTCCTCTTTTGGCATCCTTAAGCCACTGTTGAAACTCGGTGCATTCCAAGAGCCACTGACCAATTCCTAGTTGTCGCCGCTTGAGGAAATCATGCTGCTGTGGTGCATAGTCGATAGCTGTGATCCACTGAATGATGTCCCTGTCTTCTTCGCTGTGTTGCTTGTGAAGGATTTTATCGATACCTTTCGATACGTGCTTAACGTCATCTTTCAGGTCTACTGTCGCATTAGTATAACTCAACAGCTTTGAAAGATAGTGGAGACTTGACCTAGCAGTACGTCAACAATCTTTCTCTGGGCTTCGATCTTGTTAGGCGGTATCCTAGATAATATATCCTTCGCATACGCAGCTGCCGTCATAGCTGCATAACCCTGCCAGTCTTTATTCTTATGTGAATCTGCATAATCGCATATCCCGCGGATGATAAGGCACGGGAAATGATTGACCAATACAGCAGCTTCCATTTCAAAACACAAGACATTCTTCTCCCTAATAGAGTCTGTCTCGGATAGAGGCGTCCTTCAGAAGCTGGTTAGATGAAGTAATCAACACATAGTGGATTACCAGCATCTCATCTTCTGGCCGGGTTATCCGTGTAATCAAGTCTTTTGAATCATGGCTGCAAACTTGAGCGCAGGTCGCTTCGTCACCTGGTGGATGAATGACCGTGGAGCGATATAACCTATCGCTACTTGGATCAGGTCTCCTATATCTCTTCTTAAGCCTCGGTCTCTTATCAAGGATGGTCTTGACTGTTTCTTCAATGTCATGGCCGTCAATTTCATACCGTGCCTTAAGATCGTTCATAGCCGCTCGCAACAGCACTGGCGGTTGGTTCAAGAACCCAGTTGTATGGAAGGTCTGATTCTGGATAGTCTTACCGAAGTCGTATTGAAAGATTCCGCCTTTACCTTCACGAGGAGCGCTGACCACGATATCGCCAAGGCGGATATCATGTTTTGCTGGTGCGCCGCCACCGATTCCAACTAATAATCCAATACGGACATTAGGAAACGTATGTTGTAAACCACTGCCGACTCTGGCTGCTGAACTTGTTCCATGCTCTCCATCTGGCAAAACAGCAATAACGACATTGTGCTTCCCAATCCTTCCGAGAGTGTAGATGTTGTCATCATTTGGAGACACATATTCAGGTCCCTCGTGCTTCTCGTCAAGAAATGCCTGTGCGGCCACATATTCGGTAGTTATCGCACAAATCCAGCCAACCACATAGTCGCCGTTTTTGAACTTGGAGTCCAAGGGCTTGGACCCTGGCGCGTATTCTTGTTCCGTCTTCCGCTTCTTCTCAGCGCCTCTCGCAGAATCCTGGTCTTCTTCCGATTCAAACTTGCGCTTCCCTGTGGTACAGTCTTCCGACATTGTTGAATGGTGTGTGATCAACGTAAAAGGCTCTCCAGTGAGTAAGGAGTCAAAGTCAATATTTGGTATTTAACAGAACTAGGCTGAATACGGATTCTCTCGAACATGTCAAGACTCCGAAAGCAATGGAGAGATGATGAGCGGAGTTATCAACCTGCGCAGCCTGTTATCGGAAATCTCAATCTTAGGCACCCATGCAGGAACCAGGCTGCGCAAAGCTGGGTTTTCAGCTGCATGTAACACACAGCTTCCTACTCCTCACTTTCCTATCTCCTTAAAGGAGGGAACGCTTCTGGGGCTACGCTAAAACGTAAGACAGGCCTCATTGCCAATCGCTTAGCTAATTCTGGATAATATACTGGCTCGCTGTCACGTCACCGTGACCCACAAGCATTACCTCCCCTAAGGAGATTCCTTGTTCCAGAGCCTTATCCTATGTAAACCACCTACATCTCGCCCCCAATCAGCTGTAGTCCTCGCCAGACTTTCGCAACCCTGGTGAGATAAGAGCAGCTTAAATTCATTATCGTGACAAATTATGGTCCAAATGTCTGCAAACAAATTTCATATTTTGTCAGAGGAGAAGCTATTTCCTAAGTATTTTATTGTCTCTTTTTGAACTGGGCGTAACTGAAATCTAAACAAAGCTGTTAATAAGTTTGCAGCCAACTAGGGACATCCGGTTCTGTATCGGGCATCCCATATGAGTTCTCGTCAATCAGCTCTGATATCTTAGCTCTCAACTCTTTGTGCCTTTCTTCCATATCCTCTCCCTCACAAGCCAAAGCAACAAAGTCCAAGATACTCTCGCAATCCTCCCAGATCCTCGCCCTGTTACGTATGCCTGGCAACCGGCTTGTGGCAGGGTTGAACAGAAACCACACTCGCCTCCAATTCATATCGCGCTGCTCATTTTTACCCAGTATCCAACTTTCAACGCTCCCACGAAAGCTGCGCCAGTCCTCGAGTAGAGCCTTCAGCTTCTCATGATAAGGTACGATGATATCCTGCCGGCGCTGACGATTGACAGTCTTGGTCGTATTGTGGACTTCGTCCATCTCAGGATCCTCAAAGAGAATTTGTGTCCATCGCGACTCTTCCTCTTCTTCTGTTTCTAAGCCGACGGGGAGTGGAGGTGGTGGTATACTGAGAGGACAAAGAGGATCCCACGTTGGTAGACAGTCACGGGACGCGGGATATTCGTTATTTTCAAGAACCTCCCATAGCCAAGGCATATCTCTTAGTACACATTCCCGGAATGTTGACTGCGTAAGTTTGAACATCGCCCTGCAAGTCTTGGCGGCGCTGTCGACGTCGAACACGTCAAGGAACGACAGAGTATGTTGAACAATCTCAGCAGGCAGGGTCAAGATTCCTGTCTTCTGCTGCGTATATTCCTTGATGTATAGATCTTTCACGCATGACTCCAAAACTAGAGATATACCGGGGACCTCAACAGGGTTAGCAACAACCCATTCGTCACCAGGTATATGGAGCCAAGGATAATCCCACTGCTCACGAGCTCGATGCAGCTCTGGTGAATGTATCTGTTTTCTTTTCGGTTCTGGAATACGATTTTCAAGGCCATACAAAGCCGGCATATTTCGCATCTCGCGCCAGTGCCAAAGCCCATTCAGGTCAACGTATCCCAGGCGACGGAATGAGCTCTTGGCATATACATCCAAACAGTACGAGTGCACTGGTAGTGGGATCAGTGAGTCATCGAGCTCCTTGCATATACCGTCAGCAAAGGCCAGAGAGTGATAAAACAATATGGGACATTGACTTACAATGCAGCCCTCGTCAATAAACACCCAGCTGGTATTTATCTCCTTCAAGCCATGTCGTGGTGGGTAAAACGAGTGCCATGCTCTGAAATGTCTGCTCTCAATCATATTTGAGCCGCTTGACTCCCCAGATACATAGAACAGATTATCACTGATTCCTTCGAGAAGTTGATCGCTTGTATCAGTTTTCCAGCTTGAAGACTTGGGGACGAGGAATCGAACATTCCGACAGTTCTTCATTTGTGCAACGCTGAGGACATGGCCGTTGATGCCTTGAAGACTTTGGCATGAGGGTGAGGCGATGTGCTCTGGGAGCACGTTTGAATGACGAAGGCTTTGTAAAGACCACTTTTGTGGGTATTTCCTATTACTGGAATAATATGCGAGGCCGTTGTGCCATGTGCCGTGTGGCAGACGATCAGGAAATGGGGAAGCATAGAGGTCCGTAAGAGAGAACTGGTCGGGTGTTTCATTTGAGTAGTGGCTCTCTTCGCCGCCTCCAATCTCACGGCCAGGCATAGCCGAGTCTTCAAGACTCGACTCAGCGCTTTCAGTTTCCCAGCTTGAGTCATACTCCAGGGGCTCTTTATCGCTGAGACTCTGTGCATCTGGCGTCCAATCTGGGTCATCGTCGTCGTCCTGGTCTGGCCAAGCATCAACTTCTGGAGGCCTAGCTGGACCCCGATCAACAGTTGTGCATTGCTGACAATCTTTGTCCTTGAATTCATCTTGATAGGGCCATTCACAGAAGCCGACGTAATCGGCGCCCTCAAAGTTCCAAGCTGCGCTGGGCGGCTCATCTGGTGTGCGGATGCGGGCGGTGGCCATGTCGACGCCGCAGACTTGACAGTTGAAAGAGTACATGACGGCTGAGTAGCGCGAAATGGATCGTCATCTATTTTAAAGTGCCAGATACCATCCAAGAAAGTGTATGCTCTATCGGGCGGCGGAAGTTGGTGGTGGCAGCTGGTGGTTTAAAATACACCTCGGTAGCTCGTTGTGAGTAATTTAGTACCTCAAGCAAGTGGGCTCAATGCATTATTGGCCTATTCATGCACTAGTTCTTCATAGGTCTAATCTGAAAAAAGTTAACTGGTTTGTCAACGATCCCTGTCCTTGTTACAGCAAGTTAACCTGTACTCAGATAAAAGCAGAGATCAGTCGCTGTCCTCGAAAACAAAAGCAAAATAAATCCAAATTAATCGCTTCTTGTTTATTGTAAAAGAATGTAACTTTAATACTGGAATTTGACGTGGTAATACACTATAGTCTTCTAAGGAGACGGGCGCTAAAACTGCTATTAAATGTTACTGGACAACTGTATTCTGAATTACAACTCTGAACTGCTATTTTATCTCCTCCTAGAAATAGCGGCCGGTATGTAGTTAGTATTCTCTGGATCAACATGTTCAAGCCTGGGGAACATATAGGGAATATGACTGCTACTCTCGGGCCAAGTTAGCTGCAGCCAAAGATACAAGTTCAGAGTCTTTCAAAAGCAAAACAAATTTCTCGTTGTATACGAACTATTGGGTATAATAGATACTTTATAGGTATTTGGCGTAATGAAAAATGACTCTTTGCTGCAACCCTGATTGGACGATGGGCTAAAATAGCCATGTTGACGCCTGAGCTGCAGTCAGCATCACCTTCGTGTCGGCCTATGACTCAAACCCCCCGTATTAAAACGTCCGAAGGATCCAAATAGCGCCATATTTAGTTGCATCATGGAACGGAGCGACGGACCGTCAAATGAGCCGTGTGATCATAGTGTGTCGATTTGCGGCACAGCAGATCTTGGCAGGGGTTTAAGTAAGATGAGAATTCCCGTAAAAGTCGTCGAACCCAAGCTTACTCTCGTTAAAATAACACGTTTACTAATCTCACTCTTTCCACACTCGTTTAAAACCAAAAGCTTCAATATGACACGGTCAATCGCTCTCGCTGCCATTCTTTTCGCCCTGCCCATCATGGCAAAGACAGACCTCGAGGGATGTACTTCCTTCACCAGCACTGTCGTCGTTGATCCTTCGCCTGGCTATGGAAACACATATGAGACTGTGATCTGGTATGTCTCTGACACCCTTGAGATTTGCAAGGGCGTCGACTGTGGAGGAGGACGTGCGCCTCCTCGAAGTGTCCCTGGATGCCCCATCTATAAAGGCACCGAGACTGTGACACCCGAGTTTCTGGACCGCGATCCTATGGCGCCCATGACTACGGCGCCTTCGAAGGGGAAGGCTAGTCAAGTTACTGAGCCCACAGTCACCTCGGAATCTGAAGCTGAGGAGACTGAGACTGAGTCCATGGAGGTTACGACCACTGAGACTCCTGACGATACCAAGCCAACCGAGACTTTTACCAAGTCAACAGTCGAAACCAAGGAGCAAGAGCCCGAAACCACAGCTGTCGTGAGCAAGTCAGTCATCAAGTCCAACGAGACTATGACGCAGACTCAAAGTGGTTCGGGCCAGACAAGCGCGAGCGAGGAGACTCCCACTGCTAGCTCTGTTGATGCCGATAATGCTGGAGCAGGAGTTATGGTCAAGGCTGCTGGCGTTCTTGCTGGATTCATCGGTGCCCTTGTCTTGGTTCTATAAGTTGGGTGCAGTCCAGTTGATTTAGGGTGGATGTAATGGTATTGAGAAATGCTCCGGGGGGGCTGAGTGGGAAAAGAGATTTGGAGCGTCGGTAGAGAGGCCAGGAGCTGGAGGCACATCTGCCGAATAGCATGATATGATAAATTTCGGCAACCTTCAGTTTGGAAGTTCTATATATGTCGATTTACAAACTGATTAACGACATGGAACATAACGAATTCATCTTCTTATTATTTAAGAATGGGCTAGTAAATTGGCTCAAGTAAACAACTAAGCTATGTCTATACGGATCAGACCCCGTTTCTTCCCGAGTCTTGAGACTCATCGTGAAAATACTTCTTTAGTGACAGGCTATGATCGACAGGCCCAAGGCTATCGGGCTTAACCAAATGAGTGCTGGGTAGTTAATACACCTCACTGCTTCCACTTACCTACTCGCACAATATTCCCGTACGCTCTATGGAGATCCCTGATCTCTCTATAGAGCTGGAAACTAGCAACGGAACGCTTGGTAAGATACAAGTTGAAGACTCTGCCCATGGCAGGACCCGGAAACGGGTACAGACGGTGAAGAAAGCTGATACGGTAAAAGAATATGCTGCAAAAGGTTCCTAATATCATTGAAGACACCATGTAAATTGATATCTATGGGTGCAACGATAGATTCCGAGAAACTGTATGGCGACTCGGCCTCTGTAGTTCCTAGCCTCTTGAAGCCAAGTGCCAGGAGAACAATGATTACGAGAAGTCCTTGAAGGATCTTGATGGTATAAAGATCCCATCCCCCCTTTCTAGATATTAGAATGTGGGCAAGTATTCAGGTTGCTAACCCGGCTGCAATGCCTAGTGAAGTCGGGGGCATTGTCGAAGCCATGTTGTAGATTAGACGCAACGTCGGAGATACTTGGGGCAACACCAATAGTGAGGAGGATGTAACAGAATTCGCGACTTTAGAAGTGGTGGAAGTCTGGTTAATAAAAACATGAACTCATGGGCCAGAGAGTCCTTCAAATTGTCACGTTGGGATCATTAATGCGACGAAAGGAGGGACAGACACAGCCTTTCCCCTTGACAGATATGGCAGACAGGGAGAACTGATGACCGACCCAAGCACACTAATTTGGATCTCAAGGTATTACTACCCGGGCCAGATGCTTTACTCTCCTTAGGAATAAATCGGGAGCTAATTTTGATGTGATGGTATGGGTTGGGCTAGACCTGCCTTCTGTGAACAGTGAGCGAACTAGTGAAACAACAGCAGCAAGGATTAAAAGTTTATACCCTCGGTCGCTTCAGTGCCACTTCACGCTTGCCACTTGCTAGTTACCTAGCTCTAATTCCGAGCTTAGTGTCTAGAAGTAAGGAGTATAGATAGCGGTTAAACCCAAATAATATTATGCCTTTAGCACCATATCCTTCTCAGAGGCTTGAAGAAACGCGACTTTAACACCCTAAGGTTACGTATGATACGATGTACAACTAGCGGCATTTACGCTGTAGTAATTGGTTAGGCATTATGGTATAATGTCTAAGTTGTGAGCTACTATAGATGTGTTATTTTCAGTTGAGACCTGTGGCTGAGAGCTTATAATCACCACACAAAACTTAATACAACTAGCGGCAGTTGATCTCGGTATGTCGTTCTGAGCGATGTACCTATTACTGACGTATGGCTATCAGGACCCCTGTCCATCTATAACTATTCGGCCTTGTAGAATCTTAATTTCTTCTACCCTTGTTAGCCGGCTTATGAAGCTGTGACAAAGTTTCCCTATCCGGTGTTATGCATACGATAGTTTGCGGAAGTACTCCGTACCTGTAATAAACCGCTATTACGAGGGTGTCGTGACAGAACTATTGGTGCTTCCCATTCTCTCTCTGTGATTGCGAGAAGATCATCGGTACTAACTTGCTTCTGAGTCTGTTCTCTTCGTGAAAAAATGAGTAATTATGAGACTGTTTGAATTGGAACTAGACTATATAAACTCGAGTGAGCAGACCATAATTAATTCTCTTATCTTGGTCTGCTTATTATCTCACCTCCCTGCTTTTTTCGTTTTAGATACCATTTTTAACTTTGGCAGACATGTAAGCCAACCAGAAACTCTGCATTGCCATCTTTGGCCCTACTGCTTCCGGGAAGACTAAGCTCGGGGTTGCCATCGCCAAGGTCATCCCTAGTGAGGTGATCTCCGTCGATAGCCTCCAGTGTTACAAGGCTGGAAGCATTCTCACCGCCAAGCCTACCGTTCAGGAGATTGCTGATGTTCCCATCACCTGATCGACTACCTTGAGGCTGATGAGGAACCTCATGACTTCGTGGCTATGGCCGCAGATAAGATGGAAGAAATTACACACCGAGGAAAACTCCCGATTCTTGTTGGGGGTTCAACTTCGCTCGCTATTCCTTTACTGCATGAGGCTATTAAGCGACAGTACCGGTTCATTGCAGCAACTTTGGTTCCACGTCAATCCACATACTGGCAGTTCATCCAAGTTAGTGCCAGCGAGATGCTCGAACGCGGCCTGCTGGATGAGCTTGAGGAGTTGAGAGATCTGCAGCAGAGTTTGCTCGCTGACAACGCATGCTTCCATAAAGGTGTCTGGAAGGCCATCGGGTACCAGGAGTTCTATCCGTATCTCGAAGCAGACACGTCATGCAGCAGCCGTCAGTCCTCGTTCCAGAGAGGTCTCGCACTCATGAACGCCAACACCTTGCAGTATAGCTTCCATCAGCTCGAATGGATACGCTCCATCCTGAGCCCTTTCCTGAATCAAGCGGGTGTAGTCTGCGTGAGCTTCCCTGTCACTAACAAGGCTTCGTAGACGTCAGATGTTGAGATGCCTGCCATCTCAATGCTCAATGAGCTTTGCTACAATTTCCGCACGATCAGACTTTCCCTCAACAGCACATTGAACTCGAGCGCAAAATCTCGAGTGGTTGGTCTATTGTAGGACCCCCTTTTCTCCGGCTCGTTGAGATTGAGCTGACCTTCACCAGTGGCGGATCTTCGCCGGGGAATGATCCGAAACACATTGATGCAGCAAAGAAACTTGCTTTTGCTCTGCACCAGCATAACTTCAAGCTTGTCTACGGCGGCGGAACAACTGGGATCATGGGTGCCATTGCCAGCACTCTCGTAACACTATCCGGCCCAAGCGCAGTCCAGGGCATCATTCCCGTCGCACTCGCAAAGTACGAAGAGAGAGTCACCAAGAAGAGTGCCGATCCGTCAAAGTTCGGAAGACGGACCGTTGTAAAGGACATGCATACCCGCAAGAGACTCATGATCGACGCAGTCATTGGTGGTACCCCCGGGAGTGGCTTTGTCGCTCTAAGTGGCGGATATGGCACTTTGGAGGAACTCCTTGAAACAACGACTTGGTACCAGCTTGGTATACACCAGTGCGGTATCTGCGTCTTTGACGTGTGCGGGTTTTACAAGGGTTTGCTGGACTGGGTTCATCAAGCTGCACTGGCAGGGTTTGTTGGCACGGAGGATGCTACTATTCTGAGGATCGCAACGACAGCCGAGGAAGCCATTGGCTATCTCGGTAGCCAAAATGGGCGTTATTCACGAAAAGGTCAGCTTGAATGGGATTAGATACTCGTTGATTGGGACAGAGGGCTGCTGTAGGATGGCGAAACATGTCACAGCAGTAATACAATGTACATGTTCACCAATCACACTGCAAACGTTTTGCACTCTTCGCGGTCTTGAAGCTTATTAATGAACCAAAGCGGTTTATGATACGAAAATGTTTTGCGACCTGTTCAGGTATCGGTACGGTGGTGTGACAAAGTCTTACAACTGCCGTCATGTAGCCCTGTAGAGGATCATAGATTTTCTCGTCAATCCAATTCGCGATTGCCCATTGCAACCTACAGTGGACGCTACCGTTCTCACACAAGACGGGCCTCATACCTTTCGGGGTTTCATTCCTTCTTCGCGAGCCTGACCAAATTCTGCGGTTAGCTTGACTGATCAACAAACAGCCTCACGTAGCCAGACTCATCAGGGCTACTTCTAATAATTATAAGCCTGCAGCTTAAATAACACATCTACCGGATGGTTTGTATTATGCGTGTTGTCAAAAGATGCGATTCTAAGAAATAAAAGCCTCCTATATAATTTATATAGATTCTCAGTTTAGGTAATAATTAAAAACACATATTTATTTTCAAGATACTTAATTTCATTAAAAACATAACAGATCATGACGTGTTGCATTCTCTTACCGAATGCACATGTGTTATCCACAGTGAGTTAACAATCATTGGATCTGGCTATAAGCGAATTCATCTACTTCACACTCTCGGCCGCAGTACAACAATTGTGGAGTTTACAACACATGGTCCCAAGACCTTGAGCCCCTACACTTGAGGCAGAGAAGTGCTGGACCGAGGATCTTCATCGCATTTCTGGCGACAGTCTTATTAGTGATACTAGATCGTGGAATAATGGATATAAAATCCTAAGTAAGAGGGTTGAGCCTTTGGTCTTTATGGGTGGATTTCCTTTGTACCGAGAGTTTTGCTCTAGTGCTCTTGATGATAACTTCCGGGGTTCCAAAGTTCTGTTCAAAAGGGACCCAGATATGCGTTTCTATTTACATTTTATCGTTCAGATTCTTTCTAATAATAAGGAAATATAGGGTAAAGACTAAATGCCGAAATTGTGGGCCAAAGCGTATAATGCGATACCTTTTAGGAAGGTCTTTATACGTCGCTTAACTGTAATAGATTGATACAGCTTTATAAGTTGATGTGCTTATTGATTTGTAATGGGCTGATGAATTGGCCAGATCTAGCCATCAATAAGCAGACTGGCATAACGTTGCGCCTTGACACCTGACATACGTACGATACGACAATTAGTCAGGCACGGGTTCTTGGTATCACGCAATCTTCAACCTCAAGTTGCACTTATAAGTAGGTCGACGTGACTCAAAGCTTTCCATTCAGTGTGAGCAATAAAAAATATCCAATCATAATGAATACTACAAAAGCCCTTGTTAACATCCGCCCTGGCCTCGCTGAGGTTCAGGACATTCCTGTACCCGCGCTTGAGCCCGGTTACATCAGAGTCAAACCCACCGCATGGGCCATCAACCCCGATGATGTTTATCATCTTGACTTGGAAGGTGATAAGAGTTGCGTTGGCACCATAGTGGGAACCGACTATGCAGGTGTTATTGTAGAGGTTGGATCTGAAGTGATGAGAGACTTCAAAGTTGGAGATCGCATTGCTGGCGGTGTCAGCGGACAGTATGTAAAGCCCTCGAGATATTGATATCTGGCGAGTATTGACATGTGTTAGGAATATTCTGCGGAAGCACGATGGCGCTTTTGCGCACTTGATTCATGTCAAAGGAGATATGCAGATGAAGATCCCTGATAACATGAGTGACGAAGAGGCTGCGACTCAAGGGGTTGCGCTCGTCACCACGGTATGTCAATATCCCTTCCATCCAAGATCGTAGTCTCATGGAAGTTCCGTAGGCCGTTGGATTATACCTGCATCTGAATCTTCCCCTTCCTGATGCCCCAGCAAAGGAACCCTTCCCTTTCTTCATCTACGGCGGCAGTACAGCCATGGGAATCTCTGCAATCCAATTCGCAAAGCTAGCTGGCGCTACAGTCATTACCACTTGCTCGCCCGCCAACGCGGACTATGTCAAGTCCTTAGGCGCCGATCACGTCCTCGACTACAAGTCCAAAACACTCGTCAACGACATCCTTGATCTATCAGGCGGTCCTCTCCTCCACGTCTTCGATACTTACCCCAATACCACCAGCACCGCCATATCCGCAGCCATCCTCAAACAATCCCCCTCCGCAAAATACATCTCCCTCAATCACGGCCCCGAACACGAAGTCAAACGGCTCAACCCTCACATCACCGCCGAATCTATGCACGGATACTCAGCCACAGGCGATCCGTGGATGTACGAGAATGAGTTTTACGAGGCTGTACCAGCGGATTTCGCATTCCAGAAGAAGTTTGTTAAAGTGGCTGAGAAGTTGTTCGAAGAGGGACTAGTCAAGCCGCCGCGTGTTTTTCTGAATAGAGGGGGGAGTGGCTTAGAGGGGGTTTTGAAGGGACTTGTTGAGAGTAGGGAGGGGAGGGTCAGTGGCGGGAAGCTTGTGTATACAAGGGAGTGAGGATTATTAATCTTGGAGTTTTGGAGGTAGATCTTTGATGATCAGAGTAGCATTGACGTAACATTTAAGGAAAGATTGAGTTTAAAGATCTAAGTATTGAACATTACTAAGCAGCGTATCTACTAAATGGCTAGTCCTGTCGTTGAGCTTGTTCCGCTGTAGGAATGGTGATAATGGTGCATCTGAACCGGTGAAGTCGCAACTGACGTCTCAATGGTCCTTACAATCCCGCTCTGGCTAACACGCCCTTGAAGTTCCATCTCGATAGAGCTATCGCGGTCACCGGCCTTGACATGAGTTGTATTGTTTCCGGGAAATCCGTGGACACCTGAAAGGGCGGCCGATGGCTTCGTTATAGTATTCGTTGCCATGCTTTTTGCATGGTTGGCGCTGTAGTGGCGGTAATAAGTGTTGTCTTTGCCTGTTGCTCCTGATGAACGAACAATCTTTGTGATGAGTTCGGCCATTTTCATCTCGATTTGGAGTTTTAGGAGATAGCAGACTGGATGGAATGAGAGGTAGCTGAACGCTGTTAGCGAGCATCTAGGAAGATGTGGGATATTGGAGCACTTACACCAAGCTACTTGGCAATGACATGAGCCCAACCAGCACGACCTGGAATATGTCAGTTGTTACAAGGGCATCGGGAAATCACTCTACCTACATCTAATGAAAGGGATACGAAAATGAGAAACAGATTCATACGATAAAGAGGGATGTACTTGGTCAATCCATTCTCAATAAGCCTTGACCGAACGAGGTAGATAAAATATGCATTTAAGGCTCCATCAACCAGCGCAAAGATGACTTTCTCACACCTACCCCAGATATTGTTCAGCCAGATCCATTGGTCTTTGATCTGTAGGCGCGCTGGCATCCAGATGATAAAGACGCTGATGTTGACTGCTAAGATGATTGCGAATACGAGCCATTTGAGACGTGCGGCACGGCCAGGGACGACCATCAGAAGTCCCAGTCGGTTTAGTATGATCTGAAGCAGGAACTGGACTTGGAGTGCCCTGAATAATGCTGGCTCATGTTAGATGGTAATAAGCAAGTGAAGCAAGAGACACACCAACAGAAAGGTAGAAGCCGAAGCTGGGTCACAATTAGTAAGAATGAAAACTATAAGGTAGCGGATGTCAAAAACTCACCTTGGATCTATATACTGTCGCTGAAACCCCCAAGCCAAACATCCAAGGACCATACTACTAAACCAAACAGCCCAAATCATCGCGACATAAGCTGTTACACGTCGACATCTCTTCCACGCCCGCCAGCTCTGCTTCGACGCCTTTGCTACCGAAAAGACAGCAACACCTAGAGAAAAGCCCCAGAAGATGCTGGCGATATTCATGTCGACTTCACCAGGAACTTCACGGACATACCTGTCCGGTATTAAAAAACCGTATTGACCCATGTTGAATAGTAATGAATTAAAATAATCGAGAAACACGACCAACGGTGAGAAACGGGCTTGACGAGTGGAATGGGTTTGTTAAATATTGCATGTTTCATTCTTCTTTCCCTGGGCCATGGAACAAACACATGGCTATGGCTCAAACACATCAGAACTCAAAATCCACGTCCAAGCAAATGATCAGCTCCAGGATCTGCCACATTACAACGAGGCTTGTACAAATACCACTAGAACAACTAAAGAATGCACTGTTTCATGTAGTGGGACTTATTCGGATAAAGGTAATTAACAGATCAGGGACAAAAACGGATTATGGCGCTTGGTCTAAGACACTTTTGGTGCGTGGCTTCAGGGTTCCCCCAGATCTGCGGAAGGATTGTGATCGACTGCTTGGAAAACCCTGAACTCGATGGCCTATGGGATTGATTGCCATGTGAAATTCTTACCGGCATTTCGCCCATGACTTTTAGCCAGCTTGGAATAATACGTACGGCAGCATGAAAGATGGCGTTTGTTGGTCGCTGTGATAATTTGGTAATGAAATGAGCCAACCATAATCTGAGTCCAGCTAATTGACATGCTGCAAGGACAAAAGCTTAATGTCGATCATTTCAATGCCAAGGACTTGCAAAAACAGGGAAAGCTTTGATGTTATCTGTTTCAAAATCAGCCCAGTGTCAGTTCCCACGTCTGACCATTTCATGCAGAAGGTCAATTCGATAATGTTAATTATATCACGTTTCAAGAATGAGAACAGGCCAAGTGTCAGATTATGGATATATCACTAAATTATTATAACCAGGATCCATTAGCCCCGCTTGTAAGGAGAGACTTATCACCCATGCTGACTTCATCTAACTCACCGTAATCACCAAAATGTCCTCACCAGAAGAGATCGCAGGGAAATGGCTTCTCAGCCTCTGCAGCCGAGAACCCTCCGCAGAAAGAGACCAGCTCCTCACACACCTCGAGAAAATAAAATTCGATGAATTCTTCACCCTGCATGGTCGATCCCCGGTATTTAAGGAATACCATGTCGAAGCCGTGCGCAGATGTCTAGCCAAAGAACTGAGGGTGGATTATACCCTGGCGCGTGCACTGTTAGAGAAGGATGATGCGGGGGATTTGTTTGTGGGAGAGAGGGATTTGTTGCAGGTTGCGATTAAGAGGGCCAAGGTTGACCCGGGGTATTTGGGTGATGACCCAAAGAAGTCAAATCCCGAGCTTTTGCATATGGTGAAGTTACTTATGGACCATGGGGCGGCGGTGAATTGTTTTGATGATGATGGGTATTCGCCGCTTGTTTACGCCTCTATCTTGGGATATGAGGAGCTCTTCCGTTTTTTGATCAAGTCTGGAGCGGACATTTCGACGGTTCAGGAGCGCAGGCCTCCAGAGCAGCTTGTCAAAAAGCGAAAGTCCGCCAAGGCTGGAGAGACTGTGGATCCTGCAGAAGATGAGCCCAAGGAACAGGTAACCCTTCTTCAAGTTACCCTTGACGCCTTGATCTCCCCCCAAGAGATTGTCGACATGACGTGGGTTGGTTGGCCTCCTGGTGTAAACTTCGACAAACCCTTATGGGATCTTGATATTGAAGCTACCTGGGGCGGCATCATTATGTATTTGCTGGAGCAGGGGCTTTCAGGTCCGAAAGATGATCCGGGGTTAGTAATGATGCTTCATATTGCTTGTCGCAAGGGATCGCTGGAGTTTGTGAAGAAGCTCTTGTCTTATGGTGCTGCTGGTGATGTCGCTGGACCTAGAATGGTTGATGGAGGACAAGGTGAGGGCTCGTCCTTTGGAACAGCGATGCACGCTGCAGCCGCAGGACGCAAGATTGATATCGCTTTGGCCTTGATAGAACATGGCGAAAGTGGAAGCTGTCGTCGACCATGCATCTTTGACTACGGAAGTACAAAGGGAGAGTTGACGCCTGTCCAAGTTGCGATAGCAGCAGATCGCTTTGCAGACGATGAGGCTCTTCTCGAATTCTTGGAAGCGTTCATGGCACACGCGAACGATCTTGAAAGTTCTGACTACCAGGCAGCGCTGAAACATTGCGCACAGAACAATGAGCTTGATGCAGCCAAGCGGCTTCTAAACCGGGGTATACGACTCGAAGAAGTACCAACCTGGGTTTCAGGTGTTGATATGGCGAAATTGCTTGTTTCTTATGGTATCACGCTTGATCCAGGGGCGTTGCAGGAGAAGGCCCTAAAGAGAGGAAGGTTGAATCTCCTGCGCTGGTGCGTAAGCGAATACGGTGCATCACTACCCGATGATCCCAAGTCGTGGGGGCAAATGGTAACGTGGCTTCTCTCATCTGGAGGTATGCACCTTGATCAAGCAAGGTATCTTATCACCGAGTATTCGGGTCCGCATATCGACACGGTTCTTATTTCAAGGCGACGTCTTCATCGTCATAGTCTAAAACCAAGGAAGACGAGTTGGCTCCATACTGCTATCCTGAATGATAACTTGCCGGCTGTTCAGATGCTGTTGGAAGCTGGGGCTGATATTACTTGTCCTGGTTTACCTGTTGATGCACCCACTGCAATGAGGAAAGGTGGTCGAGGGCAATTCGGAGATATGGCGGAGAGGCTTGAGATTGTGGTGAAGTTGGAGGAGAAGCTATCTGGTAATAAGGAGTGGAGTATGCCTTCTTATGAAGAGGCGAGAAAGCGTGTTGTGCAGACAGTGGCGGCTCAGAGGGGAGCTTGGGATGAAAAAATAGAGAGTATGGTCAAAAGCAGACAGGAGGTTCCTTACGCAACTCCGCAGAGAGTGGATGACTCAGTGCCATCTTCTCCTTTGGGAGTCACTTCTTCAATAGACGTGTATCAGCCTCTGAGCAGCAGCAGCTCCTTTCGACTTCTCGAACTCCTCCCATCCAGCAATCGGACAGACCGTCTCGTCGGACGCTTAGTCGACAGCGATATCACGTTTCAACCCGACTACGAAGCCCTCTCATATGTCTGGGGAGACATAACACCTGTCAGATACATCAACCTGGGTGATCAAGATATCTCAATCACACCAAATCTCCACTCAGCACTTATCCACCTACGATCCCTGGATACCGTTCGAACACTTTGGGTCGATGCCTTGTGTATCAACCAGTCCGTCCACGGCGAGCGAAACCAACAAGTACGCATCATGGGTGATATCTACAAATCAGCACGGCAAGTTGTAGTATGGCTCGGCGACGCAGCTGATGATTCTCATCTCGTTTTCCAGCATCTCAACGACGAAAGTATACAGGACTCATTTCCAAACTATGCAACGCCACCGGAAGACAAACGCCGGGCTTGGAGCGCCCTTGTCAAAAGACCTTGGTTCTATCGCACATGGGTGATTCAAGAGATCGCTCTTGCTAAACGAGCTGTTATCATGTGTGGTGAAGACTCCACCGTTTGGAGGAATGTTGATGCGAGTTGGAAACCTGACTTTTCGGGTGGTGGAAAAGAGTTGTCGACGGTGAGAAGCTCGCCTGGACATGAATCTGATCATCCCATTGAGGGATTCGATCCGGATAGGCATGCTTGGAGACTGAGACTCCTCGAATTTGGGAGTGATCCTATGAGTATTCTGAGGTATAGTCGCGTTTGCCAGACTACTGAGATTCGGGATAAGATCTATGGTATTCTGGGTTTGTTTGAACCGGGTTTCATACCCGTTGACTACGATCTCCCGGTAGAGGATATCTTTCGTCAGTTCACACAGGCTGTGATTGTACTCACCAACGATCTTCGCATCCTCAAGCACCTTGGTGTCAAGCGTGTTTATCCCAATCTTCCATCCTGGGTCCCCGATTTCATAGACACTTCGACCAAGAGCCTCCCTGAAAATTCATGGTACGCACCGTATCGCAAAGACGCGGAAGAGAATTACGATGTTCGATGTGCGGATGGAACACGGCTTAGTTTTCCTCGTGCTAGTCTCGGGAGGGAGTATCTCCCAGGATTGGCATTTTCTAAACATGGGAGTTTGACTATCAGGGGAAAGATGGTTGATGCGATTCTTGAGGTTGGCCCTGAACTTGAAGACGGAATTGATCATGCACCGGGAACCGAGAGCTTTTCGAGGGTGTTGAAAGAGTGGGAGACTCTCGCTGCGAGACTGATTCCGGAGTGGAAGGCATCTGAATCTTCAGTTACCGAAGCTTTTGCAGCGACGCTTGCAGCAAGTCATGACTCTGAACTTTTCAGCGTTGGCGTTGGTTTCACACAATGGTATCGACACTGCGGCACAGGTATCCTCGAGTCAACAGATCCATCTATGTTTCTCCGTAATCACGAGTTCTATCTCTGGTGGTTAAGCGTCGGGAAGGAAAAGGAAGATAAAGACGCAAACTCAAGTTCTGAAGAAGAATCTGACAAAGAAGCCGAGGTCATAGGGTATGATCTCAAGGAGTTTTCCGAAAAGTTCACCATTGCAAGCTACGGTCGATGTCTTTTCACGAGTAAGAAGGGGTCTTTAGGACTTGCGAGTCCGAGGGCGAAAGCTGGGGATCGAGTTGTTTACTTCCCTGGTACAGATGAACCGTTTCTTTTGAGGAAGAGAGAGGGCGAGGGGTGGATGTTGGTGAATGATTGTTATTTGTATGGCCTTGATCTAGATATGCTGTTTCATGATGCGGAGCATTTAGTTGAGGATTTTGAGATCTACTGAGGAGTGAGAAGTTAGTTTAGAGTAGCAAGAACATCTTGGGGCAGCCAAATCTCAACCAGAGCTCTAGTCGTGTTCTCCAACGCGTCGTGGCGCGTTGTTCTTCTTCGATGTGTAGAACAGCCACGAAGTGTCGCTGTTCGCAATGGCGTGCCAGCTTGAATGGTGAGGAGATATAGTCTAGTCTCTGAACAAGCGGAGTATCTTCAAAGCCGTCATCTATCCTTCAGAGGCAATCTATATTCCCTGAACTTGGAATGGCTGGTACCCTGGGTTTTATTTCGCCAGTGGCTATTTCATCCTAGCCACTGTCGCTCATCGAATCACAAGGCTAGCAGTCAACGCTACCGTCTGTTTCCGGGCCTCTAGACTAGAGGGACAGTGGCAGAGGATACGTGCCATGCGAGTGGCAGCAGGCTGTCAGATCCACTGCCAACGTTACAGGTCTTGCTTACATGCATCCCTCAACTTCTGACTTTGCTGAGAACTTCTCTCCTCATCACCTTCATCTCGGAAAACCCTGACGCGAGAATGAACCATCACTGAAGGATATCTACCATTCCTCATTCTCTTAACCCAAAAGCTTGTATCCTCAACCATCATCTTGCCTGTTGCCGGTCCTCGTCGAAGGCCCTTTTAAGCTTTCGTCATTATCTCCTCCCCGGCCTCGATTCTCCTTCATAAAAGTCAGGACGCGTCTGACCGCCGCAGCATCAGTCGGCATAACTCATCCCAAAATCCCCTTCCACCGTCTCGCCTACTTTGCCAACCACGTCTCACGATCTAGGAAACGTGAGAAGTAACCACCAGAGTGCCGCGCTGAATATCGCACCATAGCACAACATGCCTGACATTGGGTTCCTGGATCTCCCGGTGGAGATTCAAATCAAGATTATTCAGATGGCGATTCCTCCAATGGTCCTACCAGAACACATCACCACGACCGGAAGCGTGGTGAGTAATGAGCGCGCGGCAACCAACGGTATCATGGCAACATGCCACAAGTTTAGAAGCCTCCTTCTCAAAGCTCGACCCCTTGTCGGCCAAAACCCCTACACCGGTCAACTATTCACGTTTGACCCTGAACGCGACACCCTTTTGGTCAAAGGGATGAACTTGCCGGCCTTTCTCTCATGTACTCAGAAACCGAACCATCACACCATTCGCCGCCTGATGACCTTTTCCAAATTTCCAGTGCTCCCTCCTGAACAGGACTATAGCGGGCGGGTTTCGGAGCATCATGGGGGTTGGCTGCTTAGGACAGTACCGACATGGGCCACCAATGACTCAGATTATGGCTCAATTTATAACTGGTATTGGCGAATTATACCATTCGAAACAAGCCTTCCCGTCGCCCGAGATGTCGGTTCACTGCAAGAGATGATTGTTGTTGTACAGAATGCTCCTGGTTGGCACATACCTTCATTTCAGCAGTACGGCCCAGAGCCGGAACCGCAGCGAACTGACCCAGTATTGGGGAATCTCAACCACCCTGTTCACCATGTGGGGATCCGCTGGACCCATCCTGAGACAGACCACAGCTCGTATCGAGTCCCAATGATTGGGCTCCATGGATACAGCAAGACTTCCCGCCGCCGACGCAACCAGGAGTATGCTATGGGCGGGCAGTGGGCGGGGTTTCGTTACGATATCAACACCCAGGAGGTCGAATTTCGACCACTCACCTGGGATGAAGTCGAGCACATTGTGCACCGACAGCAGCAGCCACAGCACGGTCGAAGGCTTCCGGATGACCAGGACCCCGAATTTGTGGCTCGGATTTAGATTGTTCGAGACCAAAATGAGCTTCCCGGTGGTGCCTATGGATGGGTAAAGGTTGAGGAGTATGACAGGGACACGGATAAACCTTGGGTTGGAGAACTGATGACAACATGGAACATGGTTCGGGCCACACTCAATCGCCGTGATACCAGTTCCTGCCAGTATAAGGTTGGTCTCCAATTGATCGATTGAAATGTCTTTGAGTGTGACCGTAGGTTTCACAGTATGTCGAGAGTCTTTCGCGATATAAGGCTGCTGGGGAAGTGCCGAATGGCAAGGACTACGGAAGGAGATCAGGGCATGGATACTGTGAGACTTGATGAGATTGCGGAGTTGGTGGAAAGGAGAGTGGACATGTACATATCTTTCATTGAGCCAATGAGAGACTATAGCCCTTCAACGCTGGGAATGCATTACTGCTCTAGACTCGCATTAGTCTTTGTAATGGCTCGCACCTCATGGGGGGATAGCAACGATGATGAAATGTGGGAAAAGTAGCCTGCAATGATACTTTTATGGATCTCAAGAGGATGGGGAGATTTGTGAGAGGAGGAAGACGGAAGCAAAGAGGAAAGATAGGTACTTATATCAATCGATAGTATTGATAGCAATACGTAACCTTTTTTCATTGCTCGCGACAATATTGCCATCGATACGAGTCAGGCCCTGCTCGTGGACGATGGCGTTGATGCTGGTTTAAGACCGTTAAGCCGAGTTGGAGACAAATGTTACTACCGTCAACAAGCACGTCAATAACCTTTCTGATTTCTGGAGAGACACGATTAGAAATAGTCCTTTAAGAAATACAATCTCTTAGTAAAGTGGTGCATTATAGACCATCGCTTAATACTGAGGGTCTCCTGCGACGGGGAGGAAGAGACGCTACTCAAATACATCACCAGCCAATCTTATGCGACCAGACACTGCAAGACATCATGATTGGTTGCCATGGCTCTTCTTCCCCTTCGTTGTAGCGCCAGCGTGATTATCCTGGCAGATCGTGGGTAAAGACCAGGTAATACGACATGATCCTTTAGAAAGTTTCTTCAACCCAGACATGATTTGAGGATATCCTTGAATTATATTTCAGGCCTACTTGCACTAATGGAAACGAGCCTCACGGGGCGTGAAATTACCGCAGCGAGACACCTGGCAGGACCGAGTCTTCGCCAGTTGTCATCACGGCCAAATACAGAGCAGCCTGGCCAATCCCTCATCACTACTACTCAGGATGGCCCCAAGGACTACCACATCCTCGCAAAAATTCCAGGACCTTCCCGCCGCCTCACCCTTCGCAACACCGAGATCACCCTCGACCAAGCCCGCCACGCCACCATCGTCACGGCCGAAGCGGCCCTCCAGGCCATTCGCCGAGGCTCCGAGATGCTGGACTGAGAGTCTCCGGCCTCAGTAGCACTTGGAAGTGCCATTTAACCGTTCATGGAGTAGTGATTCAACGGTGACAGTAGGCCAGATAGTGCCTTCAAAGTCCAATTCTTTGGTCGCTTGGGCCCCATGTCGTGTCTTGTCTGGGATCCAAATGAGTCTGTAAACATGACTGTGAAGAGGATTCTTTGGACTTTATTCGTCCACTGATCTTGAGTTCTATAAAGATGCGATTCTTGAAAGAGCCCTTTTGAACATAAAGCTTCATAGTTGACAAACTAACGACGTGACTCAGTAAGTAGTCCAAGTTGTTTACTATCTGCCTCAGGTCAATGATTAAAGCTCTGGTGGCATTTTTGCTCAACTCTTCATGTGAATTCAGCTACCAGTATCCTCAAATCTAGACTAATGCCCAGCTCACCTTTGAGTGATGGGCTGCGAAGATCTATGCTATCACAAGATTCATACAACCGTGCCAGTGAAGAATCCATACAAAAAACACTATCAAATTCCCAAATCGCAACCCAAACGCCAACACACTTACCGTTACCTCCCGTCGGTGAGTCTGCTTGGTACATGGAGGACATCTGACTCTGACTCAGCCCAAAGCTCCTCTCCCAGTTTCTCCAAAGCATTCATTCGATGTCTGTGTATTCCAACAGTCAATGTTGTCCTCTTTCACTCACGTTCCGACGATGACATGCCCCTGAGATCCCCTCAGTCCATCTTGAGATAGTAGCGGTTCTCCTGGTGTCGGCGAAGAAGTGTAGCCCGCACCATCTTCTAGGTGGCGGCGAGCTCCGTCACCCACGGCTCATCACCATCTTCAGGCTCCTTTACCTCCAACCAGCAGTGATGTGGCTCGTTCTGGGGCTCTACTCCCTCCCGGATAATCCAAACTTTGCCGATGAACTGGGGATCAGTTCCCCCAGGAAGTGGTCGACCAACCACGAAATTATTATACCCCAGACGATGAATGATTGGCTCGACCTCGTGCCAGGCAAGTGGTGTGAACTCAACCTTCTGAGTCTGAGGATAGTAGCGGAACCCGGCCCATTTGCCGCCCAGGGAGCGAGTACCACGGCTGTAGCCATGTAAGCCGATATATGGCCTATCCTGTGGTAGCATGGATATGTCATGCTGATTGACATGCGGGGCTATGTCTTCGGGCTGGGATATGAGACAGCCATGGTTTGTAGAGAAATTGGTGTACGGCAAGTCCCAAGGGAGTCCACTGTCGGCTTCGATGCCTCTTGCCTGGAAGTATCGAGCCGCCTCGCGATCGTGAAGCCCAACGCGGTTGAGGCCCCACGACTCACCATTGTCGCGAGGGGCGACAACATCCGGACCTTCCATCTGGAAACCGGAAATATGCCACGACCGGCTCATCTGTTCTACCGACACTGTAGCCTCCTCCAGGAGAGGAAAGCGAGAGAACATAGGGAGTTCAGTCTCAAATGGAACATCCAACCATCGGCGGACGTTTGCATCGGTTTGTGCGTGAATGCTTCGGGAAACTATGCAAGTTAGCGATTGTTCATTGAACTTTCTATCAAGACTTACTGAAACCGCCCGGGTCCATTGATGGGTCCTGCATCGGCCATGTACTATGGGCGATCAGTCGACGAATGGGAAGGGCGTTGTCGTCAATCTCATAATTGGCCTCCTTCATGGACTTGATCCATGAGTTGTTGGAGGTCGTCATTGGAAGAGCCATCCAGAATACCACCAGGGTATCCCGCTTTGTATCCATGGCAAATTCGATTGTCTCATCACGGAGGTTAATGGCCGTGATTGGGTGAACTATGTCCATAAGCCCCTTGACCTCTTTTGAGACATAGATGAGGTTCTCTGTTGCGATGGCCGTGGCTCGCGAGATGATTTGGTCATCTAGAACGTCTGCCGGGCTAGTGATTGGCGGGACCACATAGCGCAGGATCTGAACCTTGATCTCCCGCGGGAGTCGAGAAAAGAGGAACGACATCTTAGAGAGTAAGTATTAGATGGTGGGACAAGATATAATATGGTGTGGACATGGTGTCAAGTTAAATGGATGAAGGGCGATTACTTACAGTGATGCGGACGAGACGTCTTCGTGGGTCGTGGTGTTAATATCGGTGTCGGTGTAAAGATTATAAGGCCGAATCGTAGGCCAAATGAGTTGCTGGAGCACGTATGGATGTGAGATTCTGGGATATGTAGATAGGGAGAAGGTTGAAAGTTTTCAGAAGTCTGTATCGACTGCGTGGCCAGAAGGGGAAAAGGTGTTTGTCGCAACGAGGAAGATGTTATGTCTTCGGTAGACTATGATGGGCGTCTTCAGCGTTGAGATGTTGGTGGAAGGATATGGTTGTAAATGTCCTGGGATGATGTTGGACCGTTGGTGTTTGGAGGAAGAAGGAAGAAGAGTTGATCGGATGCGAAGCATGAATGAAGAAAGGACCCAATAAGTGGGCCAAGGCAAAGTGAAATTTGCTATCGCGAGACGCCTGAAGATGCCACTGCTACTAGCAGTGGCTTGAGTGTTTGTGTGCCTGGTGGTGGGTGAAGCGGCCAGTGGAAGGGAACAGTAGTGCGCTGGGCTGCCAGTCCCATGAGCCGTCTAGGCACCTTTGATGAGGAACACCCAGCATGTGAGATAACCAGAAATTGATTTTGGAGACAGGATTAATACGGCCCATGACATGAGGAGGCATGATAGTGATATTCACTTGGAGTGGCAAGTTCCTTGAAACTTAGCACTTAACAGCTCATCCGTGGGATCTGATGGTAGTGCAGGCCTGAACAGCAGTCGGGAGCATTTATATGAGTATTGTGGTGAAGAACATACGATATAGCGTCTTATACTTCAATTCTTCTGTATTGTAGGTAGTCCCAGAGGTAGGACAAATGACGAACTCGATCATCATCAATCTTCTCATTTTCTCACATAGCGAACCATCCTATCAACCTAACATCTCCTTCCACTTCAACTTTGTTCAGCCTCTTCTTTCTGCTCTTGTCCAGCCGCCTGTGAACCCCCATGCCGCATTCTTCCCGTCCTTTGTCTCAACCAGTTAACGTCATATCAACTTCAACAGATCTACCAGACTAACAACCAAGTACGCGAGGACTAGCTTCTATCACTAACATACCGGCGCAATTGCGACGGCCCGATCACCATGTTCCGAGTTCGCCAGGAACACGAAAGCCCTGATCGATATCCCTCGAACCTATGCCAATACGCAGTTCACACAGGCATTGACTTTCGCGCAGGCCTTCCCTTACCAGAATCCACCCACCAGAAGACCTGACCAAGTCTCTGTGAAGGCGTCCCTCGAACCAATCTCTCCAACAGGTACACCACTCGGCATTCCTCAATTGCGATTCCAATTGCCAAAGTATAATCAGCCATCTAATCCGGTATGGTGTAGTGGCTAACATTTCGCGCTCTCATAACCTGAGGGATCAGTACCGCGGAGCCCAGGGTTCGATTCCCTGTACCGGAGTTTCCTTTTGTCGTCGCACGCAATCTTTTTATCTGTACAACTTGCAATTATATCATTTTTGCTCTTGACGTTGACCTAGTATGGTTGGTGTTGCAACCGGTGAATTAATTCGTTCTCATAGGACAACATGCATGTCAAATGAGGAGGCAGATGATTGTGTGAAGCAGTCTGATATTGCGAAAGAGACCAAGTATTGACATATCTACTCTACCATCTCTATATCCTTCGTTTCCTGCTCAAATCATACGATTCATTCCAGCTCTGGTCCAGCTCCAAGTTGTCATTCTATCCAATGTCTCTTAGTAGACATAAAAGACCTCAGTCTCGCTATCCTGAGCACGAAGCTTCTGGTTTCGCCTCTTAAGAATAATCTTAGCAACCCAAGCAAGAGCAGCAGTACCAATACTGAAACCAGCACTGCTCGACATGGCAATAGCATATCTGGGCTCATCGCTAGAAGGCCAGAGATAAGGAGTCCAGATGAAGCTAATGTTCATGATCATGGTAACCATGCTGATAGCAACAGCCTTCTTCTCCTTGGTCTGACCGCAAACAGAGCCGCACCATCCGAGGATGAGACTGTTGACGGCGTAGGTTCCGATGGTGAAGATGACCATGCAGACGTAGCGACCGGCTGTGTTGAGGGTAGCAGCGGCGGCGGCGAATCCAATGACTGCGACGGTCTTGGAGGCGGTGATGTGCCAGGTTCTTTCGTTGTATTTTCCTGACATCCATGAGACGAGGATTGTGCTGGCGCCGGCGATGAGGTAGGGTGGGCATGTGAGGACGAGAGTGATGGTGGTGTTGAAGCCGAGGGTCTTGACGACAGTGGGGAACTAATCTGTTAGCACTTGAACCAAAGTCAAGGGAGTGAAATACTTACAAAGTTCTTGAAACCGTTGGCAGCCAAGTGAAGATGAGCCATGGCACAAAAGATCCAAACCATAGGATCCTTGGCAGCCTGCTGAAGACCCTTCCAGGTGCTAGTCTCGCCCTTGTTACCCACAGTATCAAGTTCCATACGGTTATGCGCCAGCTGTCTCTCCTCCTCGGTCAACCATCTAGTAGTGAGAGGGAAGTCAGGCAGGACAAAGTAGCCAATAACAGCAATCACAAAAGTAACAGCACCCTGAAGGATGAAGAGCCACTTCCAACCAGCAATGCCAGCGACGTCATCAAGACCGTGGAAGATACCAGCAGCAATAAGACCAGCGAATGCAGTGGCGAGGATGTTTCCGGTGTAGAGGATCGCAATGCGAGTTGCGACTTCTTTGCGGGTGTAGAAGATGGAGAGGAGATAGACGGCGCCGGGGTAGTAGGGTGCTTCGGTAAGACCGAGGAAGAAGCGGGTTAGGAGGAGACCCTTGAAGTCTTTTGCGACGGCGGTGAGGGCGCTGACGACGGCCCAGAGCATCATCATGATACCCTGATGGTGTTAGTTGAGGATTTTGGGGGAGAAGAGAGGGAGCTTACCATGTAGCGAGAGGGGCGGGTTCGGGTGAGGAACATGTTGGAGGGGATTTGGCCGAGGATGTAACCGACGAAGAGGATAGAAACACAGGTTTGGTACTCTGCATATTGTTAGTCAAGAATTGAAGACGTGAAAGTTAGACTTACCAGTTCCCTTAAGGTTAAGATCCTCCTCAAGATCATTCAGACGAGCAAGAGCAATAGCATTGCGATCAAGATAGTTGAGCCAATACATACTCCAAAGCATAGGCTAACTCGTCAGCACACTTATCATCTTTGTACCAGTGATCAGTTACTCACCATCATCCATCGATCAAGCTTCTTCACAAGAGCAATCTCCTTAGGATCAGTCTTCTCATGGGCACCAGAGTAATCAATCTTCTCAACCTGAGGGATTGCTTTCTCAGGATATTCATTCTGAAAGATCTGGGGCTCGACGTCCCGGCTGATGTCGACTTTCTCGTCACGTTGAGCCATGATGAATTATTCAACGTAGGAAGATTTAAGATTGAAGAGGTGGTTGGGTAGTCAAAGCGATCGACTGCCTTGATGAGAACAAAATACTGGGAGCAGGCCAGAGTGTTATATAGACATCTTGACAGTAGCTCAAAACCTGGGGATAAAGTGACAGCAGTGATCATCCCCCAAGTTCCCCATGGCCTTGACCATCCCCCGCATTGCGGGGTGCAGAGGAGGAGTCGGCAATGCCGTAGACATTCGGAGGGCAGATCTGGGAAGTAGAGATTAAGTTGGTCTAGACCGAATAGCCCGTGTGGTACCACGTATGGAACCTCGCCAAGAACTTGGGGTAGTACTCGTCTTGCGAAAACAGGGATGACTAGCTGACAACGGTGTCATGGTGTTGTGTGTCTTTGATCAACAGATGGTCTGCGCTTCTGGTGTACGAGCAGGCTTATCACGACGCTAGAAAACGGTGCCAAGATGAGTTAAACTGTTATGGAAAGTAGTTCCGAGCGTTTAACAGGTTGGACTCATACGAGAGAGTATTAAGCTTTGGGTATTCAGCTAGAGAATGCTTCTTTTCTTCCAGAAGAATGGTCAACTTGAGTGGCGTTATCATCACGAGCCCGTTAGTCCCATCTCTCATTGGAGAATATCGCGCTGCACTGCCTCCCTTCAAACCTCCAAAACAGACGAGGACTCCAAGTCGGTTTCCCCACTGCGGGATTTCCAGAACTGTACGCCCGCAGCAACAAGGCCATACCGAACAGGGAAGGAGATTAAGCTTAACGATTAAGGTTGCGGAGTAGACATGGGGTAGCAAGCAGGGATACAGAAGTGAATACCGTTCCCCCGCGTCATTGTAGCTCACGATGAGAGTAAGCTGTTAGATGATTGTTTTGGTAATGTGTATTAATGTGTATCGTTTGCATGATTCATCAAGCGTTGGCCAAGAGTGAGGGTGGTAATTGTCTCCCCATGTTGGAGGGAGACTGGCTTGGCTACTCCGCTGAGTACTTGGCTGCCTCCGCACCCTTTTGGCCAAGGAGAGGAGTCACCTTGGCTATTCTCCTCACTATTGACATCACTCCAAGAGATAACATCATTATAAGTGAATCGTCGATTGACCATTCAACTTCACCAAGATTGCACTATCAAACTTACGCAGTGACAATAATCCAGCTACCTGAAATACGGCATGTGGCTTGCTCAATGAAACCATAAGCCCATGTCTCTCACTCACAACATCAACAGGGATGTGCGAGAGATTGGGTCACGAATACCACCCTAATCCCTCGTACCAACTCGGAGCCTAGAAATTTGGAGCATTGCATCACAACATCGTAGCCCTGTATCAGCAGCTCCTCTTGGCGAGTCCAGACCGTTCCGAAGATTCCCGCTCTAGTCCAATAACTAGAGTGTGATATCTGCGGGGGGATCTTGCCCGCATCTTCGCTGAGGGGGTTGGGGGCTGTTTACTCCGCGAACTTTGCACTAGCACGCACTCCACCAACGATGCTCCGCCACGATTACAATCAGTAATTACCCAGTGATACGCCGGTAAAATGATGTAGGGTTGGCGCTGATCTGGCTGCTACTGCAACCTAGTGTTTCTAGAAGACTTACCGCTCCTCAATCATGCATTCTAGTCATGCATGTGCTTAACCCTATTCAGACAACATTCCTGTAGCCGCCTGCACTATCGACTCGACGCCCGCTATTCATACTTCAGCGTCAAATGATAGGTTCAAGATAACCCGCTTCCCGGATTCTTTTCGAAGGGATCTCCCACTTGCCGTCTTCTCGAAGGATTCACCGCTTGATGATTGGTGTCTTACAGATCTGCACCAACCTCTAACATCCCCAAATGCGCTGTGACGTTGTTCCACTTTACGGAGTTGGTTCTTTCTGGGGTTTAGTCTTGGCTTGTTCTAAATATCAGCTATTTCAGCTAGATCGGGGAGTGATTGACTTCCCCGCAAGGTGTCTCACTGTGATAACTGGGGATGATGAGCACAGACAGTTTACTAACGGTGTTTCTAAGCGAGGGCTTCGGTGCAATTACTGGATTGGTTTGAGTATGTTGTTGGTTTGGACTTCGGATGCTTACGGGTACTCGTATTCTTGGCACGTCATCCTTGAGACAGAACTCTATTGTTCCAGGGTTGAAAGACGCAATGCGACCTTGGAGAAATGTACATTTCCGTAGGTGATTTTTTGGAAGGTGCTTGGAATGTTCTGTGTTCCTATTTCATCCGAATGAGGCTCTGTAGTCAGATTCAATATCGTATAGCGTGAATGTCGCTTGGCCTTTTGGAGACAAGAATCTCGGGGGCTACTATTGGGATCCCGTCACTGCTATGGGGGTTCAGCTCTTGTGGTCCGGATGGGGTCGGAGCCAAGGCCAAGAAGCAATGGGAGATAGCGCCAACAGTAATGCATGTTATCACATATGAAGTTGGGGAATCAAAGCTTGGCTTGAACTTGGGGAAGTTTGCTTTCCTACTCTTCCCGATGGGTTCTATTTGGCCTCATACTCCGTTGGATGGTATGATAGGCTGGCGTCGTTTCATGTCTTATCAGACCTCTTTTTGGTTGAGATGAAGATAATGATACGGCTCAGTATTCCGATCATCTTACTTGCCAAGGCAAAGCCTGGTCGGAAGGCACTTTGATATGGAAACTCCGATCATCTGTTAGACAGATAGGGGAGTCAGAAAGCCCTGAGGAACTAGATTCAAAGAGACTGTTGACGTTTGGTGGTCTCTGGGGACAGAAAACGTGAGACTGGCCTCCACCGAAATCTAGCGATCTACGACCAATCTAAATCTCAAGTTTTGTGTCCGCCCCTAGGGTGGTAGCTCAACTTGGAAGCCTTCGCGTCTGACGATGTACATCAATGGGGCATATGCAAAGCGGTTGCATCCGAGATCGTCCACCAGTGGATAGACGTCGTGCGCGTTACCTCGTTTTTTCAGATTTCATCTCCCCAATTCAGGTTTTCCTCATTCAAGTCTCTCATTATAAATACAACGAGCTTCGCGTCCCTGGGAGTCGGATATCTTCAGCACTCGAAGACACTTCACATCATCCAAAGGAAGAGGCTCCTCAACTCAAACATCTTTCAAGTACCATCGGCTCAGTACTACCTCTCACAATACCCAGGTTTGAGTGGAAGACTCGCTAGGCTTACTCGAGTGGCGCTGCCTAATGTGAGTGCCATGTTCGAGACCTCGAGCTGAGATGTCGAAGCAAGATATGTTCCCCTCCAAGTTACAGCTCATTCAGGACTTGGATCCCATGCAAGCCACAAAGTCTTCTCTGCCCTCACTTTGATTCATGGTGGGATGGTGGGTGCCGGCTGCCCGTCGGCATGTGATGGTGTTCAGGGGCTACTTTGCGACAGAATGTGCTTCAACACTACTAACGAGCAACTTTTCATGCTATAGAATCCTGGAGTTAATATTGCAGCTATCTTGCTTAGATATCAGTTCCATTGTGTCTGGAAGCCAGTATCTTGAAATGGTAGCATGAGTCTCGTCAAGTCACAACGACCAGGGGCTCCGTGTCGAAGTCGCCCTCGCCGACATTCATGACGTTCGCGAGGCACTCTCACCATCTATAGCAGCTAGCCTAGAAAGATTGGTTCTATCAGTGCATTTGCCCCATGCCGAGTGGCTTGTGACCGTCCGAGATGCTTAGACCTTGTCATCGTAGGGGGTCAGCAACCCTCCCTTGTAGAGAGCTAAGTGTTTGACCACTCCTGCTCATTGGGTGTTAAGAGGTCTCTGCAGTCGCCCAAACCAGGTTCCATGATATGATCTTCGACCTAGTGACAGTAGTGTAGTGTTCAGTCGCCGTGAGTGGTTGTTCTAGACCGGTTGTCCTGTTCAGGGGGCCTGGACACGTCTAGTCCAACTCGCCACGACGCTCGGCTCGCCTCTCAAGTGTGTGAAGGTGTGCAAGAAAGTTCATCCCCTATTTCCATTATCTCAATTTCTTACTCTTATCCTGTTTGCCATTGACACTGTCTGATAGCGCTCTCTCAACGCCCGCTAGGGCCGCTGCTTTAACATCACACACTAAACACACCATCACTTTTTGGGGCACCTTGTTGGCCAATCGACGCGGTCAATCAAGTTCCATCTACCCGTATACAGTTGCGTGACCATCTTGCCAACAGTATGCCGATTTCTAGACATACTAAGGAAACTGCTGTCGCGCCATAGCAACCGCTGTGATAAACTTGGTGCTCGATACAAAAACACACTTATCCGGAGGGTTCATACTTTTGGCGAGGTCCATATGACGTGAACTCACGACCCCATACTGCCAAGCTAGCCCATCTTCCATTTTGAACAAGGGTCATCCTGATGCTCCCGACTGGCAATCTGCATCAGTCAGCAGCCGGTCGCCGACAATATCGCAAGAGATATAGCATTTCTCCACGGATATTCCATCCTGCCGTAGAGGTTTTCCCTTATCATATGGGAATTTATTGGGAAATCCCACGTGTGACTATTTAATATTCGTAAGCATTCTTTTGTCCTGTTCTCTTTTGTACTTACGAAGAGTTGCTTGTTCATCAGCGTCTTTGTATCAAAGTCTTTTACCCCGAGGTACCCATGTTTCTCACCCATTCGATCCGCGAGAATTAAATAGCCCAATCGTTCCAGAGTGTATATTGTATTCTCGTAGATGCATCTATAGGCCTTTTATGACATTCAAAGCTATTCAGAATGATGACGTCCGTCGCGTACGATGATCCTCCCCTCGGACCTTCAAAAAAGTTGGATTCGAATTGAATACTGTCGGCCACTTTTTCCCCAAGGCAGTGTCTTGCTATCAAGACATGTCGGGGACCAACTAAAGATCCACTACACGATCTAGGGTTAGAGTTCGCAAAGGAATTTGCACCCAGGAGGATCCTCCCGAAGGAATAGGCGGGATAATGTTTGTTATCCCATATATGCCTGTCGTCTTTTATGAAGCCTGGTAGTTTGCTGAAGTCTGGCATGTTGCGGAATTCTGGTATGTCGCCGGAGTCTGGTAGGTTGCGCCGTTGGCGTGGTCGATGTGGAGGGACGGGTTTGCCGGCGAAACTGTCGAGTTGGTGCCTTGGGACAAGGTGGACTCTTGGGATAGGGCCGACTTGGATGCCTCTAGGCGGGTGAGTTTCTACGACTAATTGGTTTGCGGTGGTTGCTGGAGGTGCTAGAGGTGCTGGAATTATGTGAGGCGGTACAGGAGGCGGTGGTCGGGGGCTGCGAGCGTGAATTGTGTTGTCGTCTGGGACAGGTGTCGCGAATACTCGGTTGCCGAGGACCAAGATGGAGATCTTGAACAAGTTGAAAGTCACCATTTTGTAGGATCGTCCTTGGATGGAGGGGACAGTTTGGTGGCAATTCTTTCAATTGGCGAGCACATATATACTTATTCTTTCGGGAATTGAGTTATGGCGTTTTCGAACTTATGTTGCTATGCATCGTACATATTGGAGTTGTGAACCTTGTATTTATATGCCCGTCATACATACATACATACTCGCCAACGAAGCCCTGAGTATATCACGAGCAAGCAAGGCCCTCAAAATAAGTTAAGTAAACCCTATCGATATCTCGGCAAAATAGGTATAGGCCTCATGGTGACGGATACACGCGATAGTCTTACTACTTGCAAGAATTCTGACAGAACTGCAATTTGTTCAGTCTGCCGGTTCACCGTTGTGTTGGGCACATGTGAGTTTGAGATACCCTTTCAAACCGAGAACCGTTTTCCAATTAAGGACACTTTACCAGTGCCCCGTCTCCCGTGCAGCTGCTTCCCGTTCCTTTCACGACCGCGTGCTTCGTCAATCCTGCGACTCAATTACACGGGGCGAAGACAAGCTTTCAGCCACAGGTCTCAGCTGCAAATAGCACAGTCTATAGTAAGCCAAAACTTCCTAGGTGTAAGAACTAGAAGCTAAAACCCCTCTTCGCCCCGGATGATCCATGGATTATAATTCACTTGTCGCGCCGTTAATGAATAACAGGTTTCATACCAGTTCATGAACTCAAGTTCGTTCTGGGCATCCGTTTCTTGATTAGGTCAGTATCACGATACTCTTTCGCAGTCCAGAATAGTTTACAGCCAGAGGACTTTCCAGAGGAGTGACAACGTCCTCAATGGAACGAGCACTGAACCAAGAAAGGTTCACTTTAATCTCTGGAAAGCTTACATCGTACTCTTCACATAAAGTTTTTAAGCCATGCCTGATATTTGAAACTATACAGCACGTGAGCCCGAAAGCGACGTGAGTTGAGATAGTTTCTGGGTTAGGCAGGACATCTTAGTCACGACTCTCTGGCTTTCTGCCAAGCATTTCCAAGCTTATCAGAGGACACTATCACTTCTTTTCAAGCTCAATACTTCATTTCAATAGCTTAATTATGGAATTAGCTGCTTAGAGCTCCTTTAGCTCGTTGGCATAGCCAGAGCATTTTGTTTGGCATATTTCTCCTCCTCACCCTCTGTGTCCCCTTCACTCCTTCATTATAACCTCAGCGTCCTGGAGGTGCTTGAGGAGATCAGCAGGTCCCGTATCTGACTTCGCTTGGACGTTGCAAATTGGCCATGGTGAGGCATTTCTATAATACTTAAACGTCACACCATCGGGATAAATAGCCTCCACAGCTCTCTCAAAAGCACTCTCGTCTTCAATAAGTCGTAAGGGGATGTCGTGCATCTGAGATCCATAAGTCGCTTGAGAAGACATTGTTGGATAGTTGTTTAATTGAAAGGTATTTTAGGTAAGTATCTATGGTTTCGATGAGTCGTAATGTTGTTTGTTGTCGTTCTCTTCTGCTCGTACATCTATTCCATTTATAGGCGTCCATGGAGGTGTGTGGTGGCTTCACTGTTACTGGAACAGACACTTGTCACAGCCAACGGGGGGCGTGATTATCAGTCCTCTGTCTGTGACAACCTTCAGATTGTAGTCGTTCCACTGCTGATCCATCAGGCACATTGTCGCGCTTCCTAGAGCCGTGATTATCGGTCCCTCCACTTCTTGAGAGTGAATAGTTTCATGATAATTTTTCAGCTAATATGAGTCTCAGGACTTGTGTGACTACTCCTCGTGTGGCTTCTGTAGTAGATTCACTTAATCGGGTAAGACATGAGTGCGTTTTAAAACGTGTTGGACATACCTACGCGGCAAACACTTTTCGTTGAAGTAGCATTCACAGCTCTGGCACCTATGGTTATCTCTCCACACAAAACATCACCACTTCGCCTTCACTTGCAGCCCAACTGAAGTTCTTTTTTCTGATTAGATGCAGCTTTATAGGGCGATAGAACTCGTTCCTGGCCTTCCATCATGACACTCCCTCGCTATTGTCTCTTTCCCTCCTTGCCCCCTTCTCTCACTCCAACATAACGAGTTTAAGTTTCTGGAGTTCTTTCAGCAGATTAAAATCCTCTGAATTCTTAAGCACAAGTCCCTCTATCTTAAAAAGTTCCCCAGCCTGGGTCTTTGTCATTACTACTCCACCAGGAAAGAAGCTGGGCAACTTCTCTGTCAAAGCTTTTTCTTTTTCTTTTTCAACGAGATGGCAAGGGATGTACTTGGTACATTTATTGTATTCATCGTTGTTTCCGATAGTAGAGTCTCGAGACATTTTGCCTGCGGGGGATATAGTTTTGGGTATTTGCAGTGTAATTGTTCAATTGATGTGTGATCACGTTTTCTTCTTGTTTGGCCAGTCACTCAACCGACTGATCGCCTGTATCTATAGTCAATACGCTGTGCTTGTGGTGTTGTCACTGACGTTGCAACAAGCACATTGTCACGATCCCTAGGGCGTGAACATCAGCCTCTTTAATTGTTTAGTGAATCGTCTTTCGGTTCACTAGCCCAGAAACTTCTCTACCCATTCCCGGAGGTTCATTCAAGATACGCATACGTGCTCTATACACAACCCTTTACAATTATCACTCGCTCCTTCGTTCTCGCTCATTACAACCCCATAACTTCTTGGGGGTTACTAGGTCAGTGCTTTAAACATAGTGCGCTTTCACGCATCTCTATTGCTCGGAGCTCTTCCGATCTCCACTGCTTCTCTCAACTCAACCTTGAAGACACTAAAACTTCAGATTACAGCTGTACTAATTGTACATTTGCTTAGGTAAATTCAGCTGTGTAGGGCTATGTAAAGTCAACTGTAGAAAATAACATATTCTCTCCTACTATGGCCTGCGAGCCTTGTTGTTGCCTTCCCCCTCCCCTTCCCCCCTTTCTCAATCCCGTAAAACATATTCACCGTCCATGAGATATTTTTGCAGGTTTATATTGTCGGGACTGTCTCTAAGCCCGATAACTTTGTAATGTGCTGTATGATCTTGGGTTTCCTTCTCAAATGTGATATCAATTCCACCAGGGAAAAATTCCTTCAATCCTTTCTCCAGTTTAGAGTAGTCGTCGACAAAACATTCTGGGATATACCTTGTAAACTTGTGCCATATTGTGTTGTCTCCTAACTTGGATTCTGCAGTCATTCTTACTGTATAGCGATTTCAATAGCTGTGCGTTTCATGTAGGTAGTTGTACATCGTTGTTTCATCTATTTATGTGTTATTTATAGCCTGTGGCTGTGAGCTTACAATCACCCCACAGAACCTTACTCTCAACTTTTCTCTCTATGTAGGACATACTGTGTCTGTGATAGTTTCAGTGCTGTTCTCAATGACAAGTTGTCACGACCCTTGGGAGACATGGTCATCACTGTCCCGGAGCTTCGTAAGCGTGAAGAGCTCAGCGTATCCAAGACCAAGTGAACTTTATCCTTTCGTCAGATTTTCAGAACTAAAGTCGCTGCATTTCACTCTGGCAGCGCCTGGTGTAAAGCTTGAACATCTCACGGCATTCCTTCACTCTTATTATTCCTAAAGTCTTAAATTCGGTGGTTCCTCATAAGTAAGTATGGGTAGTTCAGTATTAATTGGTATCCCAAAATAGCATTAGTTGTAAGAGCCTCTTCCTTCAATACAACACTGGGTATTCCATTGTGCGTCGCATTCCTCTCAGCCCTGAAGAATGACACCATCATCTTGGAGCTTTCTCTGCAGGTCGGCTGGCTCCGTGGATTTCGCAAGCGCAGTAACATGGCAGGTGTCGGGGCTGTACTTGTAATTGACCTTGAACCCGAGAGGATAAATTCCTCTCAAGGCAGCTTCAAATCTTTTCCTGTCGTTGATGAGGTCAAGTTCGATGTTGTGGTCACAGGACCACTCAGCAGCTCCCTGTTCGGTCTTGGAACAAGATCCAGAAGGCATGGTTATGTCTTTAGTGTAGACGTTGGTTGTATGTCGAAGGTTTGTTGATGTTAAGGTTTTTGGCTTGGGAAATATTCGAGGTTTTATGTCTATTTATACTTGATCGCTTAGTCCATTTCGATTCATCATCTATGCGCTGGGTCGGGCATCACCATGCTGTGGGGATGTGATCGTCAACTGCATCACTTTTATACCGTGACTATACTCTCAAGGCAGTCATCAGTACCTCTTTGTCTCCAAGTAGATGCAGTTAAGGATTTTCAGGGACTGTACCAAGCTCCAGTGATCGACGTGAAGATGTCCACTTGACCACAAACAGCGGCCCATTCACAGAAGCTATTGAGGTTATGAGGACCGCCAACATATTTTCTCCGCTGAAAGACCGTTATGGCCTGATTTCCTGAGGGAGCTCCAAGCATTTCAGACATTCGCTACTGCTATCTGGAAGCCCCATCGTTGCTCAACTGATGGCTGGCATATGTCAATTAGTCATGAGTCATCAGGCGCATTCAGGGAGGGAGGAGCATTTTATGAGTCTTGTGTTCCTTGAAGCTCTCATATCAACGCAGACAACTGTACTGTTATCGTGAGTTCTCTCAGTAATTGAACCGTACGTATGATCAAGCATTGCCCAATGCTGGCTGTGAGTCGTCTCCAGGGCTCCTTATATAAGGCCTCCTGAGACCCGAATTGTCATCTTCATGCACTTAAGGTTCAAAAAAGCCAGCCCACTAAATATCACATCCAAAGTTACGACACAATGCCGACTCCTCCCACTAAACGTAACAGCAAAAAGACTGTCAACACTGACGAGCTCGTGTTCAGACATGAGATCCCGGTCAAGCGGTTCTGCAGGCCAGAGAAATTGAGCGATGCTCTTCGAGATATTTTTCGCTCAGATGAATGGCTCGTCGAGACCAGTGGAAAGAATGTTGTCATCAAGGTTGGAAGAAGGGTTGATCTGGAGGAGGAATTAAAAGCGCGACGTGTTATCTTCAACTCTATGGGGACAGCTCGGGCTCTTAGCTTCTTCCAGTTGTTTGAACATATTCACTACTAAATTCATTTAATTTATTGACTGTGCCTTTTTCATTCGTATTTGTTCATGAACTGCCAACCATCTGTGAATTTCTCGATATGCTTGACTTGTGATGTGATGTCAATGAACCAAGTCTGTTTGCGACTTTTGCGCAGGACACCCAGCGTTGCAAGCGGCTTATCTTCTCACCTTTGGGTATTGGAAAATGATTTCAAGAAATCTCTATACGTTTCTGTTTACTAGATAAATGACCTTAAAAATATCAGTACTTACTGGCCATGAGATTTTCATTGTGATATGCACATAACCTGCAGGGTAGTCTTGGTGTTTACAATCTCAATGCAGGCATTTATGGCATATTAAGTCTCCTACTGAAAAAGAGGACATTCTAGACATTAACTACTATACCATAGATTAATTAGAAAATAATAACCTCTTATCTTATAAATATACAGAATTCTGCAGTTAAGGAATAACAGATTAAGAGGAAGGTGAAACAACTTGCTACTTCCTGAAACTCTTTACCAGTATGAACCAAAATTTGACAAGGAAATGCCAATACAAGTTGAGCATCCCGCGTGACGCAATTGGTTAGCGTGTCAGACTTTTACAACAAAGTGAATCTGAAAGTTACGAGTTCGAGTCTCGTCGTGGGAGTTCCTTTTTGCATTCATTTTGAATATTCATTCGAATCTTTGAGTCGAGAGGAATCGATTGCAGTTGGTTTTATCTTTTTATCTCTTCATTTGCGCTCGTGGTGGTCGTTTGAAGTTGGGCTGGTGGAGGAATCTGGCATTGTGGGGATCCACTTTTGGAGAGTGCGCCACGGCGCACGGATGTTGGTGTGGCGCTCTCTGTGGCGTGAGCTCCCCCGTAAGTATTCATTTAGCATTCTTGGTGATCTCTCGCAGTGTCTGTATCACGCATGACTCAAGACACCTAATACCTGCCTCCCGTCCTTCATTTCCTTCTACTCTCTATTTGACAAGCACCCTTTCGACAGCAAGATGTTTTACCACCGACAAGGTCTTCCTACCCTCGTCACTTGTCACAGCACCTGAACTGCGAAGAATCAGCGTTCCACGCCTCGGTCCCAAACCGAATTGACTTCGCGCTCAAGATGCCATCGCCAAAGAGTACCTGATCGCCCTTGGCCTCCGTTATCGCTTACCTTCCCGCCGTCGTCTTCGAGTTTGCCACGCGCGCAATAGCTTTCCTCCGTTGTGAACATCGTCCGCTCACGGCATGTCTCCCCCGCAGCGAGATCTCATCAATCCATCGCGCCCTGGCGATACGTGAGCCTGAAGGGCCTCAAGATCCCCAGAGCGTTGACACCGAAGAGCTTCAAGTCTTCGGAAGGGTGAAGGCATTAAACAGAGCTGTCTCTTCCTCGTCGCCTCTTGATCTGTCCGTCCTCGCATCCCACGATTCATCACCCCCACCACGACTGGCCGGCAATCCTCAACGTCGCTGTCCTACTGACAACTCGATATGCCTCAGACGGCAAGTTCTCACGAACCAAGATTCTCTCCAGCAACAGCTGAGGTCCAAGAACCGAGAGGTACCAGAGTTTACGGCACGGCCACGCACCAAACAAGGATGGAATACATCGCCAAACGAAACGATTCTGGTCCCTCTCCCGCCTCCGCCGACAGCTTTGATCTTCCTCCGCTCCTTTGCGACTCGTTCTCCCGTCATCGTTCACGACCGCCGCCTGTGCTCTCCAGCAGCAACCCCGTCGAGGATCCAGTCCCTGACGGTACGAACGATTCCAATACCTGTCCCTTCTATCTGACACAATGCGTTCCGAGATCTTCGATTTTCGCGTCCTCCTGCAAGAATCTCTGGATCGCAGGTGTTTTCGCATCAGAAGAACTGCAATCTGCTGGCAAGGATACCACAATTAATTGAAGCAAGATGGTCACGACGGGATATCATTCGATGGATCAACCCTTAGGTCGTGCTGGGAGCCGTGAACAGCGTTGGAATATTCCCAAGCTGTCTATCTACCTCTGAACGTAGCGAAGCCCTAAGTAGCTTCTTGGATAACGTATGAGAACCCGACTCCAAGCGCAAGCATTATTATCATGAAGCTAGGCTTGGATTACATGAAGTCCAAGGTGTTTGACACCCGAGACTGGGTCTGGAAATTAATTGTATGTGGAGACGATACGTGAAATTGTCTCGTCAATCCTATGCCTCGACGTCTGCTTTGATTGGAAGCCTCCCAGGTACTTTTGTGTTGGGCCACGTACATTTGATTGATGCAGCGGCAATGACCGACGACACCTTGAGATTTAGGATCCTTCTACTGTAAATTTGCTCAAATTAATGGTTAACCCATATTATGTCGTCGAAATCGACAAGGTCTCATCTGGTTTTATAAAGCAATTCCCGTCAAAGGTGTTTGCGCAAAGAATAAAATTAAAGGTCCCGGGTAGGCATGCGCATTTGACAGTATTGGCCTCAACCCATTAATCCTGCGTCGCGTCGGAGAGGAAGCGAAGTACAATTAATGCTATCGTCGATTCAAGGCTGATAACTTGTTTCCGAGATTTCTTTTATTGTGATATACAATGTGCTCCGCAATCGGGATGATCTCGACTCACCAACGCGACGAACATCAAGACGCGACACCACGACAACAACGCAAATGATGATCATACTCTTCACGATCAATCCTCATACTCCAGGCAAGAAGTTCATCCTCAGGAAACATTTATCCTGATATCGCAGGCGTTCAAGCTCCCTATACCTGCCTCCTCAGAGTCACGTCGTCACCGTAAACGCGTCAATCAACCGCAATACCTTCGCCTCTACACTTTGCCTCCTCAACACATCCTTCAATCGAGCATCACAAGCTCACATCTCATGTTCCATCTCTCCCGGCTGCCTCTCTCAACAAATACAAAATCTACGCGTCCCCCATAGCCTCAGCATCGCCTCAACACCGCCCCGATCAAATTGTCTAGCTGAAAGCTTAATATCGTCCTTCTCCATTCAGAACCTCCCGAGATGATTATCCTGGTGGCTCATCCCGTTTACCTTGGGTTGCCGCCATCGTCCGATGCCCTCACTGACGTCATGAAGCCAAGCAGGAAATATGCAACGAAATTAAGCTTAACCAAAGACAGGGGTTGCCCCGGCATTAAATTACGGTATGCGGCCATTTCCCTCCTTGTTTCTAGTCTTTTGTGTTTTTTTATGCGCGATGATACAGTATCGATCGTTGGACAAATCGGCGCTATGAAGTCCCGTTGATACCTTGAATGAAGAGTGAGATGTCACTGGCGGGTCTGTCATGTGTACAAAGCCTCGAATGCCACGTACGATAATTGCCAACGGTGTTTTTTCACCGTCCAACGTGCCCATTAAACACGTTATGTTCAACGAACTGCCGAATTGGGCATGTCATCGAGCCATCATGCCATTCACTGCATGATGTATTTGATTCAAGATTTCCTGCCCTCCCCGCCAATGATCTCGCCCCAAACATCACCATCTTTCGTCTGCATGACCTAAGTGGAACCTACCGGGCTGTGTACAGTACAAATCTTCACATAATAGGATAAAAGAGTTCTTGTAGATAAAGGTACATACTGCAGAGTCTTGATGAATGACTTAACTTTAAAAACTGGATTTAAAATCGCCCCCTTTTTTACAGAGGAGATGAAGGTTACCGGGGAGGGAAGGAGAATGAGATCTAGCGTGATGGGCGCCATTAAGCTTAAAAAACGAGGCTTAGACATGACGTTGTGGGGCGAATTTATGGGGACCTGGATTTGTGATTTTGGGTGGGACGGCCTGGACGGTTAGTGGGCGTTTACATCTTGGCTGGCGGTTGAATACGACAAACCCATCACTGAACAGCAGTAGAAATTGAGTAGATTAAGGGTGTCACCACAATATCAAGCAGTACATTGTTTTCATCAAGATACCGGTATTGTGACAGTTTGTTTAGCAGGTCTAGCACGGAACACTCCGTACTTGATCAAACAAAAAGACCCCCCTGTAAATGCCAAGATTCGCAACTCCAAGCAATAACATCTTAGCCCTCCCCATCACCAATCACACAACCCGCCCAGAATCTTGGCATGCCTCGTGGCTGTGGCTGTGTCGGAAGTGTATTTTCATCCCCTGCTTGCCTCTCTCCCAGCGCTTGCAACCTTGAATATCTTGGCTTCTCCTCCTTTCATCCTTCCTCCCATTCCCATGAACACATTCCATCTCACAGGTCGTCAACATGGACTCTAACGCTCCAAGACGTCCGCGTGCTCCCACAATCACTGTCGACACTGCTGCTGTCGATTCAAACGATCCCGGTAATACTCCAGTGCGACGACTTCCTCACATCATACGAGCAAAATAGACTAACACGATGTTTTAATTGGCAGCACCTACAGATTCAATCTCTCCATCGCCGTTAGACGATACGAATACACTTGCAGTACCAACAGCTAAATCTCGAACCGAATCATGGTCCTCTTCACCCTCTACAAAAGTCGGAACCGATCATGAACAAATGTCTCGCGAAGTAGAAGCCCTAAGAAAAGGCGACCAGGCCGAAATCCTAAAGCCTGACCCGGGTGAGGAGGAGCTCTTTCACGTGGAGAATAACCCGTTTGCGTTCTCGCCGGGTCAATTGGCAAAGCTCATCAACCCAAAGAACTTGGCGGCTTTTGTTGCGCTGGGTGGATTGCCCGGTTTGCAGAAGGGTTTGAGGACTGATGCGAAGGCGGGTTTGAGCGTGGATGAGGGAAAGCTCGCGGGCGCTGTGTCATTTGAAGAAGCAACTTCTGCAAAGGTTGAAAAGACAACGCATAGCGACGCGCATGCTTCGGGAAAAGATGCATTCCCTGATCGAAAACGAGTATACGGCGCGAATCGCCTCCCGGAACCAAAGTCAAAGTCCTTCCTCGAACTAGCATGGATCGCTCTTCAAGACCGCGTCCTCATCCTTCTCTGCATCGCAGCCGTTGTATCCCTCGCTTTAGGTCTATACCAAACCTTTGGAGGATCGCATGAAGACGGCGGTGCCAAAGTCGAATGGGTCGAAGGCGTCGCTATCATCGTGGCCATCACAATCGTCGTCGTCGTCGGCGCAGCGAACGATTGGCAAAAAGAGCGACAGTTTCAGAAACTCAACCAGAAGAAGGAAGACCGCATCGTCAAAATCACACGCTCTGGAAAACCGCAGAATATTTCTATTCATGATGTTTTGGTCGGCGATGTCATGCTTCTTGAACCAGGCGATGTCATTCCTGTGGATGGTGTTTTTATTGAGGGTCATAATCTTAGCTGTGATGAGAGTTCGGCGACGGGAGAGTCTGATCTTATTAAGAAAGTACCCGCAGAGCAGGTTCTTCATGCGCTGTTGCATGAGCAGGCGCCGCAGTTGAAGAAGCTTGATCCGTTTATTATCTCGGGTGCAAAGGTTCTCGATGGTGTTGGAACGTTTCTTGTTACTGCGGTGGGAGAGCAGAGCAGTCATGGAAAGACCATGATGTCGCTTCGTGATGATCCGGGTTTGACGCCTCTCCAGGCCAAGCTCAACCTCCTCGCAGGTAAGTCAATCCTCCCAATTATTAGATACACACTAACAGGTCAGGGTATATCGCGAAGCTTGGTAGTGCAGCTGGTCTTCTTCTCTTCTTCGTCCTCCTCATCGAATTCCTCGCCAAACTCCCCAACAACCACGAAACAGGCGAACAAAAAGGCCAAGACTTCCTCCAGATCCTTATCACCTCTATTACCGTCATCGTCGTCGCCGTACCAGAAGGTCTTCCCCTCGCTGTAACTCTCTCCCTCGCTTTTGCGACAAAGAAGATGACGCGCGAGAATAACTTGGTCCGACATCTTCAATCGTGCGAAACAATGGGTAACGCAACGGTCATTTGCTCCGATAAGACTGGTACACTCACCGAGAATATAATGACCGTCGTCGCTGGATCGTTGGGTATTCGCGGACTCTTCTCCTTTGGCGATTCGTCATTCGAGCAGGAGTCTGATGGTGCTGAGAAGAAAGAGACCATCGCCCTCAACCAGTTCTCGTCTAAGCTTGATCCTGAGTACAAAGAACTTCTCAAGACTGCCATCAGCGTCAACACCACAGCTTTCGAATCAGACGAAGATGGAAAACAAGGTTTTGTCGGCACCAAGACTGAAACTGCTCTTCTCGACTGGGCCCGTCGATATCTCGGTCTCGGTCCCCTCGCAATCGAACGCGCTAACCATCCCGTCACACGTCTCTTCCCATTTAATTCCCAGCGCAAATGCATGGGTGCTGTTGTTCAAATCCCCGGTCCGATGAAGGATAAGCCCAAGTACAGACTTTACATCAAGGGTGCTTCCGAGATTGTTCTCGGCGAATGTACCACCATTCTCGGCGATCCTACAACTTCACCTACCACCGAAGCACTCTCCGACGATGGAAAAGAGGAATTGAGATCTATTATCTTCAACTACGCGACTAATTCTCTTCGAACTTTGGGTCTTGCGTACCGCGACTTTGAGAACTGGCCTCCTGTTCTTACCCTCCGCCCTGAAGACGATAACGCCGATATCGATCTCACAGACCTCGTTCATAACCTCACCTGGATGGGCGTAGTAGGCATCCAAGACCCCGTCCGCAAAGGCGTCCCCGAAGCTGTGAAAGACTGCGGTATCGCCTCCGTCAACGTCAAGATGGTAACAGGCGATAACGTCGAGACCGCGCGCGCCATCGCTCTCAACTGCGGTATCCTCACCGAGAGCACCATCAACGAACCCAACGCCGTGATGCAAGGCTCCGACTTCCGCAAACTCAGCGAGTCCGACCGCACAGCAGTTGTCAAGAAACTCCGTGTGCTCGCTAGGTCAAGTCCAGAGGATAAACGCATCCTCGTCAAGACGTTGCGCTCGCTCGGTGAGATTGTCGCTGTTACAGGCGATGGAACAAACGACGCTCCTGCGCTTAAAGCAGCGGATGTTGGTTTCTCAATGGGTGTTACAGGTACAGAAGTCGCCAAGGAAGCATCGGATATTATCCTCATGGACGATAACTTCTCCTCTATTGTTGTTGCGTTGGGTTGGGGTCGTGCTATTAACGACTCGGTTAAGAAGTTCTTGCAGTTCCAACTTACGGTTAACATTACAGCTGTGGGTGTGACGTTCATCTCAGCTGTTTCGGACGATGAGCAGAAATCTGTTCTCAACGCTGTTCAACTGCTTTGGGTGAATCTCATCATGGATACCTTTGCCGCTCTGGCCCTTGCTACCGATCCTCCGACTGGAAGTTTACTGCACCGCGAACCTGAAGCTCGAACTGCACCGCTTATCACAATTACGATGTGGAAGATGATCATCGGTCAATCGATTTACCAGCTCATCGTTTGTTTCGTCCTCTGGTTCGGTCGCGATTCAATCCTCGGCTATGAAGAACGCGAAGTCCGCTCTCTCATCTTCAACATCTTTGTCTTTATGCAGATCTTCAAGCTCATCAACAGTCGACGTATCGATAACAAGCTAAATATCTTTGAGGGCCTTCACCGCAATCATTTGTTCATGCTTATGATGACCATCATGGCAGCTGGCCAGATCATCATCATCTTCTTCGGCAGCGACGCCTTTGTCGTTACCCGCTTGAACGGTGTCCAGTGGGGAATCTCTCTCGTTCTTGGATTCTTCTCTATTCCTATTGGTGTACTCATTCGTTTATTCCCCGATGAATGGTTCCACGCCTTTGTCAAAGTCCTCGCCAAACTCTGGCCAAGCTGGATTCGCTTCTCGCGCAAGAAGAAAGATACTTCCGAAGAAGACGGCACCGAACCGTTCCCAAAGGAGAAGCTTGAGGGTTATGACATGGATACCGCACTTCTCGGCATCCGCGATGATCTCGAGTTCTTGAAGAGAGTTCGCGGCGGACGCATGACGGCGTTGAGCGATGCTATGGCGCGCTCGCGGGAGAAGATGCTTCGACGCAAGAGATCTGAGTCTCGACCGAGGAGCAAGCTTCGCAGTCGACGTGGTTCGTCGCGATCGTCGAATAGGCCGCCTATCTCGCCGATGATGTCGGTTGTCGGTATGCCGGGTATTGTGGCTGCTAGTGTAGCGGGATTGCAGCCTGGGCAGGGTGCTAGCAACGAGAACCTTGAGGCGCGACAGGCGTGAGTGCGAGCATGTTATATTGGATGTTAACTTGTGTTAGTATGGGCTACGTTATATTGGATCATTTAGAGATTGAACGAGTGCTGCATCTGTTTTAGTGTACGAGTTCGATCAGAGCAATCATTTTCGGAAAGGAAAGTCAACAAAGCAAAGCAAATCATAGATGTCTGGAGTTGGCGGTCGATATGTCATGTTATACAAATAAGTCTGAGCGAATGATCTACCTACTATTAATAAAAGTTTGAGCGAAAATGAGATTATTTGAGTGTGCTTTGCATTGTTGGTGATGATTTCTAGGAGCTGAGGATCGGAGTCTGCTTGCGACGCCTGCTCACTAACGTCTAGCGCCAACAGCCGCTAAAAGATGCCTTGGTTAGTCGACTTCAGCGCTAACAACAGGCGTCTCAGAGGTCATGGCCACTAATTGGGCTTGCGACACGATGTTGTGCGCCCCCAATTGATGCACTCTATTACTTATTACAAAATTATAGGAAGAAGATATTATCTTGAACAAAAATATATATTATAGTAAGTAGGTATAGCTTAAGAAGTATTTATTCCACCAAACCCCAAAGGAAGATTTGGGTCAAGGCCAAACTGATAGAAAGCCTGCCAATCCTGTATTGTTGGTGTAAAATATGGTGGTATTGCCTGAGACGTCGGGACCATCATGCCTTGCTCAAAGAAATTCTCATTCGGCAGTATCGGGCCTGTAGTGTTGTACACAGTCTGTGGTATTGTTGTCAAGCCTCCAGTGTCATTGCTCGTCGGAAACATGGACGTTGAATTTTCAGAGGTGCTTCCTGTTGGAGATCTTGTCGCTGGATCTTCAGATGTGCTCTCTTGTTGCAACGTCGTCGCCGAGTCTTCAGAGGTATGCCTAGTTGTTGTAGACTCCACGAAGCTGGTTCCATCGTTCGTTACAGATCCATTGTCCGGCTGTTCGCTAGCAACGCGCGTCGAAAAGCCTATCTTTTCCAAGAAAGAGCTCTGCAATTGAGGAACGAGCCGTTTCACCAATTTCTCAATGTCATCTTGTATGGTCTCAGGCAATGGGCATCCAACAGTGTTGAGGTGTCTTCCAACAAGCGGCGGTAACTCTCGCGTTAAGAAACGACCGAACTCGTGACAGAGATTGAACTCCCTAGCACTTTTATCTTGGTCAGTATCGTAGAGATCTAATCTGGTTAGTCATTCCTGGAAAGAAGAGACACGCAAGGGCAAAGCTGACATACAAGGACTGGGTGTATCCTGATCATAAGGAAACGCAATGGAGTAAACGTCGTTCCACCTCTCCACCTCGTTTTTGTTCTTCCCTGCACCCTTCTTACTCCTCATCCTCTTGACCTGCTCTTGGTTCAATCCATCCTGATTGCCGACGCTTGGAGTGCATGCCTGCAGTTGTTGTGAATGCACTTCAAGGGCCTCGGAAGTCTTGAGATCCACGCGACAGCGCCGACATTGGTACTCGGGCAATGAGTGTCTGCGATACATATGCTCTCTATTTCTCGTAATTAGAATCTCAATTGATCCATTTTGTTGGAAGCATACTTACTTTACTCGATGGATGTCCCGATAGCCGGGATGTGCACAGCTCTTCCATTTGGGCTGACCATACTTGCGAGGATTGCGCTTGAAGTATGGACAGGCAAACATTCGCGTTTCTGAACCTCCATCAACACGTTGAGATTTGGGGCTCTCCTCATTGCCGTCGTCTTCGCCGTCATTGCTTCTCTTTCGCTTTGGGACACGGCGAGGTCGGCCAGTTCCCTTCTTCTTCTGCGTACTGGAACCAGAGTCAGTTTGGCTTTGAGAAGCGGTGTTTTGACTGCTAGCATTTCCACTGGGTCTCTCTTGTGTTAAAGGCGCCAGCCATTGCCGAAGCCACCCATGGAACCATTGCATAACAGCCGCCGTCTCCGCATTATCACCGGGCGTTCCATCAGACTCATCACCAGAGTTCGAGTCTTGGGATGTATTGAGGGTACTATTATCTTCCACGGACTCGTACTGGGAGAGTAATTCCTGGAAAGACTGGTATGCTGAAGAACTGCTTTCTTCGTCAATCAAAGGTCCCAGATCCTCATGATCTTCAACCCAACCTCCAATACCGCGAGGCATTGCACTGGAGTACATGCAGCGGTAACGGAATGTAGCATCGTTCGTCCACTCTGGGATCTTAGAGGGCACCATGGGGGACGAATCACCCGGCTGTGACAGGATCGGTTGAGGTAGTATACCAGGCATGCTACTATAGCCACTGTCTGCGATCGATTTGGTGCAGTCGTGTTGTTGAAGGCGACAACTTGGCGTCATTTTATGGATGCCGACCTCATCGCTGGATGCCCATCGTACAAGCTCAGCATCCATCTCGCCACCAAAAACATCCAAGCATTGTGGGTTGGCAAGAAAGTGTTCAGCAGCGTGATTGAGCCGTTGATCCCAAGCCGTAGGACCGACAAACTGCACCCACGCGCACTGGGGCATTGGACAGGCAAGCTCTTGAGGCAGGCCACATACCATGCGCATCGACGAGTCTTGACGGTCTAGGAGCCATTGCACCTCTGCATCTAAAACCCATTTTATGTCTTTGTTATCATCGTGCAGCTTGGTCGGTCGGTGGTGATTGATGAGATGCGTTCGGAAATCGTGTTTGTTGGCGAAGAGTGTACCTGTACCGTTGTAGTCCTTTAATCGTAGGGTTTTATCCTTGGCCGGTAGGTGCCTCTGCCGGCGAGTGCGCTCGGTGTGCGTGCAGCCAGGTTCATTACACTCCCAGAGCACTCGGTCGAGTTTCAGATGCTGGGACACAACATGGTCCTTCCAGTCTCTTTTATTCTCGAACTTCTTATCGCAGCCTGCGAAATGGAAAACACAGAGGAATGGGAATCGCTCGACCTCGCTTGGTTTTCGACGGGAGACTTCTTGCTGAACGGTGTGAAGCTGGGGTTCATGGTAGTCGACGTAGAATCGCTCTCGGTCAGAACCGTCGGCTGCGGATATTCGGGCGTACAGGCAGGAATCTGTTTCGTGGACATATCGGCGTATTGCGGGAGAGTGGTGAGGGAGAGGACGATGCTCCATTTTGGAGGTGACGTAGGCAGAGGCCTCGAAGGATGAAATAAAACGAGATGATAAATCGAAGTAATATTGATAACTATTGAGTATGAAGCATATTGAAGATATTTCGAAAAGAAGAGAGAAGTTTACAAATTGATGATCTCGTGGAAATTGTGGTCTAAAATATGTGACCTCACTGATGTTTGTTTGGCGCAGCGCGCAATTGCGCGTTTCTCTTCTGGCACGAGTCCTACCATGAGCATGCAGGACTCAGGAGGTGACACAGAAGAGACCACACACAATTGTGGCGAATACTGCAGATTCGCGATGTTTTCTCCTCCATTGATCCATATCGTGTGGATGAATTGTTCAGCTCAAAGCTCTCATGATGCTGTCGCGACACAATTGCCGAGCTTTGGGCGTCTAATTAGCTTAGATAGCGCTGGGAGTGCCATCAATCGGGCGACGGAGTGTCATCCTGTCAGCAACCAAGACCAAGACCAAGACCCAGCCTGAGAGTATCGCATCGTGCAATTGACAGCACATACATCATGTCTGCGATGACAAAAAAAGGGTCTTGTCTTTGCAACTGGGAATAACTTATCGCAACTCAACACCACTCGCAGCGACAATCGGCACAGCTGCATCAACACCGAAGATCAACAAGACAAGCTAATCGCAAAATCCGGGGAAAGCTCATATTCTTACCTAAAGAAAATAAAACAAAATCTGGACTCAATCGGCTTTTATCCACTCCGGAACTCGGGTCCCCATTCATGGGCCAGACCAATCCGCCCCTCAGTGGCAATCATGATGGAAGAGGTAATTCTGGATAAAACAGCTTCTTTGGTAAGTGTCACGAGGTGTAACAAGTACCAAAACAGAGATATTCCTTATCCATCATGATCTTGTTACGTAGCAGTTGGTACAGGACTCAACGGGACTCAATATCCGGGGCGAGAAACAGGTTATAATTACCCGTTTTGTAGTAAATTCAACATCCCCGCTTGAGATCTGAAGAGGTTATCTTATCAACTGACAACTAAACCCAATTCAGTTTATCTTTCCGTGAGGCTCACTTGTTACCCCGCGATATCGCCTCCACACCACGAAGCTAGAGGAGCTGTCACATCAATCCCGATACGGAAAAAAGAGTCGTGTATTTCCAACTCGAGACGCTCTTATCATCATGTCCAAAAACTATATATCCCTCCTCTCCTCCCCATACCATATCGTCTTCACCTAACCAGTAACCTCAATACAGTCATCATGGGTCTCACGCAACATCATCCTTTTGATCCTCTCTCCGGAGATGAGATCGCCGCTGCCGTCGAAGCTATCCGCAAGTATCAGTCCGGCCAACTCCTCTTCAATGCCGTGACTCTACATGAGCCCCGCAAGAAGGAGATGCTGAGATGGCTTGAGCATCCTTCCGATGGAAACAGACCTGCGAGAATTGCGGATGTCACTGTTATTCTCCCTGATGGAAAGGTTTATGATGGTCTTGTGGATCTTAAGACGAGAAAGGTTCAGAAGTGGGAGAAGCTTGACGGTCTTCAACCTATTGTAAGTACCCTCAACCGTACTGTTTGAACACAGCTGACAAGGTAGATCACACCCGAAGAACTCATCCAGGTCGAGGAGATCATGCGCAAAGACCCCAAGGTCATAGAACAGTGCGAACTCTCTGGTATCCCCAAATCAGACATGCACAAAGTCTACTGCGACCCCTGGACAATCGGCTACGATGAGCGCTTTGGCAGCAACATCCGTCTTCAACAGGCACTCATGTACTACCGTCCCGACCCCGATACCTTCCAGTATCAATACCCTCTTGACTTCTGCCCCATCTACGACGGCGCTAAGAAGGCCATTATCCACATTGACATTCCCAGCGTGCGCCGTCCGTTGAGCAAGCAGAAGGCTATTGACTACATCCCGCGCTATATCAATGAGAATGGTGGTTATCGAAAGGATATCAAGCCTATCAACATTACTCAGCCGGAGGGTGTGTCGTTTACCATGAATGGACGTGTTTTGTCGTGGCAGAACTTTAAGTTCCATATTGGATTTAACTACAAGGAGGGTATTGTGCTGAATCACATTACCTTCACCGACAAGGGTATCGAGCGACCTATCTTCTACCGTCTTTCCCTCTCGGAAATGGTGGTGCCGTATGGTGCGCCTGAACATCCTCATCAGCGAAAACACGCTTTTGATCTTGGTGAATACGGCGCAGGATACATGGCCAACTCTCTTGCATTAGGCTGCGACTGCAAGGGTGTAATTCACTACCTCGATGCTGAATTCGCTCAGCGCGATGGATCTATTCGAACCATCAAGAATGCTATCTGTATTCACGAAGAGGATAACGGTATTCTCTTCAAGCACACTGACTTCCGCGATGATTCCGTCACCGTCACGCGCGCAAGAAAACTCATCGTTCAACAGATCTTCACAGCGGCTAATTATGAGTATGCGTGCCAGTGGGTGTTCCACCAAGATGGAACCATCCAGCCTGAGATTAAACTCACCGGCATTCTCAACACATACGCTCTCAACGAGGGTGAGGAAGCTGGACCGTGGGGCACGGAGGTTTATCCGCAAGTCAACGCGCACAACCATCAGCACCTGTTCTGTCTTCGCGTCAACCCCATGATCGACGGTGTGAACAACACTGTCAACATGGTCGATACAGTTGCTAGCGAAGCACCCGTCGGAAGTCCCCAGAACAGATACGGCAATGCGTTTTATGCCAAGAAGACAAAGTTGAGGACTAGTGGGCAGGCAAAGACGGATTATAACGGTGCCACGAGCAGGACGTGGGAGATGGTTAATGAGAACAAGTTGCATCCTTATTCGAAGAAGCCAGCTTCTTATAAGCTTGTTAGCAGAGAGGTTCCTGGGCTTTTGCCGAAGGAGGGATCGTTGGTTTGGAAGCGTGCTGGTTTTGCGCGCCACGCTGTTCACGTCACGCCTTGTAAGTCTCTTCTCTCTCTTTCATATGATATGATGCTAATTATGTACAGATCGTGATGATGAACTCTGGGCTGCGGGTCGCCACGTCCCCCAAACATCCGGCGAGCCATCCCAAGGTCTTCCCGAGTGGATCGCAGAAGGATCCTCATCCACCGAAAACACCGACATTGTTCTCTGGCACACCTTTGGCGTGACACACATCCCTGCACCCGAGGACTTCCCCATCATGCCCGTCGAGCCAATGACGTTGCTGCTTCGACCTAGGAACTTCTTTACGAATAATCCTTGTATGGATGTTCCACCTAGTTACTCCATTACTCCTACGCAGGTTGCTGAGAAGAAGGGGGCGTTGGATCAGAGTGATAAGGTTAGTCAGTTGGCTTTTGGAGGGAAGAGTTGTTGTTCGGGTGGAAATGCTGCTGCGAGATTGTAGGGGATGAATTTGTATAGTTAGTTATAGCGTTAAATTGCATAGAAGGATTATTTGCAAATTCGTGCAATGAAATAGTTGTGACTGATGTTCGCTTTTATTAAATTAATAAAGAAATAAAAAATAAAGGTAAAAATGTAAAAAAAACTTAATTGACTTAATTAAATAAATATACTTATTATTTCCTATAATATATAAGTTATGTATTTTAATTATTACTACTTTTAAGTTTATAGATATTTATTAAATAAGCTCCTTACTTTTAAATTATAGAAATTAATTCCTATCAAATACTAGTCTAGCTACAAGTTAGCCTTTACATATTTAAACTACGTATTGGAGTTGCTACTATACCTGAACTCTGTTTTTATTATCAGTGTGTTCACAAATACTTCCCATTATAATCTCCGGAACATGGTCATCGTAATTCTTTGTGTCGACAATGTCACTGCATAGGTATATTAGTAGACTTTCAAAACTCGCTCACCACACACCACCTTGCTTACTTACTATACCACGCCCTTGTGCCTCCCTGTGCAGTCATCGTCTAGAAACTGAAGCCGCCCCGACCCTTCAGTGTCACGACCAAACTGGATGAATTGGAACATGAGGTCCGTTGGCTTTTTGTTATTCTCGACGAGAAGTTCGATAGCTTCGTGAATGACCGTCTCGACTTCGTGCTTGTGTACGGGGTCCCATATCGCATCTGTGAAGATATAGATGCCTGTTGGCTGTGTTCCATTTTCCTTGACTCGATCCATAACGTCTTCAAGACATTTCTTCATATCACAGAACCCACTGACCGTTTCTTTATTCCTAATTTTGTTCTCGACGTCTGAGCTGTTTTGGCACTTTTGGGGGTTGCAGGAATCTGACGCGAAATAGAGATCCATACCATCTTGATCAGAGACCTTGACCGAGTAACTGATGACTTTGGCGGTCACAGCAACATTTCCCATATGTTCCCTCATCGACTCATGGTTATCAATTACAAAAATCTAAGTGTCAGATGTCTTATGTCAGTTCAATAATCGCCAACGGGAACTGAGCACACCTACCTGGTCTCGTCCACCATGAAGATTAATTTTGTTCCGAGCGCCCTGCATACCTGGAAGACTCATGCCTGCTTCAGATGGCTGACTTCGGTGTTTCTTGAAGAATTTCCAGTTGCTTTTTCTCTTCAGTTCCTCGTATACTTCTTCCACGGAAACTTTCCTACCACCAAAATAGCTAACCCTTTGGCCGGGGAGACTGGACTGTATTTGACCTTTTGTTATAGTAGAAGTGACGTTATCTGGAGTTTTTGCTCGTTTCGGGTTGGAGCCTGCTTGCGCGTCTTCGATCATCTTTACTGCGTGTCCCTTGCCTTGCCTCGCCAATAGTCGTAATTCAGGTTCTACCATCATGAACTTAAGAATAAGGTCACTCATGGCAAGGGACACAAAGTCTCCTTGCCGTTTGACTTTGAGAACCCTTTTGTGGAAGTCGTCCACGGCTGGAAGCCTTTCGATCCCATCATGAAAGCATGCATCGAACCCGCGCTCCGTGACGTGGGGGAGTTTTGAAATTGCTTTGTTTCTCATTTTACGATACTCCTTTCGATACTGAGGCCCTCCTATGGACCAAACGAGAAAGTCACTGAAGACAGCCCCGAGTGACCATAAGTCCACGAGGGAGTTAAGATGGGGCCTAACTTCGCTTTGAATTTTGTAGTTGGGGTAAGCTTCTGGAGCAGCTTTAATAATAAAAATTCAGTGAGTCCAAGCTCGGAGGTGGGTAACAGAGAAGAGCACTCACAATACATGCGATTTCCTTCGTTATCAACAGGCACGATGGCGCCCTCACCTTCCACTATTTTCACTATTTCAGCCAAGCCAAAGTCGGCAAGCTTGAAGGAGACATCGTAGGGTGAGTCAGTGTCGCCGTGGAAAACTAAAATATTGGCTGGTTGAATATCCTGGTGAATTCTTTCAATGGTCAGGGCTGCAATGACGTCCAATCATGGGAGTGCATCGTAAACATACCCAGAAAGGGATTTAGAATCACTCCTGTCCGGGTTGTGAAGTACGTAAAGGCCTTGAAATAGCTCCAATAAGCTCATCCAAAGCCTTTTCAAATCCTTCCAATCAACAGGGGGCTGCGTTTTGAACAGGTCAAGCAAAGATCCTTTAGGAGCATATTCAAGGATAATGATCCCTTTGTTGGTATAGGCAAGCGAACCATAGCATTTTGTAATGCTCATGATGTTAATTCGCCTAAGTCTCGTGTACACGGCGGCCTCTCTGTCGTAAAGTTGCTTTGCATCGACGCTTTCATAGATCTTGAAAACAACTTCCTGCTGAACATGAGCAACTGTCACGTAGATTGTAGATTGTTCAATTGCTACTGACTCGTGGGATAGATCGGCGACAATCGTTATCTATAATGACCTTACGTATTCGTGCTGAGGCTAAGCCTTCTCTCAATGATTCCTGGTATTGGATTGGTAATATCTGCTCGGTTTGCAGTTTTCGTTGGTCGCTTTCGTCTTCAGTAAACTCCCAAGGACAAAACGGCCACTGGTGTTTCACGACATTGTCAAGTTTACCGTGCCACTCTTTCGGAAGACTTCCACCTCGTAAAGGTAGGTTTCTGTCATTAATGGCTAATTCGAGGAAGAGGATGATATCCCGTGATTGGCTAATAAAGACCAGGATAGAGAAAACTCGAAGATATTCTTTTCTGATTGTATCAATTGAGACTGCAATGGGCGGATCGATGTTGCTTATGATCTCGCGGACCTTTCCCAGAGACCAGTAGCTTTTGAGTTGGATGGCGGATATATAGTTAGCCTCGTCGCCAGATCCGTTGATACCTATTCTGGTTTGACTACCGACCCAGTCACGAAAGTCGACTTCCAACTTGTGATTCATGTTGACGACTCTGCCAATTCAGATTTAAAAGACGACGGTAGGAAGCCTAAACACGAGTGAGGAGAACCTTCTAACAGATATATGCACCCAAGGCGGTCGTGGGGGCAGTCGCTTCCACAGGGCTTGATTAATTTCAACCGCCGCCAGGTGATCCGCCAAGTCAATAAATGCTGCAAGGCATTAAACCAATTCAGCTAGTCATAGGCTGCAATGCCCTTTTGCGTGATTTAAATGGGCAGTATGCATACGCCACCAACCGAACGCCTTGTTCTGCCTTACCTCGCTGCATCCCAATGTGTGCAGTATCAACTGCAACTTGTCTTCTTGGACAGCTGAGCCCACCAAACACCCCTCACAGTATAGGCTGACAAGGGCCAATACGGTGTGATTGGAAATTCCAGCGCCTGGTTTCCTCTTCACCAGATCATGCTGATCTACTGCAGGTCTCACCAAGGGGGGCTACCAATTCAGCCGATGGCATAGTGATGAACGTTTCATTTATGGTGGGGAGGCTGAAGGATACAGTAGCCTGATTCGCAATCAAAACTGCGTCCGATAGTACACAGGTCGCGGCTCGTCTTAGAGCCTACCTTGCATGATAGAATCCAAAAATCGAATGCTTCTTGCTCAAGGTGTTTGGCACTACCAAGATCATGATATAGGAATACTAATCAATCAACATATGCTGTAGGAAATCCATCTCCAAATCTAATAGTTATATAAAGAGAGACATGAAAAAGACGCTGAGCGACATCCCGCTTCGCGCCCTACCATTAGCGTTCAAGTCAAACATCTCCTGGCGCAATCCTCCTACGAGCTCTACGTGATAGGCATCTGAACACTAGAATCCACAAAAAAAAGGTGAAGACCATGAGAGGGAAGCATATCGTAGCAAAAAGCGCGAAAGCCTTATTGTGAAATGTGACTGCGTTATCAACACTTTTCGCATTTTGGTTCACCTCGACGAGTCCACTTTGGAAGAATGTCTATAACAGAATAAGATGAAAATCGGAAATATTGAGGACATTTACTCACAGCGACAAACATTGGAGGAAGGAAGGCCAGCGTCACACAAGTGATGATGTGCATTGAGATGGTCTCTTTCTCCGTTTTGTAAGCGATACGCTCCATCTTCTGAGACTGGTCGAATGAACTTTCGGTGTAGATGCGACCGATCTGAACACTGCGATATTGCAGTATACCGTCGAACTATAGTATAAATTATCAGCAGAAGCGCAAGCTGAAACAGTGCAATGTGTTTTACTAATGTCTTTCCGTTTTCAAGCCATGCGAGCAGCGAATTTATTTGTGTTATACGGATCTCGAGATTTTTTCTGATACGCTCAACTCGTCGCACGAATGACAAAATATCTTCCATGCAGTTTTTCCGAAGAGATTCTGGAAACGCTGGGTGCGATGGCAAATCTTGGTAACGCTCAGCAATATCGCGCAAGGTTTGACAGTTGAGCTGCATCACCAAGCGATAGCTCTCCAACTGCTCGCCCAGGTAGTGAAGATGCTGGACTTCTCCGAAAGAAAAGGTATCGAGGTTCTTGAGATTCTCCAGCTGCCTCTTTTGCAGATGGACGTCATCTTCAGCCGTCCTAGGCTGCTGTGCATTCCGTGGGGCCCTGTGTATGTAATGGCTTAATGACTCGAGATGGTTACCAATCTTCTGCCCCTTCAGCAAAGCTCTTGAAAGAGGGACTTTTTCATGATCGCTGAGCAGTGTGGCCTGCTGCTCCTGCAGACCTAAGGCGCGTCTTGCTGAGGCGCTGAATTCAGGGGGCTGAGCAATTTGAGACGTTTGAGCCTTTGCCAAGATGTCGCGAATCTTGCTCTCACAATCGTTGATAGACGTACGCCAATCTTCGTCGCACCACTCAAGGAAGATAAGGTGAATGATCAGGGTTGCAGAAAAAGACTTTGACAAGTCTTCCAGTGCAGCAGAGTCAACTATTGCAGAGTCGGCGGTTGCTTCTCTAATCCTATCCTCCAGGAGACCATTGGCCTTGATATTGATCCATAGTGATTTGCCTTCGACAAGGTCAAAGGAATGGTATACTGAGGTCTGCCGGATGTTCCACTTGCGGGATCCGTCAGGACCAGAGTCCCGCTCGACAGATCGCAAAAGATATTGCATACGGTGCTCGCGTCCTGAGCGCCCAAGTGTGGAAATGTTTATCAACTTGGACTCATGTGTACCGAGTGTATCGTCCGAGTCAAAGCCTGTCATGTGGTAGTCGGTCGGATAGTGCGTGGAACCGAAGGCAGAGACAAAGTCGATGAAGTTTGGGGGGACTTGGTGATAGGACAAGATGTGCGAGAAACTGTCGCGAGAGCAGTTCAATGGAGCGCGTGAGTGTTCGGCTTGGATGAAGCTAGAAACCATTAGCCAACAGCGTTGGTAGCGAGCATCAATATTGTATTGTACACGAAACGGGACTTGGGATCTCGTCCATCTTTGTGCAGATGATTGCGTACACATGGGCTGTTGCGAATCGTCAGTGTTCGGTAATCTAAAGATGTCAGAAACAATTCCCAGTGCGACAATGCAGTCAGGCGCTAACCTGTGCCATCATCTTCCAATTCATGGAAGTGAATCTCCTCGAAGTCGAGATTGAACAGTCTCTTTTCTTGCTCATCGAGGCTACGCCGGCAGCGTCTCGTTGTACTCTGCAGTTGCTTCCGTTGTAAAAGATTACAGGGGTATTTTGCACGGCGCTCACAGCTGGATTTCAGCGCCCCGTACGCACGCTCAGTGGGGTCTGGGGAGTCCACGCTTGGGAAAGACTTGCCGAAAGTCTCTAGGATTGAACCCTCGGGCGATTCTTTCAAATAAACATTGGTCGACATGTGGGCGCTCATATTGGTGGTTAAGTAAGCGTGGTACAATACAGTTGTAATCTAGTAATACTTGTTCATTAATAGAAGTAAAATGGATCTGGTTTAAGTTTCCACGCTAAACGTCGGTTGTATTTATGATTCCACTCCTACTGGATTCTGGCCTAGGGCACCTCCTCGCATAATTAGAGTCAAAACGCTAATGCGCGATACCAGGTACCAATCATCCACGGAAATTACAATCACAGTATTTCATTTACTGTGTAGTACAAGTCCAGGTTATTTTTTAGTGGTTCTCAGGCCTTCAATGTCATCTTTGTGGCTCTGGAACATGGGCTGTTAGCAGCGCCACTCTTTCATTGCGTAAAGTTGATCACAAACCTGAGTCAAGGTACATCCATCGGGGAGTTTGAAAACATAATGACCATTTACAGACTGTTTACAGGTCCTGATCAGCTGGGAAACTCCAATAAGAACCACCGGCGTGGGGTATGTCTGACCTCTACTGTGATCGTATCATTACTGAATGTCTTTCGAAGCCAGCTCTGGAGGGTAGAAGGGGAAAGCCTGTAGTCAGAACAGCGCTCCTCAGCCATTGCGGTTGTGACATGTGTATAGCGCGAATTGTCTTGTTTTTCTTTTCGGTGACTCTCCTAAGTCCAGCACACCAAGGCGACCTTTTAAGGTCAAGACACAAGCAGCCCCAGAGAGCAACGCATAAAACGAGGCCATAGTCAAGATAGCAGAGCCTCAACTTGAAACCATTTGATCAATACGATGTCTTCATCGGACCAAACATCAAATCTACTCGAGGTCTCATGACCCATTACATGCATCAGGTCAGCTGAGATGAACCGGAATGGTGTGGCGATGTGGGAGTGGTGAGAATTTTGCCTCCTATTGCAAAGAGAAAAACAGTATTGCTTCGTGTCGATATGTGATTTGTTCAAGGGCAGATGCATATTCGTGGCGCTGAAAGAAGGGATAGCAAAAAGCAGGCTGTCAGATGAACAAACAGATTGAGCCAGTAGCCCGAAAAAATGCTAGACATTGATGCAGCATCTCTGAGTTACGCAATAATATAATCTCATCAGCCACTCTTATTTCCGGTCTGTCACATACCCAATTGGCTATGACACTTTGTGGGCTGCAGTGACAAGTTAACTAGTGCTTTTGTTCGAATCACGCTGATACGGCAACTTGACAGTCCCTATTCCAACGCCACTCCCAAATAGCGGCGGTGAGCTTGAAAGACATTGTATTCTCTTTGCTCTTTGGAGAGCAAAGAGCCCCCAACCTTATCACACTTAACTTATTGCCTCGTGTAACCATCCCAAGATTGCCAAACACACATGCAACAGGAGTGCAATTCTGCATGTCGCCGACTAAATTTCATGGCCACTGTTGCTGCAGATCCTCCCTTGTCTTCTTTAAAAAGCGGCGCGCATACTGCTCATTGATGGGTGGCAGGAGTAAGCCACCAACGCCTTGTTCGAGACCGGTCAGCGATAAGAAAACTGATTGTGGAGAAATATCCAATAGTGGCAGGACTCAAAAGGCCTGAATAGTACTGCCAAGAAGCGCAATCCTTGGTAATTGCTGTCTATCGATGCCATTGTATTTGCATGACATGGTGCAACCACCTATAAGATACGTTATCTTCCATGATTCTCTTTGAGCGGCATAAGACTGTAGCGGGGTTATGAGAGGGGTGTAGGACCTATCAAAATGAGCGCTACTTGAGATACATTTGCATGTACCTAAATTTGCGTCTGATAGAAGTACCAGCAGTCAGCCGAGTTATAAACAGCTACCTTACATACTTACTTTGCAGTCGTATCGGGTCTGCACCCTTCGTTGATTTCTGTTACGACCCCGCGGTTACATCACGTGGTACCTATAAAAGTCCCCCAAGTCTCGATGTAAATAAGGAGAAGTTACTTAATTAGTGTAAGCGCTGGACTGCTTGTTATAGTTCTTAGGAGCAAGGAACCTTGTATTAAAACCTACTGCTTCCGTGCAAAGGGATTTAACCGCAGCCGAGTTCTAGGACTTTCATAAAAGGACTAAAAACTGGTATCCTGGTGATAAAGCGGGATTCAAGGCTGACCCCGGTTTGGGTTGCCATAAAAGCGGCAGTCTTTGGCAGGTCACGTATCACTTGAGTTTCGTCTTATAATACCACAAATTAGTCACAAGACAAACCGAATCAATTGCAAGATTCTACAAGAAGTGAATAATATACAGACACCTGTCTACGCAGATGGTCCACCAACAAAAATCGTCAGAGTCTCCGGCACGCCGGAAACAACACCCGAAGCATTCTCATTCCCATCCGGATTGACGTCGTCATACGGAAACGCATATCCCTTGCCATCGACCTCATACGAATGAACAATTCTGCTATAATGGTTCGTTGGATCATTCTTGTAGTACGCTTCCTGTCCTAATTTGGGCTGCGTATCGCCTCCATCCACAAGGAGTGTAGTTCGAACGAAAGCAGCGCAGAGACGAGGAACGACTGCTGCGTGAACTGCATTGTCGCCTTCCATCACTGTAAATGGACCGCTGTTACAGCCCCAGATGTCTTTGGTGTTGGGTTTGCCGTACCCTCTGTTATCGCCGTCGCAAGTAAGCTGGTCGCCTGTGACGCGGCATTTGACATTGCCTGCTTCAGATTGCGTGTTGATGATTAGGTCTTGAGAAGAATATTTTCTCCACACATCATTGACGTAAGTATCCCAGTAATCCCCAAAAGTGATTGGCTCAAGATCATACTGATTTCCAGGCGAAAGCACACGAACTGGTTTACCCTGCGCATTCGCAATGCACATGAACGTCCAAGCTCTTCCATCTGCATCTTTCTGCTTAACAAGATCATCGCAGATCTTGCTCACAGCACCAGACTCGAGTCCAGCGCACGATTGAGTACTTCCATCTTTAAGAGAAAGACCCATGCCGAGTGGAATACCCACAAAATCGACATAGCTGATGTTTGCGTAGAGAACGCCATTCGTGTAGGTGAATTCCACGAAACCCCAGTCTACACCAGCACTAGGGTCTTGAAGATTCGTCACAGAAGGTTGGACTAAACCATCGCCACTTCCAATGTCCACGACAAAAAAGTGAAGATCTTCATTGGCGAAATAAACACGCCCTGAACTCATGGAAATAGGAACCGTGAACTCAAGAGTTTGACCCTGCGGTGGGAGAGGAATAGCAATGTTATCCTTAATCTCAACAGGGACCTTTGAACCTCCTGATTTAGGATACACAAGATTTCCAGTCGCACCGATGAAGACGACTGTGCCGTCAGAGTCCAGCCCTGAGATATACGCTCTGACATTTCCGCCGCTGAAGTTGTTCACAAGCTTGAGCGGTAACGTCGCTTGTTCAGCGCGATGGGTCAAGACATGAGTTTTGTTTTTGGCGTATGTGCCGTTGAGGAGATTGTCGTCTGTTACTTCAACACTATTTGTACCGCCTGGATGAACTTTTATAAAGCCTTCGCGGGTGGTGTCGAGGGAAGATGTTTGGAAAGGAGCGGATAAAGCTGTGCCGAGGAGGCAAGCTAGGATAAGGAATGAACGCATTCTATCAAAGAATGACTTATACAACAGAAAAAAGAACGTGATGCAGAAGGCTACAGAGTAGAAGTCATTCTGGTCAATTACTAGATCTATATACTACAATTCCTATTATGTTTCAGTTCATAAGTGGTGATATTCCCAGGGATCTCACGTCGGAAACATTCGAGATGCATTATAAACCGGGGTATTCAGAAACGTTTAATATATATCTGAAGTAAAGGATGAAACACAGTTTCATCTGATAGTCGATCGCTGTTCGGCGATGTGATTTGCTGGACTAGTGCGGATGTTGAAACAAGGGTCTAGAAGGGGGATGAAGTCCATGCTCCTTTCATCTCGAGAGGGCCAGTAACGGGCCGATTTTGTAAAAAAGCTCCGGATGAGGGAATTGGGGAATGTGATTTGTTGGGGGGTTTAATTGAGATGGTTTCTGGGGTGTTTGATGTGGTGATGAGATTTGGGGAGTTGAGATGGCGGATAAATGGCCAGTTAGGAGGATGGATTGGAAGTTGAGATCTGAACGGAGACTGAGAATGTTTCAAGGTATTAAGTGAATTTAGCATGGTTCATTGTATGAACAATGATGAAGGATTGGCAAATCCTGGCGTTGGTGAAGGATCTGACCTGAGAGATGTTACGTTTCATCCGTCAGCCGCTAAACGCACGTCTTTATGCATTCACTTGAAGGATGATCTGACGAGAATCACGACACCGACTGGTCTGTGCTTCGATTCTACTGACAGATCAATTGAGCCTACTACTGTGGGAGCACAAAGCACCAAACTTTATGTATATCATACTATGCGACAGCCCGTTCAACCTCTTCCCCAAACAATACCCAGTTGTGTGATCAATTGCTCGTCCTCGCTGTACTCTCCATAAAACCCCCTCATTGACCATTTGGAGTGGCTACCACCAACACTGTTAGTCGGCGCCTGTTCCACAAACTCGCTCATGTCCAAAGTGACATTCTCGTCCACGCCTAGGAAGCGATCGGATTTCAGGTCCCGCGGCCAAGCGGGCAACAAGCTCTCGGAGTTTTCCTCTCCAGATACAAATTCGACCGTGTCAATATAGGTCGGTTGTTCTGCACGTAGACGTCCTGCGGTGACCCGCGCGATGGAGAGTAAGGGGTGCACATTCGTCTCCCAAGCGACCGCATCTTCTGCGTAGTGACCGTAAGTAAACTCATGTCCATTTCGATAAGTCACCTTTAGGCCACAAAGACCACCTAGTTTGTCCTTGTTATTGGTCGCGAAACCAAGGCCCTTGATCTCCCAGTTGAGGTCGATATCGTTCAGGCTATTAAATGGTTTGTGCGACGCCGTGAAAGCTTTACGGATAGAGGTATTACTGCCCATGAGAAAAGTACCAGCGAAGCCATGCGGAAGCTGCTGGATGGCGTGTTGCATGCTTTTAGATAGACCAAGAAAAGTCTTGCAGATCGACGGCTGGATCCTTGCAGGCGGAACAGGAACAAACCCATCTTTACCCCAGATCACACCAAGAGTAGAAATCTGATTTCTGTACTGAATGCCAAATAGGCCGCGAAGGGAAGATCTTGTGTCGTCGGGTTTGAGCCAAGTTACTGATGAAATCTTAACTTGAGGCTTTGACACCTGGACATCAGGAGCATCGTTGTTCTCCGTCGAGGTGGTATCTGAAGCTTCATGTTCACTATTAGCCAGCACAGCCGAATCGATAGTCTGGTTCAAAGATGTTGCAAACGCGATTGAGTGTAGGTACCGCTGAGGGGAGCTGCTTCCAGTAGCTGTCGACGTGGCCTCACGTACAACTACTTCAACAACAACTTCGGATCCGTCGGCTTTCAGGTGCAGCTGGTGAGTTTTATCACCTTCACATTTTCCATGCGAAATTGTGATCCCAGATGCATATCCCAATTCGACGCCCTCAAGATGTTCTTCCTTTGACCATATATATATCCTGGTGAGGCGATAGGTCTGGTCCAATGCCGATAAGTCGTTGAAGACTTCTGCTTGCGAGTGAATGCTGTCATTTGAGATTGGTCCAATGCACCCTTCCACTCGATAATTGAGTGATTTGTAAGATACCGACTCGATGGATCTCAATAAGATGGCACAATGCTCCTTGAGTGGCTTGTCCAATTTATAGACAGGTGCAGAGGATCGCACGTCAGGCTTTTGGTGATGGTATCCAAGTAGAAGTGCCGCTGTGGGGTCTCTCACGCCGAGAATAGCGTTCTCAGGAGACAATGATCGTACGATCTGATTCGATATTAGGCCTCTCTTGTGTGGTGAACCCGGCGATACTTACCGGTAGGAGCTGCTTGAAGACAAGGGGATTGAGAAAGAATGAGTCCCTTGCTCCGTCTGTGGCAAGAAGAGGGTTCTTGGCCACGAGATCAACCTCTCTGACTATCTTGGCCATCTCAGAGCGACATGTCCTCTTAGCCTCAATCAAGCCAGCGAATGAAGCCTGAAAAGCTTTGAACGTTGTGGTTGTGGGGTCAGTACCACCTGCGGCTACCGTAGAGTCACTTGATGCATTAGTATGCTGTTGTGTAGTGGCTTCTGTTATAGAAAGCGCCGAAGACTTCTTGCCATAGGCATCAGGCATTGGATAGTTGTTAATCGTCGCGAGACGAGCCATCTCATGCGTGACCTCACCCATATCAATAGTCGCTCGATTGCCTTCCAGCTCATACGTTGCGTTCGAGATTTGCTTCCAGAGCATCTTGTAGTCCATGAATGAGTCAAGCAGGGACCCAGTATAGATGCCAGCATTCTCGTAACTCAGTACGTCATACTTCGCATTCTGCTTGTGAAAATCTTCAAGAGCCGTGTACTTTGTAAGAATGGCATATGTTCTCTGAGGTGTGATGGCCACGAGGTCTGGAAATGCGGCTGCAGCCTTCTTCAGGCTGTCTATGGTCCAGTCCTCAAGCGGGTTCTTGATAGAACCCCCGCCTGACCAATTCACGGCCACTGTTGTTTCTGTTTGCTTACTGAGATTGTTCTTTTTGATATCAACATCTGCTTTGACCTTTCCAGCGATTGAAGGCGTCGTCATTTCGGCCTCGATACCAGCTTTCACTTGAAAGATTTTCGACTTGTCGAGTACCTTTACTGATACAATGGCGTTAAGTTCACCACCTTCTTCCCACCCCGAAATAAAAGAGTCCTATGTAGGTCAGTGATTGGGTCGGAATTGCATTGTTGATGTGAGCACTGCTTGTTGCAATAATGGATGTTGTAGAATTTCACATACACCGTAAACCTCCGCAAATCTGTCATCTTTCACGGACTCAAGCTTGTTAAAAATGCAGTAGTCCTTTGCATCGTGGCTGGGTATCTTTCAGCTTTGCTTCGTTCAAGGTTATGTGAGTCCTTACATTTGATTCGTAACACGAACTTGAAGATGAAAGTTGATGTCACTCGATTTGAACTTGTCACTATCAACATACGAGCCGCTTGCTTTTCCTCCGATTGTACTAGTCTTTATAGAGAGCGACCCAGATATGTTCATGGCATCTAAGGGGATTGTTAGTCGACCGTCACAAGGATCTTGAGAGTCTGAAACGTTACCAGTAACGTCGCTGAGCTTATCCACAAAGCGCGAAGAGTAGGTTACGATCTGGGGTTTGACCCATGGATGAACTTCAAATGCCTCCTCTCTGGTAGTGTCGTCATCAGAAGAGGAGCTCATAGCCTGTTGAGCTTCTGAAACCTCAGATGAAACCGCCTGCTGCTCATTTGAGGGCTTGGCGTTCTGCTCACTGGGGGCCTCATCGTTCATGCCATCAGTCGAAGATGGTATTGATGTGACATCTTGGCTTGGTTGTTGTTCTTGTTGTTGTGAACCAACAAATATTGTGTTCTTCGGTTTAACCACTTTCTTCTTAGGCGTAGAATTGGCCTGCTTAGGGTCGGGCAAAACAGCGCGATCAAGGCAAATCTGCTGGGTATACGAGTTGAAGCCTTGCCCAAGCCGCATGGCATTGTTGTACGGTGCGAGCATCTGCGCCATCTTGAGTAAATTTTACAAAAGAACAATTCGGGCAGTGCTTCTGAAGTCTTGGATACTAGACAGCACAATGGTTTATCTTGTCTGGGCTTGCTTTTTCATGAATAGTTGGGCAAACATTGTAAAGGAGAATACTCGGAGCTAATTCTGCCACCGCGAGAGATCTGACCATGAATAGCCTGAATGCGCCAATATTCGGAATGTGACAGACAGAATTGTTCGGGGCTGACAAGAGGCTGGCTGAACAAACAATAGTGCATATCAAATGCATGGGACAATCGCCAGCACTCAACATGGCTGAATCGGGTCATAACGTTGACATGCATGATTCAGATGGTCTTTGAGAACTTTAAGCAAGCCAAAAAGCGGCCTTCGAATCAATATCGATGTGCTCCCAAAGGTACACATCCTACAGTCCCAGCTTTCGATATCCACCAGGTTCCGCTTCAATCTATCCGAAAATGTCCAACCGAGACCCATCTAAACCATCACTCGAGGCTTTGACAGACGGTCGCCATCCATTTTCTCTGCCGTGGGGCCATGATGTAAGAGTCCTTCTCGGCGGCTTCAAGGTGGAAGACATGAGCAAGCAAAAGGGCCCTTGGACGAGGACAAGTGCGTTCGAAATCTCAGGCTCGGAGATGCTGGCCATCGTTCCAGACACGAAGGGAGGGTCAATGTCATACAGGGACGGCATGACTACAAGCTCAGAAACATCCGACGATCATCTGAGCGCTTCTCTAGGATTAACTGTCGGCTATCCTTTTCTGAACGCCTCAGTCACTGGAGACTATGATAGAAATGTGATGGAGAGTCACAATGTCGGTTTCATCTCAGCTGCCAAGATGGACGCCACTTTTACTAACGTCTTGGCATAGTCCATCCGAGCCTCGCGGAATGCGTCATGCCGTTTGGGTCGAATAGTGTTGGATCAGCCGCCGCCACTTTCAATAGCTGCTAAATCTATGGTGCAAAGCCAGGGGCCCCGGCAATTTGCGAATGTTTATGGAGACTATTATGTCTCAGGCTACGAGCTTGGTGCTGATGCAGGGGCATCCCTTTCAGCGACAACGGAGTCCAAAGAATCCGAAGAAAGACTGGCGATCACGGTTAAAGTCAAGGCGCTCTTCTTTGACAAAGCGTTGCCAGAGGTCGTAACAACCACCAATTCTGCCCATTCTTCTTCCTGCATTACCTTTGTTGGGTATAGCACCCTAGGCAACAGCAAGCGTTCGGTCGAAGCTAAAGATTTATCGCCAATGGGACTTGGTGGTCTGCAAAAGATCTCAACTTCCTTCCTCCAAGAAGTTGGCGCATTAGAAGTCACAGCAAGAAAGGAAATGAAGAAGCTAGGATTAGTGGATGGCCAGCTGCTTTCCCTGGACCAATGCTCAGAAATCTGCAAGTCAGGGCTTGTTGTTCAGCTCTTATTGGCACCCTATCATCGTCTGGTGGAATTTGTGGAGCTGGCTGCTGCAAGCATCTCATGACCAGCTGCAGTGGTGGCGATATAGATCGAGATTCTTATTCATGGCCAGCTCACGAAGCATACCAAATACCAGAGAAAGTTTGTTTATTATTGGTTTCAGCGCTATCAATAGTAGCATCGCTTAAGCACCATTGTTTACCATTTCAGGCATTGCAGAGACATGACATGAACTATTGGAATGATTTGATCCTTTTTTGGCCGTTGGCTGAAAATCTTGGAGCTGAGGCATGACGGCCTCGAACATTCCATTATGTAGGCTTTGTTGGACCGTGTGATCAGGCATGCCGAGTCTTGGACCTGCTTTGTTCGAGTACCATAAGCCCCAGCGCTTGTTTCTCCAGAAGACTGGTACGATCAGGCCAAAAACAATTTCTCAAGAGTTGATAATTATTTGCAGATACTCAGCCTTTAATCTAATTTTCAACCCCAGTATGGCTTTCAGATATCCGATCTCTTCGCAGTGGATCACCTTTCCAACCGACCTCAAAGCGCACGCATTGATTGAGTGGAAAGAGAACAACCTGAACTCCAGAGATGCCTTGTATTACTACGTCAAGTGTTTTTGGGGCGATCTTAAAGTTCGGAGCCCCAACGACGGCTCAGATGCCACACAGCATCATGCGGACCGTTTATCTGGGCGTCTTGGTAATGTCTTTACGGGGGACGATGGGGAAATAAATATTATTGGTGCGAGTAATACACGAATGCTGTTTCATTTGTACTAACGATAACAAATATCCTAGGCGCTACAAAGCTCTATGTGGCCCAAGAATACGTGGAAAAGCATTACGCCAACGGCCCTCTCAAGAAATTCCATATAAAGGACCTAGCAAAATTGAAGATTAAAAAACCATCAGGCTTAAGACCTTCCTTAGAGAAAGAAGAAGGTTAGCGGTCATGATATAGTATCAGAATAAGAAAAAGACTTCTAACACTGCTTGATATAGAGGCTCCGTGGATCACGATGCAACTCAACGAGAACTTTCACTATGGTGTAGAAGGAAGTAAGGGAGAACTTCGAAGGTGGATAGTTTATCACCCTCCAGTGGCTGAAGGAATCTTGCCTCCGGGCATGTATCAGGTATGGAACTACGATGAGAGATGAGGACCTGTGAGCAATCGTTGCTAATGACAGCAGCATCGATTCACAGGCCTTCCGAAATCCGAGTTTCTTAACGCTGTAGCCTCTGATGTTGATTCTACTGTGCCAAAAGAATACAAGTTTGCAGCTAGAATAGGAAGCAAGGCTGTTGCAATGACAACAAAAGCGTTAGCTGCCAAATTTGGTGATCCTCTGCATCGCTTCCTCAGCAACAAAGCCGTCCAGACCGCCAGACAGGGTATGGACAAGTTGAGAGTTATGTCTTTGGTGGACAAGAATGAAGTGTCTGGCAGAGAAAAAGAGCTCATCGCCATTCAAGTGTTTGAACTTGACAAGATAATGATTCAGCTCGAAGATTGCAGAAAGACGTTGCAGAATCGAAAGCCGGACAAGGAATACGAAGTTGAACTCAGGAAATGGATCAAGAATAATCGACAAGAGCTCAAAACAATTTATGCAGCTATGGAAGTTGAAATGGGCCATGGCAGGGCCGGCTCTTTGCCAGTCGATTCAGGACAAACGGAAACAAGTCCCATCCCAGATCCCAGCAGCATCGTTCCCGAAGCGGTTGACTCCCGACAGAAGGCCGAGTTGTTGGCCACCCAGCTTGTGATTAATCTGGAGATTGGTATTTCTGGCGATATGGGGGCACCCAAAGCCACAGCAACGATTAAAGCCCGTCAAGAGGAGATGAAGTCTATGAATCCAGAACCCAATCATGGACCATCTCAGCAGCCCATCAACTCTGAGATTGGCCCTCAAGAGAGAGACCCAGGAGCTTCTCCGAGCAGCCCTCACCAGAAACAGATTGTGCCACAACCTCAACAGAGGTCTGCATACTTTGGACCATCAAAGAATAACCTTATCACAAACAATGCCCTCATTACCGAGGACGCAGGGGTGTTACCCAGAGAGGGACGGCTGACTTATCCGGGAAAGACAGAAAAGAAAAGGATCAACAGATCACTGGTCAGGCAGAATCAAGATTGGCGTAAATGAGTTTCAACTTCGCCATTATAGTTCTTATATTTTCAGTTGGTCAAAGTTTTTATCAAAAGATCCAGCCATGTGCTTGATAAGATTACGGTTAAGTCTAATCCAGACATATCTAGTCAAGAGACACTATGTTGAGAAGAGTTTTAAATTCATTGCTCAAGCTATAATCGTTTCGAAAATTTTCGACTACCCCGAACCTCTCTAGAAGGGCTCGAAAACGCTATCTTGAGTAAGCGGTAGAGGCTGCAATTATACCTAAATAGGCATCCCTTGAGACCTATCCGTTTGTTCCAGCTACCGCCTAGTGAATCATTTGTGGCGTCACTCCCCTCAGCTGAGATTTAAATGCCAAGGTAGATAAACATGTCTCATATTGACCATGGCTTGTGTCATTAGGCAATATTTCAAAACTACTGAACGCCACATTAAATGCCGTCATCATATATTGAAGCTAGTGGCATGCATACACATGGAATGCTGACCAGATTGTTTGTGGCTTGCTTAAGCCCAGCTGAGCGACAGACCTGGATCCGCAGCTTGATGTTGCCTCGACTTTTCAGTGATTTCACGACAGATAGCTCTCCGTAGGCGTAAAGGATAGAGCGAATGGAGCTGTAGCACAAACTCCGGCCCTAACCAAGTCTCAAACCTTTACTGTTCTCATTTTGTTCCATTTCTAAAGCTCGAAGATCTTTCGAATAAAGCAAGCCCAATCACTATACTCCAGTAGCGGAAGAAAACAGCAGTAGTTTCTGCTGGAGCCATTTGACTTTAGCTTCCGATGAAGTAGCTTTCCTGTCTGTATACTACTGTTACCGTCACGACTCCCTGTTACTATGTCTACATACACCAGACATTGCTCCAAGAGCAAATCATCGAATGAAAATTCTAACAGGAGGTCAAACGACTATTTGGGATTCAAGAACGACAACTCTAGCACACAGTCTCTTGAATGGAAGCGAGAACAAGCCAAGAGCCTTACAGCCGTAGAGGCGGCTCGACAGGCTGAGGCTCAGCGCATCCAAGACGAATTGAAAGCACTCAACGAACTCAGAGCTTCGCACGCAGAGACAGAACGAGAACTCAAGGAATATAAGGAACAGCTCAAAGTGAGCGAAGACAAATGCAGACGCGCTTTAGATGAGAACCTGAAAGTGTTGGGTTCAAACCATGATCTTAATATGGAGTTGAGCAGAAGCCGCCAGGAGGCGAAAAATCTACAACGAGAGATCGAGCGGTACAAACTTCCTGATATGAACAACTTGCCGATGAACTTTCACGGTGAAGGCTATATGCTCATGAATTGTTCAAACCGACTTGCTCTTGATTTTGCTGCAGGTGCGTTGACATTTTGGTTCTTATTCTTGAAAGCAAATCTGAGTATCTCGACAGACAACGGAACGAGATGCCATGGTTGGCTGCCTGATCCCAGAAACGGGTCACAGCATGTCAAACTGAATAAAGTCAACAAAGAGGATCCAAAATCTCCCTGGACTATCAACTGTAAAGGGAGATACTTAGAATTCACCCATCCAAGCGATCACGCTCGATTATCCTCACGAAACACAGCGAATCAAAATCAAGAGTGGTATATTTGCAATCTCCTCGACAGGCCTGGTAGATATATGTAAGTGCGAATAATCGAAGGTTTTGGCGACTAGGTCTTTGTCATATTGAAGCTCGAGCAGGTTCTGGAATGTCGCACAGAAGTGCTACCTCACTTTGAAGGATACGTCGGGCAATCCTGGGTAGGTTGAATTCGCTTTTACCCTCGTTATCTCAGCAGACTAACAATTGGATTAGTTGCAATTTCGTGGCCGTGCCAAATGACGAGGGCTCAAGTAGGCAGACATTCATCCCTGTTTCAGTTGAGCCTTTCTACCCCTAGCATAAAAGACTGAATGGGGCCGCAAGTAGATTACGATCAGGAATGGGGAAAGCCTTAGGGAAAGAGGCTAGATGATAGTATTTCAAGGACGGAGCGGAAAGTATCATTTTAGGTAGCTCAAAGTTTTTTTGTTTTAGGCAGTGCACGTCTATATGGAAGAAACTTATGAATCATGGAAGTTTGGTCACTCTTACTACCGGTTTGGCTCGACAGTCATTTGAGCTGAGGCCCGCGCAGACGCTTCATTTCCAGAGTCATCCTTAAGTTATAGAGTAGATAAACTATTTACCCAATCAAGTACCTATGCATCTACAACTTGCTTTGCTTGATCAAATGAGCATTAACAGGCGAAATCGCCTTCCCCCTCTTCCAAAACTCCATAATATTCTCCATCCCCAATTTCTCAAACCCAATATGCGAATCCAAACTCGCACCCGCATTGTGCGATAACAACTCCACGTTCTTCATCTTTAACAACTCAGGGCTGATATACGGTTCATTCTCAAACACATCTAGTCCTGCACCTGATAAGTGCCCACTGGAAAGAGCTTCAACGAGATCAGCTTCGTTGATAAGTTTTCCACGTGCAATGTTGACGAGCTTTGCGCCGGGCTTCATTTTTGAGAGGCCGGCTTTGTTGAGGAGTGTTTCGCCTGCGAAGGGCGTTGCGACGACGACGCAGTCTGATTCAGCGAGGAGAGCGTCTGATGATTTGAATGTTGCGTTGAGGGGAGCTTCGATTGAAGAGGGCATTTGGGCGATGTCGTTGTAAATGATTTTCATGTCGAGAGCTTTGTAGGCTTTTTCTGCGATGCGACGACCGATGCGGCCGAAACCAATGATTCCGAGGGTGAAACCACTGGGATTGCGGGATACGGGGGCTAAGTTTTTGTTGGCATCGATGAATTTGTCTTTATCGCCTGAGCGAGCTGCTGTGCTTGACCAGCTAAGATTGCGGAATACAGAGATGATGAGCCAGATTGCTGCATCGGCTACGGACTCTGTGCAAGCGGCTGCGGCGTTACAATACGTGACCCCTAAAAAAATATCATTAACAACCTATCGTCAATGAAAACAGAATAGTGAACATACCTCGCTTTGCAAGAGCAGCTGTATCAACCCAATCAAAGCCAGCTCCCGCACTAGCATAAATCTTACACGACGCAGGAAGTAGTGAGATCAATTCCTCATCCCAATTTCCCATTTCACCGCCTGTGTTCCAGAACGGTCTGTAAATAGCGAAAAAGTCACCGAAGGTTTTTCGTTTGAGGGCGTTGATGAAGTCTGGGCGGGACATGCTGTGCGAGCGTTTGATCTCGAAGTGAGATGTGAAGGTTTTGTAGAGATCATGGTTCCATTTTATGTCGTCGCCGAGATGGAGGACGATTGGTTTGGACATTTTGACGGTGTTTGGTTTGTTAGAGGGGAAAAGATTGGTGGTTGAGGGAAGGGGATGAGACGTCAGTGGGAGGGTATTATAATGATACGAGTTTGAGTGTAACGCAGTTGCTGTAGTATAAACACGGGCATTCGGCCGATGGAGCATGTTGAGAGAATGCCGGCTCTTGAGTGGGTAATTCTGGCCGACGGACAGTCAATGATCGACATTTTGGGGTAATTTTGGCCGCAAAGGCCCATTGAAAAGACGATTTGCAGGTGTTGGATTGGTTGGGGTGAGTACCCCGGATATTGAGATCGGAGTTCTTCCCGACCAACGTTTATTGCCAATGATCGTCGGTACAATGTAAATCTGGGGTAGTTAAAGCGGAAGTATTATGGCAGATGGCACAAATTGCTGCTTGTATCATGAGCATGATGAAAAGGGAAAGTCTTTACAATTTTGCGTCACAGGTTTGTATTGGCGACGGACACTTTCTTCGTAGACCCTGTAGTTTGTACACAATATTCCTTCTCAACATACACTTTTCAGCTTCTCTACTCGCCTCAACTATGCCATAAGCTTACGAAACTGTCCGTTCAGAATACAATGACTGAACAACCATAGGTATTACTTAGGCTGCAAACTTCTAGCAGTGCCCCGCATCTCGGACGCCTTGCATTTAATCCTTCTTCTTGATCCTGGGGAAACTCAACCAAACACCAGCAACAACAGTGATCAACGCAAGGATGATGGGCTGCAGCACTCCAACACCCTTATGGTTGGCAATAGCTCCAATGGCGAACGGAAACACCGTTCCGCCGGTACCACCAATTGCCATGGCGAAACCAATAGCCGACACGTGGATCTTGGCGGGTAGAAGCTTGGCTGTCACCATGACAGCTCCAGGGAACAGTGGGCCAAGGAAGAAGCCGAGGAAGGCAACTGCAACAGCTGAGACGATGAATTTTGGTACAAGCCAGAAGAGAAGTTGAAGACCGATGCAAATGAGGAGATAGATGGAAAGACAGAGTCTCTCGCCAAACCGCTCTGTTACGAAGCCAAGGCATGCACGCCCAAGAGCCATGCCGGCCCAGAAGCCTGTTCCGGATGCACCTGAGGCGTAGGCTGAAGCTTTTCGAACGCGGAGCATGAACGTGACGACCCATCCACCAAGACCGACTGAGAAAATGAGCATATGGCGCCAAGATCAGTATTTGGAAGACATACCTTCAACGCCCATGTATGCAAAGAAGAACAAAGCGCAAAGCCACGTAACTTTTGACTTGAGCGCCTCTCTGGTTCCAGCACCACTACCTTCCGAATTGTTCGCATGCTCAGCCTGATACACCGCGCCAGTCTGCTGCCAGAAAGAAACAGTAAGGCCGACCCATTCCACCACAGAAATGCCAATCTACGACGTCAGCAAAAGCCAAGTATAAGAAGTGGTGACTCACCATAACGTAGTAAAACGTATACCAAGGCAACCCCGCCGAAACAACCATGCTCGTCGCAATAAGCGGCGAACACAAAGCGCCAAACGAATAAAAAGCATGTAAAAAGCCCTGTACAGTATTCGCTTTGTCCATAGCTCCAACCCAAGCGCAGAAGCATGCATCGGTCAATCCATTTCCGAAACCGCTCATGATATTGCACACGACGAGAACGGGATAGGGCGGGTGAAGAGCCAGCGCGATAAAAGTGATGAGATGACAAATTGGCGCCATGATTGCGACGCCACGTTGGCCGAACTTCATGTGAATGCGTGCATTGGTAAATGCAGCGACTGAGTATCCTGCAAAAGGAGTGAGGAAGATGAGAGATATGATGGTGTAGCTGAGATCATAGTACGTTTCAAGCTGTAATTATTAGAAAGGTGATCTGATCGGGTTAATCAACGTACATATGGGATCAAAGCCTGCAATCATTAGCAAAGTCAATTATATTGGACAGGGGGGACATACACCAACAGCCGCATCATTCATGCCAGCAATGATAAACGACAAAAACGCAAATGCCAGCTTGGCCACATTTCCCCTAGGATAATTCCATCGTTGAACCTGCGCTGACGCATACGGCGGGGGTATATCGTCCGGTGGAAGAGAAGGTTGTTCTTCGAGTTCTTTACCGCGAACGTGACATCCTTCTAGAGTCGTGAGCTCAATGGGTTCATGTGTTTGTGTAGCTGTGCTCGACATGATGAGGATGAGAAGGTTGAAGGGGGAGTGGATGTGAGAGGTGAGATGGGGAGGTTTTATGTGTGTCTGTTATGGAGGGGAGGGAGCTGCAAAGCGGATAAATACCGCGGTGCGTTGTAGAGCCTCAATGGGAAAGAGGTCCAGCGGAATGCTAACGTTGGCGGTGACATGACATGGGGGGTGACGAGGTGGGTTATGCTTATTTTGGAGCGCTATACTTAGTGGAGAAATATTCGGTAGGAAATACGGCCCGTGTTCCAAGGATTGTTATTAAATGACCACCACCAGAATAAGAATTATAATACTATCTTTATTAATATTAATAGTATTTTTAGGCTTAATCTAGCTACGCCGGAGAAAAATACCTAAGATTCCTTGTAAGATCCACAGCTATAGAGTCTGTCGTCTCCGCAAAGCTAAATCTCCATCCAGGTAAGTCTGCTATATCGCCTCGCAATATGTGGCACTGATAACCCTACTCTTTCGGCAAATTAACTATAAAATAATCCTCCCTATAGATAATGCCACTAAACTTAAAAAGGAATGAGAAAATACCTAGCTGTATGGCTATGGAAAGCTCTGAAATGCTTCAAGAGTATCTTCGCGGGATAATCTCCAAGCTTCGTAGGTTTGCGACGGATATCTTAACCTGTTTATTCCTGCCAACTCATGAATGGTCTGCTCTTGGGAGTTCGGGATGGATCCATCGACCGCCATGTAGTTATAGACCCGCGAATCTAGGTCAGCCACAAGACGATCCCGCAGCGCAAAGAAAAGCTGGTAGATCTGATTCGTCTGCCATCTTGTCCCATACAACGTCGTTAGCAACCCCACAATCGCGGTGCCAAACGGGGCATATGCGGCGATATTGCGGTATACATCTCCATCGCCAAGCTGCCGGTTTTGGGAGACCATTCTCTGATTCGCAGCGTTGATCTCCTCGTCAACTTTTGGAGTCGAGATGACTTGCCCGCCTGGGTCGTTTGCCTTGACAGCCTCAAGGATCCACTTCAGCACGAGGTCCGAGACTACCTCGTTTGGCTGAATCACCTTGCTCGCCCAGTTCCACCTCGCTAAGAGACGTTCTAACCGCCCACCACCGAACATCCGTAAGAACCGGAAGCGCTGACGCCCCAGGTCATAGTGTACGCCAGGGAACCAACACTGGGTGATGCCAAAGTCTTTCGGCTTCCCGGGGTATGGGTTCCGCTCGGCGAGACAGGGAGGGAAGACGTACAGATCATCGTGCAACGACACTGCGTGGTACACGAGCTCGACTACACTTGAGACCTTCTGATCATGAAATTGAGGCCAGTCCAGCCCCACGCCACCAACGAAGTCCGGAATCCCAAGGCTGCCTACAGTGTCAAAAAGGCCCAAGAATTTCACGGGGGGTAGCAGCTTCGGGGCTTCGGGTTCTTCGTCGCCTATCAGTGGCCAGCTGGCCCTTCGACGGAACTGTATGGATTGGGGTGAACGCGGCCGGTTGATGGGATCGTCAGAGCGGTAAATTCTGTAGACTAGGTGGCACAGCAGATCGGTCTCGACGTCGTTGACGGTGCCGTCAGAGTTCATTATACGCTTGACAATTCCGCAATTGTTGATCATACCGGCAACCGACCTTACCATAAAAGCGCCCCTGGAAAGGCCAAACATCCAGATCTGGTGATCAGGATAGCTGTAATGATAAACAATAAATTTATAGGCTGCTATGCATTGCACGGCAATGTCTTGCGCTGTTATTCCATTAAAAACATAACTATAATACTTTTTAGCGATTGATGTATGTTGATGTATAACCAATCTTCGAATGATTGTTGTGGACATACTCAAGGAATGTACTGCCAAGACCAACACCATGGATATACCAGGCCTTGTCGTCCATTACGTGCACGTCTGTGTCTGTGTTGTTTTGCATATCAATTCCAATCATCTTGGCCAGTAGGTAGATGTTCGACTTAGTGTCCGCCTCGCGGCCACACCAGCTGCCATCCCCAAGGAGGATGAGTGGTTTGGACTCGGCCGATGTGTCTGACATTATGGAAGGGCAAGATATAATGACTGCACTTCAATCTTGCCGCCAAATATGCGTGACATGCGCCCAATATGTGTGAGGATTCTTATAGAAACGTGAAATAAGTGAAAAAGAGAGCCCAAAGTAGCTGCCACTCCTTATGCTCCCTTAAAGCAACTTATAGAGCTACGAGTCACCTCATAACGCGCCATATGGCCTTAAACTAAAACCACTAAATCATCGTTGAAGTGGAACTTTCCATAACTTTATCAGTATTCAGAGCTGATAGGGCCGTCTCGAAACAAACGACTGTAACACCCAGCAGTATACTAACGAATACGTAACTGCCCGATCATGTGAATTCTTCCTGAGCTGACCTCCAGTTGAAGGCAATATGCAACCATGTATCTCTAGTGGGAAGCAAGCCAGGAAGATGGGAGAGCATGAGGAGATGAACCTTAAACTTGAGAAGGCATATGATACTACAATACGATCATGTGAAACTAACATCGAGGAGAGAAAAAGTCCTATGCTAAATGCTGGATGATAGCGAAAGGGAGGACTAGTTGCCCTGTCTGTAGTAAGAACATGGACAACGCAGCCTACGGCTCTACTCAGTATTCCGTAGTCCGATGGTATTCCAAATGCTGGATCTGCCAATACTATCGCTGGCCCAGTGGGCTTGCGACCCATAGCAGCCATTCCGTGGCAATATGCTCAAAGTGCAGATTTTGCGGCGCAGCCTAGACTATTGTTTTTATTCACATGTTATCTCTTGACCAGAAATAGTAAGGTTTGCTATAAGTCTGGGAAGCGTCACTCTAAACGGTGGCATGCCTTGCCCTCTGCTTCATATTACCCAACCACAAAGAGACTTCTTGTTTTATGGCTTGCCCGTGGCTTCAACTACCGGCAAGAAGTACATTAGACGCCCTAACTTCAATTGTACTGCCCTTGAATTGTGAACTTGAACTGCTGTTCGTATTCTCAGAGTTTCAGGTTCTGTTTATCTGATTGGTAGGTATACTGCGCCACAAGTTGATGTTGCTGACATGTGACGGCACTTGTGATGGTTAAGGAGTGGGAAGTTCCGACCATGCCGCATGGTTCAAGTAACAGAACACATGAAGTTATGTTGACATAACGGCATTTACCTTTGGGGCACATCGATCAGAGTTTCGGAGTTAGATTATAGTTTGCTCGATCAACAGGCAGCCATGATATATATGCCCCCCCACAATGAAACCCAAGCCCATACCGCATATCCCGGAACAGCCTCACTATCTTTTGTGACTGGATGCCTCGAAAAATCCGGCTACAGTTAGCTACCGAAAGTCTATGGCCCCATTGTGGCGCAATGTCTGGGTGGACATAGACTTTTGATACCTTATCTAGCATTACTCTGTTTCTCTTCTTAATGCTTAAAGGTTGGGTTACAGTAACTCAACAGCGAAAACAGACACCGTCATATTACACAACAGCAGCATCATACCTAACGCTCTGTATTATAATAGCCCTATTCAAAATAAGCCTTCTGGCTACTGTGGGTAGCTTCGATCACCTTGGACACCAACTTACAATCTACCATGCAAGCCGCCAGCAGGTGTTGCGGAACAGTGACATGTGACGCCAGACTCAGTCTTCTGCTGGAGATATAAGAACTCGGAGACACCAAATTCCACTACTTCTTTTGTGTTGATGTTGGTCAGCGGCTGCACGTCACCATCACGTATTGCTTCTCTTGTTGAAGGAGCAGGCACAGCTCAGAAAACTCTATTATTGTTTTGGTGTATACCTGGCTTCAGCAGCCAGTAGGATGACCAATATTAAAGTCCCAGTTCCATAGTTTGGTCTATTGCAAAGGATTTTCATACTTGTCTCTGGCATTGACGCAAGTAACCACCCTATCCCTACCGTTCGAGCTTTTATTAAATCGTTCGTTCCCCCTCCTATCTCGTGTGATTGAAACTGAAATAGAATATCAGTTAAAGCAAGCTGCAACCATGTCCCTTCTCACCAACTGGAATGATGAGATTCGGTTTGAAGTAGCCGATGGCCACTTCGAGAGGCCGGTGCAGGTTCGGGACGTTCAGGCCATCGTCAGAAGAGCCTTTGACCAGCACCAGCGAGTGACCGTCATAGGTGCCATGCATTCTACCACTGAATGCATAGTGGGTACCGGCATCGTCATCTCGATGGAGAATATGGCTCGCGTCCTCTCCGTCGATAGGGAAGGGCTCACTGTTACCGTAGAAGGAGGCGTGACTCTGCGGCAGCTGTGTGCCCACTTGAGAGAGCTCGGTCTCCAGCCTCCTGTGGTCCTGGAATATGGCAACTTCCAGATTGGCGCTATCAGCGGCACCCACGCCAACGATACTGCCACCAGACGCTCTGCGCAGTTCTCGTCGTTTGTACTCGGCGTGAAGTTGGTGACACCCACTGGCGAGATCATGGAAATATCGGAGTCGCGGAACCCGGAATACCTGCCCGCCATTCGATCCCATTTTGGCATGCTAGGCGTCGTTTGTGAGGTAACCGTGCGTGTGTTCAAGACCCAGCCACTGCACGTCAGTTTCCAAGTCTCACATATCGACACGTTTATGGACAATTTTGCAATAGAGCTGCAGGCTCTGAAAGGTTCCAACGACCAAGTGTTCGGGATGCTGTTTCCGACCACCGGCAAGCTGGTCTGGCAGTGCCGCAAGTTCTTGGATCTGACGACACCAAGGCCAGATTCCCCAACGGCTTGGCTCGATCCTATTGAAAGCAAGAACATTATTCTGTTTGGGGATCTGTTTTTGCCTTTGGTGAAGGCCGTGACAACGCTTCAACCCTCGACCGCCGTGGCCGAACTGATCAATAAGGCGATGGTTGACTTGCCGCTAAAGATCATCCCTCACAGTCGCTATACCATTGATCCCTGCGATCGTGGCGTTATCTACGCCAAAGACGATCCAAACTTTGATTTCTATGACTGGGTGTTTCCAGAGGGGCAATGGTGTGAGATGGTTCAGGCGTTCTTACAGCTGAGCCATCGCTTTCAGCAGCAGCACGGCTTCATCTTGCCGTTGCCCGCACTGATCTACCTTATCGAGCAGGACCAGGCGTCGCTGCTATCGCGATCCCGGAGTGCCAACATGATGGCAATTGACCCTTTGTTTCCTGATCCTAAGGATCCCATGTGGAGGGAGTTTCGCCTTGCCTTCAACAACGTTGCCATGCGTCATGGCGGTATCCCTCATATCAACAAGACGCGCGACGGAGCGATCAACCATTTTGCCCAGGCCCACGACCCGGACAGCATCCGGCAGTTTCTTCAGATACGCCAGCAGCTCGACCCCAATAATCTGTTCCTGAATAACTTCTTCAGGGCCATGTTCGCCAGTTACCTCTGAAACGCGCAGAACAACGGGCAGAGGGGGGGCAAGGAGTGATTTAGAGTAAAATCCTGTTAGATCGGTTGCCGACCACCTGATCCCTATTGCTTGCCAGGGTATAAACTTGTGCCGCCATGTGCTGCGTTCTGTGTCTCTGTTTTGTATGTACTGTCTTGTAATAGTTATTATGAAGTACTGTGACTTATTGCTAGTTGTTATTCTCAAATACAATCATTATCACCAGCCCTAACCCCAGACTGCTGAAGGCGAACTTTCTTGTCCGGCGAGTCCGAGAATTCCAAGTACTTGCTCGATACAGAAACCGCTCCAGCAAATATAGTTCTAATCTTTATGGTCAGCCGCCAGCTGAGTTATATAATATTAGTTTAAAGTGTCTTAGTATTATTCTTTTTATTTGATAACTTATTATAGATAAGTAGATACTTTATATATATAATTTTAAAATACTACTTATACCTATTTAGGCGCTATTTTTAGTTTTAGCTTACTGAGAGGCTATCTTTTGGCAATTAAACTAACTAGAAACCAATTACTACCTTCTAGAGAGAGAAAGAAATACTAGAATATAATACCTTTAATTTATAGTATAGAATTAGTTAATAGATGCCTTATTACTAGCCTTTCTTTATCTCTAGGATTATCCTAGAGATAATATTAAGTATAATATTTCTATATTCCCTTAAGCTAGTAGATGTTAAAGTTACATAATTAGCACTTTAGTATATTAAGTTTTAATATAGTAAGATTAGGAATAGGCTTGGCTATTAGTAATGGATAGTATAGCTAAGATAGCTTAATCTGGCTTTATAGCCAGGCTATTTTCTTTTAACAAGTTGCTATTAGCGATACTGAAACCAAGCTTAGCATCTGTAAGCTACCGGTCTAGCTGTAGTGTTTACAGCGATAGGTTGATATTAGTCGGCTCTTACTGAACGCTCTGTCCCCTTAGACTTGTCCGCCGCGCTTATCGAAAGTAGTTTTGCCGCTGCCACAGCCCTTCTTCACCGACCTTGCGCGCCTTGGCCTCCTCGTTCCATGCCTTGACGTTACTGAACTTGTGGATCATCCAGGACTGGCCGCCGGCCGACGCGCGCCGACACTCGTCCCACAGGTCCTGGTACACGCGCTCAGCCTCTTCCCAGCGGCCCAGTCGCTGCAGCGCACGCCCATACAGGTTGCACTGCTTCAGCATGTCGCCATTCGGCCAGCCGCGCAGGGTGATACTGCGCGCCCTGGGTGGACGGTAAGTGCTGAAGGAGACGCGATTGTCGCCATCGTTATCTTCCTGGCCGAAGCTGCTTCTGCTGCCGTCGCCGTGAAGGTACGTTGGCTGCGAGCGTCGTGGCTGCATGTGAGGCGGCTCGTCGAAATTACCGAGATCTACGGCGAGGACACCGAAGGAGATCAGGGCGCGTCGGTGGATAGCGAGCGACTGGGCAAAGTCGTTCTGGGCCGAATAGCACGAGGACAAGCGGTTGTAGCGATTGAGGGTTCGCTGGGCGGTCAGGCCGTGTAGGGCCTCGTCATGTTGGCAGAGCTGGCGCATTATACGAACTGCCTCGAAGCAGCGACCACTCTCGAAGTAGATCTGAGCCAGGTGGTCGCCGACACGCGAGATGTCGTCCGAGGCCCACGCCGTTTTGGAGTTGCGTGCTTCCCACACGTCGTGGAGAGGCTGCTCCATATCGTGCACCTGATCCTGAAACATCAGCGCATAGAACAGGTCTCGCAGAATCTCGAACATGAGCTTGTGCTCAGGTCCCAGCACTGTTTTTGTGCGATCGAGCGCAAAGCGAAGGACCTCCTCAGTGTGTGCGATGGCTGTCTCTGCGCACGAATTGTGTTGAGCGGAATCTTGGGCGGCGCGGGCGACGCTGGAACTGAGACCAGCGACTTTAACATACTGCGCAATGTCGCTCTCTGATGCGATACCGCCTGGCCTGTCCCGCATGCCCTTGTCCAGATCCTTCGACAGCCCCGCCGCCCGCGTTATCGGGCCCCATTTGCAGTATGCGTGGCCGAGGTCCAACCCAACCGCAACGCTACGCTCATGGTATGGCCCCAGGTCAGAATCACGACAGCATGCGTCGTACATTCTCTTCCAGAGATCCGTAGTGTCCTTATCACGATAAATCTGGGCGGCTTGGGCACCGGCATCCAGCGTTATCACGTCAGTCTCGCCGAAGGCCTGGATACAGTCGTCCCAGGTCTGCTGGAGAATCCGCGCTGCCTCTACCAAACCCGCCTTGTCTGAGTAGCTGAACGAGGCCGCGGTACTGGATGCCAGTTTCCGGGTGATCTCACCCGTAGCGCACACCATGTGCCATTTCTCCCACAGCTCGACCATGCATTGCGACGAGTGGCTCTTGGAGAGCCCCTCGAGTGCGTCGAGCTGCCCCTTCGTTGGCGTCTGCGTGGATGGCTGGTCGAGCCCTGCATTACGAATATCCTCAGCGAATTTAAGCCTGGGGAGCCTTTGCATCAACCATATGTAGTCGTCCTTGGACAAGCCCATGTTGGATTTCAGGCTGCTCCAAATGGCCTCCAGGACGTCCTCACGGGCTTCGACGAGCTTGCCTTCCACCAATGTCTTGTAAAATTGAAAAACAGACTTTAGCCGAGTCGATCTGTGATTGTGGTCGGAGATGGAGAGAGCGTCATCTATGATCCTCGAAAAGACGGCCTCGGAACGGTTGCTTCCAGCTTTCTCCTTCTTGTACCCCTGAATAAGACGGAGGGCTATTTCGGTCATTAATTCTGGCATGGAGCTGATGTTGTTAGAGACGTCGTCCTCGAACATTTTCTCATACAGAGACATTGCATCCTTAGCCCTACCACGCCTTTCCCAGGAGGTCCCGATCATCATTCTTATCTCCACGTCAGCTTCTTCGTATGGCCCACTTTGCCTGTTGCAGGTTTCCAATAGCTCCGTGTATATTTTCTCTGCTTCGTTCGACTTCCGCCACTTGTCAAGGATCTCACCGTTCCGTAGGGTCGCGATAATGTGCTCCCTGTGGCCGTCACCATAGCTTTCGAGACACATCTGCCGATACTCTCTGGCAACCCGGCAGAACTTGACAGATGCTCTTTGAGTCCCGTACAGTTTGTAGAGTTTGTTTCGAAGATTAATCACGGTACTGGGATTGAACTTCCACTTGTCGTTGCCAGGATTGGTGTTCATAAGTTTCTCCCGAAGGCAGAGAGACCAGAGTCCTGCATACAGTTTCTCCGCCTTGTAAACCATCAGTGACTGGCTCTCATAAACGCTCGCCAGTTCTAGGGATACTTCGACGGCTGTTATGAAAGACTTTCCCCAGTCCCTCTCAAGGCTGTTGAGCATTTCAACATATAGCGACTCGGCTTTCGATATTTCACTGACTTTCGCATAGAACTGGGCGAGTCGCAGGCCCGATTCAACTGCGGATGCACTGGAAACTCCAAAAGCCTCACGGCGGGATTCGTAGACTCCTTTATACAACTCGACGGCTGCTGTTGTTGAATCTTCCTGCTGAAGAATATCAGCGAGGCGGTCAGCAGCAAACGTAATCTTGACATCTCCGATTCCGAAATGCTTCTTGCAAATTGCGAAGAGCTTCTCGTATGTTTTCTTCGCATCTGTCACCTGGCCCGCTTTCTCAAGAGATAGTCCGAGTCTCTGGGCAACATCAAGTGCTTCTGTTGCGAAAGATTCGGGAGGAGCAGGCTCAGCAACGGCCAGGAATTGAGGCCACAGACTTTGCAGGAGCACTTCCCATGTAGCAGCTGCTTCCTTCCATGAGTTTCTTTTCTGATCATAGAGGCCAAGATTGTTGTAGGCTTGAATCGTTGCGATGTCGACCAGTCCGGTAGCTGTACATTTCTTGGCGCAGTCGTTTAAGGTCTCCCTTGCTCTTTCGTCCAAGCTATCATGCTCTAGTGATAATGCAAATTGTCGAGCTGCTTCGACAGTTACGATGTCGGGCGGGCCATGCTTCATGAGCAGGAACTTGTATAGCAACCCCGGAAGTCGTGCAGCACACTTAATTCCGGGCTGCCTCATTTCCGCTACAACTGTTTCAATGGACGTCATGGACGATACTGCAACATCTTCAGCAGCGAGAGCTTCGCAGCAGAGTTCATTCAGCTCCAAGATGACGGAAGTAGACTCCGTCATGTTGCCTTGTCGTCTGTAATGTCGCGCCAATTCCAGCTTCAAATCCACAAATAGAGCCTGCATAGCACTACCAGGGGAAGCTTTCTCGCATTGCTCCAGTACTGAGCCCAGGAAGCTGTCAGCATCCTCTTGTTTTGAGCAGTTTTCGAGCGCCTGGAATAGGTCGATTGCAGCCGTGAGGTATGCTGGATCCGGTGGTACACATTCCTCGCGAACAGAATTCCAGATCGCTTGATATACTTTCAAAGACTCATTTTTCTGCTTTGTGATCTGGTATGTCCTTGCCAAAGTGGTGCCGGCAGCGATGCTTTGAGGGTCGACGGGCCCAAAGGCATTTATGCATACCTCCCATATCCCCCGGTAAACATCGATACAATCCTGGTCCTGGCCATATTTCTGATAAAACCAAGCCAATTCCCTTGATGCAGAAATTGTCAGTGGGTCGTCCGGGCCATGGAGCTCCGACAATGCGTTCCGAATCCAGGTGTACATTTCGCCTGCTTTTTCTCTCAAGCCTCGAAGTTCAAGATTCAGTACCAGTCGCTTGGCACATTCCAGCGCTGTCTCAATTCCTTCGCCTTCAAGTTCCACACACGCTTCCCAGCAATTCCGTAACTCAGAAGAAGCTCGTTCATTGTCTCCAAATTCCTCCAACGCTTTTGCCAGACCGACCCTTGTTTGGATGACTTCGAATTCAGTATGATCCAAAAGAACTTCTCGGATTTCCAGAGCAATCTTATACACTTGTACCCTGGATTTTCTTGTAAACGTCGAGGGCCATAAGATGTTCTCGGCCCAGGCCATGGCTTGATGTGTGGGAAAGTCCTTGCATTCTTCTTTGAGAAAGGTTCCTTGAAGGGTGCCGTTGGGAGAAGACTTTAGTAAATGGTGAGCCCAGTACTGCAAGGTATACTTCAACAACTTTCGATCCTCCACCATCTTTTCAAACCTTTGTTTGGTAATTTCGTCTACGGTCAATTGTACTCCAGGGCTGTCGCTGTGAAAATTGCCTTCGATTGGGAATGAAAGATACGCCAGAGAACGAAACGCGACTTCATCATGACATGCCGATGCATTCCAGCTATATTTGTCTTGAAAGGGTTTTCCTTCCATGTACTGTTTGAGCGAAACATGAACAAATTTCACAAAACCGCCGTCGATCTTGGTTAGTGGCCCGCAAGCTTTGCGTACATCCTCTGCGATGTCAGACTTCCGTTTCTTTGTGACCTCGCGGCCTGGTTCTGTGGTCAGCACAATAGCCAATTCGTCCATATGTAATGGGCGGGCCGCAACAAGCAACCAGCTGAAGATGCGTCGTGTATCCTCGCTTTTCAGATCAAGGGAGCTCAGCATTCTGTCATAGAGTTCATCCAAGTCCTTTGGCGCTGATTTCACCATGGTTTCAATATCTTCATCCGATTGTCGATTTCTTAGTTCCTGAACAATTAAGTTGGCCCAGAGGAACATTCCATCCGCTCCATGGATTACTTTAGCCGAAATGTCGGATCTGACCTTTGGGTCTAGGCCTTGAAACTCCTCCAGAAGATTAATATTGTCGGCTACTGTAGTAGCGACGTCTGTTGCGGTATCTGATTGCTCAATATGGTATTGTCTTGTGTGAGCGCTAGTGGCAGCGTACGGAGGGCGTGTTGTAAGCACAACCTTGAAGGTGTTCTCTCCCCTTCGGGCAGTATCAGCGACCTTCACGAGCTGCTCGAATAACAATATTGGCCCACTATGGACATCACTCAACTCGTCCAGCCCGTCGATGACCATAACAAGGTCTTTTATCGTAGCGGCAACAAGGCGGAAGACCAACCAGAGATCCTCTTCAGAATCAGGAATGGCGTGTTCTTGGACGCTCTTTTTGTGAATATCCAAAAGCCTCTCGAACAAAGCGGGCGTTTCAATCTTGGCCTCGACTAGTTGGAGTAGGAATCCACGAACAATATCAAATGTTGTGCATTTACTGTTCTCATGGTGTCCTAAATATTGTTTAGCGGATGAGCATATTTTCACTGTATGACTTACGGATGTGAAAGTACAGGGTGCATCTGTCTTTTTTGTCGAGTTCCGTTTCGAACTCGTCCAAAATCCATCCTGACAAGGTACTTTTTCCTACGCCCGGTGCACCAATCACGACCATGATATTGTCGTCAATTGAATCAACGAATGATCTAAGGGATGGTCTGAACCAATTGCAGGTTCCCGGATAGCGCGTTGTGGTGAAGTCAACGCGATCCAATACCATATAGTTCCATTCTCGATCGGGTGGCGAGAGCCACTTCCGAAGACCTTGCAGCCTCGCTCGTATATCTTGGAGATCTAGGACACGCTTAGCCATAGCACAAATTCTGGCCAGAGACACACAGACCAGTGAAGAATGGAAGAGACCGTTCCAAATATGCTGCAATGACCTCATCTTCTACCAATTCCTTGTGTTGATTGAAGCTTGAGATCTTGTCTCCAAAACGAGAGTCAAAGTTTCTCATGATGCTTCCGAGGATGTTTCCTAATTGTCTTGTTAGCGCTTCAAAAAGTCTCAATCCCAAAACAGAGTTGATATGATCGGCCTACTGATATTGCTCCTACTGTAGAATACCGCGGCCGTAACAGAGATGTCAATAATGTCGGCGTAGATAAGACCCAGAGCATGCTGCATGGGTACTGAACTCAGGAAAAGATTTCTGTATCGCTCGAAGCGGCCGATGTTCTCGCCGATGCGACTCAGAGTAGCAAGTAGCTTTTCCAAGGCATCTGCATAAGCCAGGCCGACCTATTGAAAAGGTTGTTAAATAAACCCCTTCTTGGGGCCATCGAACAGGGTATTTGACGTACTGTGAGCAATATTTTGCAACTGCTCCAGACTAAACTTGCTGCCTCTGGGCTTGTACTGATGCACAGGTCGACCAAGGCTGAGTACTCATTGACCTTGCGCGCAAACGAGGTTATAAAGTTGATGACCTTTTCGGTCTTACTGCCTTGTCTCGGGGCTCTTTTGACCCTCTCACCTTCAGCAAGGGCAAGAATCTCACTCAAGGATGTAGAGCCGGAGGTAAGCTCCGCAGCCTTGCTTCCTAGCTCTTGCACACATTGAGCAACTGCTGCATCTTGGGCATCTTTCACAATTTGAGATGGGTCGACAGCGGGAGCGACTGCTCCTGTTGACGACGGGCTGTATCAGGCTATCAGCTACGAGGCGGACTCAGGAGGAGGACGGCCACGCCATGGAATATCAGACAAATAACTTCTTACCTAGTGGTGACAGCCGCTGCTGGTGAAGGCATTTGGGAGCTCCAATACAGTCGCCGTGAGGGAAAGTTGAAATAACTCAAACGTAAAACTGTTAGCAAGGCGGATGGCTACAAAAGGTGGAAGAAATAAAGATGGTATAAAATGTGATAGCACGTAGCTATTTTCCTGCTTTATAGAACCATCTAGCTCCTCGAGTTATGCGGTTCGTAGTTGTTCCCGCGGTGGGCGAGAGGGAGCCTACGTTCAAGCCACAAAGCGGCCAACATGAAACTGCATATGGGAGGCCTACCGCAGGGACGGAGCCAATGGGGTGCGTGTAGTACATTCAGCTTGGCTGACGCTAGAATGGTCGAGACTTAGAAGAACACCGAAGCCGAGCGGCGAGGCGTAGCTTGAATTGTAACTGCATACTGAACTTGCCATGGTATAAAGCTTAGAGGCTTAGTTACCTGTTGATGGGTCTAACCAGCGGATCGAGGGGTTTGAATTGATATACACGTATTGCGGCTTGTATTGCTAGCACGATTTGGAACGGGGGAGGAGGGAGTTCGGGGGAAGTTGTTTCAAAGCTGCACCAGAACCTGTCAAGGGCAAGGATCACGGCCATGGTAAATAACTCGATGGGTAGCTATTAAACTCTAAATCACAGGTATGGCGTGATTAGTGAGTTTGTAGAAACCCTCGTCTTACATATGACATAACCGCGGGGTCGTAGGAGAAGGTGGCTTTGACTAGCCTCGTGTATGGAGCCGATTGGCTCTCCATATTGTCTCTTTTCTCTTTTTATATAAGCAGATTAATTACAAGATCATCCAGGAGATACAGCTCCGGTAAGGCATTTTATATTTAATAAAAAATGTGAAAATTAAAGGTTATAGAATTAATTATAATAAAGTTTAAATTAACTTTGAATATATTCTTTATAATAGGCTTATATATAGTCTTTTCTATATACGTAGAAGAAGAGCTTTGGTATATTTCCGTAGATAACAGAAGATATCCTATTTGGACCAAGGAGCGGTGGTTGCCTTAATAGAGTCACTTGGTATCGTCATATCATGGGAATCATTAAAAGCCCCGTTCACAGTGAATGGAGGCTAATTCCTTGAAACTATCAACATAACAACAAATGGAATATAAAGATGATGTTAAATAGCATTAAATATACCAGTCAGAGACATCCGTCATGGAAAAAAGGCTCTGGCTCTTTCTTCAACATCTGCCATGAGTATCTCGCTGATGACCTTACTCCTCCGCAACAACTGCTGGTCGTGGAATCTGGGAGCGATGAGTGATACGCCGATGGGCATACCCCATGCCCCGAAAAACGCTGGTATGTTGATGACTGGCATATGAAAGCCCTTCACACAGTTGGCCGGGTGGAACAAAGAGATAATGATGAAGTGGGAAAAGACTTACTATCCAAAGGGTATTGAAGATGGGGCTTCCCATGTCGTCAAGACCAACCGGTGCATCGTTTACGGCACTGCGCGCAAGGATAATATCGTAATTTTTGCCTAGATCGTTGATGATAGTTCTCATCTTTGAGTACTCATCATACGCATCTCTCAGTTCTTTCCGGGTGATATTCGATCTCTTTTCGATAATATCACGGATTTCGTACGCCAGTTTTGCTTTGTTAAGGTGATACTCTGGTAGAAATGACACGCGTGCTTCACCCTGAATGATGACGTCTCGCAATCTTATGAGCACTTCGGGATCAGCAACCTCTGGCGGGAAGGAGACTTCTTCGACTTTGACATTGTTTCTCTTGAGGATGTCGATAGAATTGTACATGCTGCATAGTGTCCCAAGCCCTTGTGAGGACCAGAATGGAGTTTTGATCACAGCGACAGAAATTTGATCCAGGGATGTATCTTTCGGAGGCTCATCGTCCTTCAGATCAAAGACGTCTGCCAGCAGCTGCAGATCTTCAATACTACGTGCAAAGAAACCGATGGTGTCGAAGCTCGGCGCACAGGGCTTGTGAATTTTTGTCGAAATAGCGTTAAAGGTCGCTTTCATAGTGAAGATCTTAGTATAAGAAGCTGGGCGAATGACACTACCACCAGTTTGTGAGCCGAGACTGAGGGGGACTTTGATGTGTTGACGTACCGAAGATAAGTGCACCAGCAGCTCGAAGAGTCGCAACAGCATGTGAGTCGGCGTCCGGCTGGTATCCTTCGTCGATGGGAGAGCCATACTGTGTAGGCATGTCTAACAAGAGTGAGCTATGTTATCAGGCGCGATACACGCGTCATACCTTTAGTGTCCATGATATCCTGAATTCCTATAGCTAAACCGTGCAAAGGTCCTCTCTGCTCAACGGGAACTTTGTCAAGAAGTCGGGCTTGGCTCAGCAGATCTTGTTCTAAGTCAGCAATATTTTGGCAGATCGCATCCATTCCTTTAAAGGAGCTTACCTAGATGCGCCCATGCTTTTACAATGCGATCTCTATCCTGGATACGATCTAGGAGCGATTGGGCATATTCTTCCACCGAGATGGTATCATTCTTGAGCAACTCAAGTGCTTGCGTTGCTGTCCACTTATAAGGTGAGGAGTTCATCGCGAGAATTAGACGTAGTCAAGACGCCTTAGCTTGGACGAGGTTCAGATAAGACGAGAATGAGATGGGTGTAATATTTCAAGAGCTTTATGCTTGCTCTTAAGACGTTGATGAAAATGTAAATTATAAGGACGAAGGACAAACGCTTAAATAGAAACAAAGGGCGCTGAGTCAGCGACAGGATGACTTCCTGATTGATTGTCTTTGTTTCGTAGAATCAGAGAATCGATGCGATATGAAGGCGATCATCGCTGGTATGTGATTAACCTTGTTTGGCCTGTCTCGGATAAGGGTGAGTAGGGAACTCTGAATGCCACATTATCAGGGAGCGCATGATTCGTACACAAAACTTATATGGACGTTGAACTTAGACACTCATACAAGAGGTATCAGGGGAGGAAAAACTACAGTTTAATATCACACTGGAGATGATAACCATTAGACCCATCGCGTCATCACTTCCTCTATTTCGTAGGATGGTGGCCTTTACTACTGAAAAGTATGCACTCGCTTCACAGCATAGCAAATGGTGTAGTTGGGTCGAAAAGGAATTTTTGATGCATCTTTGTCTAGGTATCTTGCTGAGGTATTGATAAGGTTCACACAAAGTTAACGGCCCTAGGAGGGTTTCGCTGGAGGGCCGTAGTAATAGGTTTCAAGACAGCGATTCTTTTCGACTTGAAGACTTGAGTGGTCTGTGATAAAACCTTATAGTTTGTAAACGGGACGGATCAAATCAAGACCTCCAAAGAAAGTCCTATTATAGTTCTTATCCCTTAAGCACAGAAGTTATTAACTGGCCGAGTCATAGTACCACGGGTATAAATATGTCTCTGTCTTTCTTCTCAAGCTATTAATTCCCATTTCCCATAATCTCATTACATTTACTGGGAAAAGTCCTCTAACACCCGCCACTTATCCAAGCCGAACTCAAGATGGTAAGAAGCAAGCTACAAACCAAGCACCAACGCAGCGCTAACCACAGACCAAACAGAAGTTCCTTCTCGACACACTCTCAGGCGTCCTTACGATGATAAGCCTCGGCAAAGACAAAGGATGGACCTGCGACAAGAGCTCTGGCGCAACGAACCAAGATCTCCAAAACGCCGTCGACGACTTCAGCATAGCCTTCAGCCCCAACTCCCTAACCGTAGAAAGTAAACGCTGCTACGTGTCGGTGTGCAATAGTCACTACTTGAGTCTCTGCAACTACGGCTATAAGAATTCGACTGAACCCGTGGGTCAGCGGGTGAGGGCTAAGGAGTGGGGTCTTCCTGGGGGGAATGGGACGGAGTGTCGTGGGAACTTTGGGGATAAGGTCAATTATGATTGGTATGAGTTTGGGTTGATCTCTGAGCTGAAGGAGTACGAGAAAGACCCGAAATATGTGGAAATTCGCGAGTGTGAGGAGTCGATCGAGGGTGGGAATACGTCGAGTGTCGCTTTGTCTTGGACCGCATGAAGACTGAGATCTTGGTGTCATAGAAACCCTTGCCGAATGAGAAGAAATGTGTAGTTCCAGTACTTATATTCGTTTGGTTTTGAGAAAAAGCGTGGGCTACAATAGGATCCCCAAGCACCGGTGCAATCTCTTGGAACTGATGCGGAATCATATTGCCAGCACGTAGAAATGCTAGGCATTAATGTGTTTGATCTCTGGTGGATGTGACAGAGAGCGTTGGGTGCCAAACATGTCGTTTGTGGAAAACGACTATTACCTGCACCGATCAGCGTCTGCTTGCCATGGATGGACCTAGGTCGCTCCGGTTGATGTTTGAGCACGCTTAAAATATTCGCAGGTATTGAATTACTTTCGGTCAAACCTCATCTGATCATCTTCTTCACTGCACACTGATTGTCTCGATTTTGCTAGCGTTTGTGCCTGCCACTGCTTGCAATGTCAACCAGTTACTGTAGATTCATTATCCGTTTGCTCTTTTCAACGTTTTACGTCACCACTATCGTTTATCCCCTGTGCAACATGGTATTTGACTATAAATTCAACCTTCCTTTCTATTTATCGCTCTAATTAGCTTGAACAACACCTTCACTCCTTGAGATCACTGAAGAACTTCAACGCGAGAATTATATTCGCTTCTTCATACACACGCCGTCATGGAGCCACGCCCTCATGATCCGAATCTGTCAGAGACCCTGCAGCCTCTCATCGAAATAGATGAGTTCTTTCTCGCTGAGAAGATGAAACAGGCTGTAAATTTGGTCTCTGAGCTGAAAGCCCAGGGAAAGCGAGTGTTGATCTACGTCAGGGAGAACTCGACCGCAACGTAAGTAGGGCCAGGAAGCATCTCATAAAGCAAAATACTCATAGGTGGGCAGTAAATTGAACGAAAAGATGCGCGCCCACGGACTGAACTCCCATGAAGTTGCCACCATCTGGGCAAGGCCTGAGTGTCGTAATATCATCTTTAATTTTAACGACGCCAACCACCCTACCGACGTGGTCATCACGACATTTGCAACACTCAAGGCTCCAGGGCCCAGATTCTATGGCGCCAGCCGCCACGGTATTTTTCTTGAGATTGCCGAAGACCTGGAGGACTACATCCTAGCTACCCGTGGCCTGTACAGCATCAGTCGGACGCAAGCGGCCGAGTGGACTAGCTATTACGTTCGAGAAACACTCGACATGGTACGCGATCTTGCTATGGCACGCAAGGCGGTGTCGAGAATAGCTCGTAATCCAGCTGTGTATCCCGAAATCACGGGTGACCTGAGAGGCATTCTCGCTTTCTACGAGGTCGCCCTTGCGATGGGCCATGCTGTGAGTCGGTACCCGAGGAATCGTGTTCACTGGATCTACATGGAGACTCAAGAGATCAAGCTTGAAGGCAAGTTAATAATCTCGCTCCACCATGGGATTTCACCTAACATTCATAGGCCTTTTCTACTTTGCCGTTGCCAAGTTTCTCAGGGAAAACGCTTCAGCTGCCGCCAAGTTCAAGAAAAGCACCATGGCTCGGATCGCCAGGAGCTGGAGGCCTGGGCAGGCACTGACCATGGATCACGTTAATCTCAAGCTTCCGGCGATTGACGATGGCGTTGTCTTGTACAATTATGTAAACGACGGATACAAGCAACAGTTGTGATTGTCGTTTACGTAGGACGGACGATAGGCACGTAACCAGGTCACAGCTTAGGTATGGAAGGTTATGATACTTCTTAGTGGATAGGCGAGGATAGCCGGCGGAAAGTGAACAGGCAAACATAGTTGACTTTCATCCTCTACGATCTTGATGTGTAACTTGGCCTGGTCTTGTGTCATTATAGTGAGATAATGTACATCTAATTAACAGACTAAAGCCTCAATAGTCCCGATCATCCCACTCCTTCTTCAACGTCCCAATCAGTGCCTTTGTCTTCCATTTGATCATGTCATCAACCTTCTCGAGATACCGTATGGTATGAGCCCGCACACAGGGATTTTTTATACAGTATCCACCTACAAACAAACTCGCGTCAGCAATCATTCTCAGATTTGAACCGTGGGGCAAACGTACAAAGTGAAAGCATATGTGCAGGCAGATAGAATGCGTTTGCCACATGAGAATTTGACAAAGCAAGACCCATCAGCATGCAGAGATAGGAGGATATCTTGGTCTAGCAATCCGTTAGCATTTTCTAACAAGAACAGTAGTTTGAAGCACCTCAAACTCTTGTCTGCTATGGTTGTCTGTTTTCTCTCTGCTGTCTCGCAAACACAAAACAGCCTTGGCTGCGTAGTAATGCTGCATCGCCACAACTCCAAATTGTCAGCAAGCCGCAATGGCCAAGGCAAACGGGTACTCACCAGGCACTGACGCAGCGAAGCAAATGACTGGAAATGGAGTATCACTCGAGACATCCGCCGCTTTGTGAAATATGGGCTTGAATGAAACCGGTCTGGCCTCATACCATTCCTCGATCTCCCTCTCGACTACTTCCCACTTATCAAGATTGCCATCGGGGCTATCGATTGGCAGAAATAGCCTCATGAGCTTGGCGAAGTTATACACTGCCCTGTTCGCATACGCTGAGTCATCACATCTTCTAAAGACGGTCGACCTCTCAAAGTTCTCGAGACAAATCTCAAGAGGTTCCCTTCGAACAACGTAGACATAGATAGCTTGCCGAAGGTGAACCCAGCTCGCCGCTTCAGCCAACCCACCTTGCATGACAAACCTAGCAATCACTTCGTGATTCAATAGGTTCTGCGTTCCACTAAGATGGTGATAGTAGGAATCCGTCTCATTGTCGTTCTCCTCGTACAACCGCGCAATAACAACGGCTGTGAGGAGCGTTGAGTCCCAGGTCTCGGGCGGTTGAGCGAAAGCTTTGATAAGGAGCTTTATGCACTTGTTATGGTAAAATGTGCTTTCCATGTCGTCGGAACTATTAGTGCAGCGAGAGTCGTAGCGGCTTGCGAGCGCGAGGAGACCGTTCATTATCATGGGCTGATGGAGTGCCAGACGGGGGACTTCGAGGGCGAAATGGCGGGCATCATCACAAGCATCAGACTCCAAGGGTTAGATTTCGACATTATTTGAGATGGGAATTCTTACAAGAGGTGCGAGTCTGTGGATGTAGGTCATGAAAAGAAAGGCTTCTCGTTCCGTCAACTCGAAGGGATCTTGACTATGACCTTGAACTATTAAATCTTGGGCGGGTATATGGTGAGAAGACGTGTCGGAACCGAGAATGTACGGGATAGATGCTCTGGGTAGCGATGAACTCTCTGAGTGGTCCGGTTGATATGGCGGGATCATGGTTTGATCAACCGAAGCGTCGGTGATGAAGTTTGACGGCGATTCCCAATAATTGAGTGACTGGTCCAAAGGCGCAGGTTCAGGCTGGGAGTGCAAAGGATCATCTATCGATATCTCCATCATTCCTTCAGATATTGGCTGCGTCGCCGACTCACTCGCCTCCAGCCTCGTATCCGATTCCTCAGACACTTTGCCATCAATTCCACGAGGTGTCGTGAAAGAAACTACAATATTTGATTAAAAATCTTAACGAGAGAGCTCGGTGGTAACTTACTCTTCCGAGGGACCTTGGCCCACTTCCGTCCAGATTCCTTCTGAACCTCTGAATGAGTGTGCTTGAACCGAATGTCATTCTCAAACCGGCATTCCTGCCCTGACTCAAGACAAGTACCGCATTGAGATGCCCCAGGCTGAGTGACGCACTTTCTGTGTCGTCGGCGACAAGCGGTACAGCATTTTACTCGCTTCATGGTTACAGGATGCGGAGCGACTGTGGCTGTGATGTTGGAAGAGGTGGAATTGAATCTGGGGTGAATGACATGGGGCAAGAGATGATAGCGGGGGGTAGCTAGGCTGATGCGCTAAATCCACTGCAGAATTGTGAAATTGCGCTACTGTCATTGGCTACCTTCCAGTGGTGGCTACAGGGTGGCCAAGTTCAAGAGAGGATTGTTCGCAATGATGTGTAACCACCTGGAATGTCAAGAATTTGAGCTAATCTCAACAGTTTGATACATGAGCTGTTATGCTACAGCCATCAGCCCAGAAAACCCCAGATTCACCATGTCGCGACTACCCCCCTTTGGACTTATGTTTCCAGAGTACTATTTCCGAGGGTCCGTGATGAAAATGACAAGTTCCATCGTTCCATGCAACTTCATACCAGAAATTGCTATTCATGCCCCGATGTTCCTCCACTTCAAAGACGTCGCTTCCGTTCCATGTTCAATCGGAAACGATCGACCCTCAAGTTCGACTGCTGTTCCCTAGCTTGTGCATCGTTCCGCGAAAGGCCAGCCGCTACGTAGCCAGGTGTGTGAGGATTCCGCGAATCCAAGACAACTCCGTCCGCTAAAATGGGCGATCTCCCCTCGATCATGTCTAGAGTCAAATCTCCTTGCTCCGGACTCCAGCGACGGGCAATAAGGCTCAGGGGCCTGATGTGAATCTTATCCATATGCAACGGATTCTGCATGAGATATTTCGCCAGCGCAGAGTAGAAGTGACCCTCTCGAGCCACCAGGGGGTGATCTTGTTCGGACCAAGTCACCCGAGTTCTGGGGTATCGATTGCTGTCTTGCCCGAGGTACTGTTTGATGAGTTCAAATCCGCACATCACCCGGTGCTCTCCCTCAATCGCGTCTGGGATTTCTCCCTCTGCTGCAAGGATGTCGGCATATCTCGACGCCATCCACGTTTCAACCCAGCCATCAAATGAATTCTCTAGGTAGAGAACATCCCAGTGGACTTCATGTTCCTGCCCCATTCTCCAAAGTCGGCCGAAGCCATGAAGCATAGTAGGGAGGTTTTTGGGATATTCCATGACGATGCCATGATGGCAGGCTCCTTGGAGGTTTAGGCCGAATCCATCTAGTTGAAAGGAGACAACCAGTGCGTCGACTCGGTTTTCTGGATCATTGAACTGACGAACCATGTAGGCACGTTGGTCAACATCGTGTGTGCTTCTGATGTTAAGAGTCTCCACGCAGAGGCTAGTAAGCAAGGCCGTCAGGATCCTATCGAATTGTTAGTTACAATAGCTTGATACCGCAAGATACAATAAAACTTACAGTGAAGTCAGAGGATGGTCCACAAAAACCAGCACGCGATTTCCTTGTTCCTTCAGCTCGAGAACGCGATTGATGGTCCAACAAAGCTTGGGACTTCGTGAACAGAATGTTTTGAGGATGTCTTCGCGAGTCTCAGGGAATTCGACATCATGATTTCCCCGTATCTCATTGAGATACAATAGTAATCCACCAACCCCATCTTTCTCCAAGATCTTCTCGATCTCCTCGGAATCACCAGTATCGATAGTGGCTGTCCTCGCTCCGGAGAGGCTGAAGGACTTCAATCTGTCTAAGCAAGGTCGGTTCTTCATCACCTTCTGGCCTAGTTCCGAATTGAGGGGGGCTTTTTTCCTATCCCCATCGGGTTTCTGCGTAAGAGGGTAGAATTCGATGTTGGTAGTCGATAAAGCAAGCGTTCGAACGATGGTCGGATTCGGCCACGTATTCTTGGCTTTGTCGACAGTACCGTGTCCAATCTGCTTGTCGACGTCGTGAGAGTCGTTAAACAGAAAGGCGTAGTGGTTTTTCACGATCTTGTACAAATCATCCTTATCCTCGTCGTCATAGGGCTGAAGATTGACGGTTCTGATGTTCATCTGGGGGATAGCGTCGCCTGGCACCACGGTTGTTCCGTCAGGCATGGTCGCAGGGGTCAACATTCCACGACGAAGACAGAACAGTTCCAGCAGAGGTCGAATGGCCTCTCGTGCAATCTCAGGCTTTTCGAACTTGATTTCTTCGCAGAACCTCTGAAAGAGGTCGGGATTCATCAGGAACAAGGGACCCTTCTTCTCCTGGATATACGTGGCGTACTCGTCCCTCATGGTTTGGTCGCGGGAGGTCAACGGGCCAATTGAACGTCTCGATTGGATAATGTGATCCATAGTGAGGCCCTTATACTGCCTGCCGTCTTGTAGAGCCTGCCAAGCTTTCTTGTTGAAATACAGCCGTGCGCGGATACCAGTGCAGTCAGGGCCGAAAACGAACGGCCACTGTCGTCGCCACAGCAAGGTGACATAACCCTACATGTCTTCTTGGTGGTTGAGGAGTGGTGTCGCTGAAGTTACCAGTATCGCTTCATGTTCCAACTGGTTGATCAACTGGTGTGTTTTGGGACGAGGTCCCCGAATGGCGTATACGTCATCACAAACGACCCAGTTGTAGCTTTGACCCTTAATTGCGAACTCGATCTCTTCTTTTTCGACCTTGTTGTTTCTCTTTCGCTTCGGTGTTAGACGTAGTTGCACTCGCGCCTGGCTTGCAACTTCACTCTTTTCGTGGGAGATCATGCGGCTCACGGCCGTATGATAAGGAATGATCACGATTCTGCGAAGGGTCTGACCGACTTGTGTTAGCGAAAAGGTCAAAGTGTAGATTTGTCACTCACCTCGATGTCATCATGCAACGCTGCACTATCATCGACCCACGACTGCAGACCATCCTTTTGATCCATGATATGACATTTAATAAACTCATCAGCAGTCTGGGATTCTGTGCGATGACAGATACGGATGTCAAAGAAATTCGGGAACCAATATGACCATTCTCGAAAGCTCTGATAGGCGAGCTCCGGTGGACAAAAGATGATACTCGGCTTGAACCACCGCTTTTCATCACGAGGTCTGAACGTCCCAGCTTCAACTTCTGCCTTGATTCTATAATAGTGGATGGCCAGCGCAAGGCCAATCTGAACTGTTTTGCCAGTACCACACTCATCCGCTAGTAGCGCAGCGCGAAGAGGTGATTCGAGAGTGGTCGAAATCCAGTTGGCACCTGGAACAGACAATGTTAGCGATGAGTCTCAAGTTGAGAGATTCGATAGTGCATGAAACGTACCAGCAATTTGATGAGGTCTTGCTTTCAACCCGTGTTCCATCACCGCCGGAATGTGAATGCCGGTCTTCCAATCAATACCATTGGTATCAACGCCTACCATGCGACAAATTGCTTCCAGGCCTTGCTGCCTTGGTTCCATCGACTTCAGGAGTTGTGCATGGATACCACTGGCAACCTGATTGTCGGTTTTGACGTTGGCATGACTTGCTAGCCACTCCCTAAGTTCCTGCATCTCAACGGGGGAAATAGGTGGGAACCCATACGGAAGAGGGATTCTAGGGGAATCTTCCGAGTCGCTGTTGACAGAGTTAATGACCTCTGCGATCTCTTCAGCTTGGCAGGCTATATCGACTTCAGATGCATCATTCCCGTTCTCCTGCTGCTGGTTGTCACCGCTTGGTCCCGTGGAATCCCCGTCAGTCTTTGCACGTTTTGACGGCTCACTGCTGGTCGGGGATGCGCTACGTTTCTGGCCACTTGAACTTGTAGAAAGATCCGCGATTGAGGGAAGCGCAGATTCTGGTTCCGAAGTGGCCTCAGAATGGTTTGCACCAGGATCAGAGTCCATGGTGAAGATGAATGAAAGTTGAGTGGATGAAAGAAGAAGAAAGAGATCGTCGAGAGAAAGGGTATATGCACTGGATAACTGCGAGTGGTACTGAGCGTTTGTTAAGTTGAATGAAATGAGAGGGAGGAAAAATGTTAGGTTGACCTACTGGTTGATTGTAAGGTGATAGTGCAGTTTTAATGACGCGGGGCGAGGGAAGATGCTAAGGTCTACCCTGCCAGCCAGTGATAGATGAATTGAGATGAGAAGAAGAGCAAGTTGTGGTTGAGGGAGCCGCTTTTATAGGCAGAAGGGGGTCACGTGATTGATAGTGGTCAAGGTGAAGAGCTTCGGTGACTGCAGACCAGTGATGAAGGTGAAGGCAGACGTCACCGGACCGCTATCGGGACTACCTTTAGCGGGTAGACTGGAGGTTGGAGTCATTCGGGATAAGGGGGCCTTTCCAAGGTGGCTCGGTTCCCAGAGTCATGATCTCAAAGCCTCATCTCGCACTCAAGCTTGGACCGAAGTTCAACAGAGACAGTGCTGAGTTCAGAGAAGCCTCGGTCATTGAGAAAGTCTTGGGGTTGTGAAGTGATATTTTGAAGGTGAAGAGCAACAACAAAGAAAAGACTGCACAAGACGATATCTTCCAACACTTCTCAACTGCAAGCTAAGTGTAGACTGCCAGTTAGGTTCAATTGAGACAGGGTCTTCGTCATAAGATAGAGAATTAAACGATCAGTTCAATGGTATCAAATACGAAGGAAAAAGAGTAAAAATTACATATGAAAAGAAGCATGAAGAACTTAAGTCCTCAGGGGAATCCGTCCCTTTATGTCTGTTACCACAGACATCCATCTGACCCCACTAACGAAGCTTAGACCTCTTACCCTGGAATGCTTGCCACAACGGTCACAATATTACAGATGTCCTTTCAGATGCCTGGATATTGGGTTTTGGGAAAGATGCTTCGAGACCGGAGTCACTCTGCGAGTTAAGGCACGTCAGCCCTCAGCCAGACTCAAGTCGAAATAGCACATTAGATATTAGCTACAGTCACTCTGCTAACCTTTAAAGAGACGTTGTTTTATTTTCAGTTCGCAGAGTGGTAACCTCGACGCACTGTCCTCCACTGACGGCCGAAATCAACGGCACTACTGCCAAATATAGCAAATTCTCGGTCGCCGAGACCATTTAGATACTTGACATCAACTTTGAAGATCTAAAAAATGGTTTAGGTCATAAAAACTTCGCCCTAGGAACTGTGAGAGAATAGTCATGGTAAGGAAGATCGGTCCATTGTGAGTTTGCTCCGGCTATATTGACGGCGAGCCTTGATTAAAAGCATATCTACTCCAACGTCCGACACCGACAGGACCACAATACACTATACCGAAAGAGTCCTCCATTGGAAATGTTTTTCTCCAATGTCAATGATCGAGATTCCTTGCCGGTGTACCATAAACTTTGACAGATCAATCAATGATATCACCTGGTACGATTATAGGTCGAATACGCCACCGAAAATATTACTCTGTGAGCTATGGTAGAGTAGAATTCCCAAAAAGTCAATTAATTAGGACTTTGAGGCTTCAAGGCTTCAAGGAGAAGTTCATCGCACACCTTACCCAAGAGTGCTTTTGGAGGGATAAGGATAACGACCTGTGAGCTGTGTGTCCTCTCTGAGTGTTCAATAAAGAAGGCTTGCACGGTCACCGTTGTGCAACGTGGTCCCTGGAGGACGAAATCCAGGTTGGTTCAGCGGATCTGACTCGCGACTGGTCGCTCGCTAGTCCTCAAACCCGAATTCGGTGTTATCATTTCTGATTTCGGAGATGATATCAGCGAATTCGACAAGGACAAGGACATCCGATCAGCTCATACAATGCTCTCATCTTATAAATATACTAACTTTCACCTTCAAGTGTCTTCGTCGGTTGAAAATGTGATATTTTACAGCTCACCGTCAATGACCGAGAGCATATCCTGATTTTGAAATTATCTAGTTGGCCAATATGCTGACGAAGCTAGAAACTGCAAACCGAGCGGAGGCACCATCTACAGCGATGGATATGCACCCGAGTCGCCACTCTGACTGACCCAGCCCATTCGGGGCTTACTTCGGGGCTTTGAGGCCGAAATCCTGTGATCTGAAGGGAACAACGTCCCTTGGGTTCTCGGCCCCCTGAACAAGAGCAATCAAAATGCTGGAAAAGTCAATTTTGACAAAGAACTTGAGCATAGTGTTCACTAATATACAGCTGAACAGCTAACCAGAATTTTCATAACTAAAAATCAACTCTGGTGGGAATAAAGACGGTAACTTGTCTCTTTATTACCACGTTCTGATCCTAACTCACGCCGATCCGACCCAGCCCAGCTCAACTCACAAAGACACCAAGGCCAAGAAAAACAGCTATTAGATTGCGACAAAGTCAGACCAGTGAAAATGCCTGCTCCTTCTGAAGAATGCCAAACTCCTTCAGGAAACAACCCACATGCGATATCTTCCAATTTCCTCGACGAAGTCAATGAGCGTCTTATCGAATGGTTAATGCAAGAGGCAACGAACTCTGACTATGAATCATCTGAAGAATGCATGACCTCTGAAGACGAAGAAACGGAAAAGAAGTCGCATAGGTTTTTGGAAAGAATGGCTCACCGCTTTAAGAAGTGGCTTACGCATCATCACCATCACTAGGAATAAAGTTCTTGGGGTCCCACGGTTTGTGAGGCATTTGTTGTGAAATTCCTGGTCACTTATGACTTTTATTAAATTTTCAGGTAAGGAACAGTTTTATTTGATGGAGGTAAACCTCTAAGATGCTTCACGCAAACACAAACGCAAGCACATTTCCTATTGCCGAGAAGACTTTATCACCATTGCCATCACTTTCTTCCCCTTGCTCAAATCAATCCCTTTCCTCTATTCTGATATCCTTGGTTCGCAGCTGCGTTTTTCTTTCTGGCCTTGCCCTTATGTCTTCTCTTGTGTAGTTTTGTGGCTTCTGAAGGCCCTTACTCTGTGGTGGATAACTTGTAAGGGGCGTAGGTGGGTTTAGACACAAATGGAAGGAAAAACGAGATTGATTATGGCGCATAAAGCTCAGTTTAACTTATAATTAATAATATAATTTTTTCTTATACGTCGTATCACAATTGAACGTTATTGTGAAATTGTTGTTGTCCTTCTAACAACAGAACGCTGGTACGGGACTCAGCAACTCCGTAACATCCCTCGACGCTTCGGCTCGGTCCTATCACCTTGATACCAGGTTTCAGGTCGAGCTGGAGCAGTAGCTGTGGAGACACGGCGACCGAGTGTCGAGAGCTCTGATGTTGGATGTGAGCCGGATCTGCTTCGTGAAGGGCCCCAAGAGCCACTTGAAGACCGAACAGCAACTGAATGACTTCGACCGAGCGCTGGTGGATGAGAGTTGTTCCACTGGTTGGTCGATATCTCGGGCAAACTCAGTAGTGGTTGAACAGTTGGTGATCTGACACCTTGACAGTTCCGATCTCGCCTTGATGGTCGTCGTTGGGGAAGTGACGACGTTATATCCAACAGGGGAGGTGGTGTAACACCAGATTGAGCGCAATAGATGGAGTCTGTTCTGACAGAGGATACACTTGGTGTTCTTCTTGGTCCGAAACGATTCGAAGAGCTCGCTGTTGACGCCACTCTAGTTAAATCGCCTCCAACTCTAGTGCCATCGTATGAAGCGCGGTAGCCCCGTGTATTGGGCTCGGCGAGAGATCCCAGAAGTCCCCTTGTGAATGGACTGTCGTGTTGCTCGGCTATCCGCGAACTAGCCTCCATTTGCTGTTTGAGCAGATCATATCTTTCCCCGAGCAGACCTGTAGGACTGAAAGGCTCGCTAAATGTCTGTCGGTTATTTTCTTTACAGGGATTCTGCAAAGATGAATTGATTCGGTTGATCGAAGAGCGACCGTATGTCTCACGGGGGTTGTTTTCCATATTGATGAGCTTGAGATAAAATATTAGGTGCGAGAATGGTCATGAGATTTTGCAGCGGAATTTCTGATATAATAGAGGTGATCAGTCTTTAATAAGACGGGAATGCAACATGTTATGTTTCTGTTCTGACACCGATTAACTTAATAATTGACGATCTGGATATATTGATGCTGCATTCTTACTAACCAAGCATTCCTTCACGGCGCATGCAGCCTAGCCACTGTAAAGGGTAAGTAAAGTAAGCCAAAATCTTCAAAAACCTCTCTCAAGCTGGGTTAGTAAATGTGATAACATTGAGCGCGTGAGTCCAATTGCCCAATAAGAAGCTGTGATAGTTGACTGCAACCCTGCTGCTACAGGGTCCTTCGGTGAAAAATGGCCGTGTCCACTCATCAAATTGTCAGCACAGCCCCGATCTTCAACGAGGCTGCGCCACCACATTCCACTGGGAATACCTTGGATGTAATCGTCATACAATAGATTACGGTTCTTTTAATGGTTTCTCGGGATTCCGTGGTTGAAATAGTAGACTTGTTCATTAATTTGTGGCTTTACTACGGACTGAGATAGGTGGGCATGGCATCGCTTGGGCCTGATAGGATCGACAAGTTTCCTCGTTGAGGTGTTTCAATGGAGGCGGTGCATAGTTACAAGTAAGTTATGTGTGGTGATTATAAGCTCTGCGGTGCATGGATCAATCTTTGAGCATCCAGAATAAGTTTCTTGGTCTCCTTTCTTCTCTGAGCTTTCATTTTCTCCGTCTATAACTTTGGCATTGATACTTGCAAATCTGCTATTGCCAAGTTACTTAATTACGATTAAGATTAAGAAATTAGTCTGCCTTTTTCCCTTTCGATACTTCCATGGCTATTGTATTATGATCCTGTACTTCTCCTCCGTGCCCTTGGGGTTCCGACGTAGCAACCATCCTCTTCCTCTTCCTACTACGATGTATACGACATCCTATACAAGCGAAAATCCCTAACCCAACTACAATCCCAAACGCAACTCCTACCCAGACAAGTTTCTCTAATCCCTTTAAACCCGAGTCGTTTCTTGGTGTCTCGGGAGCTGGAGTAACTGTTTGTGCAGGCCGTGGCCAAGGTCCACCTGTATAAGGATCATCACAGTCGGGAACACAAATCGTTCCACCTGGGTTTATCTGATACGATATGGTGACTGCTGATGCAAGGAGGATGTCTTGTTCTTGGTCGAATTCTATCGTCGTTGAGACTCGGATGTCTGTTTGTAGAGAACTTGCGGATGAGAGATCGAAGGCTGTTAGAGTCAAGGGTGAAGTACCCGATGGTTTCAGGTTGGATGCAACGCAGAATTTATCGTACGGCGTTGCAGAGCTGCCGCTTTGATCAGTCAGAGTCGGTCTTTTCCATTCAAAATCGTATGCTCTATGAATCAATCAGCCTCCTGCACAGACATAATCACGACGGTCTACGGACGTCAGGCAACACAGTATCTCCCGTGAAGTAGTCGCATCAGGTGTGTAGTCGACGGTATGAGCAGGAGTATATCCTACAGGACACTCCGTCGCTGGATGGTTCCAACCTGGACCGCAAAAGCCATTCAATCCAAGACCAAGGCCACCGGTAGTATGAGGGTAATCAGTATATCCGAGCCAGAGGTAGTTACACGTCCGCGTTGTTCTGTATAGCCCCTGTGCCGTTCCAGAATAGCATTGTGTCTCCATGTTCCATATGCTCTTCGTGTCAAGACATTCCGGCGGCGGCGTGAAGCGTGGCAAAGTCCATGTCGGATTTGGAGTAGTTGGAAAAGTCGTTATGAAGGTTTCAGTCATTTTCTGAGAAGTCGTATAAATCCCACCTACTTAGCATATTCTGGGTGAGCTTAAATGAAATTGAAACAATGGGCTGGCTGCTTATTATATACGTTCATGCTAAGAGAATCAGCCTAAGCGCAGGCAGACATGGCTGCAGGGATGTCGTGCCACTATCCTGCATGAAGGATTCAAGGCTGTGTCGATATCAAGGATATTACTCGTCGAACCAACAAAGCCAAGACTTCTTGCTCAGAATTGGAGAAGGTATTCGTGGTCTTGAGCGAAAACTCGACAAGAAACTAGTATCGTGCAATTAAACAATGCAGATGGCTAACGGCATCACTCGGCGAACTGTTTGTAGGTATGAAATGGACGAAAATGCAAGAAGATTTCTCTTGGGAGGACTGCTGTAACAAGTCGCCGTATCTAGTAATCACCGGAACACGAGGAAGAATAATAAACCCTGTTATTGAGCAGGGTATACTTCTACCTACGGCCCAACACGAGCTGGTTTGAAGTATGCTTAATTTGGAATACAGGGCTGAATTGCAAGGCTGCTGGGTATTTCTCTGTCTTGCTATAGGACGGACGCAGAGATCGCTATAGTTATGGCTCTAAGGGGTACAGAGAGAGGAGTCAACTTAATTCAAGAGGATCTGGGGTTAAGGGAAACAGGTCTTCATTATCTTCTCTACCAAAGCTAACTTTACCAAAGCTTGATGTCCTGAAAGATTTCACCTCAAAATCTACTCATATTTGCCTGTTCCCAAGTGTCTTCTCTGTGCAACGCTGAACCTGGGCAAGCCTCCCAGAGGTTGCATTCCTAGTACCTCATCGCCATCATCATCTCTACAGGACAGGCTCCATTTGGAAACAGTAGTTTCCAATGGCAACGTTGCGCTCATCGTCCTGTTCAATGCTGGAAACGCCACGAACACGAGAAAGCATGTCGCGCGTCATCTTCCACGTCGCGGCAATCTGCTCCACCCACTCCGGATCGCCAAAGCCAGGCTCTTTGACCTCAATCCAGTGGTGGTGAGGCTGCTCCGTCTGCTCAACATCCTTGTTCAAGCGAATGATCCAGACACGGGCGACAAACCCAGGGTGACTCGTATGGTAGCCACGTTCTTCAACCGAATAATACTCTTCGATGAGAGGTTCTACCTCCGGCCAAGACAGGGGGCTAAACTCAACTGTCTTACTGGCATCCCAGAACCGGAAACCGGCCCAGTTTCCGCCGAGGGAGATGTTCCCTCGGCTATACCCGTAGAAGCCGATGTTGGGTGCAGAGAATCGCGCGTCTGCAGTTGAGAATGTTGAGCGGTCCTCAGGAGCACTAAGGTAGTCCCAATTGTTGGGGAAGTCCCATAGAATTCCGGCGTCTGCACGAATGCCACGGCTGCGGAAGTACTGCTCGGCTTCAGTGGAATGTTCACCGACGCGACGAGCACCCCAGCTATTCCCGTGGAGTCGGGGACCGACGATGTCAGGGCCATACATCTGGAAACCATCGATGTGCCATTCACGACCAACATTCTCGACGATAAGAGAGACATTCTTGACCTTGGGGAGGCGAGAAAAGATGGGCATATCTTTCTCCAACTGGATGTTGTAGTACGTCGGGGTCACTGGTGCTACAGGGGCAGTAGATGGCCCTGCAACATCAGACCCATCGTCATCGGGAGCTAAATCTGTTAGCATAGAGTATTCTCTGTCAAAGCTTATGGGGCCTACTTACGAGCTTGACCTCGTGGAAGGTAAGTTGTGCGTGATACGCTGAGGATATTCTCCAGTGGGAGAGCATATCGATGATAACCCTCGACTTTCTGAGGGTTCCAAGCCGCAGAGGCACGAAGGGCAGGAAGACGCATATCCATGGCCTTAAAGGTGTCGTGCACTGGGTCCATGCGAAAGGGGACACCACCGATGCATGACATGACAGGAATCCCATTGCCGCGTTCGATGGCCTTGAGGCATCGGACCTGGTCCGAGAGTGCAGCGATGCCCGGGCTGGAGCCTTGGATGTTCTTGAAGGTTTGCTCCTCATAGTTATCATGAATCCGATCGATGGCGGAGTACCAGTAACGAAACGGAACAATGACGGTCGGAAGAGCGTGAAGGACGACCTTCTTTCGCATCTCCGTGGGGAGATCGTTGAAAGGGAAAGACGACATTCTCTGTTGCTTCACGGTCAGTATAGACATTGACAAAGCAGGGTGGGGTGTGTGTTCTTACGTCGGCGTGCTAGTACCTTGTGTACTGCAGAGTTGAGATGAGTGATAGGTCAAAGTTGTCAATCTCAAGGTTGACTTTCTCGAGAGAATGGAGGTCTTGTAGTTGATCCTTTGCTCTGTGGAGGTTTATCGAGATATGAGACACGAAATAGTGCGGGTGAAGGGATAGAAAACAGGGTCAACTCTGTAACAGGTTGATGAGCAATGGACAGTGAGTTCCTGTTCGGTATGGTAGCGGTATCTAAAGTTCCGCCTTGAAGGACCTTGGTGATGTTGAGTGTAGAAGAGGAAGAAGAGAGGTTGGGAGAGGGATGGAAGATGAAGATAGAAATAGGTGCGGTTGCTGAGGTAAATAGATGTTGTGGAGAGTGAGTACTCACCGTCACTGCCACTGTTACGATGGTAATGGAAAATAGATACCACGAGACTATTGCCAGTGCCAGTGCCAACCTTCTTCAGCGAGCGAAGGGACAGGCTTGAGTTCAGACAGGTGAATAAGGCGGGCCATGAACGGCACCAAGGCCTCTGTTCCAGTGGCTGAGATGAACACCGTAAGATGGAAAGTGAGTCCAGTTAAGAGGAAAAGAGCCCAGTTCAAATGTTCATACAAACGGTCGGCGGTGGCAACGTATTCATCAGGGCTGCCAGCTGAGAGCTAAGTCATTCAGCTGTTCCCACGACTGGTTGGCTTCGACGCGTAACTTGGCGTCGTCTGTGAGCGTGTTGCTGGATGGCACATGTGGACAGTTTAACTCGCAACAGTGCAGCTCGTCTGCAGTGTCAGGGAACATGTTCTGAACCTACTCATCTTCATCCTAGTTGCCTATCCATTCACTTTGCTCCCTGCGACCACGGCCAAGTCGGCAGACGCGGTACCCAGCCTGCTTCAGAAACTTGGACCCCCCCTGCTCTCAGTGCCTACTCATGTAACCATGGCCTTGAAGCTTTCTTAGCCCTTCATTTCATTGTAAATAATGCTCACAATGTGCCAATCCTCACGTGAAACGCTTTGCTCTTCTCTTCTCAAACTGTCCCCTTCACTTCCCGAGGCAAGGAATATCTCTCAGGATACCCTTCAACGAGTGACACAGTGACTGACTCTATTCACATAGAGGTAGTCACCCGTCCACTTCTGAACCATATCTGCTCATTCCCATACCAACTTCATCCCAAAACGGCCAGATACTATCAGCATTGATCTTTGCAACTCTCAGGATGCGATCCTCAATCAATTCCGCGCCATCAAATGCAAGAACACCCCGCCGCCTTTACATGAAGGGCCCGAGAAAAGTCTCAAAACCGTCTAGAATTACAGTGCCAACGGCCAAATCACCAAGATGAGACCGACACGTCGGCAACTCCGGCGGACTCTGCTCTAGGCCTGTCGGTAACACCGAAGGTGAAGTTGGCCCGAGTGGTGAGTCGCTAGGCAGTAATGGAGTCCCCGAAGTTGATGTCAATACACAAAATGATCATCTCAATACTGCGCTCTCAGCCCTTCCATCTGTGTCATCTTAAAACTTCAGTTTGATGCTATCACAGCTTGTCAACACCTTCGACGTCCACCAGAACGTGACAGGCGCGCTCGTTGCTAACGGCTTTAGTATAGGGAAAACACACACTTAGTTTGCTACCCTCGCGATTTCGCTCCGGAAAAGGCTGGATAACCGTTCATTTGTGAGCCTTTAGAGCCCAGAACTATGTCTGCACCTTCTGAAAGTGATATCGCAAACTTTCAACGAGTCTCGCAAACATTGGACAAGATTCTTCAACGGTTACGACTGCAGGAAGGCAACGATTCCTTACTATCTCGAACGTTGAACCATAACTTGCCTTGATCAATCGCAATATTATCATTCTTATGTCTTGCCAGACCTCTGTGAATCTCTTTCCTCAAGCAACGAGTTCGAAGGTGCAAACAAAGCTGATTCAGACGATGGAATGGGGGGCTCAAATTTGCAGGGATTGAACGTACGAAAGCAGGAATTCTTCTACATCGTCCTAGATGAATATACGGCCAGCCAATAGATCTTAGATACGCTAGAAGCCGACGCCGAAAATTCACTTGACTACATAGCCTACCATCCTTCAATGCATAGTTCACCCGGACCTGTCGTTCCTCTCAACAGATGTTTCTAGAACCTACGCCGTAATCTAGGCAAAGTCAAAAGCATCGCCTAGAACTTCCTCATCATCGATCAATGGAAACTCAAAGTGAACAGTTCTTCCTACCGAATAATTAAATCTCAATCAATTACTTAAAAAACTCTCAAATCGTGGCTTCGTCATGGAGCCTTTTATGATCGCTAACAAAGTTGAGCGATGTTGAGTTAAGTCTCACAAGTTCCCTACCCTGAATGCTAACTAGAAAATCTCAGTCAAATCACACAATTCTGTCACTAAGTCGTACCCTTGGAAGACCCTGCGAATTATTGTTGATCTTTACGAGTTGCAAGGTTAAAAGACACTTGGCTGTACTTTGTGGATACTATTGGGTCACTAACCGCTGTCAATTGTCATTGCGTGTGGCATTGATGCTGATCCCCGAGTTTTGACATGACGATCGCAATATCACGGTTAAACTTGAAACAATAGCGACCAGCGCATAATAATTCATCGTCATACATTGATTCATAGCATTCCTCTATTGATTCTTCTCAAAGTCATTGAGTCAACATGACCGAAATGGTGCTATAGTCGCGTTTCACATGAACTCAATCATATCCGGAAACAGATATCTTCTTATTCCCTTGGCTCGTCACTAGCCATACTCGAAGCATCGTCCCAGCTTAACTTTTCCCCTCCACAAGAGGCCGCATTCCTGCCAACACGCTAAACAAAGCAAGACCAAAGAATAATTCCAAACCAGGCACATGCCACGGGCCGATCCCCTCCCCAGGAGTAAAATCCCCGAAACCTCCTACGCGCCAGAAATCCTCTTCTGCGCTAGTCCCCCCAACTTCTCAGCAGCAGCCCCCAGACTCCTCGGATCAGCACCCTTGATCTCAACCTGGCCGTTGACAGCGACTTGTTTTCCCTCCTTGAAGAACAGAAACGTAGGCATGGCTGTTATGCCGTACTGGCGCGCTGCGTCCTGGACGTGGTCTACGTTGACTTTTGCAAAGGCAAGGACATTGTCAACGCTGTGCTTGGTGGCGAGTTGCTCGTAGACGGGTGCGATGGCTTTGCAGGGTGGACACCAGTCTGCGAAGAAGTCGACGGCGACGTATGTTGTTGATGAGAGGAGCTTTTGGAGCTCCTCGTTTGAAGTGATATGATGCACCATTTTTGTTTTTCTGCTGGTATTGATCTACACTGATCGGCAGAGTTTTTGAGGAGAGTTTGAGATGCGGTGAGATGAATGTCGATTTAGTTTCGGCAGTTGATGTGAGTGATCTTGGCGCTGTTGAGGTTTGGATGTGTTTATATGGTTTTTTCTTCTTGACCTCCGCTTTCTCATGGATCTTGAGAGAATCACGAAGAGCCGCTTTGAAATGGAATCATATCACGTGATGTTGCGCAATTTGGTGATTCCTCATCAAGGTTGATTACTGAGCCACGTCTAAGCCACAGCAGATTATGCCGTGATCTGACGCTGAAAAGCATTGACAAATTATGATCAGCGAAACGTTTTAGCGAGACAGAAAATAACTCAATGCAAATCATCAAGGTTCCCTGACTCTGTAAAATCTGACAAATGACCCCAACCACGGATATAAAAGACACTGCTTATACGCTACAGCTGACATTTGCTTTTTGACTGGGTTTCTACTGCGCCGCTTATTATTCTAGAAGGAATATTAGGCATTGCTTTTTTGGTGTCTTGCATGCCCCAGACTCAAAACTACCCTGCAACGATCATTGACTACTGTACGTAATATCAATCAGCAATCGTCGCATAACATGTTACAAGTTACCCAGTCTCGACCCTTCGTCAATTATCACCTCCCTCTTAAGGCTGCCTCCCGCAGTGGAGAGAAGTTATACGGGGGGCCATTCGCTAAGGTAAATCCGGAATCATCTCCGGAGACCGAATCACCTTATAACCCACCATATAAAGCCCATTGCTTGGCTATCGCGGAGACTATGAATCTTACCCCGGATGGAATAGGCACAAAATTATTGAGAAGGTAATGCAATAGTTCAGGGGAATAATATCGGGGAACTTGAGGTGGTCGGTTATCGTTTACCGATACCCACGTGTTAAAAGCCAAGACTGCAGCCGAAAAGCCAAGGTCTAGGAGCTAAAGAGCAGGTAACATTTACCCAGAATCGATAACTAAAAAAGAGGCTTGCATAGAGGCGAACGCTTTGATGAAAGAAACTGAATCGAAAAGAGACATGTCACTCTTCAAATAAAAAGAAAAGAGTAAAAAGCCTCCCACGAGTCACGCAATTCGAGATGCCTCATTCGGCAAGTGGGGAGAGCTTTCAGCATCTGTGCTCATCTTTGACAGGACTAGATTCACTAGAAGCAGTAATTATCGCGACCATCAATTTGGTTGGTTCTAATCTTGGCCCGGATAACTCGGTCTTGACTTTCAAGATAAGCGCAGTGACAGAGGAGCTGAGACAATTCGTTACTGACGATCCGGCTCAATCTTCCCTTGGGGGGGAGGGCTTCATGGAGTGATCAACGAGTCAAGTCCCCTGGTGCCCACGCGATCGGTTGCTTGGCAAGGGGAACTAGCAAAGTCTATTGGAAGCCATGAGCCCACTGGAAATCGGCGTCTAACTTATTCGGGGAGATAAAAAACAGGGTCAGCGGCCATGGTCCGTTGAGAGGAATGGATAAGGAAGACGTTACGCGAAGGCTGTGCGCCACTGTCGCAGTTTAGTTCGCCACCGAAGGAAAAAAGAGCGCTTCCATTCCTCCAGGGCTTGTCAGGCCTGTCCAGGCAGGGTTTTGTTTGGGTGGTGTCCTAGACGTAACTGATCTACTGGCTCAGCTTGATCAAGGGGTCCCTTGCTCTGCGTCTTGGTCGCAAGCATTTGAATCACAATCGACTCCCAAAACGTGGCAAAACTGCATTGTCATTCCTTCGATCGTGCAGCTCGTTCCCACTGAATTGAGACAAGGATGATAACGAATCAGAGCCTCATCCTAGCTAATTTGCCTTCGAAGGACCGATGACACCCGCTGTTTTCGGTCCAACGATGCTGAGAATCAGTGGCGTAAAACCGGGACTAATGCCAGCTCTAGACCAACCTAAAGAACTGGATTGTCCCCCGATCCCCTGAGACGATTTCCATTCCCAAATCTCAAAAACTCCACCTTCGGAGGAAATCATAAAAACTAACCCAAGCTCTTGGTTTCCATTCCCCCCCTTTAACCCACCCCCGCGTTGCTTGTGTTGTGTTGTGTTGCGTCGTCTTTCTTTTATTTCCAGTGTCTCATTCAGACCAAGTCATGCGCCGTTGCATCCTCGACAGCCCTTCCACGTCGAATTGACAAACGCCCTACGAAATCCCGTCGTACCACGTTTGATCTGTACCACCGAGACGAAGCCGATTTGTAGAGAATTTAATTCCGTGCGACCGACAAAATGACGGCGTTCGAGGCTGAGATATGGACTTGGTATAGTCTATCGTGGATAATTGTCATTGCGAGAATGTAAGACACATCCACGAAGGATCAATTGGGTTTAAACTGACCCTGGTACAGGATATCACGACGGATGTTACTGGGTTCTCTCAAGAAGCTACAAGTTGAGGATTACCTGATGATAGTAGCAATGGTGCGTCACCATCACAACCAACACACCAGCGCAATGTCTAATTGTTACAGTTCACCGATACCGTGTTAATGGTCGGCATGTCGATTATTTCGCAAACGAGCAGTAACCTCATCGATCCCAGCGAACACGTCATCCTCGACGCCGAAGAGATTAGAACGAGAGAGTACGGATCGAAATGGGTCTTGGTCGTTGAACAGATGCAGATTGTCACCATTTGGCTCATGAAGTACTGCTTGTTGCTCATGTACAACCGCCTCACGTACGTCGCTCGTCCCGATGCTCAATTACGAATCTAACAATTGCAGAATGAGTTTGAGTCAGAATCTGGCTGTCAAGTTTGTCGCCGCCTATGTCACTGCTGGTTTCGTCATCATGGAGATCTTGTACCTTGGTGTTTGGTGTCGTCCGTTTAACCAGTACTGGGCTGTTCCTCCAAAGAACAGTATGTTGCATCAATGCTCATGCTCAATTGAACCTTACTAACGTTCACAGCTCAATGTTCTGCTGCGACGAACCATCTCATCACCAACGCCGTCATCAACATTACATCCGATATCATGATCATTCTCATCCCAATGCCAATCTTTCTCAAGTCCCAGCTCCCATTGAAGCGAAAGGCTGTTCTCATTGGTGTCTTTGCATTGGGTGCCTTCACTGTATGTTTAACTACACATTCAACCCACCTGAAACCCAAACTAACACGCGCAGATCCTCTCCGCCATCCTCAACAAGTTCTACAGTTTCAACGAACCCTTCGGCTCAAACTGGACTTTCTGGTACATCCGCGAATCCTCCACCGCCATCATAACCGCCAACCTTCCCTACATCTGGACCCTCCTCCGCCGCATCTTCAAGCTCGGCTCATTCAGCGGCTCAACATACGGCAAGAGCACAAACAACCCCTCCAAAGCATACCGCTCAAACTTCACCAACCATCGCTCCGTCGTGCGCTCCCAAGTCCGCGCGGAGCATAACTTGCACCAGGTCGACAGCGAGGAAGAGATCAACGCCACATACGCTCTACCGCTCAAGATCTACGCTAAGCACGAGATTCAAATCACGAGTGAAGATGCTGGTCCTGAGGACAGGAGAGGACCGGTGGGGTGTATTCCTGATGAGTTGATGAGCCGTAGCAAGGACAGCATACGGACCGATGATGTAGAGACTAGCTCCGAAAGATCGGCTGCCGGTGTTGTCAAGGTTTATCACGGAGTATAGATTTGGATGGGCGACCATTTGTGTCATTTTTGTTTTTAATGTTTGATGATTTGGGTAACGCCTGGATCAGATACCCAGCGATGTATAATTTGCCCGTATAGATAGAATCGTGCCTATAGCACCAGAAGCGATATCAACAAGCTTTTGTCACAAGTATTCATTTTCCAGCCATGCCTCAATCACTGCACGTTTGAGGGGTTCTCGTGCTAAGCCTAAGCAGCCTGTCTTGGGCTTAGTCTACCGCTTCTCGTATGACATCTTTGGCGTGCCAAGGTTAAACGAGTCAGGCCCCCCAAACTTAACTTACACCAACGAAGAATAGCTTCGAACGGGTTATCAATGCTGATTCCGCCATCTCCTTAACTAGCTCCGAGACGGGTAAGCTTTGATGCCCGCATCCCCGGCGCAATTCCGATGATCGGCGTGCTCTTGGTGGAAGAATGCAACCGGATCAAAACGCTAGGCTCCTCCGCGACTATTTGTATCTGTGGGGTTTTTGAGATTTGGAAGATTGCCTAGTAGGAATTTGGATAAGATGTTGCGGATCCGGATGAAAGGGGCTCTGAAGTGGTGGAGTTAGTCTGGATTTGAACTGACAGGTTGTCGGTCCGGGAGTAGTTCAGATAGCCGTGAGCGAACACGTGCTCGTTGATAGTTATCTTTGGCTGACTCGGGTGATAAGGCTATCGGTTTTAGATCTATTCGCCGCTATTCTAAGATAGCTGCGGCCTTGAGATATGACATCCCCCGGACAGTCGCTGGTTAAAAGTGTTCCCCGAGGATGCAATCGATGCTTCATCCAAAAGACACTACAGGTCCGAAATTATCACCAGATTCTGGAACATGTTTGGGTTGAGTCAAGAATTCAAGCGGACTTGGACCCGCAAAGGAGAAAGGGCCTGCTTTCTTCTTAAGTATCTCTGATGATAAGGCAACAAGACTAGCTTCTACATAACACAACACTCATCAGCAGATTGCTTCCCCTTCAGATCCACCCCCTCCCCCATCCTAATCAACATCTCCTCCTCCTCCTGCGACATCCTCGGCGCCAATCTCCCCCTCAACTCCGAAAACTTATCTGTCCACCAATACCCAACCTTCATCCACTGCGTAACAGTCCAGTCCTGCTGATACTCCTCCAACGTCAGCTCCAACTGCCTCTTCATCCCTGGCTCATCCGTAGCAGCCCACGCAATAGCCAACGTCAACGGAACATGGCTTGCGCCCAAAGGTCTGTACTGACTTATTCGGTGCGCGAGAGAAACTATCTCTGATGAACATAAAGCTGATTCTCCAACTAAAGCGAGATTGTAGGGGTCAAAGGCTTGCATTAGTTGGCCGATTATTACGAGGACTGTTAGGAGCACGGAGTACGCGGAGTTGTAGGAGCGCGAGAGGCGGAGTTGCATTGGCGTTGGGGAGAAGCCGGGCGCCCATGTTACGGCTTTGACGATTTGGGAGAGTTTGCGTAGGTCGCGGCAGAGTCTGTGGTATGCGCATGTTATTTCCATGCGGTGGAGTTCAGGGTCGTTGATGAAGTCTGGGAGGCGGCCTAGGTTTCGGATGGATAGACTGGGGATTCCACCTGCGTCTTGGCCCTCTTGTTGTGCTTTTGCGCTTTCGGGCGTTGAGGGGGGGTTGTTCTTTTTGAAGTTGTCGAGCATGTCCCAGAACCATTTTTCTAGCCTGACCTTGGGGTTTGATATGCTTTCTATGATCTGGGGATGTTAGTTTGATATCCATTGATAATATTTGAATGTAGCCGAGAGCTTTGATGGAAACTTACGACTGGAACGCAGAACGTCAGGAGCATGTCTGTTTCGAAACCGGCTTTCCAATTCTCTCGCGCCGCTGCTTTAAGAAGATATGCCAGACCTTGGCCGTGACTCGTCGTCGGATCATCATCTCTTCCTAACCAGCCCTAAAACTGTCAACACAGTCACTATTCAAATCAGATACTGATTCACTTACCTGGCAGATCATAATCAGATACACCGAACACATAGTCTCAGGCATCCTCGCCTTCGCAGGATCCTCCAAGCATAATCTCAACGAACTTATCGCTTTAACATACTTCGTAAGCGCATCAACAGTTTGATATCCCTGCGGTCGATGCAGTGTAGAAAACGTCGTAGCCAATGCATCAGCCGAAGCATCAAGGGCTTCATTCCTTCCCAACCTCGCAGGGATATGTCGAAGAAAGTCTCCATAGCAGGTAATATCGTATCGCAAGTCCGTAATTTCTAACCGCGAAACAAGGGTTTGTGTGACCATTGTTGTTTTGTTGTAAGGAACTTTGATCAGAGCTTGGGTGAAAGAAATAGGCGATTTTGAAGATCGTGAACTTGAACTCGTAGTGTCATCTTCTGTGTCGATGCTTTGGAGACTGATGCTGTCTCCAGGTTGGAGGGTTTGGACTTTGAACTTGTAGCGCTGTTTGCCAACGTTGATGCACGGAATATCAAGCCTTTCACATCTCGCGCATCTCGGTTGAGCTTTATCACACTATTCTCGTTAATGAAGTTCATCTCCATCAAAACACCGACTCTTACCTTTTTCTTTTGCTTTCGACAAGCATCGCAGCCTTTGTAAGATGGAACGCCAGGCATTGTTCGTTCACAGCGGTGTATTTCACCCAAAAGAGATAAGATTGAGATGCGGCTTCCGTGAATGGAGAATGGGCTTGAACCCGGGATAGTTAAAGGCCCCGCAAGCTGTTGAGAAGTCAAGATGTAAGCTTGGTTCAGCCTTGGAAGGATCTCACACGTTGTCTCCACTTGGAAGATGACGGAGCGCGCCATTTTACTTGATTTGGAATAGTGGGGGTATTGAGGCTATGGGATGAGCCACGAGATTGGCATGTTTTAAAAAGGAAGCAAGTGAGTGAGATTGAGTACTTGTATATGATTTGACCGTTCTGTCCGAAATTTAATGAGCCTAACGTTGCTTATTTGGTGTTTTGGCGAATTAGATGATTGAGGGTTGTTGATCCTAGGCATACACGTCTTTATTATCCCGAGATCAGCGCTTCTGACAGAAATGCTCAGCCTTGTACGATGAGCTGCAGTGATGATCTTTCGCCTTCTCACTACTGTATGCAATTTGTAAATCTTGATAGGCTGGGTAATTATCCAGTCAAGTATGAAAACCTCAAGACTGAACGCTGTCCGCTACGCAAGAACAGAGTTTTACAAGGAATGATCTAATAGCTACAGCCATGGAGCTGAGGCTAGATAAAGAAATACCAGTGCGTCTACGAAGATATCATCGCGGAAAGCACCCTTGGTGACAGCGGAAGTAGTCGTCATTTGTCTCAGTTCCGCGTCGGAATTTAATGCACGTTAAACGCCTAACCAATCAGCTTACCTTGCCACCAACAGGGCTGTGCACTAAGATCATGATTACAACCTCTGTCGCAACATATTCACCTTTACGGGATACGATATAAGCTTGTACTTTTGACATGCCTGGAATGACTCAACATAAAATGACAATGAGTCCCTCACCGACGTCTTGGCTTGTTCAGCTCCCCCAGCAAAGAAGACAACAGTCAGTACAAACCGATCATAACCTTAAGAATCGACATGGAGAAACTACTCAACAAAGTGTTATACGGATCATCCAGCCCCCAAGGCTCTTCTTCCAATGGTTCTCAAGTCTTCACCATCCGTCCACACCCCCAGGATGACAACCTCCTCTCCATCCTCCCCTCCAATGCACCAAAAGAATCTCCCCCCTTGTACACAATCTACAAACGTCCTAGCAGCTCTAGCCTCCTAATGCATCGTGGCCCCGCCACCCCCGAAAACATAATAGCATCAGCTAAAATGCATCTCAGCACATCACGCATCGACATGTCGGTGTTTAATCAACCAATGGTAATTAAGAATAGCAGCATGACAGGAAGTTGGGGGTTCCAGACAAATATGGGGAAGTTTAAGTGGAAGGTCAATCAGATAACTGGAACGGGATTTGAGTTGTATGATCAGAATGCGAATAAGGTGGCTAAGTATGGGAGTGCGGGTTGGACGAGATTTGGGGAGAAGGAAGTTAGTGTTTATGTGCAGGGGGATGAGTTCTTTGTGGTTATGGTGCTGTTTTCCGCGGTGGTTTCGAAGGAGTTGAAGAAGATTATTGACGAAGTTGTTGGGGAGGTTGCTGGCGCTGTGGTGGGTGCATAAATCGAGTACAGCCATCAGTGAGTGGAGGTTGATGCAAATAAGCATGGCGTTTAGGTCAAGCCAAGACAAGATTAGTGATATCAATGCGGTCCGTTTCTGATAACACATCCACGTATAAGCGACAGCTTGACTTTTCAAAGTGATATATCATATTACTTAGAGACGAAACTTAAGCATACTAAAATCCACTTCTATTCCTAGAGCTAAGTTCTTGCCGCTTTAGGCTGAGCTGCTGCTAAGTAAGGGCTAGGGTTTTAAGACCTAGAGCTAAGGTAGGCTAAGTAAGGGGCTAAGTGAGGTGAGGGGGCCTATTTTTAAGATTATAGATTATAGTAATGCCTTAGTTTTAAGATAAAGCCTAGTTTTATACCCCCTTATAAGATTATCTCTTACTATATTCTTTACTTTAGTAGGATTAGTTTACTAGAGTAATTTATATTCTAACTAATTTATAATAACACTGCCCAAGGAATTATAATATTAATATGCTAGGCCTTCTGCTATTATATATACTAACTCTATCCCAAATAAGGGCAAGCGGCCAGGCTACTTTAGTTACTTTTAGATATAAGTAGTTTAAATATTAAATACATCTGATTTTGTGCTTATAGTGTAACACAATGTGTTAGTAGAGCAGAAGGTGGCTTAAAGGGAGTGTTTCTAAAGCGGTGATTTGAGAGGCAATATAAGAACTATTATAGTCTACTCTTTTAGCTTAAGGAAGTCTAGAATCTAAAGCCAAGTAAGTATCCTCCTAGTAATTAACCTATAAGATAATATAGGATACGTTAATATAATACCTTTCTATTAGTAGTAGCAATACTCCGTAGTCCTTCAACTAATAGATAATACTAGATCTAAGTTAATGTTATTAGGCCAAATGTAACGGTTGCACCTCGCCACTACGCCACAGGGTAAAAGAGTAGGCAATAACTGCTATTGTAGCAATTACAGTGGTGCTTACAGCTGCTTATAGAGCCTTATAGCGCTATTGCAGTGACCAATCCTAACACCTCCTGAGCCAAGGACCGTTTCCCGAATGCGAGACACACCGACAGCGCGGTGATGATAGCGGGGTACGATTCTTTGTGCGCAAGTCACTGTATCCAACAGACTTCTAGACTGCTTGCCCGGACCAAAGTTACACTACCAGCCGCCCTGCTCCGCGGGCAACTGCCTGCTACCAACCTGGTCATCTATGCTCAAATTCAAAGAGCGACACGAGGTTGCCCCCTTAGCTCCGGCCATCTCCATATCTTCGACAATTGGGTTCTGACTTCCAATTTCATCAGCTTCGTTGGAATCCCCCCTTGTGGCAATGTTGGCGCGCGACTCATTGTGGCCGACAGACTGGAGCACGTAATCTTCACCGTGCTTGGCACGGCGTGGCCAGCCTCGAGAGATGATGTTCTTTGTTGGCCGAGAAGTTCTCTTAAGAACACCTGGAAGGAATCTCTGAATCAGTATCTTAAATGCCACGGTGCAAGATAAGACGAGGGCGAGATGGATTTCTACAGATGACCAGTTTAATGATTCAACCTAAGATCTCAGTTAAAACCAGGCAATGGAGTAAACATGTGTCAATGGGGGCGCACAGTCGTCCCTAGGTAACTGTCAGCAGGTATTCAAAGGCAGGTTGAAGTTTCCTTACAGGTATTATCTCCGCGGTCTAGATCCACGATCAGCTTTTAAGTTTGGGAAGGCTAGGAAGAGACTTGCAATTTGGGGAATATAACAAACGCACAAGAGTTACCAGGCGGAAGACACTTGCAACTAGAACACTTCTTGCCGTTAGGACTCATGGCAACTCACCTACTGACTTGGCCGAGAAGACACTTACATAAAACCCACTGCAAACACCAATACCAATCCCATCCGCTGTCTTTTGGGTACTGTTAAAATGGTCAATATTGCATTCGCCACCAATATCTGTCTACTTACGATTTAGATGCCAGAGGATCTGTATTGGCATGATGTAGATGGCAATATTAAAGACTATATTTGTGGTCGTATTAAACATATAAAATGCGTTTATGTCGATGCACTGGCCTGGGATATCTGGTTGCCAGAGTTTCTCGAAAGGCAAACATAACAACATAGGTACCAGCGAAGTGGAAATGCCAAAGGCAAAGACCAGGACCATCGAGACGTATAAAGCCAGTCGGTAGGTCTTATGAGGGGCGATGCGCAGGTAAAGGGTGAGGTAGGATAGCTTAATAAACATCTGACAGAGTCCGTAAATTAACTGCTCACTTGTTAGTGCTAATCCCGGAAGTACAGAGCGAATGTGGTTAACTCACGCCTGACGACAACATGACCCGAGTGTATGTTGGCACATTCTCGGGTCGCAGGTATTTAATATGGAGTCCTTCTCCATATCTTGTTGCTGGTTTTACGTTAGTAAAGACTGAGGTGAAGTTATCAAAGCTAAAACGACCTACAGAGCATATAGAGTGTCGAGAGTGCCAGGCCAAAAAGAAATGCAATCGCAATCAGAACTGTATAATTATCAATACGCCATTTGGAAGCAATGGTACAAGAGCACCAACCGTCATCGGGTCCAATTTTCTTAACAATGAATGCCCGGGTGGAAAGTCTCGCCGCAATAGCGAGGATCGAAAGAAGCATTAATGCGATATTTAGCCCGAGGATCATAGGTCGTCGGTCCTCCATAGTTGCGAATGCTTTATTTGAAAGGTGGGGAAATAATAGACGGAGAGTGAGAGATAATTTGAGAGCTATAACCACTCATAGATCTCTTATCTAAGATGCTTTGGGCGATCGTTCGGAGCCTGAGGCTGGAATTAAAGTCCATCAATCCTTCTTGACTGACTCGACGTGGTTTCTGCTTACACGGCCACTGTATAAAGCGTTAGATTGAACTGGGAAATCTAGTCATGCTCTAATACTGTTCGACTACGTGCGGACGCTATACGGCCTGGTAGAAAGATAGGCTGTTTGAACGGTGCATTGGACCCGGAACTTCCCAGAACTGCGCAATTACGGGCGCATGAACAAGAAGTCCCTAACATGGAGCAGAGATATGATGTGGCTGGTTAGTGTTCCATTTGATTGCACCACGAAGGTCACACACGGCTGCCCCCCGCTGCGAGACGAAGGCAATGATATGTACTGAGAAGAGACGGCTCTTTTGAGTTTTTGCTAGAGCGCGGAGACGAATGGCCGTATAGTAGTGCAAGCCACAACACGCCAAGACTCGACCACCCACCCAAGGTGAGGAAGGCTGTTTTACAAGTTCTTGGTCCTAGCCCCGGAGGCCGATGTGATCTATCGGTTCGCGCGAAAGACTGGGGGGCGCCCCTGTGCGGCACTTTCCGCTAGCTTCCCCCTTAGGGCGCCAGGATCCATCACAAAGGATCATCCGGATCACGACGATCCTACAGTGGGGTGCAAAGAGGTTGAGGGCCCAGAAATGGGAACAGGAGCGGCACTGGGCTGCCGCTTAGCCAAAGGGGTGATTAGAGCTGAGGGGGCTGATGAACAGCTGAGCCGAAGTTGAGCCAGCGAGCGGAGAGGCCATAAAAGCGGCAATCCGTGGCAGGTCACATGTCGCTTGAGTTTCGTCTCATAATACCAATGCGATCGCTTCTCATGTCGAGACACCCTTCAAACTCCGAATAAACCTCGCCGGAACACCTCCCACCAACGTTTCCGCCTCAACATCCTTAATAACAACGGCCCCCGCCGCCACAGTCGCTCCTCTCCCTATAGTAACGCCCGGCAAAATCGTAGCTCGAGCTCCTATCCAACAATCTGCCTCTATACGAATCGGCAGAGCAAAAGACGTCCCCTGCGCTTCTCTCCTGCTATGCATGTCCGCAGCGTGGGTACCTGGACAGATACAAACTCCAGGACCTATAAGCACACCATCTCCGATGGTAACAAGGGCGTTGTCATGGATGGATACCCTGGGAGTTGATTGTGAGTGAGATGAGATATTGGGTGCAGGGTTAGACGTACTCTCTGTTCATGTAGACGCCGTTTCCGATGAAGATGTTGCATCCCCAGAGGAGAAAGAATGGGGGCTCGATGGTGACGTCCTGGCCTAGTTTTCCAAACATATCTTTTGCTACTGCCATGCGTCTTGACTTTAATGAGGCGAGGGTGCTGCCTTCTGGAATACTTTCATCATTGAAGGATAGTAGTTTCTTCTTTGTAGCTAATTTGTAGTCCATCATTTCTTGTGCGTTGCCAGTGTTAAAGCTACGAGCGCATGTTAGAGATGCTTCCTTGCGGAGTTGGCGAGACTAACTTCATGCCGCTTATCATCTTCTCAAACTCGTCACACCATGGGACTGGTATTTCGCTCGAACGGAGTTCAGCGATACTCTCTGGGCTCTTGCTCGATGCAGCCATATTGTTATCCAATGAATGAGGTTCTGATATGTCAAAAAGGATTACAGTCTGCAGTTGGATAGTTGAAAATTTGGAGTCGGAAAATGGGATGAAAAGCGGTGTAAGCACCGGATACTATGTCATGATTCAGCCTGAAGGGTGATAGATCGACGGACGTAGTGTCACATACTATTAATCGGGCCTCAAAGCTTCTTTATTGTTTCAGCATAGTCGGGTGATTGGAAGTGATAGTTCTGCCCAACGACATATCATTGTTAATTCTGATTCGCCAACGCTGCCAGGGGATGACGAACTCGGCTAATCGGCGAGTAAGATGCCTGTCAGGTGTCTGATTCTAGACCTCCAAGGTTAGCAGTTTAGGAGATAAAAGCATCGATTCGTAGTTCTGGAATATTTTCTTTCAATGCGGAGAGTCAGATGGGGGAGGCAACGATCTCGAGATCATACCTGCGACCTCGATCCCAGTTTCCTAGGCCATGTTATCTTTCACATCTCGAAGCAATATTCGTGGAAAAGAATCCTCGTAGAGCTCGCAACCGAAAGCATGAGTTGGTCGATTGAGTCCGACGCTCAGACTCGCATCCATCCACAACGACCTGGCATCAAAGCGAAGAGATCGGCGGATGCGATGAAGTCGAAACAAATGAAAGCAGTCCCGTGCCTTGCCGAGAGGGGGGTCTCGCCTCAGTACATAAAACGAAGCTCATTGAGTTCAAGTTCATTCCGTCGGTCGCTGTAGTGAGTTCATTCACTCTCGAGACTTGGCAAATCGAACGGCTTGACAAGTCATCTACTTACCATAGACGGACGATAGTGTTGCGGAACATAATTACTATTAAAAATAATTCGATATCAGGCCAGGTGCTGCTCCCCGCTAGAGTGGTCTCTTGGTCTGTCGAGTCTGTTATGCTCCTCATACCGCTGATCCTCCCTCCCTGGGAATGTCAACAGGGACATTCTTGACATGTGCCCCGGTTTTGCTCGTAGGACCATCGACCTCACCTAGTTGATTGCCAGTTAGCTTCTAGTATCAGTAAAAAAGAGAGTATGTGGCCTTACCTTCGTCTCTGATGACTTCAGAATGTTCTCCACCTTGTTGTTCTGTGTCTCGCCCTCCTTCTTGTGACCCCCGTTGATCATCGGCAGCAGACGAGGCATCATCGACGAGAACCTCTTCTGATCTCTGGCTTAACTTCCTCCAAAGCATCATACTAATGCAGATGGCCAACAGACCAGCAGTTGTAACTCCCATGACGATCTTGCCAGGATGCGAAGCGATGTCATCATCAATCTCTTCAATAGCCCAAGGATAACACTCCGAGTTGACGATGATGAAGATTCCGAGGCCAACATAGAAGAACGGCACCAACCTGCGAGCATATTTCTGGGCGATGCGTAGAATATGCTTTTGTCGCATGATGAAATATGCAGCGAGGCACCATAAGCCGAGCATGATGTAGTAAACGACGATATATATCGCAAGTTCTGCTGCTTTTGCTTCTGCAAAGAGAGGAATGTACGTGCTGATGTTGTCCGCTCCATTCATGACAGTAATAGAAGCGACCTTGAAAACACTCTTAAATCCATCGGCAGTCGTCAACTCTTCATCCAAAGACTCCCCCTCATCTTCATCCTTGTTGAAAACAAAACCAAGAATCCACCATATACCCAGCAATATTGGTAAGAGACCGAGAAATCCAATTGGTTCGGCGGGAATGAGTAAAGACGCGCCAAAGCCAATCATACTCACGGCAACAATAACCGTAAAACCAACATATTGTCCAATAGTGATCTTGACAGGCGTAAGCGAGCGACTCGTCGTAGACTCGGCGAAAAACGCGACGAGAACAAAAATGTCGTCGACATTGGTGATGGCGAATGTTGCACAAGCAGTGCCAATCGCCTGACCAAAGTCAAGACCCATGATGATGAGGAGACAAGGACAGGTTGGGGTGAGGTGTCAGATAAAGTTGACCAGCCCCTAGAGTTGATTAGTATGCTTAAACCTTAATGCTGAGTACTATGTGACTGATTTGTTATTGTTAAGTGAGAAAATTTGTTCACCGCGTGTACGCAACTACCGGATAACTTGAACAAAGCCGACTTGGCATCATCAGGAGTAAACTTGGCGATCCACATTTTTACGACGAACCCAGTCATGTTTTCTTATATGTAGATTAACATCCCTTGCGATGTGCACACAGTGGTATCCTGAAACAATAATTCGTGTTCTAGACGAGATGTTATATACGCGTCAAGGGGCGATCTCGGGGTTTATATCGTTTATTTTCAGTTATTTCGGGGGTTTTGAAGGGCGATGACGACGTTATGCGATGGGTTCTTGGCTGGTGGTTAGATTCCGGGTTGGGTTTAGCGAGGGAGGAGAGTGGCAGTGCAAAAAAGTGCTACTGTGCTTGGCTGGTCTTGTGTGTTGGATATTATCTGGGCATCCCTTGAAAGATGGACAATGTCCATATCAATTCAGCATGGTTCTTGAACAAGAGCCTTCTCTTTGTCCTCGCCCTTCTTAATCTTTGTTGTTGTGCCTGTCGTTCACATCTCTCACTGCTCTGAACAGGCAAAAGACAAATGCCAATGTTTTGAGGAAACAGCTCGGCTTTAAATATCCGCCTCTTTCATCCGACGATTGATTGATTCGGAAATTGGTTTAACCGAGGCATGTTGACCGAAATCGGGTCGTGAATGTGGTCGAGTTTTGCAAATATTCGCATGTGAAGGAAGGGCCCTCGATGTAAGTGCTCCAATGAACTCGTCGCCTACGAAACATATCCGGAAGTATGGGCTAGAGGCTAAAAGCTATGATGACAGGGCTTCGAGCGTGCACCTACCCTGGTTCTTATTTGGTGGGACTCTCGCTATAGTAACCATCATCATGTAGGCTGCACTGACCGGCCTGCGAGTTGACGCTGACTAGCAAAGTATACTGTTAAAGTTCCGAAGCTGTAATACCCGTCGACATCCTCGAACGACCGTCATTCGTGTGCCACCAAGACAACGAACACCTATAGAGCGACATAACCTACAGACGTTAAACCGAGCGAATCCATCTATCAAATACAAGGATGTTAGAAAGCAATCAAGCGTGAGCTCAACGGAAGTCAGTCTGGCAGAGATATGGTATGTTAAAGATGTTGCAAAGTTGAGCTCAAGCTAACATCGATTTCCATAAAGTGCTGTTTGTCTAGAGGCTCTCGCAGATGAGGAAGATGTACGCCGGTTGACATGCGAGCACGTGTTCCATACGAGATGCCTGGACTCTTGGTTCAAGGAACATCATGTTGATTGCCCACTGTGCAAGTGCATCTTCATCCCAAATTAATGTATAATGATCAAATTTTTCTGTCAAAAGCGCTTCGAGTGAGGAAAGGAAATGTATGTTATTGAAAGACTATATAGCTCGAATCTATGTAAACATTATAAGAGTACAGAAGATGAAGCAGATAGATACGAAAGGAAAATGATTGTCAACAGGAACAGAACCTATCGTAGCTCCAGGATCTGGTATTAACGAAAAGGCGGAGCAATGAAGCCAGATGATGTCCCAAGAGACGAAGACCGAGAAAGAAATGAAGGCTCTTCAACAGAACCACCTTGACAAAGCCAATTCCTCCTCACAGTAGTGCACTCTAAGCCTGGGTGATCTTGGGTTGAGCAGCAGAACCTTTGGTAGTCTTGCAAGCAGACTTCTTACCCTCAGCCTGGTTGGCCTGGGTAGCCTGGTGCTCAACGGCCTGGGCCTTGGTGGCTTGATGCTCGTTGTTGCGGACCTTGGTAGCGAGGGTCTTGGGGCTGTCGGCCTTGACGTTCTTGTCCTCGTTGTTGCCCTGGTTGACATTGTAGTTGGTGTTCTTGGAGTCGTCTTTGTTCTCAACCTTGGCAGCCTTGGTGGCCTGAGGCTTCTTGTTCTGGACCTTAGTAGCCTTGGGCTGCTTGTTGCTGTCAACCTTGGTGTTCTTGGCCTGAGTCTTGCTAGACTTGTCATCCTGGTTCTGTTGGACCTTCTCATTGTCGACCTTGGCGACCTTGGTAGCCTTGGGCTGCTTGTTCTCAACCTTGGTAACCTTGGCCTGGTGCTTGACAGAGTCATCACCAACCTGAGCATACTGAGTGTTGTCATCCTCGACCTTGGCGACCTTGGTAGCCTTAGCCTTGGACTTCTGGACCTTGGTAGTCTTGGGCTTGGGGTTAGAAACCTTGTAAGCGTCGTTGTTCACTTGCTTCTCACCCTTCACCTCAGCAGCCTTGGTGGCCTTGGGCGCAGGGTTCTGGATTCTGGTAGCCTTGGCAGTATCGACAAGACCGCGGGGAGCATCCTCAGTAGGAGGAGTAGTAGGAACCTGCTTAGAAGAGCAGCCCTTGTCAAAGACAAAGAGGGTGTCGCCACGAGCAGGAACCTTGGCAGCCGCAACCTTGTAAAGCTTGCAAACAGGAGTGCTTGATCCGCTAGGAAGGCCATAAAGGAAGCTCTGGCAAGAAGAATCCGCTTCAGCAAGAGCCTGGCAGTCCTTGGCAGTAGCAGCAGTAGTAGTCTTGAAAGGCTCAACATCACTGCTCGCAGAACCTGAAGCAGCACAGTTGCACTTCAAAGATCGTCGAACAAGAACCTTCTTGGGAACAGTACCCCAAGGCTGAGCAGTGGTAGGTGCAGAAGTGGGAACACGATCAGCAGCACACTGCTTGTCAAAGACGTGAAGACCATCCTTGCGAGCAGGAACTTCGGCAGCTGAGACCTTGAAGAGAAGACAGCTTGGGTGCGAAGAACCCTTGACGAGACCGAAGGCAAAGCTCTTGCAGAAGTCATCGGAGGCACAGAAGGTCTGGCAGTCGATGGCGGTATCAGCCTTGCCGGTATGGTAAGGTTGAACCTTGCGGTTGGTGGAGGCGCTGGGGGCGATGTTGCACTTTTGGGTGTTGGAGGCAAAAGGGCTTGCCATGGCTGAGGCCATGGACATGGAGAGGAGAGTGAGAGAGTACTTCATGGTGACTGAGTCTGTTGAAGAATTGGAGAAAGATAAAAGAATGTGGTTGAAAGAGTGTGTTGAAGATGAACGAGAGTGGTTGTTTAGAATGTTTGATGCGATGATGAGAAAACTGTGAAGTTGATGGGAGGATAGCCAAGTATTTATCTTGGAAACACTCAAGTTCCTTAGCTTAGTACGATTATGCAGCTGAGAGGAGTTCTTTGTCAGTGACGCGTCTGTCACGCTATTTGGCGTACAATTCCCCTCAACATGCAGGTCTGCATGAATATGAAATCGATAGTCTGAGAGCTAAGGCTCAAAATCTTCCAATTGATGACCGTGATGTGGGAAAGGAGCATCTTCAGACGGGACCAGGTTCAAGAGTTCCGTGATGTAGCTTCTATGTAGATGGTTAAGGTCTTGTGGCTGGCTGAGCTTTGGGATTCATACCCGAGGTCATGGCGGCAAACGGGAAGACAGCTAATTTGCGTTACCCTTATCGAGACTTGAGGTTCGTTTTCAATGAGCATCTCGTCGGCTCGCGAAACAAGGGCCCTGGCACAATGAAAAAAAGGTATTGTCTGAATTCAAATCACGTCCAGCCCGCCCTTCGTGATAGGTTACATTCGACATCTATGACGGTACTTCTCTCTATCTCCAACCAGCTAGATAACCCTTTTGGCTTGACTTCCAGGAGATTCCGTATCGACCGGTGCTGCTCACGAGTAGCTCGGAAGCGCTCGTTTGATCGTGTCATTATCCATTCGGATGTTGGTCTCGTTCCCGAAATTGGCCATTTCGCCGGTGAAGATACATGTATGAGTTTTCTTACATACACGCCCAATAATGCATTATTCACAGTTGCAAACAGATTGTAGAATCATTATGGGCTCTATTATGAACTATTGATTCAGATTCATGCAAGCTTCTACTCTGACCATACGCAACTTTCACTCAGCTTCCACTGATTTCACTCTTCAAATTCGTAAGCTTTCTTTTAATATTTCTTCTAAGTTTCTCCTTAAATTGACTTTGAAACCTCCAGCCACTCTTAGCTTCCTTTATTGAGGTCCCGATCACAAACCTTTTCCCGCTGTTATCATCCATGCCCCTTTCTGGCGAAGGACTTTGAAGGCAGTAAGATCGGCAAAATGTTTCTTCCGTTTTAGCCGAAACCAATAGAAGGGCCTCTATGGAGAAAAGTGCCGATATCCATTTATATCCGAAAGCTTGTCGTTGAAGCTAATGTCGGTGCGGGAAGTGGGATGGGACGTCGAGGAAACAACACAGCTATGGTCATTTGCTGACCTGTTCATTGGGTGTCATGATCCAACCAAGAGCCATCCTGTCAGTAAAAGTAAGAATAGAAACCGGAGAGGCGAGGATCCGTAAATCGGACCAGGTTGTTGAGCTTCGGTACCAATGACGTGGATGTTTATGCAGGCGGTTGAAACGTTTTCTGGGGCGCACTGTATGCAGTAGTTGAACACTGGCCGTTTCATATCAAGTGGATCAAACAAAGACCAGTGCACAGCCACACAATACAAGGAGAACAACATGCAAAGCTCACTTCCCAACTACCCGGTAGCTCTTAATTAATGGCCAGTGTTTATGAAGATTTGGATGTATGCTTAGCAACAAGGCTGATACTAGTGGAGCATACTGTCTATACAGTGATGTCTCGCTATGTATCCGACCTCGAGTGTTGTAAGTGACCGAATTGGCCAATAATGAATTATCATGAACAAGACAATGATCAGGTCTTAGAACGGATAATAGCCCAATTCTATTCATAGCTTGGATATTTTCTTTTTCAGAGCCTCAGCCACGATTCATCGCTACAGTATGATACATGGAGCTACTGCAAGCCAACCCACGACAAGCTTTTAGCGCAAACCTACCGAATTCGTGAGCCTCCTGGGTTCCGATGTAAATGGAGATTTGCTTAGACGGCATGTGGGGGATCGGCTCAATGCTTGCTTGCTACCCAGCCACCAGGTCTTGCAAGGCGCGAAGAACGACGGAACTTCCCGTACGGCGAATGGTTCAGGGATCTAAGCATGGGAAGCATGGCTACTGATGACTGACGATGATTTTCGAGAGTCTTTATCGAATTTAAATGATGGTAAACATATCTTACAGTGAAGTAACGGCATTTAATCAATTGGGACTATCACAGAGAACACAAGATGCTGTGAATCAGGAGACTCCTACTGACTTCGCCCCAGGATTATACTTTCTGTGCCATGTAACTCTGGAACATACATCTTGAAGTGAATTCGAGTCTTGAAACGGGGCACGTAAGCGCGACACGAAAAGAAGAGACTCTCTTTTCATGCATGATGTGGACCTGACTCCAGCCTTCAGCGACATGGCCATCGAGACTGTGTGAAGCTGCAAACTCCAGCAGGCCAATGCGTCTGATCTTCAAGTCGTTACGAAAATGGCTGACGCGGTCATGAGCAGTTGTCTACATTGCGGGACAATGCGTCGCTCCTGAGATCCATGAATATGATCGACTCAACAGGTATAAAGGAGTCATCAAATCCCGACAAGACCAGACTTTCACTCACCAACACAACAATCACTTCTTCCAAGCAACTTCACACACTCTTTCAACTCACTCTTCTACTTCAACTTCAACTTTCAAGTTTACCATCTTTCATCATGAAGACCACCATCGCCATTCTCACCGCCTCAATGGCCACCGCCATCCTCGCCCATCCCTTCGACACCCGCTCGCAGCAATGCAACATCGCCCCCTCCGCCACCACCAACGCCAAAATCCAACCCCTATCCTCCCCAACCGCTTCCACCGCCCAAGCCTGCCAGAAGCTCTGCTCCGCCAACTCTTCCTGCAAGAGCTTCATCTTCGGCCTTCCCGCCAACGCCAAAGCTCCCACCTGCAAGCTCTACTCTGTTCCTGCAGCTCAGGTTCCTAACCAGGGAAACAACCTGTATGTCTTTGACAAGGCGTGCTCTGACAAGGCTGTTCCCAACACGAAGCCTACGCAGGATAAGCCTCGTGGTGAGGTGAAGAGCAAGGCTGCGAGGGATCTTGTTTGCAACGCTGCGCCTACTGGTGCTAGTAACAGCAAGATCCAGCCTTTTGCTACGCCTAGTGTCAAGACGGCGGAGAAGTGCCAGGATGCTTGTGATGCTCAGGCTTCTTGCCAGAGCTTCTTGTTTGGTCTCCCTGCTGATGCTTCTGCGCCTGTGTGCAAGCTTTACAATGTTGCTCCGTCTAAGATTCCTCGTCGTGATGATGAGCTTTATGTCTTTGCTAAGGGGTGTTCTGCTGCCAAGGTTCCTACTACTGCTCCTACTCATGATGAGCCCCGTGGACAGGCTCCTTCTGAGAAGCAGGCCGACAACAAGAGCAGCACCAAGACTGATAACAAGAGCGACGGCAAGGAGCAGGCTCAGACTGCTGATAAGGCTAAGACTGCTGCCAACAACAACAACAACAACGCCGCCAACAACGAGCAGAAGCACAACTAAGCGCCAACTCCTCACAGATACTGCCATGAGGAACACTGAAGGTTGCTTGATTTTCAACCTTTACCTTGTTGGAACCTGAGTTGGTCCCGACACAGCACGAAAACTTACAGGGGAGCATGGTATCTCAGCTGGGGGTATCAAGATGGTGATTTGAACTTGTACTAGACATTCGTTTTATGTAGACTTGCAGTTCGCTTTTAGTTTCTTTTTCATAATCAATAGATCGGCCGATCACTCAAAACTTTCTGCTTGCCACTTCTGATGTCTTACGTGCTTATTTACTATGGTACCAACAAACTCTGACTCGCACGGTTGTGACTACAACTGAGCCACTTTGTACCTCTTCTTTTCTATCACTCATATCTAGTCGATCACGCCGATTCAAGCTCAACAAACGGCTCGTTTGGAGCCTATCTACACTATCCAGTGACGCGCTTTCTCATATTCAAGAATATTACGCGCATCGGCTTATCTGATGTAGCTCACGATATTTCATAAAGACATGTCATGCCAACGTAAAAACTGCCTGCGAATTGCTTCATAATGGCGGAAAAGTGGGGTCGCAACGTTATTGCGAATGCCCTCGTCAATTGGACCTCGAGCTTTTGTCTACTGAATGCAGGCTCTGGTGACCAAAGTTTCACTCAATATTGATCATGGATAGTTTGAAGTATTTAATTTTATTCTCTATTCTATTTTAAATGAGGTTCTTCAACTCCTGCTTCGCCCTAAACCGTCTTAGGTTATCAGCGATAAGCCCTTCCGCACCCTGAGGTCTTCCACCAGCAGCATGCGGCGACACAATAGTATTAGGAGCCTTCCAGATCCTACTCGGCTCAGGAAGCGGCTCAGTCTCAAAGACATCCAGCGCCGCACCACCAATCTCTCCCTTCTCAAGTGCATCAACAAGAGCATCCTCATCAACCGATGTACCGCGCCCCACGTTGACGACCCACGCGTGGTTGGGCAATTGCTTTAAGCGCTGAGCGTTGAGAACATGACGCGTGGAGTCAGACCCGGGAAGAATCATGACGAGGGCGTCGGTCTCGGGGAGGAGCTTGTCGAGATCGTCTTCGCTGTAGACTTCAATTCCGTTGCGGACACCCTTTCGGCGCGCAATGCCCCGAACTTCGGCGCCGAGACCGATGAGCTGCGGGGTGAGGGTCTTTGCAATGTTGCCGAAGCCCCAGATGAGAACACGTGCATCGCGCAGTGTAGTAAATGCGTCCTTAGGTCTATCGGGCTGAGGACCACCGAGATGACCGGGCCATTTTCCCTGAAGTTGATAATCGCGCATCTCGTAGAAGCGACGCGCGGCGTTGAGCAGCAGACCCAGCGCATGCTCAGCGACAGTGTGATCATGCAGTCCCGAACCCGTTGTGATTTTAATCTTGGAGGCGTCAAACCCGGCACCCAAAACATCATTGGGGCCAGCGGCGAGGGATTGGATCCATTGGAGGTTTGTGAGGCGCTTTGCGGCGTCTTTTAGGTTCTCGGGGGTGTTTGTCCAAGTTACGAGGATTTCGGCATCGACGTGCTCTTCGGGGATGGTCTTCTTTACGTCGTAGGGGAAGAGGTCGACGGAGAAGCCCTCGAGGCTCTGGACGTCGAGTTTGAGGGATGTTGGGTAGAGGAGCTTCATGGCGGGCAGGTTATGGGAGTATGAGGAGATGAATCTTGGTGAGAGAGAGGTTTGCAGGGAGCGGGAGGTATATGTACGGATGCCGATGCGTGGAGATGAGCGCATGATGGGGAACATGATGACATCGGAAAGAAGGCCGTACTTCTTCAAGAGGCCAATCATATCTCGTCTTTTACGTTGAAGCCGAGGCCGGAGGAGCCCCGCCGTGGGGGGGAGGAGGAGTTTTGGGGGTAACCTAATGAGCAATTGAGGGTTGGGATTGGCTAGATCTACAACGGACCCCAAATCCCGCGGGGTGGCAGAGTTTAACGGAAACGTTGAGGGCGAGAGTGCACCTTTTGTATTCTCATCATGTGAAGCTGGTGATGGAGAGGATGAGCATTATGATGTGACGTCACCTATGGCATTTCGACAATGAGAGATCGCTTATCGATAACGACATGCAGTGCAACGCGGCAGCATGCGATGGAGCTGGCACTGAATGCAACGCGCTTACAAAATGATTGAGGCTGCTCATGGGAAAAGTGAGGATGCTGCTAGACAAATTATCACGAAAAAGCATCGATATTGGTTTATATTAGTATTTAAAAGGTGGCTGATCGATGTTGGCGTTTCCTGGAATGTTATTTTGTTGAAAATCTCGGAACGCATTACCCTAGACCTGCGAGGGAGGGAGTAATTTACCAAGCAACCACTTCATCGCACATGTCCTTTGGATGATCAGGTTGGCAAGGACGGTCTAAAAGCTCCATCTCAGGGCGATTCCGAAAGCACTAAGCTAATCCTGGATCGAGTCATGACCAGAGACCGCATATGCCAATTCACCGACTGTCCTTTGATAGTTGACACTCAGCAGACTTGATGATCCCCTAGAAGCTTATCTCTTTCGGTTGAGACTGTCTTAATTGGCGTTAAAACCTCATTGCCTTCCAACAGCCCATATTGCATAACTATTACGCTCTAGAGCATTGCGATTTGTGAGAGGAGCCCCTTCAAGATTGGCCTTTGTCTGTGATTCTGCGCAAAGTGGAATTTTATGGAGCTGGCTGGAGGCCGCCGAATCTGACCTGAATTTGGATAGCGCGTTCTCATCAAGGAGGGTCGGGGATTAAATGCTAGCCCACGCGAGCTAACAGCGCCTTGTACTGGGGTAGTCTACAGCCCTATTGTTCATGCTCGAAAACGACAAGACGGTACCTGGCGGCCCTCGTAAAGAAATCCACGACTAAGATAAATCCCTCATCATCCACCAACAGGGCCAATTCCCCTCTTTGTTTGCACCCTATGACCTTTTTCACGCTTGCAAAGGATCAAGAAATGACCTTTCCCAAGTCACACCAGGGAGTCTGCATTGACGCACTGCCGCGTCCTGGCTCATCGAGAAGCTAATCGTGCTTTGCCACAAAACTACATCTCTTTCCACTTACCAATGTACCCTGAACAAGCTGAATAGCATGTTGAATATTGCGATTATTCTTATATCATGATATACAATACTTAGCAATACTCTCTCTGTCCAACATCAAGTGGCTTGCGAGAAAGACGGTAATGTTGCACTGGCGGGGGCCCTGAACGCTAGGACCCGGCGCTAAAAAGCTTGTCTCCCAAAGCCAAGACGTCGTAAATCGAGCCTCTGAAAACCATCCAACGTGAGTGGGCTGCCAGCTGCGCCCGTTACTAAGGTAGTGTCTCATCTCGGATACCTCATTTCATCCAGGCTTTCTTTTCTCGCTGCTAGCGAGCTGCCAGATTCCGGCTAGAGGGAGGGGTTGGCTGACAAAACCTGGATCATGTTACATTTGCTGCAGTCCATACACCCACTTGCTCGGAACGAAAAGGCTTGTTTTCTCTTAGCCCCTACCTGCCAATGCTTAATTCTGTCATCGGGAGTGCATTGATCACATTGTGCCTTTGCTGCATACGCCACAGCTTACCCAGCTCAGGGACATGCCGAACCGGATTACCTAGAACGATCGACGCTGCGCCTCCTCAGCTAAGGACTTCGTCCAATGTTATCTCGTCTCGATATTCCCTCACTCGTGCCCTGCATATTGAGTCAACCCTGCACGAGGAACCAAGACACTTCCAAGACTTGCAGCAGACTCCCCACGATCCCTCAGCGTCATAGCTCCAGGATTACTGGGTTAAGCGTAAACAGCTTGCTTATTGCTATCGAGGCAGTGCAGATGGTTACCTGCAGCTGTATACGCTCATGCTTCAGAAAAGGCCAATCGTAAACGCATTGGAGATCAAGTTGGTGATCTCAGCCACCGTATTGGGACACTCCGTAGGGCCAGTCTAACATCATGACACCGAGGAGGGCGCACGCTAAACAGCCTCCACATTCTTCTCGTTTATCGACACCGGCTTTTAGGGTTTCTACGCCTCTTGATTCAGGTTCTGTGGAGAAAAGGGATCGAGAAAAGAGAAAAGTTACTAGTCCTGCTTTGATGGAGGAGCTGAGCTATGATCTGAGGATTGTACTTTTATTATGGAGGCTCTTATACGAAATACATCAGCCAACCATTATGAGTCGCTTAAAGTGAACAGTCCAGGAAATGATGAGCGATTATTGCTGTTGGTGCGCTATCCACATGCCAAAACAAATATCAAGGCTCGCATTCTCCCAGTTCTGTCACTCTTCTTTCATCCTTTCATCTCCCTCAGTCATCTGTTCTCATTCACTCTGCTCCTACTTTGTTGAACCCCTTTTCTCACCTTCAACATGATTGAAGACGAGAAAAAGGACGCCGCTCTTTTCGGTGAGCGCATTCACTGGAACGATGACGATGAAGCCGTTCGGGTTTCGCGTCATGGTGAACGGCGCTCTCGTAGACGGTCTCGCTCTCGCTCGAGGGATTCGTTGAGTATTCATAGAGCAGGCTCGAGAAATCGCGCTGATCCGTCGCTTGTTCTACCTGTCACCTACCGCACAGTGTAAGTCTATATTACTCTGAAAAACTGAAGCTGGATATAGGTACTCACATTCGCGTGACAGATCGTTCAATATTGAGGAGTCCAAGGGTAAAGAACAAGCTGAACTAGCCAAGGCGAAAGATGTTACTACAAAAGGTTAGATACTCTCCCTTGACTTCATCAGATTGACATGTACTAACGACTGATGCGCGTGACAGCCTTGACCGACCTCGAGTGGCATACCATCGCACCTTTCGACGTCGAGAAACGACTCACTACATCGTCAACCGCCGGCCTTTCGACCGAACAAGCTGAGAGAAGACAGCGCGAATATGGCAGAAACGCACCGTCTCCCGCCAAGACCCATTGGTTCAGAACGATCTTTCTATACTTCTTTGGAGGCTTTGGAAGTATTCTTCTAACTGGCTGTATCCTTGTATTCATTTCGTGGAAACCTTTGGGAGATCCTCCTGCTGTTGCCAACTTGGTGAGTCTCCCCGTGCTGTATCTTCTGTCGTGCTAATTTAGAAAGGCACTCGCCATTGTACTACTCGCCGTCTTCTTCATCCAAGCTCTGTTCAACATGTTTCAAGACTGGTCTACGTCACGTACCATGTCTTCCATCAAGAATATGCTCCCTGAAGAAGGTCATGTTATTCGCGATGGGCATCTCGTTCACCTCAGCGCTGCAGATATCGTCCCAGGTGATGTCATCAAGGTCAAGGCTGGGAACAAGCTACCCGCTGACCTGCGCTTGATTGAAGTCTCCTCCGATGTCAAGTTTGATCGTTCAGTTCTCACCGGAGAGTCCAAGCCAGTGGTGGGTACTGTAGACCATACCGATACCAACTACCTTGAGACGCATAACATTGGTCTGCAAGGTACACATTGTATCCTTGGTTCATGCACTGGTATCGTCGTTGCTACTGGTGATAGAACAGTGTTTGGACGTATCGCGAGTTTGACGAACGAGCCGAAAGTCCAGATGACGACGCTTGAGAAGGAAGTGCTCTACTTTGTCATCATCATTGCCAGTATTATGATCACCATGATCGCCGTCGTCTGCATCATTTGGTAAACCTGTTCCACCACCTAACCCTTCCGTTATAACACTAACAAACTTCGATAGGGGCGCTTTCTTGAGAAAGAAACATCCCGACTTCATCAACGTACCGACCCTCATCGTCAACTGCGTCAGTGTCGCCATCGCTTTCATCCCTGAAGGTCTTCCCATCTCTATCACTGCTGGTCTTACTATCACCGCCAACCTGATGAAGAAGAACAAGATCCTTTGCAAGTCCCTCAAAACTGTAGAGACACTTGGATCTGTTTCGGTGGTCTGTTCTGACAAGACCGGCACTCTAACCACTGTAAGACTCCTACTCAACTTGGCTGTTTAAACTCCGCTAACAGGTTGTTAGGCCAAGATGGCTGTCTCTGACTGCGCAGTTGGAGGACTCAACATGACCATCGAGAATGCTCGCGGCAAGTTTGGCCAGTCCAAATCCGCTACTCACCCGATTATCCAACTTCGTGCTTTGGCTGCACTTTGCAACGCATCCGAGTTTGATGCCGCTACAAAAGATGCTCCCTTGGCCGACAGAAGGATCTTTGGTGACGCGACGGATCAAGCTGTCCTCCGATTCGCCGAGTTTGTCGATCCTAGCAGCGTCGATTACCTGCGTGCTTGCTGGAATAAGATCTATGACCTTGCTTTCAATAGTAAGAACAAGTTCATGATTCGTTGCTTTTCCTGTGTCAGGACAGAGGCCGTTCCTACTACTCTTAGTAAGGAGACTTCGTTCAATAGCGACGACATGTGAGTAATCACCAGAGTATTTTAGGTAAACCGTCTGACCATATTCTCTAGCCTTTTGACCATCAAAGGTGCTCCTGATGTTCTCATCGGTCGCTGCTCACACTATGTCTCAGAGCATGGCGAGACAATCCCTCTCAATGCAGCTATGCGGGCCACGGTGGAGCAGCTGAAGAATACCTACTCTTCACAAGGTAAACGATGTTTATTGCTTGCTCGTAAGATCGTCAAGGGCAGTGACCTCCCCAAGAATCGGGAGACGAGTGAGTTTGAACATGCAGTTACACGGGAGTCCAACACAGGCCTCACTCTAGTTGGAATGGTCGCCATCGTTGATCCCCTCAGGCATGACATTCCTCATGTTGTGAGCACATTGCGCGGCGCTGGTATCCGAATTGCCATGGTATGTAAACCCCCCTCGCGACGTACCGTAGTATTACTGACGATGCGACATGTCACTGGCGACTTTGCTCTTACTGCTCTGGCCATCGCCCGCGAAGCCGGTATCGTCACCACCCAAAACGTGGATGACAGCACAGCCCTCCAACGCTACAGCCACGACGATACCAAAGACTCACCTCTATCCCACCTCGGTGCCATCGTCCTCAGCGGCCCGGAACTCATGTCTCTGAACGAACATCAGTGGAAGACGCTTACTCAATATGAAGAGATTGTGTTTGCGCGAACAACACCAGAGCAAAAGCTTCGAATTGTTCGTGAGTTCCAGAAAGGCAATGTTGTAGCCATGACGGGTGATGGAGTCAATGATGCTCCCTCGCTTAGAGCTGCTGATGTGGGTATCTCGATGGGTAGTGGCTCGGATATTGCTATGGAGGCGGCTGATATGGTTCTGTTGGATACGTTCTCTTCTATCATCATTGCTGTTCAATATGGTCGCGTTGTGTTTGACAATCTCAAGAAGGTATGTCTTGAACGAGCTCTATGCAAAAGATCACAGACTGACATTGATACTAGGTCATCTCATACCTCTTACCTGCTGGCTCTTTCTCAGAGTTCTGGCCTGTCATGGCATTTGTCGCCTTTGGTTTGCCCCAAGCTCTGTCTTCATTCCTGATGATCATCATCTGGTAAGTACTAAAGCCAGTAGTATCCCAGCACTTACTAACCTTTGCAAGCTGCTTCACCGATTGCGCCGCCGCTACAATGTTATCCTACGAAAAGCCCGAAGCCGATGTTCTAACCCGGCCACCACGCAACATCAAGAAGGACCGTCTAGTCAACTGGCAGCTTATACTTCAGGCATACGGAGTCAACGGTGTCCTCCAAACAGTCGCCTCCTTCGCCATGGCATTCTGGTACCTCCAGCGTCAAGGCATCCCCTTCAGCGAGCTGTGGTTCAGTTTTGGAAAGCTCCCTTCTGGCATCGATCCAGATTACTACCTGGCCAAGACCAACGAGGCTTCGTCTATTTACTTCGTCAACCTTGTTGTGATGCAGTGGTTCAATCTGATGGCGACTAGAACTCGTCGACTCAGTATCTTTCAGCATCCACCCCTGTTCAACCCGAACACGCAGAACTGGTATCTGTTCCCTGCTATCATTTTCTCCCTTGCTATGGCTATTTTCTGGCTGTACATCCCGCCTCTGCAACCTGTTCTGGGAACTACGCCTGTACCTGTTGAACATTGGTTTCTTCCGTTTGCATTTGGTATCTTTCAGCTTTTGTTAGATGAGGGTCGTAAGTTCGGTGTTCGGAAATGGCCTAATGGAATACTAGCCAAGTTGGCTTGGTGAGAAAGCGTATTTAGCGTATCTCTTGTATTGATCTCTCTATGTTACTGCATCATGTCTAGAATACGATAAATACATAGGGATTCAGTAAATACATAGGGATTCAGTTCTTGTGTTCTTTGCATAGATCCTATAAATCTATAATTAAGCTATAAAAACACTTATAAGCGATTAGGATATAATATAGGCAATTAATACATATAACCTTATAATAGCAAAGTTCCTTATAAAAAAGAATGCTAAGAACTCTTTAAGATAATTATATTAACCTTACTTCTATAGGGCTTTTATAGACTGAAAATGCTACATAATGTTAAATACATAATTCAGCGAAATATTACTATATTTACAGTAAGAAACCAGGAGTTAGCCTACTTAAGAAAACCTCTCCTTCTCTTAAGGAAAAGAGTGGAAGATAGCCAATACGACTTGTGATTATCGGACCCCCTACTTTGGGACAGAAAACGCCTGTTGATGTGAAAGGGCTTCGTAAGCGCTTAGGCACTGGCGGCCAATCGGATCTCTATCAGTTTGGATCGGAGCAGATCTACCAATGGTAGCAAAGGGCGAAAAGGTAATGAGGCGCTGCCTGCAGCCATAATGACTCTCGGGTAACGGCGATATGGTAATGGTAGGCTGCCAGTCTCCCAACGCATTAATACCTAATGCGCGACTTGTTGCAGTTGTGGTTTGGAGGTGTGAGACAACCCCTCTAGAGCTGTATATTTATAGGCCGCCTCTCGTAGCCAAAAGAATTGCTACTGAGTAATTTGGTGTCGCTTTTGTGTCCTGAACTGCAGAATTTAGTCTTCATTCACTGTAACTTATACAGAGTGATTGGGATGCTCCTTAACAATGAACGTGATACAAAATACTCTTGACAAGCCCTCTTCCTCAGCAGCCACTGGAAGTACCCCTCAGCAGGAGGCTAACGCCATCTCGCCGACTGAACTACAAATATATAACTCACAAGAAGAGGAGGAAGAGGAGGAAGAAGGAGAAGAAATTTTCATTTTCGATACCAAATCTTGGGCAGCCTCTGGCCTCCAAAGAGACGAGGTGGAAACTAGAATAACGTTGAACGACTTTGCTGCTCCACCGCATTTGTGGCATGAAACTTACATGAAATTACTGCGCCCTGATAGTGGCAGTATCAAGGTCAAGCAGTGGACCGACGCTGTCTGCCTCGCTATGCGCAAAGCCCCCGAGGACCCTACACCCGATGCCTCAGTACAGATTTGTATGGATGATGACTCCGGGCGGAGTATCTTGTCTAGGAGCTACCGAATACCAGCGGAAAACCCTAGAGGCGTGGGTTCTGAGGAGCATATAAACGGTGAGAATCTGCCTGGGAGTGAAGGAGCCTTTCTCGTCGTCCACGATCCCCTGCTTGCCGACGGCTCCCAACATTCACAGAGAGCAGGGCAGAATCTGGTGAATCTCAAGCAGTGCCTCAGGCTCGGGAAGAAGATGCTGCGAGTTCATGCGAATGGGAGGTCAACTAAGATGGGGCGATTATCTGGCGTTGAGGAGAACTCGCGTACCGACTTCATGTGGCTGATTATGGGATTCACCGGAATGAGACTTCTTGTGCCACGACTTTTCATTTCTTCGGCCTGTGTCAACAGCGGATCACTGGTGGGAATCACCAAACTTCACGTAGTTGAGCTCGCCGATGGTTTGATCGTCAAGATCCAGTCTGGGTTCCGTGTACATGAAGTGGGATGGTCACTTCTCGCAGAGTTGGATGACCAACAGACAAGGATGCTACTTGTCCCCCCGTGCGACAGTTCTCTTGCCTCCTCAGTGCTTGATCTCTTAGGCTCATGTGGTCGGGGGGCACTAGGGTCTGTCAAAATTGTGGTTTCCAATGCCCAGAATGAAGATTTACGCTGTGGAGCGCCGTTCTGTGAACGGAGAGGTACCTTGAAAGTTCCCATCAGCGCGCGACAATTACCGCAGAAGGGAAGTGTTTATCTGTTGAATCGAGGAGACACAAAAGGGCTGTCGACGGAACCAGGAACCTCTAAGTGGCTCACAAGCTTGGTAATCCAGGGTGGACTGATAGGTGGCTGCAAAGCGAATCAACAACATCCGGTGTTATACAGTGAGCCTATTATCGGAACCATGGAGGCAGCGGAATCTCCGACAACGTGGAGGTTCCAAACAAGCACAAAGGAAAATACAGAACCTGTCTCGTCGGCTTCTGCCAGCAGCCCCGACCACCATCCGCCACAGCGTATGTCCTTGTCAGCCCGCCAAATAGTCTCCGAGCATAGAAGACCACTTCAGCTACAAGAGGCCAAAGAACTCTTTGACCTTAGCTTTAGGCCAGAAAAAGTGGAAGTTAATATCCAGAGTTCTCCTGAAAATCGAGGAAATACGATTGAGCGAGACAACTCTAACGAAAGCCACCTACTTGTGATTGATACAACAACTCGCCAGCTAAGAAAGGTGCACAAGTCGGAGAAATACGCTGCAGTCAGCTACACATGGGCAGAATACAGTGCCGAAGAAACCCAAAGTATTGTGGAAACAGTACGGAGGATCACCGGAGCCACAGCAATATGGATGGACAAACTGTGCGTACCCAAACAAGAGCCCGAGAGGCAAATGGTACTGAGCGCCATGGGGGCAATATATGGTGGCGCTACCCTCGTCGTAGTCATGCTCACAAAGATGCACTCCAGGCTCTTTGTCTCCATCCGCGATGAGCATCAGATCTTCGATTGGGAAGAGGACAGACGAGCAAATGCAAGTTTCCTGCAAGAATATCGCAATAAGGGATGGCGCACGAGGGTTTGGACTGCGCAGGAGAGCTTTCTGAGCCGCAAAGCTATAGCAGTCACCGCCGATGGCATTACTTGGATCAGCTATCTTGAAGCACTACTGGCAAATGATGTCATGGGATGGGGGAAAGTGACTCAGGTTGGTCTTGCTTCAAACGATTCTTGCACTGTTGTCTCAGCGCAGACACATTTCACAGGCCCTCTAGCCTTTACCAACACTGTTCTAGCGGGTGGGGGACTTCAAGGGCCGAGGGGACGAGTCTGGAGCCTTGCAGAAGCTGTGACGGCCACTGCTGGCCGACAATGTGCCAAAGAAGAGGACAGGATCTACGGTATCTTAGGTCTTCTAGGGCTAAAGGGCTTCCTTGTCGCTTGGGAATACGGCATCGGGTGGCAGGGTGCTCTTCTAAAGGTTGCCAAAGCCGTTGGAATAAGTCCGATCTGGCTCCTTGGGGGCTCTGGATTCGAACCACCGTACCAGCGATTCTCATGGATGCCGAGAAGCCTCGAAGAGCTGGAAAAGAGAGTATCGGCAAATGTGTTTCACGAGAGATCGGATCAAACAAGTCTCAAGGTCAAGGACTCCGGAGTGGAGTTGGAGCATCCTATCGCAGCCGGGGCAATCACAGCCATCTCCTTACAGGAGAGCGGAGTAGTTGAGTGTGTGGTGAGTGGAGGATTACAGCAAGTGCTTCTTTATAATGCTATCTCCAAGAATGCTTACAGAGATGTGAATACTCTAAGGAATGATCTTGTAGGTCAGGATCTAGTCCTGTTGCCATTGAAGCAGGACCTACTCGCAGTGGGAGTGGTGGGGCGCATCGAGAATGAAGTAATGCGCCGAAAACAAGGGTTCAATTTCCAATTGCCTACCGGCTGGGAGGAGTTAGCCTCTCACTATCCTAAACTTATCATTGCTTAGTTAGCTGGAGTTGAAACCTGTAAATATCAGGTAATAAGGAGTTTATTAAATACTTTTTCTAATGCTTTCTACTTCTGCAATCTTAATAGCCTTAATCAGACTCAACCATATTAAGTTCCAGAAGTCAATGCCTACAATAAGCGAGTGCTACACTGGAAGCGAAAACAAGAATGTTAAAGAGAGAATTATACCCCAGTATGTCTGATCACTCTCCTTCAAGGTAGATCTCTCCTCGAGGACTGCTCAGGCAAACTGGTTGGCAAAGATACAGCTTACCCAGACCGCCAAGTGTCAAAGCTTCCATAAAAAAGAACTTGCCATCGTCTCAAAACCTGACACTAGAAGAATTTTCCAATCTCAGCTCGCCCCAATGAGCTCAATATCACCAGCCAAGACGGGGATACTTCTAGAACAGACAGGCCACAAAAGCGATCACCGTGGAAGCTGAACCACCATGACAAAAGCAGGTTAACAACCAAGAAAGAATTATCAGTGCTGGAATCTTCCTACCAACCATTACCGGGCATTGCCAACCACTACCAGATATTGCCAATCATCAGCACAGAAGGGAATCCCGGATGCTTTCCCGCTGTTAAAGCCAAGAACCACATGCACCGAGGAACAGGATGGGAAAAAGTTTTGAACCGTCAGCGGCAGACTTGGCGGGGAGGAAACGTGCTTGTATGAGAAGCTCATGTTGCAGCGGGAGGAGCAGGAGTAGTGGCGCGGTCCTTGGCGAGCGCTTGGCGGGAGACGGTTGAAATGTATGGAACGATGTGGGATATTGGCTTCAGTTAGTGTGTTATCCGTCAGTGAGCTCATACCCATGATTTTGATATGGTGATTTGATCATGGTCACGGTAATAGACAAGATACTCGGTCATGCGCTTTTAGTCCTGCAGTATTCGCAGCCGTTATACGGATATAAGAAGAAGTCAGAAAGAACAACTCTAATAACTTTATTCCTGTTAACCTTTTTGATCTTCAGAAACTTGTCTCAAGCAGTGATACAATGACCCCTGTAATTGATCGATCTTGGCATCCGGGGAGGTTATCTCTGGGCGAACAGCTTTCTCCACGTGGAGCTATGACCCATCTTATTGGCTCCCGCCCCCTGTTCAAAAGAGCCTCTTTTTAAGCTCTCAACGACAATCGTTGATGCACGTGGGCTAATGAACGGCCGTAACTCATTCTGCGGAGAAGAGTGTCCATTAGGGGGAGATAATAGCAAGTCAGCATTAGGGCTTTATTGGTTCAAGTCTTTTTGTCATCCAGGTTTGAGGTCTCGAGTCCAAGACTCTATTTCCAGCTATTACAGTTACAGTGATGCGTCCTTCTTTGGGGGCCGGTTTGACGCTATTGTTGGTGAGAACTGACCATTCCGATACGCCCGGTCATGCTTTGAGCCCCTGGCTAATATTTTGAGGCCATGTCGCAAGCCCATCTGCAGGCAAACGACTCTTCTGGTCCTAGCGCATGGTAGCATCAACTTACCTCGCCTGTCACTGTCACTCTCGTGCATTTTACCTCTAAACCATAGCCTCATCGTAGATGTACATACATACTTCATCAGATATCTCAATACAAGAAGTGTCGACTTCATCGCCACGATACCAAGACCCTACTATCACAAACCCCCACAACTTCATCCAAACTTCTTCCCGCCCAGATCCTCCCTACCCAACGAACATCAAGAACACACGCACGAGATCTCCCCCTGCTCGCGTGCCAAGCACGCCCGCCAAGCCTACAAATCTACCAAAGGACTCACCGAGGACCTTGCCACATGCACCATCCGAAGAAGCATAAGATTAAGCTTGTTCGCCAAGCCTTACCCGCTCCACACCATGGCGAGGGATATGGTGATATAAGGAGTCGGGGTGCGGGCTGCTTTTTATGTTGTGTTCGACATCAATTCATTTCACTCTCTTCTAGAATATTTCAAAGAGTGATAGAAACCCGAGTTTTCGGTCTGCTTTGATCATGGTGCTTCATCAGTATGATTACATCTTTGCTATAGGCACCATCTTTTCGTTCCTTGACGCCTGGAACATTGGTACGTCACTTACCTTTTGACCTGTGATGAGGTACTAACAGCTCAGGTGCCAACGATGTCGCCAACTCATGGGCTACATCGGTCTCATCCCGATCCATCAGCTACATCCAAGCCATGACCCTCGGTTCAATCCTCGAATTCGCTGGATCCGTCGGTGTCGGCGCCCGTGTCGCCGACACAATCCGCACCAAGGTCGTCGACATTGACCAGTTCGAGTCCGACCCTGCTCTTCTCATGCTCGGCATGATGTGCGCCATCGTCTCCTCCTCGCTGTACCTCACCTTCTGTACCCGCATCGGTCTCCCCGTCTCGACGACTCACTCTATCATGGGTGGTGTTATCGGCATGGGTATTGCGCTCGTTGGTGCTGATGGTATTCACTGGGCTGAGTTCGATAAGGGTATTAGCTCTGGTGTCGTTTCTGTCTTTCTTGCTTGGATCATTGCTCCTGGTCTTTCTGGTGCTTTCGCTGCTATCATCTTCCTTATTACCAAGTATGGTGTTATGTTGCGAAGCAAGCCTGTTTGGAAGGGTCTTTTCCTCACTCCCGTCTACTTCGGTATCACTGCCTCTCTCCTTACCATGCTTATCGTCTGGAAGGGTGGTAGCATCAAGGTCACCTTCAACGACGCTGAGACCGCTGGTATGATCATTGGTGTCGGTGCCGCTTGGGCTCTTCTCATCACCATCTTCCTTGTCCCTTGGCTCTACCGCCTCGTCATCTGCGACGACTGGGAGCTTCGCTGGTGGAACATCTTCCAGGGTCCTCTCCTTCTCCGTCGCCCTCCTCCTCCCGCTCAGCCCGAGGGTGCTGCTGGTGGTATCAAGGATTTCTACGAGGGTCACCTCACCCGTGAGGAGCTCGATGGTCTTCGTCGTGCTGGCCGCACTGGCAGTGATGAGTTCGAGCGTGCTCAAGACCAGACCAGCAACGAGGGCAAGGAGGCCACTACCGAGAACAAGAAGACCTCCTCCGAGGGTACTCCTGACATCGAGGAGCGTGTTGAGCCCAAGGCCCCTCGCAGCCTCGTCGGTCCCAAGCCTGATGGAAGGTGGTTCAGCGGTGCTGTTCTCTTCTGGTACCTCAAGAAGGCTTTCCTCTCTGGTGTTGACCAGGATATCATCGCCATGCAGAAGAAGAAGAGTATGCTCACTGGAGACTTGGATGAGATTCACGCTCACGTTGCTCACTATGACAACCGCGCTGAGTACCTCTACACCTTTATGCAAGTCATGACTGCTTGTACTGCTTCTTTCACTCACGGTGCCAACGATGTTGCCAACGCTATTGGTCCTTATGCCACCATCTATCAGATCTGGAGAACTGGTGGCCTTGAGGGTAGCAAGTCTTCTGTCCCTGTCTGGATTCTGTAAGTTTTTTGCCTGATGCTTTTTGACCATTGACTAACCTGAGTAGCTGCTTTGGTGGTGCCGGTATTGCTCTTGGTATCTGGACTTATGGATACAACATCATGCGCAACCTCGGTAACCGTCTCACTCTCCACTCTCCCTCTCGAGGTTTCTCCATGGAGTTGGGTGCCGCTATCACCATCATCCTCGCCACCCGTCTTAGTCAGTCTTTCCCTCATTTCTCACTTTACTGTCCAACAGCAACTAACACATCCTTCAGAACTCCCCGTCTCTACTACTCAGTGCATTACTGGTGCCACCGTCGGTGTTGGTCTCTGCTCTGGTACTTGGCGCTCTATCAACTGGCGCATGGTTGCCTGGATCTACATGGGCTGGATCATCACTCTCCCTGTCGCTGGTGTCATCTCCGGCGTCATCTGTGGTATCATCATCAACGCTCCTCGCTGGGGTTACTCTGGCTAGAGTCTCACTCTTTGTGTCTCCTTAACATCTACATACACTCACTCAAGGCACCCTTTGGGGTCTGTTACAATACTAGAATGGCTACGGAACATGGGCCTGGATATCTTTACTGTGTTGCGCGTGCAGCGGGGTTTATAGGTTCAATGTTACATATATCTTAATGAAAAGCTCTCTCATTTAAGCAAAGCTGCAGGGATTAGAAAATGAAAAGTTGTAAACCAAATTTGCCGTCCAGGATGTGAACTTAAGAGAGTTGAATCCTGAACCATGGACCAAAAGTGCGTTCTGTTGATATGCAACTACCTACGGAGGTCACGAGCCTGAGGCTGCACAACCAAGTAGGAAAATGTCACTGTAACGCAGTGCCTGCGCCAGGAGAGTAAGTAGCTATAATACAAAATAAATATAAATTTATAAGAATTATAAAATCTAATACCTATTTCACTTTTGAGACATGCACCGGAAGATAAGGTCCGCATTGTGAGGTTACACAACCAAACGCGACGCGCCACCATAACAATTCGCTTCCTCCTCTACACCGACATTTCGTCTCCAACTTTACCACATCTTACGGACACGTAATTCACGCTCATAAACACTCGTAATCGAGGCAAGATGACGCCGGTCAGCTCGCTCGACTGTCCCGACGAGGTCATTGACCACATCGTTGAGTTGCTTCCGAATGTCAAGGCCGCCCGCGAGAGCTGTAAGAGCGTAAGCTTAGAAGGCTATTTATTGAGTTTAGTACAAGCTTAGAATGATTCTTCATGAGTTCATCTTAGTATCCTACATCATAGCCCGGAGTTGACTCCCTCCTCATCTCCGCCATTCATATCGCTTTTGCCGTCTTCGCTGTCTGCATCCTCATCACCTCCGCCCTCATCACCTCCGCCCTCATCACCTCCGCCCTCATCACCTCCGCCCTCATCACCTCCGCCCTCATCACCTCCGCCCTCATCACCTCCGCCCTCATCACCTCCGCCCTCATCACCTCCGCCCTCATCACCTCCGCCCTCATCACCTCCGCCCTCATCACCTCCGCCCTCATCACCTCCGCCCTCATCACCTCCGCCCTCATCACCTCCGCCCTCATCACCTCCGCCCTCATCACCTCCGTCCTCATCGTCACTCGGCAAGTCCCATGGGCAGTCATGGTACTGTCTCCACATAGAAAAGCACATAAACTCCCAACTACGAACCAGACAACCTGTGTATTCAACATCGAGGGTATTGTTCTTCCCACAACCTTGACAGGGCGCGTTGTCATAAACACCGCTCACCAGCCCATCATAAATCTTCAAAGTCTCTGCATCTTGCATTCGGCGGATACCTCGCATGACATCCTCCCAAGTTCCGTCAAATACATCCGGATCGATACAGCAGTATTGGACATTAAGAAACTTGAGGGTCGCGGCCTGGCGCTCAATGAAACTGACGAGTTTCTGAGGATCTATCTCGCCGCAGCTGAACTCGACGCATCAAAGTCGGCTGAATTCGATGTTCGGAATTGCAGAAAAGATGGACATGTCATGAAGCTCGAGAAGAAGATCTTCCAATTGTGGCATAGAGGCAAGAATAGCAGCGACGTTCCCATGATCCAATGAGACCTCGCCTAGATACTCACCAGTACCTGCATCGCAATAGTTGCTCAAAACGAGGTGGAACTTGGTCAAGTTGCAGCTGGAGAAAGAAGAGATGAGTTGTGGCGGGAACGGCGACTCATTGCTGTCGAAGAGTAGGATCGGAAGACCAGGCTGGTATGATTCCTCGCATACCTCAAGAGAGGCATCCAATCTAAACTCAGTGAGGCGTATGCTAGGGTCCCCGAGGACCTCCAGAGCGATGAATATAGCACGAGCCTCTCGGCCCACGATGCGGGAAAATGATTCCTCTTCCATCCAATTCCGGGTTGTCCAATCAAATGACGGGGCGCTGGGTGCTTCCTCATTGGTCATACGATTTCCTCCCTGAAGCTTCGTCATTGCGCGGTGTGTTCACCAAGTTATGTAACTGTGAGCGCATGAGAACCTTGGAACATTGAAGCCATCCCCCTGGCGTTATAAGGCTTGAGACCTTGTAGCAGGTGAGAAAGTGAACTAGTCAAAGAGCATACTAAGTTCTCTAAGGTATTCTAATAATGTCTAAACCTTTTGGTCACTTAGGACTTTAGTCATAAGTTCTCTGCCACCCCCTAGGCCATGAACAGGTGAAGTCAAAGAAGTTTTGATGAACGGTGAACATTCCATTTAAGTCGATTGTTCTTTGTTCTTGTCTTGGGTGCTAATGGCGGTACATTCGCCGTTCGACAGGTTGCAAGTATTTTGTTCAGTGACATACTACTATTGTTCTTTGTTACCCAGAACATCAAGCACCGACTCTCAGATATAGAGGTGTCCCAGATTCAGTATATAAAGAGCCAGAATGATTCTTAAGCCTCATCTTGTTTTTCCTCGCCAAACACACCTGCACTCCTCCAACACATCAACAACTAAATACACACAACACGACATCGAACCAGAGAAATATCATCTTTACAACCACCAAAATGCCTTCTCTCTTCTCATCTCTCAGCATCCTAGCGCTCGTCGCTACCCAAGCTTCCTCCCACGTCATCATGGTCGAGCCCCACCCCTTCAACCTCGATACCGAACCCCTCTACCAAACCTGGCCTCTCAGCGAGGAACTCCCCTTCCCCTGCCAAGGCCGCACCCAGCACCCCGAGCATGTCACAAAGGTAACAGCCGGCAAGACCCAACTCGTCAAGTTCTGGGGCAGTGCAGTGCACGGCGGCGGATCTTGTCAATTCAGCGTCGCCTACGGAAAAGAACCTCCCAAGGACCCCAAGAAGTGGCACACTATCTACAGCGTCATCGGTGGCTGTCCCGCTGAAGCAGAGGGTAACATTCCCTCTACCGGTACGGACCCCCACGGTCGTGAGAACGGCGCTGAGTGTGGGAATGATACGGGTAAGGAGTGTACTAAGCAGTTCAACATTCCTATTCCTAAGGATATGCAGAACGGTCCTGCGACTTTTGCTTGGACTTGGTTCAACAAGATCGGTAACCGGGAGATGTACATGGTCTGCTCTCCTATTGAAGTCGTAGGCGGAAAGGATGATAGTAGCTATGTTGATACGCTGCCTGCTATTTTCCGCGCCAACATTCCTGGGGAGTGTACTACCGGTGCTAGTGGAAGTGTCATCAACTTTCCTGAGCCTGGTGATTTTGGAAAGGTTATTGAGCAGGGTACGCCTGGAAGTGAGGGGACTTGTGCGAAGGGTGTTGAGCCGAACTTCAAGGATGATGCTGCTGCGCCTGAGCCCGAGAAGCCTTCTGAGTCTGGTTCTCCCGCCCCCGCTCAACCTAGCGCTCCCGCTCCTGCGCCTGAGCAGCCTTCGGCTCCTGTAGAGGGTGCTCCAGCTGCCCCTTCGGCCCCTGTTCAGCCCAGTCCCCCTGCACCCGCTCCTGAACAACCCTCTGCTCCGGCCGAACCCTCAGCCGTTCAGCCTCCGGCTCCCGCTCAGCCCACCGATGCACCCGCTCCCGTCGACTCAGCCAAGCCCGAAGCCGGCGCTCCCGCTTGGTCTGGTGAGTTCCAGGCTTGTCCTTCTGATGTCAAGTCTGGCATGATGCACTGTTTCTCCGAGACTACTTGGGGTATCTGCAACCAGGGTTGGGCTTTTGTCTCCAAGGTTGCTGCTGGTACTAAGTGCATTGACGGTGCTATCGCTGCCGAGTAAGGTATAGTATCAGCGATTGATTTCTTGTTTTTGTTTTGGACTTTATGAACGGGTCTTTGGAAACCTGTATGGAGTATGGAGTTTAGCACGTCTTTATCTAGAATTATTAGAAAGCAAGATAAAAAACTGATCTTTTTGGGATATATTATATTCTCGCCGCAACCAGTGAAGAATACGAGAACAGCCTCTTGAATGCGAGGTGAGCCTATTAAATCTGACGGTCTCTATAACTACATGCAACTTTATTGACTCTTGTGACGTGCTATGCATCATATCCAGAAGCCCTTCAAAGTTTGTTCACATTTTCTTATCACCCTGTGATGTGCATATTTCCGAACAATGTCCGTTGCTAACCTAACTGTATCGTCTTACAAAAAGCCTAATTGTGTCTTTGTATATCTCGGGCCCATCCTAAGCTTCTGTTATGCCTCCTCGCAGAAACCTTCCTCCTTCATATGTACCGATATTCTTATCATATATCTCACATGTTTCCGTGAATCTCAGGTATATAGACACCATCGACAGTTTATCTCGCGCAATCGGTGGTTGAATGCCACAACTCTGAACCTCTCGAGACAGGTGCACCAACCTTTTTCACAATCGTCTGACAAGGAAAGACATTAGATGTTCTTGAGTGGTCTAAACCTACTCATTGTTATCTTAAACTCCAAGCAGCTCAAGAGTTCCATGGTCAATAATACAAGCAGAGTATCTCTCCGCCATCGCAAACACTACTTCATCGGGCTGCATCGTCTGAGGTGTCATCGCCCAGAGGAAGCCCTGCAGATTATATCGCCGATAATCATCCCAAAGATCCTCTCTTGTCAGCTGCGGTCCTCCCTCTTTATGCAAAGCTTCAAGATACGTCTCAATAAGACTCTTTTCATGCTTCCGTCTATCCTCAACCGTCAAAGCACCCGTGAGAAAGTAAGCCAAGTCAAGAACTGAAGGCCCAAACTGCAGACCCTGCCAGTCAATAAAACCAGGAGTGCCATCATTCGCAATCAGCGTATTGCCAACATGATCATCGCCATGAATCAGCGAGTAATACTTCTGATCCGCGTCTGCATGTTTCCAAAGAGCCTGGAAAGCCTTTCGTATACGGTCGGGGTCAAGGAGCTCCTTAGCGACAGGCGGCCGAACCTTTTCGTCAAAACGTGCTCCCCATGGTGCAGGCTCCAGCAGCGCAAGGATAATGTTTCGAACAGGGTTCTCCAGCTTTGATCCATCTTTTCCAAAGAGCCAGGGATATTCTTCCTCCTTGGTGTTCCATGTCTTTGCGTGCAGACTGGCGAGTTGCTTCAGAGCTTCGCCAACACGCTCGGGTGTCCAGGGCTCCAGAGGTGTGCCGAAGCTAGCTTCGCTCGATACATCTGACATGATGAAGATGCCTTGGCCGTTGACTGTGTCTGTACCAGCGAACCAGATCTTGGGAAGAAGCATTGTAGTCTGCGGGGCAACATGATAGTAGAACTCAGCCTCGCGGCGATAAGTCGGTAGCATCTGAGGAACCGTCTCACGAATCACCGGATTGAAACCTCCCTTAAGGACAACCCTACTAGGAATCTCCGTTTCAACACCATCGCCAAAAGTGAGGTCCACGAAGACTTTGGACGAAGTGCCGTGTATAACAGAACTGATCTTGAAGTCCTTTACAGCAACGCCAAGAGCTTCAGATAGCCACTCCGAAGTAACATCCTCCGGCGTCAAAGGCAGCGGCTTGTCGCTATCGAAATTACCCCTCGGGGCTTGAGATCCCGTGACAAGGGAGTTAAACATCGTGAAGAGATTTTTAAAAGGAGGATAGAAAAGTGGTGTTGCTTTTTCTGTTGCATCACCAGTAACGTGGATTATATACCCTTGTCGGGTCCTATTGCAACCCGCATGCAAGGGCCTCGCTTACACCTTTTCGTATCAACCCCTTGCAAGGAGGATTTCCCATCCAGTTGGAGACCTGGTCCGTTGTAGAAAATCGTTGGTTCACCCTTGTAAGATGTGGCCGGGAGTTACATCCGTCATTTCGTCAGCAAAAGATGCTTCATCGTCCGAGATATAGAGTTTGCGCTAGTTCCTTCGTCGTCAGCTCAGGAAATCAACTCATGCCACATTCTGCATGTTTCTATCGTCTACCAATACCGGGCTTTTAGTAAAGTCAGGTCATCCGTCCGATGGACGTTAATCATTTCACAAGACTTGAACGAAAAGAATGCTTGAGAAAAGCATCCACGGCATTCATATGGCTCTTCCAGCGAGAGTTCTTGACTCTAAAGTTGTTGCAAGTTTCTATCAAGCAAAGCTCATCCCGCGGGAATATCTTGGGGTGATATCGGGCTGGAAGATGGTGGCCAGATCCTGTCATTGATCGCCATCAACCTAACTACATACAGAGTGCAACTCGCTAGGGCTGATGCATGATACCAGTAGTGTTACGGCTTATTCAGGAGTCACTCATCATGAACATGTCCATTCTAATGCCGATATATCCTTAAGAAATTGCCATCTGATTGGTGCCGTCTTGGCACTAAGGCTTGTATTCCAGGGGCTCGGGGATTCTGCATTGTCGCATCGGCTTGGCTTTACGAAAAATCCTTACAATGCAACATCAAGTCCAGCTGATGGCTTCAGCCAGCTGTAAATGTGAACTCTTTCCCACTTCACTCAATGCATCTTGGCTAGAGTTGAACTCTTGACAAACATCGTCACTATGGCTACTCTCGACCCTGGAGTGAATATCTACAACACGTCTGTTGTACCGCCGCCAATTGGCCAGGAATCCAATTTTGACAGGCCAATCTCCGATGTGCAACTCGCGACAATCACGGTCTTTGCAGTCACATACTTTCTCGCCACGGTCTCTCTCGCTCTTCGTTATGCCACAAGCGCGCTGGTCGTTAAGGAATGGGAACTCGATGTCGTTCTGATCACGCTTGCATGGGGAACGGCGTTGGGTTACTTTATCTCTGTTTGCTTTATGATGAAGTACGGATGGGGATCGCATGCTTGGGATGTCTCCCTTGCGGATATGGTCCAGTACAACAAGGTACATATACTAACCTCTTGGATATAGTCGTTCTTCGTTAACAGTAATAGTACCTCTCTCCGACGACGTTGACGTATATGTGGAGTCCGACCCTAACGAAGCTGTCGATTCTGTCTGTTTTGTACCGCATCAGCCCAGCGAGAGGTTATCAGATCTCGGTCTACGTCATTGCTATCGCCTTGTTGATCTATACCATCACTTTCACCGTCTTACTCTCAGGGCCTTGCAATCCAAAGGACGTTGGGTCAGGTGTCTGTTTGAACAATCTCGCCATTTCCCAAGTCGTCTTGAACATTGCGACCGACTTGTCTATTATCATTCTACCGCTTCCCACTTTGCATAATCTTCAGATACCATTCCGACAAAAGGTTGTCGTTGGTTGTATTCTGTCCATTGGATCTGCGTACGTATCTACAGTTTGACCGCGACTCAAAGACATACTGACCCTAACACAGCGTTTTGGTCGCATCCATCGTCCGAGCCCCTTACGTTCACATCATGGCCACCAACCCCGACTTTACACGAAAGCAAGCCGAAGCCGGTGTTTGGTCCTTAGTCGAACTCAACATGGGTATCGTATGCAACAACCTCATGCGCCTCAAGCCATTCCTCAGAACCTACCTCCCCAGAGTCTTGACCTTTCTCGGTCTCACGACAAAGTCGAAGCGTCAAGGAGAGGACCCATCGAAATCCAGCGGGAACTGGAGGGGCAGGCCTTCTCACAGCTATCAGCTCAACAGCCTAGAGCATGAGGATCCTCATCATAAGAGTTTTAGAAAGGAGCCTTCCGTGGAAGAGACTGCTTTTGGCGACTCGGATAAGGAACCATCACGACATAATGGGAGCACTGATGATATACTTAGATCATAACAATTATCATCCGTTACATAAACATAAATAGCTATTTACAAGAGTTCATAAAGGCATTCAAAAAGAACTATTGACCAACCACGCTTTCCGACAACACAACTCTCTCCTAATACTCCGACCCATGGACATAATATCATTCAGCACCATGCAAATGCTTCGCACAACTTGACCTTTCGGAACTCAAACGAGAGCGTTGCCGATGTAGTTCCCATAGCGCCGTCAAATGACTACCCAGCAGTTCATCCTTTCCCAAGGCCATCATGTCGAGTTCCCAATAATTGTCGCCATAAGCTCCAACATGAATCTCATTAATAGAGTCTTGTTAGTATTCCTCGGAGGGTTGACTAGGCCCTTCTATACCACCTGGTCCCCCTCTTCCAGTAAGTCCCAGCTGAGATGCAGGAATTACAAGGCCTCGACCAATTATAAACTCCTTGGCCGACAACCTCAGCAGTAATGACATTGCAGGTGAACCAGCACCCGGTTTTCATCGAGAACGCACGGGCTCGGTTTGAGTGACCACATAGAAAGTGGTTGGTGTTCATGACCCAGACGCACATGTTGAGTCTTGTGTGAAATCTGTTTGCAGGGTTGGAAGGTGACCAATGAGATTTGAGAAGGGGGAAGAGAGAGCGCGCAGCTGCGCAGGTTGAAGTAACGGGCAATATATGGATGAAGCTATTGTCTTTATGGTCGAGACCTAGACTTGTGATCGGAGTAGTTCACAAAGGCTTGATTGATGAGAGGGAATGATTAACATGAACAGGCGCGAGAAACGAGCCTTGTTATCTATGTCGCAGATTGTACGTCGTATACGAGGTAAGCCTATGGCTCTCCCATATGCACGGTATCACATCTGACTGAGTCTGACCAATTTGTTGACTGAGTTGCAGATTGAGAGGTCAAGGGGTTTGAAAAGGATGTCTAAAGTGTAGTGCACGGCATCAGTGATACCAGGAACCCAAAATCTTATTGCCGAGGTTTGCCATTCGGAATAAATTCTCCGGCATATACGTCCATATTAGGAAGGTTTTATCATCATGCTTACTGACGACGTTCTGTAGAGCCTCGCGAGGCATATCTGTAAGGCTCCTTCTCATTGGCTCGCGACAAGCAATCCATGTTTACGGTAAGCAAGGCGGAATCCTACAGGGCGAATGGCTGTCCACGTAAGACTCGATCAGGTCAGCATTACTGCTGTGCCACTTGACAGCTTGAAAATGCAGATTGATAACTGAGGTCGGAGAAACGTTAATTCAGCTGGGAATCCTCCAGAGGCAGGGATTATTAGAGATCAACACTCATTGGCTAGTTGACATTGCCTCACTCGCGGGACAGCACACCATGTCAGCATCGCTTCAAGAAAATGAGGCCTCAACTGAGACGAATGATGCGGCAGTTTCTTGATTGATATTGACAGAAGTCTCAATGGCCCCCATTGCTGCCTAGTGCCAACTGACACGTTGGCGCAGCCTCACTCCGAAGCTACGGGGAATATAACTGTCAGGTTGATATGGTATGATCTGACGATGAAGGCTTATCATGAAAGTCCGAAGGGTTTTGTTTGAGAATGCGACACTGGACTTTATGATACTGTCACGAGGAATGTAAGTCAGCCAAAAGGCACTACAGGTTCGGTGAAATCTTGTTGCTTGTGTCACTCTTGGTCTTGGCATCAACTGCATGAAGATCGTTCAGACAGCAAGACAAGTAGGAGTGCAATGCACGAACTAGGCATTGACGTAGGGACATGAATAGCAAGTATGGATGTTAACACAAGTATGTAAAATGGTGTACAGAAGAAGCTAGGATCATTTTTGAGAAAAGGATATCGAAATCTGCAATTAATTACTATTCTATTCTATAAACCTCTAGCCATCTAACTTTCATCTAGATATTGGATATCAACGCTAACACCTAAACGCGCCATAAAGACGCAAACCATAGTTCAACCTGTTTTCGTCCGTCTCGGATCACATTCCGTTTACTTGCTGGAGGACTTTGGCTTCCAGAGGACCCAGGCAAAAGTGATGCATAGCTTAAGGAACGCAGCGATCCAGAGAGCTCCAGCAAATCCGACCCATGACTTGGACAAGAAACCACCGGAAACAGCACCAGCAAACAGAAGCACGGCTCCAGTAGCTCTTCGGTTTCGATCGGCATTGTCGTTGATAGGCGCAGTGAAGAGCTTGGCGTCGCTCATCATGTCGCAGTACAAACTTGTGAGGACAATAGTCGGCATGGCGTTGTACTTGAGGACACGACTAGCGACAATCTGGCCTGCGCTCTGGAAAGCGAGGATGATGATAGCGGCGTAGTCAGTTGCTGGGAACGAGTCCTGAACTCTCTCGATAATCCAGCCATCTTGGTGTCTTGTTTCCCGTCCATGAGGGTGATTATAAACAGCACCGGTTGTAGCGAGGATAGCTACCAGACCAGTGAGAAGAGCCTGGATAAGGAATGAAGTGATAAGAACCCAGCGCTTCTGAGGCCCGAAAAATCGGTGGAAGCTGGAGAAGAAGAGAGCTCCAATGGCGAAGCAAACAATAGCGAGAAAACAGCGAGACCAGGCCTTTCCGGGAAGGTTCTCAGGCTGATGACTGACGCCTAGACCAACAAAGATTGTGTTTCCTGCATGATGTGAGTTTGAGTTTGGAGATATCAGTTGAGGGACATGAACTGACCTGTCTGCATACTGACGAAACAGCCATACATGTTGAACGCAGCGCTGTCAACGAGACCAGCCACGAAGAAGCAAATGAGCAACAGAATATCGCCCCATCGCGGATCGATCTCCGTCGTGAATCTGCTGGCAACAGGGCTCTTGGGCTCTCCCTTTGGCCCAGCTTCGGGGTTATCGCTACCAGAGTCGGGCATATTGACCGAGATTTCCAAAATTTCGGAGGAAATGCCGAAGTGACTTTTCTTGCTTGCAGTTCAGTTCCCTACGTCGATAACGTCGTTTGATGCAATTCAACCGTCGCGTGAGTAATGACGTCCTTGAAAAAGTGAAAATATTTTCTTAGTCAACGCCTCGAAAGTTATTTTAAAGGGAGAGAGAAAAAAAGAGTCGCTCCTTTAATCGGGATGACGTGCTGGGTGGGCCCACTATTATTCGGAGCGAAAATTGTCTGGGCTGAAAGAGATTAGGATGCGGCGATTTCGGCTCTGAATTGCTTCGCCAAGAGGAGTGCACAGACGATGCGTACGTGGACTAGTCTGGGCAAAATATTGTTAATGGACTCTGTTTAAGTGGATGAAGTCGAATTATATATGTGAAGAAACGTTATTCTTATAGGTTAAGATTACAGCCTTATGTTTTTAACAGCTACAATGTTCAGTGCAGTGAAATCATTAAATGTCAGAGAGAAGAGACGCCAAGGTGCACTGCCTCGCATCAATGGGGCGCCTTCTATTGACAAAACAATACCAAGAATCGCGTATTGCCAAGCCGGCACTTGGCTTCCCATGCCGAGATCACTTTGTCTAGGCATTTAGAGACCGCATATTCCGCCAAGAAGAACGAGTTTCGAACGGACTTGATAAGTTTCGAAGTGAGCTCCTTACTCTTTTCCACTTATCAGCCAACACGAATAAATCTCAATGACTCAATCACAACATGTTGAGAAAAGGGATATCCATAAACTTGCAAACAACTTCCAGTGGCTCAGCTAGATAGAAGTGTAGGCTAATGTGGCTTTACCATAGTTTAAGATGCAACTTTTTATTGAGTAAAACCCTCCGGTCGCAATTGGTCACTTTATATCCAATGCAGGCTTGTGTTATTAACTTTTTGTAGTTGTCTTGAGCATCTCGACTACCTACCCTGCGGCACTGCTGTGGCGTTGGGATTCTACCAAGGATATTCAAAGAATTAGCTTTATTAAGTGATAACGTCAATGAACCTTCTGGTCAAAGCCTTGAATTCTCATCAAAGCTTACCTAAAGCCTCATGATCAATTTACAGGACCGAGAAATCCATTCACTAACATTTCGTCAAGAGCAAGCCACATGTGGCGCAGCACCAAGCACAAATGTTTTATGCAGGCAAAATTTAGAGGCGGATTTCTTCTTCTGCAAACCAATTCACAGACCCTCTCATCATGTCGAACCCTACAAACTCACAACCCGATAGCTTAATACAAGCAGAAAAATGCAAAGAATACTGGGAGACCGTTGATTCCGACAATAACGGAATGCTTGGCGGTGTTTTGTCTGTCATGCCCTCCGTTTCTCGCATTGATCTCCAAGGCTCGAGGACCTTCCTTGCGAGATTAGGAATTGGCATCAAGAGTGGTAGACAGAGGATACCGAGGGTTCTTGAAGGTGGAGCGGGGTAAGTGTTAGATTTACGATGTCTGAGAACGAAGTTGCTAATAGTGAACTTTATAGGATTGGCAGGATCACAGAAGGACTGCTTCTGAAGCTGGCAGATCAAGTTGATGTCGTCGAGCCCGTGTCTAAATTCACAGAAACTCTACGCGGCAAACCTGGTGTCGGAGAAATCCATAACGTCGGCCTTGAAAAATGGGAACCTAGCGAAGGAGCCGTATACGATCTGATCTGGATCCAATGGTGCATAGGACATCTCAACGACGAGGAGTTGGTGCAATTTCTGGAGAGGTGCAAGTCTGTGCTAGAGAAGGAGCATGGCCTTATTGTGTTCAAGGAGAACTTAAGCACATGGGGACAGGATAAGTTCGATGAACTTGACGGCAGCGTCACAAGGTGAGAATTCCAGCCGACAGTTCCGCGGTTGGGTACTGACGAGTGAGTAGGGAGGATGAGAAGTTTCAGCAGCTCTTCAAGAGAGCGGGGTTGAAGCTGGTGAAGTCAGATATGCAACGTGGATTCCCGGTTGTCAAGAACCGTCAACTACTCCCGTTGAAGATGTATGCTCTTCGACCAGATCAATAAGGAATAACCTCATTTCCTCTCAATTGTATAATTTCGGCGAATGGAGTCAGCATGCAACAGAGCAGTATTAGCGACCTGGGACACCGAAAGTCCATTTTCTTCCATGTTTGCCGGACTGACTAAGTTTCGAAAATTTCTACTCATTCATATACTCTTTTCTTGAAGTCTGCCAAGCCAACATCCTAAGCGCGAGAGCTGCCATGATCGGCCAGTGATTGGCCACGGAGGAAGCGCAACCAACCAACACCTTATTCAACAGAGAATGAAACGAACCTTCATCGCCCCTTTGGCTTTAAAGCATACATCTTAACCGGCAGCAAAGATTTCGGAAATCCATTTTGCAACTCAGATCGTATAATCGCCAAACCCGCCTTATCAAAAATAGCTCCAAAACCCTGGTCGGTCCTAATAAAACTATAAGTATGAATCTTATGATGAAGCAGGGACTTTTAAACGTACCGTGTTACACTACTATCGACTTCGTCATATGTATCTTCGCCCGAAGTACTCAAATTCTCCTTCACTATGATAATCCCCCCAGGACTCAAAGCAGCAGCGCAACGTTCGAGATATTGGATGAGTAGAACATCAGGTATTTGACCAGCACACCATTGTGTCCAGATCAGATCATACTTGACGTCTTGAGGCTGCCACTCCTGCAAGCCAATATTGTAAATCTGGCCTACACCGGGCGTATCAACTAAACCGGCGGTGAACTTAGCAACGGGCTCAATGATATCGACAGTTTCAGCGATGTCGAGAAGCAAGCCTCTAGTGATTCTACCAATTCTATATAAAATGATTAGTTTAGTCTAGTCTCATGTCTAGGAGTCTACTGACCCAGCTCCGCCTTCTAGCGCTCTCGAAACCCGGGGCTTCCCAACGCCCAGCTTTGCCAAAAACGACCGCGAGCCCTGCAAGTCGATCCTCGACACGGAGGGAAAACCACCTAGCATGCCGTCGACACTAGCAGCGACATTTTGCCAGTAGTTTTTCCCCTCGTCCATTGATATCAACGAATCGGGTAGTGGATGTTGCACCATGTTGAATGTTGGGGTTGACTCCAGTTAAGAAATTAGGAATTACAGTAATTCAAGGGAGGTTTTTCTCGTACTGCCGATCGAACCGCTTTTTAAAAAGTACAGGTCTAAAATGCCTGAGGCAAGGGTGACTATACTCCACCTGGGTAGAAGCGAGATCCAGACTTTGGTCTAAACTCACCGACAGATGGGGACTAAAATACCTCTCACACCACATGGTTAGTGGAAGGAGAGGTAGATTCTTGGGTGGTATTACGTGAGACCCGTAGGACTTAAGCGCGATGTCAGAAGTGCTGAGGTCTTTCTTTTGAACGTATGATATTGATTGAGAGAAAATTCTTATTACGGTGTAACGTGATACGATCTCATACCCCTGTCACGTACACTAGCCGGGGCGAAGTTTAAATCGAATATGACGCCATGCTTGAGACATCGATCATCATGGTTGTAAATGCTTAAAATGTGAATTTGACCATGGTATATCTTAGATATTTCAAGTCTCATTTATTTTGGCTGTGCCTATAGTCTTTGCCAGCTGATTCCTGCTCCAATATCGATAACCAAATAGGGCTACGAACCGCTGAGAACTTACGCAGCTCAAGCATCCAATGAAAGTCTTATGGTAGTTACAATATATGGGATATACATATCCTGCCCTTTTGGACAGGGTACTATGAGTATCTTGTGTGCAGATTTCATTGTAGTTCACGGTCACTGATAATAACTGTCTCCGGAGAATCTGGTTTGATGGGAGAAATGTGAATGCTTGGCTAAGAAAAGAAATAATCGCCTGATAATCATATTGAATCGTTCAAATCGTTATGGTAAAGTTTGTGGACTAACTATCCCATCATGGTTGGGCCTCCGGCTTTTGGCCATAAACTACATGTCTGAAAATTGTCAGTACTTGCTCTTCACAAACTCGAAGATCACTTACATAGGCCACCAAGCGTGAATGCGCCTGTCCCTCATATCTGTCCTAACCTTTGCCAAAAACACTTCAACCTCTTCTGCACTCCATCCCAACCCTCTCGTGAAAAGAGCCATAGAAAGACCCGACAACTCACCAGCGATGTTATGATTACACCAAAACCCTAAATCGTCAGCCAAACCCTTCCCTTGGTAAGAAACACATACCAAGTTCCTTATAATAAGGATCAGCAGGCCATCTATTAGTAGGCCACTTATAAACCACCTCCGTAACATTAACGAACCCAGCATCAATCATCTGCTGTTTGTAAAACTTGGCACTCTCCGCCGTACGACCGAATTTATTCGTCGCTTCGACCATGAGACTAGACCACTGATCGATAAATGAATCTTTTTCAAGAGAGCCGTCGTCGCATTGCGCGGGGAATGTTATGTCTTGGCATTCAATCCAACCGCCGGGACTGAGAGCGTTGAAGGACTGGGTGAAGAATTTGGGAAAGTCGCCGATTGACCCGGTCATCATGCGGGCGAAGACGAAGTCGAAGGGGTAGGAGAATGTCCATTCGTCTTCGAGGTCGTCGACTTGGAATTGGAGATTTGTGGGAAGGCTGCATGTGTCAGTGAGAGCAAGGCGGGACATAAGCTGGGGCGTACAAATTGGGTTGAATGGGACTGAGATCAATACCGATGACCTAAAATGTTAGTACTTGTGTCAAGAGTGAGATGAGAAGCTGTACTTGTGTTTCGGGATGCGCATCGGCAAAGTCAATCGCCCAGACACCAGTACCTGTTCCTGCATCAAGAGCGCGGTTCAAAGGCTTGTCATCTCCAATGGGACTGAGATAAAGCTTTCCGCCAAGAGTAAGTGAAAACAAATGATGTTGAAGATCTACCCAATCAGTTCATGTTCATAATACATGTATAAACTCACTCACCTAGACGTTCTTGCTCAGACTGATGAGACGCGATGTTAGTGATGAACTGACGAGATACGTGCGCTTCATACCGAGTCATTGGGGAGTACATAATTGACTATAAAAGTTAACGAGACATATCAAAAGGATGGGATATACGTACTGGACTCTCTAAAAGCATGGTATGTTCTTCCGTTCTCGGTGCGATACGCCATGATGCTTGAATTGATTGACGCTGTACTGCTCGCAGCATCATCCTGCATATGTCAGCCCAATCCACCAAGAAACCTAGATATTTCTTACCCCGATCGCTGAATCGTCATCGCGAAAATCATGCTCACTCTACATCACGTTAATTCAACCCCCCTCAACAATCTCAATAGCTAACCTCGGCTTGCAGCGCGCTCTCATCAGTCGTAGGCGCTTGTCTATCCGTCGCAGTCGCAGTCGCGGTAGCAGTCGCAGCGGTAATTAGACCGGCAACATCGTCGCCACCCTGCTTCTCAGCCTCTGCATCAGCCGTCATGTTCGCTCGGCAAAAGTCCAACGTTCCGCTGTCAAAATACGACGTTGCACGTGGGAAATAAAACGTTATGGCAAAGGTGAACAGAAAAGGTCAAAAATTTCCCCTCATCTGAATAAACAAGAATACGTGCCGAGCCGCGCCTCGTTACTGGAATAAAAACGTCGTCGCAACGTAAGCACTTGAATTCGGAAGACTGTGGCTTGTGGCTGGCATGTCAGATGTTAAACGGTTCACTGACTTGGGAATATTTCTCCTTCAGGGCAATGGTTAACCTCAGTCTCGGATCATTGACCCAAAAACAATGCCCTCTCTCCGATCCCAGCGATCGTATTTCCCGGGTTCCGCGGGGAGCTAGGACGATAGAGCATGTTTTTAGTGGTGCTGTTCCGTCTAGCGCTGAGCTTTAGTTCGCTTTAGTTCGCTTTAGTGATGATGGGCCGCCAAAGATGTGAATGTGGAGGGGCTGGAACACAAGAGAGCCCATCGCTTGCATTCCCTGTCTTGCCGAGGAGGATGGATGCGATGCATGATCAGATGCTAGTGAAAGGAAAGGAACATTAATGATCCTCTTTGGCCTGTAGAATTGTTTCTTTTTGTAAAAGCCATGTCTGTCCCCATCTTGTCCCCACGGGTTCGGCCCGCTGGTCCCTGATCGCAAACTGCACCCACGAACCAACAGCTTCAACGTTGATTGATACGAGAACCGTAAATTGTTGAAGATTATTCTTGGCAGCGCCATCATGGCTGCAGCTTCTTTTGTTGGCTATTTGCGCGAAATCGCTGGTGATGTTCGTCCATCGATCGCGATCGCAGGACTCTTGGTAGTCTTGCTGACCCTCTGCTCTGCAATCTCAACATGGCGACAATATAATCGCCTGCGCGAATTTAAAGGCCCTCGCCTAGCAGCTCTCTCAAAATGGTGGTTAATCAAGAAAGTCGGCGGCGGAAGAGCATACCTCGATTTTTGGGAGGTCACAAAACAATATGGTATGCTTATCCCAACAATCGCATCATCGTCGCAAAGCTAACACTACAGAGGCTCAATCGCTCGAGTCGGACCCAACGATCTTGTCACCGACGACCCAGAACTAATGCGCCACATCCTCAATGTACGAACTGAATACCGCCGATCGGATTGGTACGATGGCATGCGCTTCGATCCAGGAAACAACAACATTCTCTCTTGGCGCGACGAAGACGAGCATTTTAAGCTACGTTCTAAAATGTCAGCTGGTTACGGCGGTCGCGAAGTCGAGAATCTCGAACCAAAGATCGATAAGAACATATTCTCGTTTATGAACCTACTGGGCAAATACGCAGATGAGAAAAACCCCGTTGATTTTGGTCGTCGCGCGCAGTTTTTTACACTAGATGTCATTTCGGACCTGGCGTTTGGTGAACCGTTTGGGTTTCTGGAGACGGATTCGGATGTGTACAAGTATATTCAGATCACGGAGGAGACGTTGCCGGCTGTTATGGTCACGACGGTAATTCCGTGGTTGGTCAAAGTGCTGAGCTCACCTGTTTTTAAAAGTCTTTTGCCATCGAAGAAGGATAGGCTTGGGTTTGGGAAGTTGATGGGGTGAGTTCGTGATTGTAATTGACTCGTGACAATGCTGACGGATTGAAGAATTGCGAAACAGGTCACGGCTGAACGGTTTGGACCGGATAAAAAGGTTCAGAAAGATATGCTTGGGTCTTTTGTTGCTCATGGTCTTACTCAGAAGGAAGCAGAGTCGGAGATTTTGTTACAGATGTAAGTGCTCGACTTAATTGGTATCATCGCTAATAATCGCAGCGTCGCGGGCTCGGATACAACAGCTACAGCCATTCGCTCAACCATGCTTCACATCATAACCAATCCCCTCGTATACTCCAAACTCCGCACCGAAATCTCCAAAACCCACTTCTCAGAACCCATCATTCCCGACTCAATCGGTCGCGATCTTCCCTACCTCCAAGCCGTCATAAAAGAAGGTCTTCGCATCTTCCCCCCCGTCGCAGGTCTAATGTCCAAACAAGTCCCTCCCCAAGGCGACACCTGGAAAGGGCAATTCATCCCCGGCGGTACAAAAATCGGTTACTGCGCCTGGGGAATCTTTCGCCGTGAGGATATTTGGGGTTCTGATGCGGGAGAGTTTCGACCGGAGAGATGGTTGGAGAGCAAGGGTGAGAAGTTGAGGGAGATGGAGAGTGCGCTTGAGTTGATCTTTAGCTATGGACGGTGGCAGTGTTTGGGGAGGCCGGTTGCTTTGATGGAGTTGAATAAGGTCTATGTTGAGGTAAGTTTGATGACGATTGGGAGGGATGGTGCTAATTGTGTGTAGTTGCTGAGACGGTTTGACTTTACGATCTGTGATCCTACGAATCCTTGGAGGGTGTTTAATTGTGGTATTTTCTCGCAGTCTGAGCTCATGGTTCGCGTTCATCGCAGAGATTGAATGGCAGCCTATCTAACCATGGCCACAAAGATCTGCGATTGATGAAGGAGTAGGGATTGAATGACAAGCGCGCTATCAATTGAGCTTCGGATAGTAATTACATGATGTACAGAACCAAGAAAAGATATCAACCCCATTATTGCTTCTCACAGACTCCTCACTCTTTCTTTTCCTTCTTCCCCTTCTTATTCTTCGGGACCCTAACAAGCCAATACAACGCCAAAGCCGCAAAAACATTAAATATGATATAAACCCACATCAACCCAAAATTCCTCCACCGTTCACTATAATGCGACTGAACCCTCGCCAAAAACACATTACTATCCCCAATAGTACAATACGTGCATGTACTATTACTGCTCTTATCCACAAGATAACCCCCCGCACTCTTGATATACGCCTGCATATACTCACCACACGTCTGTCCCTTCGGCGGTGGGAAAACAACATATTCGTTCTGCGCACAGACAGCTTCTGTATTTGCCACGGCGGTGGATAAGATTGCGGATATGAGGTATGTGAAGGGGCTGACGCGATACATCCATATCCAGAACTTGGGGAAACTGTCTGGTGGTGCGAGAACACCGCAGAAGATAAGACACATCATAAAGAGCAGATTAGCGATGTTTCCTCCTGTTTCGGCTGAGCTGCACCCGGCAATTATGAAATCGGTAAAGGTGCAGGTGAAGAGCATGAAGACGAGGAAGAGAAGAAACATCAGTGCGCCGCGCTCGGCTACTGCGTCGGTGGGTTCGGCGTTGCGGTATAGACCGATGGGGTAGTACCAACAGAAGTACATGATCGCAGCCATGAGGGTGTTCCACGGGATTTCGACGATGATCTGACTCAAGATGAAGACTTGCCAGCTGTACGTTTTGGAGGGTCGTTCTCTGACTTCATACAAATCTCTTTGGATGACAAAGTGCGGCATCTAAACAGTCAGTCTTACTCAAATCAGTTCAGACTTGAGGCAGTTCAGGCTTACCTGTTGCTGCGTGAGCTGCCCAAAGACAGTCAATACCTGAAAAATCGCAAACATCTGGTTCTGCAGTCCAAGCGCGGTGTTAGGCGCCTGATAAAACGAAAAGCCGATAAACAACGCAACGAGCGTACATAACGCCGCTTTCGAGTAAATATACGAAGGGGTTCTCCAATACTGTTCAAAAACTCGTGTTGTAACATACTTCAACTGCGTCGTAAACGTAGCAGCAAATTCGTCATACAAATGCGGATCTTCATCCTGACTCTTCTCAACCCTATGATGAGACAGTTCTTGCAAGTGTTCCTGCACAGCAGCGAATTCGGAGGAATCTTTCCAGATCTGGGGCCAGTTGAGATTCGTTTCGGAACCGGGTGCTGCGCCGATTACTTCGAGCATCCATTCTGCGGGGTTTGCTTCGGGCGGACAGGGCTCTGCGCCGTGGGATTCGAAATAGCGAGTCATGGTGCGGGAATGATCGCCTACGTCTCCGAAATATACTGTTTTTCCTCCGCTTGCTAGGAAGAGTAAACGATCGAAGCGTTGGAAGAGCATTGCTGATGGTTGGTGGATAGTGCAGAGGATAGCTTGTCCACTACGAGCCAGCTTCTCCAACAGGTCCAGAATAGCCCATGAAGTCTGTGAATCCAATCCCGACGTAGGTTCATCAACGAATAACAAAACTGGCGGTTTTGCAGCGAGTTCAACACCAATTGTCAATCGTTTTCGTTGTTCGACATTTAACCCCTCGCCTAAAACACCAACGACTGCTTCAGAATAGTCCTGCATGTCTAGCATTTTGATGACTTCATCAACATATGCGATTTTCTGCTTGACGGGTATGTGTTTTGGCTGTCGCATTATAGCGGAGAAGTTGAGGGCTTCGCGGACTGTTGTTGTGGATAGGTGAAGGTCTTGTTGTTGGACGTAGCCGGTTTTGCGCTGGAAGGAGGCGTCGCGGAGTTTGTCGTCGACGAGGATGTCGCCGTGTATTACGCCCATGCTTGTGCGGTCGGCGAGACAGTCGAGGAGGGTTGTTTTGCCGGCTCCTGAAACGCCCTGGGTTTGTTAGTACGGGGAGAAATGGTTTGGGCTGGGGGGCTTACCATTAGAGCTGTCATTGTACCGGGTTTGACCCATCCTGCTACGTTATCAAGAATACGTCTGTTTTCACTCTTGATCTTGATATCGTAGCAGACGTTGTTCCAGTGGAAGACGCTGGTTGACTTGAAGTTTGACGGTTGTCCTTCTCCATAGCCTTCTTTCTCTGTGATTGCCACACGACCCGCCGGACTAGATTCAGCATCGACTCTGTTCGTCGCCAGTCTGTGCCCTCGACGGAAAACAAGAACCTCTCCCTTTGACTTCTTTGCGCTGACGGTCTCAGCGAAAAACATATACGTTGCAAGGAAAAGAAGCGTAAAAGCGATGACGATGCCAACGTTTCGCCACTTGTGCGCATGATAATATGAGAACGACAAATTGATGTACCTGTCCCCCGAAACCATTGGTTCTCCCTGAACAGCCCCAACAGTCGAACAAACTCGATTCTCAGGTGCTGCATCGGGATACGTGGGAATGAACAAGTTACACTCAAACTTGCGGTTATGAAACTCATTCACCATAAGTGACTCAAACGCATACGCAAGCGGATTGACGTAGTTGATCCATCTGCACCAACCAAGCATATAGTCAATCTGGATGACAAAGCCCGTGAAAGTGACTAGTGCGAGAATGAGGAGAGCAGCGGGGACCATAGCTTGTGAAAGCGTTCGAGACGCAGAAGCAATTGTCCTGAAAATCATGGACATGCAGAGCGTGACGAGGAATGTGATGAAGAGGAAGTAGAAAAAGGGACCGGGCTCTCTGCGGAGGTTGGTCATGAAGTAGAGTGTGAGGTTGTAGGTGAAAGCGTTGAGAATCTTGTAGGGCATGTCGCAGAGCATAGAAGCCACTGCTTCGGATGAGGGGTGATATAGGGCGTAGCGGTCGTGCTTCTCGACAATGGGTCTTTGAGCATATAACGTGAGGATCTAAAACTGTTAGTTCAAGATTTTGGATAAGATAGAAGGTGACAGGTTTACCTCGAGAGCACTGGAAAACGCATTTGAAAGACAAGCCAAGAAAAGCAAAGCACCCCTCTGAAAAAAGCTCGCAGTCGTCTGATCGATATTATAAAACACACTCCCCACAATAAGCGCCATGATAAAATTTCCAAAAAGCTGCGTAAGCGTTATAGTAGGATCCGTGACCAAACGCTTAAATCCCCTCCAAACACATAGCTTCGTTTGTTGCCAGTAGCTCAACGTATAAGGACTATTCTTTCGTTGGTTCTTAGCCTGCGCTGCCCGTCGATTCGCTCTAAACTCCTCTGCGTCTGGTCCATTGATGGGAAAATCTCGTTTATACTCTTCGATTTCTCGTTGAACAAGGGCGTTTGCTTGGGAAGCTTTCCACGCTGCTGCGAATTCATCTGGTGTTCTCGGTGCACGATCTTCAAACCCCTTTCTGATAATTCGCTCTTGAGGACTCGTCATCGACGTCAAGAAATCCGGCACCGTCTGTCTCGCAGGGCACTCAAACCCAAGATCAACAAAATACTGCTTCGCCATCTTCGTCGAACCAAAGTAAATCTGCCTGCCTTCATACAACACAACAACCTTGTCAAAAATATCATAAGCAGCTTGCGGAGCCTGATATATCGATACCAGAGCCGCCGTATCAGACATCTGCGTCTGCAACCTCAACGTCTTACAAAACTCAACCGCATTAGCTGAATCAAGACCGCGCGTGCTATTATCCCAGCACTGCAGCGGTGCACCGCTGAGCGAGGCTTCGGCGATGGTGACGCGTTTGCGTTCGCCGCCGGATACGCCGCGGACGTATTCGTTTCCGACTTTTGTGTTTACCGTGTGGCTTATGCCGAACATGGCCATTACGACGTCACGGGAGTGGGAGATAAAGGTTTCGCGGTCGACGCCGCCAGGGATGGAGCGTGGGGCGCGGGCGTGGGCGGCGAAGTCGAGGGTGTCGCCGACTGTGAGGTGGGGGAAGTGGACGTCTACTTCTGCGGTGTAGATTGCTTCTCCGCGATGGCGGGTGTGCATTTCATGGGCCGTTATGCCTGGTGGTGTTCAGCCAGTCCAAACCAGGGTCAAGCTTGTCAACTTACCTCTGTAGTTGAAGTATGCATCATCGTTGACATAGATACCACTTGTCTCGCCGGAAATGGTCTTGAGATACGTTGAGCATCCAGACCCAGGAGGACCTAACACCACTAACATCTCTCCGTCCTTGACAACACCGTCAAAGTCTCGAATGATATCGATCCTGGTCTTTCCATATCCCATCAGCTGTCGTGGAAGTGAAGCAGCGTCAAGCCAGATATTGGCCACGTTCTTCTGATAGTCTGTTGGCTGGCCATACCCAAACACATTGAGGTTCTGATAACAAACACCAGCTTTGCGATTAGTGAAGCCAGTCTCACTGTGTAGCTTCGAAATGGCCTTTGCCCAAGCCAAAGCTCTGAACTTGTCACTTCTGGGGTTCAGGGGGCTGTTTTCATCGGCTGTAAAGGGGTTGCCACTGATAGCAGACATCTGACTCTGGTTGGTGTACTGACGTGCCAAGTCGCGGACAATACTGTGTCTGCGCTCGAGCTCCGAGTCTTCTTCATCTTCTGTGGTGGATTTGGGTGGTGTTTCGTCCTTGGAAGCCATGTGGTCTTGAGAATAGTTGGTGGGAGTTGTATCTGAACTTGGATTCACTGGCGTTTGAAGGTCATGAGGCGAAGTAGTAGACTGATTGTTTGCTGTCACATTTGGTCCCAGTCCAGGTAGTGGTGCTGGCTGGACGGATGTACCGCCCATATAAGTTGATGCCATGATCGAATCGGTTGACCAAGGACCGGCTCTGAGTTCCTTCTTGAGTACTATAGGATATCTTGATCACTTGGTCCTTAATAAGGATAGTATAAGTTGAGAGTTTTGAGCTTCAGAAATCTAAAGATTGAGTTCAAGGGACTTGCATGCGAGTGGACTCATAATGGTCTGATGTCCAATATGCTTCAGCCTCTCATATCAATGGAATTTCCAATAAGAAAATTGAAATGAATTGCTGAAAAGAACTCTACAGTATCGTGATAATGAACACATAAACCTCACAGTCCTTTTAAGTCGGCCAAGCGGACTCTTAACAGACTGCGTCTCCCGAATCGCGTGTTGACCAAATTACCCGCATCTCCAAGTTCGCTGCGCTTCCAATATTCCGGTATTGCACCCCTGGCCTCGGGAAGTTGTGGAGAGTCTCGGGATGCGTCTCGAGCCCGACTGCCCGAGTGTGGCACCCATTACTGACATGGACTGTTGCATGATCTGCTACCTAATTGTATCACCCTAGTCCTTGATTGAGTGTTAGGGATAGCGTTTGGCTATATGCTTTTAAAGTCGACATCGACATCTCAGAAAATGCAAGTTGGGATATTGTAAAGATAAAAGTTTTCGTAATTTTTATACGAGAATGTCGAGTCCTGTTTCTCATCGGGATGAGTCTACGGACTTGAGTCCTACAGTTACAAACACATCTATGGATTCGGAACCGAAGAAGGCGAGCAAGAGAGTGCTGTCATGTGTGCTCTGCCAACAAAGGAAAAAGAAATGCGATCGGAAGAGTCCGTGTTCAAATTGCATAAGGGTAATTCCCTCAGCAATCTTTCGGTAATATTGATACTGACAACTTGACAGCTCAAAACAGTCTGCACTCCAAGTTTACCAGCTCCGCCAAGGAAGCGCAGACGTCCGAATCAAGATCTTCTGGAAAGGCTTGCGAGATGTGAAGAACTTCTCAGGCATTGTACTTGTATAAGGCTTCCAACACCAGAGCATAGCCCGCCAAATCAACGCGAACAATCACCTCTGAGCTTACACGACGGCGATGATTTGAAAAGGAAGAGAAGCAGAGAGACTTCGCCTACAGAAGCAGATTGACGGACATCTGGAGTCGTCCTCTCGCACGAATCAGTTCTCTAAGAAAACACGGATGGTCAGTCGGTTTGTTGTTTGAAATTTAAGTCTTCCTGGTATGAAGCCTTTCGTTTTCTGAGACCAGTTCTCTTGCAATTGGGGCTTTGGCTTCATGGGAGTTGAGGTCTTTGGGGATGGACCCTTTAGGGCAGACATTGACGGACGGCTTGCCTGCATTTATCACGATACCCAGTTCACTTCTTCAGTGTCTCAGTTACTGAGATACAAATAATTAGTGCAAACGATCCTTCTTTATATAAGAAGATCAGACATTTATACATTCACTATCCAAACCCTCCACCATGTTTGTTCAAATACGCGGCTTTCTCTCGTTTAACATAGCGAAACCGAAATGCGAAAACACAAAAAACCTGGGGCCTTTGAGTTACTCGGTCAGATCTGACCCTCCATCAGCAAAGCCATTACAGGGGTTACTTACAGGGGTATGTCGCCTAAAACCAATCATTCGGCAGCCCGCTTTTTCAAGGGTTGCAGGTGATCAATTGACATGAGGAGATCAGGCCAACCATAGCGTTGTCTTGACAGAATTGGTGGCGTGAGTTTAAAATGAGTGGTCTGAGTGGTCTACGGGGTCTTGAAGTGTCCGCTTCCCGAATAGCTTCAGATTGAGTGCTGCGTATGGTGAGGGTAGGGGGGGATTAACCGATGGGTAAGGTGGCATTTGCTCACCATTAAGTTGAGATAGACTCAGTACACCTTGACACGAAGGCAAGCCTTCAAAAGTGGTTTAATCTAGATGACTATAGTAGTCAGGCTTGGATTACTGCTGTTGTCTCAATGATCCACGCTTAGTCGGAGAATAACACAAGACCACTCACACCTATCCCTGGCATCAGCATGTTGCATTTCCAAGCCGGTTATACGGATATACGCAAATAGAAATGCTTATTTCGATCCCGTCGATCCATTTCTTCAACGGCTAATTACCCACCTCCACAATATCACATCACCAACAACACACCACTTCGAGAATCCTACGGACGGAGTGTCTGTCAAGTCCGTACTTCCGGCCGATACCCCAGATTCCAGAAACGGAAGATATTCTGACATTCGTCGGGCCTATTCACCAATAAGATTCTGATGATGTGTAATGACACAATTTGTTTCATAGTCATAAGCAATAGGTCGTTTGGCTGGAAATTGACATTGCAATGTTCCTTGTTGGTTCGTGCTGTAGCTGCAGGGATATCGGTCCAACGACTTCTATCTTGGACCTCATATTGGTATCTGTAGCTTTCTAGTAAATGGATATTTGCTAACCATAAAGTCATCGCTATTCGATAGGATAAATTCAGTCAATTAAAGTCAGTTCTGCCAGGCAGCGACGAGAAGCCTGAGCGTCTGGAGGACACCGCGCGATGCATTATCTAACCATTAGGTTAGAGCTATTGCTACAGCACTCTTTACTGATATACTAACTGTCTCGAAAGTTCTTCGTAAAGAGGGTTTATTAGGTGTGTGCTGAATGAGAGCTGTCTAAAGACGTGAGGAAGGTACTGCTGAATATATCTCTACCCTGTGTTCGACCTCGATGACTCAAGATCATCGCTGCGGCTCTTACTTTCAGAATCAAAATACGGCCGCCCGCCCACGCTTACAGCCCTGGCCCCTTGTCTTGCACCAAAATCCCCGTACAGGTAGTCCGGAGTAGCAGCGTGGTAGGTGCAACGATTATCCCAAATCGCGATGTCGTTGACGTTCGGCCACCGGCTTCGAACTTGCAGGTCATGATTATGACAAGCTGGAGAAACCAATCTAGAAAATTGTTTGACTCGTCCTCGCTGAGCCCGTTGATATGGCTAACGTGTTGTCCGACGACGTAAATGCTTTTCCAGCCTGTGACTGGGTTTGTGCGGACAACGCGACGGATGGCTTCTAGTAGTTCACCCTTGTTCTCTGGAGCACCACGCTCACCGCTGTACATTTGTAGCCCATTGTCCCGCGCGTTCTGGTTAAAGCCGGGCTGTGCGTATGTTGCTGTGAGCGTTTCAAGAAAGGTTGGTAGCGGATACGATATTCTATCGTAAACTTCATATCCCGATGCCCAAAGAGTATCTACAGTCGTAAGTATGTGTCTATAGATAGGCGAGGCCTGGGAATTTATACGCCTCCACCGTTCTTTGGCAGCTGAAGCATCCGTAGCAGAGTTTAGGCGCTAGAAACGGGCTCAAAGGCGATATCTCAGTGCCACTGGTTGTGCTGAGACTACTTCCCCTCCCACCGCCCGCTCGGGTAAGGTGCCCCCGCCGCTCCTTAGCCCGACCGTACATCACGCGGCACTCTGTATATAAGTCACCACCATTTCCAACCTTGTGAGCATATATCTTTGGCTTCTGCCTCCTATCAAGCTCCGCCCATCTCGTATCTTCCGTATCACTCCCTCTTCAAGGATCGGCCATGAACATGATCCACAACCTGCCACGTGAGCGTCAAGCACTGGCATCGTCCTTGTCAGCCAAACAGTTCCTGAGCAAAGTGGTACTCCCATTGTTGTCGAGTTGTGATCGAGGACCTGCAACAGAAGTTGCTATCCGTTTCAAGTCCAATTAAACCCCCAGACCGCCCTATATATTCCTGACTCTCCTTTCCCGACATGACAGCAACAACATTCATTCCATTCAGTACATCTGGATGAAATCGACTAAGCTTATTAAAAAAGAAGACTTAGAGTTGAAAGCACAACTATTTAAAGACTGGAAGAGTACTACCCATTGGCCTCATTGTAACCTTCATCCTCAAGCTGCTCCCTTAAGGAATGATTCTATCGCTCCTCAGGTCCGCGGTGAACCTATTATTAAGCCCGAGATTACCGATCAGCTCCAGCAGTTTGCTGAATTTAAGGCTTTTTGAGAATGTTATTAGCAATATCTGTTAGTTGATTGCACTTTTGTTGCCAGTTGTCTTGTAGTGTGCTCAGTTCAACCTGTTGTTTCGCTACTTTGATATTACTTGCGCTGCATCTTACCTCTCTTCGCATTTCGGACTAACGGCAATCGGTCCTTACACAAAGGGCATCTGAGAACAGAATAGAACCTTCAGTCACTTAGCTATAGCCGATATCACATTAGCCAATATCACATTGTATTTTCAATGTTTTAACTAGAAATCTCGTTATTGAATTCTTCACTTCTTTCTTGACCGTCTAATTTTAGAATATCTTCATCAGCGCTTACCTCTGGCAGCTCGATGTCTCCAGTTTTTGACTTGTAAGAGTTTGGCTTCCTATTGTTATCACATTCCTCTCTCGGGGCAAAGCCACGACATCAACCACTGGAACGTCGGCTTCAAATACACAGTGCCAGGGTCGCTAGCGAGCTGCGCGCACCATAGGTGCACATCGCGTAAGAGACCCTTCGACAAGGTCGGTGGTAATGATTCAATAATGACCTGGAGTTGGATAGTCTTTTACTATATAATGCATATAAAGGCCTCAAAGCTTCTTCACATACATGTCTTACAATCCCACTAATATGAGTTTAGCAAATACAGTCATCTAACTTATCGTTGTCAAGAATTATTTTGTACTGAACGTTGATCTATATACTTAACATCACTTGCTGCTAGTACTGTAGTACATAGCTTCGCAATCCCCGCCAACATCGTATAGAACAGGCCCTCCGGCACTAGAGTAAGAGACAAAAGTCGAAAGCAACTGGGCTAGCTCTCAGCGGTAACATGACCAGATTAGGCATAGTCAGTTTCGGCAACTTCATGGCCACAGGCTCGGTCAAAATAGTAGAAGCTCATGGGCGAAGAAACAGTGTAAAGCTGCATGCTGGAGACCTCGGCAGTATAGAAGTAGCAGGTCTTGTACTTGACGTCGAAGCTGACAGCCTTGCATCCACCACGGCAGGCATCGAGGCAGTTCTTCATATTGCCTTCGGTCTGCGACTTCTTGTACCAAGGGATGTTCTTGGCTCCGACATAGCCAGTGGCTCCACAGGCCTTGCCTTGGGTGTCGAAGCTGATGGCTTTGCAGCCACCCGTGCAGGAGACAAAGCAGTTCTGGATGGTGCCCTCGTCCTGTGACTTTTTGTACCAAGGGGTATTCGTGGCACCAACGTAACCGTTTCCGCCACAGATGACTGGCTCAGTTGCACCCGCAGAACAATATGAAGCATTGGAGAAAGCCGCGAAAGCAGCAGCAAAGAAAGTAGAGAAGCGCATAGTGATGGTGGTTATGTTAGTTATGTGGTTGTTTGTAAAGTTGTTTGGGAGAATGCAGTACCCTCAAAACCGGCTCCTGTGGTGGTTTATATAGATGGACTCTGTATGGACCGTTGGTTATTCTCGCATCGCTTAGACGTCCTCGCACCCGTTTAGAGACTTGTCAGTAAGATCCGAAGCGACTCCCACCGACTTCCGATAGCTGAAAGGCTGAAAATTGACTATTGACGTATTTGTATGAATATTTAATAGTTTTGTCTTGGCTTTTGCTACGTTGTTGCTGCGAGTTTTGCTTTTCTCCTTGGCTTTGACAATCGAAGATACCAGCATGGTATCCCATTGGCCCTGCTCAGCTCTTTGCTGGGGTAAAGATAAGCACAAAAATATCAGGAGTAAAAGCCACAACTAATAGACTAACGGCTTTTAGTCGGTCAGACATGTGTTATTTTTGGGATAATTGGTAGGCTGTCGTCGCCGTTTAGTACAACAGTTGTAACCATGAATTAAATGCGCCTTAGAACACAGGGCAGACCGCCAAGATCTGGAGTACTCCGAATGCAGATCTGACAGAATACTCAACAGCATGCTCCGTAGAACATCAGACATTACTAGACGCTAAACGTTGCGCATATGGTTCAAAGCTCGCCCATATTCACAATGTTCAAAAGTTTGACCGTGTAAGAAGAGAATGAGGAGGTTCGTTTAAAGTTGACAGTCGCACAGGGCTTTCGATAGTTCAAAGCCACCTTTCTAAGCGAACCCGGGGCCGGATCATAGCGATTTCATAGCCCATGTACAGTATCCAATTAATAGTTCTACAACAATCTGAACTCCCCTTTGTCCCAATAATCTTTGGTGTGCGGCTTAATCAGAAGTAACCCGCTGTTGACGTCGCACTGTATAGCCACCAACAATCAGGGAACCATCAAGGTCATGGCGATGTGCCATTGGCCTGTCGGCTCGGGCTGTCGGCCTCATCAGGATTTCCGGTTCCAGCAGCGAAAGTGCGGAATTGGTTTTCCTGACCTTGATCGTTGTGTATCGTTGAATAGCTTCAACTGGTCAAACTACATTGCCAAGAAACAATAGCTCCATGTCGGGCTGTCAGCTCGCCACTCTTCATATCAGAACCAACTAAGCGACAAGATAGCCGAGCGATTCTGTTGTAAAGCCGAGTTTCGACACCGCTGAAACACTGGGCCAGAGTGTCTGTTTGACCCCTATAGTGTCAATAACCTGATGCTAGTGCCTGAGGTGGTTGCAAGTAAGATAGAGCTGAGATGATTCTTCTGCAGTGATTGTAAGAATGAACCTGCTACTGTGTTATTATTCTGTCTTACTTTTTCAGTAGGAGTTTTTTTCAATTAAGATATATAATATTCTACTCTGCCAGGCTATACTATAAAACTTAACTTTATTTTTAAAACCTCTATAGCTTATTTTAAACTATTTAATAAGGCCTTGATTTAATCCTTTCTTTTAGATTTTAATATTAGCTTTTATTTATGAATTTATTACTATAATATTTAAAGTTGTTTAAGGTTTAAGGTTATAAGAAGGTTTAATCAACTTCCTTTGAAGTTAATAAAGAATTAATAAATACTATTACATTATTTAATTACAATAGAGGGGGGGGGCTTACTTAGCAGCGTCTTGTTTATATGACTTAAAGCCCCTACTATCAAGGCTTGGGTTCATTACCCTGAACTCATTCTCTATACAAAGAAAGATCATTTCGCGACGTTAAGGATGCCTATATCTCCAGCGCGTCGGGGAGATCACCTGAAGAGGTCACCAGCGCTGGGCGATGGCAAAACAAAGCCTATATCATCGACAAGAGCGCTGCTATAGAAATCCCAGTATAGCTTAAGGCTTCTCCACATATCAACTTATCATATTGCAAAAAGTACTCTACTAAAAACTCTAAGGTGGATATGGAACTATGAGCTGGTGGAAAAAGGGCCAATCTTTAGAGCTGCTGGGCCATCTCTGCCTTCAAACTTGTAAAAGATCGTAAGGGTAACGCGCTTTCCAATCCTTGGCATTTCAAAGGCAAAATACAACAATAACTTTGCCTCATGTGTCTTGCTTTCATCATCTTCGTTCCCACTTTATACCAGGTATGCAAGCCTTTGCAGACTCCGCTGATCTCGAGAAATAGTCGTAGGAAAATGAGGTCTTGGTACGCAGTTTCGACCCGAAGTATCAAGCTAGTATTGAAAATCGCATAACGATCATCAACGGATACGTCGGGAGTGTAAATTCTTGTAGGGTTGCCTCCTACATCCAACGAGGTGCGCTGAAGCAGCCAGCCATGCCTGTCGCTCCCAGCACGAACGGTTTCTGCTCCGACACGAGCTTTGACACGTTTGTGAGGAGCTGGAGAGGTTGGAATTTCGTGTACATCAGTGACTTGAATGTCAAACAAGAACTCCCCACAGTCTTTGATGTCTAATGAATTGGAAGTTGTCTTTCGGAGATTAGTCGGCTGCAGCACATATCCTGATGAGCAACGATTTAATACTGGCCCTTCAATATAGTCTATGTTTACGTAAGAGGGCTCTGCTTGTGACTTGTTGCCATTGCCCACTGCGGACTATACGTATCGAATCAGGCTGGCGACCAACACATCTCACATCGTAGCTCAGCATCACTCGGAATTAATTGGCTAGAAGTGCATAAGTTCCCGCGACTTGCTAGGCATTTTTATCCAATGCCTTGGAGGATCCCCTCATTTGGCTTTCTGTTGCACAGCCACTTTGGAGGTTGAAACTAAACACAGAAGTCAGCAGGCCTCCAACGGAATCGGGTGAGTGATATTCTCAGAAGTTCCGGCCAGTTTGATCTGAGGAGACTATATTCATCTGTTTAAAGCCTTGCAAGAGGATTCCAGGCCTGGAATGGATCCTCTTAGCATCACTAGCGCCTCAGTCGCGCTGGCCGCTGCTGTCTACAAATGCGCGATTGAAGTCAAAAAGATAGTTGGCACAATCGCCGACGCGGCCAACTCGCTCTCGGATTTAGCTGAAGAAGTTCAATTAATTCAGGGAGCACTGCAGGGTGTCGAGGACGCCTTGCAGGACAATCAAGAAGCAATCTCGCGATACAAGGTTGAAGAGGTTTTCTCAATTGCAGTCAAGGGCTGCCGCGCGACTTTGGCGTGCATCAAGCAGGAGTTTGAGCTGCTTTTTAATCGGAGTGACTGGAAAGCTCGATTTATGGTGTTATGGAAGGAAGACGATATGAAAAAGCTGCTCGGACGCCTTGATCGCAAACGAGAAAGTATCCTGCTGTTGCTTCAACTTCTGAGCCTGTAAGCCTATCCCCAGAGATCCAATGCGAAACTACAACTAACCATACCGTCAAAGGAGCTCGGTACGAGAGGTTCAGGCGCTGGTCGCCAAGAAACAGAGTGCTTTAACAGTTGCGAAAGAGGACATAACGGCTCTCATACCGACCTACTGGAGTTGCCGTGATACGATCCTTGACTCTCTTGACAAGGAAACAGTTGATAGCATCTATGCGGACTGGGAAAACCAAGAGAGCAAGCTGAGTACAACCGAGTTTGACTTCGACTACGAATTCTTCAACACACGGGCCTATCGTCGAGCTCTTGCTCAAGCACAAGCCAAACGCAGTCGACAGCTACCACCTCGGAAAGAGCTTGACACCCCCGCCCGGGAATCTAACGGTGGGATAATGGAGCCAGTTGAGGATCTCATTGACTTGAGCTGTGAGCCGAGTCAACAAACTACTTCGATGCCGTCACATATGCCCTCCCAGTCCTATACGGGCCTAGCAGGTCTGCAGTTCATGCCGACAACTGCGCACGATGCGATGACTGAAATAAGTCAAACCGAAACTCAACAGGAAGGGATGGTGACGAATGAACTGCTAAAAACGATGAATCCGAATAGCAGCAGCTTGCCCGCTGGCTCTTCAAGGCCGTATAACCTACCTTCTGACGGCACTCCAGCCACTATCTCTACACTCGGGAACATGGCTACTAAGTCACAGACCTCCTTACTCATAGAGTACTTTGAAGGTGGAAAAGGCCAGAGGGGTCCCAGCAGTAAGTGCCGTCCTGGGATTCGCGTACGCCTAACGCCTAGTAAGAGGAAGGGGGTTTACACAAAACACCATCCTGAGGTCACAGAAACCAGCCGTATTGACCCCTCTTCTGGCATACCTTCGGATGAGCTGCTCGACAATAGCCCTATGGGGAGTTCCAACCCCCCAAACATCGGAGATTCGAGTCTCCAAAGAAACCCAATCGATATTGAAATCGATCACAGCCATAGACGACGACGGCCGGCAAGTCCACTGCGGCCAGCCCAGATCTTGGATGAGATGCGGAAAGGCAGAACAACAGCATAAGTACCAGCCAAGAAGAACGTGAACGATTCAAAATATCAATCTTATGATTCAGGATATATACCCGACGATGACATGAGGCCCCCGAGTCGAAACATTGCCAGAAGGTCACGCCCCAAACAGAGTCGGCGCAGCCAGAGCACCGAAGCCAACGCAGGGTCACCGCGGACTATAAACAACCCCAAGCTTCTGAAAACTGTCAATCATGCTATAAGAACGCTGATTCTACCTGAACTCAATGCACTGAAGTGTGAACAAGCACAACGTGGGCGCCGATATACATCATTCACTGAAGCGGATGCATCGCCAGTTCGCCTTACATCGGCTCTTGCTGATGGTCCGGAGGCAAATGAAAAAGAGCAAGAGAAATGAAAACAAAAATGAAGCAAGCTCTTTATCACATCGATCAAATAGGTTCGATGGGAGAGATAGGAATAGGTCTGAGAGAGAAAAGGAAAGGAGGAAAAGGAGTCAATATAGTAAAAGGGGCTATACAGAGCTTGAGAGAGAAGGTTTCTGACACCGGAGGGCAAAATATACTTATAGGGCATTTAGTGTATAAACTTTTATGATTTGACTTAACGGTTTGTTTAAAATTTGCTTTTCGCTTCTGTGACTTTTCTAACAAATTAAGCTCATACTCTCAAGACTTTAGAATCTCATCATATTCTCAATACTGCTATTGTGAGGCCCTTATGCCAAAGAAATATGATATATGACTATGCGTTACTCTAACCTCTAGGTTAGAGCTTTCCCTGTGGCCTTTTCCATTTACCTTCATTTTTGCTCACCATTGCGCGATGCGCGTGTTAAATTCCACTTCACTTTATTCCACTTGTCCGGTCTCCGCCTCGGTTTGGCTCTAATCATACAACGACAAGCTGACACTCCTCCTCATGATTCACCGATCAAGGTAGCGGTGTTATGTGACCGTTCTGATTTATGAAAAATCATCATTACATTGAGACATTGAGGCCCCCTGAATGCTGTTGTTCAAAAGGAAGAGTATTGCCATTGTGCCGTCTATTCCTATGAAATTAAAAAGTCTAGAATTCCAACAAAGGAAAGAGAATCTAGCTCGATATGAACTGTGAGATAGCTGTTAGGTACAAGCTGATGATTGACTAAGCCACCATACTTACAACTCAAAATGGGGGGGGGTTCCCAAGACCAATCGACAGATTACCTCATCAGCCATCGATTATCACTAAATACTAAAAAAGGCTTCCTTGGGACATCAACTTACCATTGGCCCCGGACATTGTTTAAAATGTCAACCTTGGAGATAGGTAAGCCAGAATTCATAGAAGTTGCCTTTTTCCGTATCAAAATAAGCCCAATCTCCTGTAACCAGCCACGGCTTTCTTATTAGCCTTTCGTACGATCCTTTTAGATTTTATCCTAGTCGATAGCAGTACTAACTGATGTTGTTAGACTCCTCTCATATGCCAGGTCTGAAAGGCACTTGCAAATTCAAGCGGCCCATACAGGTGGTGTTTTGCTATCGACTCTCATCTCTAAAGTGGGCGCTCTCGGTAAAGGTCTGGGCGACGTACTTGGCCCAGACTCATCATTTGCAGCTGTGTCCCAGTAGGCTGCATTCCGCTGCGTTCGCGTGGGCTCTGGTCGCTTTTCTGACACAGGAAGCGGAATCAGAGTTGCATCTGCTCTGAGAATATCATCCCCTAACAAGAACGATTCGTGGCCGGAATTGCGTGGCCTGCGGCGCGGCTCTCCTCTAGATCTTTCGGAGACGCGTCTTTCGTTGTACTGTTCTACATCACCTTTCCACCATGCTGCTTCATCAGGCCTGAGGACCCCCGGAAAGAATTCATCTCTTAGAGGTTTTCCCAGGTCGTAAGTGGAGTGGAAGTCCATGATACAATCCATCGCTTTCCGGCCCGTGACCTGGTCTACGCGTTTCAGTGGAATGTTTCTCGACTCCGGAGTGAGCTCCTTCGCCGCAAGCCAGGCATTCTGGAACATACCCAAACCTCCAACACCGAGAAGACACCAGGACTCGGGGAACTCGCCTCGAGCAGAAACATTGACGAGTAACAGGAGCCAGAGTACTGAGAGACACGCGCAAGATGCTTGCGTGATGATGAACCCAATTGGAACTCCTCTAAACAGCCACACGTCTGATCTCTTTGCTTTACGTAGCATTGTATTGCGGCGATTAACTGATAGCTCACGATCACTTCCTTCCTGGGGCTTTGATAGCCACAGAAACTTCTCCCATGGTCTGCCATTACGGGGTGATTGTGAAGCCGCAAGGGACTCAAGATCGAGGCACTTGCCGTAGCCAAAAATGACCATTACCTCTCGAGATCCATTTCCAGAGGTAATCGCATAGACCTGGTCTGATCTTTGTCTGTTTGGCAATTTCTCCGCCCGCCACTGGGGTAGTAAACCTGTCCACTGCACTAACAAAGTGCCGGCCCCCGTAATGAGTAGCACGCTCCATGAACGATTCACAATGAAAGGTATGAAAGCCAGCGTTAGCTGGATCAAAGTGATTACAATGCCAACGATGTGAATCCAGCTCCAGGAGAATTCAGTCCGTTCATTTTTGTTCCACATGGCTTCAAAGACTGTGATCTTCAGGGCGTAGCTGCTTCTGTCGAAGCCCTGATCTTCCGTATCAAGGTTCGCTTCGCGAGTCTCTATTGCTTCAAGGTCCCGTAGTAAGCGACCGAGGACGAAGTTCTTGTTTTCCCGGAGATATCCAGATTTGAGGTTCAGCACTTTGCATGGATAGTCAGGTGGTGCAAGAAGTCGTCCGTCACCAATAATGCCGACTAATGCGACAAAGGCGTAGGCGACACACCCGAAGGAAAAGCAAACAGGGACATAGATCTTTCCAGTTGCTTGGGAGTAAGCCTTTTGAACCACGTCTCCGCCTAGAACGAAGAGGATTGTCGACACGTCTGACGGATTGGCCCATTGGGAGGCAAGATGATTGCTTGTTGACATATTCAGGTAATAATAACCTGTGTAGTGTTACTGCGTAGAGTAGTTGTGATGTTACTGAACTGTTGTACGGCAGGGGCGCGCTACCAGTGAATAGTGAGTTCTCGGGGAAGAAGCTGACGACTTATTATTGTTTTTTGCCACGTCAGAGCCGGGCGTAATCAGGCTCGGCCTTTGTTTGCCAAGCCTGATGTACAGTGCCTCCTCTGTACGCCCATGTACCTTTTCCATCAGCAGGCTCGGTGCGCAAGGACGTCACACGACTCGCAAATGGCCAATTAGAGGGCCAGAAGTGAAGCCTCATGCACCTTGTACACTTCGGTCTCACCGACAATGATCTAATAACAGCTTCGGAAATTAGTAAATTACTAGGTATGCGAATGGCGGCTGGCTGTGCGCGGTTCTTTCGCGAAAACTCGATAAGAAAAACACCATCAACTCCCAATTACTGGTACATTTATCACCTAACAGATCAAGCCACTACAGTCCCCTTTCGAGTCATGTATATTACGACATATTCACCTTCTCAATTCCTGAGCTTGCTCAACACCGAATAGTCCGTGAAGAGGACCCGGTATGAAGATAAATCAGACAACAGAAAAATGATAGAATCTAAGCAAAGATCTTCATAACATTAGTAAATAAGGCTCCCGACTCTAATTATGACGGCGCAACATGGGAGACATCCGTTCCTTGGCCCTTCCTACAGCCTCTTTCAGTGACACATCTTCCATTACTTCACCCTCCCTTATCTGCTCCTTAATACATCCCAATAAATGATTGTAATCCTTTCCCAATAATTCTTGGCGACTTGTCAGAATTCCCGCTAACCTTTCCCGCAACAGCAAACATTCCAAAAGTCTTTCGTGCTCGGCATCCGTTTTCTGGATGATCCACAGGATCTCATCTTTTATTTCAATCACAGTCTCAATGGAAGGCTTTTCGAGACATAACTCAAGAGTCAAGATTGTAATCAAGGTCTTGACCGTCTGACGATGACTGCGGCCCGGACGACTCTGCTGAGCGGCCACGATGACGTCGAGCTTGTCGCTGTAGTCCAGAGTATCTGTCGTGCCATCTTCGAATTCGGAAGCAAGTAGCTTTGTTAGTATAGACTCTTGCCTCGCATGCAGAATGATAGGATGGTCACTATCTAGAGGCACGGAGAGGTCAGGTTGATCTGCCTTTTCCTTGCCAGCTGTTTTGGTAGAGCCCGACGATGCAGTCCCGTGATCAATCACAGTATTGAAACACGAAATGGCCTTTCTGTAAAGGTCCCGGCGTTCTATATCATCTGCTTTCATCATTCCTCTTGTTGAGTGGATTTCTCCGATGGACAGACAAGTCAGTAGAGGCAATGGGTGGAAACGTCCCAGGTTTTTCTTTCCTGCGTCACGTACCAGCCCCAAGATCCTCAGCGCTAGGTCTAGATCCGAATGAGGCTGCCTTGTGAGGATCTTCCCACATGTAAACAAAGTGTACAGGATATCGGGATGAGTTGCGGTTCCCGAGCCCGATGCGGCGAAGGCATCTCCAATGCCCTGTAACAACGGAGTCTTCCTCAGGAAGGATCTAATACCGTAGTTTGAATCATTCATCGGCCAAAGCTTATCGTTTTGAAAGCGTAGATATGTTTGAAGCTGGCGGTACAGTGCAGCAAAAATGTTGGTTTCGGCGCTTTCAAGCTCTCCTAAGTGATACTGAGCCAGAGCAAGCTGAGATCGGACTCTCAACACCTCAGGGTGTTCGGATCCCCAGAGATTTACTCCATCTTTTTCGACTTTGGTTAGAATGTCCTTAGCGGTCAAATAATTGCCGCATTCGATATGTAGCACCCCAAGCTGGCTCTTGTATTTGAGAGCCGAAGGGTGATTGTGGCCCAAGTCAACGCTGGACTCGGCACGTCGACATAAAGAGGCAGAGTCGTCCAGTGCCAGTGTCAACATTCCTTCTTGCTGTGACGCAGAAATCAATATGTAATCTGCCTCTAGTGCCAGAGGATGCTCATTTCCAAAGGCTTCCTCTATCACATCGGCGCATCGCTCACACGAAATCCTCCCTTGACACACTTGCCCCGTCTCAACTTGAATAAAGGAACTGAGTAGTGCAACTTCGATTGTTAGGAGATTAGTCTCTCCTATCTTGACTATTGCGTCGCTCAAGGCTGGTAGTAGAGCTGACAGTGCCTGACGGTAGGATCCTCGAAGAACGTTAATTCGAGCTTTGTTGAGAACATTGGAGATCCTGATACCCTCAGATGACTGAATATATACCAGCTTCTCGCACCATTCATCCGAAGTCTTAACTTCGTCGGGTTTCTCAGTCTTCATATTGTCGAGCTTCTCCCACCATTTGTCCGCAGCATTCAGCTCCTCTCTTACCGTAGGGGAATAAAAATATCCCTGGTGCGTGATTGCCAGTGCTCGAAGTCGACAAACAGAGGCCGAAAGCTTGCAATGTTTTAAATTCTCCTTGGGTTGCTGTGAAGGCAGTGACGCATACTCGTTAGGGAGTAATATCTTTTTTAAACACCCCTTCATTTCGCCATACTTACCAAGTCGAGACAGCGCAAGAGCATGGTTAAGTAAGATGGCCCCGTGAGTGTTGGTTATGGCTGGTTCCAGGAATTGGGGGTCAAACCGACTGAGGTCATCTCGCAACTGGTGCAGATCGTACTCTGCTTGGACATATTGTCCAAGCATCATACGAGCGAAGGCCAGACCCGATTTGATTTCCCAAACAGCTGTATTGTATGGAATCTTCATTCTTAGGCATTCTTGGAACATTGCGAGGGCGTGTTTGTTGTCTCCGCTTTCGAGGCGCGACTCAGCTTGGTCCCTTAAATCCTCCCATCTAGTCTTGCCTGAACTCTCTTTTGGCATATTGGACGCGAATTCAACATTTTGCAACCCTGTTTTCTTCTCGGCTCTCGATTTAAATACTGATGCGTCTAAATGTATCGATGCCTCAAGGACATCTTCATATCGCTTTGCTTGTGTAAGGTATGTTGTAGATGATGTAGATCCTACCCGTGGAAATTGTAAGGCGAAGGGTATGCTCAAGGCATCATATAAGCGCTGAATAGCCATTTCGAAGGGCCCTCGCAGCAGGCGAAGTAACTCATGGTTCAGGGATTCATCGTCAACAAAGCCTCGCTGGCGTCTTATTGTCCAGACCATGGGGTTCAACTCAGGGCTACTGCGCTTGAGAATCATAGCATCAAAGACGTAATGAATATTTTTGATTCGTTCATTGATTTGATGCCATGTATGCCCATCGATGGAGTGACCTGCGGTTGTCTGTTCGCTCTCTTGAAAAAGTAGAATGAGTTTGGTGTTGGTTGGAATTCCAGAATAGCAGTTTATTGAGACCCCCTTCATTAAGTCTGATCCTGGAGCGTCTGCAAGAATCATGAGATAAGGTGGTCCGTTTTTTCGAGATTTCCGTGACCGGGGAGACTCTATGAAGCCCTGTAGTTGGGCAACCGTTTCATCAAATGAGGCTCTCCCGTCTTGGTATGCCTCTCTCTGATTAAAGCTGACTTCTGTCAAGCGGTAGGGCAATGAAAACCCCTGAAGAATCTTGTCGGCTATGTCTAGACAAGGAAGCAGCGTAGAGTCTAATGAGCAATGGACGAGGAGAACTCTATAGAGAATGAGGACAAGTGTACACCAAGAAGCGGCTGAATCAAACTCACTCAATTACACGTTTGTTATTGCGGCATGTGAGAGGCTTGCGAATGCGAGTAGTACTGGCCGAGAATCCCCGTGGTGCTTTTATAGGATAAGGCCCACGACGCCTTTTGTAGAGCGATCTCAGCTGTTCCATACTGTTATGTGCAATGAGGCTCATAGGTGTTGGTAGTTGATGGATCTGGAGATGTAAGATCGTACTACGATGAGTTGTTTTTGAGAGGATGGCTGACATCCCATAAGCTGTCCTATGACATGAGAGCTGAAAATACGCCCCGGCTAGGCGGGGGAGGGGAAAATCACTCCCGAGTCAGCCTCATATCGTAAGAGGAATTCTGGTACTTTTAATGCAGACCTCGCACAGTACGTGTCAGCCGTGTTATCTTTTGGCTCAAGTGTTTCATTGGACGCAGATTGTCTTGGCATATTTGGTGGTTGCCAGGATATGCACAGCTGAACGAACCTGTCACATTGAACGCAAGCCACGTGCGGTTATTGTAAAATCAGGCTGGGGAATATGAGAGGTTGAAAAGTCCGCGCAATTGCGCACTTTGCCCAAATATCCCAAGTCTAGGTTTTCTTCTTTTGGCAATTTCTCTTTTTCATTCAATCTCCATTTTTACAGTTACGCTACTCCATTAAACACTGCCTTTCCAATCTCACGCGCTTACCGTTTGAAAGAGGAAGTGCATACACCTTTTTCGTACCCCGGTTGCTGTTACACAATTGGTAACTATGCAGCATTTGCGTCATGTTTATGACAGCAAATGGTTGAGAACAGTTACAGTGGGATACTTTGACACACTCGACAACTGCTGTTCTACCAAGCACCTGAACTGGACATATGACAACTTCGTCAGTTTTCCAAAGCAACATGGTTATCGAATCGATGAAAATTACAGACTGCAAGAGTCTGGACAGCTTAGCAGCTGTATCGATCTCGAACGCCCCGCACTTGATCAGGCTTGGCTATTTTTTCAACTCATCTACTGTGTTGTTCGTAATGAAAAGCAGCCATTCTTGGCTCGCAATAAGCTTGTTTCTGAGGGTAAACTCGACACGACAAAACTACCCGGCGCATTAAATAAATGGCACGATCATATGCAAGACTTGCACAAGAAAGACCCAGGAGCCGCCATTATGAGATTCCTTGAAGCAAACCAAATATTGGAGCTTGCCAAGCAAGTAGTCCTGGCAAACTTGGCTGAAAGCTCACCATCCATGCTCGTGCCACAGCCTGCCAAGAGATATGAGAGAGGGAGTCGGGCAACTGAGCTTTCTGACGAGCGAAACCTCTGTATAATGATCTTAGGGGAGACAGTTTCTGCTGTTCTAACAAGAATGATGAGGACCTGCAATGTCAATCTTCCAGGCTGGGAACTCGATGATGGAGGAGGTTGGGGACCGCCAGCATATGTGTCCAGGATGATGTTCAACGATGGCTGGTGCCCAAGATCTCAAGCGACAGTCAAAGGGCAGCTCAGTCGGAACGCGACCCTACTATATGTTACAGTACTGGCGCATGAAAAGAACCGCCATAATCGCCATCATAACTATCGACATGGCCAGCGGTGCACCCCTTCAAAATGCGAATTTATTGAAGCTGCAGACAGCCCTCTTGACAGCAACGGAGCTCTAACTCCGGAATACAAGCCATCGCATTCCCTGTCCTGCAGTGCTACGGACTCCGTAGACGACAAGGACTGCGGTATGATTGGCCCAAACGAAGATGACGTTTTGGACGTCCTCGAACGAAGCAATCATCCAAGAACTGGCGTCTTCCCATTAATAAGGATATTCGAGGACAAGGAAACCAAGAATCTTGAGATCAAAGTGGAGGAATGGAAAGACGGGACACCTTTTGCGACAATATCCCATGTCTGGTCACAGGGACTAGGAAACAGGAGTAAACGAGAAATCCACGTCTGTCAGTTAAGGGCTATTAAGAACCTGTTGAAACAGGTTTTTGGTGAACGAGAATCTTATCTCTTTTGGCTCGATACATTTGCCATCCCGCAGCGCGGTAAGGGTGATACAAGACATGCTGAGTTGAAACGAAAGGCCATTGGTCTCATTCACCACATATTCAACAACGCTCAGCATTGTATCATACTTGATCGCTATCTCATGATGGATGGAAGGGCCTTTGACTACAACTGTCGTACTATTGGAGCCGAGATACTCGCCAGTGGATGGATGATGCGACTATGGACACTCCAAGAGGCTTTCGTAAGCGACCAATTGCATCTCGCACTGGGGGGTCACGACGTGTATGACAAAAAGCCTCCAAATTTGAACAAATTCTGGAGAGAAGCCAATGACCAAGATACACTGAGGAGCTCAATGACAGAGATTATGAGGGGCAAGGTGGAACACAACTTGATGAAAACGGGACCAAGAAAGGCATTGGCACAGGAAAGCACTTCTGAGCGTGCTTTGCTGGTCGCAAGTGCATGGAGAGCGGTTCGATATCGGGTGAGTCTGCTAAACATAATGGATATGACTGAATCTCACTGGTGACTTCTTGAAACAGACCACCAGAACCCCGGGGGAAGAGACCTTGGCACTATCTAGTTTGCTTGATATCCCCATTCCAAAAGACGATGAAAGCTCAGTGCTGTCCCCATCGCGAGAAGAAGATCGCGAGAAACTAATGGAAAGATTCTGGAAAGCAGTTGGCGAGGATGGTGCTTTCGGAGAGTCAATCCCTCCTGGGATAATCTTCTTGCCCGGAAAAAGATTGTCTTCGGAAGGATACAGATGGGCTCCCTTCACATGGATGTCTGGCGAAATGGAAGCATACCCGTTCCCCTTAGACAACCCAAAGCATCCTACTAAACTCATCTCCAAGGGACTCGTCGTTCAACTTCCGGGATTTCTTCTCTACCCAACCCGAGATAAGCTCTGTGATATAATCTCAACCGGCAACAGAAGTTCTTTCAAATTCTCTGTTGGAAGGGGACTGGACGAATGGTACCAAGTCGCCGCCGCGAGAAGGAGAAGCCAACAAAACGACATTTCACCTCCTTTAGAGAATGGGAATCACGACCTACACCCAGTTGCGCTAGAGCTAAAGAAAAGAATTGACTTGGACAAGCCTCTGAAGATCGGCATTATTCTTTCTCGGCCACGGCCTGTTGAAGTGCAAGGGGAGATCGGACTCCTGGTCGAGATATGTGACAGTAAGGACCGCTGTCCGATATCTGGTGGAGATAAATCACTCCTCACCTGCAAGATAATTCGACGTATAGAGGTCTCACGGCTCTCAATAGGTGCTGCCGAGATTTCTCCATGGAAGACGGGGGCTCAAGAGGCACCCGGGTATGATCCCATATTAAGCAGATATGAGAAGTTCAAGCGAGAAAAGGTCGCGGGGGTGCAAGTAGGCGACACTCAGAGCTGGTGTGTCGACGGATTTCCTCGCAAAACCCCGACTGCTGCTGGTATAAAGAGGAGCCAGACTGACGTTCTCACCTCGCGTCAACCTAGAGACATCTTGGGAAAGCTGAAAAGGGTCATGACCAGCGGCTCGAGATTTGAAAGTGCAGATTTATAAACCAGACATCTATAGGATTTAATACTAGTTAATTCGGACAATCTGTCATTCTGGTGGACAGATATATCAGGAAAGGCCTCATAAACCAGCCTGTCACCTTCAAAACACCGTAGTTCCCCTTTCAGAGGTTTACCTCGAGCAAAACATGAGTGAGTTGATTGCATTTCTATTGATCCAAGTATCAAACGCCCGAGTCCTAAGCGCTATTCTCCTTTACTCCTTCAACTTTGTTATTATGTCATTCTACCATATATCCAAGCGAAGGGCTCGGAGAGCGGCTGCTCAAAACAGAGTCCAGCTTTCAGCTGCATAGCCACGTCTCAGTTGCGAAACATTATCAGCCAATCAAACACGACGATTTCGTAAGGGGAGAAACGAGCTTCAACCACCAAATAACTATCGCAACTTCAGCTGCAGCCACGGATTAGAACATCAACGCTAAAAGGTCGGTTTAGCTCTAGACCGATAGGCTATCGATAGCTTTAGACACCATCACATATTTTGGACTTGAAATCTTGTGGATATGGTATGGTGCGTGTTCTATACGAGCTTAGCTCCCGCCACAGGGGGGTTCAACTATTGAAAGCTGAACAAACGTCACACGAACCTGGAGTCCCCCTCTTCACATGTTTTTAACACTCATCTACTTAATTGGTCACTCGCAGTAAGTCACACATGCAATGCACAGCCCAAACGGTGTATGACGAGGTTCTAGCAATTGCCTACGATAAGCTTCGGCAGTGACAGACTTTACACTTTGTGGAACGCCATTCCCCTCATCTGCTAGGCACCACCTCCTGCTTTGCTAACGATAGGTGAATTGCTCGGAAAAATAAAGAATAGAGGGGACACAGCTTTGTGAGTCAACAAATAAGCTTTCGGACAAACTGTGATACCTAGCACAACGCCTCTCGCGCACTGGGCGATAGATCACAAGAGATGGATGACTTGCATGTGCCTGTATTCTGCCTAGTTTGAAGCATGTGATTACAGGTATAAAGCGACCATAATCCCCTGTTGAAATGTGAGAGACACAAGCATGATGGCTTCTGTACTTAGTAAGGAATCTCTCGCCGTTTCTTTATCTGTTGTTACACTACTCGTGGGACTCGCTCACTTCAACATGATCTCCCTCAAATCTATCTTCAAGTTTGTTTACATTTGTCTTTGGAAAGTTGTCAATATCTTTGTCCACTGGCACAAACTCCCCACATGGCTTGGTGTCCTCAATCTCCTCGGTCTTCGATATGAACTCCGCGAGAAGAATCTTCACGACACGTACCCCAATGCTGAGTTCCAGGGCACTGCGGCAGAATGCCCCATGAAGAACTCAAAGTTCATCGCGACTAGGAACTCAGATGGCGATTTCAATGATCTCAGTCAACCAAAGATGGGTTGCGCTGGTATGAGATTTGGTCGAAATGTTCCAAGAAAGTATACCACGCCGCCAACTCAGCAAGAATTGCTCACGCCCAACCCGAGGGTTATCTCGGAGCGGATCCTGGCTAGACCTGAAGGCCAATTCAAACCCGCTGAGATTGTCAACCTCCTCGCTGCAGCTTGGATCCAGTTCCAGGTTCACGATTGGGCCCAACACTTCCTTGTCACAGATGGTGACAAAGACGTTGAGATTCCTCTAGACAAAGCCGACAGATGGTCTCAGCGTATCATGAAGATCCCCCGAACCAAGAAAGATCGCGCCCTTTCCCAACAGGATCTAGAGACACCTGCTTATACCAACGAGTGTACCCATTGGTGGGATGCCTCTCAGATCTACGGATCTACTGAAGCCGAGACAAAAGCTCTACGAGGCCAGTGCGATAAATCATATCCTGGTCAGCTTCATGTCACGCGCGAAGATGGTGTGCAGTTTCTCCCTCGATCAGAAGATGGTATTCCCAAGACTGGTTTCAGACAAAATTGGTGGTTGGGGCTTGAACTTCTTCATACTCTGTTTGCACTGGAGCACAATGCCATTGCCACGCAGCTTCATCTTTCGAACCCAAGCTGGTCGAGTGATCAGATCTTTGATACTGCTCGACTTATCAACTGTGCTCTTATGGCCAAGATTCACACTGTGAGTACACCTGTATTCTGCAGCATCGGCGCAACTGGTGGGGGACTCTTGGGTGACAAGGTATGTCTTCTAATCCTGGTTGATGATTGATTACTGGCTGACAATAATAGCTCTGGCATGTCTTTGGTCGTATTTTTAACAACAAATCAGAAGTCATTTCCGGCATCCCAGGCTCAGGCGTCGACCACGATAATGTCCCATACTGCCTTACCGAAGAATTCGTCTCCGTCTACCGTCTTCATCCTCTTATCCCAGATAACGTCGCTTTCTTCAGTATCAAAGATGGTCAACACAAGGGAACTCTGCCAATCAAAGACGTTGCATTCGAGTCAGCTCGCAAGCCCTTTGACGAAGACAAATCAGGCCTTGGCCTTTCCTTCGCTGATGTCTTTTACTCCTTCGGCGTTAACTACCCAGGTGCCATTCGAGCTCATAACATGCCGAATTTCTTGCGCGACTTGAATATCCCGGGCGATAAAGACTTCCCTCTTGGGAGACACTTGGATCTGGGAACTATTGACATCCTTCGTGATCGTGAGCGCGGCGTTCCTCGCTATAACGCTTTCCGACGCCTCTTCCATATGGCACCTGCAAAAAACTTCCTTGATCTTACAGGTGGTGATGCCAAGCTAGCTGCTGAGTTAGAAGAAGTTTACGATGGCGATCTCGAGGCTGTGGATCTGCTAGTCGGTACACTCAGCGAGCCTCTTCCCAAGGGTTTTGGCTTCAGTGACACTGCCTTCCGCGTCTTTATTCTCATGGCGTCCCGTCGCATCAAATCCGATCGCTTCCTTGCTGGCGACGGTTGGTGCCCAGAGGTGTATACTCATGAGGGCATCAATTGGGTGCAGAATAACACTATGAAGGATGTTTTGTGTCGACATTTCCCTGAACTTGCTGCAACGCTGCACAATGTCAAGAATGTGAGTATTCTTTCCTAGTCATTGTGATTGCTCTGTAACTAACCGAAATGGCAGGCTTTCGCACCTTGGACCAAGATCGGTCAGACTGAGGCTTACGCCGGCCCTGAGACAAACAAGGCAAAGAACTGAGGTGTTGGTTTATGAAAATGAGGAACGCCTTTTCTCTTTGGGATTTTATTCGGGGAATGGTAGATTGGAAGCACTTGGAGGGTATTTGTAATTATTAAATGATGGAAGAGCTCACTTGTTGTTACCTCTGTTCCTGATATATGAGAAACTAGAGGATATTACGAAGCTACCTATCAACAAATTGCACACCTTTTTCAAACAATATCCATTATACTTAAGTACTAGACGGGTATGAAATTCTCATTGGCTTCCGATCTGTCTAGTAGCCAAAACTCTCTCAGATCAAGTGTACCAGGTTGGCTCAGGATACTCTCCCAACAAAAGATACCGTCCCAATTCCCGATTCTTATACGCCACAGGGTCATGCAGCGTATGCGTTCTCAAGTCTCTCCAGAACCTATCCAATCCAACCTTTGCAGCAGTTGACCTCGAGCCAGTGACTTCGAAAACTCCCGACGTGATCTTAAGACCAGTGTCTGTAGTGACAACCTTGAGACTGGCGACCCATTCTGCGAACTCACCACGCTGTTCGGCTGTAACAGCGGAGCGATCTTGTGAGTACTTTGCGTAGAGAGAGTCGGCTTCAGCATTGACTTTCTCGGCGAGAGCTTCGGTGGCGCGGAGATGGGCGAAGAAGTTGCCATAGGTGGAGAGGATGTAGAATTCGTCTGTTGCTTTCTCCTTGTTCTGAATTTGTTAGGAATTGTTGTTCTGGGAGATAGTGGTACTTACATCGCCACCGAAGGGCCAGGCGCGAGTGTTCTTGAGAGTATACTCCTTGGCAAACTCAAGAGCACCGGCCGCAATGCCGAGGTAAAGGTTAGCAAAGTTTAGTTGAATTCTGTATCTCATGTTAGTGAATCAGGGCAACCGACAGAACGAGGTAACTTACGTCGGCAGAAATAGACTCGTGAAAGGAATAGCCAAGATATTAGGATCAGGCTTCTTCGCCTCAATATCCCATCCCAACGCATCACCCCACGGCGCCTCAACATTCTCGATATTAACACCCCCGGACTCCGTAAGTCTCAATCCAACATTATCCCAGTTATGCTTAAACTGAATACCGGGCTGCTGCGTTGGAACAATAGCAAAGATATGCTCTTCCTTTTCTCCATAAACACCTTCAAGGACGGTCAAGTCGGAAATTACACCGCCAGTGCTAAAGTTCTTGAAACCTTTGAAGATAAGCTTATCTCCGTTGGAAGTGATCTTGAGATCGTTGTCCCGCGGGTTGACGGCACCGCCGACGAAGTAGTTGTTAGAGATGATGAGTTTGTGGGTGCGGTCTGCTTGCTCGGGAGTTCCGACTACGTTGGCTGTTGTGGACCAGACGAGATGGTAGCCCAGAAGCATGCCAACAGATCTATCATTCATTAGCTTCCATACGTCAATATCAATCAAAGAAAAACTCACCCATCCTTCTTAGCGACCTCACGGATTGCTCTGAAACCAACACTCCACGGCTGTTCACCACCGCCATACTTAGCTGGGCCAAGGATCTTGAGAAGACCAGAGTGCTTGAGAAGAGCGACTTCAGCCTTGGGAGACTTATTTGCGCGTTCTCTAGCTGGTGCATCTCTTGCTAGGACTTCAGCGACGTCCTGGGCGCGCTTAATCCAGCCTTCAGCATCAGTGGGGAGAGTGGACCATTGAGCTTCATACTCTTTGTAAACGGCTGGGTCGGAGCTCTCAAAAGTTGAGGAAGCCATGATGAGAAATGCTTGGGTCCAATCACGATGTACGAATTCGATTAAGAATAATTACTTCGGAACAATCTTCTGAGAAAGATAGTGTATTTATAGGCAGACGGACGGCAGTCTTGAACACCTCATATGGCGCGTACAACGTCGGGTATGTCGTTATCAAAGCTGCAGGGACAAACGGCCTAAGCTGTCTGTAACCTCGGCAGATGAGCACATTATCTATGGCGATCATTCTCCAGTAAATGTGTCAATGTCAAAGCGGTTATCTAGTGGTTTGCACCCATGAGTTGATCTTCTCTTGCGTGATTGGCGTTATCAAGGTTCAGCTGGGATATTGGCGTGTTTTAGTCTAGAATGGCGAGATAGACGCAGAAAGCTTGCCATTCAAAATGACTAAGCAATATGTCTTAGGGCCATCCATACCCGCACGGGTACCCGTGCAAATAAGATATCATCACATCAGCAACCCCGATTAATTATATATATATATCATATATCATCTAATTGAGCTTTTTTTGCTTATTTTAATGATATATACTTTATTACTTTAATACATCAAATTCCCATTTTATTAGCAAGTGACTTAATAGCGGTAGATATGCCTGATTAATCCTCATAGTAATAGGTTATGCATATATAATTAGATAGAATATGTAAAGCAATATTATGTATTCCTTAAGAGCTATAAATAAGGCACTATGCCATTAAATAAGCAATATATAAGTCTCCCCTCTACTGCCTTCCCTGCCAAATCTACTGTATATGCCCTTGCGGGTTAACTGTCTGAATATGTATCCTATTTTGCTGTGTAACCTGAATAGTTGGCATATATATAGTCATTCTAACTGCAGGCGTAGGCTATATTGTCCTAGGGATAGGGGGACTAGCTCGATATGCCTGATCTTGATGTATAAGGCCATTGGCAGTCTAGAAGGGCATAGTATCAGGGACTGGGCGAGCCATACGTTCGTTGATGGCACCGTGAAGCTGGCCTATATGCCAGTTGCCCTTAACATGGTATCCATAGGTAGTGGTGGTTATAGCAGCTGGATTACTGGCCGGGATAAACGTAGTGTTATGTGCCGTATGTAGCTGCTGAGGCGTTAGAAGGTGCAACTGATGATTTATACCTGCCGGAGTATTCTGAGCTATCTAGCTGTTAATATCGAATATATTATGTATAGGCTGGGCAACTGAACGGTTCTCTTGACTGGCGAGAATAGGGACGGGAATAGGGGTAAAGAACCCAGAAGACTCTCTTATATGCTGACCAGTACTTATATAGCCAGGCAAGCTATTGGCACTCTATATAGGCTGGAGGACGAATTGGTTGTTTTGGCTAGAGGGAATACGGCAAGAGGGGGTAACCGTATTATCCTCGTAGATCTGAACGGCCTGATTGTTATTAGGGTTGAGAGATATGGTGTTGAAGGGATAGATAATGTAGTAATTGTAAGATTTATTGAAATGCTTCTTGTAATGTATTGTATTATATTAAGGAAAGAAGGAAGTCAAAAGCAGTATTAACGCCGGCCTTTTATATATATATTACTCTCCTAAATCACCTCCAAGTTGCTGTATTGATACGCATCGTGATAATCGTTTGAGCTAATGTTTCCTGATTCATAATATGTGCCGACTGTCATTTGATGCAGTCAAATGCATTAAAAATAAGTGATTGTTATAACTCAAGCCGTGATAGTGCGTTGTGATGGTGCTTCTGTAATACCTTCATAGTGGCCCTGATTTGGGGATATAACTTCAATAGAGTATAAGTTTGTAACTCAATCAGAAAGTATAATAAATCAGCAGATAAACATCAGTTATATTGCTCAGAGATAGAGCTTTTTCTACTCTTTTTAGTGATATATATATCTATTTGATTGACCGCTGATGAATCATTTTTTTATATGGCTATCTGATTATTATAATATGCCTGCTGTATCTGACTATCTTCCTCTGCGGCATGCATACTATCTTTAATACCTCTTCGGCCAGTATACTGAGCCTGACTAGCAACCGTATAATATACCCGCTCCTCTTCCTAATTCGAGAAGTCAATATATGCATTTATCTCCTCTTTAGTCTAATCCCGAAGCTTCCTACCATTTAAAGCTCTTATATAACTACCTATTTGACTTAAGCTACAGGCCTATTTGTGATTCGCCTTTAGGTACTTTAAATAAAGCTTTATGGCCTTCTAATATAGCTTATTAGTGCGGCAGCGTTGAGGCTGCTGTGAATACCATTTATCGCGGTCTGATATATATCGTCTATAGATAGCAGGAGCACTATCATATGCCTTAGGTGCAGCTACTGTAATGCTTGCAGTTTGAGGGGAAGTTTGAGGAGAGGCACCTGGATGAGAGGCACCTGGAGAGGGCGTTGTGATCGGTATAGAAGTGATAGTCCTTATGCGTGTTATTATGTGTGTTTCTGTCTTAGTTACTGTAATAATAGTAGGTTGGGCTATAACTGACTGCAATTGAGGATCTATATAAGGCTTAGCTACTGGTTATAGTACTAGAGGGACTTAATAAGGAGCGGGCAATATGTTACTATAACAGAGAGGGCATATCTTGGAGCTTCTTTAATGGCCGATCTGCTGGCATGCAGAGCATTATGGTTGTGCCCTTGGCTGCGAGGCCTTTTGAACCTCTTTAAACATATAAGGTTCTCGCTGCGTACTTGTTGGCGGCAGTACTGATTTATCAGCGAGGCGATCAAATACCCTTCGAGGTTTAATAAGAAGTAGGGGGGCTCCCGGGCGTTATAAATGCCAATGAGAGTGGAAGTGAGATAGTTAGAGATAAAGACTATCCTTCAGTAGAGGCTTAAGGATATAAGCATATGGTAAACCGAAGGAATTACTGAATGCTCGTATATATGCAGGTATACGGGCTTTCAGGCGTTTAGCTTGCTTTTTAACCTTAAGTAAAGCCTCGTGAGAGACCTAACTAATAACAGTACTAAATAAAGGTCGTGATAACCGGATACTTTGAACAGTGGGCTCATTAATGTTATCATAAGTAAGGCTATTATAAAGGCTCTGCAGCTGATTATCTACAGCTCGTTTAATATGCCGCCAATACTTAAAGAGATCGGCTTAGTTATTGTTTAGGTATCTCTTAATAAGATTATATATCCCCTCTGCCGGTAATATTGTTATATAACCAAAGTAAAGGGTATTCCTTATCCAAGCCTTTACAAATTTCTCTTTGTACGGATTGAGCCAAGTAGTTATAATATAACCTACTTTATTATGATGGCTTGGGGCATAGGTGTCTTTGAACTTCTTTAGCCGTTCCTCATAAACAGCCTGAGTCTCTAAGCTTATAATCTGATTAAAGCTCTTCTAGAACTTAAGCTATTTGCTATGCCCTTGGGGGTTATCTGAGCCTTTTATAAACTTAGGTTAATAATAGGCCAAGATAGCTTGGTTGATATAAAAGATGCAGAGTAGATGTATTAGCTCGGGGAAGGCAGCTGTATTTATAATTGCATTTATATAAGCAAGATATCGATCTGTAAGTATTATAGAAGGAAGAGCTATTGCTTGTGCTTTATATACCTCCTGGAGGCAAGAGAGAACCTAGAGATAGTCTGCTTCTTCTTTACTACTTATAAATGCAAATGCAATACAGAAGCTCTTTCTGCAAGCATTAATACTAACAATATTAAGAAGAGGCATCTTATACTTATTTGTTTTATATGTATAGTTAAGCATTATGACTTCTAGATAGGACTTAGTATATGCAAGAGAGTCTGCATTAGTAAAGAATACTGCGGTGACCTTATTATCTTAATTAAGGCAGAAATGGCTTCTAAAGCCTGAATTAACAAGCTCATTAGTAAGGGCATGTATTGAGCTTTGGCCTTTGGCAAGGTCTCGTTTGCTTCGTGTAATAGTATTATAGATATCCTGCTATATTATAAGGCAGAATTTATCTAAGAGCCTGATAAACATCTGTATCTCTTTGGGCTTTATGCCGGCTTCTGTGAGCAGCCGCATAGTCTGCTCTTGATCACTTGTAATTTGATGATGAACTAGATGTGCCCTTGGCCTATAGCTCGGCTTGTAGTTATGCGTATAAGTATAAGGGTCACGGCGATGCTTGACTGCCTATCGAGTCTTATAACTGCTCTCTATAGCGTTAATTGAGAAGAGGCAGGTTATATGGCGTAATAAAGTCTTCCTCTTGCTTGCCTGGTTAGACCTAGGCCCTCCTCCATGATTACATGCATAGGTGACTGTAAGAGCTTAACTGAGAGTCTTTGCCTTTAAAGATCTCCGTGTAATGAAGGCATAACCGCGCATACTTGCCTATTCGTTGATTGCCGCAAGTAGCTCACTTTGTGAGCTAAAAACGGCTTCTAGGGGGAGAGCATTATTAGGGAAGACTTTAAGAGCTTGATTTATTACAAATAGGGCAAGTGGAGTGCCAATTGATAGAGAATTAGGTTAATAAAGATAACTGGATCTAGGATATGTAAAAAATAGGGTCTTAAGCGGTCAATTGGCTTCAATTTGCTTATATAAGGCATTTTTAAACAATCGGGGTTACTGATGTGATGATATCTTATTTGCACGGGTACCCGTGTGACTTTATTTGCACGGGTACCCGTGCGGGTATGGATGGCCATGTCTTAGTGGTCACCAATGAAATGCTGAAATGAAGGTATTTCTATCGTACTTACTTATTAATACTTTATTGCAGTGTTGAATAAATAAAGATGTTTTCTTTTATCCAAGTTTTCAAATAAAATAATAGTTATATCCCTTGTGTTAGTTCCACCATATTAGAGTCTGATAGATAAGGAGACGCAGCAGATAGTGCGTAAATATATTGGATTAAGAAGAGGAAAATAAATATAAAAACCGTCTATAAAAGGAGTAACCAAGAAACCATGACTATCTACTTCCTAGCAGGTAATAAGATTGCCAACTAAGGTAGGGGCACAATTCTTTCAGTTCAGATTTCGACAGGGAACCCTTTCCGAAGGGATTCGCCTCGCAAGTAAAAGTAAATTGGCACAGGTATAAAACCAACAGTGATGAAGGCCAACACACTATTTCCCCAGCCCAGACCCAGGTCAGCATAGAGTGTCGGTGCGGCAAGCGGCAGAAAAGCTCCCGTCAGATTGCGAAGCAGTGTAATCGCCGCAAGCGCAGATGCCGCTGCTTGAGGCCCAAAGATGTCGATGATGTACGTCTGCGACGACGAATTGATTATCACGGCCCCGGGTCCACAGATAGCGGTGCCGATGATGGGCACGACCCAGTGTACCTTGTACTCAGTGGTCCAACCGTAGATGAACAGGCCAATTGGGAACATTGGGGAGACAAACATCATCATGATCAGGCGCCGTTCTGCGCGGTAGCTTCCCCCTTCAGCCTTTAGCAGACGATCGCTGAGCTTGGCAAAGGTGATGACACCTATGGCGCAGCCGATGCCGACACCGATGTATGCCAGGCCGGAGACACTGACGCTCCAATGATAAGTGTTCTCGTAAACGGTTGGAAATGTGGCGAAGAGGAGCATTGTTACGCCGAAGTTGAAGGCGATGTAGAGTGAGATTAGAGCGACGATGGGCGATGTGGAGAGGAATTTCATGGGTCGGGTCAGGGCGTGTAGCACAAGCTGCTTGATTGGGGTCTGCTCATCGCCGGCGGCGCAGAGGTTCGGATTGCCTGTCTCTTTACGAAGTCTAGCGGTCTTGGACTTCAGTATGTTGATAGAGCTCGTCTCGTGCATGAATAAAAAGGTGATTAGGGTGACTGCGCCAGCCTAGTGGGAATATTATCTGTTAGCCTGCGTTAGTCAAGGAGGAAAAGGGGCAATGCTTACAAGCATCAGAATCAGATAAAAGCACCATCTCCATCCGAGATTCTCAACAACAAATCCTCCCACAATAGGACCAAGGACCTCGTCTCATTGTTAGCTGGATTCTTCCTCAAAGATCCTGAAAGGGAAACATACAGGACCAAAGAGCGGTCCAGCAGTGAAAATAGCCATAGCAACACCCCTCTCCTCCTTTGGCAAAAGGTCAGCGACCGTACCGCCACCCGTCGACATATACGACGCAGCAGCCATGCCAGTCAACAGACGAAAGACCAGAAACTCGGCAACATTAGTGCTGCGCGCACAACCAGCCGTAAACCCCATGTAGAAGACAGAGCTTGTGCGGTAGATGGGCATGCGGCCAAAGACCTCAGACATAGGGGGTATGAATAACTGGCCGAGGGCAAAGCCGAGTGATGCCATGGTGATGGTCAGGACTTCAACAGTACTGCTCCTGAAGCCGAATTCGCGCTGCATTATTGCGGCGCCGGGCGCGAACATGGTGGTTGCGAGATTGGTGTATAGGACGGAGAGGCTGATGACTATTACGTTGGTCAACTTGTAGGCTTTGGACCAGTTGCGTGGATTTTCAGGGTCTTTGGGACCAGACCAGTCGACGATATTCGGGTTCGGTGTAGGAGTTGTTATGGTACTCTTCTCGACATCTTTGCTCAAGTTTGTAGCCTTGACATCGTTAGAGTTCGTTTCACCTGCGGATGAGTCTCCCTGCTTGTCGATAGTCGAATCCTCTTCACCGATGAAATTGCCTTGAACGGCACCATCGAAGCTTACCATGGTGCTTGTTTCGTGATTGCAAACTGTTTTATCGCTCTCGACTTGACTTTTCGCCATAATTGCTAGATATCTGCAGTCTTGTGTGGTGTAGTGTGAAGCCGGTGGGCAAGGAGTAAGCTGCCCAAATTCCCAGGCAATTATGCTTTCTTGTCTCTCGCTCGGTGATGGCCTTGTCAGAAATCAAGTGAAATAATATCGGAATAGAAGAAACGAAACTTTGGAAGTGGTTTCAAAGGTAAACTTATGTAGTAGTTGGCCATGCCGGGTCGCCGTGCTTTGCCCCGGATTTGCTCCGTCGTTAGTCGGTTTATTTATTAGCGGCAACAGATAAGTTCGAAGAACATGGAGATGAAATCAATACAAGAACAGATACCACTCGCGGCAAGTATTAGGCTTACAAAATCTGCAATTTTCAGCTAATTCAGACTGCCCTGACAATACCCCCCAAGTCTCTAATAGGCCCTCTATATCAGCCCCACTTGAACCGTTGTGACAGGTCAAGTCAGGCCGGAAGCACAATATGGGGCGCTTACGTTTGCCCCGTCCCAGTTAAATGCTCCGTTAAATGCTCCGTCGATTGCTCCCGTCAATAGCTCCGTTCCTGTCCTGACACCTGCCACCTTGCTCCGTCGAGCACCCCATCTCCAACCTCTGCTTGCAGTTACCGAGAACTCGCTTTATTATAGCATAGAAGCTAAAGCTTGCCTTTAATGGATCATTTAGAGCCACCTGCCTATACCGGAACGCCAATCCCGCCCCATCAGCAGTCCGCTACAGACTCGCTACCGCAACTGCGGGATCGTCGGCGAGAAAAGCCGCTGCTGTCATGTACCTTCTGCAGGAACCGAAAGTAGAATCACTCACTTGCGGTAGAAACAGCCCTGAGACTAACGGATAGCAATCTAGGGTGCGATGTGACCGTCAGCTGCCATGTAAGACATGCACAAATAGGGGAATCGGCTTATCCTGCACTTACGAGTTAGGAGGGCCAAGCAAGAGCAAGAGCAAAGTTAGCGTTGGTGATCGTATCCAGCAGCTAGAGGAGCTCGTTCGTTCACTACTTGCGCAGCAACAGAAGACTACGGTTGATTGTCCTGATGGCCTCGTTCGAGAGCATTCGTTCCATACCACGTCGCCACAGAGTGTCTCTACGGGTCCACTAGCATCTCCCGACGAGGACACGCTTGTGCCAGCTCTAAAGCATGCGTCTATATCGCATAACAAGGACAGTGCCGACTCCCCTGGGCCCTCAGAGCCCGGCAGCATGCGTCTGCACTCACATGGTCTCGGTGCCAGCTACGTCGGGAGCGTTCACTGGGCCGCCGTCCTCGATAGTATCTCGGAGCTTAGAGACCACTACGAGGAGGAGGAAGAGGCCAGGATTCTGGCCACCAACGACCATGTACTCCTCCAAGGCCCGGGGCCTAGACTGCTATATGAGCCAGTTCATACCACAAAAGCTGACCTTCTTGCTTCGATCCCGGCAAGGCCTGTTGTGGATCGTATGGTTGCGAGGTACTTTAACACACAAGGTGTTGTACCAAGCATACTTCACAGCGGACATTTTCTCCGAGAGGTATGGTGCTTGCTGCAGCCTATATACATCTCCTTCCCAGTGTTACCCCTGTCCCCCCCTCTCTGTACCCCTTCTTCTGCTTAGTTCCTGATTCTCTCATCGTGGCTGACAGTTACCGCCTTGATAGTATGAGAAGTTCTGGCAGGAGCCATCAGCAATGCCGTGCAGCTGGATTGGGCTCTTATTTAGCGTACTGTGCGTTGCTACGCTATGTCAACACTCGATCGATGACCCAGAAGATCCTGAAACTCAAGAAAGAGTGCGCGTGTTCCGGGAACAGACACTTCACAGCCTTATCCTAGGCCAGTACACCAGAGGCGGGGAACACATACTAGAAACCTTGATTAATTATCTCATCTGTGAGTCGTTCATGTCCCAGGAGGCTGAGATCGGGCTGTGGCTTGTACAAGGCATCATCGTGCAGCTCGCCTTGAGTCAGGGCTATCACCGAGAACCGCAGAACTTCCCCAGCATTTCTCCATTTGCTGGTGAGATGCGGCGGCGCGTGTGGGCTGTCATTGTGCAGGTGGATCTTCGTCTTTCGAGCCAGATGGCACTGCCATGTGTGCTCAAATCGCAGCAGTACGACACAGCTGAGCCGCGTAACTTGCTAGATACAGATTTCGACGAGACTACCATCGAGCTACCCCCTTCGCGTCCCGAGACGGAGGTCACACCCGTGTTGTACAGCTTGGCCAAGGGGAGGATAGACAAGATGATGGGGCTGGTAAACGACCTCATCAACGACACCAAAGAGCACCCGTACACGGAGATCATGGAACTTGACCGGAAACTGCAAGAAGCTGAGGCTTCGCTGCCGCCAATCTTCAAATGGCAGCCTCTCAGCCAATCCTTCATGGTGGCGCCTGAGATCGTCATGCATCGTGTTTTACTCCAGCTCGCCATACAGAGACTGACCATCTGGCTTCACCGGAAGTATCTCGCACCGCCGTATACCCAGCCACGCTACCAGTACTCACGCAACGCCTGTGTCCAGGCAGCCATTAAGATTCTGGAATTCCAGCAGATAGTGCTAGAGGAGACGCAGGGAGATGGACTGCTTTATCCCGCGAGGTGGGCGCGATGGATGCTCCTGTCCTCGCGGCCGCGGGCAGTCTTTTTGCTGGGCGTGAGCATTCTCTGCTACTATGTACAGCTGGCCAAGACACGACCGGACGTTTCTCTAGATAAAAGTATGGGTGCAAAGATTCATAATCTGCTACGTAACGCGTATCCTCTCTGGCTGCACTCGACGACCGTGTCGAGGGAAGCTAGGCGGGCGATTGATCATCTGAGCCTCAGGCTAGGGTTGGAGGAACAAGAGAGTGGCCCAGGTCTTGCTGGCCCTAACACTGTCAGGCCTCAGGATGCAGATATGTCGCGTGAGCAGTTTACTTGGGACGCATACGAAGGTACGCTGCCGAAATAGATTGTCCCAGTTGGTGCTGCCCAGTGCCCGCCCCTTTCCCTTCATCTCGGGCCCCCTCTGCTCTAATATTTACCTCTCCCATTCACCTCTCAGCCCTATGTACTAATACATGCCGCACTAGAAATTGACGTTTTCTCAGAGTGTATCGCCAAATTTCCAACGACAGCATTCGCTGATGAATTTCTGGGGCCGGGCTCCTCTTCAGCCACGAGCGTCTCTACGGCGGATTTACTTTCAATGAACTTGAACACCCCGGATTCGGGCGATTGGATGTACGGAGGAGCCTTCAAACCATAGAGCACATGATATTGGTGGTTATTAGAAGGTGGTCTATTAATAGTCAAACCCACCGTGCTCACTTGGTGTTATTTGCAGTTGAGACCTGTGGCTGAGAGCTTATAATTACCATACAGAACTTAGTTACACGGCCGCAGGAACATAGCCTATAGACATAATTCTGTGCCTATGTTTTTGTCTCCCTCCCTGTTCCGTTTCCCTGTCGTTTTTCAATCCTAGTTAGTTCGGGATCTAGGGAGGCAAAACTATCCTACATGACAAAAAGACTTAAGTAAATTTAGTGTATATTTAGTAGATATTAGACTAGTTACTTTTGGCACGCTGCCTTGAGGCCAGAAGTTTTCTCGCTCCCTGAGGGGAGTTACAAGGCTCTGGCGTGTTTCGCCCTAAAATGATGAGATATGATATGTAAATCTTGCAATTCTGGAGCAGCATGATCTACGCTTATCTCGGCAATTGCTTACCGAGCGAGTCCCGGGTACTCGGTATTTCCTATAGAAAAAAGAAAAGAGACACGGCCCGTGTCTGTTGTATCACATGAGAATTGCCCAATATGGAAGTCTTCGACATAGAGTTGTTTCAAGTAAGCTAAACTAATTTATTCAGGTTACACAGTTAACCCCTGCGATATTACTTATGAGTGGCATTTATATTACATCCATTTATCCGAAATTAGTGTTGAGTCTCGTCACACCATCTGATATCGGCAATTGATACAAGTAGATCTCAAGGTACGCGAATCTAGCCCCACCATCTCCGCAAGCACGCGATTCGAGTCCCTCGATTGCGCAACACTTTTGAATCTCACATGTCACTTATATCAGTATTATACTCACCGAAAATGTCAATCACTAATATTACCTCATTCGTTGCCCCTCATTCTCACTCATTCTTCGCAGGCATATCGCAGTCAAAATGTCTGAATCACAAGAGGCCCCCAAGGCCAAGAAGCAGCTCATTATCAACGCTTTCGTTGAATCATGCAGTGGTCATCAATCACCTGGTCTTTGGAGACATCCCGATGATAAATCATGGGACTTTAATAATATCAGTCATTGGGTAAAATTAGCTCAACTTCTTGAGAAGGGAAAGTTTCACGGCATTTTTATCGCTGATGTTCTTGTGAGTTACTCTCATGAATTACATGACATATCACTCATATTATAGGGATCTTATGATGTCTACAAAGGTCCTCGCAACCCAGACCCTGCCATCATTTCAGGCGCACAGTGGCCTGTTAATGAACCCCTTGCGACTGTGCCAGCTATGGCAGCAGCCACTAAAAATATTGGTTTTGGTGTAACCGTCGCTACTACTTATGAGCAGCCTTATCATCTTGCCCGCAGACTCAGCACTGTGGACCATCTAACTGGTGGAAGACTTGGCTGGAACATTGTTACAGGATATCTTGATTCTGCTGCTCGAAACCTCGGGCACACGGAGCAGCCGAGCCACGATGAGAGATATGCTATTGCTGAAGAATACGTCGACGTAACTTACAAGCTTTGGTACGTGACTCACCATCTTGATTTGAATTTTTACTCACAAATTTAGGCAATCATCCTGGAGAGACGACGCCGTCAAACTCGACCGTGAAAAAGGCATCTACACAGACCCCTCCCTAGTCCGTCTAATCAACCACGAGGGAAAATACTACACCGTCCCAGGCCCTCACATCTGCCAACCCTCACCCCAACGCACACCTCTGATTCTCCAAGCGGGTACTTCCAAAGCCGGAAAGAACTTTGCCGCGAAACATGCAGAGGCTATTTTCGTCGCAGGCCACAGCCCCGTCACGGTAGCGAAAAACATAGCTGAGATCAGAACTCTGGCGAAAGAGCAGTTTGGTCGTGATCCTAAGGCTATTAAGTTCCTGGCTATGTTTTGTCCAATCATTGGAAAGACGCAGGAGGAGGCTGATGCGAAGTATAAAGAGTTTGTTAGTTATGGATCTGAGGATGGTGCGCTGGCGTTGTTTGGGGGTTGGACGGGTATTGATCTTGCGCAGTATGGCGATGATGAGGAATTACGGTACGTTGAATCAAACGCGATTCGCTCAGCCGTGGAATCATGGTCAAAAAGCATACCAGGAGTAAAAGCTTGGACAAAGCACACTGTCGCGAACCACATCAAAGTCGGTGGTTTAGGCGCTACAGTTGCAGGAACACCAGAGCGCATTGCAGATGAGATGGAGAGGTGGGTCAACGAAGCTGACGTTGATGGGTTCAATCTGGCGTATGCTCTTATGCCGGCGAGTTTTGAGGAGGTTATTTCGGATTTGTTGCCGGTTTTGAGGGAGAGGGGATTGTTTTGGGAGGATTATGCTGTGGATGGGGGGACGTATAGAGAGAATGTTTATGGGAAGAAGGGTGTTGCTAGACCGCCTGCTGATCATCCTGCTGCGAAGTATCATTGGACGAAGGATGATTGAGCCAATCAGGGAGGATAGAGTTGTTGGAAGTGAATATGACACATCATTGGATAAGAGGAGCTTTTGAAATATAGCCAGATGTTTAAAACTATTTTTTCGTGAAGACTCTCGTTATTGTGTTTGATTTATTATTCTTTTCATTGGTTTGTCTTGTTAAAGTTGTTGGTTGACTCATAGCTTCACCCCACTCCCGAGCCTTCAATCTAAAACCTTGACACTTCTAAGTTAACCTTCAGGTTACCACCTCCCCAGATCACAACACCGATACAAGGCCCTATAAAATTGTACTTTAAATATCACTTTACTGTTTAAAAATAAGTCTCAAGTTTTGAAACCTTGTGACTCGCCACGTCAACAGGCAATTTCATACCAGGTCACTCTCTGAATTCTCTTATCTTGTTAACGAACTCAGAAACCAAACTCTCATCAAAATTAAAAATTACCTTCGTTCTTCTGGCTATAAAATCCCCCTGTCCCCTCTGGAGTCCTCCCATATTTCTTTTCCTCCTTTATATCTCCGACGACCTGACTTGATTTGACTTGACCCACCTGTCGTCTTATCTCTCAACACCAACTACAAACATCTCATCTCCGCGGACGACTCACCAACTTCAAGCCCAACCTCATTTTCAACCTCATTTCACATCTTCACATATTCTTCATCATCATGTGTACTCCTTCTCTCTCCACCCTCCCTGAAGAACTCATGGTTCAGATCTTGGGATACATATACAAATATTCCCTCATTGATCTTCGCCTCGTCAATCGCACTTTCAGCCGCATCATCACCCCAATCATCTTCCGCGCCATTCGTTTCCGCGCTTATGGAAATGAGCCACAACGTTTCATTGACATCGCTATGACTGAGCATCTGAGATGTCATGTTCGGGAAGTCACGTGCGATACTTGGACAGGATTCTGTGCCAGGGAGAAACGCTGGGAGCTCACAGAAAAGTTCTTCCAAGCTGTCCCTTTCATTTCAATGTTTCCTAGACTCGACACTCTAAACATACGTCCGGAGCTCGATAGCTACCACATCCCCTGTAATACACAGTCGAGTGTTCTGAAGACACTGTTTCAATGTCTGGCGGGGACTTGGAAGAAAGACCGTCAGTTATCCCGACGCGCCCGTGAGGAGTGTCACCCACCAGATCAGGCCGGGACTCCACTTCCTATCAAGACTCTGACGATCTCGAATATTTTCGATGTCAGTGGTCTCAAAGCGTTGCCTGCTTTCCAGGCTGTCATGAACTCGGGAACTCTAAAGGACCTGCGTCTCAACGTACCTGAGGATGAACTCCTCTCTACGACAGCACAGTCCAAGCAAAATATCCACAACGACCTTCTCGATATAGTGCTTACTCCAAACATCGCCAGCAATCTCCAGGTCCTGTCCCTGTTTTCTTCTACCCCATGGGGATGGCTTCCCAACATGGACTTCCGCCTGATTGGTGTCAATGATCTGCCCAATCTCAAGGTGCTCGCGTTGGGACACTTTGAGTTCAGTGAGTGGTGGCAGGTTGAGTGGCTAGGGTCCCTTGGCATCGAGAAGCTTTATCTCGATGAGTGCACTGTTTTGCATTCGGATCGCAATCGGGCGCGTGATGCAAGCTCCACCATGGTTTCGTGTTGTCAAGAAGAGGCTCATGAGCTCTCTAATGAGGGTCACTACGCCCAAGGGGTAGAAAACAACGACTGGCGTGAGGGTACAACTTTCCAGACACATACCCGCTGGCATCACCTCTTTGAGCACTGGGCCAGATCCATGCCCAACCTCCGGGTCTTCAAGGTTGGACAAGGCTGGTGCTTAGACGACGGAGCCTGGAAAGCAATTGATCCGACCTACGAGGGAGACTTTTATGAGTATGTCGAAGAAGACCACGAGGCTATTTTTCAACCGTTTACAAATACTAGCCATCAGCACTTTGAGTGTCCTGCGCCTCTTACTGCGGGTACTGGAATACGACGGTATGGGTCTGAGGCTGTTCAGAATTATGGCGCTGTTTTCCCGTATGTGGAACATAGGGAGCCTGGGATGTATACTTATACTGATGGTGCTGGTGATGGGAGGGAATTTTTGGATGTTAGTTGGGAGGAGAAGGAGAAGGATAAGAATGCTTTTGACAAGTTTTTGTCGGTTGTTGAGACGAGACGGAATGGGTTGGCTGTTCAGGAGTAGGAAAGGCATTGTTTTGATTGGATTTATTTTGCGATTGGTCAAAAGATTGGGCTGCGATAGAAAGGGAACTGCATTTGCATATAGAGGGATTGGTTACTGGGAACCAGGAGGAAGCATTGTTTCGATTGGATCGACTTTTCTTTTTTTGCCTTTGCTACTGGATACAACTCATTTGGCGTATACTTGCATATAGAATGGAGTACAGGGATTAGTTTTTATGACAATTCTCTATTTTTTCAGCCGCCAACTTGGTCAGCCAGCGTTACACAAGAAAATCTACAAATCAGACGAACAACACTTCATTAGCGAGCGGCCCGATATGCCTATTTTGACGTTCCCGACATATAGTATTGGGGGCCTTTCAGTTGTTTACCAATAACCTTTATCAGCGATTGGCTTGCAACGTGTATTTTCTTGATTGCATATTCGTCGTCAGATTCAGGCAGATAACGCCAAGTAAATTATTTGTGGAATGCTATTGCACATGATGTTAGATATCCAATTATTTACGGTGATATCTACGTAAGCCAAGTATAAGACAAGACCAATAACGCAATTCTGTTCTCATTCAAGTCTAGGCATAAACAATCATGATTCTATTTATTCACCTATTGAATGAATATGTTTATATACAGTATAGACTGCTTGTAAATATTCTGCATTCGTTTGTCCCGAACTGCGCTGATTCAGCGCTGACTGCAAAGTCTAACCAATCCCCAGTCCCTGTGCAATGCATAAAATGAGACCTGCAGCAGGGATCCAAGCCAAGGCATTAACCTCGGAAGACGGAAGATAAGATTCAATCAGGCGTAGCGCCAACCCGCTACGGCTACGGAAGCAGCCGAACAAAAATTCGCATCTTGAATGAGTTTAGCAAAAGGACCTTTCAACATGTCGCAAAGGGGCACAGTCGATTGCTCGGTCTAGCTAGCTATAGAAAAAGTGCACGCGAGCCGGTTTGCATTTTTTGTTAAGGAATCAAGTTGCATACCAAAGTTCACTGTAACGTGAATGCGGAGGCTTATGCTTAAAACAGAGTTTGGATTGAATTGCAGTGCGACACGAAATGCTTACGACAACTGCCGGAAAGTGGGAGATGCGGGCTGTATAACCACGCAAAGCAACGCAAGCAGTGTAAACGACACAAGCGACGCAATCACTGACTCGATAAGAAGAATAGAATCGGAAAGAGGGTATCTCGGGAGGGAGAATAATCGGAAGGCCCTTGGACGTGGCGTCATTTCAATCATAATGCTTGAGCGACATCCGAGCACTGAATCAACACTTTAGATAGCACTAAATACACTCAAGCAGTGCACTAAGGACAAACCGAGCGTCATCAAATAATCTTGAGTGGCGCCGAAAGTTTTCGGTATAGGAATCTTGAAACTGGGATAAGCTTTATTCTTTAATAGATGGTTGGTTCTATTTAATGTATTTTTAATGCTTTCAGGGGTATCGTTGTACAGAGATCATGACGCCATAGATTTTTAAAACATCATGCGGAGTCGGTGCATCGCTTCGTAGGTCGTTGTTCCAAATATGAAGAAGTAGCAAAGAGAAATGTCGCGCTGATAAGATATTAGTTAATTGAGCAAGAGGTAATTGAATTGAGGAGACGTACATAATTCCAGCGCGGCATAAAGCAGTCGCTTTAATGAGTCTAATGCCAACTTGACAGATTGGTTGATGCATGTCTAGATCATCTTCCGGATCGCATGAAATGTCGCTTGCCATCAAAACAACCATTGTTCCTGTGACGAAAGGACTGATGAAGAGAAACCAGAACCAGGCGCGGAAGAATTTCTCTTTCAGAGTCATGCTGGGACCAGGTTCGGTTTCGAGTGTTGAGGGGCGGAGGGATGTGAAGATGAAGACTACGACGATGCTGAGAACTTCGAGGGTGCTGATGAGAGCTGCGAGAATACTGCAATCATTAGACACGGTTTAATGCGACCTTGGTGATGAACGTACAGGAAATCGGGGGCGTTGTAAAGAGAGATCTTGATAAATGGGATCCAGGAAATCAACATTCCCATCACCCACGGGAGAGCGAACGCGACGGGCATTAGGCGATTAGCAAAGATTTGTCGCAGCTGCATCGTTTGTTGATTCTGCGTCTTGTCGTTTAAAAGAGCCGATGATTCATGGTCTGCAGCGAGACCAGCTTTTTCGCTCGTGGTTTTGTTGTTCTCTTGCCATGTCGGCAAGTGGGATGTTTTGTGATCCATGCTGTCCCGACTCCCACTTTGCCGATAAAACAGTAACTGTCGTGAATGAAGTCCTGAGACTGAATAATGAATAACGTACAGGAGCTGAGAAAGAAGGGACAGAGGTAGACAGGGTGCAGATGGCCCGACTTTTAAACAAGCCCGCCCACCTACGGGAGCGACGTATTCATACACGGCAGACCCAGCCCTCGAGTTGTTGTGCTATTCTGAATACGGGTTAGGGAAAAGACAAGGATCGACGGCCCCCACGGCAGATAAACAGGGCCCACGTGCACGGGACGGATCAAGCACATGTGCAAGACGATTGGATGTGATGTGAATATTCTTTTAACCGACACTACGGAGTACACTAGCACCGTTCTCTTGTGCTGTCGTGAAATGTCTGCATCACATGCAAGGTACATGCCTCGAGGCAGGGAACTAAAAGGCACCAATCACTTATACCACATGGGCGAGACTCGGCTTCGTGAGCCGTGGGTGGGCGGGTGCTTTATGACGCAGTTGGTACAAGTGTTGATAGCAATCAATTGGTGGCTGGTTAGTTGTCTTTAAGAGCGGAATTAATACCCGAGATCAATTAAACGCGTTATTTACAAGATGAACTACTGCAGTGTTCCTTCGCGGTGATCAATGAAGATCTGGGGTATTTCCCCAACTAGCAGCATAAAACTCCAAATTCAATTGAGGCTCAATTCTCCCAATCACAATCTCTAATCTGTCACACCACTTTCTTATTCATCCACAAAATATTATCCGACTCCACTCACGACGTTCTCGTTAGATCATCTAATGTTATTTGATCAACATTTCCCCAGCCCATCATCTGAACCTGACCTCATCCGTACTTCCTCGCCATGACTTTCGTTTCGCTGAAATACGCGATATAAGAATTATTCGCCTTCTCTTATTGGAGCAACGGAATATCTGCTAGTAGAGATACAGGCAATGCCCTGACTTCCGATTTGCTTGGAGTTTAGTGGTCTTGCCTTTTTGTTAGCCTGTCTCTGGACTTGAAGCGGTTCTTATGCGCCATGACTAGTCGGGTGAAATGGAGAGTAAAAATTGGATCACTCTGAGTTGCCCATTCATGTCAAGTACTGACTGGTTCATGGTTCAATTAGAACACCAGACTTCAGCCTTCAAGGTCATGCTAGGTCACAGTCTGCTTTGTTCGTATGTTTATTGACTGACTTCTGATATGATGCATGGTAAGGGCGCTATCAATTTTATTTTCTTCATCAAGCTCAAATACGGTCACGAAGTTTAACCCTTTGTCTATGTCTTAGGTAGCGTACAATGACAAACTCTAGTGAAAGGTTGAGAGTCAGAGAGGATATAGAGTCTACTGTAAGTGCCTACCTTTGTCAATCGGCCTCGACGGGCCAATTGTTCTAATAGACAGATTTTCTACGCCAAAAATGACAGGTCATCCCGTGAATTGGAGTGTTGTTAAGCTACCCAACCTTACACAATTGATCATAACCCAAGACGATGAATGTTACCATCGCTGGATACTTATAAGACTGCGCTATCGATGAGCGTTCCAATTGGCTATCTGTCGGCATGTAAGTCCGCCTCGACACTCAGTAATATGATGGACCAAAGGCATTAGTAGCTACATATGTGACTGTCGGCGCCGCACCTGGCTTAGAAATGTGACGAAAGCAATTGATAATGAGGGGTGCGGCGAACTTGGCTCTCGAAATTCTCGTCCCCTGCAATCATGGATGAATGGGATGATTGGTGTTGTGATTACCATGAAGCTGTGGAAGCTGTGAATGAATGGAGGATTATAGGGTAGTCAATTCAATTCCATTGCTACGGCATTATAAACAAAGCTTGGGATGCATCTCCGCCGCGTCAATATTGCAACGGTACCAAGTATATACTGAATTAAAACCCTGAGGTTTTACTCTGTGTCATGCTGCATAATATTATGCAAGCACAAAGTTATTGGGATATGCAAACTTATTACCGCAGCTCCACTCACGATGTTCTCATTCGCTTATCTAATCTTATCTGATCATCAGACATCAGCCGCATCTTCATCTCCATCACCTGATTCTCCCCTCAACATCTTGATCATGACTCTCGTCCCAGTAGCTCTCGAAAGCGCCAACGCGCATAACTCATGCCAACTTTTATTCCCAACACGAAGAGGTGATTATCTTATCCAGGTATCCTGGCCTCTTTGTTGGAATGATCGCGCTCCAGTGAATGACGATACGATCGTCTCCACTGTGTAAGAAAAGCCTCACCGAAAATATAGATGGTGGATTAACGTGGGTTAGGTACATCGTTGATGGAAATGCGTACTTTTTTACTGCGACGGACATCGCGCGAAGATTGGAGTTTACGCATCAGACGAGAGCTGTTCTTGTAGCTGTTGGGTATCCTAACAGAACTTGCGTTTTTGACAAGCGTCGGAATGGGGACTTGACACCTTCGTCTTCAGATGGGGTTTATGATATCCCCCCTGGACCGGATGGGAAACCATCGCTTGGTCCTTTCGGCGGTGCGTCGGATTTTCTGGATATCATCAAGAACGATATCCAACCGTATATCGAAAACACTCTCTTCCCGAATGTACCTCTGGGAGCAGGCCCTAAAGCTCTGTTCGGTCACTCCTACGGCGGTCTTTTCACTCTCAACGCGCTATTCACGAACCCAGAGTCCTTCGATACTTTCATCGCTGCAAGTCCCTCCATTTGGTTCAATAATTGCAGTATTGTTCGTGATCAAGAACAGCGCTTCAATGAGCGCGACCCTTTGACTGGTCGTGCGCCAAGGTTGTTGGTCATGTTTGGTGGGGCGGAGCAGACGTTGATTCAATTACCCGGCGAGTCGGATGAGAAGTTTGAGAAGAAACAGAAGGGCGCGACGCTGCGAAAAATGAGGGATAATGCTTTGGCTTTGGTGGCAAGGATGGAAGAGTCGCCTCACGTGAGAAATGTTTGGTGCTGGGAGTTTGAGGGTGAGGATCATGGTTGTGCGGCACCGTGTGTGTTGCAGAGAGGGCTGTTGAGGTTTCTGATAGATCAACGTGCGGGGCAATAAATTCAGAGTATGTATTCTATCTCTATTAAATATCAAATGGTATTAAACATCGCGAGTAGCTAGCAGAATGAAAACGCATTCAGGTCTTGTCTTGTTCGCGCCCCGTGTCATCTTGTTCTCATTCTCTTCTTTGACGCTTCTCCTAGCGGTCTTCTTTGAGGCGCCTTTGTCTTGTGACGCGCCCGGTGGCACCATTCTTTGTTGTCTTCTGGACAGCCCGCCAATTGAACTTGGCAGGGTCAAAGGGCGGGCGATACTTCATGGGCTGACAATCGGCGTCGTAGACGAGCATGGGCAGGAAGGGCCCGTACATCTGAGGCCTGGATCGAAGGCTTTCGTACACCTTGTCGTTTCGCAGTGCCACGAGGTTATGTCTCTTCAGACGCGGCACTAACCTTTACACTTCCCTGCAAAAGTCGTCGAGAATCTCTTGGAAGCACTTGAGATCCCACGCCGCCATGCTCTCGAAGCTCCAGCGGGGTCGGAGGCCGCTCTCTGGACCGAAGATGTGCGGGATGGTCCAGGCGAAACTAAAGTCTGCCAGCTGTCCGTTCAGGTACTGCTGCCACTTGAGATCTCGAATTACGATGCCTGACTTGTGCAGCTCTCGAAGATTGCGCAGCTATCGAGGCCGGTATCCCATGTCTCTCTTGACCGATTCCCGTGACGTCCGGTCTCCCTCGACAGGGTGCACCCACTCTTTGACAATGGCCATCATGGGTATGCGGAGATCGTCATGCTGCAAGGTGCGGCGGATCACATCTACATCGGTGGGGTCTTTGTTCCCGAGAAAAGCGAGATGTCTTCTTGCGCCGTCTCCAAATGGTAGGAAATGTTGCCGGACCTTGTCGTCGTTGAGATAAAATTGCAGGTAGCCATAGCCCTTGATAGCAAGGTCCTCGCGACCCAGCTCCTTCAGACGCCCAAAGACACGGCATTCGTTATAGAACGAGGATGTATGGAGACGGAGGCTATCGATCGTCGACTGAGACATATCGTTCAGGGGGTCGGGTTCGTCTGAGTCTTGAGGATCGTCGTCAAGGCCGTCCATGAGGAAGCTTGGCTCGTGTGCCTCGAGATGAAAGAACTGAATGATGATTAGAAAATAAAGAAATGGAAGAGGGGAATTGAATGATACACTTACCATCTTGATGGCATAGACTTTGCCATTGATTTCGGCCTTCCAAACAAGGGAATGACACCCACCGCCGAGAAGTCCGAGAAGTTTGAAGTCGCAGGTCGTGATGTCGTCAATGAAACACTCGAGCTTGGGGCCTTCACAGTCCGGGAGCGGTTTCAGCTGAGGTATGACAAGATTTGTGGGTTCGCAACGGTATGTGTTGTGTATCTTGAGCGTCAAGGTCACAGGGGTTTGAATGGGTTGAGGTATTGATGGATAAGGAAAACAAGGCATGGGACGTGTTTATATGCTTCACTTTGTTTGTTGAAACACATTGACTGTTAGAGCATTCGGGGCCATTGCCAAAGAAGGAGAGTCCAGAAATAGCGCAGCAATCGTCAAAGAGGGACATTCCAGGAATAGCGCAGTAATTGAAAGAAGAAGAGTCTGTCAACCGTGCAGTAATTCTCAAAGGGAAGAGCCTGCGAACAGAACAGTACCGTAATTGATGAAAGGGGAGAGCCCAGGAACAGTGCAGGAAATGCCAGAGGGGGGAGTCTGCCATCCGCGCGATAATTCTCAAAAATGGGCTGGTGACAACACGTTCAGAACATCAATTTCTAAGGATAAACAAAATATGACAAGAGCTAACAAGATGGTTTGCGAAAAGGAAGATGAGATGAGAAATGGGGGGGTGCCAATTGGCTTGGGTCGGGCGGTCATTGCTCTCTCTGTCTGCGCTTTGTTCAACCACTGCGTTTCACTTTTTATTACCATCAAAATGAAGTTGACCGTGGAATTTTACATTTATTCAAACGGGGAAGCTGAAAGGTGGTGGTTCTCTTTGTTTTGGCACGGAACTCAGCATATCTTGATCGTTTCGCCTGTCTGTTTATTTGCTACAAACTCCTCCATTCCAGGGCATTCTTGGTATTGCGCGCGTCTATGACTCCATCATTTCTCTTGTGTCACTGCTCTTTATCCATTTCTTGCTCATCGATTACATTATCACCATATGGTGATTGGTCATTCAGCCAGAACGGGCTGTTGTGTTACCACAGAACCCAAGTTGGAGTCCAGGTAGGCTATAGCCACCCACCAACCAGGGTTTCTGGAGTGGGGGGAAATGAAGAGAGAACTGTTTAGAAATTGCCGTCAACAAACCGCGGTTGCCAGTATTATCAGCCAGCAAGCGTTAACTATTGCTTGGCCCAGATTTTGTTTGACAACAGACCTACCTTGCAGCCGATCATCTATCATATTGCAGAGTGGAGAATCAGCAGGTTGGTTTCTGCGAATAACTCAGCTTTTATAAAGCCACCGGTACGCGAAATCATCAGCATATTGACATTAGATTTCTTCAGGAACCCGGAACTGCGTTTGGCAATCCCTCACGGGACGAGAAGGCAGATAGATTGTATTTGCTAGCTTTTAACCCATTGATCCATTGGATGTCAGTTTAGCTACAACACTTTACTGTATATCAACGTGATCCTAAAAGTACCCGATCTTCGTTATGTACTATTAGCGGTACCTTATTCTAGGATAAATTCCCACTGTAACTCATGAACCTTTGATCTTGTAGCTTCGATCTGGAGAATCCCTGCGCAGCTAGCCATCTGTCACCCCATCACCTTGCTTTATCGCAGGGCAATCGGAGAGCCACCTGTGCCTGATTATCATAAACATATTGGCGTTAGCTTACTTCTGAAGCCAGGAACTACGTTTGACAATAGGGAATGGCTTTGGAGCTAGCAATCCCTCATCTCGCTCTACAGCGAGGCCTTCGGATAGCCACCGGTGCCCGGTCTCATAGGCAGATGGACGTTAGCTTGCTTCTGGAGCTGTTAACTGCGTTTGGTAACAGAGAGTAGTCTTGCAACTTGCCGTCCGCCGCCTTCACGTACCAATCTTACAGCTAGCCATCCGCCAAGCGAGGCATTCAGGAAGCCACAGGTTCTCGCTATCATAAGCATATTGACATTAGCTTGCGAAAGAGCCATGCACTGCGTTTGACAATAGGGAGTTGTCTTGTAACTAGCCTGCTTGGCGACGAGTGAACAGGGATTGGTCTTCTAGACCACCGTCACCGCCCTTAGGTTATGCGAGGCTGGTGGTCATGACCGTGCTTATGCTCATGATAGATCAGATTCTCTGCTTTTAGGGGTCCCTCCTGTTTGTAAGCAGAATCAGGCACCTAAGCCGTCGCAGAATGTGGAAATAGATATATTCCCAGGCTCTGCCCAACTCAATGCTTCTTCCTAACTCATCAACCTTTAAGTCATCAGTACTTACTTCTAAAGCATATCTGAAGCCCTTGAAAATGATTCTAAACACTACTACTTTGGTTCACGTTTTATTGGCATTGGCCTAAGGTGTCCAAAATAGATCAGTCATCTCAACAAAGTGCCCTAAAAGTAAGTTTCTTTGTCTCGAAATAGGGGTAATTGCATTTCTATGTCTATTTCTTTGTTTGAATTCCACCATTTGTTCACTGATAAAAAATCAATGCCAGTTATTTTAAGTTCATCTGCCTTGTCCTCATCCAAGAAAAGTCTTCTTCCAGGTTGAGTGATACAAGCGGCTTCGGGTCACAATACAATAGTTTCGAAGACATCTTTGCAAGACACACTATCTTTTGTCGTCGTTGTAATCCCTGCACCTGCTGGCAGATTGACCAATTAAAAACATGGCTGTTGAGTAATGAGCTGTGGTAAAACTTGAGTGCTGTCTAGTAACGAGGAATAAGAATGTTGTCAATATATCAATTTTCAAAAGATTATGGAAACTATAGAAATATAGATATTTAATATGAAGAGTACGGTGCCATTAAAAAATACTCCGCGTCACTTTTAGTTTTCGGACCATTTTGTGCCTTGGCGCTCGAGGCTATCGAGTTCGGATGATTTCCACGGACGATTTCCTGGCTATGCTCGGCTACAGCATCATTTGAAAAATGAGTTAGTGCGACAAGAGATGTAATAAGAAGGCTCGAAGTTAGCTTGATTCTTCTCTTAATATTTCAAAAAAAAATCCTTTTTTCTACAAGCCTTTGGGGACCTCTCGTTTGAAACAGCCGCCACTTGTGACCCCCTTCATCTTACCCACTCACGGAAATGACATTCCCACATCTATCATCGCACGAATACAAAGACAAAACCAAACCGCCTTTTCAGGGAAGCGATGAATCTATCAAATCTGGAGAAGAACAGAAACAGCCATTTACTGGCGAAAGAGTCTGGGATGGTTGTAATAATATCGAGTTTGATTCGAAAAACAATGAAGGCGACATTTCTGAAGATGGCTATACTCAACAACAGCGTGGTCTATCTGTCTTGGATCGTGTCCTGAGTCGCACTTCGGTTGTGTACAATGACCCTGGACCTCCACCCGATGGTGGATTTTGGGCCTGGGCTTCAGGTAAGCTTTTTTAGAAATGGGACTAAATGCAGCACTAACGTTTTGGTAGCCATTGCTGGGCATATAGTTATGCTGAACTCATGGTATGTAAAGGTTGATTTTTATGCATGCAACTGAGACTGAGGCTCTGAAAGGGGATATAATAGCTCATTTGGCGTCTTCCAAACTTACTACACAACTCACCTCGATAACCCAGCGAGCCAAATCTCCTGGATAGGATCAGTCCAAATATCCGCACTATTCTTCATGGGAACCCTCTCCGGTCGTCTCACAGATGCCGGTTATTTCCGCATCACATTCGCTGCAGGCACACTACTTACCTGTCTCGGTGTCTTCATGACTTCTCTCAGCACTACATTCTGGCAACTCCTCCTATCACAAGGTCTCTGCACAGGACTAGGTAATGGTCTGATGTTTACTCCCAGCCTTGCTGTTGTTTCTACATACTTCAAGAGGAGAAGAGCGTTGGCTTTTGGAATCACTGCTACAGGAAGTGCCACAGGAGGGTTGATATTTCCATCTATGGCTCGTCAGCTGCTTGGGAAGATTGGTTTTCCTTGGACTGTTAGAGCTATGGGGTTGGTGCAGCTGATCACGTTGATCATGGCGAACTTACTCCTGAGACCTAGAATACCACCGAGGCAGTCGGGTCCGTGGGTTGATATAGCGTCGTTCAAGGAAAAGGGGTACTTCTTCTTTGCAATCGGGATTTTCTTCGTAAGTCTATGGTATTGGGAAAGCGTAAAAGCATACTAACGGCAATAGACATTTTGGGGAACATTTTTCCCGTTCTACTACCTTGCTTCTTTTGCAGTTTCACAATTGGACAAGCCTCTCACATACTCAGCTGCATTGAATGTCCTTCTCGTTGTCAACGGTGTCGGAATCATAGGCCGTTCACTCCCCAACGCCATCGCACATCACTTCGGAAGCATCACGGTCCTCATACCTGTCGTATCCATCTCATCAATTTGTCTATTCACATGGCCTGCGGTATCCACAGAAGGGGGCTTGTACGCATGGGCTAGTGTCTATGGCATTGTCGCTGGAGCATCCATGAGTTTGTTCCCTCCAGCTCTATCAGATTTGACAACAGATGTGCACAAGACAGGTGTCAGAATGGGTATGATATTTACGACGAATAGTATTGCAACTCTTACTGGGCCGCCTATTGCCGGCATGATTATTAGACGTTCTGGGGGCCATTATCTAGGTGCACAGATCTTTGCTGGTGCTTCACTCTTTTTGGGTGGGGTGTTAATCTTTATGGCTAAGCGCTTCAGGGCGGTGGCAGACCAGAATCGAGCTACATGAATTCAATGTCAAAGTTGAGAAATAAAATAACCGATGATCTTTGTCATGTCAAAGCGATGATAAAGAAAGAGTGTCAACACGGAAGAGAAGTAGTTACTTTTAGTAACTAGTCAGGGTTCTTACAGAATTAATAGCAACTTTAAACTTCAGTAATCGAGTTCATAATTTGAAGAGTCACGATCACATATTTGAAGATAATAGAATTCGATTAGGCTAGGTTCAGGCTGGCCGAAATGGTATGGGATTGGAGACGTTCACTGCTAGCCAATCATGTAAGGATCTTCCTTGTGTAACCGCACAGGGTCAGCCAATAGCCGCTCTAATTTGACCGTTGTGGTAGCCTCAGTCATTTACTTCATAAAGAATCCTTTTTTTGAGTTTGTAATGTAAAGAAATAAAACCTTCCAGCACTGCACATGACTTGACTGTCTTAAGGTAGACGCGAGCCAGAGAAAAAAGGAGTCTAGTAAGCGAGTCCATTCAAGGCTGGGCATTTTCGCGAATCTTCTGGTGCTTCTGATGTCATGTTTTTGCCTTTGACCCCTATTTTCACAGCGTCATGTCGTGGGTTCGTAAGGTGGAGGATTCTGTTCACCCCCTTTAAGGATGAAGGGTACAAAGGAAATACTGGACTGCCTTTGCTGGTAAGTCTAATATTGATATTCCAAGGTACTCCTCCTCGAGTCTTGCAAAAAGGGACGGTAAAAGCGTATAGGTGTCGAGGAGGTCGTGAAGTTGGTGATAGTCCGAAATACTTCAGGGCGCATGCAGGAGTACGCCTTACTCATATCGCTAGGTGAATACAACTTCGGTGTACCTTAATTGCCACTCCCCCAGATGGCCAATCCCGGTGGATCACCCTAAAGTCGCCAAAATGATCACCAGAGCCAAGACGGGTAAGGAAAACAGCAATATGATGCCAGGGTCGCCTGCTGTCAAGGATATGTCTATTGCCCCAGTAATCCAGGCGGCCTTCAAGTGGAAAACGGTCGAACCGGTTGATTTGTCTGTTTTGGTTTCTCCAGCAGATTTTAGTACAGACTCCTCAACACCACGGGCATTGGACGGAGATGGTGCTGGACCTTCAGTTGAAGGAGTGTTGTTGGAGGTAATAGCCATTGTTGCGTTCGTGAGAAGGCGGTAAAGTAGTGGAGTGAGTTATTTAAAAAGAGGAAGCTTGTAGGAGTCTGGAAGACGGATGGGGGAGTGTTTCATAGATCTTTTCTTGAGAAAGCTTATCCAAGTTCTGGGAGAGGCCACATAAGTTGAATGCAAAAGGTTATCTTTTAAACGTTGTATGCATCAACCTTCTCTTGAACCACAAACAGCGAGCCTTTGTCATGAACCTTCTTTGTGACTCAATAGGCAGCTGACTCTAAGAAAAGGTTTCTTGGGTGATGAGTTGCGCAAGTTAGAGAAGCGTTCTGTGAGAATTTAGGAGGGTGTTATAACTAAAGAACGCCGTGTGGTATAACACGAGGAGTGCGATTTGAGTGTAACTAGTGAAGTCCCTATCATTGGCCCGCTCCTTCATACAACATTACCAAAACGTGGTGTCGAAGTAATTACCACGTCTAAGAAAAGAATTATGAGGAAGGGCATGGGTTTGTCGAGGATATAGGCAGAAATGAGTTCTGAATCTGGCATCCAATAGGAAGCCATTCCTGAAAACCTCGGTTTCGTGGTCTAGTTGGTTATGGCATCTCGCTCACACCGAGAAGGTCCCCGGTTCGAACCCGGGCGGAACCATTCTTTTGCTCTTTTTCACAACTTTATATCAATGTATATTATTATTTTGCTTTCCGGAATGCTGGGGTGGCCTGCTTGACAATTTCTAACAACTAGTACTTTGGTGCTTTATTACTTGTAGATTTGTACAACCTCTGTACTCAAGTGTAAAGGCAATTGACATGAAGCAATGATTGCTGATGATCTGTCTCCCTTGTGCTTCTATCCATGACTTAGAACAAATAAACATCCTGATCATCCCACTGAAACTCGGATCCAAACTCTTTGGCATACCTCCCCGCAACATCCAACTCATTTGTAAGACACCGATCAAACACGACACCATGAACATTCGTAGCTGTTCTCCAAGCTTCCAATACCTCGTGACTGAGCACAGGTACGTCTGTCTTCCCAAGAACTATCAGACCCGTATTGCATCCCGTTACCGTGCTGAAACTAAAACCCGCACGCGAGATATCTTCTTCAAAGTCACTAGGATCGAAAACATGTCGAACCGAGAGTTTTCTCATCTTGGGCATATGACAAACAGCCTGTGCCGCCGCCAGGACAAAACGATACATGATTTCTTCTTCCATGCGAGATTTGAATCTGTTTTCTATCTCGCAGCCTGGAGGGCAATAATCTCCATCAACCATCCCTTCACGGAACTCTTGTCGTTGATACTCTTCTTCTTCTGGTGATAAAGGATTTTCACCGGTGACTACCCATTCACCGGAAGGAAGAACGTCACAAAAGGCAAGTGTGAAACTCTCGAGGGTCGGCCAGCAAGAAATTTCTGTTGAAGGTTGGAATATGGTGCTGTCGACGCTTGCAAGAAGGGTAATCTCTTGAATGCCGTCTCTCTGGGCGAGTCGTCGTACTGCTTCGGAGAGAACATCCTCATTTGACTCAGCAGGGGTGATACTTGGAGGATTATAAGTCTGATCTGGTATCCTCTCGCGCTGGTAGTCAATAAGCAACGTTTGCACAGACATTGGTATCAAATGCAAAGACTGTGCAAGGCCTACAATATTGTTAGCTGGGACTAGTACCAATAATAAGGAAGCAGTCTTACTGTTTCTTATCGCAGCTTCCCCGTAGACATAATCTCGTATGTTTTCTATTGCCCTCACCCCAAACTTCTCCAACCGTGGCATCTTACTTGCAAGTCGACACATATCCCCAGGTGTAAAAGTAGGTGTATCAGTAGATCCGCATGCTCTAAAGATTGATATCATAGGGAGTTCTGGGAAATTCTTCCACGCGTCATAAAGCTCCATGTGCTGCATTCCTTTCTGCGTGAATGTGACGCGGAATGGGCTATAGGACATCTCAAAGACCATCTCCACGTAGGGCTTTTCCCGACGTGGAAGATCTTCAAGAATCCCGAAAACCCTCTCGACAAAGTCATTAAATTCACGTTCATCGTTCGGATGATGTTGACGAAAGTCACAGTCTCCAGGGCTTTGCATGAATCGCTTCGGTCGTTTGCATACATGGCTGGCAAGAACGCACTTCACCGTGACTTTTCGAACGTACGAGAGTCTTTGTGGTGTCAGGCATGTGACACACTTGGATTCCAGGACCTTTTCTATTCTTAATTGTAGGTCCTTGAATAGGAATGGTTCGATGAGTTGTTGCCAACGCCGTGATACTGTTGCAAGTGCGCTGAGCCGTATTGTTTTTTTCCACCGTAGTCCGCATATTATGCCTTGATGATATGACTTTGGAAGATTCCAGATGATCCTCCTCAAGATCTCAGTTGGCAAACGCTCGGTAGGATCCATGCAGGGTAGAAGGAATAAATAAAGGGTGAGGTTGTTGGTTGTTGGTTGAAGGTACAAAAGGAGAACGACACGTGATTTGATGTTGGTCGCCGAGTAAGCAGGGATAGAGCAAACTTGTAAGAGGTTAATTAATAATCTGCCAATAGATTTGCTTTTTCTATTTGAGGAGGCCGTTTGCCTTTTCCGTGAGGGTTGGGTTGACCCGCCAAGCTCTGTTGATAGCCGTCTCAATGACCAGAAGACTCAAATGGTGAGACAGGCTGTGACCTGAGCTGCTTTGGTGATGCCTTCGGTAAAAAAAGATAATCTCTCAGTGCGAACAGTTCAGTGACCTAAGGAATTGTATTCATTTGATCTATCTAGGTCTTTCGTCTAGCAGTAGTGGAAGAGAATACGCAATTACAGCCAGGATCGAAGCGATGTCCCAGCATTACATTCGCAGCATCAGTATTTCGCCAATCATGTGCTTTATAAGTTCTCACGGTCTGTGCATCAAAAATCCAGTATACGGGTAACCTCAATTGTCAACTAAAACAGGTACCCGCCCAAAAGTTGAAAGCCGTTGGAGGCGGAGGGGAATATGTCTCCGACAAACCCAAGCGCTGTTGGCAGGCTTTGTCTGTGAGCATTGTATGGAGTGACGGTAAAAGCTAGGGACATACAAAACGTCTATCGGGTCAAGAACGGTGTGGCTTCTGTTGCACGAGCCTTCATAGACTGACGGACGGTTGCAAGTGCTTACAATAACAGAAGTGGACCAACCATCCATAGTTACTTGAAGCCTCGACAATCTTATCACTGCAATTGAGTCCGTGCGCTGGACGTGTCTCACCACGCAACAAAACACCACGAGCATAGTTAGTCAAAAGCAATTTACTCAATTCATAACTCATCACCCTCCTCTGTCCATCTCGTTAATAAGTCGTAAGACTAGGCGTACTAGGATCCTGAGGGAACGAAAACTTGGTCTGAACAAAGATCTTCTGCATCCCATCCTCCCTCTTGTCAAACTTGTAATACACCTTATCCAGATCCTCGAGTCTAACACGGTGCGAAAGCATCTGACCGGGATCAAGCTCACCCTTCTGGATCATCTCCAGAAGCTCATGCCAATATTTGTGAACGGGCGCTTGACCATTACCGATGAGACGAATACCGCGCTCCATGAGGGAGCCGATGTTGAAGTGGTTGGTCTAGAGAGTCATGTCAGTCTACTTTGGTGAGTATGGGGATGGGGAGGGACATACGTAGCCGACGTAAACACCAGTAATACCACATCGTCCAAAGTTTCGTACACCCTCAATCATCTCATTTATAATCTCACTCGTATCCGTCTCAATCCCAACAGCCATCTCGAGCCAGTGCATCCAGCCCTTGGCATACTCACCAGCCGCACACTCAATCGCACAATCAGGACCACGGTTACCTGTGAGTTCCTTGAGACGACTGACCACGGTAGGCTTGTTAGTTACCCCGTGCGACAAGTGCTTGTAGTCCACCAGCTCAAGCTTGTCCTTGTGCTCAGCGGGCCAGCGGTCTCGAATAAACGACAGTCGTGGCTCGGTATCGACAAAGATGATTTGGCTTGCGCCTTCTTTGATGGCAAAGATACCGGCCATTTGACCAATTGGACCAGCGCCGAAAATGGCGACCGAGTCGTTGGGATAAACGGCTGTGTCCTTGACGGCGTTGTAGGATGTAGCCAGTACATCAGACAGGTAGAGAGCTAACACAGTCAGTATACTCACCGACAAACAGAGACAAATACTCACCCTTCTCATCAGGAACATCATCAGGAATCTCCAAAAGATTCACATCCCCAAGCGGAACACGCACATACTCCGCCTGACCCCCCGCAAACCCACCCGTAAAATGCGAATACCCAAACATACCCGCCGTGCGACCACCATACATGGCCCTCTGGGTGGTATTCGAGTTAGTCTTCTCACACTGCGACGAAAGCTTCTGCTTGCAGAAGAAACAATCACCGCACGCGATCTGGAACGATGCGACGTAGCGCTTTCCAACGTCAATGCCCTTGACGGCTGAACCGACCTGGTCAACGACGCCGCAGAACTCATGACCGAGAATGTCGCCCTCGCTGAGCTGGACGACTGTGCCGTGCAGGAGATGCAGGTCTGAGCCGCAGACGGTGCTGCCTGTGACTTTGAGGATTACATCGCGGTCCTCAATGATCTTGGGCTTGGGGGCGTCAACTGTTTTGTGTTAGTGGTGAGTATGTAAGTGAATGTGAGACATACCCATTTGGACTTTGTTCTTGCTAATCCATGCGAGAGCCTTCATGGTCTCACCGGACTCTCCAGCGCCTGGTTCACGGTATGAAGTGACATCTTGCGCTGTGACGGCATTGTCGCCGTGTCCGATGACCTTTTCGGCCTGGTAAGCTGCTTGAGTAGCCATTTTAATAAAGTTCTGATGCAATGTACTGTTGACTCAATCAACCTTGAAGGCACGGCAAAAGGCGGTATTTATTAACATTTATGTATCTCTCATGACTTCATATAATAAGCATCTACCCGTCATACGTAGTATCGTCACCATGACTGGGTGTCGCGGTGGTACCGTCACCATGACTGGGTGTTGTAGTGGAGTTGATACCATCATGACGATCCCTGTTCGGTACGTCATTGACTTCTCGAACCCGGGATTATCTTCCACCGTGAGATGTAAGTGGACGTTCGGAATTATCTGCTCGACTAAGCTTCATTGCCGATGAAACAATTTCCTATTTTGTACCTGTCATCTCGATCTAAGCTCATAGCCTCATCATAGTTTCGGCCGGTCGCATGGCTCCTGTCGCGCCAAGTTTACACTACACTGATCCCCTCCTGGAGCTCCGTCTTGGTGGGCATCTTGTTCACCCGCATTAATTCTGCACTCTGCGCCATTGCCGGATCTCTTCCCATGCTGGCCATGGCGACGACCGTTTCGCCCTTGCAGTAGTAGGCCACAAACTTATTCTCGGCCGGACTACCCTCAAGGACAAGATCGTCCCAGCCAGAGGCCATTGTGTTGCCGCAGTATCGTAGTTGAGCTCCCAGAGCTGACCAGAAGATGGGAATAAAGTGCTCAGTCTTGCCGCCTGGGTTGACAATGTGGTTCGCAGCGATGCGACCCGCCTTTTGCGCAACGTTCCAATGCTCAATTCGTACGTGCTTGCCTTCGCCTCCTGGGCCGTGGTAGGGGAACGTAGCAATGTCACCGATCGCATAAACATCCTTCAGACCTTGAACAGAGTAATCGTCGTTTGTCTTGATAGAACCATCGTCCTCCAGTTTGATGCCGCTGTTGTTCTTGAGAAACTGGGTAGCAGGGGCGACACCGACACCAAGAACGACGAGGTCCGCCTCCAGCTTGGTACCATCCTTGAGAGATACGGAGCCAACCTTGGACGCGTCAGATGCAGAGGGCTCGGCCTTGTCGACACTTGCGCCCATGTAAAACTTGACGTCTTTACCTTCAAGCGCCTTCTGGAGGCCTGAACCAACCTTCTCGCCGAGGACGCGCTCAAGAGGAACATTCTCCATACCAATGACGGTCACATCGTTATCGCCGGCTGTGGCGACCGCCAATTCAATTCCGATGAATGAAGATCCGACAACAACAATCTTCTTGCCCTTCTCACCGATCTGGTCGACAATCTTTTTTGTATCGTGAACACTTCGGAGAGTGAAGATGTTGTCCAGGTTCTTGAACCCTTGGAGCGGCAGTCGTCTGGGAGTTCCGCCAGTAGCAAGGACCAGCTTGGTGTAGTCAATCTTCTCGCCTTCGCTGGTGGTAACGAAACGACCCGAAAAGTCAACATTGTTGACCTCGCCCTGGACAAACTTGATGGAACCACCTTCGTAGAAATCCTTGTTTCGCCATTGCAGCTTGCTGAGGTCGGTCATGAGAGCCTTGCTCAGCTTTGTTCGATCGATGGGGTAGTAGCCCTCGTTGGAGATGACGGTGATACCACCCCTGTAGCCATTCTCACGGAGGCTCTCGACGACGCCCAGTGTTCCTGAACCACCACCAACGACAACGACATGGTCTTCCTGGACACTTCCGAATTCGGCGCACTTGACGTTGGGCTGTCGCTTGGATGACTTGATGGCGCTCTCCTCTCCGGTGAGGTACACGGCGCCGTCTCGTTCGGCGACTTGGAAGACGGGGAGATGATCGAGGGCGGGTGCATCTTCAATATCGCCGGTCTTTGCATTGAAGCAAGCTACGATTAATTAGTACAAGTATGAATGGGTGAGGACTGCATTTGGACATACCTCCGTGCCATGGGCATGTGATGCGACCATCGCTAGTCAAGACACCTTTCGCGAGAGGTGCACCATAATGAGTGCACTTGGAACCTAGAGCTTGAGTCTTTCCTCCAGTGTTGACGAGTAGAACCTTGCCATTCTCGATACCCTCAACTTCAACCTCCTGCTTGGAACCTGGAGAGAGGTCGAGCGATGAAACGCCCTTGAGCTTGTATTCTTGCGCCATTGGTCCGTATGTGGAGAAAGGCCTTGCTAGAGGAAATAATCGAGGTGTTTGTATCCGAGCTGAGCGAAAGCTTTGAAGTAATCTGGGATACGGACGCATCAAGACGTCTTATTAAAGAAGAGAGAGAGAGCTGTGGGATGATATGGCAGGTAGCAGTGGGAGACCGAAATTGGGGGAACGAAGAAACGTGGACATGGCGCCATCAATTGAACGGCAGCTGCACAGCAGTGCAAAGGTTCCTCCCTAAAAACGCAAGCATCACCACTGGAAGCTCCGTATCATCCATGTCCACGATGATGTGGGGGATGACAATAGGAGCGATTTGACTGGTTGAAGCTTTACGGGTGAGGTTGTGTATGACGACATGCCGACGTTGTAAGCCGTTCTTTTGTTAAGACTGCACCACAATACAACCGTTTCCGATTTGTATTTGTATCTGTAAGCAATGCCCCGCATAGAGCATGATGCCACTATTAACTGCCGGCTTACGAGGCATTGAACGTACGCAGGCGGTGTAAAAGTATGAATGCGAAAAATGATAGGGTCATGATGAGTTAGAGGACATTTAGAGTTTATATCAATTCATAGACTACCCTGGACCATGTCACTTGACTCATCACGTGTCTTATCTGCTTATCTCAGAGCGCTAAACCTGCGTCATGGCGGATTCAGCAAGGTGTGACAACCACATCCAATCACACGCGAAAAGGAAATGAGGGAATCGCGAGCGTTCAACACGTCTTCCCTGCACTTCAACACGCTAACCTAGTCCAGAGTCTACGCCCCTGATGAATGCCTAAAGAGATCCCCTGTACGAACTGTTCGCAGCCTATTGCTGTGACCTGTGACCCTGGACCGTCTCTGCATCACATGGCTTGTGCAAGTGGCTGAGGTTGGTCTCTTTTGAGGCCTCATCTGCCTTGTTTATTCACTCAATGCAAACACGCCTACTAATATAAACAAATCAACTCACTGTCCATATTTATCTGCATCACTATTCTTTGTTTACTCTAAAACTTCAACTGTCGGCGATCCCACTAAGTCAGGAACAGAACTCCACACCTACCCAACTTAGACTCGCGCGGGAGCCCACATACCAATTACAACCTCAGCCAATTATACACAACAAAGACCCTCTTTGTTTGGCCCAACAGTAAACACCAGCCGTTCCCATCAAAACGACTCGAATCCGACGAGACGGTCATCGTCTTCTTGCCTCGTCTGGACTCTGGCCTTGTCACGAGTCTAATATCGGCTGCCGACGAACCATGTTCTAATCCCTCACCCTTCGATTCATTCCTTATCTCCTCCGATCTACAGTATTATCATGTTGTCGACCGATCCCTTATCTTCCGCCGCCTTCGTTACCCTTCGCGAATCCTTCATCCTATTATCCGTACAATAATCAAAGCTTCAAAAGGCCTCTCCATCTCCGATTTCGCTCCGCCCATCATGGAGAGGCCGGATTTTGGGCCGGAGCCGCATATCTCTGAGATGACTTGCTGCTGTGGACGAATCGACTGCGCTCTCCTCAAGAAAAATTGCTCCATTCTAGAGACAGTCGAAAAAGATGTCCATACCGCGGCACAACTTGGTCAGGTTAGTCAGGTACCAATCTTCAATTTTGGGGCATTCCTCTGTTTTTATATGGCCGCTGTCACTTCTTCCACCGCCTAAACACCCGCGTGTCCCGCATGCCAGTCCCCGCTAGACACGTCAATGCCCCATCAGACTGCTGACTTGTCTGTCTCCCTTGTAGGCTCTACTCGCTAGACATGAAGCATATATGGCCGACGCGGAGAGAGATCGTCTTGATCTTTCCTCCAGGATAGAGCGTCTGGAAATGGCCAAGCAGGAATTAGAGGCTGAGAATGCCCTGAAAATCGAGGAAAACAGAAATCTCCTCGACCAGCTTGAACTGCTCAATAACACCGTCTCCGAATCCGATACAAAGATCAAAGCACTCGAAGCAAGTCTACTTTCGTCTCAACAAGCCGTCCGAAGACTCGAGTCTGCTGCCTTGCGAGCCGAAGATGCGGAGAGGCATATTTCCCTCTTGGAACTCGAACAGGACGATCTCTATCACGAACTGAGGTCGACGAAAGAAGATGCTCGAACACATGCACAGCGTTGCAAGGAGGCGCAACGTGGTATCATGGATATGCAGGATCAATTGGAGAGGATGGAAGAGGAAGCTCGAGAGGAGCGTCAAAGACATGCCGAGGTTATTGGGCGAATGGAGCGTCAACGCGAAGTTGAGAAACAGCTCAATACAGCCGCCGGCCGTCTAAAAGGTGCAGCTGCATCCAAGACACTCCAAGAACCGAAGCCAGGGAATCCCGTTGTCAATCATTTTGTTCGGGACCTTCTTCAGGACAATGCCAATCTACAACTGGGCATGGCTGAGCTACGGGAGATGCTTCTCAATTCGAACGATGAGATTCAATCTCTACGAGAACAACTTGTCACCCACCAACCTATCGCCGATAGCAGTACGACTCTCAAAGACGAACTCGAGGCTTATGAGCCGCCGATGACTCCTCGAATTTCGCAAGAGCTTCACATCCACCACCACTATCACGTTACAGCCAAGGCCGATAAACACAAGATGAGGCGAAAGCGCGCAAGCTTGAACTCTAGTATATTTTCAGCTTCGACAAGTTCTGGCACATCCACGCCGAGATCTTCTGCTCGCTGGAGTTTGGGACCTGCCCTGCCTGCCCTCGCTTCAATCAACACCAAGGAACCCAACTCTGTTATCTCGATGCCCAAACAGAGATGGTCCATGCTTTCAGAGCAACCCTCCGAAATCGCGTCGTCGGTTCCAAGTTCTCCACGATCGAATCAACGAAACTCGATGTTCGACTCGAATTTTGGTGACAGCGATTATCCAATGTCACCAGCTACAAGCTTCGATCCTATGTCGCCCACCTGGCGGACGCACCGTAAAGGCCCGTCCGACATTTCGGCTTTCAGCCTTCAAGCACCTTCCCTCCAGCTTGATCCAGGTACACCGCCTCAAAATTCACGTCAATTCAACGATGATGTGATACATGAGGAGGACGAAAATGAGGGTGAGGAAGTCATGTCTCGAATTGAGACACCCGATCTCGGCAACACTCCGTCAATTGACGAGAGCTCAATTGTTGAGAGCTCCGAAGACAACAGAGACGACTATATGCCGCGTCCAAGGATTCATCGAGCTATTTCTCATGAATCCATCATGTCTCTCACAGGCGGTCTTGACATTCACACACTCAAGGCTCGACCTAGCCAGCTC